TAGCTTGTGCGGAAGGGCCCTTTACCACCGTGTGCATAATTACGCGTCCCGCCAAACGGCGTAAAGCGAACAAAGTGTTCAGACATTAGCATAGAAAACTCCGCCTCTGTCTGGATTTTTGGTAGCCTATTGACCAATTCCCAATCGAGACTTAAGTCTGACGGAGCGCGTAATTTTGCTCACGGTGGTAAGTAGCCTACTTACCGGAGCCAGGCTGTATGAATTTTCCAGACATCATGAGTACTACCTGTGATACACGCTTGCCAATTCCCCTATCAGCTTTTGGAATCGACTTAACCTTACCGTTGCAATGGCCGGACACCTCTTTAGGCACTCTACATCTACTATTGGAACCACAACTCTACCCAACATCTATATGTGTGGGGCAAATTGTAAAATCATCGATATCTGTTAGCGTCTCGAAGATGCCGGTGTCATAGCGGATTTGGACCCCCCGCGGATTTTGACCCCCACCCCGTCCAAATCCGCGAACGGATATGGACCCCCCCTTCGCAAATTTGAACCACCCTAACAAACTTTCCTTTTAAGCATCCTTTGTATCATATTTGGTAACTAATTCTATTTGCAAGCTTTTTTTCGATGTTCTTTTCAATCACAGCACAACATTCCTCAATAAAGGTAAAAAAACCCCAGCCATTTCGTTCCAATTCTACCGCATTTATTGTAACGAGTCGTACAGTATACGCAAGAATTAGATGTGAACAAACTACTGCATTCGAACTATTGCAAATGTTGCGATAAATCTTTGCTTCTTCTGATGCGAATCAACATTGATACGAAACGTCATAACATTAGTGGAGACTATTGCGTCCAGTCACAAAAATAGCTCAGTTTTATTTTCTAAAATAATAACATTAAACAGTTTCTGAACAAAAACGAAGAAACTACTCCTACTATGAGTCGTTCGTAAAGCCTATTATAAGTAAAAATGTTTCTATTCTGAACTATTGGAACTCTTAGCTTATTTTCAGATGCAGATCAACATTACTGTCAACGTCTTAACAAAAGTGGAGACTATTACATCGAACTCAATCTTATTTTCTAATTTTAACGATTATTAACTGTTGAGGGATCCGAAATAACACCTTAACAGTTGCGAAGACGTCTAGAGTCTGGCGATCTGCAGACAATGCAGAGCCACTCGCCCTCCGGGGCAGTCTTAAATCCCTCGCAGCTCCTGTGTAACCATTCCTCGCACGACTCGCACTGTACCATGTCGTCCCAACGCTCGGGTATTGAACGATGACAAAATAAAATAAATAAGTTTGTCTCTTATTGAATCTAGCGGTGTTCGACTATCGCGGAAAAGGTTAAAAAACGACCCCTCTCCAGACATTTAACTAAATTCTTGCCCATTTTCCCTTGGTCAAAAGAAACATCCGACGGGATGTCAGTTCGTATGCATTAACGATACGCATATTTTGAATTAAAAACATACTTTAGTATGCACTGGAACGTAAAGTATCATCCATTTGTACTAGAATGTTAAGGATGATGTTTTCACTCAGTTTTGTTGGGGGGTCCAAATCCTCTGGGACACCGGCAAGCGACAAAATAAGATCAACTTCATTTTCTGGATCTGAAAACTTGCAACTCCGCAAGTGACTTGAAATGTCTTTTTTACAACTATGGAAGGGAACGACTCGAGATATGCAACTTCGGTCTTCTCGATAACTAAACCCACAAGTTCCACCAGCGAACGATCTAAATGAACAGCAAATCTCCATGTTAGCAATTAAGATGAGACGCTTACACAACAAATAATTACCTAAATCGGTATGTAGCTTGTCAATCAAATTGACTTTTGTAACCATTCTTTGGCTTCGGCCGGCAAAGGAATCATTGATGGATCTTTCAGTAGTTTTCTAAATGCAGTAGCTCTTGAAAGGTTTTTCTAGATATCATACAAAGAGGAAAAAAACGTATCTCTTGGTATTTCGGAGATTGATATAATATGTGTCACGCTCGTCATGCAACTGATATGATGAGATGGAGAAGATATAAAAACTAGAACTCAAATCTGGCTAGAATGTGGTAAAGCGTAACGTGATCATCGAAACAGCTCATAAAATTATAAATGTACAAGGTAAGAGTGTTAAGTTAGATTTTTTCCAAATTGTGGTGATTTATGCCAGTAAACGATGGCGACAAGTAGGCACACCATGTATATTTCATAGTCGCTAGAAAGTAAATTTTGCCGGACTTTGAGTTCGTCTCAAGATAGAACAACACAAATACACAAGGAAATTTTTACAGTAACTTATTAACCATAACTCGAAGCACAGTAGATTCTGTCATATCGGTCATTGTTAAAACTGTCTTTGTTTTGATGTTACTTTTCGACGTAGGAATTGTCGGACAAAAATATTCACCAAAAAAATAAATATTTCTTTGCCAGCTTCAATAATAACAGGGGATTAAGTTTAGATGATAAAACAAAGGATTGTGTTGACAGAAATACTGGAGGTCAAGTTTATTCATTACATGAGGTCACACAACACGGGAATATTCAGGGTGAAAATTTGCATATTTGAGCGATCGAACGAAAAAAATCATTTCTCGAAAACTAATTTATACTTTCATAGAAAAACTACACCACAATTATTAGAAAATGTTGGGCTACAAAATATGGAAGTAAGAGTGAAAGAAAATTTTGGGTGACTTGCCACTGTTTGTCTAATGCGTGCTGACATTAGCTCTTAACTCTTTAACTCCCAGATGGAATTTTTAATTCTCCTTATAGTCAGCCATACAATTCTTATAATGTTAGCTTAGAGAATTTAGTATTGAATCAACTAATTAACCCAAAATTGGTATTCTTCTTTATCCTCTTCACTTGTCTGGTTGATATTGTATTAATATTGTAGGGAGAAATTCTGTTATGGTCACTCATGGGAGTTAAAGGGTTAAATTACTTCAAAACGATTCAGAAATTGGTACTATCTTTTCGCAACCTCCACTTATTTCATTCAAACGTGACAAAACTGAACACAGGCAACTTTTTGGTTGGAAGTTCATTTCAAACCAATGACCAACCTGGAACGTTCAAATGCGCTCGCTCACGATGCGTTGTCCTTTCATTCATAACGTAGAGAAAATATCGGGACCCAAGAGATCCACAAAGATTACATTTATGTCATTTATTGTATAACTTGCACTTGTTGCAAAAAGTTATACATTGGTGAAACAAGAAGACGACTGGGTGACCGATTCCGAGAACACCTTCGCGAAGTGGAAGAAATGACAAGGACGCATCCAAATCAATCGCTAGGAAATTTAATCTCCCTAATCATTCTAAGCAGCATAAGGCAGTTTTAGGCCTTTCCCTACATCTAGGCAGTTCGGAAAGCCGCAAAACTTTAGAACAAAAAATTTATCTTTCAAGTCAGCACTCTTAACCCCCACGATATCAACGAGCACTTTTCATTCAACTAATTTATTCTTGTTTTGTTGTCACTATATTCCCACTAATAGCGTAGCTCCATTTTGCCTCCCATCGCTCTGACGAAGGGTGTAACGCTCGAAACTTCAGCTTCTAAACTCTTTACGATGGCCAATCTGCGTTATCAACTCAGTTGATAATACTTAATTACCCTGTTATACTCTCCCACCAACGCAGCGCCAGTTTCTCTAGAAACTTACCTCCTTTATTCATCGTTCACTTCTCAGCCGGGAGTGAACTTTAATCGTGTGTATATATCCTGTGACGGAGGTGCTTGAGTCTGCATCAGTTTAACACTTTCAATACAGGGAGTGATCAAAAAGGAAATTCTAATTATGATATCAATACAGTTTAAACAAAAAGGTGATACGAGGAAAGAAAAATATCAGAAAGGGATACTGTTTGCTTTACTATCAAATTCTCAGAAGTGGAAGTGAAATGTCTCTCTTGAAAGTGAAATGTTCGCGGTACACGGGTTCTTTTTATTGTTAACGTATTAGAAAAGATGTGGGACTCATGTGAAAGTTCCTAAGGGCTAATATGAAGTCCTTTTTACTTTGTATGGTGGCAAGCTCAAAGGTTATACTATCCATTTGAAACTACCAATTAATGTGTTCTATTTAGGGGCTAACAATTATATTAATATTTTCTAGAAACGGGTACGCTTGAGGGCAAAACCTTGTTTGTTCGGTTTCGGACTCACCATACTAGCTGGTCTTGATATCACATTGTTAAGTAAACGCGGATACTGGTTATTTTCTTGTATTGGTTTCAGTTAGCTAATTTTTCTAGTTTCTCTAATTTCAGTTCGTCAATTTCTCCGACACGTTTGGTCAGGGTTCCAACGATAATTCAGCAGAATTCAGAAAAAGTCTTTTTTTTCTCATCTGTTTTAATAGATGAGTGTTAGATATAATAACATTTTGAACTCTTGAGATACTGAAAACCTCTTTGCTTATCACTTGAAACAACCCAAGGCTATCGCCCCCAAAAAATACAACGTTCGCGATTGGGCCCTACACTTATTTTTAAAGTATCAGTAGCCCACTCATTTTGAAAAAAGGCAGCTGGTGACCGTCATGGAACACTAAATTGAAATTAGTACTCGCTGTTCAATTCGAACGAGACATATATTTTAATACGACTATTGTACAGTCATTTAAGTAAATTGGGATTTAATTTCTTCGTTTGATGGCACAATATTGAGCCGCTAACCTCGTCTAATGTGTATATCTATGATCCATTGGTCTACAATATTAGTCTATTGTATTCCTGACATCCTAATGACATGCAATATTAAAACTGAACCCAGCTTTATCGACTTGTTTGCAGCTGGAGGTAGTCTCTGTTGATACCGCTCCACGTGCTGCGCTCGTGTTTTCTTTATGACTTACGCAAGACTTTTTGGCGCCATTCTATTTCAAATTTGATTGGTTTAACAAGTTCTCTTTGTTCTATTAACCAATCACCATCACTGTTTTGCTATCGAACTTGAAAAGGCGCGCTTTCCTTACTCGTAATGTTCATTCATTGAGTTGTGTTCTGAAACGCACGCTAGTGAGGACATTAGGAAAGAAGTTGATCGTAGTTGTTCTTATATCTTCTACAATGCCTCCCGTTCCCGTTGTTAATTCTGATATTGGTGAGAAGCTTGCCAACGAATCGACCTCGAGCGAGAGCTTAGACCAGTCGAATTCCCTCGATAAGACTAAAGAGCCTTTCTTGGAGGAAGAGAATGGCGAACAGAGAATTGCACTGAGAAAGAATGTCTCTCTTATCAATGGAGTGGGCCTTATTGTAGGCACAGTGATCGGTTCTGGTATTTTTGTATCGCCAACAAGTATCCTTGGGGAAACAAATTCGATCGGTGCTTCTCTCCTGATTTGGCTCGGATGTGGTTTGCTAGCTTTGTTCGGAAGCTTGTGTTACGCCGAGTTGGGAACTTGTATAAAGAAATCCGGTGGTGAATATTCCTATCTTATGGAGGCATTTGGTAGGATCCCTGCTTACTTGTTCGCCTGGACCTCTGTGTTAATTATACGGCCGGCATCAGGAGCCATAATCGCTCTCACTTTTGCTGAATACGTCTCGAAGCCATTTTACCCAGATTATGAAGCCCCGGCGTACCTCATGAAGCTTTTGGCCTGTTCTTGTCTTGGTAAGATTTTAAACCCTTTATTCTTCTTAACATTTAGAGCTGACCTAGTTTAAAATCTTTTGTTTCGAGTTACTCGCCAAGAATGAAGAATCGCATGGTGCTTTCATTCGTAGAATCTGTCTTGTGACCATTTCAGCTCAAAGCGTGGTTCTACGTGTCCTGTTTTGGCGGGATTTCGTTTTTTGTAAGCGAAATTAAAAATTTGTTTATAAACTCGCAAAGCTAGTTAAAACTAGTGTGAAGCCGTTCACCTGTAAACTTAAGATTTTGATTTTAATCTTTCATCACGAAAACAAAGCGATCCTTCCTTTAGAGCATTCGTGTTGCATGCCAACGCACGTGGTTGGATTTTTCGTTCTTGATCATGGCAGTTGAATTTCGTCAATCGAATGATTGTCGCCTGATATTCGTAGGGAGAACATGTAATTAAATTCATCGAATTTTTTTGTCTCGAAATCCCAGGAGAACTTCTGCCTTGTTTTGGTTATAGTTGTAAACTTAAATCAAAGGTTGGCGGTTCACGCGATTGCATTGCATCATCCATGTTTAGTAATTTGATATTCATTTATTTCAAATGTAAGTTCGTCGCTAGGGACATTCTAGAGTTGATGTTGGATTATTGAGAGCAACGTGAACGCAACTTAAAGAAATTTTAAGATCGATCCTTGAAAATTTTAATTGGACTCCAATTTATGATTCGACCTCCACGATGAATTGTTACAGTACCCAATATGAAAACCGCGGTTTCAATATCGTTCAAGAATTGACTTCACTATTTCTGATATCAGACAACACGTTCGAAATTGGATACCTATAATTTGATGAATTAAGCTAAAAGGACCTATTTCTATTTTCCCAAATATCAGTGCACCTTGCTGAGCAATTTGCTCTACGGGGGCTGTTCAAGGTCGCACAAGGAAACTTAAAATATATCAAGACTATAACGTTTTAGTGTTGCTTAGATATCCTAGACATAAAAAGCGCTAATTATGGTAAAATACCATTGGCTTTTTTTTCAATTAATTGCCAATTCTTCCTATATATTGCTCAGGGTGTAAAATTTAAGAATATCATTTTGAAGGTGGGAAACAATTTTAAAAAATTGTTCATCAATAAAGGGGGACTGATTCAAAAGGTAGAAAATTGTTAGAGCTAAGATAAATTAATTGTATGAAAAACCACAAAGATTAAAAGACAGAAATAAATTGCCAATCTATAGATTTAGCCAGGGTTGAAAACAGTTGCAGTTTATTACTTTTCAGGCTTTTTCCAGCTGTGAAATTTGCTAGAAAATACCATTTTGTTGTTAGTATTTCATTTTGCTCATAGTATGATTCTTGGACTTTCTTTAAGCATGATGCATACAATGGCAGAAAAGCCCCTTGAGCTCAAACACAAAGCATTCAAAGTCTATAACAAAAGGCGGTTAGGGAAATGCATATACAGTAGGGGTTAGTTCCTAGAAGTCCACACACAAGGCTTAAAAGGAAACTAAAAAATGTGCCAAATGAGAGTGAAGCAGGCGTATCATTTCCAAGATAAGCAAATTATGTGACTGTAGTTTTATTGGTAGAGGATAATATTATGACTGGATTCTACCAATTTCAATATACTCATAATAAATATAAGTTTTTGTATCTTTTGCTGAAGTGATAAATAATATTGAGGTTTCAGTAATCTACATATACGTGCTTCTAGAAAGTTGACAATTGACCAGAATTTGATTAAGATCAATAAATCAACACAGCAAATTGTAAAAAGGTACTGCGGCATTCATTTATCTATCTTTATCAATCCATGGCTAATCATGAGCCAGGTGTCTCACTTCCCTGCTGACATAGCACAACATTTTCCAATTAATCTGTGGCTCACAAGCAATAAAAATGTACCCAGAGAATCAAAAGCACCCTTAAATAAATTTGAAATAGTTCAGTTGTGCTCTGATATTTTTTCTGCACTCTTCTGATACAAATTTAGTTCAAATTGGTGTGAGAGTCTTTGTGCCCCTTTATTTTAAAAGCCAATCTTAGCTAGCAAATACTTAGAGAGTGGGTACAAGAAGGGGAAGAAACTGTAATTTACTGTCAGTAACAGTTATTTTTGTTAAAATACAAGGGAAAATCTTATGACTCAGGAATAAGGCCTTACAGATTAGTGAGTTTTCCTTTTTTTGTTTAGACCTAAATGTCTCAAGTTTTCTTATTTTAATGTTGGTAATAATGTAACTTTGCTGATTCCTGTTTGACAATTGAATACAACAACTGTTATTTTATGCTGATACTTGGTTGGAATAAAAAAGTGCAAAAAATTGATAGATTCTGACTCCAATCTTCTCTTGTGATCTTTGCAACCCTCATTTGCAAACTTAGACCTGCAAATTATTAATTTTAGTTCAAATATTTTAGTTACAGAATTCAATATTTTTATTTTTGTTTTTTTTTCCTGGTTTTAGTGATCCTCTTGGTTATAAACTGCTGGAGTGTAAAATGGGCTGTAAGGATACAGGACATCTTCACATATGCCAAGCTTCTTTGTATTGTAATGATCACTATCATTGGATTTGTAGAACTGGGAAAAGGTTTGTTTGAAGCAGGATGTTTCACCTATTGTCCACATCAGTTCATGTAGTTCAAAGTCACTTTGGAGCATTACTAGGAGCTCCTGGGGTGCCTGTGGCTCCCTTTTGGCAGAAAATTTCTTGCTTGTTTTAAGTCAAAATTATACAGACCTTGGTGAAAATGTGAAACAATCTAAATGTTATTTAGCATATATCTTTTTCAGCATTAGATACTCCCTTACAGCACAAATACTTATACATATATTTTTAAAATATCCCCTGTCACGCCCTACTTTTGTGGTCATTATTGATTGCTTCAATTTTGAAAAACCTTATCGTGAACCATCCTAAAATTAGTAACTAGATGTGCAGACACACACTGTAAAGATAGAATCTCAACCACAATCAATCGTAATTCCAAATGTGTAGATACCAAAACACATGCAATGAACTTTGTGTACCAAATCTAAAAATATAGCTTATCAGGTCTCAATGTGCTAAAACTGAGTGGGGAATTTAAATATCTCTCAAGGAAATATTTTTAACCCTCTGTTTCCTGTGAGAAACCAAGAGGGAATTTTCATTTTCATTATTAATACAATATCAGGCAGAGAAGTGATGAGAAAAAATAGAAATATCAACAAGGGGATTGTTAGTTGATCCAATACCAAATTCTCCAAACTCACATCATCATAATTGTGTGGTAGACAGTAAGGAGGGTCACTAACAGGATCTTGTAAGTGAAAGGGTTAAAAACCTTTTCCCCTTGAAGTACTTGCATAGGACAAACTGATTACATGTCCTTAAGACACCCCAGTTAAATCACTACAATTATCTCAGGTCTAAATTAAAACTTCCATTCATGGTTTTCATTTAGGAAAGACAGAGAGCTTTAAAAACAGCTTTGAAGGCTCCACAACAAATATTGGAAAGATTGGTATGGCCTTCTACTTGGGTCTGTGGGCGTACGATGGATGGTGAGTAGAAGTGCTTTTTATCAAATTATAAGAAACTTAATTGGAACTCATGTGATTGTACTAAAAAATTGAGTTTAATGACCTAACATTAATTTGCGTGATATTTTTTTAATTAAAAGGAACAACCTCAACTACTGTACAGAGGAAATGAAACACCCAGAAAAGTAAGTGCTTGTTGAATGTTTCTCAGTTCATCAGTCCTAAAAGTTACTGCCAGCCAGGTACAGCTTTGGGTCAAGTTTCTGCTCCTAGTTTGAAGATAGTTTTCAAGTTTTCAAATACAAAGTAAAATGAAATGCAGATACAGAAACCTACAGAAGCAAACATCCAGTATGTAAGAATTTGCAACCAAATTTGCAGGTTTTCTTGTTACAGTGTTATGAATGAGGCATTGTTACATTATGCTCAACATCAATAAACATAAACATGAAGTGTATTCTATTGAATTGATCAGTATGGCATTCTTTAAATGGTACTTTTCAGGGATATGCCGAGGGCAATAGTGATTGGTATCTCCCTCACAACTGTATGTTACCTTTTGGTCAATGTGGCATATATTACGGTCTTGGGAGCACCTGGTATCCTAGCATCAGATGCAGTGGCTGTGGTAAGTTTTATGTGTAGGGATTTTAATGGTTTAGTGTATACAAAAGTTTTCATTTGAGACCAAAGGCTGGCTATTATGTTGTCTCCTTTCAAAATTGTTTGCTTCTAAACCTTCTCCTTTGTAGCACCTCAGGAAATGTACAAAGAACAGTATGGAGATTATGCTTACTGATGTTAGGATGTTTTCTATATTACTTCTATAGAGTGTTGGAAACTTGTACCTTGGTCCAGTTAATTGGATAATTCCTGTCTTTGTTGCATGTTCAACTTTTGGAGCTGTAAATGGCCTTCTTTTTACTAGTGGGAGGTAAGTTTCAGTTGTACTTAAACAGCTTAATTATACTACTGTTTTTTGACAGTTTTTCATTCACATGATATGTGTTGTTATGAAATAACTGACCCACACCTACCCTCTGATTGGTAAGAAATCTATTGCTTAATGAACCATTAAACTGGGCAATTTTGGAGGAGCAATAAGCTATTCTTTCCGTTGGTTTAATACTTCTCTTGATTTACTTCACAAATGCTATTTTTTATTTTAGGCTGGTGTTTGTTGCTGCAAGAGATGGACTAATGCCTCGTCTGTTGGCCATGATTCATGTTAAAAGATTTACCCCTCTCCCATCTCTGTTTTTCACGGTGAGTGAATCAGCAATTTCATCACTAAACATGAGCCTTACCATGAATGCAGCAAGAATTCTAATTTCCGGACTCTTCAGTTTCTAAAAAATAAGAATTTGAAGCAATACCAATTTCTGTTCCCTATTCAGTCTCTGTAGTATTAAAAAATTAGGCTGCCAGCCAAAATTTCAAATGAGGCAGCTCAAGGATAGAGTACCCTTTTTCCTTTACCAAACAATAGCCAGCCAAGATCCAGCTGGCACTTGCTGTTTTTTTTTTGTGTGGCATATTTTGCCAACCCTGTAAGAGAACCTGAAAGGAAGCTTAGCCCTCCTTCCCCTGTTCACCATCAGCATTGCCTGGTCGTATGCACAATTCAGATTATTTTGTCATTTTTCTGTTATAAGACTTAAATTTTACTTTTTTTTATTTCCACCAGACTCTTATCTCTGTGATCATGTTGATTCCAGAAGCAAGCAGCTTTTCAAGTTTGGTGGATTTCTTTAGCTTTGCGGCATGGCTATTTTATGGGGGAACATTTGCAGCTCTTCTTTGGTTGCGATACAAGAGACCAAACATGAACAGACCCTACAAGGTAAGCTCACTTATCAACACCTGGAAGTGAAGAGAACTTCTATAAGTGAGATGTTTAGAAAAAAGTGAAGGCAAAACTGGTTTATTTTCTGAGTTGTTTTATAATGGTCTGGCAGTGGTTATTTTTCCTATCAAAGCAACAATTTTGTTCGGTTCACAGGGAGTTTTATATTTACATTGGACTTTCAGAAAGGGTATCAAATAATTGTTGACAGTAAACCATAGTCTTAAAGCCTTGTAGTTGCTTTATAAACTTGAGCCATCCTTTCACAAACATTAGTGTTTTTAGACACCTTGTCTTTCTCACTGGGTGTTTATTTCTTATTTTCAACCAAGGTTTATTCTAGAGCGCAACTTTACAGGATTTCCACAAATTGGAAAGAAATGCTGCATAAAATTTATGTTGCCGCATCAAATGGGGAGCAAAATAAAAAAAAAAATTGCCTGGATTGTTTCAAGATGACGGCATTGAAAAAGGCTCCCTAAAATTACTGATAGGACTCATTTGCCCCTCATTGGCCAATTTCTAGAATAAACTGTGTGAAACAATGATGATTTTTTCTTGGCTTGATTTACAACACGTAACGGCCCTTTTCTAGTTCTCATGTGTCTGAGATATGGTGCCAAAATTAGGGCTCAAGAATAAGGCTAAGAGCAAAGTTGCTCTTGACAGTGCCAAAAATAAAAACTCTTAAGGGGAATTTTCTGTTCATTGTATCAAATCTGTTCTTCCCTTTCCTTTGCCTATATCACATAAGTGAATGCCTCTCTCTTTCAAACAATTTTTTACTAGCCCACATTGCATTTTGAGAAGTCTTGGGCAGGCATCAATTTTTCAATAGCACAGCCTTTTTATGTTTCATACCATTGAGAGCCACTTCACACTAAGCCTCATTCTCAAGCCTTAATTTTTTAGCACCAGACCTCTGACTCGTGTAAACTTAGAAAAGGGCTTTTGAGAAGTGAATGTCATAATTTACTAATTTTCTTCCTCTTTTTTATTGTTTCTCAGATTTTTTTACTTGTACCCATTTCAATGCTGCTGGCCTCTATTTACCTGGTGGTGGCTCCAATCACAACTGATCCTTGGGGATCACTCATTGCTCTGGCGGTCATTGTAGCAGGTCTTCCTTTTTATTGGCTGTTTATCGGCAGTGATGTTGCCCCAAAATTCATCCTCGATGCTGCAGGTAAAGGCTTCATCTTCTTGAGGAACTACAGTTTTGAATTGTTGTACTCCTTGCAGGTATTATAATTCCGATGTGATGATTACTGTAGCTGTGCAAAAAAACTAGTGATGGTTCTGCTCCTAAATTTCGTTCTCAAACTCATTGGGATATTTTAGTGTCACTCTGTGAATGTAAGTCACAACACTGAATTTTTCACCTTTTCTTAACCCTTTCACTTCCAGAAGCAATCAATGAGTAATTTCCTAGTGCAATATCAGCACAATTTCAGGCAGATGGACAAAGACAGTGGTATAATTTGATGTAATCCCAACTCTCACTATTTGCAGTAGAAGAAATACATAGCAGACAAAAAGGAAAATTTATACATTGATATCTTGTGAGTGAAAGGATTGAACAGGCTAAAATCTCAGGTTGTCCATTTTGAAAAATAGAGCTCAAATTTTCCAGGATGGTTGTTGAAAATCTGCTTTACTCTTCCAATCTTTGGCCATCTCTGTCCTCATTTCTGTTTTCCTTCATTTTTTAATGTTTTTCTACTCTATAGAGCTTAATTTTTTCTCATACTCCAGCACTCCAAGCTGCAACCATTTTGGTTGCCTTTGCAAGTCAAAAATATATTTGGCAACTAAAATTTCAACAAAAGTTGCACATTGGTGACCATCAAATTTAGAAAATTAAAGGAAAAAAGGAACATGGAAAACTTATCAATCCTTTGTACAATTATCAAACAAACTAACGTCAATAACTCTTCTTTCTCTTTTCTCTCTCATTACTCCATAATTTCCAACTATGCATAAAATCTAAAATGAGTAGCCATCAAATTGAACTGTTTTATTGAGATAAACTTTGAATGTCAACCGGAATTTTTTCTATGGTGACTATTTCACAATTGACGTGGCCAAAAGGGACTTTTTGAAAAATTGAGCCTGGAGCCTTCTACACCTATATTGAAGGTATTTTGAAAATGCAACTCAAAATTAATTAACCCTTTCACTCCCAAGACCTCATTGGTAATTCTCCTTACTGTCTGCCATATAATTCTTGATGTTGGTTGAAAGAATTTGATATTTGATCAACTAACAATCCCCAAATTGATGTTTCTTTATTTTTATCACTTTTCTGCTGGATATTGTAATGATATTGTAACGAGAATTTCTGTCTTGAGCAGTCACCTATGGTCATTTACGATCATTTCATTCCAGCACTTAACCCTATTTTCTAAATGTTCCTCTTTTACTCACTTTTACAGATGCATTCACTTCTTGGTGCCAGCGAGTGGGAAACATGGCCTTTGAGGATCCAGACACTCTTCCAGTCCAAGTCTAACTCAAGAAATTTTATTCAGTAGTTAATGTTTCTTCTTTGGCATTGCTAAAATGCAGGTTAGCTGGTAATGATGGGGGTTAACATATTATTCAATCTACTATGCTGTGATTGCTTGGCAATTTACAGAAGACCTGATGGCATTATGGTTTGTTGGCTTATCTTCAGACTGAAATGTTTGAGTACTACTTGGGTCATTGTGGTGTGTTCTTAGGCAACACACGTTACTTTTGTGGTACCTCTGTCCATCATTGAGTTTAAATGCCTCCCTGTCCACTTACCTAGCATATGTCTTTCAGCAATACCACTCCTTATTTCCATAACCATTCGTAGGATTAGTTAATTTATGCAGCAGAATATTGGCTTCAGTATTGAATAAAATAAATATTATTAGATTTGACATTTAGCAAGTAACACCTGGAATGAGACATTCATGAGAAGTGTCCATATGAGAGAATCCTCCAGCTATTTTTTCTTTTAAAATGGAACCATAGTACATTTTCCTGTTACTTTGTACTATTTTCCAGCTGGTACACTTCTTAATCTTTTACACCTTAATGTCAGTATGCATCAGTAGTTTTGACAAGAGAACTTGTGTCACAGTTAAGAAGTTAAGTTGCTTATCATTTCCTTTATTCTGGAGACCCAATGTTTGATTCAGGGGTGATATTGTTATGAGAAATTATCTGCAAGTCACCCTTAGGAGTCAAAGTGTTAAAGAACTGTGGAGGATACTTCTGAAAAGTATCATAGATTCACAAATGCTCTTATACCTGTTACAGGTAGTGTTAAACGTTTGAACTTTTGTTGGAACAAAAAATTGTTATGTCAAGGAAATCTAGAGATATTTACATATATTATTAGAAAAAACCTCTCTACACTTATATGAAAGAGAGAACAATGCTTACTTGTTCTTTTTCAAGTATGTATATCCTTTGCAATTTGATCAGTTCATCAATTGTAGTGAAGCTTTAGTGAGATAGTTAGGTTATGCTGCTGTTCAAATTACTACACAAGAAAAGCTTACGTTTAAAAAGAACCACTGTTATAAAATAATCGTTAGTAACACGTCAGAGCTCATCTCGCTTTGTGGAGAACGTTTAGCTGGGATGAATGTATATTAGTTACACATAAGAATTCATTTACCTGCTCTAAGTAGAGTAAGTTCAAAAGATTTATTGAAAAATCTTGTATATCTAAGAGTTGTAAGTAATCCTTCGCCAGGATTTAAGTTTAGGTACACTATGCTGCTAATTAATCGTTAAATGCAGACACTGGTATAACAAGTGTTAAAAAATAAAACATGCTGAAAAATTTGATAGCCTCCCTCTCCCATCTAGATTAAGAGCATAGGGCAAACCTCACAAATAATGTAAAATTTTTCTAGCTCCTGTATGAAAATCGGCGAGGAAATGCAAATGAGTTTCAGCTAGAATCCTAGATAAAATTTCAAAAATTGTTAAATGATTTAAATTAGTGCTAAGAAACTCTTCAATTTAATAATGCAAGTGATGTTTAACTAATTCAGTTTTGCAAGTGAAATTTGAAGTTTTGAAAACCCATGAGTTCTCATTGCGACAAAAGGCATAATCTGCAGATTTAACCCCACTGCTTTACGAGTTTTCTCCCCTAGGTGAAACAAGTTCACCCCAAATCTTTCAACTCGTTTCCTCACAGAAGAGCGTTTTCAAAGGTGGTAGGTGAGAACCTGCATTGGAGAGAAACCTTACATTCTGAGCTAATATTACTCACTGTTTTAAAGTACTTTTGAGGCACTTTGATGAATAACCCTCTCTGCTAAGTACTGACAGCTGCACAATCACACAAAAAGGGCAACCTTCCCAATGCCTTCTCTCCTGAAATTTTACACCAAGATAGCATTTTACTTCACGATATTTTTTTGTCCTTGAGCGCACATGCCAGAATTAATTCTCACAGACTATTCATGCTCATGGTAAGTTCCCCTCTAAAACCTCTCACCCCCTCCCCCTTGAAAAGAATACGCAACAGCCAATCAGAACAAAGAGTGACCAAAACCACTTTCACGCATGTAAATAGAATGGTTTTAACTTTGGCTCTGTCTGGTCATGAACATGGCGTGAGTTTTCTGGAGCAAAGATTTGCTACTCGGTTTCGTAGACTAAAAAGGTACCAAAAATATGCTAATGCATGCGTGGGCCTAAAACAGACACTCAAAAGAAACAAAATAACATAAAGGCTAAACGTTTGTCACTCAAAATTATTTATTGAATGTAAAATACTAAATACACTAACAATTACATTTCTGCTCATATAGTCTGTTTGAATATGTTATTAGGTAAAGTTGGAATTCACGCATGAGATCTGAAAAATGATCAACTAGAGTTTGCAACACAGGAACAGTTTTCAAGCACTCAAGTGGAACTTAATTTCACATTTATAGAAGAATACCCGTTAAGACAACTGTTGAATTGCAAACAAAAGTTTTAGTCGAAACAAGTGTACCCAATGTAATGAGCCAATCAAAATTCAAGGAAATCAGGTGACCAGCACCCTAGAGCGGGAAAGTATGTGTGACAAAGCCTTGATTGGTTCTGATTGTAAACAGGCAGAGAGTGAATTAATTTGAGGTTTGCTCACCTGTCATGATCTCCAGTGTCGTTATTTGGTCATGACAAGATGAACTTTCCCAAAATACTTCAGTTTTTTCAGAGTTTCAATGTGAATTATGGAGCTGAATTTCCAGCACTTTCACATGATGCTAATAAAACCCGCACAAACAGTGATAACAATTCAGCATCAAAAGCGATAAAGCAAACTTCAAACCCATAACCAACAGTTCATTTATTATGTACAATGCTGGAACTCCTTCATAACTACTAGAAGTGTGTTTGATTAAAAAATTCTTATCCAGTAAAGTACCTGTGGTTTAATCAAAAACTTAATTAAAAAAAGAACTGTTATAATGATTATTTCAGACAGAATGCTCGTCCAATATTAGCTTCTGCCCTATCTTATCATCTAACCAATTGAGAAAATGGAGAAATATTTAAGTCTGAGGCAAACAGTTCTGGTAACGAGCAAGAGAAAAATTGTGTAAATTCTGGATTATCTATCACTATCTTACCCAAGATTTCCAGTATAATCCAGATAAGAACAGTTGGTGCAGACAACTACCTTAATTATCAGAAAAGAGCTCTGCCTGTGACTATAGAACATGGTTTACCTTGACTGATAAAAAAAGTCATATAATTGGATCATTTACTGTTCCTGGATATCCAGCAAACATAGATAATCTCGATACCTCTTAGGCTATAAAAAAACCCTTGAAATCTGATAGGTTGTTGGTTTCTAGTGTTGATGCGATTTAGGGGAAAAAACAGTGTGATTCGTGACTAATTCGCATTCCTGAGGGCCAATCAGTTTTCAAGGATCATGAGTGAGTTTAAATGATACAAACACTAAAAAATTATTGCTGTTATTAAAGATCATAACCCCTTAAAAATGATTCAAGAGCAAAATTAACGAAATTTGCGTGAATCACTCTCGATCATTTACAAATTCAAAACCAAAGTGATCGATGAGTGGAGAACCTTTTGTAAAGAGCTTCTTACAATCTAAATCCATCCTGAGCGAGGTTACAAAGAACAGTGTGAATAGAAAAACAAGAAACGCAATCCCTAAGTTTCTAAGAACCACTGTTTCTGAACTCACCGTTTCAACTGATATTTACACTCAAAGACGTTTTGCTTATATTGTAAATAAATGCATCTCACTGAGATATATATTGTCCTAAAATCATAATTAAGAAAAATATCTATATTTATTTCGAAGAGGAAATAAATTAGCACATTGAAATAATTTTATTTTTGTTTGGAATAAACGGTTTTGTAAAAACATAGATGTATTTTGGCATGCCCATATTACACAAACCTTTATCTTCACGCTTGTTACAAAAGAAGAAAAAATTAAATTCAGAGATAGGAAATATTTCGCATTTCCTCGAATAATCGTCCATGCTCTAAAAGGAGCCCTCTCCCGAAGCACCCACCCTCTGTGCCATAATGGCAAATAAGCCACTGAAAACCTGTTCCCATTGCCACTTTATATATACCTTTTCAAGCTTCAACTAAATAAATTCAAATAACTGCAACAGAATCGAAACAGGCAAATAATAAGCACCGTCCTTCCGGTGAGCCAAAATTTCAAATAAGCGCCTGGGCGCTTAATCGAGGAAATACGGTACTGTGAAGTATAATAATTAGAAGACTTATTTGCATGAAGATAAAGAATGGTAACTATTTGAAAGAGATCTACATTTACTGTTTGTTAATCGAGAAAATAGATGGTTGGATTTTACAATAACATTCTTGCATTCACTAAGGGGAAGTTTATGTTCCCACCATGTCAGCCTCCGATTCAGGAAAAGCAACATCACAAATCATCTGAAGCTTGTACGTCAACCGCGCTGAAAGGAGAGCAAATAGTTACATTTTTCTTTCATTTTGTTGTTTTGGGTTCTTTGTTTCAAATTAGTTTTTTGCTTGCTACTCAGATAAATATTCAAGCACTGCATTTGTTATTTTCTGCCTAGAATGAACAGATTGTGTGTCCAAAAACCGCAAATAAACAACTCAACGGTTGGGTGTCACGCGTTATTGAAATCAAAAGATTTAAAACTGGCATTTAGTTGAGTAAACTTACCCACGCATTTGAAGAAACTTTGAGGTACAACCTTGAAATAGACAAATACAAGGTAAAATGGAATTCCAGCTAAGATGAAGAGGAGACAAAAGAAAGACTCCAAAGGAGCTTCGTAGAATGGCGCCACGATCAGGTAGATGGAGGCCAGCAAAACCAGAATCGGAATCACTATAGGAACCTAACATAAAAAAAATGGAAGTTGTCAAAACGATAAAGCGCTAATACCTTAGGAGAATAAAATGTACACTTCTACAGCGCTCACTACTTCCATGTTAGGTCGCAGGCGGTCTTTATCCTTCTTCTACTTATAATTTTGTCTGCACATGTGTTGCCATTTACAAATCTCTTTGAACGTTTCAAGTTTCTTTCGATTAGTTTGCGAGACAGCGGTTGTTTCTTATGTTTCTTTTGAAATTTTACGCGGGAAAATGGCGCGCAAGCGGCCAAAATTGATCTCCTGACGCATGCCCTACGTTTGACCGCTATGCTAACGTGATCTATGTACGTTTGAGGTCCTCCGATAAAAATATTTTTTAACTAACGCTTTTACTTGACCCCTTTAATCTGACCCCTACTTGTTCAACCTCGGTCCTATATTACGCAAACACGTGACTTATCTTATACACGTGACTTACCCTATACGGTCGTTTCATGTCAGGCTTTTTGTACCGGAGCCAAAGCAAAGCTGATACAGTAAAACCGTAAAAAACCCAGGCAGCAAAACTGAAATAGTTAATAAGTGTCTCAAAGCTACTGGAGTCTGGTAACAACATAATCCAGGCAATGGTACTCTGTAATAACCAAATAAAGAACTACTTGTTAATGCAATCTTAAGCTTAAGATGGCACCTGCACCTCACTGAGTATCAAAACAGAGATGACTTGAAAAATCTAGTTATTCGATAGTTTGAACTATACACGGGTTCGTGACCTTTGCGATACCGGTGCAGATCAGATCCCGTACGGGCCTGAATTTTTTTTTTTTTTTCAGGTCGTACTTTCAACTACTAGTTCAGTATTGTTCTTAGCTGCGAGGATCTCTTCAAATTCGTTTCTTCACCGCAGTCCAAGTATATGAATTTCATATATCTAAAATCAATATTATACACGGGTATTGATCAGTCCTAGCCAAAGATCGATTAGAGGTCAGACGCATAGATGACGTCACCATTATAAACATTTTGCTTTGTTATTATATAAAACAAGCCGATTGCATTTGCCATGCGTCTGTACAGTATTAGACCAGATAAGATTTCGAAAATGTGGTAAGAACATCAGTGACACGCTGGTCTGGCTCTTGCATACCACTTGTTCAAATTTTGAAGTCATCTGTGATCCATTAATGAACCGACACGCGGCAACATGTAATCAATTTGTTACATACATCTACATAGGTAAGTTAATCAAGAAATGTGCTCATTTCCGTTTTTGCATTTTTTTTATAAGTATTTGTCGGGTTTTATTGGTTCGTACTCAGGTTACGCTAAAAATTTCGGTGATGAATGCCGAGAGAAGAGTTGAAGTGAAACTCGTCTGGTAGGCTTTCCCGATGTAAGCAAGAAAAATTATTATTTTCTGGAAGGCTCTGAACTTACGGTGAACAGCATGGCAGGAAGGGGTGTGTGTCTCTTGGTATGAATCATAGCAAGGAATTTCGGAAGGTGACCCTCGCGAGCAGCGGCAAACACAAGTCTGTAGAAAGAAATCAATTCACCGTATTTTAAAAAAATTGACGCGTATTTGTCCGTGCTTTGCACCAGCTCAGGTGAAAGTACAATGTACGAACCCTAAAAATATTGCTTAATTCTGGTTATGCAATAGACCGCGTTATTTATTACCGGCGTAATAATCCTCTTGGGATGTTGGGAGAACGCGAGAAAAGTTTGTAAATCCCGAGCCTTCTGTAAGTTACACACATCGGCATAACTGGGGTTGATATACATCTAAGCTTCTTAACAAGGAGAACTGACAACCATCTATTTAATAAATGTTCTTGAAGAGGAATTGATATTCGAAACAAAGCAGCCTAGCTCAAAATCACCTTCCACTGCTAAAGGCAGATCCGTTTGCGGCACCAAAAGTGGACGCGGCAACAAATATGGGAATGACCCAAGCCATCACTCCGTATAAACGATCTGCTAAAGTCTGGAATAAAGCAGAAAAATAAACAACTAAACTAGTAATCAAGGGCTCTTGTGAGCTACCCCAAGATATATCTCGTATTTTCCTTTAACAATCAAACAGAAGTCATCTGAGGTTTAAAGAAGAAAAATGTAAGGCATCTCTTTTTAAGTACCTGCAACACTCAGGAGTTTTGGCGGGAACCTGTTGCGCAGGCGGCCGGCGGCTTCCCGTTTTGGCGGAATAACAATTACTTTCCGCAATGACTGAATGCCTCGACAATAAATGTATTAACAACGATGAAAAACCTTCCAAAAATAAACCCCTTTACTTACCACCGCAACTGCGCTGGAATTCATGATTTCCATAGGTGTCAGGACGGTCAGATAGGCGATATTTACTAGCACATAACAAACTGTCACAAGTGGAATACCAATCAATATGGACAGCGGCAAGTCCCTTGAGGCAACAAAGAGTTCTTTTTTTTAATAATTAATACCTTAAGAGTATGGTGCAATTTTCAATTGAGTGTTAAAAGCAATCCGGGATTGTTTTGGTTTTGCTTTACTTTGCCTTGTGATTGGTTCAGAAAACTCGCTCCAATCTCTCCACCAATCAGATACAAAACTAACCTCCAATCACGACTTGGTTGCCCGCGTTTTCCCGCGTTTTAGGCAGTTTGTTTTTTTTTATTTTGAGTTCACATTGGCTCTTAAAGGTATTTTCTTTTCTTCTCATTGGCCGATGTAATAACTTCGGTTTTGGTTTGACTCAACTGAAAACTGCTCTGTAAGCTTGTATTAAAAAAAGAGCTGGGATAAAAATATTGCTTCCTTGATCGGCCCGATTGTTGAAGTCGCGATGTTTTATCATCCTGTAAATTTGGCGTATTCCTTCACACAAATTGCGCTTTTTAAGTTGCATAATGTAGGCCTCTCTCCAAAGGCACCCTGACGGAAATACCATTAGTGAATGATTTGTGCTATTCCAGCGCGATGGCGCAGAAGTTCCACAGTTAGTGACAAGGTACAAAAAAATACTTACCGATAGGGATTCTTCAATTCTTCTGTAACGTAATTCAAATTGTTCCTATAAAGTGCAAAACAGCTTTCTTAGAAGATACTCAATTTACGGTTATGTTTTCTTTAAAATTTTGCGCGGGAAATTGACCCGCGGCTGGGTAAATTGAACCACTTGCGCATGCTTAACGTTCGACCGCTGTGTTTTCCAGTTCAAGTTATCCCTTAAATGAAAACTTTTTAAAAGCTCTCGCAGTACTTCTCTCAAACCATGAGCAGCGATGAGTCGAGGAGGGGTGTGTTTATCATCTGAGAAGAGCAGTGCTGTTTAATCCAAAAGGAGAAGCAAACCAAGTGAAGGCATCAATCCAGCTCAAAGATAACCTCTAAAACTATGATTCCAAGTTGATCACAATAGCTTTTGTTGGGGACAAACAATCACTTCGGAAACGAAATAAAAAATATATTTTGTCTTGTCAAACAAACGAATGAACTTTTTGAGGTACAAAGTTAAACAAACGAATGAACTTTTTGAGGTACAAAGTTAAATTGTCCCAATAAAGCCATCGTGTGCTGTATTCAAAAGAATAATTTCTGTGGAAAGCTCAGGTAGAGACAGATAAAAAGTAAGCAACTCACCAGCCGTCATAAGCCCAAAGTCCGTTGTAAAACGCGAATCCTATCAAACCGATGTTACTCGTTGTTTTATGAAAGGAGTTATCAAAACTCTCAGTAAAACCTGCAAAAAAATGTTACGTTGAACAATCAATCAATCCAATCCTTTATTTAAACACGTGACACCTAGGAGTACAGAAGTTATCGTTAAAACGTGTACGTGTATGTACAATTAGAAATAAAGCATAATTTCTGTAAGAATACAAATAGTAAGTAAATCTATTAAAAAGCTAAAAACAGGATCGAGAATCATGGACAAGAGCTATCAATTAGAAGTTACAATATTAACAATATTAACAACAATAACGATATTTACAATTACTACCATTAAGCCATGTGGGCTTTAAGAGAACGCTTAAATGAAGCAATATCTTGAGATTCTCTGAGTCTAGGGACAAAGGTGATGTAAATACTCTCAACTGACATGCTGGCAACCTGCTGCAAATTGAGGAGATACCAGCGTTTTGATTGGTCGGAAGCCTCTTAATGAAGTAACGGCTTCTACAGCCGATAATCTATATGAAGGCTACTCAAAGAGTGGCGACTAATACTTTAAACCATAACATTAGCATGCAAATTCTCCAAACCTTTCTATACACATCTCCCATGGCGCTGACAAGAAGAATTTGTATCATTTGTTTTAATTCTCATGACCATAATGTGTGATTAAGGGGTGATATTGTAAAGAGAAATTAGATGCTAGTCACTCTTAAGGGTATTATATTATTTAAAAAGGATCAAGTAGAGTGTCTTTTGTGAGGGCATTCTGAGACTAAGAAATAACAACAACCAATCATCACAAAGGAAAGAATTATACGCAGCCAATGAGAAATCAAAGAAAGCAACACCAACCGCGCATAAAAAGGTGGATGACCAAGTTACCAATGAGCCAACTTACCTTGACCAAGGCGAACGAGGCCAGTAATAATAAGCATAACAATAGCCACCATTTTACAAACTGTGAAGATAACTTGCATACGCGAGGCCCATTTTACACTTGCAATATTCACGAACATGATGATTCCTGAAACGAAACGAGAGTAATTTAGACAAGATAAACATTAAATTATTATCAAGGAATAATTTGCTTGTTTCTCCCACAGTCTGAGTTGTAGCTATTTTCTCTTACCCAAAATGCTTCAGCGCTCTTCAGATGTATTCTTTTTGTATTCACGCACGGGAAGAACTCTAACCTTAAACTTACGTGGATATTTTTTGCGTACTTTTGTTGCATGTTTTTATTGAATTGTTTTTAGTTATTTTGAGCTTTGGTTCGAGCAAATTTGTTACCCCTGTGTTTAGAATTTTAAGAAGTTTCGGAGTTTTTATTGTGGTCAGGTGCTGTGGTTCTTGTGACAAGTTAAATACATATTTTCTACGGAGTTTCGACTCTAACCTCTTTTTCGTGAATGGATTTTTTAAACATGCAAACCCAAGAGGATTTCCTCATTGGCAGTGACAAAATACAATAATTTGTGCTACAAAAGCCATTGCAAACATTCGAAAACTTAAGGAAGAAGAATGATTCCGATTCATGTGTTTATACACGTAGGCGCTTGCGGGTAGTAATTGGCTAAAAAACGGGTTTTGGTGTGGGCAAGAGGCGCAACTGAAGTTGGAATAATCCTCGAAAGGTTTTGTGTATTGATTTTCAGTTCGAGGCTTTCATGTTCAGTTTGGCAACAAATTAGGACACAACGAGAGAAAATCGTGATACTTCCATTCACAAACACAAAAATTTTCCGATGAAACCAAATTCTTTCAATTTGTTGCTAGGTACTCGTGGAGTTTAAGAAGAAAAGAACCTTTTAAGCAATATATTTGAGTGTATCTTCTAGCAATCTTGCTGGAAAGGACACATGAAAAAAAAAAAAACCAGCAATACAACTGTTTACACCACAGTCAAACAAATACGCCATTGAAGAGATGATGTTTCTCCAGAGAGGAAGCGTTCAACGAGGAACGAGAAAGAAGTATGGGAAAGACAGCTGTGAACAATTTTCACCGCGCAAACGGAGAACAATGAGCAGTGCTAAACTTATCAAAGACAACTCTAGCCTTGGTTAGCTGAGTAATCGTTCCAATCAAGAAGTTGAGTTAAGAATCATATTACTAGCTTGCGAAATTGTTTGCCAATGGTTCAAACTTCAAATACCAGGATTCATCTCAAGTCGCTTAACCCTCTAAACCCTAAGAGTGACTAGCATCTAGTTTCTCCTGACCATAATACTGCTGAATCATTCATTTGTGATCATGAGAATATAGGAAATGATCACCAACTGAAGAAGCTCTTGATTGTTAATCAAATTCTCCTTGTCAGCAGCCTAGGAAATTTAGAGATATCAGTGTGGAGAATGTGCATACTGATGTTAGGGTGTAAAGAGATAAAAGCTTATAAAACCCACAAGTTTCGCAACAAAAAAAAAACATTTAGTTCCTTCCTAGTTAATGGTGGTTACTATCACGACAAATGATCGAAAAGTTTAGCACGGCTTAGTTTGTTTATTTAGTCAATTTTGTCCAGTTTTACCCAAAACAAATTTTGTGAGCATTGCGTTATTAAAAACATTTGTCCGCTTCGGCCAAAATACGTCAAGTCGCGACAAACCATGCGCACTTGTTAAGTGTTGGTGATTGACAGAACAATTTGTCAAAATAAACAACTTTTGTGCTGGTGTAGATAAGACCTCCCTCCCCCGTGAAGATTAAATTTCAGAAACATAATTGACTAATCGCCGCCTCTCACGTTGGAAAAACAAATTTTGTGTCTCATTTGTGAAAAGGAATAGTCGGAAGCCCTTACCAAGACAAAAAGCCGCCAACAACTTCACCAGTATATTCAAGTCTTGCCGATCCGAACCTTGACATGCCGGAAAAAATGGCTCTACAACATACTGTCCAAAAGCAAGAGCAATAATGGCCATTTGTGAAGGCCTGAGAAGTGTAACCGAAGTCCAACTGAACAAAAACGCAGCCAGACCACCGAATGCTTCCAAGATGTAGGTGAACTCCGCGCCGGATTTCAGAATCGCTGTCCCTAACTCCACATAACACAGAGCACCCAACATGGCGATGACGCCACATCCTGCCCAGACAATCAGAGTTAAGCCAGGCGAACCTGCATTGGTAAATACGCCACTGGCCGAAGCAAAGATCCCACTACCAATCATAGTGCCAACGATTAAGGACACGCTTCCCATTAAACCAATCTGTTTCTGAAGGCAAACAGTTCTCTTCTCCAAATCTGCCCCGCCGATTTCCACCCGGTTTTTCAGCAAATCAGCAGTGCTGGAAGCGCTAATCGGAGCGCTCTGCTCGAGACAATTTGTTCTCCCTTGTTCTTTCATTTCCGCTAGAAATCTTTGGTACCCAACACGAAGACAGCGCGTTTTGCAGAACAATCTAAAACGGTCACCCTTTCCAGCGAGCACACTTCATTTACATGGCCTGATCAAATTTCTAAGCGCTCCTCCCAAGTTAATAATTACAGTCTAAAATTTGATCTTTATGGCGCTTAAATGGTCGCCGTTGAGATGTTTGCTTTTCATCAGACTATCAGGCGATCAAGAAATAGGCTTGTAGATAGTTTATGTTCACCCAAACGGTTAATAAGTTATTGCTGAAATTTAAGAGATCCTCGCAGCTAAGAAACACTACTGAAACGAGTAGTTGTTAATAGGACCTGAAAAAAAAAATCGCAGAAGTCATGGGTTCAAATCCCGTACGGGCCTGAAAATTTTTTTTCAGGTCCTATTAACAACTACTCGTTTCAGTAGTGTTTCTTAGCTGCGAGGATCTCTTAAATTTCATCTTTCCACCGCAGTGCAAATATGTGAAGTTATTGCTTTTCTTTTGGAGAATTCACATGAAAAGAGCGTAAGAACGCGAGCTATTTCAACTGATACTGGTAAATGTTAAGTTCGCTTAGAAAATCAGTCTGTTTGGGAAGAACTTTGCTCTAATAAACAATCAATAGATAAATAAAACAAAGGAGAGGAACAGGTAACATGTTCAATCACCATGTTGTAGCGAGTGATATGACAACGTAGGTTGACTGATTGTCACATGTTGATCATAACAACTTCCCTTGCACCTGCAACGTTATTTTTAGTAGTAGTCTGGGAGGAATTCCAAATTGAATTTTACAGTTTTGAGGCCTAAACAAACTTTAAAATTAAGTAACTTTTGCTATGCCTTACAACCTGAAATGTTGCGCAAGAGATTCAGGAGGTCTGTAAAATTATGCAAATCATCGCGATTTGATCAGTAACGAAGATTTTACAATAACAAAGCGCGGCCAACTATCCAGCGCGTTGCAAAAGTGATACAATTCAATTTAATGCCATCCTTAATTCAACAACTTTTCTATTTGGGAAAAAATTCAGGCGAAAATACTTCTTGCGTGATTGATAACTCGACTGATGTTTTCTCACGAGATGCTTGCGTCGAAGGCAGCATTTTTCAAGTATATTTCGCGTTGATTCACACAATTTTCGTTATTTTATAGAGGTTACATGACAGTGTGTAGCAAATCCTGATTAGATAAATTCCTTATATGACGAAAAGGTAAACAAATGTAGGTGGATCGATCCCGTGGTGGAAGAAATTTGGCGTAAATTCAGCACAACGGGAGTCTTGTTTAGTTGAAACCAACACCGGCCAGCTACAACAGGTCATGGACGCATCCTTGTTGTTTAGCATTACATGTTTACAAAGCGATCGGTTTGTTTGTTTGGGATTTAAATACTAGTTTGCTCTGAAAACCATATTAAGATATTTCCTAAGACCTTAAAGATAGACGAAAAAAAAAGATAAATGGGCGAAGAGTTTACCACTCACCGATAGCAAGCGCAGCCAACAGCTTGACGACAGGTTGCAGATCTTCTCTATCGCCGCATCCAGGGAAGATCGGCTCGATCACGTAAGCTCCAAACGCCAAACAGATGATAGCAACTTGCGAAGGCTTTAGCACAATGACAGATGTCCACGAATAGAGAAACGCTGCCAGTGGACCAAACCCTTCCAGTAAGTATACATACTCCGCTCCGGATAAAGGAATCATTGTGCCGAGTTCGGAGTAACACAGCGCTCCAAACATCGCTAAGACTCCGCATAGACTCCAGACAATCAAAGTCAGTCCAACAGAGCCACTGTTTTCCATGACATAGCGAGGCGAAGCAAATATTCCAGACCCTATCATAGTCCCTACGATAAGGCTGATTCCACTGGCAAGGCCAAGCTTTCGCTGCAACCCAACATAACTCTTCTGTCCGGCTGGTCCTCCTTCTTCACCTTGAAGTAAGTTGTCGACGGTGTTATCCTTGGCTTCACGAGAAAGATATTCCTCGCTACCCCAGTGGTTAGCAGGTTTGCTTTCAACTGTATTTCCGTTCTCCATCTCGGTTGAGATCGCAGAAAATCGAAGGTGCGCTTAAGTAAAGCACGTGTAGGTCAAGTTGTAATCCCCAATGGAAATTAAAATATTCTTGATGGCCTACTTATGTTAATAGTTTCACCTTTCGAGGCGTTAGCCAATCAAGAGGTAGACGGTGAACTTGAAAAGTAATCCTTCCAATAATTATGGAAGAAGAACAATTGAATTGTACAACCAGGTCGAGAACACAAACCCCCTGTCCTCGCTTGACTGGGATTAGTTTGGACGCGAAAACCTCTTAAGTTTTTTTCGAGATAAGAGGTCAAGAAAAGGTGTTGTTGCTTTAAAACATTTTTGTTTTTAATTACACACAAAAATCAGTCACAGCTGATTAGAGACTGGAAGGGCAAACTCCAACTAAAACTATCGTGCTCTCAGTGAACTTTTCTACTTGGACATTTCTCAGTTTCACGTGTAAACTAAATTCACGATGGTCACGCAATGACTAGCTCACGTGTAGCCCTACCCTCCCACCGTTTCACCTTGGTGGGGGAGGGTAGGGCTACACTTAGGCTACGTGCTACGAAATGATTGAATGAGGATACCCGCGCAGAAACATTGCGTAAAGCTAGCATTGCTGCAAAAGCATTTGTCTGAACGTGAAAACTTGGCAATTTTAACCCGTACATAATTTACAAAAGAGCCAAGATAAAATGGAAGATCCGAAATCTTGGAGCACCTGTAAACCGGTTTCCATCCCGTTCCAAAGTACAATCAGCAATTATTTCAGTGAACCTTGGACTGAAAAGAAGTGAAATAGTAAAATATGTGAATTATCTTTCACATGTGAGACAAGCTAGAGGAATTTAAGGGTCACACCAAACACATTTTTTTGCGGGAGACAGCAAAAATTTTAGCTATCATTGCGCTTTGAATGGTGCTGCTGTGCTGCAAGCAAGGTGATCTCATGTCTCGGTGGGGAATGGCATGTCTGATTCAATCAAATGCCTCATTACCTGATGTCAAGAACAGCGGGAGGTAAAAAGATCGTATTCGAATTTTTTTTGCCCGTTTGTAATATTTGCTATCAATAGTAACAAAACTAAGAATTTAAATCTATCCTTACAAGTTTTTCCGCCATTTATCTGAAGAACTTTTAATCTATTCATCAGACTATACAGTTGGCATATTCATATAAATGAAACCTCTAAGATTTTTATTCATTTATTGTTATGTCTGTGTGTTTGAGATAAGGGGCCAGTCGAGGTTTTTGTTTAGGTTTTCTGTGGTATTCCTACCAAAGATTAGTCGCAACTGATTTGTGCATAAAAACGCGCGAAATATGGTATGATTTTTTTCCTTTCTTTTTTTTTTTTTTCTGAAATCTTCTACCTCGCAATTCACATGTATGGGAGTACTATTACTTTACTAATACAAATACATTTGGCGTGACAATTGCGATATAAATTGCACACATTACCAAGAAAACATGTTTTAAACCAAGGAAAATGCTGGTAAGATGACAAAGAGCTGCCATTAAGAAGAAGAAAAACAACTTGGTATCCCCTCCGCCCCGAAAAGATATTCCTCCTGCGTGCATTTGGTAGACCGCAATTACTTAACGTTATACATAAAAACTCGAGCACGCAAATCTTTTTTTTGTTTTTAACGTCGACTGTTTGGGCCACCAGCTCACTCTTGTTGCAGTTTTTAATACCTGTTGGGTAGTAAAAGTGTGACTAACTTTTTGACAGGTGCCTAGTGAAAAGACAAAAGAGCGCGTAAGAGTTGATTCGAACTGTTGATTTTCTACAATTTATCATGTCTTCCGAAATGGGACACGTTTAGATCATACGAGAACCTTGTTTAGGCAAAACACATTACCGATAAGATTGCGATGATGGAGGTCGCCGTTGTAAGCCAAAAACAACAGCCTTGGTTATTCAATCACCGGATGTAGGAACCATGTCAAAGCTTGTCTGGAGATCCCATTTCGATCTATTTCTACGATTCAGGAACGACCACCTCCAATATCGGGTCCGACCTGGAAACTATTGGACTGATTTCGTAAGTTTGGTTCATTAATTCGTACTGTATACGTTTCTACAAGGTTTATCGATAAGCTTTCAGATTGAAACGAGTGTTTCGGCCTTCATCACGAAGTTTTCAGAGGGGTCTTCGGAAACTGTCGGTCCGTCGGAAAGACGAACGAAGCGCTCTACCCAGCCTCTCACGGCCAAATTTCGCAGCTGTGTGATTAAATATGGCGGATCTTTGATCCTTTACCTTGTCACATACCGAAACAATCTCTCTCTTTGGCCGCGCTGAACTGAGACTCTCCTATATCAGAAAGTCGATGGAACATTGTTGTAGCGATGGCTACAAGGAATCTGACGGATACTTACGTAAATCTTCGCACCGAAATCAGCCGCTTCAAGGCATATTCGTTGGGTGACTCTGGTGTACGTTGTGATAGTCCAGGGGTAGTATACATCATTCCACGAACCTTACGAACAAACACCTTGCTATTTACTGTAAGAACACGCCATAATCTTAAACAAGCTACATACTGACGCCTCTTTTTTGTACGGATTGAAACAGGACGATGATACCGTTGCCCTTGTTAGAAGAACCAGTGATCTGGAACTCGGCGTGCAGGCCGGAGGAATTAGTTCTTTACCGCCTCAATGGTGTGTATAGTTTCGTTTCTCGCTATTTACATATTGCACATATTTGTACAATGAAAACTGGAGTTTAAAACACACGATAACGTGATCGATTTTTCTTGTTTTTAACCTCAATTCAACATTCGTGTATTGCATTTAAATTTCCTAAAGGAAGTTTAATATCATAGCGCCAATCTCTGGAAAAAGCATTGTGTCCTAATTGGAGTCTTATTGAATTTTATATCACTGAGTGAGTGTTGTCATTACACAGAAAATTGAAATGCACTGTAAACATGATAACAAGACGATGTAATGAAGAATTCTTAACGATCAACGGCAGTCAAATATCATAATTTCACATAGAAATTACTCTAAATTTCAACTCCAGCTTTCTTGATGAACTGGACCCCTTCGAGGTTCTTTTTTTTTGGAAGTGAATTGTTTTTCTCATCAGTTTTATTTCATATACACGACTTTTCTTGTATTCATTTTCATCACCGCACACAATTAAAATCAAACAGGTTGGGAAAAATTTATATCCTAGAGTAAATTTTGAACCACACATTTGAAACCAGTTTGTGTGTGTTTTCCTTGTGGGTTATGGTGATGTACCTGGAACTGAGAAAATATATTTCAAGCTATTGTAACATCACTTTTACTTGACATAAATACGAATGTATCAGTTGAGGGTGAGAATTTCTTGTTAGTTGATTTAGTGTTTCAGTATTCTGTAATTGTAGCCAAGTGTATCCTACGAAAGTCAAAAGTTTTTTCTCCTCTGAGAAAAATGAAAAACATAAGATGATGGTCCAACTGTGCAAAGTGTTCACTGAACTGTAACTTACATAAAATCTGATTTATCCAATCTATATACTTTTTTTAAAAATATCTCTCCCCACCAAGAAGTATAATCTCAAATTTTATAGCTACACTGTGTGTCTTTCAAGAGTATCAACCCTTTTAAAATAACCCTTTAACTCCCAGAAGTGATTAACATGTAACTTCTCTCTATAATATCTATACAATATCCAGTGAACAGGTGATGAGAATATTCAAACTAATGAGGTTGAAGTTGTTATCTTGATCTAACACCAAATTCTCATAACTTATTAACAAGAAATTGTGTAGCAACTAGAAGGGAGAATCATAAATCAGATCTTGGGATTTTAAGGGTTAACCCCAAGAATGATCAGCATCTAATATCTCCTTACAGTTCTACTGCTGAATCTTCCATTGAGATCAGGATAATGAAAGGAATGATGTTCAACCTACAAACTTTGACTGTTAAACAAATTTTCCTTGTCTGTACTAAGGGAAATGTGTAGAGAGGAGTATAGAGAATGTAGATACTGATGTTAGGTTTCAAAGAGTTAACCCATGTCCCTGAAGATTAGCGCTTTACTCTTTAAATGTTAATTTTTATATATGTGATAATTCAACTGTGTTTTACCTTGTTCACTGCTATAGGGTTGATGTTGTTGAGGAGGTAAGATTTCTTTTCGCTTTGTGATTGTCGATGTCATCAGAATAGAAAAAGTAACTGAATGTTGTAAACTGTTGTAATCTCTGAAATGTCCTTTGGTAACTTTGGATTCAGAATTATCATAAAATCTACAAGGGGAGATTTTGTTTCATGTTACTTTTCAGACTTTTTTTTTTTCACAATGAGTGTACCATGAGATTTGTAAATAATTTGAACATTATTAGGTGTTTCTTTCTGAACTTGTATCTCAATGCTGGTGAATCAGAATGTTTATGATGTCTTAATTTGTGTGGTGTAATGTATATGTAACATTTCAAGCTATCAAAAACAATCTAGGTGACACCAATAAATATCCTATGGTGTTTTTAACAATATACTTTTAAGTAATGATCTCTATGTGTATAATTTAACACTGATCGAATTTGCATTTTATTTTTTTTACTTTTTAGATTCAGTATGAAATCACTAAAATAAAACAAAGAAGTGAGTTGAATTCTGATCAAACTATAACTTTTAAGTTAAGGTTATTATAACAGTGATATTCCTGGACTTGAGAGGTCCAAGTTTACAAATTCTCACTTGTTTACGTTATATACTGCCTTAGCTCTGATTAGTTTAGAAACAAAATGAATCATTATCCTAATTGTTTAGACTTGTCATTTGAGTGACTAACAACATTTGGTAATGTGAGCAAAGTACTGTTGCGGCACTGTTATTAGCAACAATATAAGCAAGGATTCTGCCAAGTTCAGGAACATTATTCCATGGCTGTCTTAAGTTTATTTTGCCATTTCCAATTTGCTTGTGAAATATCCTGACTGTATAATCTCTTATTTTTCCCATCAGTGCAAGAACTGGCTACTCTTCACGATCGCCATCTGAACAGACCAACTCTTGATGACAGTGTGGATGAAGAACAAACAATAGAAATAACAACAAAGGAAATAACACAGGTACACTTTATAAGGAGGGGAGGGAGACATGTTGGCCTAATGGTTGGTGCACCTGACTCCAGGTAGAGAGGTCCAAATTTAAGACCTGGCTGGGTCATTGTGGTGTGTTTTTGGGCAAAACTCTCTACTCTCACAGTGCTTCTCTCCACTAAGAGTGTAAATGGGTACCAGCAAATTGTCAGGGAAGCCTGATGAAGTGGGGGGATAACTTTGCGATGGACTGGCATCTCATCCAGGGGGGAGTGGTGATACTCCTAGTCACCTCATGCTATGGAAACTGGGATAAGCTGCAACTGGATGGGATACTTGGCTTGGGTACAGACTTACAAACTATAGCTTCTATAAATACTCAAATTACACAAGTACACAGTAAGGAATTTTGTCACGGCTGTAGCTAATAACTGAACAGCTGTTTAACTCTTTTGTTTGTTTGTTTGTGATAGATGTTCCATCAATGTCAAGGCTCTATTCAGAGAATAGGACGTCAAAGTAGAAATTCCTCCAAACAAGAACATCGTCTTCTAAAAAATGTCATGTCTTCATTAGCTGTTAGTCTACAAGAACTCTCTACCAATTTCAGAAAAGGGCAGTCATCATATTTGAAAAGTAAGCTTTTGTTAAATAGTTATTGTGAAATTTGTCTTTTTTTCTGATAAAAAGTGTTTTCTTCAATTGCACCCCTTTACATGGCCTGTGATAATTTCTTTGCATCAAAACATAAGGTTAACCCCAACCAATGCAGTATGATATCACTAAAAGGTAGTAGACAAAACATGTCGGCAGGGATTGCCTGCCAAATTATGGCCAAAAAACCATGAGAAGAAAGTTAGACAAGTATTGATTTTTACTGTTTAAGTTATTCAATGACACACTTTAGTGTTCAAGTGCAAATACTTAAAAAGTGTAAGCCAATAAACTCTATTTGAATGAACTTACCCCACCAGTTATCTCTGACCTCTGATCTCTGACATGTTAAGTGTATGTATGTTAACCCTTTAACTTCCATGAGTGACCAAGACAGAATTCCTCCTTACAATTGCAATACAATATCAACCAGATAGTGATGAGAATAAAGAAAAATATAAATTTGGGGATAATTAGTTGATCCAATACTAAATTTTCTGAACTAACATTGTAAGAATTGTATAGTTGACAGTAAAGGGAATTACAAATTTGATCTGGGAGTTAAAGGGTTAAGTGCCCTTGTGTCAGCCTGATGAATTAATTTCTCAACTGCTGGGTAATTTTCTTTGCTAATGCACCTTCCTGCAATACTTCTCATTGAGAAATGTAGACACATAGCATGAACACATGGTGTGTCCTTAAAAAAGGTGCCTTATTAATGGTGGCTGCTTGCTATGGAGTGCCATTCTATTCTGTACAAAATCCAGCATTTGCCTCATCATTGAAGAAAATGTTGATACATGATTTGTACAACTTACAGTCTGAAAGTTCTCTAACAGGTTTTTCAAAGATTATTCTATTTAGGAATACCTTTTTGTCCTAATTATCTCTCAGGACTAAAGAACCGGGAAGAAAGGGAAAGACAATATTTTGATACAGGATTACCTGCCACTAGTAGTGCACTCATGAATGAAGATGTAGTTGAAGATGATGAACTTTATGACAGGGTGAGTTGAAGCAGCTTCTGATCTAACTAAGGAAATTTAGCAACAAAAGATTCATTTGCAAGTCTTGAAAAAATAAGCTAACCAACCATGAGATTATGAACACCTCTTTTGCAGGGTTTTACATCAGACCAGATGAGGTTGGCAGAGGAGAACACAGCTTTAATTGAGCAGAGAGAAAAAGAAATCCAGTCTATAGTTCAGTCAATATCAGAGCTTAATGAAATTTTTAGAGACCTTGCCACCATGATTGTAGAACAGGTAAGGCAAACGAGGCTTACTGTCTTCTCTGGGAGTAAACTTTCTCAAGTTAGTCAAAACACAAGTGCATTTTATGAGAATCAGCTGTCAAATTGTACTTAGGCTGTTTTATATTTTGTATTATATATTGTATTACTTTATTTATACCTACAGTACTGACGGAGTGGAAGGGCCAGATGGAGCAACGATTTGTAAATTTTTTTCTCTTCCTTTGTTCTGGTATTTTGCATCTTGCAGAAACATATGCAAGGTTATGCAGCACCTCTTGTACCACCACCTTCTGCCCACATCTCTTTATCTGATTAGTTAGCAGTACTGGTTATGATGAAATTCCAGGGGGAACTGCATCTATTTATCCAAGTTAACTATTGGTAACTGGCTAATGATGGAAATTATCTTTGCAGGGTTCAATTTTGGATAGAATAGATTACAATGTAGAACAAGCAGCTGTGAAAGTTGAAGAGGGCTTGGAGCAGCTTAGAAAGGTTGGTGTAATATACTGGCTGAGGATTAATGAATAAGGATGTTTTAGGGTCAAGTGGGCTCTGTGTTCTTCTTATAGAGCTAATTTCATTGCTTCTCTTGAATCAATTTTGAGACACCTGCTCCATCATCTACCCTTATTTGAACCTGTTTTGGATCTTCTGCTGAAATTCCCTTTTTTACCCACTGCTCCTGACAAGCTAAAAATAAAATTGTCACTTTCAATAATCTTGGTTTAAGTTGTATAAGGAGCTTTGCTTGGAAAGTTTGCAATTCTTAAAAGACTCAGTCTTGAGATCTGTTTATGATGCACCAGTCCAGCTGCTATAAGTTTCTTTTTTATTAAGTTAGGTCAATTCAGGGTTATATTGAATGGAACACTCCTTAGCTTGTTGATTTGTCCATTCTTAGCCAGTAAGCTGGTGGTTTTGAATTTGCTTTGAACATGGTAGGAATCCTGTTTTATGCACCAATTTTAAAAGATATTCACTCGTCAGGTATACTTAAATGAGAATTTCAAATGTCACAGATCCACAAGGCAAAACATCAAATCTCTCCTCTTGGTCAATCACTCATAGTATTTTACAGCTTAGCCTGATTTGACAGCATTTGCAGTTTAGAGCTTCTAAATTATATCACATTTTATTTTATTTCAGGGTGAAAAGCACCAGAAATCCTCACGCAAGATGTTGTGTATAATTCTTTTAGCAGTTACTGTAATTATCATGCTTTTAGCGCTTGTAATCACAAAAGCTTCATAATGAGCATGTGTTTGGTCCATCCATTCCCTTTATATTAGGTTGTTTCATATTGATTTGTATATTTGATAAAAAATACATTATGTATGGTTAAGTCAAAGGAAAATTTAGGTTTTTGCATTTGGAAGGAGTTACAATAGGTTTTTTAATTACAGCACTGTTTATCCTGTCCATGGTAACTATGAGTCAAAAACAGTTATATGGTTGAAGGTCAGAGAAGTCTTGCCTAGAAATCAGTTGTTTCATGTTAATAATTATGATTATAATAATGAATGTAAATGATTGTTTAATCAGTGGTCTTGTGATGTAAAAGTCAGGCATATCAACCATGTATTGATTGTAACTTTTCAACTGCCATCAATGCACAATTGACTAGGTCTGACTCCTACATCGTGTGACAAGTGATAAAACATTCGTTCATTTTTAAAACCATCATGAACAACAACATTTTCTTTAACAGTAATGAATAATTTTACAGAATAGCCCTTTATTGCATAAGTGCTGTTGGCAAAAGGATTCTGTTTGAATAAAAATATAAGAACAAAAACTTTAAAACAAGATAAAAATGACTGTACAACTTATGCTGCCATTGCATTAGCTAAACAATACAAAAAAATTCATCAGCCCCTCTGTAACCAAACAACAATCAACAGATAACAAGTTAGGGTCAATGTTGGTTTAGGGGAGGGGTAGATGTGCAGTTGCACAGATACTGACATTGATCATAATACCGTACTACTTACTACTCGGCCTGGTTTTTTAAGGTAAAGAGTGAAAAGATCAGTGTAGCTAAGCTGAAAGCAGAAGTTGAAGTTTTTCTGAAAAATTTTCATTTCTCTCGGAAAAATTGTGATTTCCCATCACACATGAACGTAAATACTTCTTTTGAAGTTCATTTCTTAGTTCTTTAATCTTCAATCTTACTCTCCTATTATAATTACAGACTGTATTGAGAACAGACGAAGTGAGAGGTGTTATAAAGAAAATATTTTAGTGTTGGCTTTGGTTGTGTCTTGGTAGCGGTGGTAACAGGGGGAAGGAGGGTTGGGCAGTCTTGATAACTTAAACCAGGGATCATAAACCCTTAGAAAGACGTATGTGAAGGGCAGGGAAAGGGAAAGCTTGTGATGTATGTACATCTCTAGAGCAAGCTCAAGTGCTCAAGCTCGGTGCTTCAGACATCACGACTATGTTATATTTCTTGTCATTGGGTTTTTTCCCTTTCTTATTTGGTTTTTCCCTCTCTCTCTATGAATAATAGCATACCGACTTTTTCTGGCAGAAATAAGAAGAAAAAGAAAATTATTTAGCGCGCCCGATATGGGACTTGAACCCATGACCCTCAGATTAAAAGTCTGATGCTCTACCGACTGAGCTAACCGGGCTCACTTATTTCCAATAGAATTAAATTAATTACATATTACTTTGACATAGCACCCGAACGCTAAGGTGCAACATCATGACGAGGCATCTCTTGTCTCCTGGCCTTAACAGAATCTTCTTTCGAGGAGCGACTTGGGTTTTTTTTTCTACAAAATGCATCTTATGTACTATCTCAACAACGAAGGGAAGCGAGTTTATACGCTGAAGGTAACTAAAGGATCAGTTCAACGTTTTTATGCGCCTGTGGGAAACTGGTTTTAAGTGTGATAATTGCTTGTAATGATTCCACGTGCGTGTACAGTCTAAAGCAAATTCTAGTGACAAAATGTAAACCGAGTCATTTGGAACGAAAAATCTCTTGTTTTGCAGAAAATCGATCCATTGGGTCAACCAACAAAGTCCGCTCATCCAGGTAATGTTTTTAATAACAATTGTTGATCTGATCTACGATTCTCAACCACGATGGTTCCCAAAATGTATCGCTGCATGTGAGATCGCACCCGTAGATTTTGGGAATTTACCCGATTTCGTCTTTTTTTCTCTCAAATTAGTTTACTTGTTCACCTCTGTTAAAGCACAGAAGTTTATTGGTAATCATGAAATGAATATTGTCAATAAAATTAAAGTGTTAAATATACCATGTAGAGAGATGCTCAAAATTAAAATGCTAACAGCACAACCTCAAGTTATGTTCCTAATAAGGCGAGTTTTTTCTTACGACGGAGTCGGAGCAGTAGTCAGAAACACAGAACGATACATACTCGTGAAAATTAAACGAATGGAATCGGAAGAAAGCTGTCGATGCCGCTTACGACTCCATCGCCTATGATCCAATAAAAATTATATAATAAGCTCAAATATGCACGCATTCTGATTGGTTCTCACTTATGATCTATTGGAGGACAGACGTATAGATGACGTCATCATTAAAACTTTTTTTAATTCTTTATTGTATAAAACAAATAGATTCCAAGTTGCTGTGCATCTGTTCAGCAATAGATCACAGAGGATGTAAAAATGTGGTAAGAACATCAGTGACACAGTGGCATGGTGTCTTATACAGCTTATCTACCAAGAAAAGGACTATAGTTGTGTGCTATAATTTTCTTGGAAAATCTTGTATGGTTGTGAAATGAGGAGTTCTCCTATCATTTTGTTTTTTTGAGATGTATGCAAAATAATATTCACATTATTTGAGAATTTGACTCTTAATCTCTTCTCTTTTTCCTCAGCTCGATTCTCTCCAGATGACAAGTACTCACGCCACAGAGTGACACTAAAGAGGAGGTTTGGAATCTTGCCCACTCAGCAGGCTAAGCCTGTCTATTGAGACACAAAGAAATTTTGCCTCACCCAGGACTTGTACAGTGAACTGGCATGAATAGGACATCTCCTATTCATTGCCTTCAATTTGTCATGCCTTGTAGAAAGAGACTTTTGGGAGTTCAAATGTGAAGGATTTGTCAGCATATCTTTTATGTATGGTGTCACGTCATGAGTTCTAAAATTATTTCAGTTATTGTTGTCATCAATATCAAGTTTCAAAAGTTTATTTTAAGCAAAGAATTTGTGCTAAGCACAAGACTTACCATTGTTCCATCCCATTAGTCTAAATCTTGATTAATTATAGTATCTCAATTTCTGATGAAGCAGATTTCAGTGCAAATAGGGTGTATCATATTGTTAAATCAACACAAACATGTTTACAAACCTTTCTTAACTTAAGAGCTACTGTTCACAAATATGATAACTGTTTGATTGTGAAAAATATTATAGTAGTACCCATATTTATGCATTTTTTGGTGAAGTGAAAATAGAAATATTTGTTTTAGTTTGTGTTTCCTTTCTAATGTAAGGTATTGTCTCATCACTTAACCTTTTAACTCCCAGATCAAATTTGTCTTTCTCCTTATTGTCAACCATACAATTCTTATAATGCTAGGTCAGAGAATTTAGTATTGGATCAACTAATTATCCCCAAATTGACATTTTTCTTTATTCTCATCACCTATCTGGTTGATATTGTATTGATCTTAAAAGGAGAATTTCTGTCTCCATCACTTATGGGAGTTAAAGGGTGAACCCTTTACACCTTAACACTGGTATTCATATTCTCCACACTGTTCGCTTTACAATTCCTGGGAGAATTTCTTTGACAATCAGTAGCTCCTTGAATTCATGATCATTTTCTTTCTTCTCATGACTGTTATATTTGATCCACGGGGGAATTATGGGCCAGTTACACTTTAGGGTTAAAGAGTTGAACTAATTAATAAATTAGGGAGACCAGAGTCAATAGTGTGGAAAAATTAAAGGTTGTATTGACGTTGTTCTAAAATACTCAGTGATGGGTTGATAAAACTCATGCCACCTTCTTAACAAACCAAGTCAGTGATTGAGTGTTAAAACGTAATCTGGAATTGGTTTGGTTTTGCTTCACTTTTCTTAGTGATTGGTCTTAAAACTCACACCACACTCTCAACCAATCAAATGCATAGCTAGGTCACAGGTTGCCTGTTTCTGCTTTGAGTTCTCATTGGTTAATGATGATTTAACCTTTTTTGTGATTGGTTATTGTGATTACTTTGGTTTTGTTTTTTTTTTTTTCTCTTATTGAAAATTACTTTAAAATAAGTTTCTACTTGGTACCTTTAGTTACCCAGCGCTTTAGGCTTCAGCTTTTTTTCATTTGTTTTGAGTTTTCATTGGCTTTTTTTTTGTAAACTTTTGCGGTTCAGATTGGCTATAGAAGTAATCTCATGTTCTGATCATGAACTCCTTGGTATACTAGACATGCGGAAAAAAAAGGCGAGGCATATCGCTGTTTACTCCATACAAAACTGAATTTTGCGTAGGCCGGCCAAGAACTCAAAGATAACTGAGTAACGTCACCCCACTACATAATTTGATGATGATTTTATCGATTAAGACATTTTTGGTATATTCTTCAAACTGTAATCAGAGTTACACTAAGATCCTTCGGAGGTGAAAAATTCTCTGTTTTTCGCACTGCCTTCCATGTCTTAACAGATCATGCAGTCGGGTCTTCTTCTGCTTTGCAGTTGATACCACCTCAGAACTGCAGGCTCGTTAGACCGGTGGAAGCTATCTTCAGAATACCAAGAGAACTCTGGCTCTCTGCGATTAGCCCACATGTAGAATGAGCCATCCAGATCTTCCTCCAAAGAGGTAAATGCGGTGTTTTCACCACGACACAATTCAAGAAGGGTAACTTTCGCCAACATGTTTGCAATTGGGACGATGTCTGATGACAATCCCATCTGATGAAGTTTTGCATAATTTCTGGGTAGCTCCTCAAACACTTTGAATGTAACGCTCGTCGAGATATCTTTTTGGACAGACTTGTCACTCTTGTCTGTCCTTGCAACTCGAACGTGGATTATGTCACTGCCATCAAAAGTCGTTACTGAAAACACTTTCCCATCAGCCTCGTTACGTTTGAGGATATCGATAGAATTTGGCTGCATGAGGCAGACCACTCCGCGTAGCTCTCTTTCGTTCATCTTCTCTGGCTTCTTGGTATCAATTCTAGAAAGGCACGAACAAATAATTAAGCTGTTGGGAAAAACACTGGAAGGAACCTATTTTTGTGACATTTTCTGAGAATTTCCATTACTTCATTGATTGGCTAATTACAAGTCAAAAACAAAATTCTTGATTTCCCGGAATGGGAGTCACAGTATCCTGCGGCCAAGGTAATGTTGCAGATCATTAGCACACACCAAGTGCAACAAGCGTTTTAGCTTTCAAGAATGAACGGCTTTGATACCGGCAATTTTCTTCTCTCCTGCAGTCTACTCTGCTGGGTTGAATTCCAAATCATCGCGAGGCTTTTTCCTTCAAGTTTTTCCTTTAACTCAGTGAGCTTCAAACTGAAACTCTAGTTTCTCCAAGTAGGGATCAACCCAGACAAATGAAAACGATGTCTCGTTATCATCATGATTATCTCTTGCGGCTGCGCAGGTTCATCAGAGCATAACAACGCGCGTAAACAATTCCAGGAAACTGTTGCATTGGGCTCTTTAAAAGAATGCTTTGTATTAAGAAACAGTACCGTAAAAGCTGAAGTACAAAGCCTATACTATATTGCCGAACTAAATACTTTTCTTTTATCTTTAAAAACCCAGCGTTATGGAGGAGGATTAACATTCCTATAAGAAAGCAGACGCTGTCGTATTTGTCATAGCAATTTCTTACAAAGTGCGGAAGATTTAACTGTATTAACAGGAAATCTTTGTTTAAGAGGTCACCAGCCTGGGATCAGCCGGTTCGCCCGGCTGAATTTCTCTCTGAAAAACGACGTGGGAGTTCCAGCTCTTGCCATCGTTGCTTCCTGTCTGACAGAGCGCTGACGCAATGCTGCAATAAATGTTTATGCCCAGTCCCTCATCCTCTGTATACTTTGTGGTGCCATCGGTACAGCTGGTAACGGTTGTATTACCGGTATGGCCAACAGGATCATCACACGCTCGGCTACAGAATGGGTTGTCCTCTTAAAGCCTTAATTTGGCTGCATTTCCAAAGTTTTTTGCGTAATCTTACACCGAGAAAAGTTGATCTTTGTGATGCACTACCGAGTGTATGTTCTCCACGTCTGGCGTTATGCAGCTCAACAGATTAAGAGCATCATATCGGTATAATTCTGCGACTTTCTGGAGGTTTTCAAGGCTGGTAAGCATTTCAATTGACGCAGTACTCTTAGATGCCACGTTACCTTGTGAGCCATTGAGAATTTTTGGTACATTGGCAACCTCGCTTCTGGTATAATTTTCATTCTCGCGCAATAATTGAAGAGTGTCGCTGACCAGCCCGACCACCTCTTGAATGCTAGAGAGCCTGTGCGCCTGGTGCTTCTCATAGACTGAGAAGATCAATCGATAATTTTTCATAAATTCTCGTTAACGGACATCCCGGTTCTCGGTTTGTTTAAATGATTATTACCTGAATCCCACAATAACTCAAAAACCGTCGGGATTACGGGATTTAGAGAAAATTTTAGTTGGGACCGCGGGATGGAAGAACTCTTTGGGGACCTTCTGACATGTTGCCGATTCGTCGAAAACTGCTACTTAAAAGGGGCCAGAAAAAAAAGCTACCCAAACTAAGCATAGCTTTAGGTAAATAACTCATTGAATGTTGTAATAAAGGGAACGATTGTGCAACTAAAATCAAACTACCCCTTCCCCGATGTAATTTGAGCTCGATTCTTAGAGAAGTATCCACATGTAAACGATGAGAACATACGTAAAAGTTAATAAAGGGAACGATTGTGCTACTAAAATCAAACTACCCCTTCCCCGATGTAATTTGAGCTCGATTCTTAGAGAAGTATCCACATGTAAACGATGCGAACATACGTAAAAGTTAATAAAGGGAACGATTGTGCAACTAAAATCAAACTACCCCTTCCCCGATGTAATTTGAGCTCGATTCTTAGAGAAGTATCCACATGTAAACGATGCGAACATACGTAAAAGTTAAAGTGACTGTGGGCCTCTGCACTCGGAAATGAATTATGAAGGGGTGAGATACCGACGTCACTAAACTGACTTAGTATTTTGAAACTTTTGGTTCACTTACAGAGCATTCCTTGTCAACTGTTTCTTACTTGGCACAATGAGAATGTGCTTGACTCCGCGAGCGAAAGGTCGAGGGATCGATTCCAGGTGGTGGCAAGTTTTACTTTTTTTTTTGTCTTTATTTTTCAGTCTTTTCTTTTTCCTTGTTTTTTTAAAATTTAGTATTCAAAAGCATCTGTTTTTGCGTCCGGCCCAACCTAACTCACTCAATGGGCCGTTTTATCATGAAACTGCCCCTCACTCCCTTTATTTCTTTCTCCATTCATCTTCCATCTCGTCTGTTTTGCTTTCTACGGCTACATTTGCACCCTTACCTACGGCCCTCGTGTGGGAATTGTTTTTTCCTTGTTTTTAGGGTTTTCTTTCTTTAATTATTTTTCCAATAAAAGAACACGTGTGCCGCACGGGTCATATAACAGTTACAACTGTCGAGGATTTGAAATGTGCGTTCGATGTAAGATTGCTTTATGACTGTCTTTGTCTTTTGGTTTGCCAATATCCGAGGAAGTACAGTAAATAGTCGCGAATCTCAGAAGGCCAGTGTGTCTTCCTTCATTTGTAGCATCTGTGCGAGAGTGTGCTTTGCCAGAAAAGGTCTACAGCGATTGTGTGGTTGAAACAAAACTTCATTTCCCTAATTGAACGGAGGCCGACAAAACTTAGTTTTAATACTCTGTAACGTAATTTCTGTTCGTTACTGTTTTGTCATTATCTGACATAAATGTACTTAAAATAGCCTTGAAATATGGTGGTAAAAGACATCGGAAATCGAGGCTACCATGACATTGTCGATACCAGCGCCAGGTATTGCTAAATGCTCATATCTATGTATCGCCACAGATTACGCCTACCCTCACTCCTAGCGCTGCGAAAAAGGGTCGTATATTTTGGGTAAAACTGGGGGCTTCTATCTGTATATTCCATCCGTTGCCTTTCTATCTCTTATTCCATCCGGTGACTGCAACATGGGACTGGACGCACGTGCAATTTGTCATGTTGTAGTTAAGTTTTTAGGGTTAGAACTTCTGTATCAAACTAAATGGTATTTTTTATATCTTACTCTGTTGTCACTGTAGTTAAAACAACGAATTAGAAGAATTCTGTCAAACCGACGGATTCTACGATCGAAGACACTCTCGCAAATGATACATGCAAATAACCTGTATCCAGTACCATTAATAAATGCTAAGAAGTCTTATGTTTTTTGATCTCTTAGGGTAAGCACGTGCGTATATGGACACCACCTGGAGCCCTCCTGACGCCACGCCCCTACTATAGCCGATTTTATCATGTGCTTTTGTCACCTGAGATTCTTTTAAATTTTTCTTTAACACTAACGTTTAAAATCTCTTGCAAAAGGTCAGGTACGTAATTTTTCTTTGAAAATACGACCCTTCAAACGAGGATACGAAAATACAGGCATTCTAGTAAATGTAACAATGCAGAAGAGATTTCCTGAAGTTTGCTACCCGAATTTCTTTCTTTAATTTTCGTTCATTTTTCTTATTAATTTTTCATATGAAGACTTTTAAATCTCTTGCAAAAGGTCAGGTACGTGATTTTCCTTTGACAATACGAACCTTCAAACGAGGATATCAAAGTACAGTTATTTCTGTATTTATAGCAATGCAGAAGAGATTTCCTGCAGTTTGCTACCCGAGCTTCTCTTTAGTTTTAATACATTTTTCTTATCAATTTTTTTTTACTAAAACTTTCAAATCTCTTGCAAAATTTCAGGTACGTGATTTTCCCTTAACATTTTGACCTTTCAAATTAGGACATGAAGGCACAGGTATTCCTGTAGATATGACGGTAGTGTGGCCTTCTTGCGTCTCCACGATATTTTGTCATATGAAAGACAATGAAATATTACCATTGTGTATTGAAGTCCAATTTCCTGGTTTCATTAAAAACTTGTGCCAAATATTCCTCCCAAGTCAATTTATTTTAGGGGGATTTTCCAAAGATGGATATCCTACAAGCAAAGTATGAAAAGTATGCATAGAGTGCAGAGAAAAATGGGCTCATTTGCTGAATCGAACACCTGATCATGTGCTGGAAGGACTAATCAAAATTTGCAATCACATGTATTTTGGTTTGATTTATTTCTTTGTCAGTTATGAGCTGACATCAAATATTATGCAATCTGCGTTCACATGCATAATAAAGAACCTCTTTAGTCATTAGGCGATGTTATTTCTAGTTCAAACTACCTGATTTTTATCATGTCAATTTTTTTGGTAAGCTCATCGGTCGTTTTGACAGTCTAATGAGATTAAGAGTTGATAGCTTTTATTTTATTTTCAACTCGCTCTAAAAAGAGAAATTTGACTTACGTTGCCTGGTCTGGATCACTTTAAACTAATTTCGTTTATTCAATTGTCGAAAAATCTAGAACAGGAAACCGATTGGCGTGACAAAACGGATGTAGCAATGACTGACGTCATTGATCGAACCACGACAAAATTCGCTCAGCAAAACGCAGCGTGATTGATGATTACAAGAGTGTGGTTTTTCTCGGGACAAGCTGACGTCGTAGCGTGATTACGGTGTAAAATGCTCGGATAACGCTTTTCCTTTTGCGAGTAACTCTCTGCAAAAATGGAAACTTTGTAAGTGAGCTATATGTGGCGAACTTTTCGTTTTAAAAGATGGTTGTCATGATTTCACGTTTTTCCGAAATCAGCTGCATTTCGGCGCAATACTCAATGAGAGACAATTCTACAATATTTATACTACAGCGATGGATCCCCAGATCAACAGACTCTTGCTAAGCGCAGAACAGGGGAACTTAGGAGTAGTTTCAGCACTTTTGGATAAAAGTATTCACGTTGATTCGACTGACGATGAAGGAGTAAATGCGCTTCACACCGCTTCGGCGAACGGGGATGAAAAAGTTGTGCGTTTGTTGTTGTCACGAGGCGCAAGTTTGGAAGCGAGAACTATTTATGGTTGGACGGCTCTCATGCTAGCCGCTTATTACGGACATTACATGGTCTGTTGGATTTTAATTCAAAACAAATCGGACTTATATGCTAGAAATGAGCTAGGTTCGACGGCTTTGGACTGTGCTGTTCGAAGTGGTCACGTACAAATCGCTGGTTTGTTGATCGAAGCAGGCCAGGTGAATGGGCAGGTTGAGGGACCTCAGCTATGTCTTGATACACCTCTGATGAACGCAGCTCAACACGGTCATGAGGCGTGTCTAAAATTGCTTCTTGAAAAGGGGGCAAACGCAAATTGTAGACAAGAAACAACAGGTTGGACGGCGCTGATGTTGGCTGCTTTGAATGGACACATGACCGCAGCAGAAATCTTGGTGGAATTCGGCGCAAACCCAAATGCGGTCAATGATCTCGACCAAACTGCTCTTGAAATCGCTGCACTTCGCCAAAAGACCGAAGTACAAGGATACTTGGACAAAATCACTTCCAAGAGACCGCAAATTAAAGGTAAAACTCTTTTAAGTGTTTTAATGTGTTTAATTTTGATTCAGAACAACATGCGTTGTGATTTGGTGAATAGGCATTGTGTCAAAACAAAACCCGGCGTAAAAGCGTAACGAGTGGGAAATAAATAAAATAACAACTCAATCAAATGGTTCAGTGAGCTTATTCATGTGCCAGACAATGCCATATTGCCCAGTAGTGAGGGAATTTGTAGACGTATTTGCGTGGAATTCTCTGCTGTTTGCGTGCGAGTTCACTGCATCATTAGAATCGTAATGCAATGTTTGATATTATGCAATGATGAAAATCAATTCAGTATTGATTGTCGGTATTTCTGCATGAATGTCCGCAAATAACAGAAAACAACGTCTTTTTAGCCAGACTGTATACGATTTACGTTATGTGAGCATTCTTCGAGTGATCTATATTTGTTTTGGCCATTTTCCCCGGCACTGAGGCAAATATAGACCACTGCCAATTATGCAGAAGGTGCACTTATTATCTCCTGGTGGGCTAATATGGGTTTAAGCATTAAACTTTCATAACTTCGGTTTTTTTTCTGGTTGTTCAAGATCACAGTAACTGGAGATGTGTAGCAGTTGTCTTAAGGCTCTGAGAATGGTCAAGATTTGGTGAAAATGCGATAGAGATTTATTTATTTTAAGACTTTGCTTTGTTTCAAGAGTGATCAAATTAAAATATTTGTACTCCACTTTTAAATCTGATATAATGCGATGTAACTCATGTGGCACAGGTTAATGTATGTCCAATGGGGTTCACGTGCTGGTTGCGTGTTGAATGGTACAGAATAAACTCTGAATGAATCACCAATGCATTTATATCTAACCAACATTTTTTGGGGAACAGCTCTAAAGGGAACAAAAAAAAAATTACCTTAAATGGAAGGAACTCTGAGTTAGCTATTCTGAGAGTTGGAGAGCTACTTCAGGTAGTGAAGCATTATTTATTTCTGGCTGTGCTTGGATGTGAGTTTATTGCATTAAAATATTTGTGATTCCAGGGTTATGAATTAATTTGTTAAAACTTTTGTATCAACATAGTAGTATGAAATTTTGCCAGATGTACCAAAGGTCAATATAAAAATGTGAAAAATGGGCAGAATGTACAAAGTAGACCTAAGGTATTTTGTCCATAATCGGAAGTGTTACAAAGTTCAGTCTATAGGCAACTGACAATTTACATCTAGAGGGGGAGTTTTCTTCAATCATCTTGTGCATTTGGATCTGTTTAGTGAGAAAAACTGTTTATTTTGACTGAATAGTTATTAGCTCAGCAGAATGCATCGTTCCTTTCCGTTTCCATTTGAAAATATGTCAGCGGCCAATTGTGAGAACTTATTTGTCTAATCCTCTCCTTCCTCTTTCAGCTTTTGAGGTTTACCACATCCTTAAAAGTTCTTGCTTGTCTCTTGTTTCTTAAGAGAAAGTAATTATTATCTTTTCTGTATAAAATCTGGCGAATCCAACAAATTGATTATTATTTTTCTTCTCTCCGACTTCAAGTTTGAAAATTGTTTATAGCCTTAGTCACTAAACAGGTTAAGATGTGTAATTTATTCAATATAAAGTTAACTAAAGATTTATCTATACAACAACAATTTTTCAAGTCAGAGATGTTTGTCATTTAACTTCATGGCTTCTAAAATCATGGAGGCCTTCCAGATCATCTTAAAGGAAAGTCTGTGCTTGGCAGCATATCAAGCAATTGTTTTCCTTTGAAGTGCTCATTAGGTGCATAAATGCGCAAAACACACAAAAGGAGAAGTTATGTGTGAGAGGAGAAAGTAAGTTGAATGAAATGGATGTGTATGCTTTTATAGAGACATTTTGTGAAATTTTGCTAGTGCTTAAACTGTTTCACTCCCTTGATAGTAACTGAAGCAGGAAATGATATTGTTTGCAAGTAATTTTGAAGATGAACTTAGCAGCATTACATTATAGTCACATTATATGTGCAATATAATTCCAGCTGCTAATAGTTTTGACTCAGTAAAAATTCTTAGAGTGAGGTGTTTTGAACAAAATGTGTGACCATTTGGGCAAGCTGGCTGGAGAATCGCACTCAAATTGTGCGAATCAGCAGGCATTGAACTTAGATACTGTTTGTGCGCACTTAAATGAAAATCTTCTGGAGTTTGGTGAAGTGTTTAATAAGTTTACTTGCCTGAACAATAAGAAACAGACTTTTGAGAAGTTGAAGTTTCACAAACATAGAGTCTTAGGATTTTCAGTTGCAAGACAATTGTTAGGATTAGGGTAATGTCTTTTGTTATCTGATCTTTCTAGTAAGGAATGTTGGCAGTAAAATTACTGCACATGTGTGGCTTAGTCATCATTTATTTTGATTGACAGGATGCTTGCCAAACAAAATGTTATCAAAATATTGTTTTCTGTGCACTCTTGGCAAAATGTCAGCAATCAAGTATGAGCAGGTTTTCCTTCTTTCTCATTCTTCGGAGGATTTGCTTCACCTTGAAAGCTTTTGATACTTGTTTCATGCTTTTGAAGAGGAAGTAACAAGTTTCTATGCCATTGTTCATATAGGTTTTGTAGGGCTCTTGTAATGAACTCCATTAGAAAAACCACATCAGCAAGGTTCACCTGAGCAAGCATAATTACAACAGGATGTAAAATGCCTTATGATAAGTAAAATTTCCCAGCACGCAAAATATATTATCGAAATACATTATATGGACTCACTTGTCCAAAGGGCAGATTATGCTCTCAAATGGATAAATTTCCATCCAGCAGAAATGTACTGCACCATCCACTTGATAGAGATTTATTCATTGGATAGTTGTATCCACCCTTTGAAAAAACCAGAGGTGCGCTGTTTTGTCTGTGGGTCCAAGAGTCCAGAAATAAATACATGGCACGTGAAACTTTTCATCAGGCAATCTTGTGACACTATCGATTGTTAAAAGATAAGTGAAATTTCCAAGGTAAAAGGTAACTCTGGAAGTAATTGGGGTAGTTGAATCTCAAAGGAGTGTTTTTTGAAAGATTTGGTGTTTGAAAAAGTTTTAGAAATTTGAGACAGGGAGATGCTCTTTACCATCAGGTTAACCCCACTTTGTCTTTTGCAAAACTTTATCTGATGCTCTTTTCAATTTTAAAGTCAAATAACAGAAGGTATCATATTTTAATTTAATGGCTAATGCAACACATTATCTGAAGCTCTTTCCATTATGGAACTTTTGTGGTCAAAGCATGGAATGTACTTGGATATACTTGTATCTATAAGTTAGTAGTGTTTGTGACCAGAGGGTCGAATCAAACCCAAGGGACTTAAAACAATCCATTAACCCTTTCACTGACAACCATAATCTCATTATTATTATTGTTGTTAATTCTCCTCTCCTTCTACCAAACAATCATTGTGATGTTTGTTCTGAGAACTTGGTATTGGATCAACTAATTATCCCCTAATTGATATTTGTCTAATTTCTTATCACTTGTTTGCTTGATACTATATTGGCATTATAAGGAGAAATTCTGGCTTGGTCACAAGGGTTAAGCGTTGAGTTAAGCTGTTAAGAACCAGAGAGATTCAAGCATTTTTATATTTACACAACATGAACAAGGTTATTGAAAAACCTTAAAGAACTCCCCGAGTGTTTTTTGTGGCAAAACATCCTGGGTCTTGAATTTCAATCACTGAAACATCTCCTGAAATCTCCTTTCAGTTGCACTTGGCTATCTTTGTTATCTGTCTGGGTGTAGAATAGGACTTTGAGTGAAGAAAGATAAGAAACAGAAGAGTACAGAGGTGAGAGTGAAAAAAAAAAGCCTGACTGTTGGTGCAAAAAATTAAAGAATTGTGCTACAGGAATGGCTTGAAAACTCTCAGTTATGGATAAGGGCTCATGGCTTGAGCAATCTTTGTTCTGCCATTGTGTGTGTCAGCTGCTTTTAAGTTTTATAAAAAGGCTTGGAATTGAAATTACCTATAAGTGGAAGGGAACTAAGGTCTTTCAAGGGCAACTGTTACATATTTTCCCACAATTGTGGTTTGGCTGAGTCTTTTGAGATGCTACAGGACACCTCTGTGCTTCTATTGGTGGCCAACATTTCCAGATTTCAGAGTGTTTAAATAACTTGGCATGTGGTAACCCATAGTAAGAAATGGAAGCAGAAAAATAAAACCCTGTGTTTTTACATGAGAGTATTTTCTTTTAATTTATTAATAGGATTGAAAACTTAACAGATTACCTCCCAAACTAAAAACTGCATGAGGGATGTTGGTTTTCCAAATTGATCTCCCCATCAGAAAAATAGAACAAAAATGTGGTATTTCTCTTTATTCTCATCACTTATCTGGTTGATATTGTATTGATATTGTAAGGAGAAATTCTGTCTCAGTTACTCATGGGAGTTAAAGAGTTAAATCAAATCAGACAAATATCAGGGCTTTGGTTTGATAAATGTGCACAGAATTGTGATACATTTTGTGTCAAATACAGGGAGATTGTTTGGGAATTGATGTGTGGGCTGTGATTCTCATCAGCAGTTACTCTTTGGTAATCACTTGTAATGGATATGTGTTGGGAGATGCAGTGGTATAAATCCTTGAATAGCATCTAATTTCTCCTTACAATATCACCCCTGAATCAAACATTAAGGTTGCAAGAATGAAGCAAATGATCACCAACTCAAGAAAACCTTGATTGTTGATGAAATTCTCTTTTTTGGCACCTTACCAAATGTATAGAGAACAGTATGGAGAATATTCATCCAGGGCAAGAGGTACAGGTGCCAGACCTGGCTGGGTCATTATGTTATGTTCTTGGGCCTTACACTTTAATTACTTCCTAGCTAGAGCCTCTCTCTACCCAGGAGTAGAACTGGGTACTGGTGAATGTTCCGGGGAGCTTGGTGAAATAATGGGGGGTAGGTAACTGGGGATGAACTAGCACCCATGGGGGGGGGAGAAACATAGCAATACTCCTAGTCACTTCAAGCTGCAGAAACATCGTATTAAACTGCAGCTGAATGGGTCACTTGGCGATTGTGCAAAGTACAAATTGAAACCATTAAACTCCCAACATCCAATTGTTAATTCTTCCCTCTAGCTGCTACACATTTCCTTGTAAATTTGTTACAATTGAGTCAGACTGAGATAACAAATTCTACCTGATAATGTTGAGTATTCTCATTAAAAGAAGTTACACGTCAATCACTTCTGTCTGGAGTTTAAGGGTGAACCTAGCTTTTTTCTTTCAGCACCTGTATACCTATCACTCTCATCTTTATTTATTTGCAGTTGAATTATATGATATTCACAAATTCACAATTGTTCAATCATCACTTCACATGTTAATTATGAACCAACATAATGACCAGCTCCCAGTTAGCCTGTTAGCTCAGTTGGTAGAGCACTGCACTGGTATTGCAGAGGTCATGGGTTTAACTCCTCTACAGGCCTGAATTTTTTCAGGCTTTATTTTCATTGCTGCTTATTATAAGCACTGTTCATTACTGTGAACATCCCTCTCATCTTTACTTGCACACCCATTTAAGGAAGTAATCTCAGTCCATTTTTCCGGTTACTGTTTCAGGTCAAAAGTTTGTGAAACCAAGTATTATTGAAGCAGCCAGGAATGGTATGTACATTCTCATCTTTGTGCCCCTTAATTTTTTTTTTCTGTAGGCTCCTTGTGATCTATTCCTGTAACCAGATTCATTGTTCAGATGATATTTTGGTCAGTTTTGCAATGCCCAGTGGAAATGCACTTTATATACAAACCTCTTAATGGGGTGGATAAACAAGATTTAAAACAAAGCATTCTAGATAATGTAACACTAATTTTTTTCACCTCTGTAAATAGGTTAAGAATTATTACTATAAATAAAATGACAGATACCCTGAATGTCTAGTTCTTCTTTTTGTTATCATCTAAACTCCCTGAAATCTTTGTTTTTCTTTTCTTTCTTTACTCAGGTAATTTTGCATCTGTCAGAGATTTATTGGAGGAAGGCGAAGTTGATGTAAATGCAACAGGTGAGTATACTCCAGTGCTCTATGCTTTAACCCCTTTGAGAATTTCTTTTCCCTGTTGTACTTAAAACAAGCAAGAACATTTTATTCACTGGATGTATTTTCATTTTCCCCCAGTTCAAATTATTGGCTGTGCCCTGAAAGTAGCCAACTGTTTTGCTTCTTCTTAATTGGAATCTGTAACTAATTTATTGTTTTCTGGAATCGATTTCTTTCACGTTGTGATATATTGTCCTGTAAAGCCTTACATGGGAGCGGTCTATGTATCAATGAGATTATGGACGTGAGATTTCCTTCCTGTGGTAGTTGATAAGGATGAAGCTTATTTTTGTAAATAAATGATCTATCACGCAAAGAAATTGTGGGTAAATAATCTCATTGAGTAAGTTTAAATCTCCTAGTCATCTAAAACTTACCATAAATACAAACCCCAGGATATGCGGTTGTATTTGTTCACAGCTGCACATTGACAGGCAACTCACATTAGTCACAGTTTATCATGGATTATATCTTAAGCTGAATTAAGCATGTATTTTGATTGGTTCATACTTAAGATCTCATGGAGGACAGGCACCATCATCACTAACAAATTTTGCTGTGTTATCCTATGAAACAAATAGATTCTATGTTGCCGTGGGTCTGTGCAGTAATAGATCACATCAGAACAATATTGACACACTGCTGTGCCTTGTGTGCCACATTTTTTTCCGTACCACGTTTTCGTATCATCTCTGATCAGCTACCAAGTAGGTGCAAGGCAACATGGAATCTATTTATTGAATAGATAGCCAATCTGACAAAAATAATTGTGACGGAATGCTGGCAGCTAACTACCATACGTAAAAATCTTCTAGCATTCTATTGTATTGCTGCAATCTGATGGGCTAAGCCATTCCCTGCTATCTTGTTTTGTTACTGTATGGGTTTTTGTATCAAAGATGGCCCATGCTCTATGAGAACTGTTTGGACGTGCATTTTTAAGAAGAATTTACAGTATAGGGATGAACAAAACATGGTAAAAATTCTGCTGCGTGAGAAAAATCCAACTTGAAAAGTTCAATCATGCAATTGTGTTGTTTTTAACAACAAGTATTTGTTTTCTTGAGGAAACCATTTCCCAGCCCATTGTGATGAGGTTTAGATTTCAAATTACAGCCACAAATAAACTATTTAAAGTGGAAGCCGGTTGAGAATAGCCAGCTGAGGATAGCCAGCTGAGAATAGCCAGCCAAAGGAAAGCTGCTTAATTTGAGATTTTGTGATTCGAATAAAAATAGTTTAAAATTTTCACATGCTTGGTGATAAAACTTTGAATTCAAAATGCAGAGCTATCATTGCCAGGTTCAGTCATGAAAAATTTACAAATTCACGGCATTTTCATGAGATTATGATGTTCCAAGTTCTTGTTTGGCTCAAGCTAACTATTTCTGTGTTTCCTTCTAATGATATGCATCTGGTTTTATGAAGCTTAGTAAATGTCCTGTCTCTTGTGGCTCATATTTCAGATGATGATGGTGCCACTCCCCTGATGTATGCTGCAATGGGTGGACACTTTCCATCTGTTCAGTTACTGATACAAAATGGGGCTGATATTGACAAGCAAGACAAGGCCAGTGGATGGACGGCATTGATGCAAGCAACTTACTATGGGTGAGACGAACTATTTTTTAGCATCTGAAGGTGATTGGCCAATCAGAATCCTTACAAATGGACTCTGAACTGAGTTAAAGTAGTATTAGTGACATGGTTTGGGAGACCTAATTGTTTATCTTTGTAAGGGTTTAGCAATTTTGATTGATTACATGTCCACAGAAACCTGCTGTTTTTCAAAGAGTGGCTTTGATACTTTGAAATGGTTTTGGTGTTAATGGTAAAGAAGAAATGATCAGGCAGTTGTTTAGTAAAACCATAAAATAGACTGTCTTCAGCTAAACCCTTTTAAACCCTAAGCATGACCAGCATCTAATTTCCCCCTAATAGTAATACTGCGGAGTCTTTCATTAAGAACATGTGAAAAAAAGGAAATAATTGCCAACCTAAGAAGCTTTGATTGTTAAACAAATTCTCCTTGTCATTACCAAATGAAACATATGAAGAAGAGTATGGAGAATTGAGATGTTGATGTTGATGTTGATGTTAAGGTGTAAAAGGTTATAAGTAATTTTGCTTATAATTATCTTAATGTTGATGTTTCTCTCAAGTATTGAGAAGGCTCATGGTCAGCTCCTGAGGAACATTTACCTCAAACCGTCCACTTATAGAGAAATATTGAAGTCCACTGATTGTCTACAACCATCATGGCTTTCAGAAAACATTGTTCAAGAGACTAGAGTAACCAACCTAAAAGTGTTTGCTGCCAACTAGCCTGCAAGCAAGCTGTGGGAAGGTTTGGGATGAGTTGGGTAGAGGTTTACTGAGAGTCAGGCTCTGACATTTTCAGTGTTAGACCTTTTGCAGACCTCTTGTTGGCTGGTGTAGCTTGAGGATTCATAATTTCCCACAGATGAAGGAACCCATTCGCTTACTTTTTTTTAACTGTTCTTGCCAGTACAGATCACCTCTTGAAAATAAAAATTCATGTCAATTGTTTTGTAACTATATAATTATGGCACTTGCTTATTCAGAAGGCATTTTTGTTACTTTTTAGGCATAAAGCTGTTGCTAAGCTATTGATTGATGCTGGAGCCAATGTGAATATTCAGGAGAAAAATGGTTGCACTGCTTTTGACATGGCTACTGTCATAGGTGAGTGTGATAAACTGTGTGAGTCTGTGCATGGGAGAAGAAACTGGCCATCATAAGTTTGCCAGTAGCGTTAAGTTGTAAGCTATCTATGTTCATGTAGGCAGACCAGCAATGACATAAGTCAAGATAACTGGAAAAGCCAGAGTATGGGTAGGTGAGGTCTCTTAGTGGCAGTGGACCAATTGTACTGGTTCAGGTTTAGGTTTGGTTCAGGTTTAGGTTCTGTTCTGGTTCTGTTTCCTGAACCCAAAGGCAACAAGGAGTATGAAGCAACAATGAGGAAGGTAGCACTGCCACGTGGCTAGGGCATGGAACTTGTAATCTGGTGGTGCCAACTGGATTTGTTCTTGGTTGCCCTGAGTTTAACTCTTTGGCTGCACTGTGCAAATAGCCAGCTGGTCTGCCTCCTGCCTTTTGAGATTTTCAAGTGCTTTTGTTTGTTTGAAATACTTGTTTCTCTCTCCTTCATATTATGAAGTGTTTATAGGCTTGCAATAAGTGCTATAAATTGTAAATTTGATTTAATTTAATCTAATTGAGTATTGCTGCTCCCTCTGAATGAGACATTAACCCTGAACATCCCAGCATCAGGATGCAAATTATTTAATATCTTAATTCTGTTTCCTATGGTATTTACACCAAGAATGAAAGAATATAGTGATGATTGATTGAGGGGTGATATTGTTGGGAAAAATTAGATGCTTATCACTGTTATGGGTTAAAGGACAAATTGAGGGTGTCCCTGGGTACTCACTGACCAATGTTCATTTTGTTACTGAATGAAAGAGGTTCTGTGAGAATGAAGTTTATCACTAAAGTTTTGAGCACAGCACACTTATCCTGGCCAGGGCTTGACCTGAGAACTCTTTCTTGGAAATGCAGAGGTATCAAAAATAGGCAAATTAACATATTCCCCTCTTAAAAAGTCTGCTAACAAGATACTAGTATCTGTGTTTAATATGTTGAGTAACCATAGTGATAGATAGGCTAGAGGAAACATGGACTGCAATACTCACAGGTAGGCAGTTTGCTCAGTCCAGAATTTATCTTCAAGCGGCATGTTTCAATTCTGATATAATTCTGATTGAAATGATAATATTTATCTTTCAGGTGATACAGAAATCTTGCGTCTATTAGCTTCTGTGAGCATGCATGTTCCTGCTACCCCAAAACGTTGTAAGTAATTTTATGTAATCCTTATTAACAATATTATTATTAATTGTTATTGCCAGAAGTAATGAATACAGTTCAGTTGTATCTTCTTTGATTTTTTGAGTTTGAGTGAAACACAATGGAAGCCTTGTGGGTGTGGCTAAAGGTTATCCTGGTGTTCCTGTGATCCCTCTTGAATAAACCCCTCTGTCAAGATACAAAAAGCAAAACTCTAGAACAACCTTATCAAAATGGTGATACACATATGGTTTCTATAATCTCTAAGACAAAATAAAACTTGTTACATTTTCTTTGAGAGAGGTGATATTAACAATATGTTTTCTCCATAAAGAAATAATCTTCAAGTCTACTCTTTAAGGATAGTGTATAATTATCATATGATTATTTAATTTTTTTGATTTTGGATTAAATGTGTTGTTTGTAGCAAGTAGTTTATAAGGTTGGCATCTCTGGCAGTATGGTTGCTGCAATTGGTAGAATAGGGATTTAGGCCATGATACTTTTTATTAATTTAGCATGTTCGTGGTTATAACACACCATGAAACCTCATTTCTTCTCCTTCTCCATCTAATTAATGCTTTAACTTTCAGATCAAATTGGTGATTCTCCATACAGTCGACCATACAATTCTTATAATGTTCAAAGAATTTAGTATTGGATCCACTAATTATCCTTAAATTGATCTTCTTCTTTACTCTCATCACTTAATATCTGGTTGATATTGTATCGATATGGTAAGGAGAAATTCTGTCTTGGTCACTCATGGGAGTTAAAGGGTTAAAGGAGAGAAGATTCTTGCCAAATGCCAAATAAATTAAGTGCCGCTGCTCCAACAGCCTCATTCAGTATTTAATCTGCAGCTGAATCAAAGTTACCTTTTGTTAACTTCTTGCAAATATTTTTGTACCAGATTACAGCTCATCAAATTTGTATGGGAGGAAAGGGAAGGGTGAAGGAAAGGGGCCTGTCTGTGAAATGAACAAAGACATGGCTAATGTGGACAGGTGAGATAACTGATAAGGATTTTTGATTGTTCCTAGCAGAATCATGTAAGAAATAAGAATGTGGGTTAAATTAAACATTTAATCATGCAGTCCTGTCTCAATTATTTTTGGATAGAAAAGAAAAACATTACTCTCTTTTAACAGAACAATATTTTATCTTTTTTCAGTGACTTCATTACAGACACTGGAAGGAAGGTATTAATCAGTCACTATAGATAAAAGTTAGGGTAATTTGGGGTCTAGATCTCAAATGGGATCTGACAAGTTAAACTAACCAACTAGCGATTAAACTAACCACTATACAATTTTTCATTCATTAATTAAGTTGCCTTTTCTTGTCAGTAAAGGGCTATTGTGTTTATATGATAAACAAAATAATACATAGTTACTTGTAGAAATGGAATTTCTCTTCTTGTGTTCAACTTGATGTCCATTCAATCGTGGCACCCACTTGTGAGCTATTGAGTTGGACACTCAAAGTGAAATTCCATATCTATGCACGCCCATGTATTATTCTCTATTTATTAAATGGGTTGTTTTAGGAGGTGTGGTTTGAGAGAGAGGCTGTTAAACGTACATTGACTTTACTTGCTGGTTATATAATTCAGTCACTTACCCTGCCTTTGTCCTTGACACATGTCAGACAGTGGAAGGTCACACTGCTAGGCACTCTTTGAAGGTTTTGCTACTGTAAGTGTCCTAGCTTAAAAAAAGATTTTCTATCCCTAGAACTGGTGGTCTAAAATGTCAAGTAGATTTCGGCACCTGAACATCAAGCGCACTCTCAAAGTGTCATCATCAGGCAGCAAGCTGCGCATATCACCTGCATCAAATAGTATGGAGAGCCTGTTTGATAGTGACTCTGGTCAGGGGTCCTCATTCAGTCATGTTAGTGATAGTTCTGCAATTACATTGAAGTCACTGGATTCAGGTTAGTGCAGCAACAATGTTCTTATTGCTTTTTATTCACCTCTCTGACTTGTAACTTTACTATCAGTTATTCTTGCTGCCACATGACCTTAAATTCAAAGTCAACTGGGAATAATAATATTCTCAGAGGATATATTTTGCCATGTATATTGACTGGTCTGTTTGGTGTTATTGTGGCTCAATTCACTGAAATGAAAATCAAGACATTAGTGCTTCTAACTGTCGTTGCTAATTGTTTTCGAAAGCTTTGTATTTAGCAAAATTAGGCTGAATTTTGCACAATCACTTTACTCACTTTGCACACCAGTGATGCTAAGCTGGTGATTCATTTGGTGATTTTAAACCATGTGTCAGATACAGATGATACTACACATGGATCATGATGATGAGTCAAAATCTCTGCTCCTGGCATACCAAGCCGCTGTTGTCAATTACTATATCCTGCAGATCAAATCTCCTGATGTGTCGCTGGCTTTAAGTCATATTTTCGTTCTAATTTTCATTTTTTCTTATTTTGTTTTATTTATTAGTTATTACAGAATCTGGGCTAAAAGGCACGACACAGCTTAATTTGAAAAGACCTCCCACACTGGTGAGATCTGATATAAAGTTATTTACTCTGTGTTTGGGTAAGAAATTGTGAAAAAGCCTTTTGACTGTCAGTTGCCAATGGTTGAACCAGGTTACCTGACTGCAAGGTGGTAACTTTTAATTTAGGAAAAGTGAGCATAACAACTGGTAGCTTAGAATTCTCCATAAAAGTGTGCCATATTCATTTAATTAAATGCTACTCTCAAATAAACACCCCCTTGATTAAAAGCCACCAATTGAAGAAAAATTTCAAACAGAAACTGCACCCAGTTGGATGAATGCTGACTAAGATTTTGATAAGGGTTTTATGAATTCCCTGTTACCACTCACCTGAGTTGAGATGATTAATGTTTTCAAGGATTATTGTCAGTGAAAGATGTACATAACTGTTTTGCAGGCACTTGTGTCTCACAGCAACAAACTGCCAGATGACGTCATTGGTCCTGTTTTGCCTCCAATTCTTCCTTCCCCCTCATTTGAATTGCCTAGAATACAACGGCAGCAGCACAGTAACAGTTTGGATGATCCATCTTTGCCTGAAAGGCCTGTAAGTGCATTTTATTTGAAGTTTTTATTCTGCTTTTATTTCAAAATCTGCAGATAGTAAAGTATTTTGACATTGCAAGTTGATGTGTCCTTAAAATTCAATTGTGCTTATAAGTGCTATATTACCATGAAGCACAGTGATTGTGTATTTTTACTGACATGTGGCAATAAGAATTTCTCTTTACACAACATGACTACTATGTTGAAAATGTTATAAAACAACTTAATTGTTCTTGTATCAGCCTTGCATTCATCAAATTATGATGCACCTGTTAGAAGTAACTACGGGTTGCTCCTGTGCTTTCCAAACCTTGCAGTTTCTCTATATTTTCATGAACACACACTACTGCATCAGATGTTTGTTAAAGCATAATCATTACTTAAAATTTTAATTTTTTTAAATCATTTCTTGTTATTTTATATACAGTTATATATTAGATAGGTGAAACATTTGTAGTTTTCAACTGTGCTCAAGCATGCAGTACAGGAAAAACATATCAAATTTATCAACATTTTACTGAAAATTAAAAGATAGTTTAATACAGTAATTGATTGAAAAAAAATGATGAGGAGACTAAGGAAACATACTGAAAAGTTTGAATTTTGATAATATACATGCATGATTAAAATAACTTGTAATTCTGAATGAATCTATTAAGTAAAGTAATTTACAGCTAGCAATTAAATTAAATGAAGTAATTTCTTGCACTAGGAGAGGTATGGTGGCCTGGTGTTGAGTGCTTGGACTCTGAAGGAAATTGTGGGTTTGAACCTTGATTGGGTCATTGTGTTGTGTTTTGGCAAGACAGTTGATTGTGAAAGTGCTTCTCTCCACCTAGGAGTATAAATGAGTACCAGCAAACTGTCAGGAGAACTTGAAAAATGTTGTGTGGTAGCCCTGAATGGACTGACATCCAGGCTGGGGGGGGAGAGATGCTCTAAGTTGCATTATGCTACTAAAATCTGGATAATAAGGTCCAGCTGGATGAAACCAGAATCCTCTATCTTGTAAGTGGAAAAGGTCCAGTAGGATGGATCCTGTGGCTTGTATGTAAAACAGACCTGTAAAGTTTTGCTACATGGACCTGGCTTGTAAGTGGATAAGATCCAGTAGGATGGACCCTTTGGCTCCTCAATTTATAAGGTTCAGTAGGAGGGCCCCTTTGGCTTGTATGTAGATAAGGTCTTGCAGGATGGACTCCTTGGCTTTTCAGTGGATAAGGTTCAGTAGGAGGGACCCTTTGGCTTGTATTCAGATAAGGTCTTGGAGGATGGACTCTTTGGCTTCTCGGTGGATAAGGTTCAGCAGGAGGGACCCTTTGGCTTGTATGTAGATAAGGTCCAGTAAGATGGACCCTGTTGCTCATAAGTGGATAAGATGGACATCCTGGCTTCTAAGTAGATATGGTGTAGCAGGACAGACCCTCTGGCTTGTAAAAAGATAAGGTCTAGTAGGATGGACCCTCTGGCTGGCAAGTAAATAAGGTTCAGCACAACAGACTCTCTAGCTTTTAAGAAGTGAAGATCAAGTATGATGGGCCCTCTTGCTTGGAAATGAACAATGTCTAATAGGGTAGACCCTCTGGCTTTTTTTTTTGTAGATAGGGCCAGTAAGATAGACCCTCTGGCTCATAAATGGATAAGGTCTGGTAAGGTGGACCTTACAGCTTATAAATGGATTAGGTCCACTCAGATTTCTTGTGTTCACTCAGCCATCCCTGACTATATAATAAGTGAGAGAACTAAATGCATGTTATCAATAGATAATTTATCATAGCTTACAAAAAATTTCTCTGAATTTAAAGACTAATATTCTCAGTAGTCATGTTAAATGTCACTATCTTTTTCATTCAGGTACCCAGTCTTTGTATTAATGGTGAATGTATTCCAGACGCCCATGAAAAGTATTTTGAAGATGATCTGGATAACATTGTAATCTTTTTAATGATTCATTTATTCATAAATTTTAAATTGTTTTACTTTAATCTAGTTCTAAAATTTGATGCACTCAGACCTTTTTTATTCACAAATGTTACTGTTATAAGTTTGACTGTAGCTTATTTTGTTAAAGAAAATTTATCTAAAATTGATCTAATACAAATTTCAAGATAACATTTCCTTTTCAACCTTGTGACCATTGATAAAACGTTACTCTAAATACCAGTCTTCAATTACAATTTCACCTTCAATGTTTTTTGAATATATATGGAATGAGAAAATTGTAGATTAACTTTTAAGTAAGAATATTGTTATATAGACCAGTAGATAATAAGTAATAACTCTTTGACACTGGGGAAAAACCATTTAATTGTACCATTTAGCCTGCTGAGGAGTTTTGAATAATTGCCTATGTTGCATCCAGAAATTGTCAGGGGGGTGTCACAAGAGGGATACTCTCCAAGAAATTCATGATGTTGAAGTATGATGGGTTGTCAGTAATAAAGGTCTGGGCCGGGTTGTCCAAAGCTGGGTTAAGATTACCAAGGGTTAATTTGAAATTTGATTTCAGATCTGAAAGCTTGGAGAGCAAATTCAGTTTATTTCTTTTTTAGTACAATTTGATAATTGAATGCTCTAAAAACGATGGGTTAAGTTATTCCAAAAAAAGGCTTTTGAACAGAGAAATATGGAAACATGGATTAAAATTTAACCCTGGGTTAGCACTAATTGGCCTTTGAACAACTGGGCCCTGGTGTTTAGCCTAAGAGAAAATAGTTCCCCCCTGGCTCTGGAAAATGAATTATTGTTTCTAGTGGCACTTCTTTCTTGTTTTTTTCAGAGTAGTGTCAGTGCATATCCAGCTTACAGGTCACTTATGTCTCCAACATTGGCGAAAAGTAAGAACTTTACTGGAAGTCCAGAATCCTCATATTCCACAGCAAGCTTCTACTCATCAATGTCCAACAACTCAGGATCAAGGTTAGCTAAAGCTTTAAATATCTTAAAGGTGGCTTCATTAAAAAGGTTTCATTCCAACTTGAAAGAATGAGGCTGCATTTATTGTTATCAAAAAATTGAGACCTGTAAATGGAATTCAGTATTGCTGGGTCTCTCTTCTTTCTTTCCCCAAAGGGTACCCTAGTGATGGGGGAAGATGTGGGAAAAAAAGATTCTTTGATCTGGGTTGAGAGGATCCACAATTAAAAGTGAGAGTATTAGACCCACTCTTGAGGCCTGCCTTCTCTGCCCTAATTTTACAGTGTTTCAGTTTCAAGGAAAGCACACCATTTGAATTTTTTTCTTACAGGACATTAAAGGCGTGTAGTCCTGCCATTGATTTGTCGTTTAACCCCATGTCTGCCATGTCATCGTCACTTTGGCACAAGGCAGGGAGAGGAACTGCAGCCAGTCCAACCCCAACAGTCATGACAGTCAGATCAGCCCCAGTGGAGGGAACATCTTTACGTAAAGAATTAAGTTATTCTTCTCTACAAGGCCATGCTGATGATACAAGCAGATCATTTTCATCTTATTCAAGAGATCATTACCCTTATAGACATACATTCAACCATAGTGAAGGTACCTTATTCTTAAGAAGTACCATAAAGATTTTGATTTCATTGTTTTGATTATTTTGTATTTTTATTGTTTGGGATCTGCTGAGATCTCTGAGATATTTGTATATCTTTTGATGCAATCTGTTCCATACACCAAAAGACAATGGAATGAAACTTTTAACAAATGGTTTTGCCCAGGGGAATTTCATGGCAAGAGAGAATTTTTTATCACCATATGATATTTCTTTCAGGTGATGTGGAAAATTTGCTAAATAAATTATCATTGGAGAAGTACCAACCAATTTTTGAGGAACAAGAGGTATTTAGAAAATAAACAGCTATTGTACATTATTTGCTTTAAATAACTGTGTCCTTTAAAATTATAATTTGAAAAGTTAATGAAAGACAAATTTTTAAACTCTTGTGATCTGTATAAAGTCAATTATTGATTTTCAGCATGTAGACAAACCCACTGCTGAAGTGTAGACCAAGTTGTAATACACTGGGAATTGACTTCATTATGAGACAAGCACTTAGTACTTAGTTACTGTTGTATTTAACAACATTGAATAGCCATATAAACCTTTTGATAATATCAACCTTAAAAATGATAAATATGTGTTATTTTTGTTGCCTGTCAGGCAGCAAATGACTTCATCTTGTGATTAACAAGAAACATATTTTAATATGGTACTCAAAAGTAACAACACAGATAGAAGAATGTCAACAAATAAGCTTATTATCATTATTGTTGTTGTTGTTGTTATTATTACTATAATTATTATTATTATTATTATTATTATTAATTGCTATTATGTTGTTGTCTACATAGTTTTAACTTCAGTCACTTTTTGAAAAATTGCTATGAACTATTGTTGCTAGGTGGACATGGAGTCCTTTCTAACCTTAAGCGATGGAGATCTTAGTGAACTTGGAGTTACGCGGAAAGATGCCAGACAACAAATCCTTACAGCCATTGCTGAAATTAAAAGTAGCAAGGTATAAATAAAGGAAAAGTCTGCTTGGGGTATATCTTGTAGAGGTTATCCATAAGGTATCCATAGCAGGAACAACTAACAATTCTTCTACTACCACCATAGGGCAAAATAATGGGCAAAATATGCAACTGTATTACACTGTACAACTAAGAAAAATATATGGGGGGAAATGAGAAAATGGTCATACTAAAAATTTTTAAGATTTTATTTGATTATACCCATACAGCTTGTCTTTTCAAGAAACAAACCTATCTTTTTTGTTTGTTGTGTTGGACACCTAACCTTGTTTGATTGTGTCATTTTTGTCTCTTGGTGATCAAAGGGATTATCAGATAACATCATTGGATAAATTTCTTGTGGGGTTTTTTTTCATTTTTTTTCATAATTTTCACTTAAAAAACATCCTTAAGTTGTCATGAAAAAGGAAAAAAAGGCAGAGCTTGAAATCTGTTCTTCAAAGTAGTGAACTGTTGAAACAATCAGATTCTAATTTGCATTCCCACCTTTATAGTGAAGCAGGATATTTAAACTCTGATAGCTTTTCAGGATTTGTCAGATGAAACAGATTTTTTTCTTGACCTTAAAATGGAGAAAATGACTCTATTATTAAATTCAAGATATTCCAACACATAAACAATCTTTTTCAAGGGATATTGATTACCAAGAACTTAAACAAAGATATCAAGAAAACTTTTAAAAGGTGATAAATGATGTTCTTGATTTGGTTTTAATTTACAGGATCGCGAGAGGCAACATTTACATGAAACTTTGTCCAGTTTCCAGGGGAGCAAATCACATGGTACAAGTGGTGAGTGAAACATTCTTTTGTTGTAAGTTATGTTACCTAAGGCTTTACTTACTTTTTTATGTTACCCAATGAACATTTTGAATCAATGTAGAGGCAAAGATTATTCACAGATTTACAGCTTCTTCTTTGACTCTGTTATTAAATGCCTAAATTATTTAAATGGCCTTATTCCATATGCTCCAAAGTTCTGATGCACAATATTAATCTTTCCTAATGATCCTTTCCCTATCAAGTAGTTCAGAGAATGTGTCATGTAATTCTTTATACTGTTGGTTAGTTTAAATTTGTAATTGTTTTCTGGTCAAGGTCTTGACATACTAGTTTTAATCCAAAACACTTCTGGGATTTAAAGGGATGGGTGAAAATTTTAAGGGGAAAATCACTGTATCATTTACTTGTAATGAAAAAAAATTTATTGCTATCACTTTGGTGGGCATTGTGGCGCATTTTGTGAGCAAAAAAAGAGATTTTGGATTTTAGCCCACTCACACACTCACGTGATTGTTCAGACTGTTTCGTTGTCTTTTTTTTCCAGTTGTTATCTTCTCAATGCCCTCCTAAGTGATGATACTAGTAAATTATATACAATTTAAGTCAATGGGCATAAATTTGGTTTGAGCCACTCTTAGAGTCATGCTAACCCTTGCCTAGCAGCTTAGGTTAAAATGACTCAGAGTCAGCCCTAATGTATTTATACCCAAGAATGGAAACTATACTGTTTTATGAAAGCCTCATAGATTCTCTCAGTAGCTTTTTTATTTACATAATGTTTTGTTATTTTAGGTTATAGCTCTGTCTCTCCTTCAGCTAGTGGAAATCTTTCAAATTGGCCTTTGAAGCAGCCACCTTAGTCACAGATGAACATGTAAATTAAATAGAGGATGGTCCATGGAAGTGTGTGGATACAAATTTTATCTTGTGGTTTTATAATATCTCTCACAAGTGAGTAAATGACAGGCTTGAGAGATATTTGTGACTCAATATAATAAATTCATATCCATAAGTGCACATGTAAATAAATGTTTGTTATGTAGATATTATTAACATACTTAAATCAAACTCCATTTTAAAACACGTTTTTAGACCACGAAATACAGAGATCATCTACAGGTAAACTGATCATGAAGAACAGCTGGTCAACCTCTGGCATTAAACAGATTATGCTCTCACTACAAGAAATTGTTTTTTAAAAAAAAGTAAAATAATTGGAAATGGAATTTTTAGCTAGACTTTTCCATTCTATCATTGGAATTCTGTTGTTTAGCTAAAATAAGAATTGCAAGTGAATGAGAACAACAACAACAACAAATATTCACCTCAAGTATTGAAGGACAGCTTCACATTTATGAGTCTGAGAGGAATTTTAAAGTCATGCAAGGTACAAATAAATTCAATTCCCTTTTCACATAGCACATAGTTTAAACAGTCACAAACATGGTAACGCCTTTGTCTAAAAATTAAAAGGTGGCACTCGTGCTTATTTACTGATTTAGTTGGGTCAGATGTCAGTATTCAGGTTTCAGAAATCTGCGTAATTTTTTCTACATTTCATCAATGTGCTGAATATTTTTCATTGCTGTATGACCTTATCAGTCAATTAGCTTATATTATTAAATTGTACATAGAACAATATTTTAAAATGAATTGAGCATTAAGGGCTGTGCCCTTTTGCAGCAGGCTGTATTTGCAAGCAAACTTTTAAATTAATAATATTATCACATGAATTATATTATTTTAAAAGAAGAGGTATTTTACCTTCTAAATATCTGTATTTATTGGCAGTCATGTACTGTTAATTTCTGAATTAATAATTAATGAAACAAAATGGTTCAGTTAGCTATACTGTTCTTTACTGCTCTTTACCCTGTAATCATGATAAGACATGTTCAAGACCAACCCTTTTGGCCCTCTTACCCTCACAAGTTAGGAAGACAAAATCTAAAGCAAATTTTAAAAATGACATGCCAAAATACTTAAGTTAGTGAAAGTGACTGGTCAGGAAATGAACAGATATCTTTTTTGGGTGTTCTAGTTGGGTTTTAGGCTCGATCATGCCAACATTCAATAGTAATGGGATCATTGTTAACTGACTAAGCCATTAATGTGCAACCACAAAAAGAAGACTGCTGTGATCAGGCAGCTACAAAAGTAAACTGGAGCAATGTTGTTTTCCTAGCTATTCATCCCTTCTAACTATGAAGTGGGTGAGGAAGGGTGGTCCTGAATTGTAAATCATGCTGCAACATTTTCTCACAGATTCTAGCCAGACTATTCATCCATTAGATTGTAAGCTTGAGAATTCTATTGCATGAGAGTTGACAAAGGCAAAGTCTAAATCAGCTGTTATGCATAGAAATCAGGACTGGATATTATATACTTGCTTTAATATAAATCTACCAGACATTCAAAACTTAACAAGATGACTCGCTCATGTTTTTATCTATCTTTGTTTACAACTGTACTCTAGTAGGCTACCTCTTGTACTCATTATCTACCATATGATAGTAGCCAGTAGTGTAGCCAATCAGAAGGCAACATTTATGATAAAATGCCAACAGAATTACCCATTTGGGGTTCAGTCACACAGTCAAATCTTCTGTTTGTTGTGCTAGTTTATGTAGCAATTTCAGACAACAGTGGCTGATTTTATCCACTGTAAATCCAAACTGTATGTCTGATGCACTTTGCAACAGTTTATACTTAATTATGGTTGAGTTGAAAGTTCCTGTTCTAGCATTAAGTACAATGTATTAGTTTGAGTTTTAAAGGCAAAATATGATTTTCTGATTGGTTGGAAATGAATTTTTGCAGATATGAGCAGGGGAAACAGCAACCTTCCCCTGTTTTTTTTTATTTTTTTTTTTTTTATAGGCTCTCACATTATAGAACAAGTTCATTGCATCAGTGAGAGTGTTCTCAAATGCTTTTACTCTCTATGGGCCTCTTTACGTGATCCTGTAGTTTTTATAAGCCTGGGTTACACCACCATGATGGAAAAATCTTTCACTGTCAAATGGTTGTAAGTGATCACATGCTAAGGTTCAAGTTATGGTGGGATCGTGTGAAGAGGCCCTAAAACTTCATCAATAAGACGTTATTTTGGTAAGGACCGATGCACTACATTTGAAGTCATGCTGTATATTTAGGCTTTTGCTTCTGAGCTGGCTTGTATAGGTCAAAATGAACACATTCATTTCTTTTGTGCATACAGCTTTAAGTAACTTTGCTATAGTACATAGGCCGTGAATTAACACAATGTGCACTGTAATTTTCTCAGAGAAATAATTTTTTATATTACATTTATCACAAACACACATTTTACTTGATCTAATAAGAATAGGTCAAGTCCACAGCCATTTAACATTATAAAACTGATTAAGGATGACACAGGATGAAGAATAATTAATATTTATTACAAGAAATATTAAAACTACATCACTTTGATACAAAATGTTTTAATTATGAGGCAGGAAAAATAAATGTCCACCTTAATTTGACCAAGGCTGTTAATAAAAACTTGTTGGTTTTGTCTTGCTTGCATAGTTACCTTCTATGTGCCTGTTACAAATAGCCAGTGCCATTGACCTTTTACTCTCTACCTTGGAATACATATTTGCCATACTGTTCTCTCTGCATTTCCTGGGGTGCTGTTTAAAATCTAGAGCTTCCATTAAAGGTAATTTAGTGTTAACAACTGAGTTGAAAATGTAAATTAGCCACCACAAAGGGTAAAAAAAGCTGATGTTTTGAGTGTTAGCCCTTTGTCAGAGCGATTGGCGCAGCACCACAGTTTCTTTAGAAACTTACCCCTTTCTTCCATTAAATTAGTTGGTGATCGTTTCCTTTACACTTGTGATATAAATGTTTGATTCAGGGGTGATATTATAAGGAGATACAAGACGCCAGTAATTCTTAAGGGTCCAAGGGTTTCAATGGCATCAAATGCACCCTTTAACTCCCAAGATCTTATTAGTAATTCTCCTTACTGTCTGCCAAATGATTCTCACTATGTTAGTTTGGAGAATGTGGTATTAAATCAATTTGTAATCCCATGATTGATATTTTTTTTTAATTCTCATCACTTCTCTGCACAATATTGTATAGATTTAGTAAGGAGAAATTCTGTCTTGGTCACTCATGGGAGTTAAAGGGTTAAAAGTCAAGGTTTGTGTAACCTTGAAAACAAAAGTGATGAATTTGAAAAAGTCTTCATTCATCAAGATTGACCTCAGTCTGTAATTGTACTGCATTTCACTGATTTTCTCTTACCCATCACATTTATTTTCTTAGACCCCTAGTTACCAGTTTTAATAAAAGGGCGATAAAAGGTTGGGTGCCAGAGATTGGCAGGTTGTATTTGACCTGCCAATCTCTATAGGAGAGAGTGTGCCCCAGCAATCTTTGTAACAATGTTTTTTTTAATTCTTCCCAACTCTACTCCTCACTATTGGAAAATTTCCTTTGTGTTGGACATAAAAGTTCAAATATCAAGTGCCATTGTTCCAGGAGAGGTGCAGAAAAAGCTACTTTGCTTATTACCTTAATGCATAATGGGAACTATGTAGATACATCAAGTAAACCTGTCAACACACCAATTAAAATAGTAGCTTACAAGGACCCCGTAACTTCAGGAAATGTAACTGGAAGAATTAACGACAATTTTTTCCAGGCATATCTTACAAGTCTATTTATATTTATTTAACTGTCACCATTGACATGATACTATCTATTACAACAATCTGAAATATTCAGTTAGCAAAATGATATATTCTAAATTATAATAATCTTAAACTCTACTCATTATTGTAAAATTATCCATGGGAGCAGAAATGTTATAAGAATTTTTCAGCTCCATGACAATTTTTTCCGGGCATATCTTACAAGTCTACTAATATTTATTTAACTGTCACAATTGACATGATACTATCTATTACTACAATCTGAAATATTCAGTTGGCAAAATGATATATTCTAAATGATAATAATCTTAAACTCTACTCATTATTGTAAAATTATCTGTGGGAGCAGAAATGTTAAAAATTTTTCAGCTCCACCCGTCCACCTCTAGGAGTGACCAAGCAGTACTTTCTCTTCACCATATATCAATACATCGTCCTGGACAAAGGTGTTTAGAAGAAGGAAAACAACTTATAAATGTTGTTTGATTTGAAATCAAGTTCCTAATGTACAATGTATAAAGAACACTGACAAGACTGAAGATTCGGATCTTTGGGTTGGGAGGAGATTGATTCTAAAGCTGGGTAAATTTTCTGTTAAATTTTTCCTTCAATTATGGAATCTTCTGTTAGATCCTTTCTCATATTTTTCTTTGATTGGGTTTTTTTCTGGTTTCATTGTAACATTATTCCTAGGTCCCCTATTGTATGTGTATTCATCTAAGTTAAGAATTGACCTCTCAATTCTTGTTCCTGAAGGTCTATCCTTCTTGGTAAGTACTATTAATAATAAACAATCTGAAGTGGTTTAAACATGTGTTACCTTTTCAAAGAGTATCTAATTTAGGTTCAAGCTTAACACCATTGTTAAGAAATCCTCATATCCTATTGTTATCCAGCCATTCAGATTTCGGTCACGGCTTCTGAAGGAATTTGTCAGAATCTGAGAGGAAATGGCAAATAAAATCAATAAATTAAAAAACCAAGTAAACTACTGTAGCTATCTGTGGTGCATCAGACAACAAAATCTGAAGGTTTTAGTGTGATTGTTCAGAAAGGGAATAATGCTATTCAAAGGATTTATCGCTATCAAGCAAATAAGTGCAAAGAAAATCTATCAACCAGAAAGAGATTTATCCAGTGGATAGAGTTATCTGTCCTTCAAACAAATAGTGCTGGCCAAAACGTCTTCTGAAGCTCGGTGGCACTGTATTATGGGAACCAAAACCCAAACTTCTGGGGTTCAATTCTGTACAAGGGGCTCAGAATTTTTCTTTGTTCCATATTCATGACAGATTTAATAACAACTTTATTGAATACCTGTAATATCAGACAACACTGGATGAAATCATCAAAGTTGATTGAGCCTCTGTCACAGCGATCAAACTTTGTTATAAGAATAGTGTACATTCTCTCAGACAATCTGTACCCTGTTAAAAAACGAAAAAATAAAAATGATCACTCATCACTAATTGTGCATGTGGGCTGTAATTTCTAGTAGCATCAATTTCAACCAACAAAGGCTTATGTTTGAAATACCATAATGATGTTCTAAGTAGTGAATTGCAAAACTCACCAAAGTTTGTAAGAGCTGTGTAAAAAAGAAAAAGAAATGTGTTTTACATCATTCAACAAAGTAGTAAGCAATTCACTACAAATAACTGTATAACAGCAGAATTGTGCAAATTAAAGCAATTCAAACGTCTGTCCACCAATTTCAAAGCTTTCTGAAAAAATTTTGGCCAAACCAAAATTTTACCAACATCTTTGCAAATTTTCAAAGTAGCTATTATTTGGATCTGTTAAAACTTTTGGGGAATATTTCGCTAGGGACATTAATGAACCCTGAAAATTTGAGAGAAAGTTAAAAAATCTTAAGAGAAAGTTCAATTCTCTCAAAAATTTAAGGGGAACTTTTCAGAGAAAATTCCCTCATAATTCTTGTAAATACTGAATTTGTAAAGGTAAACTACTTCATAACAAAACATATGAAATTTCCTGCAGTGATTGCATGCAAACTGCAACCATATATAAACCAACTGTTTTGAGAAAAGTGGCTTCTGACAGTTTACTGATAAGACAATCAAAATTGTTCAGAGAAATGTAAGTATAAAAATTAAATCCCTAGTATACTGTTGAGATCATGTTCTTATTTACACTCTAAGTTATTGGGCAGGGTAACTTTACCTGTCTTGAGTTCTTCCCTGTCAATGGTTCCAGAGTTGTCTTGATCATAACTTCTAAATGTTCTTTGCCAGTCTGTTACATACTGCCACAATGCTTGGAACTCATTGAACTCTATTGCCCCTGAGTTGTCATGATCAAACATACCTATCAGAAAAATAAAGTAACCTTTTAACTCTAATGGGTGACCAAGATAGAATTTCTCCTTACAATATCAGCACAATATCAAGCAGACAAAAGATGAGAATAAAGTAAAATATCAATAAGGGGATTATTAGTTGTTCAAATTCTAAATTCTTGAACTAACATCATAAGAATTGTGCAGCAGAGAGTAAGGAGAATTACTAAAGAGATCTTGGGAGCTAGAGGGGTTAAAGAACACTTTCCAAACTTTCTTTGACCCTGCTGCTCATTTCTTTCCAGAATATTTCTTTGCCAACAGCACCTTTGTAATAATTACTTTCACACCAAAATCATTGTGGAATTATAGAAAATCAGTATATACCAATCATAAGGCGCACTGTCTCTGGATTGAATGGTGTCCAGGCTCCTAGAAAAGAATGGAAATTAAATTACTCTACAAAAGAGTAACTATAATACAAAGAGAAAACAAATGTACACCATTTAATGGAAAGGACAAGGAGAGTGAGCAAGTTGACTATTTAGAAGGGAAGTGCAAGCTTCTTTTAGACAAATCATAGGGCAAAGTAATTCAAAACCAATAAACCCTTTCACCCCCAAGATCAAAATAACAATAATTCTCTATACTATGCTCCAGTCATTTCTTAGAATTTTGGCTAAGAGAATTTGGTGTCAAATCAAACGATATCCCCAAAATTACGTTTTCCTTTCTCTTAATCACCTCTTTACTGGTAACAGTATGATATCGTGGGGAGAGATTTTTATTTTTGGTCACTCTTGGAAGTGAAAACGTTCATTCTGGACCACTTTGAACACCCATTTGAAATCTTCTTCCATGTGGCTTCAAGAAAAAGTTTTAAGAGTTTGGGCTGTGAGAGAGAAGTCATGAATTGGGAGACAGATACAATGTGCATAGTGTTCAAAAAATTTCTCCTGCAAATGCTCTTGAAGAAAAGGTCCAAAAAAGGCAGCCATTTCTTTGTGAGTAAACTGGTAGTTGTTTGTTTTCCAGCAATAGGGTGTTTGTAAACCAACTGTTATCCAGTTATTCAGCAATTGTTATGTAATTTGTTAGCAACCAGGATTTGACAAAATCATCCACAGAAAACAGTCAGCGGACAGATAGCTAACAGATAGTGACATTTAGCCAGCCTGCAAGTGATCTATTGGTCAACACTTGACAGTTATCTGGAGGAAGGGAGCTGTTCTTCATTATAACCCTTGCTGACGTTCTTGATTACCATTTGAAAGAGCTTGTTGAAGTTCATCGGCTGAAATAGAACCACTTCGATCTGTATCAATTCTACAAAACAGAAAAGTTCAAAATAAATTCATAACTGATGAAATAAAATCATCACCAAAGCTTTGCTGTCATTCCAGCATGACACTAAAACAAGAAGTCAATTCATTGCACTGAGGAGCAACAGAGACAATTAACTTCTGGCGGCGACTCTGGCGGCGAGTCCACGCATAACGTGCACATAACATACAACTCCACACTCTACTAATCACTTTCCTCTATTCGAACACGGGATAAAATTGGGCTTACCATTGATAGATAAGTTAAATAAGCCATTTATCTCTTCTTAATTTGTTAATAACAACGCTGAAACAATTATGCTAGTAATTTTTAATAGGCTTAGCTATGCATATCAAGAATATTATCGGTTCGGTTTCTTTTCGCCCCCGAGAAAAGTGTAAAAAATCAACGTTGGACAAATGCATCTAGCCTTAATTTTGGAGTGAACAACATCTCTTTCATTAGCACTCACCTGGAGAACATGGTCCACAAGAAATTCCTATCCACAGGCACTCCCGCCATGACGAAGTCAGATCAGTTTGCAAAGTGCAAACGTACTTCCTTCATTAAGTCTACAATGCCCAATAAATTGCAAATCTGTCCCTAAGGGGGTGGTAGCTAGTTCAGATTTCGATCTTCATTTTTAGTCACAGGAAATAACACTGAAAGCACTTCTAACACTGAAAAAATTCGAAATAAAAATAAAATATAAAAATATTTTCTATTATTGTGATGGTGTTGGTGGGTACTTGACGCTAATGACAGTATGACGATCTATAGCCCCAACCCCTTTCCCAGCCCTCGCAGAGATTTTCCTATGACTTTGCCACCACGCTACTCTGTCCGTTGCAGCTTTCCACAAACATGGCGTACTACGGTCAACAACATCCACAACACGATCAGAATTTCCTATGGAATGTCTTCCAGAGGTAGAAATAAATACAATAGATAGTTGAAGAATTTGGGTGGAAGTTTGTGTCAAACACTCTTAATATAATTTTTGGGTTTATTTTTAGAGTGGATAAAGATAGAAGTGGTGGGATCTCTACTAACGAACTCCAACAGGCGCTGTCAAATGGTGTGCTACACTTTCATTCTTGAGCTTGATCATCATTTATAAGATTAGTCATTATTTATAATGTGACTAAATAGCATTGATATACAATTTAATTTATTTAACAGGGACTTGGACGCCTTTCAACCCGGAAACTGTACGACTCATGATAGGTTTGTATCAAACGATTTCTTGACCTCGTTGATTTTCTTCGATTCTTTTGTCAACTCTATAAATAAATATTACTGATCTCATTATCCATTATTTTTCATTGACAAGTCAGCATGTACTAAATTTATTGATTGTTGATCTTGTTACTCATATCTTGAAGGACACTTTTATATTTACAAGTCAACATTTCATTCAATAAGCGTTGATCTTGTTACTCGTATCTTAAATGACTCTTTAATTTATATTTGCCAATATTTACTTCATTTGGTAGTCGTTGATCTTGTCACTCATATCTTAAAGGACACTTTTATAATTACAAGTCAACATTTACTTTAACTGATAAGCGTTGATCTTGTTACTCGTATCTTGAAGGATATTTTATATTTAGTTCTATCTTAATCATGATCTGGAAGAGGAGCTGAGAAATTTTTGTTCATCCTCTGTTCCTAATTTGATTTTTGATGCGTGCAGCTATAAGTTTTAGCCATTTGAAATTTAAAAGTGAGGTGATAAGTTATGATTATAGCCCACTGAATAAAAGGCAAAATATTTTCTGCATTTTCAAAGACATTAGCACTGTCTTTGTATTGTCAGTATTGGATGCGTCATGTTGAACATCAATGATTGACAGAATTAATAAATACTGTGTCTGTTTTACTAGTGTGAGATGACTTGACTGGTTATCAATAATATATCGTTCATGTATACAGGAATGTTTGATCGTGACAACAATGGAACTATTAATTTTCAAGAGTTTGCATCTCTGTGGAAATACATATCCGATTGGCAGACCACATTCAGAAGTTATGACAAGGATAACTCAGGATCAATAGATAAGAGAGAGCTGCAAACAGGTATTTATCAACCTATTCAAATGGAAGGGTGAATAACTAATTCTGACTTCCAATTTTTACATACATGTCACAGAAATAGAATTCTCCGGAAATCTGGAATCCATGATTGATCTAAGGACTTGACACAGTTCCCCCAACCTTTAACCCTTTATTTCCAAGCTAACAGTATCCATTTCATCTTCAAACTTTTCTCCATACGTTACAGAGAATTAGTTTAACAATCAAAGCCTCTCACGTTGGAACTGTTTTCCTTTATTCTCCTAATTACACTGAATGATTCGATAGCATTAATGTAAGGAGAAATAAAATGTTGGTCACTGTTAGGGTTTTGAAGGGTTTATGTTTTTTTTTCCACTTTTCTCTAGTCTCTCCCTATGAAATGAGGTTGCTGGCTAAGACATGATCAAAAATCACAAAAAATATCTAACCATAAAACTACTCTTGAAAAGAATGGATATATACTTGTATTTTTATTCTAGTTTTGGACAGAACCTTCTTTTATTTATTTCCCCTCATAGCAATATTGTAGCAATATTCTCCATTTTAGTAATATTATCCAAAATTTACTTCTACTAACAAGAGTTGGCAGACTACTATGGAAATAAGGACATTTTTTGTTTTATCTTGTAGCCCTTCTGATAATTTTACATAATTATACATGTTATATGTAATTCAGCTTGATGCCCACATTTTTCTGACTAAATTTTTTTTTTTTTTACTTTTTTTTGTAGCCTTGACTAGTTTTGGTAAGTGCTGTACCCAAAAAGAATCTTTTAAAATATTTTTTAATGAAACTGAATTGATAAAAATTCATGTTATATATTATTCAATGTTTATGTGTGGCATCTATACACAAAGAAACTTTTAAAATCAGCAGACAATTGATATGAAGTACTTCTTTTCAAGGTTACAGGCTATCAGAGAGATTTTATGGTATTTTGATCAAAAAGTTTGACCGCAGTGGCAAAGGAGTTGTCAATTTTGATGATTTTATTCAATGCTGTGTTGTAATACAGGTCAGTAATAGATACGAAGTTTTATTGCATGGCTGACTCAGTGAGTTGGCAAGAATAAGTATATGGTGATCTAACTGGTCACTGGACCAGTTAGACCATATTCTTATATTCTTATATACTCACCTTATACTGAATTACTTTGGTAATTCTGCTTAAAAAACAGAAACAGAAAAAGGCAACTTTTGTTAATCTAGTTTGCATCATAGAAAAATTTGTTGGTAAAACTTTCTGTTCGTGTAATAAACCTTTGATTGACCTTACCTGTTGGTCCTTGAGATTGTTGTTGGACTGAGGCTTCTTCTCTCTATAACAACACAAAAAATGAGATTTGCAACATTTACCTTTTGTGATTTATCAGAGTTAATCAGTGATACATGTAGCCTTTAGTTCAAGAATGGAATATCAGTTCATGCATGTTTTCATGAACTTCATTCCCACTTATTTTGCAGCAGAACTTTCCTAACTTAAAAGTTAGTTAACCCCTTGACCCCCAAGAATGACCAGCAACTAATTTCTCATAACAATTTCACCCCTGAATCAAACATTAAGTTGTGAGAATAAAGGAAATGAAAGAAAGACTGAAGCTTTTGATCATTAAATAATTCTCCTTGTCAGCAGTTTGGGAAATGTACAGGGAACAGTATGGAGAATATGCATACTGATGTTAGGCTGTAAAGGGTTAAATCCTTTGACTTCCTTTACCAGTTGTAATCACATTCTACCATTGTATAGAGTATTATTAATGGAATTTATGAACTTTAAATTATTTTAAAAACCATGATAGTAATATTTCCCCATGGCTGTAGTGTGTCACCATCTTGTTGCTCATAATTTTTTTCTTCTATTTCTTTTCAGATGTTGACAAGTGCTTTTCAGGGCTTTGATACAAACCGAAATGGATGGATTACCATAAACTATGAACAATTCCTATCTTTGGTGTTTAGTTTGAAAACCTAAAAGATGCATTCTACTTCTTAAACTACAATGCTATAGCCGTATTTAAGTATTTTCTAGTCTTGTTCTTGTTTCATATAAAAGGCTTGAAATAACAAGTAGCGGTTGTTTGGTAAAAAAGAAAACTTCAAAACTTTTTTCCTTATGATATGAATGTTCTTTCTATGGTTTGGTTGCTTTTGTTAACTTTTTAGCTCCTGTGAGTGACCAAAACAGAATTTCTCCTTACAATTTCAATATAACTTCATGCAGACAACTAATGAGAATAAGAAAAAATATAAATCAGGGGATTATTAGTTGATCCAGTACCAAATTCTTCAAACTTACATAATAAGAATTGCAGGGCAGACAGTAAGGAGAACTGCTAATGATATCTTGGGAGTGAAAAGGTTAAGCGAATAAAAGTGATGTCTAACCCTTGAATTTCCATGATCTGATTGGTAATTCTCCCCTCCAGCCACTATGCATTTCCCTTTGAACAAGGAAGAAGAATTTGGGTTGGATCAAGATAACAACTTCTACCTGATAAGTTTTCGTATTCTCATTACCTGCTAGCTGGATAATGTATGGACATGATAGGGAGAAGTGTCATGTGAATCACTTCTTGGAGTTAATCTGCTAGCTCTCTGTTCCATGTTTACTTGTATGTTAATATCTTTGTAATCTTACCTGGTAAAGTTCATCATGAAAAACAGGTATTAGGCTTATTAGGTATTAGGCTGTATACTCCCTCTACTATATCTGTTTGGTCAGAGTTTATCTTATCTAATATATGGTATTTGTTGGAGTGGGTAGAGTGAGAAACGAAAACCAAAGGAAAATTATAGAATGGTTTTTTTGTCACTCAGCACATTTTCTGTATCGCAATAGAAGTCATGTGCAGTGTACTAGAAACATGGGCATTAAAATAATGTGATCTTATGTACCAGCCGTAGCAGTTATCTCTCAACTAGTTTGTAGTTATTTTCCTGTCAAAATCTGTGACACAATTGTAAGCCATTTGGCATTCCATGATAAAAAGGTCTCATTAAATTTTAAATTTTAAACAAGCTGGAAACTGTGGCGTTTAGAATTGATAAACCAGAACACCCCTTAGGTGTAGCAGGTTCTTCTAATTGAATCATTTCTTGGTCAATTTGATTTAAAATTATGCTATAAATCTGGCTCAAAACTTTTCAGCTTTTCATTTTCAGGGTGGAAGTACAGCAAGTTTGGTTTAAAACCCTGATAAGTCACACTCTGAGAGAAAATAATCATCCCAGTAAAGAACAGGCCATCCAAGTCAGAGCTTTTGGCAGGTAGAACTTCCTTGTAGTGTCCTTATTGGTACTGCAATCTGTGTGTGTGTGAGGGAATTTTTAGTAAGTTAGGGAATTTGGATTGAGAAAATGCAGAAACTCCTTTTGTGAGACCAATTACTTTTCAATCAACCCATGCCTTACCCCTCTCCTTGCACTGCCAGTTACATGTCACACTTCATTGAACAGTAATGTGTGAACTTGTCATTACAAGCATACCCTTTTTTTCAGAAAAAGGGTAACACACCCATAGATAGATTGAAGGGAGGGGGGGTAGGGGATCTGACACAGGCTGGAAGTCAGCTTATGAGTTTAGTGGCTTACCTGGCTGGAGCCAAGCAAGTTGCATGAAGTATCGAGAAGTAGTGCTTGAAGAAGAGCTACTCCCTCTGGACAGAAGGCTACTTTATAAAAGTTTTACCTTCCCAACCCCCTCTCCTGAACAATTTTTGTCAGGCTTGCCAGTTTGCCTGTCCCCATATATACCCCTGGGTGGAGAGGCATTGGGAGTGATAGGAAAGTGTCTTATCCAATAACATGCAAGGATTCCTCACAACTTTCACCTTGGGATGAAAATAACTAATAATTTGAAAATCTCACTATTGTGGGATAGTCAGCCAGATCTCCAGAAAAAAATCTATTTAACAAATTATTTGATCGTTTTGCGAAAGTGTGGTGTTAAATAGCAGCATTTCTGTTCTCTTCTAATCCCCAAAAAGAAATGTATGTCATGTCAATTGATAATTTATCTCTTCAATTTATTTCAAATACAATCTACACAAGATTTATCATTAATATCATTGCTTTCAATTGTACTTAAACATTACTTCATGAGGGAACAAAGTACTCTGCATGTGATTGTAACCTCTGCTTTCTTTAACTCTATTACATGTTTGTTATAACATTCATACTGAGATCACCATGGAGGTTATACACAGGAAAAGGCATAAGAAATAGCAGAAAAGCTTCTACCAGCTTGGGTCCTAAAGTCTACAACATAAATTTGCAGTTTAAACACAAAAAAAAAATCATTGTTCTTCTTTGTACTGTTAATTTTGTGTCACATTCGAACCAATAGGACACTTTGTACAGCTCTAAACTTCCCTTTTTCGTAGGTCTGTTGCACAAACAGTTGTACTTGTGTTTCCAAGGGAAGTCCTGAACAAAATGCCAGCTCACACCTGTACAGGGTACACAAGTCTGGAGGTTTACAGTTTTCCCTTATGTTAAGGGTTAGTTTAGAGAGAGGGAATAAAATTCTACAGGGTATGACTCATCTGAAAGCTATATCATGTACACATCATTTCACAGATTAATTTACTTGTAGTACATCATCAGTTTTTGTTTTAACCCTTTAACTCCCATGAGTGACCAAGACAGAATTTCTCCTTACAATATCAATACAATATCAAGCAGACAAGTAATGAGAATAAAGGAAAATATTCATTAGTGGATTATTATTAGTTGATTCAATACCAAATTCTCCAAACTAACATCATGAGAACTATATAGCTGACAATAGGGAGAATTACTAATGAGATCTTGGAAGTTAAAGGGTTAGAAAAAATGTAAACAAAAGAAGCCAGCCTGGAGTGCTACTTTTGTGACAACAAATAACTTTCTCTGATGCTAAAGAATGAAACCTCCTCCGCTGTACTCAACTCTCTGAAAAACAACAATGATAATATAATAATATTTATACATGAATAATTGTATAGAGAAAATTAACTCACTTATGTTGTAGTAAACAAGGAGTTTGAAGTAACATTGCAAAAACACATTTTAAAAGAGTAAAAATTCAGACAGCAACTTGACAAACTACCTATACATGGCAGTTAAAAGGTGTCACAAAAACAGGAGAAAGTGCTCTCTTACTCCCATACAAGGCATCAACTGAATAAATATTTGGTTTCAATAATGATGTAACAATTCCACAAGATAGCAAATTGCTGTACTTTTAACACACTCAGGATACGAAAAAGTCTTCTCTCTAGTACATGGTTTTCTGTATCCAACAATAAAGTGATTAGAAAGAAACAAACTCACAGTCTTGTGTGCCATGAAAGCCAACCAGTCTGATGTGGCAGTTGGTAAGAGTCCCATGGAGTGACATTTGTAAAGCGCCAGTGCAACAAGAGAAAGGTTTCCAAGAAGATAGAAAAATTTTTGAAGAGCAACATGGTCATGTTCTCCTTCAAGAGATACAAAAGCTGAAAAAATAACAAAATAAAACAAATTAATGAGGTAAGGCTAAACTTCAGCCATCGCTACCAATAATAATCCTTTTTGTTTTTAAATTGTCCCAACAGAGCCAAAGAGTACTTACTTGATTTGATGGCTAGGAGAGCTTTGACTGGCCTCAGGAACATCATACCCACCATCATGATTGGGAAAATAGAAATAGAATTACCCGCCATGTACATAATAAACAGATTCATTGGAACTTGCTTGAATGGTCCAAGAGCTATATCCCAAGATTTCTGAAAGTGAAAAATTCAAAATTACATCTGTTGTTAATTCTGGAGGGAACTAAAAAAGATGTGCTAAAGAAACTATTCTATGATTTTTAACTATATATTCAAAAGAAATGTCAAGATTTATTTCCTCTTGAACTTTGAGACTCCAAAGAGGAACCCAAACATGACCTAAATTTCTTCAAATGAGGAACTATGTTACTCTTGGAAAATCACAAGATGGTTCTTACACGCTTTAAAATAAACCTATGTAAATAGCATATTTGAACATCTTTAAAAATTCCTAATGAATATTATGAAGTGTACCTTTGCCACAAGGTGAGTGCTATTTGCCTCTCGTGATTCCTAATACAAAAATAAGACTTCAAATTAAAGGGGCTCTGTCGCAATACACATCACTAGTAATGTCAGAGTTTGCTGCACTAGTATTTTATGAAACTCTACCATGCAAAATAAAGAAATCGGTTTACAGTTTAACTGATTACGGTTTTTGAGCCGTTAAATTTACTTCAATCCAACCCTTACACTATTTGTATTGTTGTGTGTATACACGACAAAATGCAATACTCTCTAAGTTCCCAAATAATGTCACAAAGAGTCTGAAAACTTACCCAGGAATCCGACAAAATTCTAAGAAAAGAAAAAATTATACAAACCACATGCTGAACTTTGTGCTCTGTGTACCCAAGTGGTGCTGGAAGCTCACTATGCTGAACAAACTGTCTATCGGGCACATAACGAGGTCTGGGGGAACAAATTTACCATAAACGTTGGGAACGAAAATACAAAACCTCTCATTTGTCTACAATAAAAGCTTAAGCTGTTACTTAAAAGACAATCACAAGTTACACAACAAATAAAATAAAAGAGCAGTCGGTGAAATTTCGAGATCGTACCGACTAGTCAAGTCTATTGCCCACTTATTCGTTGGTCTTCGCGACATCGCACGGTTCGCCATGTTGGATGTTGTAGTATCTAACTGTACTCGCGCAGGGTCTGGATATGAATAGTACAAACAAACATGAAAGCGAGACGGGTTCAGTGGTAGACTCAACACACCAAAACATTACTTTCTGGTGTCGCTTTATGCAAAGTTATGTAAGAAAATACCGGGAAATCGGCTGTAAAACGTGCTTTACGAGTCCTTGCTTAATTCAGGACTGAGTATGGGCAGCCGAAATACACGTGGCTCCAGGAGGGAGGTCGAACAGAATCGAGATGAATCGACGTCAAATCCCGATGTTACTGAAGATGCGGATAGCGACGACAACGAATCTGACCTTGTGAGCGTGCTTGCGTTTCTGCTTCGTAGGTAAGAAGCCTTCTAGTTTTCCACTGCAGTTAAATTATTTAGTGTTTTCGAGTTTACATAATAAGGTTTCTTTTTCAATTATCTCATTCTTTTATGTTTTTTTTAGTGTTATGAAGTGTACCGCGAATAGGAAAAAGTAACATTTATACAGATTCGTATTTCACGTATCCGATAATTAGATTAATGCTTTAATCGGAGTTTTAAAGAATAAATGGTAGTCGAGGTAATATAATAGATAGAAACATTTTTGTTACAAGTTGTTTTGATTGGTTCTTTCTTATGCTCTATTGGAGGACAGACGCGAAGATGACGTCACCATAGACAACAATTTACTTTTTAATCACATAATACAAAGAGTTTTTATCTTGCAGCAGGTCTGTACAGCGATAGATCACAGATGGTGTCAAAACGTGGTTAGAAAATCAATGACTGTAACTCATGTACCACTTTCATGTTCTTACCACATTTTGACATTATCTGTGATCTATTACTGATCAGACATGCATCAACATAGAATCTATTTGTCAATAACATTTCTGTAAACTTAGTTATATTAAGTATCAAGACTTCGAAAAAAAAAGAATAAGAGTCTTGAGTAATTGCACATTTACTGTAGTTATACTTCTATTATCCAAAAAGTAATGCAACTGCTGTACTGTGAGCGCTCTTTTTCAAGTACTAAATTTCCTTGAAAAAGCATGAGCTACTTATTCAAAATTTCACTTAAGAGGAGAGGTGCTTGTTGCCAGGAGGGCACATAATTGAAGGGGGCACTTATTGAGTCTATGCAGCAATAGCACAAAAAAATTTAAAGCACAGATAATGCACAGAAAGGAACTCTGCAAGCATATGGAGATAGAAAAGAAGCTATTCTCATGTACTGCTTCCACTTGAGTCAAAGCTTAAAAAGTTATAATAGAAAAGGGTTTTCCTATGTAGGAAAGTGAGGGAGGAGGGGTGGAGGGGGTGATTATTCAAGAGGGTGCACGTTTGACGTCATGGCCAAGGTGTTTAGCACCTATTAGGGAGAGGGCACACATCTGGGCACTTAGTCAAACAAATATGCTGATTATATCAAGGGAGAGATTTGGAACAGCCTAATCAGTCTGGCAGTCCATCAATCTGTCTGTCTATTGGTTAGTCTGTCTTTGAGTCTGTCTGTCTGTCTCATTGTCAGTCATTCTGTCAATCAATCAGCTTCGACTTCAAATTGATATCAATGTCAATTTTATTCAGTGAGATTTTCAGCAGATCAGTTAGTCTACTCTGCTACTCTACCTTCACACAATTATGTTAGTCCATCTTCATTAAATTCTACTTTCTTGAATATTGTCTCCAGTGGTCAGGCTCGGCTTGTGCGTGCTACCACTGAGGGAGGCAGTGGGATCCACATCATTCATGGCATGTCGTCAAGTGACAGTGATGATGATGAAGATTTTGATGAAGATTTTGCTTATCACAATGGTAAAGCGGCCAGTCCTCCAGGTATTGTTGACCCCTGAGCTCCCAAAAATGATTACTATATATCTTCTCCATACATTATTGATACATTTTACAGCAAACAGGTTGTGAGAAAATGTGAAACTATAAAAAAGATGTTATATTCCATTTATTTGAAACAAAATCTCTTTATTAAATTAGAATAGATGAATGTCTGCTACAAGAGAGTATTAGTCATTCAGAACTTGGGAGCAAAAGCACTGTATCAAAGCAATTACAACAATCCATGCAAATAACTTATTTTGCTTCAATTTTTCTGTCAGTGATATTAATATGATCAAAATTCAATCCAGTCTAACCCAGTTTTCTCTGTTTTTCTCTTTAGTTGATCCAAATCCTAATACTCTAGTTGTTGATGTAAGTTATAGGATAATTATGTTTGTTGTTGTTCTTTTTTTTCTCTGGTCTGAATTTTTTTCATTGCTATAATTATATCTGGCCCAGAATACTGATTTGAGACATAGGAAAACCAAAATTAATGCTGCTTTTAAGATTTTTAAACCCAAGAAAACAAAATTTAGAACACAACAGCTATTAACACAGTTTTGAAAAATGAGTGCATCTAGATTTGTAATTTTTTTAATACTCTGCTTTCATATTTAGACATCAGAAAGTTTTAGTGTTTATAACTATGAGAGAACTGTTTTCTTTAAACTTTTTTCCTTGTATTTTTTAATTTATCACTTGCAGCAAAGTGTGTTTAAACTGGACACATTATTGTCAAGTGGTCAAATTTTAGGTGGTCAAAATATTTGTTCAAGGCTTCACAGGGTAAGTGCTGATAATATTCCTCTTTCTAACTGTTTTGGAAAATCTGGAAGGTTAACTAAGTCTAATGGGCTGAGTTGCTAGCAGCTTACAATACCATCTCAGATTTCCATGGCATGAGATGACCACTGCCCTTGAACAGGATGCTAGCTCACTGCAAGACCTACCACCCTTCCTTCCCCTCTGCCTTTCCCCTTCCTTCAACACTCTGTCTGGTCTCATTAACAATCTATTGACACCCCTTGTTAGAGAAGGCTCTCCTAAGTGTCTTGCCCAAGAACATAGCAAAATGAGTTAAAAAAGACTCTTATCTGGGTTATGGTATCCCACACCATTCATTTTAAGTTGGAAACCACTAACCAAATCTAAGGTATCCTTTGATAACCTTTGTGGACATTTTGCAGAGAGAAAGTTCCCTTCATAATCGGCCAAACTTTACCTCTAGTGACAAGGCTGCGGCTTCAGCCAAGTAAGTAAAAAGTAGATTTACTCTTGAACAAATTGAGACTGTGGGGATTTCCAGAGGGGTGACAATCAGTGATGTAAAAATGATCCTTAATTGAAATGACATGAAATTCAAGATAAAGTGAAGATCAACTGAATTAAGTTTGTGTTAGGGAGGATCGGTTTTACTCTGGTCATCACTTTTTAGTAGTTATACATGTAAGTAAAGATCTTTTCATACAGTATGTTAAATGATATTGCTTGCTATTTTTTCCTGGAAGACAGTTTACACAGTTTTGAAGTCTCCCGATAATTTTGTTTATCAACTGAGTTGATGATGTAAATTGGTCACCTTACACAGTTTCCAATGCTGAGGAAGGGCTAATATTTGAAACATCTGCTTTTATATAAACTCTGTACAGTGACCAATTTACATTTTCAACCCAGTTGATCTGAAGTCTCTACTCTCAATATACAGTCTTACATCATAGTTACAGCCAACCTTTCAATTCTCATACAGCAGTGACTGGAAATAATGCAACAGAGAAACCCAGAGGCTTTTTTCATTATAATTGTGTTCTATAGTCAAGTCATTGGCACATGGCAGTGAAAACTAGTGGAAGACTGTTAGTGGTACACTTGTATCATGGTTTTAGAATAGTTTTGTTTCCTTTTTGCAGTTATATCCCCAACAAGAAAGCAACAAAAGCTCAGTTTCTCCAAAAGCTGTTTTGTGGCCAGTATTCTAGTGATGGAACAGTATTTCTTTCAGCTTGTCAAGGTTTGTGATAATAATTAAAAGATAATGATCATCAACAAACTGTTTTGTCTTCATATTTTAACCCTTAAAACCCTAAGATTGGCCGGCATCTATTTTTGCCTTACAGTAATACTGCAGCTGAATCATTCATTATCTTGAGAATAAAGGAAATGATCACGAATAGACACTTTGATTGTTAAACAAATTCTCCTTGTTAGCACCAAAGGAGATGTAAAAGAAAAGAGTTTGGAGAATATGGGTACTGATGTTAGGGCATAAAGAGTTCATCCCGTTTAATTGCAATTATTATAATGATTCAAACATCACTGCCTTGTCAATTTTCTTAGGATTTTCCTAGATTTTCCTAGATTTTAATCAGCCAATCTCCTCCAAGGATTTGTTCAGAGAGGAATCTCCTAACTGGTGACTTTTTTCACTTCCTACAGATCAAAACATCCGTCTGTACGACACAACCCATGGACAATTCAAAGAGTTTCGAAACATAGTGGCAAGAGACGTAGGCTGGAGTATAATAGACACGGACTTTAGGTTTGAAATGAAGTGGTTTTTTCCTTTTATACATTTACATAAAAACCAGATAAAGTTCAAGATAACATGCAATTCCACCAGTTTGATTTATCCAGCTCTTTGTTGGTTTCTACTATTCTCCAAGGACTTAAGAGTTTGAACTTCAGTTTAATGCTTATTATTAATATATTTGTTTCTTTTACTAGCCCTGATCAGCAATACCTCATATATTCTAGCTGGTCTGACTACAGTAAGTTGAAGAATAGTATGATACCAAAATACCATGATAACAAAACTTCCATTGATGGAACAAATCATTGCTACATTATGGAAAAGAATCATTGAAGTTAAAATTTGTTGTTATAAAATGATGGTTATGAGGTACTGAGTCCAAGGAAAAATTGAACAGGTATTGGCTGTGTCCCCATGTTGAATTGTTTGATGTGTTACAGTTGCCACTATTATCTGCACAATCCTCTTCCAATTAAAGCAAATAAAAGTAATGAACTTTTCTCTGATCATAACTATCTAACCATACAAAGTCACACAAACCAAAATAATACCTTCTGGGTAATTCAAGCATCAATACTGCTGGTAATTGTGGACAGGGTTTTTTAGATAATGGGTCTTCTTTTCCTTAAATGGGATATGGGATATAAAATTTTTCAGAAAAAACCCTTTTATAATGGGTAATTAACTGGTTGATAATTAGTGATTGAATGATAACAACTTTGAAAGTTGAGTTTATTTTCAGATGTGGTGGTATGTTTTAGTACAAACTTGGTACTTGATTGAAAAAATTATTCTGTAAACCTGCTGGATTTTTGGTCCTCATTGTTTCAGTAAATGATGATAGATACAAAAATACAAGATGAAGTGGAATAAAAATCAAACTTACTATGAAATACAGAATCAAGGAAAATTTGAACCACAACATATTAACCACAAACTAACATCAGATAAGCAGACAAGTCTTTCTAGGTGATAAAGACAATAACTGTGTTTTTATAACTTTTTAATGCTCTCGATGTTTTAGTTCATCTCTGCAACATTTATGGTGACTATGAAACACATGCAGCTTTATGCTTAAAGTAAGTTACTTTGTCGTTAATTTATCCTTCTAAACTTGACAATTTTTCAAAATGTGCATAATGTGTAGGGAGGTCTTTTAACAGTTCAGGGAGAATTTAGATATCCAGTCATTTTTACTCCTGGACATTCAATCTTCAGTTGATTTGAACCCAAGTGTTGACTAACCCAGTTTGTGTTGGCCCGTTCCCAACCTGCTGGTCAATTTGTACCCATCCCAATGTTCATTAATTTGGTAATGAAAACCCAGGAGAACTTGTATGAACATAAAAACATACTGTGGGTATGAAACAAAAAGATGGACTGGGTACAAATGGAGCCTAGCTGGGGACAAATAAACTTAGTAGGAAAAGTTGGTGTGTACAAAAAGTCTGGTAAGGCCTCCTCTCTTGCCATTTTGGATGGCTAAAAATTCAGGGTCTAATTGGGTCTGATCTAGTGCTCCCCAACTGTATGTAATATCAGTGAGAAATTGATTTAAATGCTAGTGAAGCTTGAAATTTTTTAGGCCCCATTTTCTGTAATTTCTGTAAACCTAGTAAAGAACAATTTGTTTATTTATGATCTCATTCTCCCCTCTAGCCCAGAAGATTCAAGATTTTGTGCATTTTCAATAAAGTTTTCTCATGACAATAAAGAAATTTTAGCAGGGTTAGTATTCATACTCTTGTTAAAGATGAATTCTTACTTAGTGTTACCATTCTGAATCACAAGAGAGTAGCAAGAAATCAAACATTAGTTATGACATCTCAAAAAAATGACAAAAACTTGAATTTTGATAACATTGTATCATTTTCAAGAAATACCTGATACATGGTACCTGTGACTGGTCACACGAACTAAACCTGTACTCCTGGAAGAATCACTGCTTAGAAATCTCAGGTGTCATGATTTTAAAGTTCTTGAAGGCTATGGTATATGCATATAAGTCTCCCAGAGAAAAGAGGCAGTGACTTGTGGCACTAGAGGCACCAGAGGGTTGACTTGAGCTTAATCTTTAAAGCCACCCTTTACAGGTTGTCATGTATAACTGTTACAATGATTTCCTGTATGCATTGTGTTTAGAGCCAATGATGCTGCCATATATGTGTATGATCGAGAAAGTAATCAGCGGACTTTGAGGGTGAGTACTCTTATACTAAGTCTCTGAAATTAGTCTTGAACAAAACTGTAACAAAACTCTTGAACATGAGTGGTTATTAGGTCTGTAAGACATGTTTGATGATAGTTATAAATTTTGTAGCCCTTTGCCAGACATTCTCCAGGAGGGCTTGATACTTGATAGCTTAAGAATTTTTTCACTAACTTAAGAATTTCTTATAGCTGTAATGAACCTTGAATGTATTATTAATAATCAATTATTACTTGAGACAAACTATAATTATAGAACTACTCAGACAAGTTATTGTGTTTCTTAGCTAAGAGTGAATAGACATTTCTTTATTTCTTTATTTCTCCATTGTCCCTTTTGAACTGCAGGTCCATGGTCATGAAGATGATGTAAATACGGTAGCATTTGCAGACGACAGCTCTCATATTCTGTTCTCTGGAGCAGACGATGGTCTCTGTAAGGTTTGTGTATCAGAAATTATCCTTTGAAATGGAATGAAACCTTAAATGGACAAGTTCTTATGGCAGAATAAGAAACAAATATTTTAATGGCAAATATAGCAATAGCTTGTAGGTAAGAGCTATTTTTAATGTAGTGTGGAAAATAATCAGAAATTGCATTGATTATGCTGCACTACACTCTGAGATTGGTCCTGACCACTTGTGCCATTCCTTTGACCAATCCAATGCAAAAACTGAAACCAATTGCAACTTGGTCACCTTCACTTTATGGCATGTCTGGAACATTGATTTCCCTAGAGTTCTAATCGACTTTTTTGGACAGACACTTTGGTCTGTTGGTCAGTGCACTGGACTTGCTTTTTCTGAGAAAAACGCTGTACTTGCACAGTGGAAGTCACCTGGGAGTACAAATGGGTACTGGCAAATTGTCAGGGAAGACTAATAAAATGCTGGGGGTAAGCTTGCAATGGACTGAAATCCCATCCAGGGGGCAGTAGTAATACAACTAGTCACTTTATGTGAAGGAAACTGTGATCAGGCAATCGCTGGGTGGGCCAATAGGCTGAATGGCTATAGTGATGACAGTGATTTTTTTGCTAGTTGTCTTGATTAAAATACAATTTATAACAGTGATGATTTTGTTAGGAATTATTTTTTAAGTGTTGATGTCGTCCTGCTGAACTTAAAGGAAATATAACAATTGATGTAGGGATGAAAGACCAGAAAAGAGCATTTTTCTCTTATTTTGAAACAATTTTATGTAAAAGTTATTGTGTTGGACACATTAATGTATGCATATAACCCTTATTATCTGCTTTTACAGGTCTGGGATCGCCGGCAGCTATCTGAGAATTGCCCATGCCCAGTAGGTGTTTTAGCTGGACATGCTGATGGTATCACCCACATTGACCCAAGGGTATGTTACATCTTGTTTGAAGTCCCTAAACACAGAACCTGGCTTGCATCATGTGCCTGACCTTGCTTGTCTAACAGTTGCATTTATCTCAATTGATTACTGCTGTGTTCATTAAATGATGTTTTATAAGCCTTTTAAAGCAGTTGCGGTGTGCTGTTTCTTGCAGGTGCATGGGTTAGTGAAAATGTTTCCTGTCTGATAGTAACTGTTTTGCTTATTTCAGGGAGATGGAAGGCACCTTATCACTAACTCCAAAGACCAGACAATCAAATTGTGGGATATGAGAAAGTTTTCTGCTGAGGATGGCATCTGTGTGAGTGTTTCTTTAACCCTTTAACTCCCATGAGTGACCAAGAGAGTATTTCTCCTTACAGTGTTAATGCAATATCAAGCAGACAAGTGATGAGAATAAAGAAAAATAGCCATAAGGGGATTTTTATTTGATCCAATACTAAATTCTCCAAACTAACATCATATGAATGGTATGGCAGACAGTAAGGAGAATTACGGATGAGATCTTGGGAGGGAAAGGGTTTATAAAGTTTCCATCACTTTTTGCTCTTCATTTTCCATTTTGATATTGGTGAAGGCAGATGAATTAGGTAACCCTTTCACTCCTAAGGTCCTGTTTAGTAATTCTTCTTACTGTCTGTCACACAATTCTTATGATGTTAGTTTGGAGAATTAGGTATGGATCAACTAATAATTTAATCCCCTAATAGTTAGTGTATTGATATTGTAAGGAGAAATTCTGTCTTGGTCACCCATGGGAGTTAACGGGCAAAACATCTTTGAATATTTGATAGCTTTAGAATTTTTTCACTAACTTAAGAATCTTCACATCTTTGGTAAAATTTGTGTACTTGTTACTTCCAATTATTTTAATGAAAATTAAAACAACTGACTGAAATACTACTGTCAGTCACACTGCACATATCTGTTGAAACAATTGGGATATTTTAGAAGGTTGAAAAGGACATGTTATGAGTTGTTGGAATGGAAATAGGAAGCAAGTGTGACATTTGCTTGACTCAAGGGATCTGAAGGAAAAACAGTGTAGACTGGTCGAGTGAGCACAAAGAAAATGGAGAAAAATAAAAGGAAATGCAATTAAGGGCTGTGTGAATGTTGTGAAATAGTTGTCAGAGAATTGTGACTGGAGAAATTTTAATCCAATTTGTTTTTTTTTTCTCTGTCTATTGTGATGATGATTGACAACTGCATGAAACAAAGTGAGAAATTTGTCTCTGAGTTCAGACTTTCAAAAACTGCAAAGGGACAGCTCTTACCAAAAGCAATTAATCTTTTACAGTTAGGTTTAACACATATGAGAAAAAAAATAAACCTTGTGCCTCATTGTTATGGCTAATGCTTCCTGCCTGGCAACTTTCTTCAGCTGTTGGGATATGGTGATGCTGATTCAAACCTTTGCATTTGCCTTGCAGGCTACAAAACGTGCTGTAGCTGGTCAGAGGTGGGACTACCGCTGGCAACCGGTCCCACGAAAATGTAATTTTATTGTGTTGTCTAGCTTAGTTGTTGTTCCTCTTTTTTAGTGTGGTGTGTCATTTAGTACAAATGTGTTCCAAGTAAATTCTCTGTTCTTCCTTTTTGCTGACCTAAGCTGTGAGACGTTCCAAGCTGGATGGTGATTCATCTGTCATGACTTATCGTGGCCACAGTGTCTTACACACTCTTGTTCGCTGTTACTTCTCACCTCTCCGCACCACAGGACAGGTAAGTTAATCCTGCTGCCAGTAGAGGGCTTATTATATGGCCTTCACTTTCTCAAGAAGATCAAGCTAGGGCAACTGTTGTAATGACAAATAGTTGTAATGGCCTGTTGAAATAAAGAATGTGTAAAATTGTGAGCAAGTGCTTATTACTGGAAAAAGCGCACATCTATAATGAGTCTTAGCTCTGCGTGATACAATGCATGTGTGAATTTTTTTTAGCATGCCTGAACAGTGAATATTGAACTTGCCAGTATTTCAAAAATTTCTGTTTTCTTCCTGTTAGATTTTTCTCTTTTCTACAATTGCTTAAATTGCAGCCTATATAGAGGATCATTACATTACTTGATTTTTATCTGCAGGTCAAATGAAATTTATTTCATTAAAAAATGATGGTCAGATTCTTCCATGGGAAAGAAAGAACCCTCTTAGTTAAAATCCTGTAAAATGTGTCTTCTCCCAACTTGTGGCTTCATGGCTAGTATCTGGGAGGCACAAGTTTGAATGCTGAATAATTCCTGACTAACTCAGGCTTCTTTTTCTGCCTTAATTTGCTAAAATTGCAGCTTTTGATTTTGATATTTTTCTTCTTTCTTTAGCGATATATCTACTCAGGATGTTCCACTGGTGCTGTTGTTAGTAAGTGCCACATTACTGACTGTATTCAGTAACTAAAGGTAGAAATTAAATCAAAGAGTTGGTAACAGTTTTTTTCTTCTCTTTGTGGTCACAAAATGGATAACTTTTAATAAAATCTTTTTTGTTTTTGTTTGTGTGTAGTTTATGATGCATTGACTGGAAAAATAATCTCCAGACTGAGTGGACATGTATCCTTTTGTGCTGACAAAGCAAAAAATTGATTGCCTCAGGGAAGGGGGGAAAAAAGGTTGGTAAGCAAGAATGCAGGGAGAAACTCACCAGGCATATGTTTATCAGGCATATGACAAGCAAGAACATTTTCACAACTTAATTTTGGTCTAAAGATATTTAGGCAATAGACTACACTTCCTATTAGTTTAACAGTATAATAACCCACAAAAAACTTGTAAATCACCTGCTAGAGGTAAGTGATTTACAGTGGCAGTATTGTAGGCTATATATTGTCTAAGGTTTTTTTTTATAGTATTTCCCAAATATTTTTTTCTTTTGAAATCTGCCAACCAATATACTATTTTTGGCAACCATTTAAAAATCTTCTCAATGAATAAATTCTTTAAAATGAAGAGCAAACTAGAGAAAAAAAAAACATTTTTTTTTTTCATTTACTCTTTTCATTTAGAATTGGTATGCCAAAGGTTTAAAACTTCCAAGCCTAAGCAAAAATGATAACAAGACCTCCAAAAAATTGACAGAAATCAGCTGTGCACTTAGCCTTTCAATGAGATTGAGAGAATAGTTTCTTCTAAAGTACATTTTGCTCACCTTGACTAATATGCAGAGATCAGCAGTGCGAGATGTGTCATGGCACCCCTATGAAAATGAGATTGTCAGCACCTCGGTGAGTAGTCAAGTTCCAAGCAATAATTCTGTAACTGTAGAATCCAGCTAGGGCAATAGTGCCATTCAATTTACTCTTTCACAAATTTAACCCATGCATGTCCCTCAGCAGTGTGAAAGTTCATGTGAAAGTTCATGGTCAGGGTAGAAGGTCATGTTCATATTAAATGCTTAATATTGCCATTTGTCAGAATTAATGAAACACAATTGATGAATTTTCACCTTTCCATGCCTGCACTTGTTGCTGTGCAGAGGACATTGACAAGAAGATTCAAACAGCATTTATGCAATTGTGCAGGTTCTCTGATGAACATTTACCACCATTTAAACATATTTACAGAATATTCAAGTCAATAAATAATTTAAGCACTAAAACAAAATTAGGATGAACACTTTTTTTAAGCAGGAACAATTCTACTGCAATAGCTATAACTTATAAGACACTTTGATGTGTAGTATACTTGCTGAATATTTTTAAAAGATGTGCAGTATTTTGACAATTCCACTGCAGGGTGTTAAATAGAAACAGCAAGTTATTTGTGTTCTACTTCATGCAGTTGGATAATAATTCATTTAACTTTCTATCTAGATACAGCTGTCATGTTACTGTCTATGTATCTCTCATTTTACCATCTAATAGTATTTATCTGTCATTTTTCTTTTTAATAGTATTTATCTGTCATTTCTTATAAAAAATTCTGAATATAAACGATGTAATTTTATTACAAGTTTATCTCAGTAATGTCCTTCATATGTGTGAAAGAGGCCTTTGATGGTGATGTCTCTAATACTAAGGTTTTCAGAACACAGGATTCATAAGGTATTGGTAGTCTTAAAGAAAAAGTTTCTTAATACTGTGACTAATCTATTCTTGATCTCTGTTATAGTGGGATGGAACACTTGGCTTGTGGAGATACAAAAGGCCAAATGATGAGGAGGATAATAAAGAAGAAGAGGAACCAGAACCCAAGCAGCAGTCTGTGGGGCCCTGTCGTCGTTCTATTCGTCTCAGAAACCTCATACATGTATAAAATCACAAAACTCATTACAAATTCAGTGTGATTTAAAAATTCCATAACATATTCTCTTGTGGGCTTTCACATTTTTTCTCTGGTCCATAAATGTTTACTAGTAAGGAGCAAAACAGGTAACTTTCACCTAAAGATGGAATTGCAGTCTCTTCACATGAGCTTGGTCGACCAGGCTGTCTCAGTTTGCAGTACGTATTCTCACCATCTCTTTGAAATTTCATTGAGTTCACATGAGAAAATTTTCATGGAACAATAACTGGGATGAAGAAATGTACCATGGGAGAGGAAGACCAAAAATGTCCTGCTAACTATGCCATCCTTGTTGTTGGAATTAAAGGAAGATGGTTGTTGTCTTTTCTGTACATACGGTTTTGTACTTGGTGTAATTTTTTCATTGGTCAAAACGTGAACCAGCTCTCAATATACCCAATAGTGTAATTTATGTTGAGTATAGGAAGCAATTTTTGGACAAAATTATTATTAAATAAATTTTGCTAGGACTGCGTGTAATCCAATGCTGTTTGTAATCATATTAGTGATGTGTGTAAACCATGAGCATTATAATTACTGACAGAATTGGATGACACAAAGTCATGTAGTTAAAACTGAAAAAATGTGAGAAATAAACTACTCACTGATTGAGCAATTAACTCTCTTCCATAAGAATATGAACAACGTAGGCTATTTAAATTCGGATACAAATCAGGCCTAGTACCCAATCTTGCACAGGTATGGCACAAGAACTACCCCATCGGACTGTTCCGTTACAGGCATGAGGCATACTTTGTGTCATTAATAATGGTAATAGGACCGAGTGGAGTCCAATTTGGTCTGTAATCATATGAGTGATTAACAAAATCAGACAATCACAAAGCAGGATTCTGATTTGTTTACCACGAACTCGTATGATTACTGACAGAATTGGACAACATGAAATCCTGTTACCAATTAATCATAACCATTTCAATTTCTGAAAAAACAAGTACGCCTAGAACAAATATCTCCACTGGAGACAATGTCTTTAGTTAAATATTCCTCCATTTTGGAAATTGCCTTGTTTTTCTTTGGATAAATGGTTGTTGCTATGGTTATTGTGATCAATTCTGTGATTGGTGGATTAAGCTGAGTGGACCTAGTATGATTGGCTGCTTCTGCTGTCCGATTACAGGTGTCTGATTACAGCCAACTGTCCAATTACACTGTCCAATTACAACTGTACAGACTGATTAGTGTAAAATGAAGCAGCTGATGCACCAATCACATTTGAGGAAATTGTAATGGTTATGACTAGTGCTTAAATCGTGCTAATGATAACCAATCATTGTCAAGTATTTCATTCACTTTCTTCATGGTCTTGATTGATTTTAGAATACCTTTGAAACAGGCCAAATACATGTAATAGTAAGGAAATTGCTGGTGTCATAAAAGGAACACTAAACAGCTACACAATGTTTATAAATGGTAACAATGGACTTTTTTTAATGTTGTGAGTTGTATTACAAGGTAATATTCTTATCCCACTTAATAGTAACAAAATTAAAAATTGCTAAAAGCAGTGATTGTGACTAGGTTTAAAAATGTGGTATTTAATGTTTAAAATTCTAAAGTTGATTTTTATATTTGTTGTAATGAACTTGAAACAATAGAGACCTTAAGCAATGAAGACAAGGCAAAACGAAGGATCAAATGAGTAGAACAATAGCTCAGTATGTGGGTTTTTGAAACTTTGTACATTTCTCAGCCATCCTCTGCAGAACAATAATTTGAAATCATCAAAATTTACATGGTCTGAGAACAGAAACCCTGATGGCAAATTATTTAAGTTTCCAGTTGGAATTATCTTTTCTTCACTCACATTTTATTGATATTACTGTGTGATACTGTGACAGACGGTAGAAACATCCAGCCTTTTGCCAAATTCTTCCTGAAAATATAAAATAATTTATTTTTTAATCAAGGTCTTCCTCAAGGTTATTGCCATGACTGCTTAGGGCCTATAGTTTCTCTGTCGTTACTTTCCAGCATTGTTTTGTACAAAATCGAATCAAAAGAATGTAGTCATACAATTTAATCATGGGTCAGTGTAAAAATTAAAGGTTCAAGTGTGATGTACCCTTTGATGTTCACTGTTTTGAGTCCAGTCACTTAATGGGGTTACAGGGTTGAAAGACGTCAGTCAAAATTGTTTTTACTTAATTAATACTGTTGAAATACTATGACAAACCATTGTTGAAGAAGATAAAATCAACTTTATTCTCCTGATATTGTCTTGTCTGTGGATGTGTACAATGCTAATAAACTGCAAACAGCATAAAAATACCTCTTGATCCCATTTAAGAAAATAATATAGATACACTGAACGACAATTTTAAACAGAAAAATTGCTAGTGAAGTTATTCCTCTGCATCAATGCAATACCATGAGAGTTAGAGCAAGTAAATGAATCTTTGAAATTTGACTGGCAGTATGCATAAGGTTTGGGGAAACCAGCGGATCTGGGTTGTTAGGTTCTGTCCCATCTACATCAAATCTAACTTTGATTTAAGAGAGAATTTTCATTTTAGTGAACAGGTGTGCAAGGCTTTGATGCATCAGTGTAAGGCAAATTTCTTTCTTTGATCCAGGATAGCCTGAACAATGCAATAGACAAGTGAGCTCTGCAGATTGTGGTATCTTCACTGAAGCTCATGATCATGGCTTATCAGACAGAGATAAAGACATTACTCCATCAGGGCAGAACATTTGATATGTTATTTATGTTGATGGGCAGTTCATAATTGTAAAATAATGTGGTTTGGAAGGAAGTAAGTAATAAGTTCGCATGGATAGTTCATTATGCTTGCTCTAACTTGTCTGAAATACTAAGAGAAAGGCAACTTGACTGAAGCATGTCACTCAAAATTACAAACTACCTTACTCTATATGGTACCAAGCTATTTATAATACAGTGCATCCAAAATAATTCTCATTTATTACTATTTTCTATGTACAAAATATGGAGAGAACATGCAAAATACCTCTAAAGAAGTACTGACCTCCTAAACAACTTAATCCCAATGAAAGCAAATCTACAGAACAGTGAAGGACTACAAAGACTAATGTTTGTAATGATCTGGTCAGCTACAGTGATCATTCCTTCTTTTACTAACAAATTATATGACAAGTTTTAAATGTTTATTTAAGATAACTTGTTCTTGGGATTTGATTTGTAAATAAAGTAACTGATACAAATGTAAAATGGAAGGCAGAGATCTTTAACCTAAAGTCAGGAAGATAATCATGTAATTCCGACTTGCACACATGTTTGGGAACCAACAGCTAACATGATTTGTTAGTTAACTACTAACAACTCTGTCATGGAAGATATTTGGGATATGGGTAAAGAAATTAAAAATCTTCAAACAAATTACCATGGCTTTCCAAATGAAGATTCAAACTTATTGAGCAGATCTGCATATTTTACATTGTAAATTCTTTTGAGCAATGTCAAACTTTCTTAGGTGAAAATTAAGGGGGGGGGGAATTAGAAAAAATCTCTAAGACTTTGCACTGAGCTGGATAATACCATACAAACAGGAACAAATTTATACCAATAATTTTCGTAGTCAGCTTTAAGAAGCTATCTATGCAAGTCAACCCTGCTTCTAGAAAGAAGAAATAAATACAACTTACAACCCTAAACCAAGTTGCAGCTGGCCTCAAACAATGTACACAATGAGTCATTTTAAAATTACCCTTTTTTTTGAGCTAACTACATACAAAAATAATGGTACTTTTTATTAGCCAGTGAGACTGTGCTTTATGATCAACTACTGTACGATAAAAATTGTTTTTGATTCACCCTAAATGGCCCTCCCAACATCTTTATACTAATACCACAGCATGAATATCAGAATATGGAAAAAGATATTCTGACGGGATCTGACATGACAGTGAGGGCCACAGTTTTGATCACATGCAGACCTCATTGTGAATTACTCTCTCTAAAACCTATCCTTATTTGGTGAATTTTTCAGAACTTCTATGGCCAGTCATAACCAGAGTAATGTGTGTGGATACTCTCAAATGCTTTTCTAACAAACTGAACGAAGTACCTCCCTCATTTCTTTCTTTTACTCCTAAGCCTACTAAACATACTAATATTCTTATTAGCCAATTTAAATAACTATTTCACACACTGTACAATACATTAATTAATTTACAAACAAATTTGCCAATTCCTGAATTTGCTGCTACTTTTAACTTAACTACATTTACCATCTTCCTCTAAAACCCTGCTTGCAGTGTCTCCTATAAAGTTGTATATGTTATTCCACAGGGCAAAAAAACGGGTTAGTTAAACAAAATCTTGTCCTTCACTGCATCAATTTAATATCCACCTTGCATGTGAGGTTGGTACTTAGAGAAAAATTCTAGTAAACAATGAACTCAAGACAAGTTTGCATGAGAAAGGAGCCTTTTTTGACGGGCAATCTTGATGCAGTGACACAGAGCTGCAAGAGGGCTTGATATCACTTCTTTTCAAGTCTGCTGTGTGTGAGATAAGCCTCCAGATACAACCCCACTCCATCTTAATTGTCACGTGTCAAATCTCTCTGTCTTTGGGACAACACCGCCTGGGAGTGCTGTTGAGGGCCCTGGGACATATTTCCTGTCCTGGACCATTGGTACTGATTGCATCGGACCTGCCACACTTGGACCCGGAACATTCACTAATCCTGGACTGAATAGGTCAGGGCGGTTTGGAGGGAGAGGGTTAACTGGTGACTGAGGTGTTGGAACAGCAGGTGGAGGGGGTGATGCCATAGGAACAATACTTGCTGCATCCAATTGTTCAGCAATGTTGGTACCTGATAAAACAAATCACCAGAAATTACATCTTGTTCATTTTGACTGTAAATAGGAAGTCTATCAATCAGCATCATTAATTTCATGATTAAGGTAAAGTCTGTACTCCAGCAAGAGCTTATCTCAGTTTCCTGAGTATGAAGTGACCAGAAGTATCATAATTCCCTCCCTGGATGAGATGCAAGTCCATTACAAGGTTGCCCCCCCCCCCCTTGCATTTCATCAGGCTTCCCTGACAAATTGCTGGTACCCATTCATACTCCTGGGTGAAGAGAGGCACTGTTTTACCCAAGCACACAACACGTTGACCTGGCAGGGTCTTTAACTCAGACATCTCAACCCTGAGTCCAGCCTATTAACCATCGAGCAGCCATGTCTCCTGACAATTTTATGCTGAGTAGTTACTCATTTCAATCTAAGATTTGGATTACAGTACACTATTTGAATGAAATAGTAAAATTCTCCATACAGTTATCTTCTGCAAGTAATAATATCTACTGAGAGCAGGAAATTTACTGATTCTTACACATTTTAAAAAATCTTTGTTAACAACAATTACCAAGAAATTAATTTTAACTTATTTAAGCCTGAGGTTAACTCTTCACAAGATTGTGGGCTGCTTATCTAGCAAATTCAGGTCATGGGATTGACAGCAATTCAGTCAAACTTGCCAAACTAACCTCCAAGTAGCATTTCTGAAAGAAGGCTGTCAACCTTCACCATACCAAACAGCCTAGCAAACTGCACTTGGTCGATCATCTCTTTGGCTATACTCTGCATTGTTGGCAGCATAAGAAGCAATTCACCAAACTTTCCACGGCTGTCATACTGATCTTTAGCAATGTAATCTTCCAGCATTGTTTGAACTTCAAATCTTAAAGATTTGATTTTCTGAGAATCACTAAGTCCCTTGGCATCTACAAAGCACAAATTGTTATGATGTCAGTTCAGAGAATGTGGCATTGAATCACCTGACCATCCACTAATTGATACTTTACTCAATTCTCATCACTTGTCTGCTTAATATTGTATTGATATTGTAAGAAGAAAATCTGTATTAGTCACTCATGGGAGTTAAAGGTTAAATGTTTTCTGCTCTCACCCTCTAGTTTTAATATTTACATCTGAGTTGTTGAAGTTCTTCTTTATGCAACAACTTTCAGTTATTAAAAAAAAAGATATTTATAACCAGTCACAATTTAGTCACATATGCCACATAATCCAATAACATATTTCTTTCCTTAACTGATTATCATTAGAGATTACAAAGATCACTGCTCATCACACCACTACCAATAGGCTTAACTCTGCATCACACTTTTACATTCTAAGAGGATCTATTTCATTAAATCACAGTAAATTTTCACAAGTCTATCACATGATGGGCATGTTCTCATGTCCACTGAATTAACTGGAGTATGACATGTGAAGTTATGAAAACCACAAGACATACAGGTAAGTAATTCAACTCTCACACAATATGAAAGGGAAAGTAAAAAAAGATTTTTATAGCACAAAAGCCACATGAATATGATCTAATGGGAAGAAAATGTTGATGACCAATATCAATTTTCATTTCAACAGCCATGGAAATAAAATTTATACTGAAAACTGCATTGATGTCTTTTTTGGTTTCTTTTTGCTCATAGTTTCCTGCTGGTGCTTTAACTCCTTTTAAGAGTAATTTGCTAGTAATGCCCAGGCTTGCAAACAAGTTGTCTGCAGCTCAGTGGTAAAACATCATACAGAGAAATAAGAAGGTCTGTGTTGTTCATTTCCCTCTGAGAAAGTCCAAAATTTTCTTCATTGCATGTTTGTGATAAAACACACTATTTTCTTCATTTGCTCAAAATCTACCATGTCTTTTCTTCTCTTGTCTGTTGGTTAATGTAATTTTTCAGTACTTTAGCATGCTTCAAATTTTAAAACATACCAGGATTGAAGAATACAATAGCCTTAAGGCAAGCATGTTCTGTATCGTCAACATTCCACTCTTTCATTGGCTCAACCACTTCATCCAGTACACGAGTTGATATTCTCCGCACCTCAGCATCAGCCGCTGTTCTTGGAATGACAAGGTCATTTCCAAGTAACAAAACATCCTTTAGACTCATAGACCGTCGTGAAACACCCAATATTAAGTGTTCAGAGGCATGCGCCCTTAATAGGGCAACCTGATCATCAAGCATCAGTTCACAAAAGGCAGGTATGTGTTTGGCCCATTCCACAAGGACCAGGAGTTGTTGACGCATTGATTCACAAATGTCACTGTAGTTTGCCTCCTTATCCATGCTGAGGGTTTCTACTATTTAACATAAAATTCAGTAAAACTGATATTAGATAAAGTCAATTTTTGTTAGGGTAAAAAACAAATTTTAAAGAAGGGGGGGGGGAGTGAAAATCACTGTAATTGATGATCTACAAACAAGATTAAGTGATATGCCCCCACATTATATAAAAATGCACCCACCAATAACAAGGCTCCAGGTGGGGGAGAAGGGGATAGAACTAGGTGTACATGTGATACCCCTGCGTGCATTTTCCCTCTTTCTCCTCCCCCCTCCATCTTCCCCTACAAAACCATCAATTAAACCCATTAACTCCCAAGATCTGATTGTCAATTCTCTCCTCTAGCTGCTACATATTTACATGTGAGTAAGTTACCAGAATTTGATATTAGATTAAGATAAAAAGATAAAAAATTCCTAAGTTTGATTATTCTTATTATCTGTTTTCTAGATGACCTAAAACTGAGTTAACGTAAATCGCTTGTTTTCCTTTTTAAAGAAATTTGATATCAAAGGAGAGTGAACAAAAAAAACTACCTTTTCACCCCAACAGATCATAATAGAAGTTTTAATTCAATTAACTATGTAAAATCTGTAAGATTTAACTACTTGACCTTAGCATTGATCAGAACCTGAACTCTCCCAACTATCATAAAGTACATAATCAAAAATATAGATAATGAGAATTAAGAAAATTATCTACTGGTAAATACTGTTTGAATATACACCTGTAGCACCTAGGAACCCAAGAAAGTTCAAGACAAAAAAGATATACACTTTACAGGTAAGGAAAGTTATCTCTTAGATATGGCATATAAAGGGCATTTACCTGGAGGTGAAGTTGCTGGTCGTGACAAAATCTCAGCTGACAATAAAACATCTGTGGTGAGCCCAAACTTGCTGTCTGCTTCTTCCCCACGTGGCCTTTTTGAAATTGTGTCCCTCTCATTTTGAACAGCTACAAAAAAGTGCAATTTCTATCACCTTTAGGATAATTCTATACCTTAAACTCCCATGATTGACCAACAGAAAATTTCTCCTTTCAATATCAATGCAATATCAAACAGGAAAGAGATAAGAAAAATAATAATATCAGTTAGGAGATTATTAAATGATGCAATACCAAATTCTTCATACTAACATTTTAAGAATTGTAGGACAGACAGTAAGGATAATCACTGAATGAGATCTTGGGAGTTAAAGGATTAACATCTTAGCAAACTTTTGTCTCGCTGATGTGGAAGGGGTAGTTTTCACAGAGTGGCAAGAAGACAAGAAAAACTAATGCATTATTTAAAACTTTTAAGTTGTTTAGTGGCTGGATATGTCTCTGTAACACTATAATTGTGTGAATATCTTATCATTAATCTTTATATTTTACTTTCTTAATTATTTTTGTTAACAACTCATCTGGATTGAGCTTTTAGCTCATAGGCATTAAAAGTAGAAATAAAAGATTCATTTTTACACTGATTGATTGACAACTGTTAAATACAAATGAAAATAAACTTGTGACTGAAGTAGACCCTTCAAGCCAGGATAAAATCAGAGCTCATGAAAATGAAAGCCTTAGAATATGGGACCACAGGATTTTTAGTAATTCAACAAATAATATACAATTTGCTATTTAGGAGTTTCTCTAAGTTTGTTAGTGCCCCACTGAGACAGTCTGAGAGAAAAATTTCAAAACCAAATAAAAAAGATTAACAACCCTTTTTCTCACAGAATGATGTGTTTCAAACACTGTAAACCATTAAGATAATGAGAGTCAGGAAATAATTTTGCCTTATTGTAGCAGCAAATTCTCAGTGCTGGTCAAAAAATATATGTTTACCACTAAGAAACTCCATTCTAATATTGGAAATGAAAGAGTTAAAGCACAAAATCCACCTTACTGTCAGAGAGATACTTGAACTGAGGACCTCTATATCAAAACTGTGACACATGACACTTCAGCTAAGCTGCCATTTGATGAAATGACTGATGTTAACACAAACTTGGTAAAAATCTCTGATGCCACTGTAGCGATGATATTTTTGTTCCTTTTTTTAGATCTACAGCAGTTATATCCTGAATATTTCACTTAAAATTTTTCAGGCTTTTCGATTCTAATCCCTATTAATCTTTTTAATCCTTAATGGCTTTGTTATTTAAGATTTATACTCCTCATTTTGATGGGTTTTTTTTTCTTGCAAAACAAGAATTTTGGGCACAGAAATAATTTTTGTGTCGCAGAAAATAAACAACAAGACTCCTTTAAATCCCAAAAGAGATTAACAAGCAACTTCTCCTTGCCATGTCAATATATTATTCAGCAGCTGGAGAGCTACAGATGGTTATCTTGACCAAATTCTTTTTCTAAATCACAAAGAGATGTAAGGCATTCAGAAGGGAGAATTATTCCTCACATGTTAGAAGTTGGAAGGTTGAATACTCTACTTTACTAATTTTTCTGACTGTTCCTGAACCTACATACTGTCACCTTAAAGGCTATTAAGAACTTGTCATAGGCATAGAACAAAGAAAATATCCAAGTTCTCAACAAGGTAGATATTAACATCTCTCTGGTATTTGTTTAAGAGGAGGCTGCATACTTTAAATCATAGGTACTATCTTTCTGATACATTAATTTTTTTTTTTCAGACCAGCTACATTGGTAAGAAGTTTTCAGTTGTAGTGAAGGAGTTTAAACCAAAATAAACAACACAACAGTTTGAATCAATGGATGAAAAAATTGTTTGTCAATTTTGAGCATTAACTTAACAAAAATTTGTCTTAACTATATGAAGGAAACTTGATGTATGTGAACCTCTGTAGCTCAGTGGTAAAGCTTCTAACAGGAAATTACAATGTCTGAAGTTTGCATAAAAAATGAATCACATTTTGGCAGTTGAATGAAAAGTGATCAATTATTCCTTAACATTCCACTTAATAAACAGACTCCATGCTGCTGTGTCTGTTTAGTAATGGGTCACAGATGACGTCAAAATGTGGTATGAACAAACAAGTGGTAAACAAGGCACAGACCCACATGTCACTGATGTTTTTACCACACTTTGACATCATGTTGTTGACGGCAACATGGAATCTACTTGTTTTATTTAACAAGATGCAAATTTTTTAAAAAAGAAACATCAGCTATGCGTCTGTCCTCCACTAGATCAAACATTAATAAAGACCAATCAAAATTCATGCATTTTTCTGCTGATATAAATTTGCACCTTCAAGCCATTTTTTCAATGAACATATTATAAATTGGATGTCATCCTTAGTGGTTTGCAAAGAAATTTGAGCAAATAGACCTTAATTGTTGATTTCAACAATGTAAACTTGTAAATTTACAAGAGGGGCTATGCCTCTACTTTTTTAATCTAAAAATTCAGTTCTCTCTTTGGCTGCATATCACGTGCTGTATTACCCCTCTCAAAATAAAACAAAATTCTGCGACTTCAAAATATCAAGTGAAAGAGGGCCATTGGTCGTTCGCAAACATTGTGTAAAGTGTTGATTTTAAAGCGTTGGAGTCCATTTTAAATATTATCAGAAGCTAATACACAAAGTGGTTTGGATTTCTTTATACAAAATACAATAAATTTTGAAGTGGTAACGCAATATAACTTTGCGTCTGCACGAAATCTCGGCGTCAAACGGTGAACATCAAGACTTTTTGGTAGACTGATTCAGTGAAAAATATATATAACTTTGAATCCGCTCCGATCAGTTTTTTGTTTTAAATATATTTGTATATGTAAACTGAAGATATACGATGTGCTTTTGTCCTTAAACCGTGTCCCGGGATTATTTTATTATTTTCAAGATCTTCCTATTTGCATTTCGACAACAAACTGTCGACACGCGAAGTTGCTTATTAAAAGATAGAGCCGGTACTCGCTTCGACGAGATTTATCACTTGAAGAGAAATTAAAATGCTTATAATATGATAAAAGTTCTGAACAGAGTTGGGTTACAATGGCACCAAAGGGTTAGCTTCTTCTCAAACCATAGTATTTGTAAATCACATAAAAGCAAACGTCAACCTTTGTGAAGAATTTACGATTGAGCACGTATATGGATTACGTCGAAAGCAATGGCTGAGCGCGATGAATAGATTTTTCTCACCTTCTTTCTTCATGCCAGCCCGAAAACATTTTCTCAACCGACAGTAGCGGCACTGATTTCGTTTGTCCTTGTTGATCACACAAGCTCTTTGAAAGCGACAGGCGTAAACATGATTCTTTCTCACGCTCCTTCGGAAGAAACCTTTGCATCCATCGCAACTCGACGCTCCATAGTGCTTGCCTGTAGCCTTGTCCCCACATATCAAGCAGGCCCCGTTGTCAGCATCGTCTGCACGATAAGAGCAAAGCAGGAAACAGTTAAACAGCTCACCTGTGATTATTTTGAATGTGCGTGATGTAACAAACACGATCTGCAAGCGATCATAGTTGTTTATTACCGCTTTTGCTCGAGCTCTCGGCCTGCTTCACACCATTCAAAAGCTTGTCGGTCATTGACGACGACAAGAGTGGACTTTATCCCTAGAGAACACTGTGTTCCGAAACGGAACCCTCTACGTTATATTTATAGCCAGTGAAATTGTACTTTGAACTCGACGGGTCTCCGGTTGAGTTTGGAGAAAATACGACTACTCATGGCTGCCACGCATCGGAGCAGGCTTATCATAAATGGAGGGTGGTTCTTAGGATGTCATGTGACCCCAATGCCTAGCACGAGATGGATGCGAGATGTCGATTTCGACCCGATATTGACCGAGGTCAACTTGAAAACAAAGCAATTTTTTCGATTCAGGAAAAAAATAATTTTTCCTAGAAACCACATATTTATTACCAGCAAATGTCTCACGCCATTTTGTCTGTGTTCCCTGCGCGACAACCCTTTTGCGTCAAGGGCAGGGGGTCTCCGAAAAGTTCTAGAGAAGACGACAAAAAACCAGCTGTAGGAAATGTGTGAAATAGTAAAGGTCATTCGAGGTCTCGGCTTCAACACTAAGTGAACAACTTGTCAAAATCGTAATAGGTACTTCACGTAAAATCAACAATGATTTTGGTTTCAGATTGGCAACTTCAATTGCAATTTCGGCAAAATTCCGTCATTACGTACCTTTGTAGTTATGTCGAGTCCAATCACGAGTTGTCTTACTGCCACGTTTTTAGTACAATTCAACGCCCAAGTATGGCTCTCGCCTCGGTCGTTTAAGGTCAATTAAGGAAAAACAACTATGATTAAAAGCCAGTAGATATGATATCCGTCATGTCTCTTTATTACCTTGGGGTAAGGACAGATGCGGTGAGACAAACTAATATACAGATTGTCTATCAATCAAGCCGTTAGGCCGTTAAATATCCACAGGTTTCTCTCCAGCTGTGTCATAGACAAATTAAACACGAATAAACATTAAAGGATTTTGTAATTTTTAAAATCCTAAAATAGCTAATCTTCTTATCTTATTCTTTATAGGCACGTGTATTTTGTATTTATCTAAGAACAATAGAATATTTAAACAGAAAAAACAGCGAATATAAAAAAATTGCTTACGGTAGCAAGTTTCAGATCAGCAATTGTTTTATCTGACTTCCTGGCGATTCGAAGTCACTTGCGTAAGAGTTTGGTTTATCAAATGTTTCACAGATGGAAAAAATTTTATAATGGAAAAGAAGAGAATATTAGATACTCACAGGGATAGTGTGGCGCAAGTTCATTCAAGTTTATATAAACACACCCCCACCCCCACTCCCTCCCCGGAAGTGACACGGTTTTGAAAGAGGAAGTAAAATATTACCTCGAATGTTTAATCCCCTAGGATCGGTGAGATTACATCACCCCTTATCTATATACTCTTAACTCGCTCGCCTCTTGTTAAAACAAAATTAAACCTATGTAGTATTCTGAGTAACATTCAATTGTCAGCCTAACATTAATAATAGAAGTTACGAAATTTCAAGTCAAATGACTCGAAAGATTTATAAGTTAAAGTACAATTTTTAAGCCGTGCTTTATACAAAGTCCACATGGTACCATCTTGAATAGAAAAACATAAGAAACAATGCCTCCCTTAAGTGCCATCAAACCTGTCAAGGCAAATACTGACTGACAACACTCATGAACAATCCTCCAAAGCGGATGTTTCTTTTGAGGTTGATGCAACCCCACAAAAAAATTTTCCTTAATGAAGATTGCTTGACTAGTCCAATCACGAAATTTTTAGAGGCGCATGCAACCTTCATTTTTCGATCGATTTTTGCCTCTTTCGGCATGATGTACCTGCAAATTTAGTAATGATGATACTACAGCCAGATCTTTCACCAAGATTACATCATGTTTCGGGTTTTAAATTTTTGCAGATTTCAATTGCAGATCGTCCTCGATCCAGAAAACTAAATTTTGTCGAAAAATCTGGCAAATTAAACGCAGCAAAAATTTACCTCCTTCAGTTATGAAAATAGTGTCAATTCGTGTTCTTTGGATGCGGACCCACTCGAAATATCGATGTATTCAATATATAAAAGTATCGGGCCTCTTTCAATGTTTATTCTCTTCTACTTGATTAGTAATGCTTGATCAGCAAGTTCAGCTATCTCCAATAGCAAAATGTTATTCCCACAGAGCAATAAGAATCCCTATCACGCCAAAAACACACTGCTGTACAATTTTTAAGCTATCCACTATGTGTCAATCCTCCTCTGCCAGGCAATTCCCTTGGCCCGCCTCTTATTGCTTTTAAACGCGAAAAAGAGTAAATTTCTTTTCTTTGTTATTAATCGTGGAAGTAGGGGTACAACTTTATTTTCATCCAGTGTTTTCATTCAGGTAAAAACTCATAATTATTTAAAAGGATAAAGCAAACTAGCTGCCCAAACTAGGAAAAGCTAACAACTTATTGTCAGTATTAGTTAAACCTGCATTACAAGGATCCCGTGTATAAACAGTATATCAAATAACTAGACAGATGCGTTCCTCAATTCATCTCAAACTCATTTAAGGAGTTCGATTTATTTCTGTCGGTAAGCTTTTCTCTTGCACCTCCTCGCTGCTTCCGCTAACACATCTTTTATAATGGTTAGTAAGTGGCTGAGGCGTTGATACCTTGTATTCAGAATTTCTTATATTTTAAGAGGGGTTTCGTTACGCTGGAAAACCGTGAACTTAAATTGATATTTCGAAGTCTGTGGTTAATGACTTTGTACAATAATTGCTGCACTAACGGCTCATTTCTCCCCGATGATGCAGCCGCACATCTCCCATCAAAGATTGCGTGTATGACTGACTTTCGAGTCACGAACTAGTGAAATACCCCTTGCAACCTGTCATTATTTCGAGACTGTTCTCTTTCATTAGCTTTACTGATTTTGAATGATTATTAAATGTCGCCGCGGTATCTTTCATCTTCTGCGTCTGTGCCCCCCTATAAAGAGTGCAAAAAGTCAATCGTATGCCTGACGGACATCGTTAACCACAAGCGGAAAAACAATTTTGACAACAATGAAACAGAACAAATATCAAGTGAAAGAGGGCCATTGGTCGTTCGCGAACATTGTGTAAAATGTTGATTTTACAGCGTCAGAGTTTATTTTAAATATTATAGGAAACCAATTAACAAAGCGGTTTGGATTTCTTGATACAAAATACAATAAATTTTGAAGTGGTAGCGCATTATAACTTTTCATACATCAGTGTAAACATCAGCAGACCTCATACATAATGCGTATTCTGGGCACGCTGTTCTTGATTTTTAGGGGGTCTTCTCTATTTGTATTTTTTGTGTGTGTTTAGAGCTTTTTCCGGGCTCTTGTGAGGTTCGTATTATTGGTTAAAACTAACAAAAAATATTTTCCGTTGAATGTAACACTCGTTTTTTTTTGAAACGGGACATAATTGGTATTTTTATATCTTCTGTTTCCAAAAACAATTCATTAAAAAATTAAACGAAAAGTGCTGAATAATGGATTTTTTTAAGCAAAACGTGATAGATGCCTATCAAATATAACTCAGAAATCAAGATTAAAAATACCTAAATTTTTTCCTTTACACGTTTGCCAAGGCTTTTCTCATAGAAGGGCTGACTTTGCTGTTGAAAGCCAAAGACGCACGAATTTTATGCGTTTACGAAACCTGTTCAACAGAATAAACCATTTTTGGTTGTTTTTTACATGTGAAGATCTAAAACATAGTAGCAACATAAACAGATTTTTCATGGACCCCCTACCACTGGGAAAGAAGGGAAATTGCCAAATTATTCGCCTTTTTTTTTGGCCTAAGGAAGGAGAGCTTCTTAGGAAAAGGCGCGTCTGCAAGAGAGGTACTTCACTCTTCCTCCTCCCCCACCCCCCACCATACAAATCTTTGTGACTTTTCATTTGCAAAATCACATTTTCAGACCCGAAACCACACCAGACTCAATAAAACACCGTAAGACGACTACCAGTTGGTAAAAACTGGTGGCTAAATAAGAAAATCGATAGGAAATGGCTCTTCATACTAGCACCAACAAAAGCCCCAGCTACTCTCTCCTCTCTAGTGGGTAATTTATTTAACATCCACACGGTAGGGAGCCTAGGGGAGAGTTCTCGGAATCGATAACTGTTTCTCTGCAGAGGTGAGTAAACTTTAGCTCTGATTCTTATAACTTAATCAGTTTGAATGTTTAACGTTGTGCCTCAAGCGGTATATTAAGCGTTGAAATTTTGTTTTAAGTGGTTATACGGGAAAAAACTGCAGAAGTTTTTGGACATTTTTGTGGCAGAAAATTTACATGTTGAAGTCAAGTACTTATTGATCACTCGAAATCGTTAACACCATTTAAATTTTAATGTCGTTTGTCTACAGAGAACTCCATAGGAACCATATTCTGTGTCGTTAAACATCACAGTGGAAACTTTCATTTGCATTTACGCAGTGATATCAGAATTTTGTACAGGTGAACTGTAAAGCGCTGTATTTCATCCACCAATATGGCGCAACGGGATTGATTTGTGTATGTTTACAATCTAAACTCTCATATTATGCATATTTGCTCTCGTTAAACTCACAACTTTACCACTTGTTTGGAAAAGCAAGGCGAGGATGAAATGCCCATCCTCAAAGTCTTTCATCGGGGTTAGTGCGTGTCGAAGGAATTACCGAATAGGTAATTAATTTTATACACATAAAATGAATAAAATTATCAATATTGGCATTTGGGAGTGGTTTGGGAGGGAGGTGGGTTGTGCTGACATATAACGGTCATCAGAATTACCCGCAGAATGATTGTTAAGTGAAGAAAGAGAGTAAAAATAAAAAAAGGCAACTTGCAAAGAATTACTTCATTTATTTACTTGTTATCTATTTTGTTTGCTGGCCCCCAATATAATTGTCAAAAGACTTCTTTACAGATTGATTGAAAACTGCTAATTTTGATTTTTCAGTTGGCTTTCCCCTTCTAAATTGAATTATCAGTGAAAATCGTCAATTTATGAAAATAAATCTGTGATTTAAAACAATCAATCTCCATATTTCTCTTCATTTATTTTTTAAATTTTGAGTGATCATGATTGCCTTGATTCCATGTGTAGTAATATCACTTAAATGTATTTTTTTCCAAATGCTGTACTACCTTGAATTTGCATCACTAATACATTAATTCTTCCCTGCTATCATCCACATAATCACTTATTTCACTGATGCAGAGTTTGTACCAAGCTTTGAGTTTTTGATAAGGAATATAAGGCTCCAAGCTGCAAACAATTTGGTTGCCAAGAAAAACAAAATAAGATTTTCACATACACTCCATATTGCACTAGCAATTTACAAAGGTTTGCTACAAGACCTATAGTTTGATACTTAGTTGTAAGTTTTTCTCAAAGATTAGACAATATTGGCCCACGTTCAATGTGTGAATGGGGATGTCACCTTTAATAATTGTGCTTTTTTAATCTTAGAAGCAACTCACAAATTGTTACAGCGGTGGAATTTATGCAATGCATGTGGTAATGGAGGAATCCAAGATTGGCTCAGAGGAAACAAATGACACCCTAGTTGTGTTGGAATTCTCACCAAAGGCTCCATCAGAGACTAAAGATTGGCTGACTGCACTTATAAAAGCTCCAGGTTTGTTATGTTTGACCAGTGCTTGTTATATTTAGTTGACATTACAATAGACAGGCTCTTGTTTGAAGGAGAACAAGTGTTTGTAACAGCAGTTGGTTTTTATTGGGTCTTGAGAGGTTTGGGTGTGAGACCAGGCTGGGTTGTTGTTTTGTATTCTGTGGCAAAACACTTTACTCTCCCAGTGCCTCGCTCTGTCCAGGAGTATAAATTGGTACTGGTGAATTTTCAGGGAAGTCTGATGAAATGCTGAGGGATAACCTTGCAATTGACTGGCATCCCATTCAAGGGAGAAGTAGTAATACTCCTGGTCCCTTGATGCTAAGGAAACTAGAATAAGCTACTGTTGGATTGGCCATGTGGCTCAAGAACAGACTGTATGTGTGGTAACACAACCTTAGTTGTCTACATTGTGATATGGATAATTGAAATTAGAAAATAATCAATGTCTTTATTTTTTAGGAAAATTAATTAAAATTTTTTAATTTTATAATTTCTTTTTCACCTGTAGTCAGCAGTGGAGGTGCAGGACTCCAGGCAAAACTGGTTCCAAACTCATTGAAGGGCAGTGACACCCTGCATATTTCTGCCGACACCAAACGTCTCCTTGTGGGAGCAGAGAAGCTCAAAATTAAGCGATGTCTCAAGAATGGAGCACCTGTGGATTTCTGCATGGAATTGTCCCATGAGTTTAAGGACTTTAATGATGATGGTGAAGGGTTTTTGACCGAAAGTGAAAGTGAACAAATTGTGTTTTTGGCACTAGAACGTATAAAGCCTTATGAAGATGGGACTGTTCCTGGTTATCCTGAGGTTAAACTTCAAAAACACAGGGCAACCAGTAAGTACACACAAAATATGAGTTAATTTGCATATTTGTACTACCTAACGAATAAAGGTTACTCATAATGAGCCTTATACTGAATTGTTGTCAGAAATGATGTTAATATTTATTGGTTGATTTATTATATATTTTTACTGCAATAGTTACACAACAGAACCCACAACTTTTAAAATGTCAGTTGATAAATGTCAAAGTGTCAGAACATGGCTGATCAACATGTTCCATTCTTTAATTGGGATTGATATGAATGTGATAACATTTGTGGAAACATAGTATATTTACCTAAACTTCCCAAAGTAAATGTTCATATGAAAAAGCTTTTATAAAACAAACTTTTGATTGTATGAAAATAACTTTTGATTGTGAAGGAATGGTAAAAACATGATTCCTTATTAATTGTTGACATGAAAATTCAATTTCAAAACTAAACCCAATGGCTCAAACCCCTGCTAACACAAACCATTTTCCATTTCCTATGGGAGTTTGAGTCAGAGGGGTTTCATAGTAGTTATGCTAAGATAAGAGTTTATTTTCTCTTTTCAGTTCCAAAGTGTTTATCCAGTGGAATTATAACCCAAATATTTCCTCTGCATGACAAAGATAAACTCAAGGCCTTGGAGCACAAGTGGATATTTAGCCTTTCAAGGAAGCAACCTTTGGGTAATACAACTTTCACTGAATGTTTAATGGTTTGAGCCCAAAAAGTGACTATTATCTGATTTCTCCTTACAATATCACCCCTGATTCTCACATTAAGGTCATGAGAATAAAGGAAATGATCACCAACTGATGATGCTCTTTATTGTTGGGCGTGTTCTCCTTGTCAGCACCTTAGGAAATATATAGAGAACAGTATGGAGAATGTGCATACTGATGTTAAGGTGTAAGGGGTTAAGAAACATTAATCCAAATCAAACACAAACTTTAGCAGCCATGCCGATAAAATACAAAGTAAGATAAAATAGATTTAGAGTCACTCCTGCATTCATAATACACAGTAGCCCCAGAGAACTTCTGATGAACACTGAAGACATGGTCTAAGATAGCTTCATGAAAAATAATGAATTAAAGGCAGCTAACTCTTTGAATTCTCTGAGTGAACAAGGCAGAAATTCTCCTTACAATATCAAAAAGATATCAAGCAGACAATTGATGAGGAAAAAAAAACACAAATTAGGTGATTCTTAGTTGACCCAGATTCTTCAAAAAGTTAACATGATAAGAATTGTGAGGCAGACAGTAGCTATGGAGAATTACTCATGAGATCCAGGGAGTGAAAGGGTTTAAAACAAAAATAAATCAAGACCCAAAAGTGGAAGGAAGTAATAAAGAAATGAGACTGAGCTGCCTGTTAACCCTTTAACCCCCCATGAGTTACTAGGCAGAAATTCTCCCCACAATATCAATACAATATCAAGCAGACGACTAATGAGAACAAAGAAAATATCAATTAGGGGATTCTTAGTTGATCCAATACCAAATTCTCTGAACTGACATCAAAAGAATTGTTTTGCAGACAGTGTGGAGAATTACTTATGAGATCTCGGGAGTGGAAAGGTTAAGTTTTTGACAAGAATTAGACAGACCATGTGCCCTTCATTATAATATATATTACCTAAAATAGTTTAATCTGCCCACTTATTTTAGTGGATACTCACTTTACTCATAATTTCTTGTCTTTTAGATGATATAAGAGAGTACTTTGGAGACACAATAGCATTGTATTTTGGTTTCTTGGGTTTCTACTCATTATCTCTCGTTCCTCCCGTTCTACTGGTTCTTGTCTTCGGACTGTCTGGTGCCCATGAGCAGACAAAGAATACTGTATTTGCCATTCTCAACCTCTTATGGGGCACGGTGTTCTTAGAGGTGTGGAAACGCCGCTGTTCTGAGATTTCGTTCAATTGGGGCACGCTCAGAGCAGGCATAGGTGAGTCCACCCCGAGTGATAGTATGCTATGTTTGATAGCTGACTTATACATGCATTTTGACTGGGGTTTCAGATTTAACTGTTAACTCTTTACTGTATAAAATAAGACAGAAATTCTCACGCAATCAAAATGATAAATAATGGAAGAGGTTCACACCTGACCACACGGCCATGTTTATAGCTCCCCTTTAAAATCCTTTCTTTATTAGCTTTTCCAAATGGAGAATACCTTTGTAACACAGACTTTTACCTCCGTCTGTTCAGCGTGAAATCAGGCCCACGTGTTTGGGTTTCGCCGTACGGACCCTTTCCGGGCACAGCTGCCCTTTACACCATCGGCAGACGCTTATGGAAAACGTTATCGAAAACCCTGATTATGAATTCTATCTATTGTACCTTAGGAATAGAGGAAGTTGAGGAGCCACGCCCAACTTACTGGGGCGAGAAGCGTATAAGCCCCATAACAGGACAACAAGAGTACTACTACCCACCATGGATGAGAAAAGTCAAAACATACTGTATCTCTTATCCCATTGTCATTCTGTGCATGAAACTTGCTACAGTGGTCGTGCTTTTGTACTTCCGCTTCCTTCACGCTGTCGAGAGCCAATATGCAAATGTTGGAGGGATTGTTGCAACTGTTATGCTGATATTGCCAAGTATTTTTTTTGCTGTGATGATTGCCGTGTCCAATACCCTGTACCGCAAACTGGCAACATTCTTAAATGAATGGGGTAAGTGTGGTCACGGCTCCTTTTAGATTTTGCACAGGGTGGATGGATTTGGCCTTTAACCCTTTTAAACCTTCAAGTGATTAACATGTAACTTCTCCATTTAACCCTTTAACTCCCATGAGTGACCAAGACAGAATTTCTCCTTACAATATCGATACAATATCAACCAAAGAAGTGATGAGAATAAAGAAAATATAAATTTGGGGATAATTAGTCGATCCAATACTAAATTCTCTGAACTAGTATTGAAAAAATTGTATGGTTGACAGTAAGGAGAATTACAAATTTGATCTGGGAGTTAAAGGGTTAATATCTAAACATTATTCAGCAAACCGACATGTAATGAGAATTCTCAAACTTATCAGGTAGAAGTTATTTTCTTGATCTAACACCAAATTCTCGTAACTGATTTATAAGGAAATGTGTCGCAGCCAAAGGAGAGAGTTAGCAATCAGATCTCGGAGGTTTAAGGGTTAAAGAATGAATTTTCTACTTTCCAACACTTTTTGAGTCAAAGGCGCGATATAGTTACTTGAGCCGATAATATCCGAAGATGTCCGAAAGTTTCTAAAGATTTTCTGAATATGTCCAAAGACGTTCTGATGTGCAGAAGGTGTCAAGAGCATGAGGAAAGCGCGTGGAAAGCGCGAGGGGCGAGAAACGCACAAATGATTGGCGCATCTTACGTTCTATCGCTCCCCTGGAAAAAGTATGAGCAAGCCGCCAATACCGCAGGCACTCAGAGTTTTTGATCCACAGGCATACGAATCAGGCCCAAGGCGTGCGAGTTCTTTGGTACAAAATTTATCAGAAAATTTATCCTGTAGACTAACAGATTTTCAGATTTTGAAAGCACTGCCAAACGCGTTCAGCTCTATATTTGGGCTTTATTTCGCTCTCTCCTTATCTGTAAATTCCTTTCTTGAGTCTCAACCAATATTTTGACCATATTCGATATGTCGCCTTTTTGTGTCGTCTTTTTGCTTCGGGTGGATAACACAAATATCAACCTGGAAAATTCTTGATGTCATGCAAAGAGCAAGTCCAATCCTTGTTCATTATCCGAGATCTCGTTGGATGCCTCCTGTGGATACCTTTTCCTCTTCTTACTGAATTTCCTTAATTTTCAGAGAATCATCGCTTGGAATCAGCTTACCAAAACCACCTCATTGTCAAACTGGTTCTGGTAGGTGTCTTAATTTTTCAGTTAACCAGTCTAAGTTCCTAATAGGGTTTATGCCTTGTTTTTGTAGAAATTTAAGGGGTTTGTGGCCTCCAAATCTTTTTCTCACCTTGCCTTGAAAAGAATTTCCACAGCTTCGCCCGTTCCTGGTCGTAAATCTTGCCAAGCCTTTATGGTCATTGGCCTCGTAATAGCCTCCAACTATGGCTTATGAATACATACGTTTAGTGTTTACTTATAAAACTCCCTGAAGAAGTCTACGACAGTTAGACAAAGCGCGTCGGAGAATGAAAGAAGTTGAAAACAACTGTTCGCAGTTTGCTGCACACTAGTTTGGTTTTATAAAAACATAGTTTGTCCGACATTTTCAGAAATTACTTTTCTTGTTAATTTTGCTTTAATGCTTTAGCTTACTAAAACAATTTTTTTTTCACTCCTCTATGCAGTTTTACTTTGTGAACTGTTTCTACTCACTGTTCTATATCGCATTCTACCTTCAAGATATCGATTTGTTGCGAAGGGTAAGTACTCATGACTGTTCTGCGAGCCGGTCACATTTTTATGCCAAGTTATTTGACCTTTTCTTGCAATTAGACGGAAAACCTTGAGAGGGCTGCAGTGAATGTAGGCTGAAATGAAGAATGGCGTTTTTATGATTGTCTGATTCCCCATTTCTTATGTCCTGATTAGTCATTCGTTCACTTCGTTTGTTTCTTCCACTGTTCAAAATATCGTAGAACTGGGGGAAACCATATCAATGAGCCGTTGGACGTTTAGAAAATACCAAAGAGATATTGATAAAAAAGAGAGAAATAAGAAACGATAAGGATGGAGAAGGATTTCTCTAAATGTAAACGATAATCTTAATTTCTCGACATGCACGAACCATTAGGTTGGTTATTTAACAGAAGTTTCAAGTTGTTTTCAGTCAACCCTCTAGCCCTTAAGAGTGATTAGCATCTATTTTCTCCTTTTAATATCATCCCCAGAATCAAACGTTAAGGTTACAAGAATATACGAAATGATCACCAACTTAAGAAGCTCTTCATTGTTAAACAGATTCCTTTTCATCACCTCAGGAAATGTCTAGAGAACAATATGGAGAATATGCATACTGATGTGAGGGTTTTAATGGTTAAAGGAACTGGTACATGAGCTTATCGACTTTTTCTTTTGCCTTCTAGCATCTTGGTGCTCTGATGATCACATCGCAGTTGATTGGACAAGTGACAGAATCCCTTATTCCTTTTTTTATGTACAAAAGTCGCGTCACCAAAGTCTCCAAGGAAGGAAAAAAGATTGTGATGAAGACCGCTGACTTGTCAAATGAGATTGAACGACAAGCGACCCAGGAACAGTATTTGGTAAGGATCACTTACAGTGTTCTTGGGCGAGAAGGGTTGGCTATTTACCTTCAAAGTTCCTGTTCACCTTTATAGAAAAGTAAGCTGAGGTCCTGCTGTATTGCCCAGTGGCTAACCCAGCCAGGTTCTTTTGTGATACGCGAATTTCATACTGCTAGAATCAGCATTGTTGCAAGTGTCGTGTGTGAAAATAGAAAAAAAAAAAAAGAGGTGGTAAATTTTGAGTTTGGTCAAAAGACGAAGAAGGAAGACGAAACGAAGAATGAAGAAAAGGAAGAGAAAAAGGAAGAAGAAAGAAGAAAAGGAAGAAGGATGTTCTCTGTTTTATTGCACTGAAGCTGTAATTTGAATGCGTGCATAAAATCAATACTGTATCTTTTTTTTTTCCTAGGGTACTTTTGATGATTATTTGGAGCTGTTCCTTCAGTTTGGTTACACGTTTCTGTTTTCGTCCGCCTATCCTATGGCCGCCTTCTGGGCTTTGCTCAATAACGTGATAGAAATACGAACCGACGCCTTCAAGCTTTGCCGTATCTTTCAAAGACCCTTTGCAAAACAAGCCAACTCCATTGGCGCTTGGCAGGTAAGGACACGTGTGGGTGCCCTGTGGTGAACCTACATCTACGATATACTTTTTGAATTTTTTAATTTAAGGATTACGGCCCTTGCTTCCTTGAAAGGCGAAATTTGGCCGAACACCATATAGAAGGCTAGTAAAAATGCCTTTTCGAGGATTCACGGGGTTTAGTTACTGCATCAAACGCAGGAACCAAGGTCTGATATGGTGAACCTCGGTCACTTACCTCGCTCTGTTTTATTACTCAAGATAAGCTGCCATCACAATGACTCTTTAGCTCTTGTACGGGAAATGTATATTCTGGACTGGAGTTTCCTGTAACTCAAGAGAAGTCCGTCTTTTTAAGTTAAACAGTCGTTAACTTTGTCGAGAAGGTCAACTCTTCAGTCCAGAGTTTCTCTTCCGGTCGATACTAAGTCGCTTCGATAACTCTTGTATACTTGAGTCAGCACAACTGGGCAAAAATGTATCCTGAGCACTTCTGACATATTTTTTTGTTTGGTTGGTTGGTTGGTTTTTTTTTTATTTTTTTTTTTTTAAGGCGGCGTTCGAGGCACTTGGTGTCATAGCTGTCATAACAAACTGTGCTTTGATTGGCATGGCAGCCAAGAGTGCTCATTGGCTCCCAGACATGACACCTGTCAATGCTGTTCTCTTGTTTGTTGCCATTGAGGTAAGAATAACATGGGTTTATTTATTTATTTTTTTTATTTCCCTGGTGCGGTTTTCTGTGTTATGCTGTTATATTTGAAGGCTCCAGGGGTCAACAAATTTCTATCCAACGTTTGCATTAATCCCGTACCCGGATCCTACCGTGTAACTCGGCATGGAAGGTCTGGGTGCGATACTCGATTCCTATTGCCATTGAAACGATGTAGACTGGCTGGTTACTAAGCGTAGTTCCAAATGTGATAGTCATTTCAGCAGTACTGCGGTAACTGTTTCCTTACAGTCTTCTCTGTAAATTGTTCTGCTGTATTCTAACTGCCGCCTGGTCACCTCTGGTCGTAGAGCGCCGGACTACCATGCGGAAGGTGGAGGGTTAAATCCCCAGACCGGACCAACACTCAGCGTCTTAAAAATAGCTGAGGAGAAGGTGCTACCTTTGCTATGCAATCTGAAAATGGTTAGACGTTTTAGTCCTCTCGGATAAGGACGATAAATCGTAGGCCACGTCTCCTGCATCTACTCTATAGTGGTTAGGAGGGGACGTTAAGGAACCCACGCACTAAGAGAAAGTAGCTCCTTATGTTGGGGTCTGGCCTTGTTTCCAAAAATTTGGGGTACCGACAAAATTTCCTTTCAAAATTGTAAACTGCTCAATGCAGTTTGGCCAAAGTCCCTCGCACAATGTTGCAAAGCACATTTTAGCGTGTTAGTATAGATAATGTGTTATAAAAATGCCTCATCATCATATTAATAACTCTTTTGTTACAGCACTTTCTCCTGGGAGTGAAGTTCATTGTATCACACGTTATCCCAGATGTACCGCAGTGGGTACAGGATGAAATGGCCCGGCAGCAGTACAAAGCTCAACTCGCGCTCAGGGTAAGTTCTTTTTATTTGGTTATTCAGAGACCTTCTCTTTTTCTAAATTGATGTTGTTTACTCTTGTATTTTTCTCGCTACAGTCTCAGGGTGATGACTTAGAAGGCCGCAGGAGTGCATGGAAGGAGACGACGCTATAACTTCAGCAAGTTACACTGAGAACATATTCTAGGCAGTTAGCAATAAGCAGAGGATTTTTACCAGTATTAAACCAAGAAACTAGAACTTAGAAACTCTGGGTAATTGAAAATGTTGTAATGACAAGAAATGCAAAAGAAGTGTCTTTCTTAAAAGCTGTTGGGGCAGCTGGTTACTTACTTCTCTTTTGCATAATCGTCAGTTACCATTTTTTTCCTCGACCTTTTTTATACCTTGACTCATGAGGTCCCCTGTTTGTCATCAGTGCACTTTTAGCTTGCAAATAGCGCTTCTTTCAGGAACACCCCCCTCCTCCCGCCTTAGGAAGCAGCAATTATGTTGGAGTAAAGATTTATGCTGCCTTTAAAGTCAGTAATTCCTGACTTCTCTCTGGAAATGTAGTTTTCAGTTGAAATGGCATATTTTGTGAGGTTGGTACTTTAAATTTACGAAGCAAAGTTGAACGAGAATGGGGAATTAGTAAAGATGTAAAAAGTTCGTTGCGTGACCAACACTGTGTTTCATGACGGCTTAATAAATCAAAGGAAATCGACTGTTTTAAAAGTGCGTGCAAAATATTTGAGGGCGTTACGTCTGGAAATGGAATGTTTGGAAAGTGCGTGCAAAATCTTAAAGGATTTGCATCTGGTTTTGTGCATCTTCAAAATTTTCTTAGAAATAATCGCACTAATATTCTGTGGTTTCCTTCAAGTTCAGGGTAGTGTCGCACAGCCTGCTTAGCTAGAGGTTTTGTGTGCGCTTTAAAACTGCGGCAAAAATAAGCAGCGAAGCCTTGAGAGGTTTCGGAACGGAAAATAAGAGAAACTGCTCGAGTACCAAATAAGCCGCCCTAATTGCAGGCTACTTTTGAGCGGCCCGAAACTTGACTTGAGGTAACGTGACTTAACTCTTTTAAATGTTGTCTACCGGGTAATAGTTGTACACGACTACTCAGAACTGAGATAGATTTTTTATTTGAAAGGCACAAAAGTAGATACCCTGCTTTCTTGATCGTTAATATTGTGTAGCTCTTTAAGGTTGTAATATAAAGTAACGATTGCTTTGAATTAAAGATCAGGGGGTTTCGCAATGGTGTGTTGTGTGTAGCCGAAAATTTGAAAGATCGAGGAATCCTTAATCAGTCCTGAGGTTTATTTTGTCGTTGAATTTAGAAATTGATTAATCTTCATCTCAATTTACATTAAAAGGAACCGATATGCATGTAGCTTTTACAGGTTGGTTTTGTAAGTAAAATGCCAAGTAGATTAGAACTAAATAATTCAAGTGGCGTGCAACCCGAAAACTCATTTGCTATTATTCGTCTGATTTAAAAAGAAATATGAATTTATTAATAGGAAGTTAGGTAAAAAGAGCTGGCAAGCCACCTCGTTTTTCACGTATTGACTTGGGTAAAATATAAGGTATCATGATCCAGCAAATATTTTTACTCACGTGCGATTGGTCTAAACGCAGCACGTGACCGAATTTGCCCCAACTAAAACGGGGTGATATCCGAGAATATCATCCAAGTGATATACCCCAATTTTCAAACCTTACGTCCACTACGAAAAGTCTTCTTTTGAAATTTAATTCAAGGTGAGGAAACGTTTTGTGGTTGTTACAGAAGAAGGGAGATATTTTTTGTTCGTAAAGTTTGTACCAGAGAACACAAAAAAGACATCTCACGCTTCATACAGTAAGCTGTTCGTAAACAATGTTTCACGCGTGTTGCAGTACATTTGAAGGATAGGAAACACGACACCAATTTTGCGCAAAAATATGCTTGTATTTTTTTCCTCGAACATTATCTGTTCCTCAAGGTCAGTTTTCCTCGAGCTTCACTTTCGGAAAACTGTTCGCATCTTGGAACAAATAATGTCCGTGGACAAATATTCGTGCATATTTACGCGCCAAATAGAGGTTATTGTTGCCCCCGCAGGGTTTTTTGGCCCCAGAGGGCCAAAAACCCGAGGAGGCACCTTAGGACTCCCCGCGTAATATAGAGGAAGACTTGAGAAGAGAGAATGTAGGTATTTTCGGTAGATCATAACCAGAAAAAATCTCGATTTGATCGCTTGCACGGCCGCAAGGTATCAACGTTTTTCCCGCAAATGGTCATGGGCGGCCAGCAAAAAGACACGCGCGCGAGGACTTTTGGGATCGGCGTCTTTGACACGAGCTTTGTCCTTGTCGAGATTTCGAGTTAAGCGTCCGCGTCGAGAAGCGTTTCCAAGTCCAACGGTAATTGTGTATAGCATCTTTCTAACAATTAAAGGTAGTTTTGAGTTTAAAAGGTGATCAGAATCCGTCAAAAGAGAAACGGTTGTGTGAAGTCTCGATCGAAGGCGGCGGAGGGTCCACAGCTCAGTCAGCTAACGTGAGAACTTAAAGCAAAGAACTTGCAGCATAATTAAAGTATAACCAGATATCAAATACATGAAAAAGTTGACCTTCTAACTCGTTTGCTTTGATGTTGGATTATTCTCAGAGTTTTAGAGTTTCTTCGGTCGGAGTCCACGCGACCATCAAAGTGTGAAAGGCGCGGAGAGTGCTGTTTTGTGCTTAAAAGCTGTCTTGACTCATTTGTGTTATACAGAAGTTAATACAGAAATAATTTCACCGATGCTCAGAAGACGGTGTAAGTTTAGCATTTTGACCGAAAGACTCGGTTAACTCCCATTTGTCAGCCGCAAATCAAGCTTATTGCACAAAGCCGAAAGACTCGGCAATTTCTGGATTTGTCAGAGGCAAGTCTGTTATTGGGCGCGAAGGACTCGCAGCACAACTGAAAGTAAACAGTAGTCAAAGAAAGGAAATTACTGGTTGTAATTGTAAATTACAGCGAAAAAAAACATCCCAAGCACTTCGCAAAACTACATTTTGTACACTTGTAGTATTTTGAGATCCAAAATTACTAAAACCAAAGTATTGAGCCACAATTCCGTAACAACATAACAGAAAAATTACACAACTGTAAACAACAAGCCCAACTAAAAAAAAAAAACAAAAGAAAATGGTACTCTAGGGCGGGGGCAGCTCTAGTGAGAACTATAACTAGTTTATTCATTTTATGGCAAGGTAGTTCTGAGGTAAATCCGGGCATTCTGATTGGTTCTTGCCTGGTCCATATTTTGCCACTCTGATCGTTTCCACGGAAACGTGTAGTCTCCGTTTCCACGAAGTCGTGTATTCTTGTTCGGGAAAGCCTAAACAAATTTGGTCCGATTACCATATATAGAGAATAATATATGGCGCGCGTAGATATGGAATTTCTCTTCGAGTGTTTAACTCGATAGCTGACGAGTGAGCGCAGTGAACGAGTGAGATGTCGAGTTGAACTTGAGAAGAGAAATTTCATATCTACAAACAGCCATGTATTATTTTATTTACCATATAAACACAACAGCCCTTTACTGACAAGAAAAGCCGACTTCTTTAATGAATGAAAATAAATGAATCGACAATCCCCGAATAACGATCGTGGAGTGCGTCGGCGCTAACGCTTAAGATGGAAGAATACGTTGAATCATGCTCACAAAAACATCAATGGTCATAATTTTCAATATACAAAATTCTCATTTATTGACTTTGTCCTTACTGACAGAAGAATTCTTTCAAGTAAACGGCCAAAATCGGTAGCGTCAAAGGCGAGTGATCTGTCAGCAGCTGATTGGCTATATCAACACACGTGAAAAAATAAGATATTTTTTCAAGTGCATTGTTACGGATTTTCTTAGGGCGGAAATCCCTGTTTAACGCTGCAGTTTATGTGATAAAATAAACTACTTAATAGTGTCGCTTGCTAGAGCCGCTCTGGCTAATGTTGGTCCTCAGTCGTCTTTGTGTGGAACTCGATGCGCTCAGTCCGTACTTTCACGACCAAGGGCCAACATTCCCCTTGGCGGCCCTCGAGCTCGGTTAGTGAGAAGTTGATATAGAGGGATGCTTTCGAGGAATTAATCAATTGTTATATAAATTCAAAGTCTGGTTTAAAAATTAAACAAAGGGGTGGATGGGTTTTATTAAGTTTAAGAACTAATTCTTCTGAAAAACCCAAACTACATCGTGCAAGTCTTCAACAACTGAGAAACAAAATTATTTTTTCTTCGCTCGGGTCCGGTCCAGCTGAAACTATTTTCCATAGGGTAACAGAATAAACAAACACAGGGCGATTTAGTGGTTATTTAATATCTTTATTTACCCAGTTTCACAGCTCTAAATAATCAAATGAAAAAGCAAATCATTTCAGTCTTTGACAACACGTGAGCAATGTCACATAACAATTATTCCGTCTGAAGAGGAAAGTTCTGACAAATTACACATTTATCCACATACGTGTTATGACACTTTAATTGAATGCGAATTCACAAGTGGAAAATACGGAAACTCTTTCGGTGTATTTAAAGATTATTTGTCAAAGGCAAAGTGAATATCGTTGAAAAGTCTCCGCGAGGAAGTTGAAGGGATTATTCAATAATATTCACTGAGTCAAATCATGAATGTTATTCAGTATATTTTATTTCTGTGCTTGAATACTTTTTGTTGCGTGGTGGTAACTGGCAACTAGCTAGTCTTGTAGGACCGCCGTCTTTTCTTTTCACGGAGACGTAAAACTTCGGTAAGCTACGTTTGTTCATTTAGTTTACTTCCATGCTTTCGAGTTCTGATGTAATTTCGTTTTGTTGCTGAAACCATTCTGCAAATTGTGCATTATTTTACATTATTTTACATGGTTATTTTACATGATTATTTCGAGTGTGAAAGTTGCTTCCTTCATTGGGTTTCCTCATAACTCAGATAGGAATGAAATGAGTGCTGATTGTCCACAAAATATGTCATTTTGTCAGGACGCCCCATAACTTCATAAACCCCACTACAACTATTTGAATTTAATCACGTCGGAAACATTAGCCAAAATGTGTCTGCCATGCGTCAGCTGCTAACGTCATCCTGGTTATCGTAACGTCAGAGTTCTTTCTTTTATTTACAATTAATTAAAAGTTAGACAGTTGAAAACAAAGACTTGATTTCTTGGATTTCTTGTGTGTCAGCCAACTTGTGCCTATCTTCGTATTGTTTTTCAAGTTTTTGGCAAGTGCTTTGTAGACTCCTGTGAAGCGGATTTCGAGCCAGAATGTGCGTTCTTTGCAGCAGTACAACTTATAAGCTTGACGGTCGTAAATTACTTTCCCCTGAGGCGCGTCTGAAATTAAAATTAAGAATCATATTTTTCGATCATTGCCTTCAAGTTGTTTATTTTGGCTCGCGAAAATGCAAGAGGTCGGTAAACCTCAAAGTAGCCTTTTTCCTGCGCGTAATCCTGATTAGAATTTATTTTTAAGAATCTCAAGCATTAACTACCTTCTGCTCGATTATACAAATAATTTGAAAGTTCAAATTCAATTCTTTGTAGCACTAATACGGAATCAAACTTTAAATACCATTTTAGCAAGCTGCCAGATCATAATATCCTTATGTAACGTGCAACATTCATTGAAGGAACAAGCCGCAAATTGTGCATCTTGACAATTTTCATCTAAATTTTCAAGCTAGTTTGACGTTCACAAACTGTGTGAATCCTTCGCATCCTTTACCAGTTTCTTTTCATTTTGGTCTTTTCCTATAGCTCTGTTGTTTTCGTACTCTCGAAGACGGTCTTGTTCAGATTTTATTTTATCAATCGTTCCAATTACCTAGATTGTCGTTACGTAGCTTCATTTAGAGCACTCGACTGGAAAATGTTCTAGCGCGGGTTCTCAACTCTAACTGTTCTATTTCCTCGGGCAAAACGCGGCTACGAGGACGCACATGAGAATCATAGGGGAATACAACCTTCAATCCTTGTCTATAACTAGAACTGAACAAAAAATAAATGCATGGGTTGACCGCACTGATCGAATGTGCAATGAAATGAACAATAAATGTAGAGTTTGGATTTCCGCAATGCAGTGTTTCCCAGAAGAAAAACTTTAGAAATGTGAACGTGACGAACGGCGCCCAACATACGATGAAAACCAAAACTATGACAATACAAAGTTTCAACACGGCATTGTTTCGCTTCTCGCGGAGTTTTCTCGCGTTTTCGCTTTGGTAATGCCCCGGGAACTTCTGGTGTTTCAAGCGAAGAATGACGGCAGTGTACAGACATGCAATCACTGACAAAGGCAAAATGAAAAGCAGGACTGAAAGAACAACGAAGTAGAACTTCTGCGCTTTCAAGTTGTCAAAAAGTGGCGACCAGTTTAGTAAGCAATGTATTTCACCTTTGTAAACGTGAAATCTATAAATGTAGAAGTAGGGTGAATGGATGCCAATGGCGATAAGCCAAGTGAACGGTAGTGCAATCTTTACTGACTTTAAACCCATGACTGCCGCTTTAACTGGGTAGAAAACGCTGTAGAACCTATCAATTGCGATCAGAACTAAACTCTGCGTAGAAACCGCGGTAGAGATATCTTGGAACAGTGGTATAACCTTGCACAAGGCCAAGCCGAAATCCCCGCCAATAATCCATCGGTTGGACTGCAAATAGACTCCACTAACCACCCGTGGCATAGCAAAAATTGGCAATAACAAATCAGATACGGCCATATTAGCTATCAGGTAACTGGTTGTGTTGCGCAGAATTTGTGTTTTGAAAATCACTAGCATGATGGTGGAGTTTCCAAATAAAGACATTAACATGATTACAGCATACGCCAGTGTTTTTGCAACTTTGGCTTCCGTTGTTTCAGGAAAAGAAGAGCACTGGTCAAGTGGATCGCTTTGATTTTGAGTCACGGTAGTTGAATTCATTTTCACATTCGATGAGGCCTCTCAAATAAATTTTTTTCTTCTCCTTCTCTCTTTTTAACGACATTTACATGCCCGCCACGTGTCGATCTAGGATGAATCAATTACGTACACATTATTAAACATTCGTTAAAAGAAGGTGTGAGGTTATTATTAGGCATAATAGTCCTTTTCTTCGCTAACCAACGATAATTTGCATCAACCGTCAGTTTTTAATAAGTTTTTCTATACTAAACGTGTCGGTTCTTTGACTATTTACACTGTTGTCTGTAAGTCGTGGTTTTGGGAAGATTAAAAACTGTACTTTAATTTGGTCGTGTTAACCATAATCTTCTCTGTCTTTCTGCTGCGCCCTCTCGATGAATTTCTCAATTAAGAACAAATTTTCCATTGTTTGATTTGTTTGATTGATAAACAAGAATTGGGGTTTTAATACAATTTCTATCAATCAAGACAATTTTCAAGTTCAGAAAAGAGACAAATTAAATTAACCATTTAACTGTAAAGAGACTTGGACTAATTTGTGTTGTTCCTCAACACAGTTGACAAAATAACCCCTTCTTAGTTTGTGTTCGAGAATGTAATATTTTTATTCCAAGTTCTCTCTTTAGCACTGTGAAATTAGGGATCGAGATTGAATTTCACACCTGAAATAAAGTAATAGCTACTTACGCCAGATTTTTTTGTTGTTGTTCTCCAATGTACACACAAGGTCACTTCCGCGTCAATTTTTCATTACAGCTTTTATTTATTTGCTAAAAATATCAGTGTGCGCTCAAAACATGACAAAGGCAACCTGTAATTTCTTAGTTTCAATATTTGAATTGTTATTATGCAGAATCAAGTTTTCATGGAAACTTCTAAAGTCACTTTTCAAAAAAAAATGGAAATTAGCATTAGTTAGGCTGGAAACTAAGTAACTGTCGTATGAATTCTTCAAAAAGTACCGAGTAGGGCTAAGTAAGCAGTGCGCCAGATAAATTTGAAAAGGGCGCTTTCACTTTGAAAATGCAACAACTGGTTGACAGATGAAACGTTTTCCGTCCATACTACATCAACAGCGACTGTAGAAACGCTTCATTGCATCTCTGAGCATGCGTTCAACTGTTCATCCAACATATTCGTCTCCAGGGTCACTCGTTTTCACTTATCGCTTATGTGCTACGTGGCCGGAAGGGAACGCAAAGGTCTTGGCCTATGAAAAAATTTATGAAGGTCTTGAAACGCAGTCAAGCTAGCATTTCCGAAATTCTTTATTTTTGGTATTTGATTAATGCAGGTTTCCGAAAAAAAGAAAAGAACTGTCGAGGAGCACCAGGCCTAAATTCAATTTTTAACATGTGAGCGACCTGAGCATGATGAAGAGGGTTGGCATGACCTTCTGGAACGTTTGCAAGTATGACAGCACCTCCTGAGAAAATTTTGTCAACAATTTTGATCTGGCAGTGTGTTATAGACTTTTTTGGCCTCTAAAAATATCCTGTTAGGATTTCTTTCAATGGTATTTCAATGGTATTATCATTCCTGCAAGGTAGAGCGATTTTGATAGTGTCGGAAAACCAAACCAAAGTCATTAAAAAAGTCAGTCAGAAAAAACGAAAATACCTTTAAGAGCCAATGAGAACTTACAGTAAAAACAATCAAACTGCCTAAAGCGCGGGAAACACGAGTGGCCAAGTCCTGATTGGTTTAAGTTTTGGATCTGATGGTCGAGAGAGTGGCGCAGAATGTTTTCTGGACCAATCACAGAGCGAAGTAAAGCGAAAACTAAGCAATCCCAGATTACTTCAGGCACTCCTTTGAAAATTGTTCTACCATAGCATTCTATTCGCGGTTCTGTCTTTATCTGGGAATCCACTTTAGTAAGGTACTCTACTTTCAATTTTATATTAACAAGACGGCGACAAGGAACAAAACTTAGAAATTGTTTTTATTGTCTACATCATCTAAATTTTAAGTACCCTTACATTACACGCCAGCGTTTGATTCTCAGATTTTCGGAGAGCTAAACTGACGTTATATCCGTACAATACTACATAGCATTTACTTATTCTTTCCTATTTTAAGAGTTGTGTCCTATGCAAGTATCATTACCTAACCCTTTACACCCTAACATCAGTAAGTATAATCTCCCTACTCTTCACTATACATTTCCAATGGCACGCACGAGGAGAATTTTATTAACAATCAAGAACTGCTTTAGTTGGTGATCATTTCCTTCAATCTCATGACCTTGAAGTGTGATTCACGGTGATATTGTAAGGAGAAATTGGATGCTAGTCACTGTAAGGGGTTAAAGGGCTAATATACTTTAAATTTAGACCAGAAAACTCTAACTCAAAGTAAGCTGTGATTCTCGAAATACACTCGTTTGACGGTAAATTTCAAATTTAATTTGGATTAAAAGACAACCTTTAAAGTTACTACGAATTGTGGCGAAAAAAGGAAGAAAACAATACCTTCTTGATTAAAAGATCACCGGTTTTCGTCGCTTACGCCAACATGCATAATCGGAACGGGAAAAAATACTTTTGAGTTTCAGATCAATCCAAGAAAGAAAAGAGGATGAAAAGAGAACGGAAAGAGAACGATATTGTTTTTTTTTAATTTTTCTTTTTTCAGAGACCAGATGAGCCCGCGGTTTTCGTCCCTGAAGTTGCTAGGCAACATAACGTCATGAAGAGGATATTCCGTATATTTGTGGCATCTTGTAATTGGATAACAAAGAGCGGTAGCTTTTAAAATCGCTCAACGAGCATTGAAAATAAATTTACAACTTTTTTTGCCGTAGGCTTTGACTGCTACATGAACTCTTTCCTTTGAGCGATGCAATAGCCTGCATTCAAAATGTACACTTAGGCTAATGTACCACAGGCTTTCCATCATCCCTTCACGTGTTTTCTTAAATGAATTCTGTCAGACGTCGTGAAATGTAAAGTTCGCTCGTCGCAAGGGAGCCGAAGTGAAAGGTGAAAACCATGAAATAGAAAAATACCCTCCGAAAACATCTTGAAGATTCTCATACCTGAAAAATAAAACATCTTTTAAAATTAAATTGATGAGACATTCCACAATACATGTCCGTGAAAAAATTACCCATCATCCACACAAACATCACCCCTTATGAGATGCATGCTCTTCCCAGATTCCCGAGGCCGTGCTAACGCCGAGACATTTGCAAATGTATCCCCTACATTACTCGTTTGGATGTGTTGCATTCCATGACTCATGATTGTTTGAAGTTTTGTATCTTGTTGAGAGGATTTTTTTCAATCAATCGTGGCCAAAAGCAGAGCATAATCAATACATTCCCAGATTACCTTCAATGCTCATTTAAAACTGCTATATATGATGACAAATTCAATTGTTGAGTAGAGTAAAAATTGATAAAAATACAGATTGTAAGACATGGAAAGTATCCCACAACACATGTTACTTACACAGAATTCTTTTTGATAACTCTCTCCTTCTTTAAATGTTCTATTCCCTGTAAAAACAATAATTAGGGTAAAAAATAAGGCTACTATTGAATGATAGTGGATAGGTAGCTTTGGCTGATCTTTTTAATGTATATGAGTCCTTACCGTTTCATCTTTAACTATTGAGGATACTTGACTGCAGAACATAACAAGAGTGAAAATCCCAAATAATAATCCTTCAAAGACTAGAAAAATCATCAATAAAATGGCTGAGGCTACTGGTAAAAAGGTGCAATCTGCAGAGAGAGATAGAAAAAGACATTGAATGGTTCAGTAGTGATCTTGATGGTGCTTGCCTGGTTTCTCTAAAGGAGCTATGGTTTATATCAGGTATCTACAAGTCAGGAAGCTGGTGTTCGAAAACAAGCATGGGGAGTCCCACTTATATTGTTTAAGACAAACAACAGGCTAACAACCAGTGGGTCTGACAAAAATCTCACTGCTGTTCTGATATAGTGGAAGGTCCTTGCAGTCACCAACGGCAGTATCACATTACTCACCATGCCATTCATTTTCTGTACATATAAGTATTTGTCGTATCGTCAAAACCAATGCATATATGGATATCAAAAAAATATACATCTGAAAAAGAATCAAAACATGAAATAAGACTTTTGGCACCAAATCACTTTAACAGCATCCAATTTTATTAATCTTTGAAGTACACTTAACCCTTAACACCTTAACATCAATAAGCACATTCTCCATACTGTTCACCATACATTTTCTAAAAAGCTGTCAAGGTGAATTTGTTGAACAATCAAGAACTTCTTTAGTTGGTGATCAATTCCTTTATTCTTGTGACCCTAATGTTTGATTCATGGGTGATATTCCAAGGAGAAATTAGTTTCCAATTGCTCTTAGATCCTCTTAGGGTTAAAGGGTTAAATGACAAGAATGTGGATCATACTCACTGTAAACAACACAAAGAATTTCTGATTGTCTTCCCCCACACAGTTATTTATCCTATAAAGAGAAGAACAAGCTCAAAATGCTATTATTGGGGAAATTTAAAAATACTTACATACTCACAATTCATTGATTTTTCATCATTTTTTCCTAGGATATGCATGCAAAGAAACATCACACGCCCTCTCTGCCAATCATGTTAATTTAGGATATTAAAAAAAAAAAAAAAGGACCAAGGATCAAATGGAGTCTACACTGGACTCTGATTTGTTAGTCCCTTGTTTTGCCATAGACAGAGTTGGACGGCCCAAAACTTCTGTTACCAATTAGCCAAAACTATGACAAACTTTAAGAGACAAAATGCTCTTTAGGTAAATGCATTAATGTTAATTTCATTAATGACAACACAACATTTGATTTTTTTCTTAGAGAGTATGAATCTAATAGTCTTTGCAAATGATGTATACTGTATACAGGCCCCTTCACTCTCCACTTTATTAGTGGTTAAACGTGGATGCATATAACCCACCAAATTCAATGTACATGAATATATATAAGTTAAAATTTTGATAAATGTACTTAAGACTTAGCATACCATGGACAATGGTGATCCATTTTCCTGAGAAACATAAGAAAAAAATAAACCTTCTTTGAATACTTCATTGCTATTTTTCCCCATGAACTTTTCATTTACAGATAGAGGCATATCTTAGCTCTGACAAACCTGGCCTAACCCTTCCCCAGAGATCACCAAGGATCTCAAAGGAGTTACAATATACCCATGGAGGGACCAATGTGGATTCCAATTCATTCATTTTGAAAATTTTAGCTGCAAATTTGTTTGTACTAAGTTGCTCACGGTCAAAAGCTAAGCTTCTAAATCTACAGTCATCTCCATTCCTTCTTTCTTAGTCATGATTGATTTTGCTAATGAAAGAAACTGAAATCAGGATCTTAACAAGACATGCAACAGATCAAATCCAGTAGCTGACTTTGGCTCTTTAGATCCCAGAAGCAAACCAGTCTTAACGTTATTATTGGGTCTTTTTTGCTCCTCTTTGCTTCTCTAACATTCTAGTCTTCACTAAATGAGATCATAACTTAATGAGGTAATTTGGTATTATCAACTGAGTTGATAACGTAAATTGGCAACATCTTTGTCTTTTTTTTTCTACCTTCCTGATATAGAAAAAAATGACAAGGACACACCTAATCCAATCTCCAATCACTTTAATCCCCCTTATCATTCTAAGCACTATATTTCAGGTTGTGACCTTTTCCTACATCTAGGCAATTTGGAAAGCTGTAAAACATTAGGACAAAATTTTATCATTCAAATCGGCACTCTTTTCATCCAACTAATTTATTCATGTTTTCTGGTCACCATATTCCCACTGATAGTGTACCTCCATTTTCTGCATACATGTATAGACACACACAACCCACAATTCCTCCATTAGCTTTCAAACTCTTAACAGTGGCCAATTTACGTTATCAACTCAGTTGATAATACTAAATTACCCTGTTACACTCTCCCACAGACACAGCACCACAGTTTCTTTAGAAACTTGCCCCCTTTATTCATAAGTTAACCCTTTAACTCCCAGAAGAGATTGACAAGCAACTTTTCCCTATAATATCATACATTATCCAGCAAACAGGTAAGCAGAATACTCAGACTTGTCAGGAAAAAGTTTTTATCTCAATCTAACACCAAATTCTCAAAACTAATTTACAAGGAACTATGTAGCAGCTAGAGGGGAGAAAAGGGTTGATAAAACTGACTAAAATAAAGGACTTACCTAACACATCTCTGACAAGTGCTGTAGTTACCAAAAATAGAAAGCAGACCGAAAGGTCAGTATATTATTCAATATAGTCATTTAATATTAGTATGTCCTTTCTGGAGAACATGAAAAATCACTTGATTGCCTTTTCAGAGGTGCTCAAAAACTTTTCTTAATATCACAAAAACTGTCTTCACATCTTGCAATTTGGAATTGCTTGAGCCCAAATTTTATCTGTCGACAACACAGCAGTTTTGTGGAAATAAGGACAAAAACAACTCCAGGACTGACTGATATTATCAGTATCCACCTCTAACTGTCTGATGATATGGAATACAATCTTTGGTTGAAACAATCTGTTCAAAACACTCTGGTTCCAACTTAGATATGTCTTAATGTTTCAAGAAAATGGCACAGAAAACGGCACAGAAAATAATGCTTGTAATATTTCTAAGCATCCCCTGCTTGTCAAATATCTCAGAAACTCTTTGCACATTAACAAATATCATGACACAGTAAGGTATTTCTAGAAAGGCCTGATATTAATTGGCACCAAAGTTGCCAAATACTCATACCTACAGTGGTGAGCTCGATCAAGCTTGATACACTCACATCTAGTGCATCTTAGAACTACTTCTCCTTCTTTTAATTGAAGCTTCTTCAAGTTTTCTGTAGTGCAATTTCCTAAAGGGATGGTACCCTACAGAAATATACAAACATACAAGTTACAAGTGTGTAGGATATTTCTCCTGTTTGATCAAAGACTCCAAGATATTAATTTTGAGAATCAAGATTTAATTAAAAGAAACTTCTGATGAAGAAAAAAAAAACTTGTTTGACATTCTCTGGTGAATGTAAACACATTTAAGATTATTATGTAACCATGTAACATTTATTTTTTCCATTATTTGACAGGGATTACTTAACAGAAATCCATCAACATAGTTAACTGAGCTCCCTAAAATTGATAAAACTTTCCAGTATGACTGCAATTAGTTGATATCTAACAAAGATGACTCTGAAAAGTCCTAAAGTAGTCTGGTGGGGCACATGTTTCCTCCAACCAATACAAACTTGATAAAACTTTTAGACTTAAAGCAGCTATATCTTCTTAAAGTTTTCTAATAAATCACTCGAAAAATTTTGTTCTGATATTGCTTTTGCAGTGCTCTTTCCAGAAATACCGATTCAATTTCCACTCAAGTTTACTGATCGATGTCTAAGAATGAATGAAACCGCGAAAGGTCTATCAAAAACATTGTTAACTGGCTAATGTTAGCAGAAACTTGCTTGTTTACATTGACAAAAATCTACTCAACAAAGGAAGGAATAACAAGTAAAAAAATCCAGATTGTGCAAAAAAGCGGTGAATTTCTATTAGTCTAAAACAGACGTGTTAATTCCAAAAAGACTCCTATCTCACAATAGTGACTTCAATGAATTAATTTAAACTTAAAGTAAACACGCTGTCATACCTATAAAGCTCAGTGAGGCACATAAACTAAATACTGGAGAAACAGTAAAACTATAGCCGCAGAGACTTACTGGATCACTGCACATCGCTCGACTATGGGCAACAAGCGCAAGACCCGCCAACAGAGTAAAAGCGATGGCGTGGAAAACCCCGATCGCAGCTGAAGTTACAACCTCAGGCAGTAGCATCACAAATACAACCACAAACTCGGCATACGCTATAAGTAAATATGTAAAAACTGCACATCCAATGCCGATTCCATCGTTTACAAACCACGATAAGCCACAACAGTTCGATTTTCGGCCCATGATCGCAGCTAAATTCACGGAAGTCCAATATGTCTCTAGCTTGTGCAGGCCGCCATTTGCATGTTTAACATGCAGCTGTTGAATAACTGCGCCCGCGTACCATGTTGATTCTTAAGCCAGTTGTTATAACAACAGTTTATTTATCCGGGGTATTGAAACACTGGTCGGTCTCGAAGGAAACAGATTTATGGTCTAAAATGCCTGAACCTACGCCAGAAATTAACCAGGATGAAACGAAAGAACCAGAGCAAGAAGAAGGTGGAATAGATAAAGAGCAGGATGGAGAAACGAAAACGGAGGAAAAGGAGCCAGCTGCTGACGAAAACAAATCGAAAGAACCTTACGATGCTATGCGAAATGAACCTCATCTCACCAGCTTAATAGTGGAGTCGTATCTTGGAGAGAAAGATGAGCGAGGATTTTTCCATGGTATTGGAACTGCATATTTCCGAGGCAATCATGTTTACTCTGGCTCTTTTGTGAACGGGCTAATGCACGGCACAGGACAATACATATGGGCGAATGGTATTAAATACGATGGAGAGTTTAAGAACAATGTCATTGAAGGAAGAGGTGTGTACACTTGGACTGATGAGAGCACATACGATGGCGAAGTTAGCAGCGGCTTAAGACATGGTCAAGGCACGTACGTTTGTGGTACAATTCCTTCTTCATACACTGGGGAATGGAAATACGGCAAACGCTCGGGAGAAGGTATTCTGCGCTATGACAAGGAAGGCCTGTCCTATTATGACGGGCATTGGGTAGGTAACAAGCGCCACGGGTTTGGTATGAGGAGGTATGTATCGGGGAACATATACAAAGGAGATTGGAAGGACAATGTAAGGCACGGTACAGGAACGATGCACTGGTACAACAAGAATGAGCGATACGAAGGAGAGTGGAAGAGTGGGGTACAGCATGGTCAGGGAGAACATTCTTGGTATCTGAAGCGCATTCCTGGATCTCAGTACCCACTGCGGAATTATTACGTGGGGGAATGGGTGAATGGATTGAGGCATGGGCCTGGTACATTTTACTATGCCACAGGTGCTAAGTATGTGGGAGATTGGGTGGAAAACATGAAAGATGGTCAGGGCAAGTATGTATTCAAGAATGGCTTGGTTTTCGAAGGTAAGAAGTTCATTTAAGATTACTTCAGCCATCTTATTTATCGGGCTGTGAGCTGAGACCCACAATTGTCTTGAGATAATGCTACAGTGCTCTAATTGTCTGAGCTACCAAGCCAACTTAGAGTCACAAATTAAAGTCATCTATCTAGTGTACCTGTTTAGGGAATGTTGTTTGCTTATTGCCTTGAATGCCCAGCAATTGACAATCATATTGGGTAGACTTTTCACCAGACTTTCCATAATATACACAGGGTACAAAATCTAAGGGCAAAATAGCCTCAACTGTTATGAAAACAAATTCAAAGTGTTTCAATCTGTATTACTATATGGGAAAATTAGTGTGCAGTTTTGCTGAGGTCAAAGTCTCTGGAATGGCAAGGGTTTGGCAGGGTTGCTGATGGTGTAATAGGGAGCTGTGTCTGGAAAGGAGCCGCAAGGAAAAATTCAAACACAAGAGCCTACTTTCAGGCTAAACAGATGGCAGTGAGCAGTGTAGACCAGTCTGGTACTGGCTTTTATTCATACATACTGAGATTTACAATGTAAAGTACTATTGTTTGTGTCTTTGATTGGACGAACAATGTATTTTCCCAGTTGTTCACTTTTCTTTGAATTGAAATGTGAAAAAATCTTAGTAGGTATGAAATAAAAACACCATACCATGGAAATTGCTTGAAATTCTCATCTGTCTTCATTCTCTACCTAAGTGTAAATTTAAAAGACTATTGTATAGACAGCTGCTGAACATTTTGATGTGAGAGGTTACTTATGTTGATGTCCATACTTAAATTGACAAATTTAGAAAATTATAATCTTTTGGTTTCATTTGTTGTTGTTGTTGTTGTTCTTTTCGTGCAATGCTTTTTTTTGATGCATTGCGACTCATGAATAAAATTGATCATGCTCACTTTCCATGGAATAATCTCTATTTATTGAAACCCCGAATTGCTAATTGTTTTCTGGGTTAGGAGTAAGCTACAGTGTACATGCCATTGAATATGACAATTTCCTCTTTGAATTTCAGGTAAGTTTGAAATGGATCACATGGTGGACTTCCCTGAACTAAACCCATCTGGCATGATGACTCCTGATATCATGAACTCAGGACTTCCTGTACGATCTGGTACCCCAGTACGATCTGCATCACCCTTTATGACCCAAGAAAACTCTGGAAATCCACTCAACTTGAGCATTGATCTTCTTCTGGATGAGAGAGATCTTGATCTGTATGAGCGTGAAGAGGAACTTCAACAAGTTACCCATGTCCTCCTGCGACACGTCAGCAAACTGAAGAAGATTTACAGTTTCTACTCTTTTCTTGGCAGACAGGATTCTGTTGATAACACATTTGTCATGAGTAGACTCCAGTTCTGGCGTTTCTTGAAGGACTGCAAAGTCCATCACTGTGGGTTTACAATATCGGAATTAGATCGCACAGTGGCATCTGACAAATCAATTGATTTACATGAGCCACAGCATGAGGTCCTGATGCGAGAGTTTTTAAATGCGATCATTATCATTGCCTACCATATCTACAGTGATGAACACCATGGACCGGAACCGCTGCTTCCCTGGTGTGTTTCACAGCTTATCACTGAGAACGTCCTCAAAAATCCTTGTAAAGTTGGTGGAAGCTTGTTTCAGGATCCAACAAGAGCAATTGAAGCCATTAAATACATGCCACGAAGCTGGGACATTTATTGCGGGTTATGTGTGCCAAACACACACTACCCTCATGAACCAATTTTCAGATCCAGACAATTCATGTTCATGCTTAGTGACTTTCGAATAATTAACTCTGACCTGAATCCAAGGGAAGTGTTGCAGATCCTTGCAAAGGATAACCCAGAACTGGCGCAAGATGATTTCTGTAATCTGGAGCTAGAGATGACATTCTTGGAGTTTTTTGAAGCCCTTATTGACTGTGCCACAGTCTATGTTACGGAGGCTGTCCTGAAAGGGCATCTCTCACCTAAAGCCACCCCTCTTCCATCTTCAAGATCACAGAGTCCTGCAAGTTTTACACCCGCAACTTCAAAGCCTGGTCTGGAAAGTCCAGATGAAGGTTAGTATAGGATCATGCTGACTGTTTAACACACAAGGATGGGAGGCTGGGAGTAAAAAAAAGCCTTAAAAATTAACGTTTTGTTTAGCCTCCTCTTGTTCTTATAATCAGATTTAATCAGATTCATACATGTAACACTAGTCATTTCCTGTTTCTTTGCCCCCTTTTACTTTGAGAGATACAGTCATGCTCAAAAATAAGTTGACAGTTGCTGGAAACCCAGTCTTCAATCCTCAATCTTCAATTCTCAAATGCCCTGAGGATTGAGGCTTAAGTCATGGTTTGAAACATTCAAGTGGAGTTTAGAAAGGCCCAAAATGAATTTTGAGGGTTTCAAAATGTGGAACAAGGAATTTTTATGTGATTAATTTTTCACACTACTTGAATCTTCTTACCTATTGTATGTGGCAGACATTTCCTTCCTGCTCTTGTGACCTGGGACCTTCAAACCTTGGTTCTTGTCCTTCTTCAAAACCTGCCATCCTGTCTTCTTCTCCTCTCCCTCTCTTCCCCCTCAGTTCATATTTAAACTTATTGATTTGTAAACTGTATGATGGACAAAGAAGGGCTCAGCATACATGTGTTTAATTAAATCCAAGGAACTTGAATTTTTGTTGTCTTCATAGATAAACCTCACCTAAGATTATAAAGAAATTTTAAGCACCAAAGGGGTCATAAGTCATAAGTAATTTATTTGGGTTAATATACAGTCTCCCATACGTATCACTTATCAGTTTTTGTCTACATCTTCACTAGATCAGTATCAAACTGTTAACTCAGCTACTGTGACACCAGGAGGAGGAGAGTCTCCTGATCGTGTGTCCAGGGTCATGTCTGGAGCATCAGAAGCAAAGCTTCCTCGTCTGCCATCAGCTGACTCACCCATAAAGAGCAGAGAGGCTGTTGCAGCACACACTACCTCTGGTAAGCTGAGATATGTTATGGTTTGGTCTCTTTGAATAAAAGGATAGAAGAATCTTGGTCTTAGATACATTTATATCTTATTTCTTGCACTTTTCAGTCACGCATATATATGTGGAGTGAAGAGGCAGTTGACTGCAAATTAAAATGTTGTCACCCAAACAAAGTCAATTAAACAATAAGACCTAGTGAGCTCAGAAAAGTTCTTTTATTCACCACATGCAACTAATTGTGGTTGTCTACCATATGTACAGTATATCCATGGAGTGATTTGGTTTTGTTGATGAATATGAATGCTTTTCAGGTGCCAGTATGTTTTTGCAATGAAAAGTACATATGAAGGACCATCATCATTTTGTTGACAAAGTCCCTATATATTACCCTTTTTCTTTACTTCCTCATTTTTATGTGGTAATGGAACAGCTTTTTTGCAAGAAAAATATCTTCTCATTGTTGATGTTTGTTTTCTAGCAAAAAGTACTGATCTTCTTCCAAACTCTCAAGAAGGCAGCAAGAGAATCCATTCAGTTCCTTCCAGTGCAAATGCAGCCCATCCATCCTCTGAGATGGGAGAATTTGAGGAAGGGGAAGCTGACAACCTTGGTAGGTTCCCTATCGTCTTTGGCTGTTTGCCCAGATTTGTAGGGGCATTGTTTGTAAGTTAGACAAAGGCAGTGACAGGAGATTTAATATTGTTAACGTTTGAACAAGTCAACTTCGTGATGTTTAAAATTACCATTTCCTTGATCACTTAGTGCTAAATAAAAAATGCACGAGGCTCCTTGGTAATCAACAGAGAAACAATAAAATACAACCTTTAGGGGTGGGGCAGTCTTATGATAAGTATACTAGACTTTTGATTTAGAGGTCTGGGTTTGAGTCCAGCCAAGGTCATAATTTCTTTTGTGTTTTAATGCAAGACTATTTTATCTTACATTTTGTCCCTCTGTAATCTACTGAACAGTGAAAGCAGCATGAAAAAGTACAGAAAGTTAACTCACAACGGACTGGCTCGCCAATTTTCTTACAGATCCTGGTTATGCTCTTGAAAGGGCGTGGGGTGGTTAGTGTTGGTCTACTGCTTGATATGTAGGCATCCTGATCTTTGATTTGGAGCTCACGGGGAAACTACTTCATTAAACTCCCCAATGGACCTTCTTCTGGACAGGAATGGTTCCACCTCTCTGTCTTGCCTTTGAATAAACAGTGTTATCATTAATGGGGTAGAGGTCTTTGATCCATTTGGTTGTAAGCCCTTCATGCCACTATTACACACAAAATCGAGTTAGCAGTCCCCTTCCATTGGATTTTGGAGGATATTTCTAGATGCCTCTTACATTCTAGAAGTCTTGATCAGTTGATTTTGGTAGGTTTGAGCTTTTGAGAGACTTTTCTATGTTATGTGTATCGTAAATAGCGTTCGTTGTGTTTTGCAGCAGAGATTCAAAGCCCAAGTCTTGGAATCCAAGGTGATCCCAGTCAAGTGGATCTGCAGCCAGATCAGCAACACAGCTGGTGCCTACAGCTTGACATCTTTTTTGAGAAGTTCTTTCAAGCTGCTGATAATTTAGAGATGATTAAGCAAGCCCAGGCGAAAAAGACTTAATTTATCGCCGGATAGGATTGTCGGTTGTTGAAATTCCTCAGCACAGATGTAGCAGTTTCTGAAGCATACCATATAGAGTCTCACTTATAATGTATTCGAGTGTTGGTATAACAAGTTAAATTATAAAGAAGGTTTTTAATAATTTTTTAACGGATTGGGTCCACAACCATTTGAAGTACTCAGCTACATGTACGATCGATGCGACATTTTTTTTTGGCGTGAAAAAGCTGCATTCACAAAATGTTGTATTTTATAGCATGTGGTAAATGATTAAATTCCATACTTTGTGAGATTTTTACCTATGTAAGATAGGGTTTTGGTTTTGGTTTTGGTTTTGGTGTGGCTGAGTTAGAGTTCGTATGTTGTAGCCTGTATTAAAAAAAGCATTGGTCTTACTTTAAACTCTTGCTGTTTTTTTTCTTCCCTATTTCCATTCTCGACAGAGTGAATTTGAAATTGCGCTAGTGTTGATAAAGTCAGTTTGTAGGATTAGCGCCCTCGATAAGCGACATAGCCTCAGTATTTGGATGAGCGGCTGTTTAACTCTAAAGCGCGACTTTACGAAGTTCTCCTGTGTTCCCGATCCGCGAAACACTACTGCGCTGAAAGTGAGACAATTGTACTCTCTAAACTTTTTTCCAAATGTGAAAACAATGTTTTGTTTTGTAAGAATAGTAAGCAGAATTACGAGGAAATATTATGTAATTTATAATTGACTTTTTCTTTGGCAACGCAATCGCTAAGATTGCTTGAATTCTCCGTTAGATTCGTTGACGGGTGGAGACTGAGTCAGATCGGAAAACTTTCGTTTCATCTTAAAAGAGTCTTAAAAGAAATACGTAGGAAACATTATGTAAGAAATCCGTAAAACAGGACCTCAGATTTGTTTTTGAACTCAAACTCACAATTTTGAAAAGAAAAAAAAACAAAAAAAATTGCGATAAGCAAACCATACCCAAAAGCTCAAAACACTTAACTCCGAAAAAAAAAGTCTCCACCAAAGTTTCCACGACAACCTTAGAAGGAAATTCAAGGTCTCTAACATGATGAATTACTAGATGACATTGTTTATAACTTTACAGTTCCCTCGTCACAAAAAATAAAAGTAGAATCAAATAGACGAAAGGATCCGTAGAAATGGGAGAAAAACTGTATTTACTAATGGTCATGTCTTTGAAACTCAATTTACTGCGCTGTCAACTCTCATTCCGGATTTCTTCATGTTGCTCATAGCTGCCGAGGAAAAAATCAACCTGATGCAATCGAAGCCACATATGTTATCGAAATGAGTGAGTGATGGTAACAATAAAATGCCGAACTTCACCCGATTTGACCCGATGTCACATTATTTATTTAAGAGCATCTTCGTAGTCCGAAGCACTACTGGAGATTATATGGCGCATCAAACACTAAAGGAAGAAGAATGCCTTTAAAACAAATCATTTCGTGCCTAAACTAAAATGTCATTTTTTCAATCCTTGCCGTGAAACCGTCAGAATACGCTAGACATCTCACAATCATTTCATGATGGCTCATGATTGAAAACCAAACTTTTCCTTACAGAATTATCTTCATAGATGTGATCGGTAGATCTTCGGAAAACCAAAAGATTATACTTTCCTGGGACAACCTAAAGAAATTTTTTTTCTTTGAAGATAAAGCATTTTACTGTCTGAATCAGCGAATTATTCTCAGTAGATCTAAAAATATAATTTGTTAAGTTCCTGCCGAATTCAGTTCAATGAATTATTTAGTCTGGTTTGTTACTTCTTTGCACTGAATTAACCCTCTTTTGCATAGAATTACCTGAAAACTGCATTTATCTTAACCAATCAAAACTGAGTAATTTTTGCATGTATCTTATTAGGCGTGTAATTTAAAATGCAGTTTAGCCTGCCTACCTTTCAATATTCCTACGTAGCCAACGAATTTACTTATTTGAGTGTTGGTTCGTCAGGGGCTTGAACCCACGACCTCCTACACTGCAGTCCAGCGCTCTACGAAACGATCCAACAAGGCGTGGTTGCTTCCTAAATGCAGCAATTTTCCTCGTATAGACACTTCTATTTCTATTGTTATGGAGAAACTCCAGTTATTGCAAAAACTCAATCAAGTCAACGTCCTGAGCGCGCGCGATTGAATTTGAAGCAATCATCTTCATGGTAACATGACATCACAATGAACGAAACAGAAATCCTTGGAGCTCATCTGAGAGATCTTGTACGAGGCAACTATGGCTTGTGTTCTCTAACCTTTTCTTCAGGAAAAATCGAGAGCAGATGAGTTTTTGATCACAGCATCTGTTTTACTACTGACTATTGATTTGCACGAGAAAAAGTGGTGAGCGACGAGGAAAAAGTATTTCCTATCTCTCTTTCCTAAGTGTTTGAGTCTTCGGAGCGGCTCATCTGGAGTCAGATTACTCACTTCGGGCTTTTTTACTCTGCTGATTAGAACTTAATCAAAAATTCAGCTCTGAGAAAAGAAGTTATTTCGAAAACAAGATTAATCTGGCCCTGATCAACTGAATTAAGAAAAAATAGGCGCTTTCGAATTTTGGCTGAGTTCAATTTCGGTGTTGAGTACCGCGTGAGACCAAAATGAGAGGAACGAAACGTTCATTTATCGAATTGAATATGGTTAACTCTTAGAAGTTGCAAGACTCGATATAAGAAAAGGAAGGAGGAAGCTAATTCCTGGTGGTAAATTTTCAGGGGAAGGGAGGGGTCAATGCTACTCGTTACTAGTCTTGGCAGAGAAGCGTCATAGCGGCGGTCGACACCAACTTCTGGCAACTGGCTGTACTGATATCAGCGATTACATTACAGAGAAGCCTGGAAAAGTGAATGTGACTGTTACCCTTAAACCAGCAATTAAAAGTTATTTCTGGTAAAATAGAACTTTAATTATCATGGACTACGCACGAAGATCATGATCTTTCTCAGTGAGTATCTTTCAATAATTTCCATAGCCACTGAATAACGGTTTATGCTTGTCATTTAAAAGTTAACTGCTACAGCAATGTTATTTTTAAGCCATAAGAGAAATTATAAAAAGATCAATGAATTTGAATCAAATTTCAGAATGAGACATCATCAATTATAACAAAGTTCGGATATGATGCGCACTGTCATTGGTTGAAAGAGCGTGCTATATGAGAGTGTAGAGCATAGAGCTGAGCTAAAGCTGTCACGCCATCTACCAAATTGTACTGTGTCCGACCTTTTCCGGGACTTCTTTCTAGCTTTATTTCATTAATTGAAAGTAAAATTTCGGAACAAGCGAGCCGGCAAGTAGCAACAGAAGAACCAAACAAAGGTTTGTAAACATACCAAGCGTCGTAATTGACGTTATTATAAAGTGAGCAGGGACGAAAATCCTTAAAGAGAAAACAAAATAGACAGTCTGAGTTTTGAAGGTTTTCACGCTAGACCTTGTTCTTGTTCTCTAATTCTGTTCACTAAGTGAATAAATCACAAGCAAACGTAGATTTTATTTACCTTTCATTTCGAACAGTCTAAAGCAGACAAACCCCCGTTTAGTTACTTATGTTACTTTTATAATATTACATAAAAGTTTAACTCAACCTCAAGAATCTCGATTTTAGTTGTACTATTTCCGAAGAAAGGAACCGGGTAAGATGATCGTTTTTGTTTTGTTGATATGCAAATAAATTGTGTCGTGGGAAACGACACAGACATGTTTTGTGTACAAAACCGATAAAATACCCTTGTTATTTCTCTGTTATTTTCCCGCCCCGTTTAGTTTAGGGTTCTACGCGAATGTATTCTTAACACTGAGTAAAGAAATTTAACTTCAATAAAAAGCCAATTTGAGGCAAATCTAATACGGCCACTCATAGGACATTTCATTTATTAAAATGACTTTTATTCTGATTTATTATTCACAAACTTGTTTTGATGAGAAGCTAATCAAAATAAAATTTTAGAGATATCGCATTTCGGCAAGTGATGAAAATGACCACCGCCTTTGCAACCATATCATTGCCATGTTGGATAATTCTCTACTCTTTGTCTGTGAAACTTGACTATTGAAAACGATATTTACACGGTACGTAAACCCTCTGTTTTGTCAGCGCTCCACCGATATCTTTTGTTAAGTGGCACAATCAAACTAAGGCGCAAACTTATTGAATGAATTGAAGTAGAGAAATTTTTAACGTCTTAAAATCTTGAGATCTCGAACACAGGCACCAAAAAATGATTTTAGTCAACAATATTTTTTACATCTTAGCGGTCCTTGAGCATCTAGGATAGAAACTCTGTGGTTATACTTGTTAAACGCATGAAAACTTTGAATAATAAAACGGTGATATCGGAAAAACTCTGACTTTATTTCGTCGACAAAAAAGCTCTCTAGAAATACAGATAAGGAAATATTTTGTTCAGAAACGCATCCATAACTTTCTTTACCTATTTAATGGTACCATTCAAACCAAGTCTTCAACATTTTCAGGCAGGAGCACATTAAGTACATCATAGTTGACTCCTGGAGAAGATGCAACAAATGAGACGAGGCAACCGTAACAAGAATGAAAGGCTTCATCCTATTGGGCGAATTAGCTGAGTAAATTAATACATCTGCACTAACCAATGATAAAACACATTAGAATGAAACCTGAGAGTGGATTGAACACTTCCGTTGATTCTCAAACGTGTTCGGACGAGATGCCAAGTAGACAAGAAACGTTTTCTTATGTAGAAAAAAATATTTTCACTTACACTCGAAACAGTCTTAAATGAGGTAAGTATTGTGGAGACGAATATTTTAGTTTTGTTTACATTTTCGTTCTTTCTTTAGTTTATATTCTTGAAAAGCTGATAATACGAACATTTTTCTTTTGATTTGCAGTTACGCTAATTCCTTTGGTATCGAAAATTTCATGACAAGCGTCAAGTTATTATTAAAGGTGGGTGGAACGCTTTTTTAGACAAGATTTAGGGAACACGGCTGATGCCCTTACGACAATTTTGATCTGAAAATCACCTCATGTGTATATCGGTTTGGCACTGAAAAATTCATAGCTCACAGTTAAGCAACCGGGCATCCGGTATGTAAAGAGAGAGAGTTTGTTTTATTGTATCAAGGTTTTATTGGTGTAAAATATCACAACTAGGCCTTGAAAGTCAGTTGTTCGTTTAAAAAAAAAGCCTTCATCAAATAAGATAAAATCATCACACGAGCTATCGAATGACTAGGTGCATCTACATGAAAAACCAAGATACGAAGAATACCTTTTAAAAGATAAATATTTCTCAATTGATTTTCACAAAATATGGTACGTACAGCCTAACAACACTTCTGTTACTGCTATTTTTCTTCCCCTTCAAGCTTGAAAAGTTTTTGGGAACACAGGTAAAAAAACCTAAAACCTGAGAATCTTTATCAATGTCTAATTTTGTCAGTGTTCCAAAAATCCCTTCTGGCTTGTTATTTTGTTAAGTCTTTTTGTTTTTGCAGTTCAGTTATGAGTTTGGCTGTAATTGTCACTTTACCTCAGTACGCAGTGTTTTTTTCCCCTTAAAATGTGAATATTTTCAAAGACAATTTTAAATACAAATTTTACAAGACGATGCAATTGTCGCAAAAAATGGAATGCTTTTCAAAAAGATAGATGCAGTTCGGTGAACCAAACAAATACCAAATTCTTGAAAGAGACATTTTAAAATACAGAACATCAGGCTGACAGGCTAAAGCTAACGAACCACAATTTACATCGCTAGTGAAAAAGTGTTTAAAAATGTATTATTTCACGTAAAAATTAATTTTTCATTTTGACAACATGGTTTTTCAGAGTTGTTTTCTTGGTAAGGGATAACATTTTGATGTTACTTGTTCCAGTATTTTCTTAAGTATGATTCACTTATGGAATAAATGAGGATTCTGAGAAAATATTGCTTTCTACCAAAACAGAAATGCTGGCTTTAAAGCGATCGCTATTTTAAACAAAGATGTCCATTTCTTCAGTTATATATTTATAATGTTGACAAAACTCATTTCTTCTTCGATTTTGGGAAAGAAGTAACACAGAGTAAACAAGCACAAATTCAATGTATTCGTATGACATAGAAATATCATATAAGTATTCTGTGCGTTTCAATTTGCGCTTCAAATAGTAAACTTTCTTTCTGGTCATTTTTGCATGTTATCCACAGCTCATCAGCTTACAACAATGAACATTTCATCGGCAACCCTGTTAATTTTACTGATCCTACCGCTGATCACCTTGTGTTCTGGCACCAGTAACAAGAACAGCAAGCTGGCTAACAACAAGGTAAATCCCGTATGATTAGAAAATTGAAGTAACCATTTCAACAAATAGAAATAGTTTTTTGTAATAAAATTCAGATGACTTAAAGGGAGAGTACGATCTAGAAAAAGTTTACCTGAATCAAAAATTCCTAAATTGCATCGTCCTAACCGGCCATTCATTTGAGCTTAAACATTTTTGTTGCGATCAATCTCGTTCCAAAAATTGAAAATCGCCATCTTTGTTATGACGTAACTGTTAGGTAGCAATAGTCAAGCGTACTGACTTCAATCTCTGCTGAGATAGATGTAAACAAGGAAAACAGCGGCGAGGAGAGCGCTACTGATTGAATTCTCGACTTGGGTTTTAATCCAGAGAGAGTAATGCATCCATTTACTTTTCAAACGCAACATGGTTCTTCTTCAGGGGAAGAAACCTCTGTCGAGTAGAAACGTAGAACAGCTCAGTTGCTTAGGTCGTGGAAAATGCTAGTGGTGCTCTTGCGATAACGGTCAAAAGAAATATACTTGGTAACCGATTCAATTTGAAAGGTAAAGATTGTTTTTCCTGAAAAAAAAACCCTAGCTCTAGAGTGATAGTTATTTTATTTAAGAAGACCACAGTACCCACGACGGATTCATTTCACATTGCTAACTGAATGAAACGAATTATTGTTACAGTTTCAGAAACCCAACTTCGGTGTATTACTGAGCTCGAGTCATTTGGACTTGAGAACAGCCCTGGTTGGCATGCAACAAGTTAGAAATGATAGACTTGAAGATCATCCTTTGTATGCGTAAACACCGATCGACAAAATTGATTAGAAACACCTTCCAAAATTAATTAATGCAGACAAAAGGAAGAAGTTGTTCCGAATTAAATTTTGTTTGTTTCCAGCTTTTAGCTTTAAGTTGTGAGTGGTATTATAATCTTTTAGGCTTAAAATTAGCCTCATCGCAAGATTTTTCATTTTAAACTGTTTTAAATGCTGTGACCTGTGTGAGGCAGAGCTTCGTCATCTAAGACGCGCGCCAAAGAGCCTCTTCTGTCACAGGCGGCCTAAGCTCCAGCTGTGAGATGATCATCCTACGAAATAGAGAGTCGTGGCGAAATTATAAGAGTTTGTATGGGAATATTTACGATCGCTCTTAGGAATAAAAAATACAGTCAAATTCTAAATGAAAACACCTCACCTTACTTCCACATTGCATCGCTTGCTATCTGACCGCTTACTATGTTGAAAAGAACCCATTTTAGCGAGTTATCCATTTCTAGGTTTACTACGTTCATAAGAAAAGCCCGAGGCAGCACACTCCGTTTCTGAACTCCCAATCCGAGAAGCGAAAAATTCAAGCTCAAAATGACCGGGCGGCCACAAATCCAACGCAGAATCCAAGAATATATACCTTAGTTTCATTTAAATTCACTACAAACTCAATCTTTCACATGAAACCAACGCTACGCCGCAGTTTCCTTCAAATATTTCCAGTTTAGACGTTTCTAAAGACCTGCGTACACATTCACCTTGACACACCATTGTTTGGTAACCCTGACTCCTTTTTAAACCGAGGTTCACCGTCTCTTGGCAACCGTGGTTCTAAAACAATTTGTTCAAGGACAACCTGAAGTCTTTGTTTTAGTAGTTCTTTGGGTTTGCAGGGCTGGCAAGCCGTCCTCGCGCGTTATTTTTGTCAGCCATATTTTCTTTAATATTTAACTTCCCGGTAGCTTGCGGAAGCTTACACCTTTTTCTGTTTAATATGTATTTTGAGATTCAGCCGCTAGACAACAACAAACGTGCTCAGTAGCGTCAAAGAGAAGAATCCTTTTTTCCCTTATAATCAGCCTTCACTCGGTTGCCTCTCTATTGTTCTCCAGATCTGTCTCTTCTCAGGAGGTTATTTACTTTGTACTTTTTTTTGTGGTTGCGTGACCATTTTAGCAGTGGAAACCACTCAGATAATTTTTTTCTGTTTTGCTTCTGCGCTCCGTATTTCTCCATTTTGCTTACTAATACCTGATGAAGTCACTAAATGTTTGGTTACTATTTCTTTTTCTATCACAGTGTTACAGTGGACAACCAGGGAAAAACGGTATTCCTGGGATGCATGGCATGCCAGGATCTCCTGGGGCACCTGGCCGTGATGGACGTGACGGAACCAAAGGAGACCGAGGCAGTCCGGGAAAGGCTGGCCTTCAAGGAAACAAAGGCTCAAAGGGAGAGTCTGGTGTCCAGGGTCCCACAGGTCAAAAGGGAAAGCGAGGGGAAAAAGGCAAGAGTGGAAATGCAGGGGTGTCTCAGCTTTCCTCGCATATGAACTGGAAAGAATGTACATGGAAGAGAGGAAACGGTATAGACTCGGGAGTGATCCAAGTAAGAGTAACCTAACAATTAATGATCTTCGCAATCTTTGTCTTTAGCATCAAAAGGTTACTGACAAAAGCAGCAGCATTTTCTTATGGAGCAAAGAGTTACTAGGATCGAGTAATTTATCAATGGATTTGTGACAACTTTACTGGTAACCATGGAATTGTATCATTAACTGCCTTGAAGATAGTTTTTGAGTTTCAAGGTAATCAAGTCTCCAATTTTTGTGGCGAAAGATAAATAGGTACAAGACACACTAATTCTTGGATGTTGTAACTATATTTACCCGTCAGAATCATTTTCTCTGCACAGAACTGCGAGTTCATGAAGAAATTCGCAGACACTTCCCTCCATGTCTACTTTGCTGGTACCCTCAGGATTTATGGATGTGACCGCTGCTGTGGCCGTTGGTATTTCACTTTCAATGGCGCTGAGTGCAGCTCTCCTGGATCGATTGACGGCGTGTTTTACATGCAAACTGGCAAGAACCACAATCTTCATCGTCACCGCCACATTGAAGGTCACTGTAACAACATTCACAACGGAAAGGTGCGAGTGGGGTTCTGGGTTGGAAGCTGCAACAGTGGCGATAAGAGAATGCTGATGCGTACACAGGCTGGGCCACAATGTCCCGGATCTTCATCGAAGAGGTGTCAAAGGCTCAGCAGTAAACACGTCACACGTGATAAACTGGACTTTTTGGACAAATTAAAGAAAACTAGTCATGGAACTTGTAGATGAGCTATGTAGAAATGCAATGCCCGCGAAAGATTTAAACCTTTTAGAAATAAAGTCCAGGAAAGTACTCCAATATCTAATATATCAAGGATTCCAATAATTTCCACCAAGTAAGTAATTGGCGGTGTAAATCAAATAGTTCCTACTGGTGTCCTAGTTGCATTTGAAGAGCAGAATGCGCCATACGTTGAACTTTGTTCCTTGTCCATTTGGTGCACTTCAAATAATTTTACTGGAATAAACCAACCAACCCGTAACAGTTCTGCTGACCAGTGTGAAAGTAGACATATTCGTACTCATAAATGCAAAGTAAATGCTACTGATGAATACAACCGCATACAAACTACTTATACATATTCCAAATTCTAATTGCGTTTCCATCAAAGTTAGGCTCGTTAGATGGAACTGGACTGTATGAAATTTTTCTTTCACGCTTCAATTTCTAATAAAAAGACTGCCATGATTACCTTCTCAGTGATTTCAGATAAAAAGGAAAAAAATTGTTCGAAAGGACATACTATTATTTAAGTACAACAAGACTAAACATACATTTCAATACATTTCGAAAATTACCACCAAATACGGTAATGAGTAACCTGAACAGAGAAGCGGTCTGAGAGAGGTCTCGCCTTATGCTCGCTTCGGATATGAAAAGTCGCTTTTCGGTGGAGAATAGGAAAATTGAACTTTCCCCCGTTCCTGAACAAACGCTGTTTGTAACAGTGGTCGAGATATCAAGAGGAAAACACACATTGGTGTAACTTTTCACTTTAATTCGTTTTTACTGAGCTAAACTTAAATTAAAATTCTAAGCTGACAACGATTTTGGCAAAAATCCGTCGGCTCAAATTTCTTATGTCAAGACTTTGGACGTGAAACATTTCAAATTTCGAGGCAGGGTAACAGCATTGGGACCATCAAATTAATTGAGATGTTCACTTCGAATGTCTCTCCAAAGCAGTATCAACATGGACTGTGTTGACTGTCTATCGTTGGCGCCAAAGGTCAAACAAATTCGGTTTTATTATACTGAAATTTTTAGATGAACTGGTGTAGATCAAATTCCTGTGGATACAAACAGAAAAATGAGGAACGCAAAGGGTCTTTGGAGCTGAAATCGTTATTTGATGCTCTTAATTTTGATTCATCCCTTCACAAAAACTGCGACGCAACAAGCGGGAAAACTAATGTGGGGATCCATACATTATCAGCCATCATGATAGTAACTACTACAGTCTTCTCTTGGTATGAATGTTGCTAAGTATTTGTATCCATTCTTTTGATGCCTCTTGTTGAATTTTGAGTTTGTTAAAAAAATTAACATTTTAATGATTGCAAGCGGGTACGCAAGTAAGAATCTAAGATAAGGTCAAGTAAGACCTCACGAACTGTGCCGGCATTATAAAGTACGGAAGCTGAGGGTCGCTGGTTCTATACTTCTATGTGACCTCTTTTTCCTTTCTTTTACTTCGAAAATTTGTTTTTCCTTGGTTTTTACTTTCTTTTTTCTACCAAATGTTATGACGAACAAGCCTTTTACTATTTCGCGATGGTGCGATTTCCCATCATAGGAATGGTACTCTGAGGAGAAATGAGATGCTACTGAGTAACTCTTGGGGTTTGAAATGTTAAATCTTAATTAATCTTGTGAACTTGAAGAGTAATTTACCTCTTATCTCGGTTATAAGCACTGAATTATAAGTACTGAATAAAAACAGTTTCTTTGCACTAAATTATTCTTAATTAAATGCAATCACAACCATTTTTCGTGTCAATTTTTTTTTGTTCAGTTTCAAGTGTAAGAATCAGAACAGGTTAAGATTTCATAATTTATCCCATAGCCAGTGTCATATGATCATACTGGTTTAAATTCTTCATAGATAAAACAACTAAAATGCAACTACTCTGAAGACAACTCAATTTTCCATGTAAGGCTTTTGTCATTTATTCTGTTACTGATATATTGTTATCCCGATTGATTTACACGTTACATTACTCCTCTCCCATTTTTCTACTTTAACTCAGCTCTGCTCCCAGGGAATTGCAAACAGTCATGTGTCCCAAAGACACCTTATCGCTCCTGCGATGGAATTTGAAGGTCCATTCTCAGCGTTACTGGTTAGTATGATTTACATTTAAATGCAATTAAGAGGAGCGATGGCAAGCTTGAAATAAAGTAATTGTCTTCCTACCCGATATCGCGGTTGGTGGTCATCATAAACACCAAATAGCTGTCTCAAGAGTGTAAACCATGAGAAGATTTGATTGTGAATGGGAAAAAAAAATCGAGATTGGGCTGAGGTAAATAGAAAAATTTATTCAACAAGGTAGACTACGAACGATGAATAAAGGAAGTTTATTTATCACAAAGCACTCAGCATTAATTATAGAACTATAGTGTGACTCAAACCCTCTCAAAGGGGGAAATGGTCTCTCTCTCTCTCCAGAGTCAATTAAATAATCCGTTTCTTTTTTTTCTCTTCCGTCTAGACTTTGTAGTTGTCTCTGGTTTTTGTTCACCAAGTGAATAAATAGCAAGCAACGTAGATTGTTTACCTTTTATTTCGAACAGTTTAAATCAAGCAGACCTGTTTAGTTACAGGATGTAACTTACTAAAATTCCATAAAAGTTTAATTAAAGATAAAAAATCTCGATTTTAGCAGTAATTTTTCCGCAAAAAAGAGAAAAAGTAAAAAAAGGAACCGGGTGCTATGATCACTTTTGTTTCGTCGATATGCAAATGAAAGGTGTCGTGGAAAACGACACAGCCATGTGTTTGTGTACAAAACCGAAGAAATATTCTCGTATTTATTTGTTAGTTTCCCGCCTCATTTATTTGAGGGTTCTACGCAAGTGTATTCTTATAACACTAAGTAAAAAAAATTCACTTCAACAAAATGCCGATTTATGGAAAATCCAATACGGTCACTCACGGCTCATTTTATTCATTAAAATGACTTTTAAACTGATTCATTATACACAAACTTGTCTCGACGAGAAGCTCATTTAGTAAACAAAATAAAACTTTAGTGATCTCGCATTTCGTCATGTACCGAGTGATGAAAACGACCGCCGTCTTTGCAACCATATGATTGTCATGTTGGATAATTCTTTACTCTTTTTCTGTGCAACTTGATTATTAAAACGATATTTACATGGAACCTAAACTATTCTGTTTTGTCAGCGCTCTCCCGATATCTTCTGTTAAGGGGCACAATCAAACAAAGGCGCAAACTTAATAATTGAATTGAAGTGAAGATATTTTTAACGTCTCAAAATCTTGAAGTCTCGAAGCAGTCACCAAAAACGATTATAGTCAACAATATTTTGCACATCTTTGAGGTTCTTGAGCATCTAAGATAGAAACTCTGTGGTTATACTTGTTAAACGCATGAAAACTTTGAATAATAAAGCGGTTATATCGGAAAAACTCTGATTTTATTTCATCGATAAAATAAGCTCTCCTCCGTTAGTAAATTAAAGTTATGATTTTCATCAATTTATGAGGCAGCAAGGCAAGTAATACAAAGCGTTGTATTTTATAATCATAATAGGAACCACCTTTGACAAGAAAACACAATGTCAAAAAGAATTAACCATTTTCTAGTTAATCATGAACGTTGATGAAGGAAATGCATTACTTGAGTTGCCATGTTTGATTCATGTGAGCGTTTTTTAGTGCAGTAGAGCGGGCCAAATAAAAGCAAGATTATGGAACCAGTTGTTATACAACGATACTTAAAACATTAATATTTCTTCATTATAAAGACATTTGAAATTCTGTTTCTCAAGATATAATATTGATGAACGTGTTAAATGTAAGGCAATCCAGTTACTTCAAATGTAAACCCCGTGATATTAGGAGCTTTAGAAATACAGAAATGGAAATATTCTTCCAAAAACGCATCCATAACCTTCTTTACCTATTTTATGATACAATTCAAGCCAATTCTTCAACATTTTCAGGCAGGAACACATTACACACATCGTAGTTGACTCCTGGAGAAGATGCAACAAATGAGACGAGGTAACCGTAACAAGAATGAAAGGCTTCATCCTACTGGACGAATTAGCTGAGTAAATTAAAGTATCTGCACTGGCCAATGATAAAACACAACAGAATGAACCTTAGAACGGATTAAACACTTCCGTTGTTTCTCAAACTTGTTAGGACGAGATGCCAAGTAAACAAGTAACGTTTTCTTATGTGGAAAAAAAAAATTTTCACTCACACTCGAAACAGTCTCTAGTGAGGTAAGTATCGTGCAGGCGAATATTTCAGTTTTGTTTACATTTTCGTATTTTCTTCAATTTTTATTCCTGAAAAGCTGATAACACGAAAATTTTCTCTTGTTTTACGGTAGCGTTCATTCCTTTCGTTTCGAAAATCTCATTGCAAGCGTCAAGTTATTTTTGAAGGTGAGTGGATCGCTTTTTAGACGAGATTTAGGGAACATGGCTGATGCTTTAGAACGATTTTGATCTGACGTGTATATCGGTTTGGCACTGGCAAATTCACGGCTTACACTTTAGTAACCGGGCTACCGGTGTGTACAGAGAGAGTTTGCTATATTGTAACAAGGTTTTTTCGCGTAAAATATCACAATCAAGCCTTGAAAGTCAGTTGTTCGTTTTAAAAAAACCTTCATCAAATAAGATAATAAGATAAAATCATCACATAAGCTGAGTACATCTACATGAAAAACCAAAGTACGAAGAATACCTAAAGATGAATAACTCTCGAATTGATTGTCACAAAATATGGAACAGCCTAATAACACTTCAGTTACTGCTGTTTTTTTCGCTTTTCAGAACAGATTTCTGTTCATTTTGCAATAAGACACGGAGGTGCGGCTACAATTTTTGAGGAAGGTATGCTATCGACATATGTTAACACAAAATTTTCTCCACTTCTTAAAAAGTTTCTTGGCTCAAAGATGTTTATAAAAATATTACATTACTTACCAAAAAGTCCTATTTCATTGATTTTTAAAAGTATCATCGAGAGAAAATAAACATTGTATACTCTCTTGGTGTTATACATGGTACGTATCATGTGCTTTGCCTCAAAGAATGATTAACGATTCCGACAAAAATAATGTCTTTTACAAAAAAAGAAATGTGGCCTCAAACCATCACTTCATTTAAATAAAGATGTCCATTTCTCGAGACAAAACCCATCCAATGCACGTAGAAGTTCCGATCATGCCATTTTAAGGTCACATTTGATTTTGGAAGAGAAGGAACAATCAGTAAACCAGCAAAAACTCAATGTATTCTTTATTCTGTGCGTTTCAATTTGGTCAATAGTTAACTTCCTTTGTAGTCATTGATTTGTCTACCCACAGCTCGTCAGCTTACAATAATGAACCTTTCTTCGGAAACCCTGTTAATTTTACTGATTCTACCACTGATCACCATGTGTTCTGGCACCAGTAACAAGAGCAGCAAACCAGCCGACAACAAAGTAAGTCCCGTATGTTTAGTAGTGTTTGGGAAAGAGTGAAAAGTGATTAGGAAATACGTTTAGTTCCATTGCATTCTTTATGGCGAATTGACTGCGTCACTGACTGAAGCTTTTCCTTTTTCAACAATTTCCAGAAAGGGGGTAAAAACGTCAATTGCCAGACACATGGTGTAAAACTGAGAAGAGATTGGATTTTTAAAATGATATATTTTTTGTGGTTGCATGACCTTTTCAGTAGAGAAATCCCCTCAAATATTTGTTTTCCTGTTTTTCTTCTGCAATTCATATTTTTAATTTCTAAAACCGTACCTGTCCATTGTGTTTACCAATATTTGATGGAGGGACTAAATGTTTGGTTGTTATATTTTTGTTTCCATCACAGTCTCTTTCACAGTGTTATGGCGGACAACCAGGGACAAATGGTATTCCTGGGATGCATGGCATGCCGGGATCTCCTGGGGCACCTGGCCGTGATGGACGTGACGGAACAAAAGGAGACCGGGGCAGTACGGGAAAGGCTGGGCCCCAAGGACCTCCTGGCCTTCAAGGAAACAAAGGTCCGAAGGGAGAGCCTGGTGTCCAGGGTCCTACAGGTCAAAAGGGGCAGCGAGGGGAGAAAGGCGAGAGTGAAAATACAGGGGCGTCTCAGCTTTCCTCGCATATGAACTGGAAAGAATGTACATGGAAGAGTGGAGACGGCAAAGACTCGGGAGTGATCCAAGTACTAATAACTCAACAGATATTGAACTTTGCAATTTTTGTCTTTAGCATTAAGAGGTTACTGACAAAGAGTTACTGGGACCGAGTGATTTATCATAAGATTAGTGACAACTTTCTTAATCATTGAATTGTATCATTAACTGCCTTGAAGATGGTTTTTGAGTTTCAATGTAATTAAGTCTCCCATTTTTGTGGCGAAAGATAAATAGGTACAAGACAAACTAATTATTGGATGTTGTAACTACATTTACCCATAATAATCATTTTCTCTGCACAGAACTGCGAGTTCATGAAGAACTTCACAGACACTACCCTCCATGTCTACTTTGCTGGTAACCTCAGGATTCATGGATGTGACGACTGCTGCAGCCGTTGGTATTTCACCTTCAATGGCGCCGAGTGCAGCTCTCCTGGGTCGATTGACGGTGCGTTTTACATGAAAACTGGGAGGAACCACGATCTTCATCGTCACCGCCATATTGAAGGTCACTGTAACAACATTCACAGGGGAAAGGTGCGAGTGGGGTTCTGGGTTGGAAGCTGCAACACTGGCCATAAGAGTGCTGACGCGTTCACAGGCTGGGCCACGATGTCCCGGATCTTCATTGAAGAGGTGTCAAAGGCTCAGCAGTAAAAACGTCACACGTGATAAACTGGACTTTTTGGACAAATTAAAGAAAACTATTCTTGGAACTTGTAGACTCTTGGAGCTATGTAGAAATACAATGCCTATGAAAGATTTAAAACTTTAGAAATAAAGTCCAGGAAAGTACTCAGATATCTTTTGCATATATGAAGGATTCCACTGATTTCCACCAAGCACGTAATTGGCGGGGCAAATCAAATAGTTCCTACCGGTGGCATAATTGCATCTAGAGAACAGAATGCCTTTTTCGTTGAACTTCGTTCCTTGTTCATTTGGTGCACTTCAAATAATCTAACTGGAATAAACTTACCTACCTGTAACAGTTCTTCTGACCAAGTCTGTGTGAGAGTAGATATATTCGTACTCTTAAATGCAAAGTAAATGCTACTGAAGAGTACAACCACATACAATCTACTTATACATTTTCCAAGTTCTTGATGCTTTTCCATCAAAGTTAGGCTCGCTAGATGAAACTAGACTCCAAGAAATTTTCCTTTTTAATTTCCAGGAGGCCTTTACGCTTCAATCTCCCACAAAAAGACTACCATGATTACCTTTCAGCGATTTCAGATAAAAAGGAAAAAATTTTGTTCGAAAGAACACTGTCATTTAAGTACAATAAAACAAAGTATTCATTTCGAAAATTACTACCAAATATGGTCATGAGTAATCTAAACAGAGACGAGGTTTGAGACAGGTCCTGCCTTATGCTCGCTTTGGATATGTAAAGCAGCTTTTCGGTGGAGAATAAGAAAAGTTGTTGCAACAGTGGTCGAGATATCAAGAGGAAAACACACATTGGTGTAATTTTTCACTTTAATTCGTTTTTACTGAGCTAAAGTAAAAATTCTAAGCTGACAACGATCTTGACAAAAAATCCGTCGGCTGAAAAGTCTAATGTTAAGACTTTAAACATGAAACAGTGCAAATTTTGAGGCAGATTAACACCCTTGGGACCATAAAATTAATAAAGATGTTCACTTCAAATATCTCTCCAAAGCAGTGTCAACATGGACTGTGTTGACTGTCTATCGTTAACGCCAAAGGTCAAACAAATTCGGTTTTTTTAAAGACTAAAATTTATAGATGAACTGGTATAGATCAAATTCCTGTGGATACAAAAAGAAAAGTGGAGAACACAAGGGATCTTTGGATCTGAATTCGTTATTTGATGCTCTTAATTTTAGATCATCTCCTCACAAAATCTGCAACGTAACAAGCGGGAAAACTAATCTGGGGATCCATAAATTAGCAAAAATCATGAAAGTAACCACTACGGTCTTCTCTCGGTGTAAATGTTTCTAATTATTTGCATCTACTCTTCTGATGCCCTTTGTTGAATTTAGAGTTTATAATAAAAACTTTTAAAGATTGCAAGCTTTTTAGGCCCACGGGTCTATAGCCAGAAAAGCCCTATGTCAGGTACGCAAGTAAGAAAGGAACACCAGATCATGTAAGACCTCACGAACTGTGCCGGTCGCTATAAAGTTCAGAGGCTGAGGGTCGCTGGCTCTACACTTCTGGGTGACCTCTCTTTCTTTCCTGTGTTTTTGCTTCGAAAAACTTTTTTTCCTCAAGCTTTCCTTTTTTTTCTACCAAATGCTATGACGAACAAGCCTTTAAATATTACGCGATGGTGCGATTTCCCATGATAGGCCTCAAATCAGAGAGCGAACTCACTATTCGGGGAAAATCGGATAATTTGTCAAATGGTCGCAGGATTCGGGTAAAGGAAAAGATGATTCGAAATACTACTTTTAACAAGATTATATTTCCAGGGTTTAAAGGGTTAAATCTTGATAAACATATGAACTTGAAAGGTAATTTCTCTTTTGTTTCGGTTCTTGCTGTGTCTCTTTAAATGACTAAAATGCCCTCTAAATGGATTTTATAATCGTGACTCAAGAGGAAAGTTGGACCTTGAAAGTACGTGGAAGTTGAAAATGACATGCACTTTGGAGTCGTAATTTGCAAGTGACATACATCTTATGTGTGGCAATAGACGTTCCGAATATTCCCGGAGTTATGCACCATTCAGTCCGTCAATCACGCTAAAACACAGAGAGTAAAATAGGTTCGTTACTGAGATTAGAAACAGCGTCCTATAAAAGTAGTCGTTAAGGAAATGCTGTGATCTGATTGGTACGAGATACAAACCCCAATGCAGTGATCTGATCGGTGCGAGCTACATGTATACCACTCGAAACGCTAGCAGAGTTATTTTTTTTATAATTGTATAAAAAAAACATAAGTAATAAATTCCCTTCTTGTCTCTGCTGTATGCGAATTGTTACCTTATTTTTTTAACCCTTTACAATCCAATGTGGCTGCATATTCTCCATACTGTTCTTTATGTATACCCTGTGATGCTGACGAAAACGATATGTTTGACAATCCAGACAATTTCATTTCATTTCGTTTTAAGATCATTTCCTTTACTCTACTGATCTTAATGTTTGATTCAGGGGTGTACTGTGTGGAGAAATTAGGTGTTAGTAACTCTTAGGGGTTTGAAGTGTTAAATCTTAGTTAATCTTTTGAACTTGAAAAGTAGTTTTCCTCTTATCTCGGTTATTGCGACGCCTCACTTTTTTAGATTAAAATGCTCTTATATTTTGATTTTATATTCCTGTCTAAGAAGCAAGTTGTACCTTCCAAGGCGGCGGATGTTGAAAATAGCATTTTAAAGTCGAAACGGAAAAAAGGAAGATCGAAGGTTTACGTGTAGGTATTGATGAATGAAACAGCCGGGTTTCAAAAGTTCGCAGTCCGAGATTAGGTGGAGGAGTGTTTAAAAGTCGTAGGTCGTAAATTAGAGTCGGGGAGAGGAAGGATTCTGGGAACGAGGTTCACGAAAATGATATGTGCATGTCACAAGGGAAAAGAATACCTCAACTGAGTAGTACAAAATCAGTTGTCAAACTACAGTGTTAGCTTGTGAAAAGGCTAGATCAACTATTTCACCTGTTCACGAATCGGCTTAAAGACACAAACACAGTCAACGCTGACAGGGCAGTAAGAATCGCATAAAGATCTTGTCGGGCGATTGTGAAGCAAGTTAGATCAGATAAAACTAGTGTAGATTCCACAATCGGAAAGAAACCATTTTTTAAGAAAGGCCGTGAATGTTCCCGTTCGGGAAGCTGCAAAACCCTAGAACAAAAATGTAATTTTTTTCCCCCACGGTATCGGCGAAAACTTTTCATTCAACTACCTTTTTCCTTGTGTTTTTCACGTTACCAAGTTCCCACCTATAGAATAACTCCATCCATCGGTTTACAAACCACACACAACCCACAGTTCCTGTATTCACTCTGACAAAGGGCCGCGCTCGAAACTTCAGCTTTAAAAGCTCTTTACGGTGGCAAATTTACAATATCAACTCAGTTGATAAAACTAAATCATCTTGTAAAACACCCTCACCAACGCAGTACCACAGTTTCAACTTTCGTCATCGTCATCGTCAAGTCTTTATGCTGAATCCTTACATGATGTTACAAGGACGTAGAATAGCCAATGTAATATTTTCGCGTTTTACAGTCCAACGGAGACAAGTTCCAAGCCTCCGTTCGTATAAAATACACAGGCTAAGAAGAGAGAGTAAGATAATTTTGGATTTCTCAGTGAGTTGATAGTTTAAATTTGCCTGTGTAAAAAGTTTCAAAGCTGACGTTTCGAGCGTTAGTCCTTTGCGCTTTAGCTCTGACGAGGTGCTAACGCTTGAAAGGTCAGCTTTGAAACTCTTTACGGTGGCCAATTTGGATTATCAACTCAGTTGATAAAACCGAAATTATCTACCGATTGATACTGACGCAGCACCGCAGCTCTTTCTCGCTCCAGACTCTGCGCGTTCTCATCTACAATGCACTTCGGATTAAGGAAAGTGGGAGAGAGGCATCAGCTCTAAAAATCGCTTTTCATGCCCCTGCGGATGTTTATAATACTGATTATTGGTAAATTTTGAAGTGTGTGTTTCTTAGTCCATTGTCTTCACTTAGGATACGGACAAATCGGTGTTCAATCGATTCTCGTTATTCACAAGACCACTCGAAATAGCTGTGCATGTGTCCGATACGTCTGCCATGTGCCAAAATTGAGCTGTTTTAATCGTTTGATACCAGCCCAGCTGCCTCATGAATCGTAAAAAAACCATCGATTACACCGTCACTCGAAGGCCCAGAGAGCGCGACTCATCCAAGTTTCGCCAAGACAGTTCCAGTAGAGAAGCGAGAGGTCGTGATGATGGCGATAGCCGTTGTAAGACTCCATTTTGGTCGAACAACGACAAAAATTTGGTTAGTAAACAAATTCGTATTGAGTAAATTACTCTTTTAACTTTTGAAATAAATCACTGAGACATCTTTTTATGAAGGGATTTTTAAGTATTAAATGATGATTGGTATGTGGTAAATTTTAGACTGGTCATAACATTGTTATCACAGGAAACGATTTGTTTTGACTTCACGAACCTCCACAACACAACCTTCTCTGCTGCGTATTTAGCAGCTTTATACTCCTAAGTTTTACCCTGACATCCATATCAATACCTTTTATACATCTATGGCCACTTAATGGAAGGTGATCTTAAATAGAATCTGTTTCCCCTGAAATTGTAGCCTTCTTCTATCGTTGGCTCAGTCAGTGAAGTCTGAACACTACTGCATGAAGTTGATTACTCGAAGTCTGAACATTCTCCCACATGTATTCTTCATGAAAATGTAGACATCATAACTCAACATTTATTCCTTCATGTCAAAAAATATCCAATCTAATTTTTTCTGAAGTTCACCCCAAGCTTGCTTGGAACCAAAGTCATGAAAAACATATCAACTTTCTCGGAGGGTGTTTAACCTTCTCTACATCCTTCAGCCTTAATTTAGCTTGTCAGATCTCAAGCTATTCTCCAAAAATAACTATAATACTCTCCTTCCTAGCTAGTTCTGAAAATTTGATGTTTCAGCTAAACTGCCACCCTACTATTTATATAAGTATCCTCTAAAGTGTAAGCAAGACAGAGGTATTTGGGGAAATCATGGGGTAATTATTGATCTGTAATGCAGTCTCCATCCAAGCATATTTCTTTGGTTTTTTTTTCTGTATTGAAGGAAACTGAAACAGAGCTTACCTTTAAAAAAACACAACCAAGAATGTAACAACTTTGCAACCAAAAGCATTGTGGGATTGAGTCTTCCACAGTGAAAGATGTGTACAGCTTTTCCTTCCAGAAAAATTCTTCTGCAACTGTAGTTTAGTTTAAATCCCAACATCTGATTTTCCAAATTAAATAATAGTGTATAAAACCCAATTATTGTATGGTCATATTTCAAACTTAGATTGATTACACTAGTAGGAAAATGAAAGCTATTAGATTTGTGATGCGCGAAAATCTTTTGTGTTCTCCTTTTCAAGTGGTAACCAGTAAAATTTGCTGCCTGTAGCACTTCTTATTACTACCTGAAATAAATTAGAATTCTTGAAAATTCAACAGGTACAAGGATTGCTCTACTGGTTTGATAATTTTTTTTACCTGTTGTGCTTAAAATAGGGGAGAACACTGGACTTTTGTATAGTTCAGAAACTGAACAATAGTGAGTTAGTTGGCCAAGGCCTCTTCAATGTCAGCTATATCAATGAAATTCACTTTCTTTGTGATTTTGTTTCTCTGTTTTTATTTTGTTTGCATCAAAAAAAGAAAAAGAAATACCAAGTTTCCCTAATAATCCCTCTCAATATTTTGAGAAATTATAGAAAAAAGCTTGAAGGTATATATCATCTGGTACTCTGCTAAATTTGTTGTCAGTTGTCCCAAGTTCAACTCCTTGACTGTACTTTGTATGTGGCCAACTGGTCTGTCTCCTCCCAGTTGGGGTTTTTAATCATTGTGTTTCTTGGCAAAGTTTCAGTTTGTTGATATTGGCCCTGAAAATTCCTGTGGGGAAGTGGCTGACCGAGTAAACATAAATTCATACAATCACACTTATATTCAGTATATACATACATGCACAAGTCAAGTTATCAAGTCAACTTACCCTTTTATGTTTGGGTGTCAAAATGACAAAGGAAAATGTAATGTCTGCTGTACATAGTGGAAGCTTAAAATGTTATAAATAAAGTGACAGTAGAGACAGATTTTCCATGCTTATTTGAGGGGGGAGGTGCTTGTTTGACACTATGACCAAGGGGGGTGGATTGGTTTTGGGGAAAGAATGCTTATTGGAGGGTAGGGGCTTATTAATGTAAATACATTATGTAATATTTCAAATCTTTGGTTTAAAAAAAGAATAACTCAAAATGTTTTTGAAGATAATGAAAAATTCTGAGAAAATTCTGTCACCTTTAGGTATCAGACCAATGACCCTCTTACTTGCCAATGGGTAAATATTTAAAATGTGGCTCCCCACAAATAACTAAATTCATTTTGAATTACGTATGAACAATACCTCTGTGCAGTTTAGAGCTAAGTATTGTTCTGACAGCAATAAGCCAGTACATGTACAAAGAAATTGACTCATCTTTCTCATGCATTCTAAGAACGTCATATGCATGATACATCATGGCATAAATTTTGATATTGCGAAGAAGAAAGGCTGTCAAAGTGTTAAAACAATGAATATGAGCTATTTCAGAAGAGCGTTTTTTTTTTTTTCGGCAAAACATGAAAGAAGATGTGGTTATAGATATATATATATATATAAATATATATATTCAGCAAATCATGAAAAAGATGTATATATATATATATATATATATATATATATATATATATATATATATATATATATATATATATTGATGCTCATGGTGTTCAAGGAACCAAATGTGACAGCCAAGTAAACAAGAAATCCAGTTCCAGGACTCCAACTACACCTGTAGCAATGATTTCATTGGCTGTCATCTGTGTAACATACTTTACAAGGTAATGTATTAAAGTTGGTTTTTAAAATTGTTTTAGTATGGATCAGACTGACCTTGTTCATGTTGGTAGGATAATAGTTGGATGAAAATAGTTACTAATTATTATATGGCAAAGTAGTCTTTAACCCTTTAACTCCCACAAGTGATCATTATGAAAATTCTTCCACTAATATCCTTATGTTATCAAGCAAACAGCTTATGAGAATATTCAAACTTGTCAGGTAGAGGTTGTTGTCTTGATCTGACACCAAATTCTCATAACTAATTTTCATGGATATTTGTAGCAGCTGAAGGGGAGAATTACATGTACTAATTAATCAGATCTTGGGAGTTATGGGGTCAAGTAAATTAGAGCATTCTGATTGGTTCTAACAAGGGGGGGGGTTAAAGGCTGGCATAAAGGCTGGCAAATTGAAAGTAAACAAGTTTGTTTGGGCCAATATTCCCCTCTATGGCCCTCACACTCAGTTAGTAAGTAGTTATTAATTTTTCTGAAGCATTTCAGCAGGTTAGAATCTTAAATCCTGAAACAATATTGGCTACTTGTGTGCTCATAAGTGGCCATTTGCACCACAGCAAAAAAGAAACTCAGTAGAAAATATATATATGAGTTATTTTCTGGTCTAAAATGGTTTGTATGGGAAAAAATTAAGCCTTTGGGGACAGTTTTCTCCTTAACAAATCTCCTGCCTGATAATCAACATTTTTAATGAATTTAGCGATCCAATGAAATCCTGTTGTCCAGGCACAAGGAAGATACCAACATGTGCCTACATTGGTAGCTCTCCATGTTGAAAATATCATGTACTCTTTTAGCTATAGGGCTCATATGGCCAGTTTATGTGGTGCTTATCTATTAGCTTTATTTTTTGATGTTTGTTCTGATCTGAGCTTGGAAACCTCTTCCAACATTGTTTTATAATTCTAATAGTTGTGTACAGGAAGTTTGACATGCAACCTTTCTTGGTGGTGATCAAGCAGAACTGTCTTTTTGTGAGTGCTGCATTAAGTTAGGTTCGAATATGAGACATTGAGAGAGTACTGATATGCAAGTTAATCTCCTTTTCTTGACACTAACTAAACATATATATTGTATGTTTCAGTTACTCCAGCAAAAGGTCAGACTTAATTGTCTGCTCTAAATCAATGGCTATACCAATGAACCTTTTGGGGTTTTTGGTCAAAATGTGTTTCTCTCTCACTGAGTTTGCACCAAAGTTTCCAGAGATACCTCTGGAGTCGCATCCTAACTGGGCAATTGGCAGTATATTATCTTTAACTTAAGCATCTAATATCAAGAGGTGTATCATGCAAGGTAGATATAGTATTCAAATACTTTGCCGCATTCTTTCCTCCTTGTCTTCAAGCTCATGTTGTTTTTTTAAATGCAATTCATAATATATATAAAAATGAAGGGAAAGATCGGGAAAAAAGATAAATTACACTCAATTGAAAGTATGTAAAAAAAAAAAAACAAACAACAACAAAACAGCAATAATGAGAGGGGAATGCTTACTGGTTATAGTATTACATATAGATTACCTTTCAAGTGATTTTCAAGGTGATTTCTTCTGCCTTTCCCTTGAGTGAAAAACATAGATTACTTCTCATGGGTACACTTTGGCAACATGTACTGTGGCTGTAAGAGTACCTTAAAAGAAGGCCATCTTCTTCTTCATATTCTTGATGCTTTATATTTAGAATTTTGATGTTCAGGTGCCCCTTAAGTTACATCATTTGTCTTTGTTTAAACAAAACTTTTTGTTGCTTTGTAAAATTTATGTTTGGTATGGAGATTGCCTTACAAAGGCTTAAAAGGTGATACCTGCAATAAAGTTCTGGTTTGATACTGAACAGAAAAATAACTTAAAAGATATTTCAAAAAGAATTTCAATCTTGACCCAAGGTGTGGTTTGCATATGCAGCCAGATCTTGCGAATTGACCAAAGAAAACAAGAAAAAAGTGATGAAGCTTGACTGCATGGTTTCTTCATTCCACTGATATCCTTTACACATTTATACAATTTAATCTCCAGTTCAGCACAAAACTGAAATCTAAAATACTTTTGAAATCTACTTATTTTTTCAGGGAAGTCAAGCTAACTTCAGTACTTTGCAGATGTTAGACAAGTTGAAGGACACAGAAACAGGGAGCCTTTATGACAGAAAAAGGAATCCTTTGCTGAGTAACCTACAGAAGGAGATTTCAAGAGATGTCCTGTCTCAGCATGACAGAGACAAATTTGGAACATTTGGGAAAGTAATTGGAAGTGGCTTCTCAAGAGGTCAAAGCAGAGGACCAATTATTGATGTATTTTCAGAAGATTCGCACAGTTTATACAGTGATTCAAACTCTAAACGAACAGATTCTAGCAACAGTAAAGACTGGCAACACAGAAGAACAGACAAAAATGACTCACAAAGGAAAAGAAGCCACAGTCCTGATGATGAGTTGTTGTCTTCGAATTGGAGAATTCGAGAAGACACAACAACTAAACGCAGTCATAGTAAAAGCTTAAACCCAAGCAGTCAATGCATGGATGACGATGTTGATCTAAGAAGTGTGCTAAAACAGTTCCAAAAGAGTAGATGGGAGGACAACAGTGAAGATGTTTTTGATTCAGGTTTCAGTGCAGATTACAGAGATGATGACCATCAAGGGAAAAAAGGTCCCTATGATGACAGAGTGGAAGGAAGTGACTGTAGAGAACCCAGGGACTCTTTAAGAACCAGGTAGCAGTGTAGTATAAGGGTTAGATGAGGAAGATATGATAATGGGTAAAGGTTTGGAACAGATCAGATCAGCTATTTAACAACATTGGGGTTTAAGGAACACACATGTATAAATGAAATTTGGAATTTTTCTATGAACAATAACCATTATCTTGAGTATCAAAACTGCTAGATGAAAAGTATCTTCCTGTTTTCTTTTTCTGTTTTCTCAAGTGGCTTGTGTAGCTCACCTCAAATTAAATTTTTGCCCTAAAAGTTGTTATAATTTTCCTCTTTAAACCATCTCTCGTACCTTTTTTGTCCCATATCTCTTAATAAATTTGATTTTGTTTTCTCTCGGGGCCCCAGTGATGACAGAGACCACAGGGAATCAAGATATGGCAGGACCAAACATGGAAGTCTGAATGATAGAAATGCAGTATGGTTGGACACTTACAAAGAGTCATCAGCACTTGAGTTATCAAGTTTGAGCACTGATGCTTTGAGAGACCTTCCAATATCAGAGCTTGCTCGAAAGGTAACTCAGAAGTACAAAACTGGCTTTGAGCTGGGAAGGCCATTCTTTGGATTGCAATCAGAAGGCCAAGATAAGAAGAGAGGTACAAGTAATTATCATCCCATTGAACATTGGGAAACTTTTTTGATAAGTGGTGAGGTTTTATGCTGGATAAATTATAGAAGTGAGCAATACATGTACTATTGGGAAATTTCCAGTGATACTTGTCCTTATATATAATTTACTGCTTTTCTGGACCTATCATGCTATTTGCATGCTAATTTTTAACAAGTAGTGCCTCTTTTTTGCAGCAATACAGTCTGTTTATCTTGATTTATTGACCTTTTTCAAAACAAGGAATTAAGCATGAAAGTAGCTGAAGATCAAATGCAGCATGCTTAATAGTATCTATTTCATGTTATTAGGTTGGGAAAATCCAAACTTTGATGTTTCAAAGGCACCTGAAAGGTGGAAACCATCCTTGGATGCTCTAAATGACCATGGATCAGAATCATATGGTAGGACTATGGACAGCCAAAGCATTACGCAGACACAGAGGAACTACTCAGGAAAGCATTCCAACAGCAGCAACCTATCAAAATCTAAAGCTGGTGAAGAATATATGTCAAAGAACATTTTTGAGTATGAAGACCACAAGGCAGACAGCAGTAGACAAAAAGGCAATTCAAAAATGGTAGCTCAGTCTTTTAAAAGTAGCACTTCAACATCACACACAGTTTTCAGCCAAAAGACTTTGAAAGGTTCGGCCTCATCCATGCTGAATTCAAGGCAAAAACCTCTGTTTCCATCTGGATTTTTGCCAAGGCAGTTGCAAACACCAGTTGGTAAAAATGTTAAGAATGTGGAAGTTGGCAAAGGTAAAGGACTGGATGACCCATCTTCATTTCTACACAAAAGTGGTTACTATCCAAGGAACACAACAGAAATATCAAGGTCACGCAGCAGAAGTTCTGAGGGAGACGATTTTACCAAAGACCTTGGGAGTAGCATAAGTGGCTCAAAAAGAGAGGTCAGACCTCCTTCCAAGGGGAAATTTACAAACCAAAATTGGTTAAGTTTTGACAGTAATGTAAAACAATCCACTGGAAAAGGTACTTCAAAAGGCACTAAGCAGCAGAGTGCAGAACAGGGTAGCATGCATTCAAACAGCAACAGTGGTAGAGGAGGCTTTAAACCTAGTGGTAGAGGAAATTTGCAAACCAAGAAGGGTGGAAGAGGTACTTCATTCAGTCCTCGAGGCAGAGGAAGGGGTGCAAAGGGTAATATAGTTAATAGTAATAAAGGAAGAGGCACTATGAGTTTAAGAGGAAGAGGATCGGCAGTGCGTGGAAGAGGCAGAGGAGTCAGTCAGCTGCCGGTAGGTGCTACGGTCAGAAACATATTCCGAAGAAGTAGATCTGTCTCCCCTGTGGGAAGCAAATTTCGAAGATCTTCCAGGTCTCCAAACAGTCCAAAACAAGACAAAAAAAGGAGGAATGAAAGAAGTAAAGAAAAAAGAAGTAGAAGCCGAAGCAGCAGTTTTTGCAGCACCTCTAGCAGTCACAGTTGCAGTACAAGTTCCAGTTGGTGCAGTGTTAGTCTTGACAGTCTGTCAGGGAAAGGTGACGGAGACAGGAAAAGACGTCATAAACATAAGATGCACAGTTATGAGAAGAAAGAAAAGAGTACAGTTAAATCAGTGGAGAAGTTAAAAAATGATATAAAAACTATGGAAAAGCAGCTTGAACAAAAATATTCCAGGTCTTTTGGTGAGAAGAAAACAGAAGGTCCTGATTGTAAATTTGATGTAAAGACTGTAAAGGGAAAGCCAAAAGTAAACATCAAAGATGAGGACAAATGGTTTGAGCAAAAAACAATCAAAACTGCTCTTGAAAAGGGAAAGGAAGACTCTAAGGGTACATTTGACTTTAAAACTCTGAGGGAAGGGTCACAGTTAAACAATAAAGAGGAGAAGAAAGATATAAAAACTAGAGAGAGACACAGTGGGAAGAATGTGCCTGTTGTTAAAGAAGAAAAGGGGATCAAAGAACAACAAGGTAAAGATTTCAAAGATGTCAAGAGGGAAGGAAAGAAAAAGACAGACAATGTGAGAGAGGTAATTTTCAAACGAGACAAGGAGAAAGAGTCACCAAAATTACAAATAAAAATGGAGAGTCTCCAGTTCGTGAGGTGAAGATTGTAAATGAAGTGAAGAACAGAAAGGATAAAGTTCCTGATGAGAAATTAGGTTCAAAGATAGAGCTCAATACTCTTAAGATAACAATTGATCAAGTTAAAAAGAGGCCTGATTCCAAGAAAGACATAGGTGAGGAAAAACTTTTGGATGAAGGAAAAAGGTCCTCCAAGTCACCACCTGGAAAACAGAAGAAAAAAGAAAAAGAGAAAGTAAAGGCAAAGAAGGCAAAGAAGAAAGCCAAGAAAAGAAAGCACAACAGGGATAGTGAAGAATCAGGTGATGAATCAGTATGTAGTGGTACTTCTGGCCAAGATGATTCTTCTTCTTGCATATCACAGAAAGGTCACTCTGATGAACGGATTGTAGAGGTTTCCTCATCAGTAGGTTTTGATACCAATGCAATTGCAGTGCACTATGCTAAAAGAGAAAAAGCAAAGTATGGTAAAGGAAAAGTCAGGACCAATCTAATTTCTGTTCCTGTGTCAGAAGGAGCAGATATTGCACAAGAGAGGAAGATCCTTCCAAAAGAAGGATCACAATGGCTAAATGAGCAACAGCATGGTTATACATTGACTAATGAAGGACAACATAGCATCAGTAGTGATGTCCCTTGTACTGAAATTTTGTTTCCTAATGAAGGTACATTTTATGAAGGATACACTGAAAGTGCTGTTGGTGATCAAGACTATACCACTATGTATCAGGAAAGTGAGAATCCCAGCCAGGTATGGCCATCAGAGCATGCAGAGGGTGATGACCCTAACAACTACTATTATGAAGAAGGAGCAGAGGGTGAAGGTTATGAGCAAGAGTACTATTCCTACGTTGAAGAGGGCGACTGTCAGACTGGTGATCTAGGAGACAATCAGGAGTGGTTTGAAGGTGAATATCCACAGGAAGGTACAGAAGGGGAAGTTTATGGTGGATATGAAGGGGAATATTACCTTGGGGAGGATGGACTCTATTACCCTGTTGAAGGTGAGGAGTACCAGGAGTACCAGGAATACCAGGGAGAGTATGCAGAGGGTGGAACAGTTGGGCATGGTTTTGATCCAGAGCAGGGTGGTACCTACACTGAAGGTGACTACCAGTATGCTGAAGAAAGTGGTGTGTGGCAGCATTATGAGGAAGGGGCAGTTTACCATGATGAGGAAGCTTGGAATCAGGGTGAAATAGAGGGACATTGGCAAGAGGAGTACCAGGAAGGTTATCATGGAACTGAGTGTGAATGGGGCACCGAGTACTCTCAAGAATTTGATGCTGGTGCACAAGGGTATATTGTTGAGGGGGCTGAGGTTTTGCCTGAAGAGGGCTGTAGTACAGGTGAAGGATATGATCACCAGTTGGCAACAGAGCAACAGTACATGGAGGAAGGTCCTGTCCATAAGGAAGGCTACCATGTTGAAGATGGCTTGGAATCTCAGCAACAAGGGAAGCTAGTAACATCTGCACATCATGAAGAGCCTCCAACATTAAAAGAAGACATGGCTACTGCTCCAGCTGTGAAGGATGTTCAACAAAGCAAACCACTTAAGTCTATCCTCAAAAAGAGCAAGCAACTTACAAACGATGGAAAAGGGACAAAACTAGTCAGTGAACGCCTTTCTCAAATGAAAAGACAGTCAGCACACACAACAGTTGTACTTCAAAAAAGTAGTGCATCTTCTTCATCTGTCCAATCTACCCAATCAGTTGATAAACAAGAGGAGAGTCCAGACCAAATAGCTACAGCAAGTGCTCAGTCTGAGGCACAACGCTATCGTGAAATGGAAGAGGCCATTTTGTCTTCACAACCTAAAGATGCAGTTGGTACAGAATATGTGATACGAGTCCATGGAAGTGGGACAGCAAATTTCTACTGTAAACTTTGCCAGTGTCACTTTAATACACTGACAGCTAAAAACTTACATATAAAAGGAATGAAACATATAGAGCTCTATATCCGCTTAAAGTCTTCACTATTACAATCTGTCATAAAGGACACCAAGGTGAAAGCTGCTAAAAGACCTCCAGATGATGATCCATCAACAACACAAAAAATTCCACGGCGATTTTAACATGGTATAGTAAGCACTTTTTAATTTTTTCTCCTCTGTTATTCTTGCTCCTTTTTTGAGTTAATTTGTTGTTTGGGGCAAGTTTTTGTAATTTTATAACTTTGGATAAATTACCAGGTTCTTTTACACAAAATTGACTTATCTAACTACAGAAAAATAGTGGTTTCCACATAAATTATGCTTAATTTTTGGTTGCTTTGGTCCAAAGCATTGATTAGTTTGGTTGAGTAAAGTTGGATTCCTTTTTTGTCTCCCACAGTGTGAATGACTAATTTTGTTAAAATGGGACTGTACTGAGGCTCTAGTGTTTTGCATTGTTTAAAACCAATCACCATGCTTACATCTGTTTTTGTTTATGTGTTGTAGACTTTTTGTAATACAGATGGCAACAAGACACTACATGAGGCCAGAGATGCAACTGGAAAATATTTTCATTTGTGTTTCTTGCCAGGAAAGAAAAACAGACATTACTAATGGTGCATATTTAACTACATCTAGTGTGAGTCGTGAAAAATGGATATGAATTCTTAAGAAAATTATAGAGACTTGTAGATTGTAGTGTTAGCTGGTGTTCCTAAATTAAATATAACTTTTGTAAGGAAATGGAGATTGATGCTTGTCAGATGAATATTGTTTTCTCAGGCCCTTTTCTATTCATATTTTTACATAAATGTATTTATTTTAAAAAACACTTTGAAGCATTTCAGGAAAGGAGGTTATCCCCCTTGGTTTTCACCACTAACAGGTTGATAAAAAGTGTCTCTTTTCACTTTTTTATAATATGGAAAACTTAATATATTTCAATCTATCAAAGAGTCTCATATATGGAAGAAAATGTCCAAGTGGAATTTAAAGCCACAGGCAGGGATTATTTATTCTTAAGACTTACCATCAGTGTTTAACTTGTTATTAATTAAGGTCATCCAGAGCTTTCAACATAATGGTTGTTTATTTGCGGTCATTGAAAAAGAGATAGACCTATTGTAGATTTGTTGGTCATTCTTAGAAAATAATCATCCCACATTGATTCAGCATCAAGAATTGTGTGAAGTAGGTTTCAAATGATTTTCTCTATGAGAATATTTGTACTGTCAAGAACACCTCATTCTGTAGAAAGGCATGTGAGGTACTAGCACTTGATTATTTCCAGTGATAATAGTTTTGTTTGTCTGAAGATTCCCAGTATTTGGTGAATAAAAAGGTGATTTAAAAGGTTAAATTTTTGGATAAGCTGGCTGACATCTTGGAGTGCAAAAAAAAACTTAATTAGATTGCTGGACATAAATTGGCCTTCTGTTGTTTTTATAGGAGTGTGGTTGTATTCAGTAGACAAGATCACAACCAACAAATGTACTCTGAATTTCTCCATTCTGGGTAATTATTCTCTCAAGTGTTGTGTAATCTGAAAAGTGTAATTTTAAACTGGGGTTGCTTTGCACCAAACCGACTACAAGGTTTTGACTCATTATTGTACTTATCAGACTGTTTTTGGGGATGGAGGAAAATTCTGGGTGTGTATCCAACCTGCCTATTATAAATAGTAACCCATATGTACTGCTTTTACACCTGTCCTTAACACTCTCAACCAAAGGTAGTTTTGTCTAGCACTTTTTCTTAGAAGTATCCTGGAAAGCTTAAGTTAAACATTTTATACGACAAACAAAGATAAAATTAAGTTCACCTCTTCTTTGTTGCCTAGTCATTACTATGATTACAGTATGGCTCTAAAACTTAGTATACTTGTTGAATAGTCATGAATAACAGATTTTATGTTTTGCCTCCATTCTGAAATTATGTAATAAATCAATAAGTTTGGAACTGGTTTTGTTTTGTTTTTGGTGTTTGTGTGGTTGTGACCCTCTGCCTTTTGAATGTTTCCAAGAAATTTGATAGTTGAAAATTTGTTGAGAAGGGGTGAGCTTTTATGCTATGATTACTTGAAGGAACAGAAAACGTTGAATTCATTTTCTCATGAAACTGAAGGTTGTTGCATCTATAGAGCATGCCATGGTGTATTGATGAAAATAAAGGAATTGGTGATAATTTTTGCAAACTTCAGTCATAGGCTTAAATAAGTGGGAAGGATGTTCATACCCCTGGCTTCAATCTGTTTAAAAAATGGATATCCTTGAGGAGACATGAAAGTAAGACTTATTTGCCTCTCTAAGAGGATAAGTGATGTAGGTGGAAAACATTTGCATAGAGCAATTTTTGAGGGTAAAAATGGTGAAAATTACACATTGCTCTAGAAGAGGTTGTATCAGCTGATGAGGTCAATCCTAAGACTAGGTGTTACTGCCGTTATGCGTGATGTCACGCACTCATTAGCTAGATCCCGAGAGGCGCTGCGAGTTAAAAAAAATACATGTGCTCGATCGAAGTGGAGAATCGTTTCAACGCCCGTTTAACGTCATCGTTTATATTATAAGGACACAAACGTAAGTTTTTTTGGTTTCGTTTCTTGTTTGTCTAGCCTTTTTCCGTATTTATAGTTGTAAATTTCCTTTGTTTCCTTTTAGTTTTCGAAACCGTACAACGTTCGTTCAAGATTGTAAAGTCCATTTCATAATTACAAGTACGCGTGTTCAAGTTTGTGTTGTCGTACCGTTTTATGCGTGCACATTTCGTTTCGAAAAGTTTCACCCTCATCGCATACTGGTTTATTGGAACTTATCCTACGTTTATTTGCAATGTTGGGCGAACTGTTCGCCACTCATCGCTAATTTGAAGCGACTACCGAAGGATTAATTAGTGCCTAGTCCACCATGAACGATGAACCTGTCGCTGAGGGCGCTGGGCCTGGGTTTCCTCCGAACGAAAGCTGTCCCGATACTCGTGTAAGGAAATTAACTGAAAAGGGTCAAGAAGAGAAATTAAGGCGACTGAAAAACGATCAAACTGCCAAAACGACTGCTGTGACAAAGCAAAGGAATGCTCTCACAAACTTAATGGAAGATGAGAACAATCTTCATTTAGTGAAATCAGAGGTTGTTGTATTGAACACATTATTCAAGGAGTATCAAGAAGCACGTGACCTTTATTATTGCCAGTTGACCTCCGAACAGGATCAAGACAGGGAACTTGATCGCTATGAAAGTAAGGAGAAGTCATTTTTGGAATTTAGGAAACAGGTTATGGAATGGATGAATGTAGCAGAACGTCGCTTAACAGAAGAACTTGATCTGCTCTCAGAAGTAAAATCGGCTTCATCCAAATCGTCCCGTGTTAGCACCCGTTCGAAGAAGTCTTCAGCCAGCTCAACGCCATCTGCACGAGCAAAGGAGAAACTTAAGCTAGCGGAATTACAAGCTGAAAACAAATGCTAGAACGCAAACAAGCTCTACGAGCAGCAGATGAAGCCTTGAAACTGGAAACTGAAATAGCGAAAGCCCAGGCCAGAGAAAGGGTTTATGCCGATTTGGAAAATGATGGTAACCTAGAAAATAAGGATGGTATTGTTCCCTGTCTCCAGCAAAGTGAACCTAAATTCATGGCTTCAACACCTGCCGCTCATCTCAACCCTGCTGCCCCAGAGTTTCACTCAAACAGTCTAGCTGGTGAGATATCGCCTCCGGCTAACAACGGGACCACTGATGTACCACAAGGAATTATCGCTGCAGCTGATGATCCCTATCGATTGGAACCCCATGAAAGGTCTTTCAAAGAAGTGATGGCCATGCAGCGACAGCAAAATGAGCAAATGATTGCAACCCATCGGCAACTGGCTGCAGCAATGACTCTGCCTCAACCTGAAGTGCACAAGTTTAAAGGAGACCCCATCGAATATGGAACCTTTATCATGGCATTCAAGGCAAGGATAGAGTCCAGAACATTCAGGGCGGCAGATTGCTTATACTACCTGGAACAACATCTTGAAAGGGAACCACGAGAACTTATTGGAGGCTGTCTGCATATGGACCCTTCTGAAGGATATAAGGAGGCGAGGAGGTTACTGGAGAAGGAATATGGGGATCCCTTTAAAGTTTCAATGGCCTATGTGAACAAAGCTCTCGGATGGTCCCCAGTTCGGCCAGATGACGCATCAGGACTAAAGCGTTTATCGCTTTTCTTGATTAAGTGTAAAATGCTATGATGAGCGTGTCTCATATGAATGAGTTAAATCATCCTACGAACCTGCAGACCATTGCAAAAAGCTTCCCTCGCATCTCCAGTCAAGATGGCGTGATCGTGCTGCGAAATTGAAAGAGAACGGAAGGATAGCGAGCTTTAAGGATCTCGCTGATTTTGTGGTGTCAGCAGCCGAATCAGCGAACGACCCTGTATTTGGCGTGCAGGCTTTAAGTAGTACCCAGGAAAGGCGCAGAGATAACAGTGGGAGAGATGGCAAGAAGAAGCCCTCGTCAGCAACTAAAACAAGCAACAGTTTTGCCACTGGGTACACCATTCCCGGCATAGAGGCTGTAAACCATGCGAACCGAAACAATGCTGGTGGCAAGGAAAAGTTGTGCCCCTTCTGCAGCAAGAACCATGACCTGGATGATTGTGCGGAATTCCTCAAAAGGACCATGGATGAAAGGAAGACATTTCTTTACGAAAGAAAATTATGCTTTGCCTGTTACGAATCTGATCATGTATCCAAAGGTTGTGTAAAGAGACGCACCTGCAAGAAGTGCAAGAAACGGCACCCAACAGCATTGCACATTGATGGTTTCACAATGAATAGAGAGAGCGTCAGTAACAAACCCCAAGCGACGGAAGTTCAATCTATAGCGGTTAGCAATAGGCGCATTGATGTCTCTAAACCTGTACAGGACGCACCAAGTTGCAAGGAGTCCGTAGTGCTACATGCCATACTCCCAGTTAAAGTTAAACAGAAGGGCTGTAACAATTCAGTTGTCACGTACGCGTTTTACGATAATGGTAGTGGCGGCTGTTTTTTGCAACCGAAAATATCAGGAGACAGTTAGGAATAGACGGTGTCAAGGTTATGCTACAACTCACCACCATGCATGGACAGAGTCAAGTGGAAAGCATCATTCTGGACGATCTTATCGTTACGAGCCTAGATGATGAGAATCCCATTGAGTTGCCTCGCTCATACACAAGAGATGAAATCCCAGCAGAACATCACCAAATTCCCACGCCCAGTCTCATAAATCAGTGGTCACACCTTTCCGAGGTTGCGAAAAAAATCCCTGAGCTTGAGCCTCGCCTGGAGATTGGACTACTCATTGGCAGCAATTGCCCGCCTGCCTTAGAACCATTAGAAGTTGTACCTTGTCGAAGCGATGGCCCATTTGCCCTCCGTCTCCGCCATGGTTGGACAGTCTGTGGACCTCTCCATATCCGAACTGATCATGACAAGGACAAAATAATCGCGAACCGAATTACAGTGAGAGAAGTGGAAACGCCGAAGGAAATCATTGCTCCAACGTCATTGCTCAGAATGTTGCAGATGGACTTCAACGATCACACCGTAAGCAAAGCACCGGACGAGCGTGGGCCTTCTCAAGAAGACAGAAAGTTTTTAACTATGGTTGAAAGGGAGACGAAAGTTGTCGACGGCCACTACCAAGTTCCTCTTCCATTGCGACATAGCGATATTATCATGCCCAACAATAAGGAGCAAGCAATCAAAAGAGCAAACTGGCAGAAGAAAAAGATGTTGAGAGATTCTAAATACCGCTCTGATTACGTTTCCTTCGTAAACGATGTCATCCAAAGGGTATGCACAAAGAGTTCCAAATGAGTTGCTGATACCGAACCCAGGCAAGGTGTGGTATCTACCCCATCATGGGGTGTATCACCCGAAAAAACCAGAAAAATACGCGTCGTATTTGACTGTAGTTCAAAGTTTCAGGGCGTGTCGCTCAATGACTGTCTGATGCAAGGTCCAGATATGACAAACTCCCTAGTAGGCGTGCTAACCAGATTTCGTGAAGACCCCGTAGCCTTCATGGGAGATGTGGAATCCATGTTCCACCAGGTTACAGTTCCTCCTGAACAGTATGATTACCTCCGTTTCTTATGGTGGCCAGATGGCAATCTAGAAGCCGAGCTACAAGAGTATCGGATGGTTGTACATTTATTTGGAGCGGCCTCGTCGCCAAGTGTCGCTAACTTTGCCCTTAAGCGAACCGCAAGGGATAACGAAGATAAGTACGGTACCTTGGTTGCTGACACGCTGCGAAATAACTTTTATGTGGACGATTGTCTACGTTCCGTAAGCTCGGAAGGTAAAGCAGTCGAGCTGATTGAAGGTCTTCGGCAATCCTGTAAGAAAGGTGGATTCCGCCTCACCAAATTCACTTCCAATAGTCGTGCAGTTTTAGAGTCTATACCAGAGGATGAGCGATCGAAAGAAGTCAGATCAATAACTCTTGACTGTGACAACCTCCCTATCGAGCGTGCCTTAGGGATACAGTGGTGCGTACAATCAGATTGTTTTGGATTTCGAATCGTCATTAACAGCAAACCGTTTACAAGACGAGGAGTCATGTCCACCATCTCATCAATCTTTGATCCCTGGGCTTCATCGCTCCTTTCACACTTCTAGCGAAGAAGCTGTTACAGGATCTCTGCCGCAATGAAGATCTCGACTGGGATGACGACATTCCGGAAGACTGCCGCAGTAAATGGCTAAGATGGTGTGGAGAGCTTCCGTTACTAGAGCAATTTCACATTGATCGGTGTCACAAACCGCCGGGTTTTGGCCCAGTTGTCTCCAGACAGCTCCATCTGTTCTCCGATGCAAGCCAGGTGGGGTATGGATGCGTTGCCTACCTACGTCTAATGGATAACATGGGTCGCATACATTGTTCCTTTTAATGGGGAAGGCTCGTCTTGCACCTATTAAGGCCGTAACAGTCCCACGCTTAGAATTAACTGCAGCAACCGTATCTGTTCGCGTGGGACAAATGCTGTATGAAGAGCTTGAAGTTAAGCCTGAGTCTATCATCTATCACACCGACTCGACGACGGTTCTCCGCTACATAAGAAACGAGCGGAGGAGGTTTCAGATATTCGTGGCAAATCGTGTGCAATTGATCAGGGACTTCACTAGTCCTATGCAGTGGAAATACGTGGACACCAGTAGCAATCCGGCAGATGATGCCTCAAGAGGACTTTCCGCCGCTGGACTTCTGCAGCAGCAACGCTGGTCGAATGGTCCACACTTCCTAGGGAAATCAGAAAAGGACTGGCCGCAGCAGCCCTTTCCAGTCGGTGAGGTCCCAGATGACGACCCTGAGGTCAGAAAAGTTGCTTCCGCCGGTACCATGGTAATGGAAGCCACGGCTACGTCAGTTAACAAACTAATAGAATACCACTCGAGTTGGTATCGCCTGAGATTGTCGGTGGCCGCATTCCTTAGAATCAAGGCTGTATTGCGAAAACGGAAGGAGATTAGAGGCCAGGGTTCTCTCGAGATAGATTCGGACCATGGTCAGGCAAGGTCGGGCGTGAAGTCACTACAAGCTGAAACGAAGGTAGTGGGTGACTGCTGCGCACCGCTCTCAGTTCAAGAGTTTGAAGAGGCCGAGATGGCCATCCTTCGCTTCGTACAGTTGCAGTCCTTCAGTAGAGAGTTTGACGCTCTCAGACAAGTCAGTGACAAAGGCGGTGGAGACGAACGGGGTCGGGCAAAGCAAAAGAAAATGGTGCTGAAGAAAGCAAGTTCCCTAACTCGGCTGGATCCCTACATTCATGAAGGCCTCCTTCGTGTTGGTGGCCGCCTTAGCCGCGCTGACGATCTTCCAGAAGAAACGAAACACCCCATCATCTTACCTCGCAAGAGTCACGTTACGAACTTGATTATCAAACGCCTACACGAACGCCTAGCACACGCAGGCCGCGGTCACACACTTGCTAAATTGAGGGAGAAGTACTGGGTCACCGGTGCCAATGCTGCTGTTCGTCACCTAATCGCAAATTGTGTTACTTGTCGCCGTAATCGTGCCCCTGTCGCTGAACAGAAAATGGCTGACTTGCCTAAAGACCGAGTGACTCCAGCCCCGCCATTTACGTATACTGGCGTGGATTACTTCGGTCCGTACATGATCAAAGAAGGTCGAAAGGGACTCAAACGGTACGGATGCCTTTTCACATGTTTAGCAAGTAGAGCAGTGCATATTGAGACCGCCAATTCTCTCGAAACAGATTCATTTATCCAGGCTCTGAGGCGATTTATTGCTCGTCGTGGGCCTATCCGAGAGATCCGGAGCGACAACGGAACAAATTTTGTAGGCGCCAAGACAGAGTTACAGCAAGCAGTTTACGAAATGAACAACGAGCAAATCAGAAGCAGGCTGCATCTAGAGGGTACAGATTGGATTTTCAACCCACCGAGTGCCAGCCACATGGGCGGCATTTGGGAGCGGCAGATTCGCACTACCCGCAAAGTACTCACTGTTCTACTCCATGAGCATGGCTCCCGTCTGGATGACGAATCCTTTAGAACTCTACTATGTGAAGTTGAAGCTATCATTAACTCGAGACCGCTAACATTCGCTTCGAGTGATCCCGATGACCTCAACCCACTAAGTCCCAGCAATCTCCTGGCGATGAAAACCAGCGTTGTACTTCCCCCAGCAGGAGTTTTTCAACGCGCAGATGTCTATATGAGGCGGCGCTGGCGGAGAGTGCAGTACTTGGCAAACTTATTTTGGACGCGTTGGAAGAGAGAATATCTCCCAACTCTCCAACCTCGTTCGAAGTGGAACAGTCCCAAACGGAATCTAGCTGTCGGAGACGTTGTCCTGTTGAAAGACGACAACTGCCCGAGGAGTGTTTGGCCGATGGGACGAGTCATAAGCGCGGAATCAGACAAGAAGGGGTTGGTACGCACGGTTCATTTGAAGACCCAAACCTCCCAACTACGCAGACCAGTTGACAAGGTTGTCCTCTTGCTAGCTAAGGAAGAACAATCGTGCCTCGATAATGAACAATGAAACAGGAAGCTCGTAAGGGCTGAACCTTCATGGAATATTCATAGTCCCTATTTCTTTAAGCGGATTGTGTGACGGACTAGACTCGTTAGCTTTAGCAAAGGACATGACAAGTTATTTTTCATAATTACTACTTTATTTTGTAGCTAAGAACTTTCCATGTTAAGCATCGCTTAAGGGGTCGGGAATGTTACTGCCGTTATGCGTGATGTCACGCACTCATTAGCTAGATCCCGAGAGGCGCTGCGAGTTAAAAAAAATACATGTGCTCGATCGAAGTGGAGAATCGTTTCAACGCCCGTTTAACGTCATCGTTTATATTATAAGGACACAAACGTAAGTTTTTTTTGGTTTCGTTTCTTGTTTGTCTAGCCTTTTTCCGTATTTATAGTTGTAAATTTCCTTTGTTTCCTTTTAGTTTTCGAAACCGTACAACGTTCGTTCAAGATTGTAAAGTCCATTTCATAATTACAAGTACGCGTGTTCAAGTTTGTGTTGTCGTACCGTTTTATGCGTGCACACTAGGTCACTCCAGAGCTATGAGTTGAATTAACAAAAAATTTGTAGCCAGATACCTTGTTAGAGAGATAAGTTTTCACTCCATGAAACACATGCAGAGATACCCATTATGGACAATTCTAACACTTTCTAACACTTGAAGGAGAGTTAGTTACAAAAATTAATGTAACAAAAGGAAAATTGAGTGAAGCAGCTCATGCTAGTAACTGTGGAACCTCCCTTTCCATCAAATCAGGGGTAACCGGAAGCAACAAAAAATAGTGAAATTACTTGCAAGAAAGACCAATCAAGTGCTTATTAATGGGGGCACTTAAGAATCTATGTCTTTAAAGAGTACATCAATTGGAATATCCAGTGTCTATGGTTCAGTGCCTGTCAGTGATGAAAATCTTCTTGGAGTTTTCCTTAACTTGCGCTTGAATTTGACTTGGCCTTGGAACTTAGTTACTGGGATTAACACACACTTAAATTTGACTTGGACTCAGAACTGACTCAGGATGTCATTCAGCTCATGCTTAGGATTAACTCAGTGAATTTATTTACCTTGTACAAAATTATATTCCTTTATTGTATGTGGTTCTATTTTAGGTTGATGTTTCATGATCAGCCCATCATTTCTTTGGTTTCTGAATGACACTGAAGCCTTGAACCAAGTCTTGCCTGGATAACTAATCAGACTTTTGAAAGAAAAGTGATACTGCAGTGTTGAACTGTTCAAAGGGACAACCACAACAGAAGTTGGAGGATGTGAACATGGTGTGATCATTTCTTCACGGACTAGCTACACATAAGGAATTCTGAAGAACTGGACTTAACTAGCTGACTTGAAGTTAATTTAATTGGGTTTCTTATTTTTGTTTTTCTGCGCAATAACTTACCTCAACTTCAAACCTCCATGTGCCATGACATGTTGGGTTGTGTGCCTTTTTTAAGCTTTAGTGGGTCAGAGTGTGATGCAGGTCATAGTGTCCAAGTTACTACTTTGCTGACAGGTGGCCAATCTCATAACACGATACTGATGTTCTTGACAGTAAGGGAGGAACAGAATACCACTATCCTCAGTTGAGCTTGCTCTTTCAATCCTATTGGTGAATCAAGGCCTACTGAAATATTTTGAACTCATACATTTGGTTCTGGACTCTACACAGTATTGCCTAGTTCAGCTAAGAACCTTTGCAATGACTAACCCCTCCACATCAAATGGTGCCAGCAAATAGCTCCATTTTGACATTTAATTCAGTGTAAATGAAACTAGGGCTCAGTTTGAGGCTTCATGGATTGTACCAGAGAGTTTGCTGGATTTCTTCATGGTGCACTTGCAGTGGCCTTTTGCTTTGCATTGTCAAGAATGTGACAACACCCTGGGATCCAAGGGAACAGGGGAGGGGACTGGAGAGCTTGTGAAGACTGTACTTTTATCACACTTATCAGGGGAGAAACATATCTAAATTTAAACAATGGCACCCTGAAGAAAATTGTATATTTAACACTACATTTTTTTTTAATTGTCAAGAATGATACCTGTATGTTTATTTAATTTTATTTAAAAAGCTCAAAATCTATTCACTAGACAAAGTAGAATATTGGTGAGCCATTGAACAATATTAGCATTAGATAGCTACTCTACTTCTCTTTCCTTTATTGATTTATAAGATGAACAGGTGGATGTGATGAACATCCTCTAAATGGAAACTCTGATTTTAAATGTGGCTTTCAATGATTCACACACAAAAAATAGAGTAGCAAAGCCCCTTGGAGTGACCAAGTAGTAATTTCTCCTTACAGTATCAATACATTTTCCTGAACAAAGTTGTTGAGAAGAGAGGAATGCATCAACTTGTGGATAATGTACAATTTGATACCAAATTCTCAGAGCCAAAACTGTAAGAAACGTATGACAGACAGTGAGGAAAAGAGATATTGGGATCTTAGGAGTGGAAGGGTTTGCATTCATGCTGAGGTTTTTAAAGAGGAAAATTCATCTGGTAGATACTGTGATGGAATGGATTTCTATCATATTTGCATCTGTATAATAATCTTGCATGGCAAGAAAAATTAAGTATGCTGTGTATGAAAATATTTTTGATGTGTCAATAACAATGCCCTCAGCCTATTACTTCTCACAGCCCCTATTTATAAGTTGACCGACTGCTACCAAGTGTAAAACATTCTGTCACAGTTGGGTTCCAAGGGTCTGAAACCTTAAGATTACTGAGGATTTCACTGCTTCCCATTCATACTTTTTAAGAATGTAAACTGAAATGCTCATGATTTTTCCAAATTATAAGCAGTCCTTCTGTTGACCAAGTCTGAGATATTAGGAAAGTGGTGAGATCCCTCACTGCTCTAGGGACATTTCAGCTAGGAAAACCACCCTGAGATTTTAATCCATATAATTTTGTTCACAACAATAAAAAATTTTAACTGTCTTCTAGTCTAGAAATCATTATTTATTAGTTAATTTCATTTGCTGAGAGATGTCTGCTGTCTTCTCAACTCAACCTCTTCCCAAGCTCCTGCCAAAGTAGGCTGTATGTTCCCAAAGGGAAAAATTTGTAGTTCCAAGCCCTCTCTAAAAACTTGATTGGAGATCAGCATCTTGTGTGCAGGAATTCCAGCCAAGTTTTATATTATTGTCTGTTTACTTGACTGTCATTTTTGAGAGCAACAAGCTTTATTTGATACTTCTTCAGCTTCCTTAGGTCGTACAAGAGTGCTTCTTCCAGATGGAGGGTCAACTTGTTCTTGAGGTAGATTGCGAGCTGAACAAGAGAAAATTATATTCAAGCTACAGGAGTTTTCTCAATTAAATGGAATGGAAAAATACTGAGGTGAGGTGAGAAAATACCCTCTTAAAAAAGTACATAATGCCTAAAAAGCAACTCTTCAGGTGAAAATTCTTCAGTGAACAAAGAGGTGCTCATTGACTAAAACTTGATAGGCTCCTTAACTGACATCAGTGTATAACTTCAAGGACAAGGCCTTCCTGTTCCATAAAATGTTAATCAGTGCACCCTTCCTCAAGATTTACACCCAGAAATGTCAAATAACAGCTCCATACCCAGGAATTAAGAGAAAAGCAAGAGAACTCAATCAACCTACATAGCTCTTCAAAGAGCCAATGTACATTCTTGTTTGTTCGAGCACTTGTTTCCACAAATATTGCCTCTTCACTGTTAGCAAACTCTTCTGCTTCTTCCTCAAGCACCTTAATGGAAGATGAAAATTAACATCTTAAGAATTGACAATGTATGGCAGACAATGAAAAAAATTACCAAATTGTGAGTGAAAGGGTAAGCAGTCCCAAAGGCTGAGGCTGCAGCCACATTATAACTACATTTTTGATGTAAACTTCCTAACCTGAAAGGCCTCAACCTAGAGTTTCTTGGCCATTTCTCAGATTTAATGAGCCAAACATTTCTGTCAGCTATAGCTAAGCAAAAAGATGAGACAACACAACCCAGGAGGTTTGCACACAAATTAGAGGAGCTGATTAGTAGCATAAGCCAGGGTAAAAAAAAGGATTGCAAATCAAAGTACCTCTTGACTTTACAGTAATTAATATCTGACCTCTCTTTGATCAGCCTTATCACACTTATTTCCTGCAATGGCTATAAGAATATCAGGGGGGCCATATCTTTTTAGCTCCTTGATCCAGCTTTTTAATGCATGAAATGAACTCTGGAATGCAACATACAAATATTTAAAACTCTGTCTAACAAAGTTCATAATAAAATCAGTTACGTTGTATGATAGTATAATATCTCTCAGTATGTGCAGTATGATAAGTCAAGTTTGTGAGCCCTTTTTGGGGTGTATGCTTAAGAAGAAAGATAACTTTGATTGTTCTTTTCAGATGGACTTCAGTCAGATTCAGATGAAACAAGTACCTTAATCGCAGTTCTCTACTTGTAATTATCTGATACCCTCCACAGTTTCCAAGTTAAAGATTATGTTAAGATTGAAAAGTATCTTAGATCTATTCAGTAATCAGGCCCCCAGCTGTACATAGCACTTCTGCATAAGAGTTTCTTCACCCCTAAGTATATTTGCAGCCTTAAACAAAGTGAGGCTATCAGAGGTCGATGAGGTGTCTGGTGATTGTTATCTGGTTGAGAACCCTCAGAGACCTCTTGCTGGCTGACTTTGCTCAAGAACTTGAACTTTCTTGCCAGTGCAGAAACACTCATGCTAGGGTGCCTGCTCATAGGTTATCTTGAATTTAATATTTTTCATCTCACACATTTCCATATTGCATCTTTCATTTTCTTTGATTCTGTCCTCACTTATTTCAGTTTCATATGTCAATTTTAAATCACCACTTGTAAATAATCCTGAATCATATATATATTCTGCAACAATTACAGCTTTACAGCATACTTTAAGCATCATCTAACCCTTACTATGTACTAGAGAATTTCCAATCAAGCACATTCTGACCAACAAATGTTCATACTTACATCACTTGTTATGTCATAAACTAAAATGGCAGCAGCAGCATCTCTGTAATACAGTGGAGCCAAACTTTTGAACTGAATGATAAGACAAACATACACAACAGTAAATAAAATAATATTATAACATAAAAAATTTAAGAATGAGTAAATGCTTGTTTACCCCATTATAGTTTAAATGTTATGACTCTCAAGATCTCATTAGTAATTCTCCTTACTGTCTGCCATACAATTCTCATAAAGTTAGTACAGAGAATTTGGTATTTGATCAACTAATGATCCCCAAATTGATATTTTCTTTTATTCTCATCACTTGCCTGCTTGATATTGCAATAAGATTGTGAGAAGGGGTTCTGTCTTGGTTACTCATAGGAGTTAAAGGATTAAAGGTTTTGAGAATTAAAATTATGATTTCTAGAGAGTAAATTGGTTATAGTTGCAGATGAATGGCCTCTAAAAGGTTTTACATCTCTGAGTTTACTAACTGAAAATATTACTAACAGTGACTCAGTGTGAGATAGTCTTCTGATATAATCACATGATATTCCTAAGTTCACAGTAAAACACATTTGTTTACAGACATGTCTGGGCAAGGAGTGTCATGGTCATGGCTCTCTTACTCTTGATACAAATTTCACCATCTTCATCACTATTTTGTCGCATTATAATGGTGATATTACACCAATAACAGAATGAAAAAAATGAGTCTCAACAGAAGGAAAATCAAGCTTACAACAAGGATAAAATTAAACAGTCACACAATCCAAAATACATTTAATAACCAAATAGGCAAACAGTACTGTATGGTTTTTCTCTCCTACCCTTTCCTGTCCAGCCGTGTCCCAAATATTGAATTTAAATGCTTGTTCTCCCACAAGCAACATTTTGGTCATAAAGGCTGCTCTGTGAAATACAAAGAAAGCACGGATTTAAGCAAATGAGGAGGGAAGGATTGATAACATATACTTAAATGAATAACTGTTATCATTCATAAAGGTCTTTCATTTGCAAGACTAGTACTGCCTGCAAAATAGAAACCTCACAGGGATTAATTATGCCTACACTTCTGTTACCAGGTTTCTTAGAGACTTTAAGAGCAGATCACCAAATGCATAATGCATATGGTTTACAATTCAAACTCCAAAAATTGGCACCCCTTTGTGAGGTTTGGGGATACTTCCCAAAACTTTTTTTGGCAAATTTAATTTGAGCCTCTGAAAGACTAATTTACTCTTACTCTCTTGATGATAACTCATTTGGTAAAAGGTAAATCCATTTTTGAAAAGATTAACAAGTGTACGTCCAGCAAAATATTCTGTAGAAACTTGTGTGAAATGGGACGACAGCCTTTAAGAAAATTTTCAGGCAGAAATATCTCCACAGTAATTTTCACAATGCATTTAAAAAAAGTAGGTCACTGAGAAATCAAAACAGTCATCATGCATCAATTTCTTTGTTAAAAACAATTTTAAAAAAAGCCAGATAGTAATAATGATAATAATAATAATTATAATCATTATTGTTATTATTAATCAGAATAATAATAGTAGAGACTCATTTTCCAGCTCCATCATCAGGTTTTACAGGGCCAAAGAAAATGAAATTAAAAAAAGAAAACAAATGAAAAAAATTGACAAGTGGCAGAGAGCAGGACTTGCACACAGGAATACAGATTAAAAGCCTATTACCACCTATCTGCCATTCTATGCCCCTCCCCACACACACACTGGTTTTTGAAAAATTATGTTTAGGCATATCCCTTTGACCCCAAGAAGGGACTAGCATCTCATTTCTCCTTACAATATCACCACTGAATCATACATTAAGGTCATGAGAATAAAGGAAATGATCATTGAAAAAGAAGCTCTTGATTGTTACACAAATTCTCCTTGTCAGTACTTTGAGAAATGTAAAGAGAACAGTTAGGGAAATCTGTACTGATGATAGGGTATGAGGTGTTACGCTGTTTGCATGACTTTGTAGGAAAGCTGCAGTTGTACTCATCACATGTATAGTACAAGCACCTTTGTAAGAGATGACTAAACTTACTTGTTCCCTTTTAATCTTAAAATATTTTGCTTAATTTTATCTTCTAACTTTTGATATGTATTTTTATCAAATGAATATACACATTTATCTGTTTATGATGGTCAGCTGAGCGTTTTCGACCAACAAATGATTACATATCAAAGATACTAACAATTAACTGTAAACCGGTTCAGCAAATATTAATCAAGATAGTATTTATAGGACACCACAAGTTATTAACGATTCGATAGGAATTCGGGGTTGATGCAGAGTTCAGGGTTGGAGAAGCTAAATCACAGAAATATCTTTTAACATCTTACTTATGTTTGTTTATTTATTACTCTGCTGATTACATTTTAATAATACGTTCCCTACTTTACTTGGGACGAAATGATTAAAAATGTTATATAAACAATGAAAGAGCTTCCAACACTCAACACTATACCAACCCAATGGTAGGCATTGAGGCAGCATTGAAAGCGTCCGATACGAAACGATGAACCAAACACGACTTTCCCACACCAGCATCCTGCAGAAAAACACATTAAATTCACCAATCAACAGACAAAATTAACCTTTACGTAATGAGTGTGACAACTATACAATTACATTGATTCGAAAGCTCGAATTTTCTTTCAATATGTCCCTCGACTTACCCCAAGAAGGCAGAGTTTTATTTCTCTGATGGCCCCTCCAGGACCACTGTAGGTTCGATGCATGATCCGAAACAATCGATATCTGTATGTCGTCTTTGTCAACAGCTCATTTTCCTTTCCAAGTCAGCAACACTTCGATGCTTTGCATTAATATCTCACAAGAAGGAAGAACCTTATGTGGGAGCTGGGAAGGACTATGTGTCATCTTGCATTGTGGGATTGTGGTGATTTTTAATATGGCGGCAAAACGAGATAAGGTAATTCTCCATAAACGTCAAATGTCTTTCTTCGCAGTTTATACCTTTTTACTACTTAGTTAACTTGAGATATATTTTTACATCACAGCATACGACGCTTAACTGGAAACCTGTTCAAAGGAAGCCATTGTAAGTGGGAAACAGCAATTTATCTCGTTGCTATGTTAGTGTTTCCGTCACGCAAAATTTAGTGTAAACAAAATGCAATTTGCAAAACAATTTTTGTAATATTAAGATTGTGTCTGCTTTGCTTCAGATTAATGTAGTGTATGTGTTTTTCTTTTTTTAAAAGTGACAATAGCCGCGTTATCCGATTCAAGTGCTCACTTCAGAACACCATTTTAGATGTACTTCGCTCAAAGGGTTGGACTGAAGTGCGAGAGTAAGTTATTCTTCATATTTATGTTAAATATACATTGCATTTACCGGTACCTGTAGTTTGACGGTACATCATTTCGGGTAGATATTTAGCTCTTATGCTTGGTGCAAAATTTCCTGGTCTTCATGGTAACGAGTGCCTTTGCAGAGGTACTAGAAAATATACGACTTTGCAATTTGTGTGCAATACCCCAGCCACGTCAAAGAAGTGTAGTTAAAATTCTTTGTTAGAAAGTCCCAGGAATCCCATAGTTACCATTACCCTTTGTAGTTTGTTTGTTACTTAACTTCAAGTCCTCGTCATACATCTATGCACTTTGCGCCTTGGCAAAAGAACACCATTACTTTTTGTGGGTTACTGGGTGGTCAAGCTGCCCTCATGTCTAGCCTCTGTCCCTCATTTCCCTTTCTACAGTTTTCCTCGAAGTTTCCTGTGGAGGACCACTCTATCATTGCTGTTGGGTGTCTATGGAAGGGCAACTCTAGGCTGGGCTGATTGGGGCATTTGGAGAACATGGTCAATCCATCTGCATCACCAGAATTGCTGAGTGATGGGTTTTGTACCCGCAGTTTTGTGCAGCTCAGTGCCAGAGATAATGTTAGGCAAAAAAGATTCAAAGAATTCTTTGCAGGCATCAGTTCTTGAAGTTATCCTTTGTACTCTGTCACAGTTCTTTGCTCCACCTCACTGTCACCTCCCCCTCTCCTCCCTCTTTTCTAAGCTCATTATCTGTAGACATGTTTGAACTTAATATTCTTTTCATGAACAGGGAAGGTGAATGGGATTTTTACTGGTGTGATGTTGGCTGGATGAGGGAATACTTTGACCATACTTATATGGATGAACATGTCAAGATCTGCCATTTTAGGAATCATTATGAGGTGAACATAGTTACAATTATAACTACTGCATTATTAGGAATTACTGCTAGTCGAGTAATTTAAGATTTCTCTGTGAAAACTTGTGGAGTGTTAGTAGTTCTGAGTTCTTTTGACTGCCCTTAATTCCTATGATCTCATTAGTAATTTTCCTTACTGTCTGCTTTACAATTCTTGTGACATTAGCTTGGAGAGTTAGGTATTGGATCAACTAATAATGACCCCCAATTGGTATTCTTCATTATTCTCATCACTTGTCTACTTAAAATTATATTGATATTGTGTGGAGAAATTCTGGCTAATGGCCACTTATGAGAGTTAAAGAGACATTGAGACTTAATATCTAAACATATTACTATTGATATTTTTCTTGTGGAAAGTAATTTATCCCGCAAAGCAACTAGCAGGCTTTTCATGGGTAATTCACTCTAATTCACACAAAAAAAGTGATGTCAAAATTTTATGACACCCCAGCAATGACCAATTTTCATCAAGACAATGGCAGATATACATGATATTTAATTACTTCTCATCAATGACAGTTGACACGGAAGAATCTCATGGCAAAGAATCTTAAAAGACTGAAGAAACAGCTTGAGAGAGAATATGGGAAACTGGAAGCTGCCAAGTATCCTTTTTGATGTGAAATTTTTTTTTCTTGAAAAGTTGTGTCAATTAGTACTTTGTACAACAGAAATATAAACTGTGCTTTTAGCATCTAGAGAGAGACTGAGTTTAATAGATGTGCACAATGGTATGACAGTAATTTGAGTGGATATAGTTGACTCTGGATAGTTAAAATGATGAAACTGTAAAAACAAGTTTCTCTACTGTATCTATAATTACAAAATTACAAGGGTAGCCTTTGTAGGAATCTCATTGGGAACCACAGAATCATTGCTCTCTTATATAGATTTTACTAGATATTTCAACATTTGTAGTCTTTTTGGAATTCGAATTATAGTAGCCTTTCATTATACAAAAAGCTGCATTTCTACAAACTGATTACCAAGAGTTGCAGGAGTTTTTTACTTCTTACTTTCTTAATTTTTGATAATGTTGTATGACTGTGTAAAAATTTTAGTAGAATATGTCCATACTTTTTAGTTCTTAACTGCAACTAGGTGTGACTTTTTCCCAACAACATTTGAGCTTCCTGTAAGTTTTAAGTCTTTTTGTGTTTTACAGTTAGTACTAATTGCAATGATCTTTTCATGGCTATTCAGTGAATGATTTAATTTTGACAGAAATTTTTAATGTATTATTTTCAGATCAAATGTCTTGTAAATAGTCTCAGCTTATTAGAAGCTTAGTTCTTTCCATTTTATGTGTGAGAATGTGGTGGTCTGGTGGTGGATATGGTTAATTAGCACTCTGTGTTGTGTTTTTGGGCAAGCCACTCTCACATTGCCTCTTCCCACTGAAGAGTATATTTAACAAATAGATTCCAAGTTGCCATGTGTCTGTTCAGTGATAGATCACAGATGACATCAAAAGAACAAAAAGAACAAAAAAGTGGCACACAAGGCACAGCCGAACAGACGCACAGCAACTTGGAATCTATTTGTTTTATATAATAAAGAATTAAAATATACGGGAAAAAAGTTTTAATGACGACACCATCTATACGTCTGTCCTCCAATAGATCATAAGTGAGAATCAATCAGAATGCATGCATAACTGAGCTTATTATATAATTTGGTATTTTAAACCTTTCTTGGATATAGGAGATATAATTGTTGTAGTGTTACCTGTGATGCACTAGCATAGACCCTGACCAAACAGAAAATCAAAATGAATACTAAATGCCATATGGAAAAAAAAAACCAACCAAACAAACAGACAAATAACCTCTAGCCATGATTGGAGCTTCCACTGAACTGATTTGACCCTCTTTGAATTTCTTTGCTCTGACTTACTCTGATTGGCTATCATTTTAGATGGAGTATCACATATTTGTTGAAGAATTTAAGAGAAACCCTGGTACAACATGGATCATGAAGCCTGTAAGTTTAAGTGTTATTAAATGTATCCTGATTTATTCTTTCATAGTTTCTGTTGGTACTTGAAACTGTGAGGGGTTGGACTCAGGAGTGAAAGTCAATTAATATGTAGTGCGATCTCCCGCATAACAATAATTCTGAAAAGTGCTTCAGTGTCCATTAGAGAGGCTGAGAATTTGTCAAATTTAGTATAAGTCACATCAGAATTGAGTGAGGAGGTGTTTGTGAGTCATGTTGTATGTTCACTTTTTGAAAGCTGATTGATCAGGTTTGCAGTGTTTTTTAACCACATCACTTAAAAATTAATTTATTTGTGTCACTCCAGGTAGGGAAGTCTCAAGGAAAGGGAATCTTCTTGTTTAGAAGGTTAAAAGATATCATGGACTGGAGGAAGGTTTACTATTATTACTTATGCAAAATTATTAAGAAGTATCAGAGAACAGTTAGAGGTAGACTTCCTGTAAAAGCCACATCTATACAACAGCCACATACAATGGCCATTTTTTTCACTGTAGCATCACTGAGTGACAAACAGACTTATTGCAAAATGATTCAAAATTAGCTCATGTAGGAAAAGTAGATAGTCACTTACAATTTAAAGAGAGAACCAATTGTGTATAGTCCTAAAACTGAACATAGTAAAGTGATGGACTTACTCATTTTGTTTTCATTTTTGAAACATTTTTACTTGGCCTGGACATCAATCTTTGGCTTTCTTATTGATGTGTTCTGAGTATGCAACATGTACTGTACATTCTGTCAGTAATAAGGGTTTTCTTCATTTAGTGATTTCAAAATTTTTACGTTGTTGAGACTCTTTTATTTCTGATCAATTGCTTTGTTCTTTTATTTTAGGAAGACCCTTATCGAGCAGCCATGTCAGATGAAAGGGTGAGTTAAGGTGGTTAATTTTTTTTAGCTTCACTTCTCTTTGCCTTTTGCAGTAATCTGGCTGACCATCATAGTGCCACTGGTGAGTCGTTTGACCCATTTACTCCTTTCCTTGTGACTTTATGGCAATTATAGGGTTTGATTCTAAGACTCAAACCAGTGTTAACCTCCCATCATTTTTATTTCTCCCTCTCTTTCTCTTTTTCTTCTGATCCTTCAACTACCAAGATCTGATTGGTAATTTTCCTATCTAGCTGCTACACATATACTCATAAATTAGTAATGAGAATTTGGTGTTAGATCATCAAGATAAAAACTTCCTGATAAGTTTGTACATTTGCATAATCTGTTTGCTGGATAGCATTTGGTTATTATAGGAAGAAGTTGATTGTTAATCACTTCTGGGAGGTAAAGGGTTAATATAATTTTGATGAGGGTTTTATTTATTTAGTGAAATAACATTGCTAATTATAATTATGAATTTCCTGTTTTACTCTGACTTCAGAAAGATGAAAAAGAACCACCAGAGGCTTATATTGTTCAGCGTTATGTTGAGGATCCTTATTTAATTGGGGGTAAGTGAGTAATTACATTTTAACACATTATTGCAATGGTTTCAATAACTAAATGAGTCATGTACCTCAGTTCTTTGAACTGATGCCATTCACAAAACTGTATTTTTCTTGTTTTACTGTTCTCTGGCAAATGACTTCCTAAGTAAGGAAGTCCTTGTTGTTAGGAACTGATTAAGTTTTAATTATTTGTTTTTTGTCTTTTGTTACAGGTAGAAAGTTTGATTTAAGAGTGTATGTTCTAGTGACATCAGTGAGTATTTCTTGATCAGGTTGTAATTTTCATATGAACATAGTACAGAGGAACCTGGCAACCCATGCCAAGCTACTTTGTCTCTTGCTCTGTCTGATAATTTGATGAAACTTAAAACCAACGCGCAAGAGATATCAACCAAATTCATCTCAAACCCAGAGTCTCCTTGGCTATGTGCAAGTGTTATTCACACAATGAGCTGAAGCATGCACTGAGCAAGAGCAAACTATGGTGTAGACATGCCCGCGATGCAGTTGGCCACGCATGCTAAAAGTAGTTCTGTCTTATGGTAGCACACCAACTTTTCTTGGATTGATGGGTTACAGCATACTATTAGTTTTTATAGGTATGGGACAGTGCTGCATTTGCCTTGCATGCCGCAAGCTCCACTATAGTAAACTTAATGTTTTAGAGACATTAGAATATCTGAAGTGTAACATTCAGTAACTCTATAATAGTAAGTGATTAGTGTCTTGTATGGCCCCCTTCCATGTAAAAAATAATGTAAGGTGTACTCTCACATCATCCTGATGGTCACATAACTCCATGGTTTGTAGAGGGGACCTACTAATTAGGATTTATCATTTCCAGACAAGTAGTACAAATTTAACGAAGAGTGTTTTTCTCCTGGCAGTATGCCCCCATGTGTGCGTGGCTGTACAGAGAAGGATTTGCAAGATTTTCAAATACAAGATTCTCTTTGGACTCAATAGATGACACTTGTATCCTTTTCCTGTCAATCCAAAGTGTGAAAGATGGGCATGGAAGACATATATAGCCCTGCTGCATTGTTTACAGAATTAGCAGCGACAAGCAAAAATGAAACTAAAGGCTTTACACTTAGAGTGTTTATTTGGTATTTTATTTATCGAGGAAAACAAAGCACAAATCTCTAGATCTATGAACATCTTTTAAATGTCAATTGTTTCAAATATGATTGTAAAGTTTGATATTTATGAGTTTGATGCCTACCCTTCTCCTCCCAATTTAGTGTGTGAGACATTCATTTTGTTACCCTTTCACAAGCTCAGCTGATGAAAATCCTTGACTTTTAAACACCAGATGTGCATCTCACCAATGTTGCTATTCAGAAAACTGCTCCTGATTATGATGCTGAAAAGGTAGGCATGATAGAAGATGCAATCATGCAATAGTGTAAGGGAGGTTTAGTGGAAGACTGATACCAAGAGCAGAATGACATAAAAATGGAATGTTATCAATAACAGTGTTTTTACACCTTGTTGAGTAGAAATTGATTCACTGATTTGCATATTGGAAACAGAGGGAAGAAAACATAGTGTGGTTCTGATATGAACTGGCTTTTTGAGGGGCATGATCTACAGAATTTTTCTGTTGTTAAGTACTTGATTCCATTGACGTTGCTTGTTTGAGTGAGCAATCCACTAATTTGTAATTAACTTTCAAGTGACTATTTCCAGGGCTGCAAGTGGTCTCTACAACAGCTTAGGAGGTATCTTGTGGCCAAGCATGGTTTGGAAAAGGTTAGAAAAGGGGGCTAGAAATAAATTTTGGCTGACTTAAGTGTGTATGTCAAAGTTTATGTAATGTTGTTAAAGGGTCTAAGAAGTACTAAGCAATTATACCTGGTTTTATTGTCCATGTTCATGTACCTTGTGTAACGTAATTGTTTAATGTCTGAGGGATACAGAAATTATTGTATTAATAGTTTGTTACCATAATTCTAGAGACCATATCTAATTTATTTGATTTATAATGCCTTATCTCAGGTTGAGACCTTGGTGAGGGACATGGATAACATCTACATTAAAAGTATACAAGCTGTTCAAAAAATTATGATCAATGATAAACACTGTTTTGAGTTGTATCCTTTGAGTATAACAGATTGCAGTATTTATAATGTGCATCATGGGTTAATGGAAGCTTCTAGATAGCCAACTGACTTGTGGGAAATCCAAGGAATGCCTTACCAAGTGTTTCATGTAGTTGATGACGCTGTTTACATAACAATTCCTCTTATAATAGAGGTTTTTTTTGTGGTGTTTCTTCCTTAACATGGACTAGATATGGTTATGATATTCTAGTAGATTCTAAACTAAAACCGTAAGTTCATTTTAAATTATGCTTATAATGAACCACTTACCCTTCTCATCCTAATGTCAGTAGACATATTCTCCATACTGTTCTCCATATGTATCCTAAGGTTCTGACAAAGAGAATTTGTTTAACAATCAAGAGCTTCTTTAGTTGACCATTCCCTTTATTCTTATAACCTTAATGTGTGATTCAGGGGTGATATTGTTGGGAGAAATTGGATGCTAGTCACTCTTAGGGTCAAAGGGTTAAAATTGTGTACCACAGACCTTTTTCATGACGCTGGGTATTATTTCAGGTGTTGTCTAGACAACCAACATAGCTCCTCATAAATTTCTCATCAGCATCTTTGAGGTACCTCACAACTTTCACAGACTTAACACCCTCCATTAAACATAGGCCAAATTCTATAGATGATGTAATGAGAATTTAATCTTTTTAGCTGGTTGATTGAAGTGAATGCATCACCATCACTGACTGCAAGCAGTCAATCTGACTATGAACTCAAGTGTCGTCTGCTGGAGGATATGTTGCACATTGTAGACATGGAAAATAGGTACAATCTGCAATGTTTTTTGTCACAGTCAATGTCTTTAGAGTTTAGTTGATAAATAAGTGGTAATCGTGGGTTTCTGAGTAGTTATTGTCCTGGTTTTGCATATGATTTTTGTCTTAAACTACTGAATGGACTGGAAAATTGAAAAAAATACTCATGTTATGATAATTTTGTGTTATAATGTTGTCTGTCATTTAAAAGTTTGAATACCACAAACAGGTTCACCGTCAGATGGTGTGAACATCAACAAGTTAGACTGGATTGTTTAGTCATTGTCATAAGAACTGAGAAAATTTTAAAAGGATCAAATACAGTTTATTAGCATTTAATTTAGCAGTGTTCTTAGTGGAATTAGTTTGGGTGCAGTTGTTTGATCTTGATGTCACATTCAAGTTTCACATTATGTGTATTTTTTCACATTGAGACTGACAGGGAGAGAGAAACGTGTAGGAGGTTTTGACTTGATGTGGAATGATGGACCAGTCTACATGGATGATACCAGTGGAGCAGATTGTATTCCAAATCCTCCATACCCTACAAATACTTTCTTAGGTGAGATTTCATGCTACTGTTGTTTAGAAGCACTTTGCAAATAAACAGTATAAAATAACAAAGTTGACATCTGACCACCGAGTCACTAGGGACTAGGGGTATAGTGAAACTTGCCTCTGTGCTGCAGAGAGATGCTGTATTATGAGAACTTATCACAAAGCTACATTGTTTCCAGAAGTCCCCTGCAGTAAAATTGTCAGGTATATTCCCCCTTGGCCATCTGACCCAAATTTCTGCACTCCAAAACTTTGTAAACCACAGTCATAATAATTTCTCATAAACTTCAGGATGTGACAACAGTGATCGTGACAAACAACTGAAGCAAGTGTTCAAGAATGCCCAGGCCATCAAGAAGACGTGATAATGAATAACAGCCAGAATAGCCTGCTATCAGTGGTTAACACATTTAATACAAGCGAGGTGTAAGAAAATCCACAATCAAGTCCACTTTTTAAGTCTTCAGAATTGTTCTTTATCATAGGCTTCAGTTCTTCCAAGGTTGTAGTATATGTACATAGTAAACAAATTTTGTAAAGCAGAATGGGAGGGGTGTTGTAAATGTCACATTTCTAAATCGAATGAAGAAATTGCATGAAAATGAAAAATTAGATAAGTTAGTTATTTATTTTCAGTGTGGATGGGTATTGTTAAACATCTATTTCTGTTGTCAACCAACTCCAATAAACTGATAATCCATACATGGATCCATCTTTGCTTAAAAATGGTGAATATTTATTGCTGCTCTTTCACCTGAAGGAAATATCAAAAATCAAAGTCAGGCAATATTAACATAAGTAAGACAAGACTCAGTTTGTAGTGTTCCACGTGTAATCTAATAGTCTTGACTTTCTCAGCAATCTGGCACCAGTGCCCTTATGGTCACAAAATCATATCTTGCATTTTCTTCCATGGTGTTGGCAGGATTTTCATTGGAGATATTCCACACTTAGTGCTACCTTTTTTGACAAACAGGGGTCACTTGCATCCCAGTTCTTGCCCCCCTCCTTCAAAGGTATAACTTTGCTGCTTTGAATAACTGAAGATTTGTATCTTGTGATATTCTTCAGCCTTGGATGACTTGTTTATAGAGCATAGTCTGTGTATAAGGTAGTAGTGCAGCCATTTCTGCTCCTCCTTTGAGGGATCATGGCTCCAGACTCTGCAAATCATCTTTTGTCAGAGCAGTTAAGTCAAATCCCTTCACCTCTGGTAATCCTGAATAAGAAGGAATACTACAGTGTTACTAAAAATCAGAAGGTGGCATATTTCTTTTCTCAATAAATCTGCAAATAGGACAAGCTGCTTCTTAGATGACTAAAGCAGCTTCAAAATTGCCAGAAGACCCTTGCTAGTGGCCAGTACACTGTAATACAGATCAAGCAATCAGACCAGATTGAGCACTAGCATGGGTCTTAGTATTGTGCTCTTGGATGAGACACATTACTTTCAAAGTGCCTTCCAGTACAGTCAATGCTCTAATGAATTCCTCTCTACTGACTTCCATCAAATGAACTGGTGCACTATCAGGGAAACCTGATGAAATTCTGAGGGCAACCTGGAACAGACAAGCATCCCATTCTTGGGGAGTAGCAATACTTGTAATCACTTCATGCTACAGAAACAGAGAGATCCCCAGGCTGGATGGGCCACTTGACTTAGAAAAAGACTTTACCTTTTCTTTCTTTACCTAAACTGATGTGATGGACTGGCATCCACTCATCAAAGACTAACAATACTCCTGGCCCCAGTTGTTTGAAGGTTGGATAATGTAATCCAACTGATAACTTGCTACCCTCTGGATAAGTGTCAACAGATTGTACTTCACTATCCACAGATAGGGATTTATCCAGTAGATAGCATTATCTAGCCTTTGCAGAACTGGGGCCTTATCACGTCACGCTGCTGACAACAGTGATGAGTCACATACATCATAAAACTTAATCTTGGTCTAGCCACCTTATCATCTGCCAAAATGAGAAACAGTACTGTTACTGCTGAATACAACAACAATAAGTCTACAAACCCTCCAGTTCATGGAGCTTTGAAACTTTTGGCTTCAAGTCTTTCCTTAGCCTGCTTATTTCCTCTTCTAAGTTCTTCTGATCTTCATAAAACAGAAGGGAAAAAATATGTAAGGTTTAAAGTTTGTTTCTTTGGAGAAAAGACTTCTTGATGTAATTGTTCACCTTGCTGCAACATTGCTTGCACATTGGAACTTGGGAGCTTGATGAACATGTTTCCAAAACACACCCAGGGTTTGGATGCTACAATTAAAACAAATGATTTGATCCTTGTTAAATAAACTATTTCTGTTTTTGCTTTACTCCTAAATGAGAATATTAAGTATCAAACCCTTCCCAACGATTTGTTTGTATTTAACCACAAGAAACTCACTAAGAGTAATGTCTTATCAGTAAACCATACTTCAGGACCCAAGCCAGTAATCAACTAAATTACTGTACTTCCTTGAATAAGTACCTGGGCACTAATTCATATTTCTGTTAAAAATGGGGGAGCTAAGTGGAAGGAGGGTGCTTAATCAAGGAGGGGGGGTGTTATTATTTTCCTGTACTGATTCTGTTGTAGAGTAATTTTTAAAGATAAATGGCAATCAAAACAGGTTTCACTTGTATCCGTAATAGTTAAGAAGGTGAGGGAGGAGGGGGTGCTTGTTTGAAATTATGGTGGGGGGTGGGGGTTAATGCTTATTCAGGGGAGGGTGTATGTACAGTAAGTTTGGGTGAAAAGTAATTACACATTGTTACCAACTGACCATTTTTTTTAATACAACAGAAAAAGAAGTGATGACCAAAAGTACAAATAATATAACTTTTTTCCCCAGTTATTGCATACCCCTTTTAGCATTGTAGTTTTAAGTAATAACTGAGGAGCTGCTCAACAATGACTTTTTGGACCAGTGGCTGTGAATTAAATAAGACCGCAGACCTAAAGAAAAACAGAATTTGAGCTTTGCACTTCAAAAACACACCAAGAACAATTGGTTTCTTGTGAGTAAACATTTTTAAAAACTTTGTTGATAAATGGCCAACAAATAACCATGATGACTGTCCCTCAAAAAGGCAAGTCTGACCACGGACAGGCTGCAATTGATTAAAAGACAGCCAATAAATTTCAACCATTCTTTTTATTTTATTTTGTTTGTTCACCAACATGTGTGCTGTTTTATCCACTGGTTCAGGTCACTGTTTTAGAGAGCCTCAGAAAAGGGTGTATCTGTTAAAATTCACTTGTAAACTGGTTAAGCTTACATGATGCCCCACTTAATCCTCTTTTATCGTCTTTCTTCAGCATTCGAAGAGCTTCTCTGTTTGTATTCCTCTGCTTATCAAGTTCAATTATCTACCAAAACAATAAAAATAAATTTGTATACATTAACACTAGTGTGTCAGCTGTAATTGGAATTTAATTTAATTTTCAAATGCCAGAAAAGTAGTAACCGACCTTTAAGCTCACAAAATGGAGCTTAACCACAGCAGTAGTCGGGTACGAACAAGTTTCAAAAATTAATTTTAAACGTCTAGCAGTATATATATAGAGAGAGAACGAAGATCGAGCGCCGTCTTCCACATTAATCTTTCGCATTCGAAATCTCCCGAATGGCGTAAAAAAATAGTTTTATCCTCCTTTGTAATTATTTCACTTTGAAATATCTATACCTGTTGTTTATCTTCCATTATTTCTTGAGCGAGCTCTTCTAATTCAGCAAATTTCTGCAATGTTTGAGAGGCAAGTCTTTCTGCCATTTTGAATTGTTTAGTTCCCAAGCCTCCCGCCGGATCACGCATAAAATCACTGGGGAGATTGACGGAGGAACAGGGCGCGAAATTTGTACGAACGAACGAAAATAACAGTTAACAAGCTAAGTCAGGTACAGAATTATTGTTTGCTAGTCTCTAGCATCCAGGGAGTTAGAAGGAATTAACAAACAACTAGTTAATCTATCACTTTTTGATTCAGATTCAAAGTTGTTTTTGATTCAAAGCTCAAACCAATCAAATCGAAAAGCTTTTTTACCCTTTACGGTGGCTAATTTCCTTTTTCAACCCAATTGTTAACACTAAATTACCTGTCATATTCAAACCGTTTGGCATAACCTTGTATCCCGCCATAATTACTGTTTTGCGGAATTTCATCGCTCCGACCCTTGAATTGCTTATGCGGATGAATCTCCGTATTTCAAACTTGATCCTTTCCTAACGAAAAAACATTTATATGTCTCTGATCCTGTACCCTGAAGACAATATGGACAGAAAGTTATCCCACTGTGCAGCTCTGCACCCATCAGCCAGGACTGTGACAAGACTGTGTAGGGCTGATTGCCAGAACATGATTAACGCACATTTCCATCCCACCAACAGTCAGAGATCAGATTTGGGCTTTCCGTTGAAAACAGATGCAGGTTAGAGTTTAGATTCTCTTGAAATTATCATAATCTAACATATCTGATGACATTTCAGTGCAAAATCTCCACAAAGTGGGGTTAGATGGCATCATGGACATTGAAGCAACTGCAGCAACAAGAAAGTCAATAATTCTTAAGCCAAAACATGTTGATGATGTTCAAGTTGTTCCGGTGAAACACTGTTTTCCATGGTGTAATTGGAAGGAACATGATAAACAACCAACTCCTGCTGAGGTTTCCCCTTTAAGAGTCTTAAAGAGAAAGAGTCATGTATTAATAGACAATATGAAGGAAAAAGACATAGATGAGCAGTGCCAATCAGGAAAAAGAAGGCAATCAGTGAAACTTACAAAGACCATGAAACTTACAAGTTCACCGGCAAGGAAGCTGGTTAGAAAACACTCTTCAAGTAACAATGAGCGAGATGCTCTTTGCATGCAGAGAAGTGATCAGGAAGTAGAGACCCTGCGAGTAAAGGTGCTTGGTACATTAGCAGAGTCTATGGAGGTGGAGCCAGGAAGAACACACTCAAAGGGACCTTCATCAAAAGACTTCCCAAAGACTTCTCAGCAACATGATACAGTGAATTCTGATGTCCAAGGTCTTATTCTAAATGCAGAAAGATCAGAAGACTCTGGTAAACCTTTAAGGCTTGACAAGCAAAAAGCTTTGCAATTTTTGTCCACTCTAAATTTGCAAGAAATTGATAAAAGTGGTATAAAATGTAAGTCTTTATTTGAGACTTACCAGTTTGATAAAGTGGAACAATCCATTGTTGAGGAAAACTGAACGTTGCTTGTCAAAATATTCAGTATACTTTCTACTGCCATCTTACCAAACACTAAGTTTGTATCAAACCACAAGATAAATTTATGTTTTATGATCACAATTTTATTGCATTTGTTTTAAGAGTCTTAAAAAAAGAGCAGTGAGAGCTTTGAACCCAGGAGTAGCTGTTGTTCTTTCAGTCTGATTGTCCAGGTGGGAGTAGTCCTGATAAGGACTGTTGACAGTTGTAGTGATGATGTTTGCATGCTGACAAGGAAGTCATTATCAAAGTCACTTGTGCCCAGAGCAACTGCAACTCAGTTTGTTTAAATATCAGTCATTTCTTCTAGCAACAATCCTTTTCAGGACTGCTCAACCTTGGACAATCAGCCTACTTCATAAATTAAGGCAGAACAGTGACTCAATATAATGAATATATCGATCAGTTGAAAAGTAGAATAAATATAAAAGGAAAGCATTTTGAAATAGTTTGCTTTCAATTAAAGCTAGTCAAAGACAGCAACACCCAAAGTGACAAAATCCAGGATGTGAAGAGCTGTGTAAAAACACATGAAGTTGGAGTGTAATTAAAAAACCAAAACATGAGATAAGAAAAAAACTTTACTTTCTGAAGGAAATAGATAGTTTTTTGACCATTTCATTTCACCATATAAATATAGTTATAAACAGATAACAAGCTTGAGGTTATTTTCATTGTGCATTACAAAATGTTTCCCAGTGAAGAGAGTTGTTGCATATTTTTGCTTTTATGTTTATCCAGTAACGAATTGTACATTACATTCTAGTACAATGTTAGAATAATTATTTTCAATGGTATTGTACTTAATAAAATCAAAATTAGCATGGAAATAAAGACAAAAAATATTTTGGCAACCTCTTGGAATACCTCCAAGAATAAAGCCATAAAAAGTGTATATGTAACATATAATGTGTATTTGAGGGGTGGTACATGTGAGTGCCATATGGCACGGTCAGATGGGAAAGGGTAAAAATTTTGTTAATTCAAGTAAAAAGTTATGGATTCATTGTGTGATATCTCACACCCTTAGTTTCATCAAGTTTCATGCCAGCCTTTTTCTTGTAATCCTCCTGTTGTCTTTCTCTCATAACTTGCTGCATTTCAAGTAAATCTGCTTTGCTCATTCCTGTATGAACAAACAAAAATTAACCTTAATGTTAATAAGGTTCACCATTTTTTTCTGGATCATCAAATAGATTGCATGTTGCTGTGCGTCAGTTGGGTAACAGATCAAAGACAACATTGAAATATGGTGAGAACATCAAAGTGGCTCGTGTGGCACAATTGAGTGTGTCACCGATGTTTGTAACACATTTTTTGTTTTCTGTAATTTTTACTGTACAGACCCACAGCAACACAGAATCTATTTGTTTTTACAATAAAAAAGCAGAATGTTGTTGATGGTGACATCATCTACACATCTGTCTTCTAATAAATGATAAGTAAGACCCAATCAAAATGTGGATAATTAAGCTTGTCAAATAAATGTATTTATCTCATCTAAGGTGAGCAACATATTCTTGCTGTCTCACTGCTGGCACGAAGACCCTGCATTTGCTACCACTCTGGCAGGTATTCTAGTCTGAGTGACTCCCTTTCTTCCATTTAGACAGCCACCCATGTCAAATGTTACTGATAGTAGAGCTGTTTCTTTCCTATGTGTCCGGTTTTCTTACCAGGTCTTGTTGGTCCAGAGTGAAGTGATTTATGCCTGAGTTCATCATTTTCAATTGAAACCTGTTGCTTTTGTGCTTTCTTCAGAGCCTTAAGCCTTCCTTTTTTCCTCTGTTTGGCTTCCCACTTTTCCAGGTCATAAAATCTACATATCAAGCAGACAAGTGATGAGAATAAAGAAAAATATCAATTAGGGGATTATTAGTTGATCCAATACCAAATTCTCCACACTAACATTAAAAGAAGTGTATAGCAGACAGTGAGGAGAATTACTATCGAGATCTTGGGAGTGAAAGGGTTAACTAATGCGGTTGAACAAAATCTTGTGATCTGTCAAAGGGCGAAAAAGTGATTTGATTTGATTTACTGGGGGTTAGTCACATTAGGATTCAATATGGTGATAATTTTTTTTTTTAACCAGTAACTGTTGCTTACTTTTTATGTGGTAGTGTTACAGTGTTATAGTCCTCTGCAAAAGTTTCAAACATTTTTTTCATTTCAGATCTGGGAAACACTTCAGGGTTTACTTTCTTGACTTCTTGAAGCCACAAGTAAAATTCTTGTTGTTTGTTGAAAATGTCACTTTCCACCAAGATTCCATATTTGCCATACTTGTCTTGATTGACAGCTGTCTTTGACTTGATATCTTTTTTTCTTGTTTTCTCTTTCTTTTTCCTTGTTTTCTTGCCCTATGACAAACCAAGCTATGCACTCAGAAAAATAATTTGATTATTTTTATATCAAGGCTGCTTGATAAATATCTTGAGAATCCAAGGAGTCCAGCTCTTTCGCTTTGTTTTTAAAATGAATTCAAAGAAGCCAATAAGTAAATATAAGACATGATTTTGGTAGCAAATAACCACATGCAAGAACTTTGGACAAAATATTAGCCCTTTCTGAGATGGCCCAAACCCTAGCCTGGAAGTAACGCTTTCAATGGCCCTTTGACAAAAGCATTTCTTCAGACATTGTGAATCAGCTTGCATGCTAGCTATTAAGATTCTGTTTCAACAGAGTTAGTCCCCTCTACACATATATGTAAAGCCCTTGATGTAATGATTATTCATTATTCTCCTGAGCCCAGTTGTATAAAGGTTGAAAAACACTATCAAACAGATTAATTGGTACCCAGTGGATAAGTGACAGCAAAATGGCATTATCCACTGGATAGAGATTTATCCAGCAGATAGTGTTAACTGACCTTTGAACAACCATTGCCTGAGAATTACAGTCATATTCAATAATGGTTTTCCCATGATTTGAGGTGGAGGTTTTTGGAACTTGGAAATGACCAATGAGAAGTGAGCTGTAATGCTTAAGGTACATCAAGACTGATATAAAACTTTTTCAACTCAGCTAAGAATTAAACTAAATCCCTAAATATCCTCAGAATAAACAATGATCTGCACTGTAATGTTATAGGCTCTAGTACCTGTTTTCTCCTGTCTTCCTTCCTCCTGTGTCTTTTCTTTCTTTTCTCTGAGTCAGTAGAATCACCACTTCTGTCTGTTTCTGTTGATGGACTTTTCCTTGACTTTCTTTTCTTCAATTTAGAGGTTCTAGATTTTTTCCTGACATGTAATTTGATTTCTTAATTCAGTATAAAAAGAGCAATGAGTAAAAACATTTTATTGAGAAACTGAAGATGGGGCAAATGTCTACCTTTCAAGTAAAGATGTTATTTTTTGTACTAGTTTTAACAGAACATCTCTTAATCCTTTAACTCCCAAGATCTGATTGTTAATTCTCCCATCTAGCTGTTATACATTTCCTTGTATTTAGTTACAAGAATTTGGTGTTATATCATGATAACAACCTCTGACTGATACGTTTGTGTAATCTCATAACCTGTTTATTAGATAGTGTATAGGTTAATTGTAGGGAGAAGTTACATTTAAATCACTTCTGGAAGTTAAAGGGTTAAAGTTCTACAATTATTCTCTTATATCATGTGAGCTGTGCGAGAAATTATCTTCCTACCTTGCTGGGCTGATGGAACTGCGCGACGATCCTGAACTATCAGAGCTTGATTCAGAACTTCGACTTCTTTTTTTATGTTTCCTTGACTCCTGCCATGAACAGGATTATAAATTAAAACAATATACCTCATGCACCACTTGGTACTTGGACAAGAGTTTCTAAGAAAGGGTCAAAGTTGTAATTTCCGACAGAGGCCGCATGAGAAGTTCTCTGTTTTCTCTGTTTATTTATTGAAGTTTAAACTCTCACAGTTAAGAAAAATGGAAAATCTGCAGAGGCTGCTGTGGCATGATCCCTCAAGACTGTACTTCGGTTAAAAAAGAAGTATCGGCCATACGATAAAATTTAAAGACGTACCTTTCGAGCTGATTCTTTAGAATGCTTGCTCGATCTTTGCGAATGACTTTCTTCCCCCTTGTCCGCCATTAGTTGTGATTGGACGGGAAGGGATGGATCGAGGGAGTTCTTTGAAGGAATACGTTGTGTAACAGTAATGAAACTGTATCAACATGGCTACCTCAAGTGACGGAAAGGTACACCTTTAAATAATGAGGTTATATTCTAAACGACTAGTTTTTCCTTTTTCACCCAATTCAAAATTTTTTCTTCGTTTTTTTTAGGAAAAAGAGAAAACTTTGAATAACAAATCGACCATATGGGTTGGTAACTTGGACAGGCGACTGAGCGAGTGAGTGAACAGCTTGCCCAGACAACTAAAGCATCTCATAGCTTTTTCAGAAATTACGCTAATATGGTGTTAGAATTCGTTTGTATTACCCTCTCAGCGTGTTAAAAAGCCTGAAAAAATGCATTCCGAAAAAGATACAAAGCTCGAGATTATGACTGGTTTACATGAGTGCTTCTTTAATATTTTGCCGCCAGCCTTTTTTTAGTTGCACCAGGCCTACGAAACACCTTTACCTTGCTGTCTTTAGGTTTGTTCTTTTAAGCTTAGGATGCATGTCTTTATTTGTGTATAATAGATATAACCTCCTGAAAATTCTTCAGCGGTTTGGAGAGATCAAGAACTTTGACCTCCATTTTCATAAATCTGGTGCTAGAGAGGGAGAGCCATCTTACTGCTTTGTTGAGTTCAAAACCTTCCAGGTACGTAGATAGTTGGAAGAGTGTTGCATGTCATTACAACAATACAAGATGAAGAGGACTAGTATTTGAACTTTTTCTGTTTTGGTCTGGCTCTATAAAATTCTCTAGGAAGCAGAAAATGCTCTGCTTGGATTGAATGGCAAACTAGCACTGTCCAAGCCTCTGACCGTAAACTGGGCAAGGAAAAAAACTGGAGAGGCTGTAAGTGGAAAGCAGAGTTGATGTTAGAATTGAGTTATTTAATACCTTCTTAGTAGAGGTCACTGGTAAGGAACCTCATAAGAATAAAGGATTTTGTAGCTGAGTGGGCACTCAGTGAAAGCTCACAGAACTCTTTACCATGGCAAATTTACTTAACTCATGGATATGAAAGCAATCTTTGAAGTTATGACTTTTATAAATTCACAGCCATTTACTCAACTCAGTTCTAGACTTCAGCACCATTGTTTTCATCTTTTATTTTTTTGCAGATTTACTTACCAGTTATTTAAAAAAACTATGCTTTACCTGGTCTTACTTATCTTTGTGTCTCATTGGTAAAACAAAAGAGAGGAATCTGGGTTAATGTGTTGTGTTCTCCACTCTCACAGAGCCCTTTCTTTACCCTGGAGTATACAGTGTGACTGGTTATCAGTGGACTGTTAGGAACTTGGTGATATCCTGAGGAAGTTGTAATACACCTGGTCCCACAATATATGTTAGACATATCTATATTTATTTTTATGGTGACCTGTCATGTCTTCATACAGGGAAAGAAAGAGAAAGATAAAGTTATAGCAACCACTCCAGGCTCATCACAAAGTTCACTAGATAGGTGAGAGAAGAAAAACAATTGGTGATATTGTAAATTTGGTTATCCTTATTCTCTCCTGTTGTAAAATTATCATGACTTGAAAACTGGCTATCAGCACTTGCCAAGAACAATATCAATTTTGCTGCTGCTTAAAACAACAAGGTATACACCCTGTTATTAAGTTGGTGATGTTACTAAAGTATTGCATCTATTATGGTCTTAAGACACGTCTATCCCCATATGTGATTATTACAGTTTGCAAAATTTCAAAATGTAACATGGATTTTCGATCAACTGTTGATAGCTTCATGGTGTGGGCAGGTTGATGTAATATTCAAAATCTTTTTCCTTCTCTCTCCAGCTGCGACTCCAAGATACAAGCAATTGAGGCCAAGCTCAAACTGATGGAAAGTGGACATGAAAAAGAACCATCTGGCCAAGGAAAACATCCTCTTCTAGTCCAGAGTGAGCAATTAAGGTCTCACCCATACAAGAAGCAAGAAAGACACCACAGAGGAAGAGGAAGACGTGCAAGATGACAGTGATCCCTTTTAGACTCTCCCTGTCTTGTTAAACTCTTTAACTCCAAAGATATGATTGCTAATTCTCCCATCTAGCCACTACACATATCCTTGTAAATTAGTTACAAGAATTTGGTGGTATGTCAAGGTAACAACTTCCACTTAATAAATTTTAGTACTCTCATCACCTGTTTGCAGGATAGTGTACGAATATTGTAGGAATAAGTTACTTATTAATTACTTCTGGGAGTTAAAGGTTTAATTCCATGTGGCTGAGAAATAGTTAAACTTTTAACTATAGTGAAATGTTTTGTAAAACGTTGTACAGAGGTTGTTGGGATCATTTTAAAGTATTTAACAGCTTCAAAAAATAACTAGCTGACATTACGGGAATGATGTGGAACAAGACACTGCTATTGAAATTCAGCTCCAAGGTAAAAAGCCTGGGGATTCTGCAAGTGTGTAGGATTGCTTTGATTCACTGATCCAGAAGTTAAAAATTTTACTTGCAGGTGTTTTTTAGCTTACTATTTAATGCTTGAGTGCATATAAATTAGAACCCTTTAACTACAATACACGTATAACATACACATACAATTCAATCTAGTAAATATGTAAAAATGTAAATAACATGTTATGACAAAAATGAAATGAGTAATAAATGAAAGGCGCAGGTCTAACTGGACAAAGGTGATGATTTTTATCATGACGTTTTTGTATGATCAGAGAAGTATGACTTGACCTATTCACACCAAAGCTTAAACATGTTTTACAGCTGTTTTGATTTGATTTTTTTTTATAAACACAGATGAAAATCGTCTTCTCCATAGCTGCTTAAACTGGTGTTTGTTGACTCAAAATTTTGCACATTTAAAATACAAGTGAGTGACTACTTGAATCCTATGAAAAATTCAGTTTTTTTAGTCCTCTGTTTCATTTTCATTCAGTCAAACCAAGTTTAACTAAACATTTGTCTGCTGTTTTCAGGGGTAGGGCACACTGCAATAACAGTTTTCTTTTCTGCCTCAGGTAGATCCCTAGTATACTTTCTACAGTCAACCTGTGATTCATTTTACCTTCCTAAACTTTTAGAATGGAGACTGGAGGAAAGAAGGCATTTCATAGATGATTGGTTATTTGCAAGACATTGTAAATAGCTATGCATTTTTTTTAGCCTTTTCTTTAAGAAATATTCAAATATAGCCAAGTATAGTTACTGTAGACTTTTACTGAGGCCTTTTTACCTCTCAATTTCTGCACATTTTGTTGTCATTTAATTTTGATGTCCCTTTTAGTATAATCCCGCTAATTTCAGAAACCTACCTTGGTCTGGGGAAAATCAAAGGCTTCATGTCCTGGAATTCCTTTTTTTCGATTCTCAATTCTTTTAAAAAAACACACCAATCAGATTGCCGCATTAGGGTATGTATCTAGCACCAATCAGGTTGCTGCGTTAGAGTATCTATCTTGCACCAATCAGATTGCTAGATTAGGGTTTCTATCTCGCATCAATCATATCACAGCATTTGGATATTATGCACCAATCACAGCGTTTGAGTATTGTTTTCTTGTTTTCATGGGATCAGGGGGCTGTGCAAAAACCATGACATTAATCAGAAATTTTGCATTTTATCACATACTCTAACCGCATTATCCAACGCCACTGAGAAAAATTCACATGAAACTTTGTGCCACTGATGGTGAATTTTCAACACATTTTCATATGTTTTGACTTTCAGTCTGTGAATAAAATTTGCTTTTAGCTACCTTGGAATTAACCCAATTGAGTGTTAATTCCTCGTAAACAACCTGCATTTTATCATGTATTTCACACACAGAAGGCAAGGTCTAGATAGGCAACAACCAATCAAAGAGCTCTTTGAAATATTATCCTTTCTCTTGCTCAATGTATCTTCTCTCATACGAGATTGCAATATATCTTTAGTTAGGGTCTGTTGGAGATTAAACAGTTTCAGTCTGCTTTTTGCAGTAAAATTACATGGAATTATACTGTTGAGGCAACTAACTGTAGACAAATAAGTTTGATTTTCTTTCTGTTATGGGAGCAGCTGTAAGCAATGTCTCTTCCACAACCATTCAAGTTTGGTCTTGTCACACAATGGCTCTCTCTCTCTCCAACATGGAATAGAGGGCATTGTGTGATGAGATAAAACAACGGCTGTAAAGGAGACTACAGTAAGCGTGGCACAAATGCATGTTATTTCTGCTCAGTAATTAGTTGAGAGATAATAAATCACAAAATACCTGTGTGAGTTTTGATAAATTATGTTTTTTCTCTTTCTCTTGAAGAAATGTGATATTTTGTTCTTTTTTCTTTCTTGAAAGTTATGAAAACATTAGGAACACAGTGTCCCATTTTGTACTACCCAGCTGAAAAAGTCACTCTTCTGTGCTACTCATGCCTATATTTAATGTTTAACACAATACAAACATGTTCTTGGGTGCTGACAACTTTTGCTCATCACATCCAACAATATTATTCACATTCTCCACACTATTCTCTTCACATTTCCCATTGTGCCAACAAAGACAATTCGTTTGACCACCAGGAGCTTCTTAAGTTGGTGATCATTTCCTTTAATCTCATGACTTTTACATTAAATTTTAGGAAGATAATGTCAAGCGAATTAAGACGCCAGTCACTGTTAGGGATTAAAGGCTCCAGTCAATACGACACAGGTCTTCTAAATTTAAATCAGAAGCTGGAATGAATTTTGACTGATCAGTTAAAAATGAAATATAGGAAGGATTTGGAAAACTCTAAGGTTGTATGCTCAATAAGCTGTGACCTACAAGAAGCGCACAAATTTGGATTTTTCAGACCACCTAAGGGCAGTGCAAGGCAGGCATGAAGAGAGTAAGAATGGCAAATCATGCATAGAAGGGGCTTAAACAGCCACTGCACTTCTTGTTCCACAACTTTTCAGTGTGTTTATCTCTGCTCAGCTGAAATATGCAGGAAAAGCAACATTTTATCTACAGCCAATTGGAATTTATCCCAACCAAAACTATTTTATATAGTACTAGAGACAAATTAGAATAAGAAAGATGGTAAGTTCTGAGCTTGGTAGAGAAATAGCTGAACTTTGTAATAGACCTTGTTCACCATAGAGTCCTTGTGGCTCAGTATTAGGGCATCAGAGCATGGAATTCAAAGGTCTGAGGTTCGATTCCTCATGGGGACACACAATGTTTTCTTTGTCCCATGCTTGTGACAAGACGAAAAACATCTTTCTCAAAAAACAAATTATTTATTTCACATCAATTTTTCTACTTGTAAAAGTGAGGTGATAACATTCTGATGACTTACTTGGGCTAGAAACTAAGTCCTAGAAAAAATAATTTTACTGTACTTACTGTAACCTTACAAAGTTCATTATTGTTAAATTTAATTGCAGTCTAATAACAGGGTGCTAGGGAAGTATATAAGAGTTTTCATGTTTGTGTTCCAGTCTTTTCACGAAGTGATCCCTGGCTGTGACTTGGCTGTGATTTATCTTTCCCTGTCTCTTTCTTTAGAACATGGAGAAGTGTTTGAGAACTTTCAAGAATCTGGAACAAAAACAAAATGTATGTTTGAATGATTTTGATGCAATACTTACCAGAATTTGAGTTATTTCAATGAATAACTGAAATTTGCAGTTATTCATTGACACAACTCAAATTCTGATAAGTAGTGCATCAAAATCATTCCTCCATTTTTAGGATTGTCTGTATCTTAGGCCCAGTTCAAACATCAAACCTCATGCAGAGAGGAACCCAAAAATTTAAGGCTCCTTTTCTGGTCCTGCTTCACACTCATCTCTTTTTGGGATTCTTTTACCCAAAAACTAGACCCATCCCAAATCTTTCGAGAAAACCATATACTGAATATTTCAGTGTCCTGTCCATGGGAATTAAAACTGTGATGCAACCTGCACTGAATGTAATGCTTGAATCAGTACATTCTCCATTTTTTTTGTCTATTAATTCCCTTCTTTTATACAAGTAATCACTGTGGAAAGTGCTAATGACTGTTATTTCATATCAGTTTGATGTCGAAATTGACACCTGGTTCTTTTAAAATTGTTATAACAATACACAGTTCATAAAGAACCATGGTAAGAAAATAAACAAATAGCAGATTTTGTCCTCACAGACCAACTGAAGAAGAAATGTTTTATCACCACTTAGCAGATGTGAGTCTTAGATCTTGGAAGTTAATGGGCTAACAATTGGCTTTGTGGTCCAGGTAAATTTCCATCTAAATTAACCCTTTTTGGCTGACCACTATTTGGCCAGTTACTGTTAAATTAAGGCACTTTGGTCACAAAGGAATGTTGATTTGTCACTGCCTTGTCCAAATGCTACACAAGCTCTGCCTTTTCTGTACAAACACAAAAGGTTAAGTCTTCAGTAGATAACTTTACATTATAGTCATGAACTAACTGGTCCCAAATTGCCACAGCCTACCATGAGGTGACTGGGAGTTATCCTAACCCATTGCGAAGGGTGGATAATGCTATCCACAGGATAAATTTCTATCTGGTGGATAGTGCAGTATGTTTTGTTGACACTCAACTGCTGGATAGCAAATTTTTTGTGGGAAAGTGTTATCTGCACTTTGAACATCTGGGCCCTGGGTAGACTGAGGCATTGCAGGAACTAAGAGTACTTTTCAAGAGCAAAACACAACGAGTTGATTGACCCTGGCCCAAGGATTGAATTCAGACATTTCAGTCATTAAGCTGATGCAACTCCCAATTTGTACAACTAAGGTCCCTGCTCTCTATATCTATTCCTATTAGCTTGTGAGTGAATCTTAAGTATTCCCTCTTCCTTCAACCACCGATTCCACTGATTAAGATGGAGGTTAAGGTTCAATTTTTTAAAAGTTCCTCACTTCTCCATCTCCCCTGCCGCCAAATCTCCAATGGTAAAGGAGGGGTTTGGGTACCAAATTTGACATTCGTAATTTTAAGGACACTCCCTGAGTAGCAGTCAGAGTGTTTTTCTGAACAAATTGACCACAATAGGTTATTTTCTTGTAAGTTAAAGCTCACCTTCATATAAGCTGCTTCTGTCTCAGCAATCGTTTTGTCGTACTCAGTTCTGGAAGCTATCTTTTTAGCGAGGCTTTCGTTAATTTTTGCCAACCTTTCGCTGAGAATTCGAATGTCGTTTTGAATTTTTGCTTTCTCCTCCTCTTCGTTAAGTATTTGTTTCTGAAGTTCGTCTCTTTTGGTGCAAAGGTCCTCTATACCTGATACATTAATTTAAAGAAGCGAGTTTTTGAATATGAAATGAAATTTTTAGATATTAGCGTGCAAAAACCTGTACAGTACACTACAAACCTGAACGAAGGTCGATAGACTATCTCAAACCACGTCACTTTTTATTTATCGAGTTTTACTTGACTCAACCCATTATTAATGACGTCTATTGAAAAACCATCACTTACATTTCACTAGCTCATTGTTGTACGTTTGCAAAGTCGCTCCTTGTTGTGACATCGCGATCGAAATCAAGCTTAAATTGTGTAAACTTAAATCATAAATATTGCCTAAACGGTAAAGTTATAGTGATGTTTTCTTTCTCGCGCGTTGTTTGGATGGCGTTGTCCTGGAGCTGAGTGAGCTCAATCTCAAGCCCAGGGTCACTGCGGCTCCTCGTCGCCAAATAATTAATAATATAATTATTATAATCATAATAATTGTTTGGCCACCATACCGCTGACAAGGAGCCAAAATGACCCTGGGCTTGACAGAGATGAAAAACGTCTCCGCATGCGTGGCGTGAGCTTCTTCATAATGTTATTGGCGTTCTATCAACGGAAGCGTGACACCATTAAACTGCGTATTCATAGGTGTATTTTTCCTTTAAAACTGGAATGCGAGGACGCTATTTGAAAATAGCTTCTGTAAACTGAAATCTTCGACATGTGGAACGTATTATTTTGGGAAATGTTGTTTATTTGCTCGCTCTTGAGCAAACAAATTCCGGAATATGTCAGCGCCCACAGTGGGAGTTCAGGACCCACAAGAGACTTACAGAGCTCGTAGGATACCAAAGGTTTGTGGAGAGTTTAGTGTGATTGAATCATAGATCCTGTGACCTAGTAAGATTCGTTGAACAATTATCTGGTACACCCATGTTTGAGTCAGTGGACTGGTTATAACAGGAATATCAACATTGGATGAATAAAACAATTTGCTATACAAAAGGGCAATAAGGGTGCATTCGTTGCTTCCTGTTCTACCATGAATTTTTGACTGTGAAATAGTGCTATGAAAGAACCAGAAAGTGAAATCGCTATGTTGATATGGTTGGATATATATGGGCGTCAGAACGTGAGGAGAGCTGTGACGGTCAGGTGAATTTGGTGAATTTGTATCTGGAGGTGAAGGGTGGTTGTTGACTGAATGATTGGGTTTCGATGGAAGAGGGATTGTTGGATAACTATTTAGGATATTGTCAACCTTCAGAGTCCATTCTGTTGTTAAATAAAATGATTCAGCATCAATTACATTCATACTCCTGACGGTTGTAGCATTGCTATCTTCAAACAGATCTCCATCATTTTCAAAGGGTTCCATGCCCTTGGACTTTAAAAGTCCACTGTTTAATCTGCTAATTTCTTCACTTTTTTTTTTCAGTGGCTCCAGACAGATTGAACAGCAATGTCTGAAAAAGGTATGTTTCATGGTAACAATGAAAGCAGGCCAAACTAACAACAGTGGTTGATTATGTTCTTGTGCAGGTTGGTGAGTCACAGTAAACATTCCAAACAGGTTGCAAGCCAGGTTCTACGTCATCTAAGTTGTAACTTGGTGGAAAACACTTGGTATCAACCATGGTATCAAAAATTGGCAGATAGTATTGCAGCTTTCCTCTTGGCTGCCCAATGTTTGTAAATATGTGGTCAACCTGAATTCAAAGAGCAAGAATAAATAAATACAGACTATGGTGGCATATCAAATGAATAACATTATTGCCCATGCTTGCATTTTGTTATTGGTGTATGTTAAATAGAAAACCTATTGTTCTAGGTTTTGTTTGTAGCTTATCTTTTGATTAATGTCTTTATCCTACTACAATTCAACTAAACAAGACAAATTACTGTAGCCTGGAATAATTTTTTGGACCCCACATTTTTTTGTGTTTGTACATTTTATTTCTTTTCAAGTAGTTAGTTCAAATTGAAATCTATTTTGTCATGGTCGCCTGAAAAGCAGTATTACAACATGCAACTATAATACTTTTCAGTTTGAGATTATCATAGTTAAACTATACATTTTATTTTCATAGGAGAGTTACCTGTTGTGATCTGCTACAGCTCTGTGTAATGTCGTGAAACAAATTGAGAAGAAATTCTGCTGTTTTTCCAGCAATGAGTCACAAGTTTGGTTGAGAGTGGTCTTGGTGGTACTGCAGAACAAAGGATTCTATGAAGTAATATTAAGAAACCTACAATGCAAGTGACTTGGCAGTATCTTCAACTCTTCTTGCATCATTGAACTTCGTAGTATTTCTTCACAGCATAGAGTGCCAGACCTCAACTTCCTTTTCTGTGAATAGCTAACGAATTGTTGACTTCCTAGACCAGTATTCTGGAAGATGTCTGCATTGGTAAGCACATTCACTCAAAAAGGACAAGATTGAGTTATTGTAATGTTTCCCTTTCCTGCACATGAAAATAATGGCCATCTGTGCCTTAACTTTCTCATACAATTTGAGGTCACCACTTCTGAAAATATTGTATTGACAAAAAATGAGAGGCACAACATGTTCAAGCAAGTGCAAGATGGATACAAATTCATGGTATTTGCTCTTTCCAAACTTTCTTAGAACTTTTTCTTTGATAAGTTGCTAGCCAACTAGGGCAGCAGTCACAATTAAGGATGTTTGGTATGGTTGGGGTTTTGTTGCCAGAGTACCTCTAAAGGCAAATGAGAACAGTTCATCAAGAACAAATTCACAGTTTGTGATAACATCTTCATAAGCATTAAGGCAAACATGAAAGGCCCTTGCTCAGGTATGATACTTCTGTTGAGACTCCATCCACTTGTGATTAATTTTTTGGGGTAGTACCATACGGCCCAGTCAGCTGGGAATGGCACAACAAATTTTCTGGCATAATTCTGCAACTCAGTGTATGTGCTCAATAGTTTTTCAAGTGTTACTTGGTAGTCTGTCATGCTCTTTAAGTTTTGGCCAAATTCATGGCATATGGAGGGAGTGAATGTTTTGAAGTCATCCACCATTAAAATTATGAAACTCTTTAGCTGTTAAGAAAGATAACTAATGCTTAAACCATGAGTTGACAACAGGAACATGTATATTCTGAGGGAAACCAAAATTTAGCTCTAGAAGATATTTTTTCCAAGCCTTTTCATCAGGGACAAATTCCATGAAATATGTAGGATATTGTGGTTATCTTAAAACTTACATTAAGAACATGTTGCTTTACAAATAACAGACTCACCTCATTTGCCCTCTGTAACTGTTCTGATATGAATGCTACATGTTGGTTACTAAGGTCTACTCTCATTTGTTGTATAGATCTGGGTGTAATGGCTGCCACGCCTTTGCCACCGAACATTGATTCGTTATAAGTTTGTTTCGTGTTAAACGTGTTAAACCGCAATAGTGACGTTACTGTTTGTCCATTAGGAACGTGATCTTTAAGTTCCACCCAGAACCGCATTTTAGTTAGTTATCTTGCGTTGGGCTAACGATAAGACGTGTTTATCGAAAAGCGCCCTTTTGCCCACCTTATCTCGGAGTTCGTTTTGGTCAAACTCTTACAAGCGGGACTGTTATGTAAGTGCTTATGTTCCTTTTCTTCGTGCTTGTTTAAACATCTAGTCTTTCGGTAGTTTCGCCCAGTTTTTTATACCAGTTTCTTTGCAACCTTGTAACACGTGGCTTACGTTGTTCATGCTTTGTTAGTAAGCTGCTCGTTTTTCCCACTCGGTTATTAGAATTCGTTTTCAAGCGGTTCTCCTTTATCCTTGAAGATAGTCTTTTGTGAGTTTGCTTTAGAGTTTTAGCTAGTCTTTTGGGATCTTGCTTTTATATCGGAATGATTGGAATGTTGGTCCGTATCTTAGAATTTAGCTTAGCTTCTTCCTTATAATTTCATATTTCAGTTAACGATAAGTACTTGGATACCTCGACTACGCTAATAAAACGATTCAAGTCTTTTCCGTAAAATACATCCTCGCTTCATAGTGTGTCTTCATGAGCGAAACTCATAGTTGTCGTTGAAATTTGCTTCGCTTGTGTCGGCCGCTACACTGGGTATTGTACTTTATCCCAAAAGCTGACCAGCTGATAATCCCTGTAAGGACATGCCACAATTAGACGCATGAAGTGTACTATCCTTTTGAAGGGCAGAAGTCTTCTGTGACCTGTCATAAAATTAACGTTCGTTCTCATAATGTTACCCAAGCAAAATGGCTTAGTTTCATGCCCATTTTCATGTCCATTTAAAGTGAATTACCTATAATAGGCATGTCTGTACAGGGCCTTTTGAAATGCATCCAACTTCTTGTCAATAGTTGATTCTAGAAAAGGATTATTTTGTTTTTCAAATGGTCCGTAATGAAAGTTTTAAGTGATTGTGAAATAAATCTTACAATGCTTAAAGTTAATTAAAGCAGAAGCAACCCTTCATTGGTAGAAACCTTTCATCTCCATGAGCTGTTGCCCCATTGCGTTCAGCTGTGTTTTCATGGTGGTGCACTTTTCGGCACCCTGTTTGTACAATGTAAGTAATTCTTCTTTCCCTTTCTCCCTTTTATAGGGAAAAATTAAAATTTGGTAATGAGAACGTAGTTAGGTGCGAATGGTGTGATGAATTTAGCGAATTACGATAGATGTACCTTCATTCGCTTTGTTATCGCCATACCACAGTCTCCTTCGACATTTCTGTAAAATTTTATTTTACAGCCGTTGCACCACTTGTTCCTGGTTGGTATCTCGTTTTCTTTCTTTTTTATATATTCAAAATTCCGAAAAGCCTTACAGGAATAGCGGTTAATTTAGTAGAATGTCGGTTGGGAAACGGCGATGAGCAGCGATTGTCTTGCTTTCCGATCGCTCGACGAGGTCGTAAACAAACTGGAGTTTCTTCAGGCAAGTTTGCAGCTCTTGCCAAACCTGGTGGTAGGGGCATAGAATGGCCGTAACAAACTCCTTCGCTGTTCCTTGTTTTACCGGCGAATCAACATTTTGCGTGAACGGACGAACGCAATATTGTAAATAACACAATGCTGTAAACATTACTGGCAATTGCCGTAACTGAGCTCTTCCACGACTTATTGAAACTTTGCACGAAAGACCCTTTTTCGGCGCGATAACAATTTTTGGTAAAATTTCCGCACAGCCCCATACTACATTATGCATTCAGTTCTTGGATAGAGAAAACGACAAAAACAATACATTGCCATTGGAACAACAGATTTGTTTAACAATAGTATGGGGCTGTGCGGAAATTGTACCCAATTTTTTACAATTTCTATACCCACTCCATTTTTTGGAATTCTTTTCTTCTTTTCAAAAATGAGAATTAAAACCTTATTTTTTTAACGCCTTCCTTAGTCAGTTTCAGATAAGCGCGCGTCTGAGCCCGCGTTTCGTACCGCGGTTTTCTAGCGCACGCGCAGACATTTTTCATCCTTATATAATTAGTGCTATTAGTGCGAGCAGAGGGGCATTTTGCTGCGCATGCGCCAGTAGAATTTTGTTCGGCGCGTTCGGCGCCATTGTGATACGTTCAGCGCGCTTCTGCGGGTTTTCAACTGGGCGATCGACACTTTTTTATAATACTTTTTGGAGAGGGATGAAAGAAAATGACAAGTATACCAATATTTCTAACTCTGTGAATACTCGTGGTGTTTGCTGGCCCCTCTGATGAGGATATTTTAATGATCAAAGTACGAACAAAACACGAAAAAAGCCCGAAAACTTGAAGTTTGAGATTTGATTTACTGAAGATCAAGATGTGTAGATGAGACAGCAAACCTTGGAGGTTAGTCTTAAGATGTCGATGTTTTACTTGTAAAAATCACAACGTTGTATTCGAAGACGATCGTGAGATATTTGATCCGATGAAAGAAGTTAATTTAGAACGTGATCTTAATTTACTTCAACTTTGAAATAAAATTGCGTTAAGTTCGAGGTGGCCCCCAAGCTTCAAATCACTTCAGATAACGTCATCTTTTCTTTCTCTTTGTAGTCACATTAGACACAAGGCTTTAAAAAATCATCCAGCTTCAGGATTGAGTTGCTCTTACAACAACCTTCGGCGAATTCGTTTTTGGCAGGTTTAGGTGGATTTTCCAAGTCATGGCTCACAACTGTCTTTGGCCCTTTTGCTCTCCAAGTCTGTTGAACATAGTAGGTAGGCATGTGTCTTAGCACCGGTTATAGTTTGGTTTTCATCAACTCCGGCTTAAGCTTATCTTTTCCTGAGTTTTAGTGGGAATTTTTTCAATTGCTTTTTTGGGCTTCAGGTGCTAAATGGAGGAAAAACTTCGATAGAACTTATTTATCTCACTTGCCCCCAAAGCCCTCACCACTGTCAGTTAATTGTTTATTAATTTGGCTTTCGGTCAAACTAGTCCAATTACCCCTAAAAAATCAGTGGACTCTTCCTCACGAGTTTAAACAGGTGACGCTTTCTCTATGTTCGTTTTACGATACGAATGACGTCAGCTTTATTCTGTCATGCTTATTTCACAAAAATGCTTCTGCCTTGCGAAATTAGTTTTAAGTCAAAGTTTTAGACGATGCTTACAGACTAACTTAATCAAACTTGCTTTGTTACAACAAATGGACAAGTACTCAATTATCATAATCCTGCTTGTTCTGTTTCTAATGTCTAATTAAACCTTTTTCAAAATTTATTTCAGCTTTAAAACTGCTATGTTTGATCCATGTAATCCATTCTTCCAGTCTCGCATAACCATCCTTTCTAGATATTTGACAAAGTGGCTGACATTTCCAGAGGAACTGGTGGCAATAATGCCCCCCTGGAGACCATGAGTGTGACTTTCAAAAAGACAAATACTTGTCTGATTGAAACAGAGTACCATTGACTTGTCTGGTGGCACAATCAATACAGCTGCAAATGATGGATGCATATGATGGTGTTGTGTGAGGTGGTCTTCAAGGTCTCTCACAGTAAAGAAACCCAGGTCTGAAGTGATTTCAAGTTTCTTCAAATGTTTATCATTTTTTCCATGCTGAAGGACTTGTCTGACTTCCAAATTTGGTTGCTGAATTGGCAGGTGGAAAGAGTCATATAACTGATTTCCTTTTATCATGACATTAGTATACATAGGTATAGTAATGTTGAGGTCTTGTAACTGCGTGGGAATTTGAAGGGTTCCCTCCAGAAAATCAAGTGCAGCAAGTACTGCAATCACAGTGCAGGCATTACTACCATTAGGTCTTCCACCAATGGAGGACTGGCAAATGTATGAGGGCAGGAGCCACTCAGTTACATCAAGATGTTGTGCAATAGTGACATTTATGCGAAGAGTGGTCTGAGAATCTGGTGTTGGTAATGAAGCTGACTGGTTGTTGCAAGTACTCTGATTACTCTCATGCTGGTTTGCTGTGTGCCATGAACAAGGGCAATTTGAGCTACTGATGTCATCACTAACTGTGCAGGTACCATTTTCACAGAAATAACATTTGACCTGTGCATTGTTAAGCCTCTTGTGTCCACGAACAGGATGGTGACATTGTCTACAGTGGGGAGGTGCCTTGTTGGGTGAAGGTGTGGTTTGGTTGTAAGTTTGACTCTGGCTAAGGTTGGAAGATGTGAGTGGTTGAGTTGCTGGATTTAGGTTGGAAATTTCATCGTTTAACTGTTTGGCAACCCTATCAAACTCTTCCCTCTCAACTTCTTCTACCCCAGGGATTTCAGTTAATAAATATGTTGGCACTGCTGATGTTTCATTACTGTGATTAGTTTGGGATTCAGTTTCATGCATGTTAGATGCAGGATGTAGAATGGCTTTTTTAGCTGTCTCACCAAGCTCTTTTACTTTTTTTTTTAGAAACTCCTTACACAGTGGACATGAAGTTGATCCATTAAGGCAAACATCATGGAATGAGTGAAAACAACCATGCAAGAGGGTCCAATCCTCATCTTGGCTGGAAATGTTACACAGAGGTAAATCACATTTTTTTGTTTGATCCGGCTTGATATCACAGTGATACCCTAAAGGTAAAACAGTCATCTTCATATTTTTGTTGGGGGACATTGTTGGCAGTGTGACATGAGTTGGAACACTTGTGTTGCAGCTGTTGTTTGAGGAGAACTGACTCTGCCCTGGACTCTGAGAGATTTTTATAAACATGGAGGACAGTGCTTGAGCACATCTCACTTTTAGTAAGCGAAGTTGGTTGTGTGAGAAAGAAAACTGCTTAGGTGTGGTGAAAAATGACCTGTAGTGTGATTGTTTACCCTTTGACTGGAAAATGGACTTTGCTTTCTTTCTAAGTTCATCCGCAGAATCAGAACCTTTTGTCTGTGAACGGAGTATGCTATGAGTGTTTTCCACTGGATATTCATCAAAAATGGCAATGTAATTCCTTATTAGATTATACAGTTGTGGAGCATGTTTTCCCCAGTGAGAGCACATGTTGATCCAAATAAGTGGTGCTTTGTTATAGTGCCTGCGTTGAAGGCAAGTAAACATGATCCAAATCCTGATCATTGCTCGAAAATACTCAGAGAAATTGTTAAGTTTGAAAGAAATGCTATATATCGACAACACCAAAGGTATATAGCTGTCTAGTAAAGTGAATAGGGTCCCATACTCTGCATCCTTGAAGCGGGAGAACTTTGACATCACAGTGCGGGTATAAGTGTCCAACCACCATAAACAATCTCAAGAATCAGACTAATCCTCCAGGGTTTGGGATTATCTGCAAATTTGCTTCTTGGGAAAATTGTTTCATAAACTGTTTTGAAAAATGGATGATAGGAATGAACAATGTGTTCTCTGCTGTTTAGAGAAATGTGAAGTGGCCCAATAGTTGGTACTAATGACAGAATGGATGACTGTGATGTTGCTTGTGGCAAGCTGTTGTTCAAGAGATTGTCAGTAGTACCAGATGTCATTGGAAAAGAATATGAGGAATGATCAGGTAAAATATTGTCCTGTTGCAGAGGAGCATCTGAAAATCCTGGATGAGAGCTGACAAATTTCTTAAGTGATTCGTATATGATTTGTCTACAATAAAATTGGCATGGCCAATCTCCTGGCTGAAAAACAATAAATTTCTTTAAATAAGCAGCCAAGCCAGTGTGCATTGCTACATCATAGGCAGTATCAAAGTCCCCCTTTGACTTCAGTCTCAGTTCTACAAAATCTAATAGGTGCAAATCATCCATTTTGCGCATTGTTCGCACATTGTCACTGTCACAGTATTGATGAATGTGGATTCTATGTCTCTCAAATTCAGGATTAAAAAATGCGTTGGTGAGCCAGTCAGGCATCACAGAAGCATAACTCTCACTGATGTTGTGCATGGATGATGCAGCAGTAATTAGTTGTATGCATGCTTCAATATCTATACCATTTTGGTCATGAGTACAAAGGGCATGCGTTACAGGTACAGCTGGAATATCTTTAAAAGCTTTAACAACTATGGTACACATTGTCTTTGCCTCTGACAATTTTTCCTCTTGTGGCCTTCTTTTGGTGTGAATGGCTGTGAAATCATCGGTTATTAGCACTGTTAGCCATTTGCGATCTGTAGCTGTGGTTATAAAATCTTCAAAAGATTTGAAATGAGACTGACATTTTGTGCATAACATTGTTTAAAGTTCTTCTGGAACATGTATGCCCATGATATGTTCTGTTTCAATGCTCTCTTGATTTATGAGATTACTCTTGAGATAAAGAGCATGGTCCATTTGAAGAGGATTGCATGTTTGGCTGAGGCAGTAGCACAAATTGTAAATGAATGAGACAACCCTCTTTTGTTTAGATGTATGCGGTCTGTTGAGTGCTGAGAACCAGTGACTGAATCCAGAATAGTGTCGAATAACTTTGTTGCACCTGCTGATATGCAAAACTCTCTAAAACTGTCTGGATCATACACTGTTTCTGCCTTGTTAAATACTATGTCATCATAAATCTTTTTCTTGACCAGTGCTATTTCCTCTGTCATATCACATCCTACATTGGGTGGGAAATAAAATTTGCATTCAAGTGAAATCTAAATTTTATATTGTTGCAAGCCATAATAATAAGAGGCTCATTATGTAAAAGCCTGATGGTAGTTCTCAAAAACAAGTTTCATATTTACTTCTGCCACAATGTATGATAATTATCATAGCAAGGTTAACAAAACTCTTCTCATTATTTTGATTAAGTCATCTAGTTTTGTTCAGTCTTGTTCCTTGGGGATACAGGCTATGGAAACAAGTTTGACTTTCATTCTCAATGATACTATCAGTTGTATAAGTTTGTTTTTATTGCCTGTAATAAGAGTCTCGTCAGACCATCAGGTTGTTACAAAATGCCTGTTATTTAAAAAGTCGAAGAGTAAAGTTGCCAAGTGCATATCTGTCTTTGATACACATCAATAAAGTTTTTATTTGGAGGTATTGATTCATTAACCAGTGGGGGTTCGAGGTGGAATTGGCCAGCAATCTTTATTCAGTAATTTACATTTCAACAGGAAGCCCAAAAGTTTGATTGGTTTTAATTTGCATATTCTTATTCTTTCAGATATTCCATTCAGAAGCTGAGGATGCCTTTGCACCCGTTCCTCCACAAATGGTGCAATTCCCATATGTTTTGGTTCAGGGGTAGTTTGGTCCAAATAAAGTATTCAATTTTAAATTTATAAGTGTCTACTATTGCAAATTTCAGCTTCCAAAATGAATGAAAATCTGAAATTTCTGAGAAAAATGATTGAAAAAAGGTTACTTACTCGCTGATAAAATCCGTAATTTTTCCTCCATTTCTAATAATCTCTCCCTGGATACAACTACCATCTCTCTAGTACTACTGCCATCTGACTTTTCTTTACTCAACATTGATCTTTTGTGTTTGGGTATTCGTCCCCTTTGGTTGTGATTCATGTCAACAAACTTTTGAACAAAAAAAAAACTTAGGTTAAATTTTAATTTTTGCTTCAAGTGTTCAGTGATAACATGAGATAGCACTAACATGCTGAAACGAATTTCCAGTTCGCCTGTGTTCTTCTACAGCCCTCCTACATCCTTCACAAATAACGTCCTCTGTATCGATCGCTCTCCCTACTATCCCAAAACAACACTTGAATTCTTTTTCATAACTTTTCGCCTTTTGAAAGTAACGCGGCTGGGACTTTCTCCCGCACACTACGCAACCATTTTTCGATTGTTTCGCGCTTTCAGCCAAGTAACATTGAGAAAAAATCTCGAGAATGACAACGAACACAAATAGAAGAGCCATTGTATTTCGTGCTCCACTACTGCCGCATCTATTCGAAAACTGGCGGGAAACAAATACGAACGCGCGGCGCGGGCCCATGCCAGCGGTTACTCTCAACAAACAGAACTTCACTGCCGCATGCGCAGCAAAATGCCCCTCTGCTATTAGTGCGTAGAAACTATCTCTCTTCCCCTTTCCTTGCCCGTTCGGCGCCAGTGATGGGCTAATTCCAACTATGACTTGGCGGAAGTAACTACGTTGTAACAAACTCCATGAGTAAGCAGGAAATATTCTACATTCTACACACACAACGCGTTCATCAGGCGGATGAGTCTGCTAAAAATGGCAAAAATATACAACCTAGCCAACGAAGTTTTGGCCAGTATTTTTAAGCATCTAAAAGGCTTGGACCTTGGGACGGTGGCGAAAACTTGTCAAAGGTTTCGGAGTGCGGCGTATATCGACCAAATATGGCAACATCTTTGTGAAAGAGGTAAACATCTGTCTCTTTTATGGGTTAAAGAGGAAAGTGGTTAGGTTTATACGAAGCTACGTTAACGGTTATAGTGAAAGGTCGGGCCAATCTCAAATCCAAAATTGTTACATTTAGTGGTTCTTTAATGGAACATTATTAAGGAAGAATTTTATTTAATAACATATTTTCAAGTATTCTGTGAAATACTCCTTTAGGTTTGTATTTATTTAAAATCTTTCTTGTGGGTAATTCTCACTATATACTTTAACACGCAGACTAAAAGGTTTTTATTATTATTATTATTAATTTCTTGCCTTTATTTACAAGAAACAGCTGTCACTCAAACCCGAAAATTTAAACATTTTCGCTAGAATCGTTTTCTAGAAGGCTTTCTATCCAGTAGTTTGAACGTAACTGTCCAATTTAACTCAATAGCAATACAAGATGAACAACAAATACAATGCTGTAGCATGAATAATAACAAAATGAGATGATATACTCTTTTGGAGTCCTTCCTAACATTCTGCTTTTAGAATGGTTTCAGCGTAATACGCTTTCTCTAGACGATTGCTTAAAATGAGCTCACCACCTGCAGTATCCATTGGCAAGAAACTTTCCATCAATAAAAAAATTTGCAAAAATTTGTATTCCAGAATGTCATCTTAAAAGTTCAAAGGAGAAACTATATTTTGCTTCATACAGCAATATCAAGCTGTTGTATTATTTGACTGTCTTTCTTTCAGTTTCATTTTTTGTTTTAGCTTTTAGTTTCTTTGGACTTGTACAAGATTATATGCATTAATTTAGTAAAGTGAGAACATTTCCACATTTTTCTGAGTTAAACCATTACACATGGTAGAAGTTTATAAGTCCTTTAATTAATTAGGCTGATTAAATTATGATACAATGAATTCAACTATTACATCATTGCCTCCATTCTAATTTCTGTATTTCCACTGTATATGATTCCCACCCTACAAATTGCTCATTAAGGGAACTGCATATCTAACTTACAAAAGTATTCTATTCATGAGAAAAGTACTGGTATTAACTCTTTAAACCCTGACAGTGACCAGCATCTAATTATAAAGGAACTGCATTTCTCAGTGAAAAAGGTATTCTATTCACGAGAAGAGTACTGCTATTAACCCTTTAAACCTTGACAGTGACCAGCATCTAATAGTACTGATGAATCATTCATCAAGATTATTAGAATAAAGGATATGATTGCCAACCCAGGAAGTTTTGATTGTTCAATGAATTTCCCTTCTCAGTACAAAGGGAAATATTTATAGAAAAGAATATGGAGAAAATAGATACTGATGTAAAGGTGATAAGGGTAAAACCGGTCATCATGCACGAAAAAAAAAATAAGAAAAACGTTAGTCATATTAACCCTTGATTAAAAGCCTTGATAATAATAATAATAACTTTATAATAATAACTTTATTCATGTGTCAATTATAAAAAATAGCAGTAATGAAACCACTAAGTAAGGACACAACAAAATAGTTTAAATAAAATAGTAAATAGCTAAAATATTGATATTCGAATAAATTACATGTAAGATATGTAGTCAGATTCTATCTCTAAAAACTAGCTCACTCTCTCTACTACTCTCTAATAAATAGCTAAATATTAATATAAGAATAATTTACATGTACAATAAGTAAATCTCTCTCTAAAACCCGCTCACTCTCTCTACCCACACACTCTCGATTGTAATTCATCCATTCGCAATATAAATAATTAATTAAATTATGTTAATAATTAAATGAGACTGAAAATTTGCGGTCAGCAGAATTAGGCCAGGGCACCTTGATTCCCAGACGATTTTCAAAAACATTCTAATAAATTATGATATATCTAGATTATGGAGTATCATCCCTTGATCAGTGGAATGTCTCATCATTTAGAGAACTTTACATCATTGGTAAGTAACCTGTATGATTTTGAATCTGTTCATTTATGGTAGAACATATTTCCATTGTTGCTTTACACTACCTTTCCAATTTGGAAGCTGTGACACACTACAGTGGAAACAAATAGATGACTCAGGTTGCTACTGGTCAACTGATTGTTAGCATCCCTTTTCTTGCCATTAAATTTTATTTTCCCTTTTTGAGGTGGGGGGTTTCTGCCGTACACTGTGCTTTTTCTTGATAGCAGTGCAGGGGTTTCAATAATGTTTTCAATATTAAACAGCTGTTGATGATGTAATAGGCATCTGTTAGTAAAAGTCCCCAACATGAGCCTGCTGGCAGTCTTGGCAGACCAAACAGACAGCGCTAAGAGGTCTTATAGATGTTGGTAGATCACTGGTAACAGGCTTTTATTGAAATCCTTGGCAATATTATTATATTTTAAACGATTTTTTCACCCTAGAAAATTGCCTTTTATCAGAGGTAAATATTGAAATAATACTCTTTTAAGATAGACAAACTCTAAGTACCAAGGTTAAGGGTGATGATTACCTATTCTCTGTCATTCACATGCTGCAAATGAGGAAGAAAAATCATTATTTTTCATGATTCCTACCTGTGACAAAGCACCTTATGTTGTTAATGAGGTATAAGATAACACTTACATTCATTACAGCTTGAAATTTTGTGATGTAATAATGAAAAATATTAATCTTCTTGCTTTGTAAATTGTCATTAATTTTTACAGTGTTGCACAAGTATGGCTGTTTACTTGGTGTTTGGAAGTGCAATATAAATCCATATGGTGGCTTGGTTCATATTAAGGTAAGGTTGTCTTTTTTCCCTTCCTTTTAAAAAGATGGATCACACAAATGGTAGGTTACTTTTGCTTAACACTGACCCAGTCTTGGCAAGCAAGCAAATGATTCGTCAAGTATGTAGATGTTGAAAAATGAAGACTAAATTGATGCTACGAGAAATGGGAATGACTGCAATCCTGCCATCAGTTAATGCGTTGTCAGTGGTCTACATGTATGTCGGCCAGATGATGTTGAGTAAGTTTGTTACTTCTCAAACATCTCAAACTGTAAATGGGATTTTCCTGAGATTGCCAAGCATCTCACATTAAACAAATAGTTATAACACAGTACCCTGCTGGAGATGCTATCAGATCCAAAGCTGATAAACAAAGCTATCAAAAAAGAAGCAACCAGTGGTCGTTCATTCATCAACTTCAGCTGGTTTAGAAACTGTTGCCCTTGGGAGGCAAAAGAACTCCTTTCAAAAGAGCTGCCCTACAGGCTCTTTAGGAGCCACCAAATATGAAAAAAGTCATTGTTAATGTGAATGATGTTACATCTGCAGACAGTACTTCCTCTGATGCTTTAAGGAAGTATTTCATACCCAAGTTTCTTTTTATAGTGTACGAATGGAATCAAGTACCGTAATTTCCGTCCATTTACCCACACGGCAGATTACCTGCATCGGTAAATTTTTGCAATAACGAGAAAAAAATTTCAATAGATTACCCGCACTGGCAGATAACCCGCGCCCAACAAAAAGAAAAGAAAAGAAAAGAAAATCGTCGTCTCCCACAAAGTCCCTTCATTGTTTTTGTTGACACGATATCATTTAGCGTACAATTAATAAACTTTCACATTTTTTGCCTTCGCTCTTTCACTGAAAATGATGCCACTTGTAAAAATCTGTTCTCAAAAAAAATTGATATCTCGAAATCTACCAAGTCGAAGAAATCGCTTGAAACGGAAAATACTCTTTTAACTTAAGGGAGTGCCAGCTAAGAAAATTCCACTGATGCGTCGAATATTCTGTCTCGTCATTAATTATGCGGCGCCGCGAAATGAACATGTCAGCATTATTTTCCGTGTGAATTGCACCGAAGCCAGCTTTTTCACAATTAAATTCTTTTATTTCCAAGTTTACTACCTGTGTAAGTGAGAAATGTAAACTAGGCCGGAAGCTTTAGAAGTTATCGTATTACTCGCACCTTTCTCAGTAAAACCCACACCAACAACTGTTTGTGGAAAAATTTTAAAAACAGATTACCCGCGGGTAATCGGCCGGAAATTACGGTAATGATCTGTGAGAGTAGGTACTTCAAATATTTTCAGTATTGTAGGGAATATTTACGGAAAGAAATATTGAACAAACTTAAGCAATTTTTTTTTTCGTTCGAGGCATAATACGTAGACATAGCTCACTATAATTCCCTCTTTCCTCAGTGAATATTGCTGTTTATTCTTTGTCATTATTGTTGGTATTTCTGGGCTATTTTTCAATATGGCATGTCTGATATGTCACAAATCTGTTGGGCTAGAAGAACACAGTATGCAAACTCATAGTGTGACAGCCCCTTTATAAAATTAATAATTGATGTAAAATGTGTTTAACACTGCATTATGCTTTACGGGTCGTATTGGAATGACTGACCACATGTCTCTGTTGACAGGTTTATCCAGGTAAGATTGAGGCCGTCGATTGTCGTGCACCGTTTGACCCTGATATAAAAAGGCCTCTAAGACCCAAGGTTATGTTTGATATAAAAGTACATGATGGAAAAGCTGCTGTCATGTGCCACAGTGATTGGGATAATGGGTCACACAGTGGAAACCTAATGGTAAGTTCAGAATTTCCTCCTCCTCCTCCCCCCACCCCCCCTCACTCATACCTCTGTACCTTACAGAAGTTCACTTTGTTAACTTATCATTTCATATATCATTTTGTGATTTGTACAGATAGAAGAAACTGGAGAGGGGAAAGTACCTCAGTTTCATTTGAAGTGCGACAGCTGGTCAAATCATGAAATACCATCAGACAGGGAAGAGGTTTGTTGAAGAAAAAACTTATTCATTCTTCCCTTCTTTCCTTCCCTTGTTCCTTTGTCCTTTTCTCCTTTGTCTCCAGCGTACCTTCCTTACCTTTTGTATATAACATAATTATATCCCTTTCGCGCGTGTAACGAGCATGAATACCAGAGCGCTTAATGAACTTATCGCGCAGGTATTGCGGAGCGAGGTCATTCAGACATTTGTTTGTTATTACTACGTCCTTATATAGTAGTAATTGCTTCACGGGTAAAGGAGTTACGTGGTCGAATTTCTTAGAGTTCGTAATTATCTGGCTGGCAAAGTTTTGGATTGACTGTAGCTTACTGACATTTCCAGCTGATGTGATTGACCACACGGTGGAACAATATAACATTTTACTAAAAACTAATGATGCTATTAGTAATTTTAAAGTTTCTTTGATAAAGCTCTTCTCAACACGAAAGCAGGACGAGACTACATGTGTGATGTGGTAATCGTAAGTTAAGTGGGGGTCCAGAGTGACTCCCAAGTCCTTGGCTGAAGTAGCTGGTTGTAGTATCCAACCAAGGAAGGACACTTGGGGAACTTCTGATATCCTTCTCATCAACTGAGAAGGATATCATGCCTAGTTCCGATAAAGAGGAGCTTGGTCTTGCTTGGATTTATCAGTAAGTTGTTTGCACAACATCATTGGGCCACGTTGCGCAGGTCTTGTTCAAGCATCTCAATCGCCGGTTGAGTCAATCTCAGCCAACGGGAATGACAGGAGTACTTGCGAGTCATCCACGTATAACTCCAGGCTGCAAGTATTAGGAGCCGAGGGCAGATCGTTGAGGTAGATGCAGAAAAGCAAAGGTGATTACGCCTTGTGGGACTCCGTGTGTTATTGGCAGGGGTTCCGAAAGAGTGGAATCAATTCGGACAGATTGAGAGCGCCCCTGATAGATAGTTCTTGAACCAATTTACGGTTGAAGGTGATTCTCCTACTCTGGAGAGCTTTTGGTGTTGAATGCTGTCAAAAGCTTTTGAGAGGTCTGATAGGACGAGAGCGGAGAGCTTCTTCCTATCCATAGCCATTCTAAGATGCGGTCTGTGAGGTAGATGTTCAGAGTCTCAGCGGAGTGGGCCTTTTTGTGTCCACTCTGGTGGACTGTTAACCTGTTGTAGTTAAGGAGGTAAGTAGTGATTTGACTAAGAACGATTTTCTCGCAAACCTTAGACGCGACGGTTAACAGTGATAGTGGTCTGTTATTGGCGGCCTCTTCATAATCTCCGTCTTTAAGAATAGGTATCACCTCCGCTTCTTTCCACTTATTTGGAAATATAATAGAAAGAATGGAGCAATTTATGATCTCAGTCAGAGTGCCTAAGATGACGGGTAGACAGTCCTTGATTGTGTGCGCACTCACTTTATCTGGACCAGGCGCTTTGTTAAGTGGCAGAGACTTGGCTTTCTTCCTCACATGTCACGGTCCTGAGATTAAAAGGTTCGTTGATGGGAGGGAGGTCGACACTGATCTCCTCGGGGATCGCTATACTGCTTTTCTTGGCTAGGTGCAAAGAGATCTCTGCGGCATTTCTACCGATAGCTGCAAAAAACTGGCTGAATTAATTTGTTACGGATTTCATATCTTTTGAATAAATTTGCCTTTCGTTGATTTTGAAAGGGAGAGCGCGATTATCATCCAGAGAGAACCAGGATTTTTCTGAAGCAATCTCACTTCTTCGAATGTGTGGTTTCTCTCAGCTACAAGAAGGGTTTTCTTAACCAAGTTGCGCGATTCTTTAAAATTAGCTCAGTCAACGGCGTTCCGTGTTTGATGAAATCGTGTGAGGAAGCCAACTCTAGATTTCATGAGATCCTTGATTTCCTGGTGGGCAAAACGACAGGGTCTGCTACGAATCTTAATAGATTTCATGGGAGCATGGATGTCTAGAGCGGGCTGAAGAGTATCATTAAATGTATTGAGCGTGGTGCCCACGTAGCTAGCATCAAAAATTGTTAGAAGGCCATCGGCCTGGTCGGCTAGGTCTACCATAAAGAGGCTCCCCCACCCCTTTTATGAAGGCGGTTCAATGTGAATAACTTGTATCCCTCCATTTGGAACTCGAGGGTTGGGACGGTAGTTTTTAGCCAAGTTTCAGAGAATGTGATGATATCAGTTTTCCTTTCTGAAGCAAGAAGCCGTAGCTCTTACAAGTGAGCGCGATTTTTGAGCGATCTTATTTTCAGGTGGGCGATTTCAAGCCCGGCGTTACTAGAATTTGACGCTCCATTTGGCTGACTTGGCTTGTTGTTGTCAATTCGCTTCACTGAGCACAGATTATGCAGGTTTACTCCTCTAGCACTCGTCTTTGGACAAGTAATATTTCGGTTTCCTGACCGAGTGGCGATGTTATGCGTGCGATTTCGAACAACGTGACCAGATCGACCTCTTCGGGTTCTCAATATATCCATACTCTTTATCTTTCGGAAGAGGTCGTCTGAGATAGGACGTCTTGACGTCAAGTGTGACAATTCAGATCTTGAATATTTAATTAGATTGAGAGAGCGACTGTGCAGATTCTGCAAGCGATTATTCGGGTAGCGTCTAGCAGCGTTTCCTGCTCTTTTCGGACCTGGGTTTCTTGGGATATCTAAGTGTATCGTGAGATCTGTCTTAACTAGACAGCTTGGAAGAACCAGAACAGTTAGTCCATACTTACTGTGCTTTGTTATCGCTTTTGAAAGTCTGAAGACTGAACTCACTTGTACACGCTTAAGGACCGTCCTGGAGTCGCTTATGACTCTACCTATGACTCCCCCAAAGTTTGCATGACTGCCCAACACTCTATCAATCCCACTTGGGCTAAAGATTAAGATATGTAAACTTGGAAAAGTCTTTTATTCCTTAGATATAAATTTCTTGATAAAATGTGATAATTTTAATAATTCTTGTAATCTAAAAAAAATGGTTATTTATGTTATTTTCAGGGTATGGGTTTTTTAAGAAAGTGGCTGAAAGAGGAATACAATAACGAAGAACTGCTGTTTTTCCAGCCTCACATGGTGCAACTAGTTCTTATGAAATATGTGACTATGCACTCTTTACACAAGTAAGCAGTACGCCGTATTTATTTATCGATTAGTCATAGAAAATATGATAAGTTATAGCAGAGTTTTTTACTATTTGGCTGGATATAAAGGCTATTTTGTAGCTCTTTGATCTGATGTGGCGTTTTACATATTGGTTGCACTGAAAAGGTTAACTTCAGTCCTCAAAGGAATGAATGAATGTTGACGGTGAGTGGTGCATGGTTGGCACTCTCGACTTTTCTTCTTAAATCTAGTTCTGAACATTTTATCTAAGTATGTTAGACATGGCTCCATGACATCAACTTCCAGTCATCTATACGATTTTTGGGGCAAAAACAGGGAATCTAACTGAAGGAATTGTTGGGTCAGGGGTTGATAACAAAGGAAGCATTTCCGTCACCAAAGGACTCCCTCCCCCCACTTAACCCCACTCCCTTCCGAACTAATTCTCAGTATATTTATTTCTATGGGTTAATCTCCCTCGACACAGTCCCTACAGCCCTCTTTTTGATTCGTTAAACAAGAATTGCGGGTCTCTTTATTACAAACGTAGGTATGAAAACATAAGTATAATGGCGTTTCTTTCTTTTCAACCGTTATAGAAAGCCACTTACATTTGAAGCTCTGGACTTCCAACAATGTAACAGAGACAACCCTTTCTTGACTCCCGGTGTTTTCAAGGTACTCAAACATATTAACTGGCTAAGTGTTCTTTTATACGCGGTTTGATTCGTCGAAAGTTAAATCTATTGGAAGTTAACGCTTCGGCACCTTGTGGACGCAAACGCGGTGGATTTTTGTGTGCTGATACTTCAGGGTAGAGCTGATATGTGGGAAGGGAATGAAAAAAACATAAAAAAGAAATGATATGTATCTACTACCTTTGAATTTTTTCCTAGATAGAGGAATGAGAGGGGGTGCCTTGTAACTTGAAGTTTCGGACGAAGGAATTACTTCACAATCAAATGAACAAAGCAAATGAACAAAGCAAAAAGAACGTTTGCAGTAACTATGTTGATTCAGAGTCTGTTGCAATAGGCATGCGTATTACCGTTGAACGCTGGCCGCACTGATTGGCTGCTTAAAGCCGATCAAAGGAGTCCATAGTGAACACGGCCAATCAGAACAAGGGTAAAAATAACGATGAGTCAGAAAGTAAACAAACTAATTTAGGCGCGGGAAAGCGCGTGTTACCAAGACGCCATAGGTTCAAGTTTTGTATCTGTAGAGCTGAGAAGGTGGCGCCAGCTTTCTGGATTAATTACAGAGCATAGCCAAGCAGTTCTAGTGGAATCCCGAATTAATTTCGATATTCAATTAAAAACTTCTCTGTAGAAACTACTGATGACGACTTGCGTTCATTTGTTACAGGGTACTTACAGCAGTCATGGGGTGGAAATGGTCATGATTACAATCGAGGATCAAAGAATAGTAGCGACAAAGTTAACGGTACGTGAACGAGTTTTAGACAATCATGCACTAAGTCGCGTTTCCGCCTTTTTTGTTGGCATACTCTTTAACTAAGCCATGGAAGAGTCTTACTGTATTACCATGTTAAACACGCGTTAGCAAACACTCTGTCAGATAATTAGGACTCCATGGTCAAACTTAAGAAATGGCTCAGTGACTCGCCACTTTCATAATGACGCCATTTACCACGGAGGTGAGTAAATGAAACTACTGGGCGTCAAGGGTTTTGTCCAACAAATTAAAACAACAGTGATCGAATGAAAAATTGCACAAATGCTTCTGTTCGTGTGGAGTCTGAAAGTGTGTTGAGGTGAGGTCGAATTGCCCAAGAATGGAGGAGATGAAAGCGGAACTTGGGAGATTTGGATCACACGACATGATGGACATGATGGACATGATGTGGCATTGTTCCTTCAGTAAGAAAAAGTGTTGGGATCATTTTGACAGAAAATTTCAGGAAGATGCTAACCGTGTCCTTACTTGCCCTTACATAGGGAGACGTTAATGTCCCAACAGGGGGTAGAACTGTGGTAACCCTTTTCTTATTTACCTACCCACAGGGGGACCCTAATGTCCCAGCAGGGCAGGTGACATTTGATGTTGACCTCAGTAGGCCTGTGACTGATGACGCTCAACCATCAGCAGCAGCAGGAAGTGGCCAGGCACAGGAGTTCCAGATACCGCCAGCTTATGAAGCGCGATACACAGACTACCCGCACACTTACCTTGCAAGGTCAGTTTTCATTTGTCACATCAACTTGCCTTTTCAGTTGGTATAAATTCCATTATTTCTCAGTCCAACTGACTGCACCTTGCAAATTATCCTTTACGATTTACACGATCAAACGCCGCCCTCGATTTAAAGCCCTAGATAGAAGCAAAATTACCAATAAACACCGCAACCAATTTGAAGAAGGCAGTGTTTATTCAGGATTATCAAGGACGGTTCAACTCAGTATATTTCCTCATACTTGGAGTTTCTTTTTTTAAAAAGCAAGACATTGGAACTTAAAACAAGTTTTTCATCATTTGATGTCTACAAATGATTTGCCAAAATTTCTTGTTGTCGAGAAAACGCCGCGTGTGAATAAAAGCTGCTATGGTCTCCTTCCGTTCCGTGGACGAAGAAATGCTTTATTTCCGTTTCCACCTGTTTTCTTCTTTTTCGCTGTGAAAACCTCGATGATGAAGACGACCTTATGTCTAAATTTTGTATCCGCTTTACATACGTCAGATTTTGCATCATGCTATCAAATGGCGTACAGACATAACAGTGTTCCTCCCATGCAGTCAAAAGGCAGCTGCGACAATACTTCTAAGTACATGAAAATCATGTGTGGCTTTTAGTTTTTTATTTATTAATTTTTTTTACACGTAGCTGGTAGTTGAAGGCTACATATCCGCATAGTCGGTGCCTTATGTGCAATTTTTATCCCGAAGCCTTTCTAGGATGGATAGCTTAAAGCCACTTGTATGCATCCTGTCTTAAACTGTCTTCCAGTTATTACGATAACCCGTTTAACCTTTTGGCTGTAGATATCATGGCAAAGGACAGATTGCCAGTCATGGGTTTGTATCTCCTCAGTGGACCCCAGGCCACTTTGTGCTGTTTAATGACGACATGTTTGGTTTTCTTTGGATTGAACTGATGGCTTTTAGTGTGTACAGCCGAACAACCGAGCCTTTCTTGAGATAAAAGGACTGGAAAACGACATTATCCTTGCAAAACCGTTCATCCAGCTTCTTCCCGTTTGTTTTATATAACTCCCTTGATATCCAACCAGGAAATCTCTGAATCGAGGCTACCGCTGTCTGATTCGTGATCATTAGGGTTTGTATTTTTCCTTTGCAGTTTTATGATTCATTTTTCGTATTTAATAGAGTTAAGTGCACTACATTTTCAGAGGATTAAGACAGCCTCAGTTTTCGCGCCTTTGATTGTAAGGGTAGCGTGAATCGTTTATTATTTCTTGACTATTTACAGCTAAATAACAATGAAAGTCATGCAGAACAGAGTACAAAATAAGACGAGGAATAGTGTTTTGCATAAGATCGGCTTTCTCTGACGATAATGTTAATATGTAAAAATGAAACAAACGCATTCAAGTTCTATAATTTACGATAGCGATAGAGGAGAAGTAAAATATAGCATGTGAAGTTCTGCACTGTAAAACCGTGCAGTTAAGTAGAAGTGTTAAAGGCATTCCGATCTTGTCTTGATAGTGTCAATACAAGATTAGAGGCAATTCAAGGAACCTATCAAACAAAGGCACATTGTGGTAGCTTCTATTGAATCCGAATTCGTACCTTATTCACATTCGTACATTTTGAGTAATCTTTCTGTTCTTGAACAAACAAATGGACTGAAAATAATACCTTGAAATGGAAGAATCAACCGTAGGGAATGAGTCAATTTATGACGAAAACCTAAGTTATGTACTGTCATTCTCCACAAAAGCATTCCCCAGCAGCCTGTGACAGGGAATAAATGAGACCTGGACATAAGTCGTAGTATTTCAGACAGTAAAGCGTTTTGACTTTTGGGCTAGAATTGGAAACAACACTTAAAATTTTATTTATGCGCAATTCATAGTTATTTTCCCTGATTTTTATTTTTCTATTTGGTGATTGATCCAGTCAGCCACCAATTTTGACCATTTAAACTTCGTGCTAGCTTTTTGTTAGCAACAAATCTCCTGAGGTGTTTGTAATCAAATAACCAGAATGTAGTAAAATATGATACGAGTGGATGTTACTTTTCAATTGTATATGTCTCGAACGAAAGTAGTTACATATTAGTAGTGTGCGGTTCGTTTGAAGTATGTTCCGCGCACGAGCCCACTGCATTAACTCTTTCTGCCGAGCTCATCTGACTTTCCATTTTGAAAAAGCTTCGATCAAACACCGTGGCAAGCAATCGGCTTTAGCAGCTTTGATAATGAGGTCTAATACTAACAAACCAACTTTTACTTAAAACAAAGTAGTAATAATAAAAACGGCCTCGTTGAACTGTTGCAATGTTTTTCACTACGCATACATCCCTGGGAACACACAACATAGCGGTCTATTGAAGGCGAGTAAAGTGCGATTAGTTACGTGTAAGCAAGAGGCGACTTTTGGTACAATTCTCAGTATAAAAGCTTTTTATTTTATCTTGTTAAAATTACAATGCACTTTTCGGATAAAAAAAAGCCTGTTTCCTGCTTCAAATGTTTTGCTCTTTGCATGCAATTATTTTTGAATACTAACGACGTCTGAAGAGTGGCACCCGAAGAGAAGGATCTCCGTTGTAGCTGGGGCACATGTTGCACCAGCTCTTCGATGGAACGTCGTAATGTTTATTGCCACCGACCCTGACTGCTCCATAGTATATCCCTGCATACTTCAAGCAGTGCTTGAGAAAGAAAAACCTTTTTAGACATAGCTTGGACATATCCCAAAAGAAAGCGTTGTCACACTGTAACCGAGTCCAGCCATAGTGTTGACCCTGTGAAGAACACACAGACAATGAGATACCGTCTTCATTCTTTGAAAAGAAAATTGAAATGTAAACTGTTGTTTGAAAGTTACGTGCTTTAGATTGAAAGTTACAGTTATGCGAATGTTTTGTCAAATAGTGAAGCCTACACTTGCGAGGCTATTGACAGCTAGAATATATCTTTGCATGGCGATCTATCATGATCACTAGTACTACCAGTAGCTACTCGCTATCTATTTGATAAATAAGTTCCATGTTGCTCATCAGATAATTATAAAACAGTACATCTGAAATGTCATGAAATTACTTATCGTTAAGACAAATGATGGTACCTTTTTGGTGTGTTTTCAAAAGCAACATCACCTTTCAAATATCTTGGGTCAATTACAGACCAGCTCTCCAAAACCTTCCGTGTAAGGAAATATCTAGGTTTCACGCTCCATGAAGTAAGTTTTGAATTTTGGTTTGAAACTAAATCAGCAGTAATTCTACACTGCCTTGGATTTTTGTGCTATTTTATCGAAATGTTTTGAAGCTAAGCCGGAGGATAGACTTACACAAGCGTAACAGATATCATGTTTGTTGCAAGCTTTGTTGAAATGTCTTTTGTAAGGAAACGGCAGGTTTCTAGGGATGCTGCAGCCATTCGTTACACAATACCCTTTCACCTCTAGATTCAAGGACGAGAATAACAGCAAGCCTAAGACAATGAGGTTTGTCGTTGTCATGTCGAAATTCTGTGAAACAAATGAACCAGTTAGCACCTAGAACGAGTAATTCACAAACAGCACGTCTCACTTTCTCTTCTCTTGTAATGCGAAACGTATTGCAACCCCTAACCTGACAATGTTTCAAACTATTTCAGAAGGTAAATGATTCTCCTACCCCCCTCCCCCAAAAAAGAGAAACCATCTATCTGTAACCCAAAGACTCTGAAATCTCAAATCCATTTTACGATTAAATGTTCTCCTCTGAAACCGTGACGATCTCGAGAAAAACTGACTAAAGACAACAGCGGTAGTTCAACTGTCCAATATACCAGTTGCTTATTTATACGTATAGAGATCGAGTCGAGCTTTTAAAGAAAAGTGATATGATATGTATTCAACGCTATGGCCAGCTAAAAGCAAAATGTTCACATATCATTTTTAAACTGATTTCTTTACTTACCCTTCTTCAAAGATCTGTTGTCCACTTAAATAGCAGCAAGTGGTGTGGTGCGAATCCTCTGTGAGTTCTAATATATTCTGTTAAGTCCGGAGTTTTCACAGATAATTTATATTGTAGCTTTACAACGATCGAGGAAGCTCAGGGCATCAAGTTGTCCATTTCCTTGCTCGCTTAAAGCTTCTACGCATGATCCTCAGAGCTGCATCAGCTCGAGAGGATTTCCGTCTATGCCCGAGCATTTTTGTTGAGTAAGTGAGGGCCGTAATGTTTTTCACTCTGCTAGTGCTTTAGTAGGCTTGGCGTGTTCCGGATTCAGCGAGAACTAAAGAACGCGTTGTAAATGGTAATTAGAAGATATTAGAGAAGGTTTTTTTTAATCGTTATGCAACGATAAAAATTAACTATGGTCCAAGAAATCAGAAGTGGCAATCATTACATCGAAGATCATGTACCATCTACTCAATTAAGCGTTCCCGAAGTCACCTCCTGAATCTCACCTTACACAAACATCATTTGACGCGCTCACCCTATAACGCGCACGTGACATTCTTTCCACAGATATTTTGCTCCCTCGCCTTTCACAACCAACAAACTTACTCTGTGTAAAGTTTAATGCAGAGAATATTGCGTGACGATTTCCCTTTTTTGAGCGTTTAATCGTACGGCAGTTGGTTAGCGTTTTGTTGTACTGATTTAGGGAAGTTACGCGAAAAAAAAAACATTGCGTCAGTAAAATCGGACCTTTACATTTGACTGTTTTTTCTGTCAAGTTTTAGAACCCACCTTCCTCCCGCTTCCTTTCTGTCTTAGTCTGATCTGTTCTGTTTACTTCCTTTGTAAGTAACGCTCGAAGCAAGCATCATTTGTTACACTTGACATAGCATGTACGTGATTGAATTTTTTCCTCTCTCTTGCTTGCTCCGTAAGCGCTTAACGGGCGATAAATGACTGTAAATAGGTTTCCATAGTGTAAATGCGCTATTTTTTCCCTAAGAAAATATGTACAGTTTTCCGCAGCTCGCCGAGGTTTTATTGGATACCGCTGTACCTAGCGCATAATACTAGAGATGGGGAAGATAAATGACACACACTTACTAATGCAGTTTCCTTCATATTTATTTTCTGAAAATGCCCCGCGGAAAACGCAGGTGACCCTAATTTTAAACTTTTTTTGGATGAGTAGCCACCTTCGTCGCTCGATATTTACTTCTCGTTCGTACACCTTCAAAATCTCACGCTACGCCCCTGGTTTGAAAGAAGATTTAAACCTCTCGAAGAAATCTGAATAATTATACAGTGTGATAACTAGCCGAACAATAATATACAATAATGCTCCATAGTACGGGGAGGCTGTGATTTCATGCATCTGCGCTGCTTGTGATGTGATATTTCCCTGATCCTACTGAAAATTAGGACCTAGCGACAAATGAAGATCAAGGGAGAGTAAGGAAAATAATCAGTAGAGCAATTTTGAAATTCAACGTTTATGGAATTACATGGTGTAAAAACGATAAAGACGAGTACGAAAGGGAAAAACATGGGCCACCAAGTGTGACATTTACTTCCTTAATCACGCTAGAAACAAAGATGTGTTACATGTGAAATCTTTCAGGATGTCTCTCACTCTTGCGACTGCTCCGCAAACGCTTCACGGAAGAGAAAAGACTTTGCAAGGTGAAGCTAGTGCTACGTCTAATTTCCTTTAATACGCTTCTAGTTTCAAAGTATGGCAGTGTAGCTCTGCAGTACAGTAAACGTCATGCTTAACCTCTCTCATATATCAAGAACCCTAGGTCAACTTCGAAGGCAACGGCAATGAGGATGTGGCAAAACAAAAGATCGTATGTGCAGCACAATAGCTGAGAACGGGCGTTTTAAACTTCGGACATTTCTTGGCAGTCTTCTACAAAACAACAACATTATATCAGCAAGACTTGCGTGGTCTGAGAGCGGTAACCCTGATGCAAATAATTCAAGTTTCTGTTTGGAACTCATCGCTGTTTACAAACATTATGCTGAAGTTGACGTTTACAGCTATACAGCTCAATGCGCATGTTTAAAAAGATACGTTTTTAAAAGTCTTTTAAAACTGTTAATTGAAGAACTAGGTCTTTGTCCGAGTGGGATTGAGCTCCATAGTCTTGGCGCCGCCACAGCAAACGTTCTCTCTCTATGAGTCTTAAGTCTCGCTTTCGGAGTTGTCAGAATATGTTGAGAAGACGACCTCAGTGTCCGTCTAGAGGTGCGATAATTCAGTAAGTCACCGATGTAGAAAGGCACTGCTCTATTAAGAGCGTTGTAGAGCACTAAAAGAATTTTCTTAACTATATGGTAACGGATAGGATGCTAGTGGTGCTTTTTTAGGATAGAGGTCATACGATCAAATTTTCTAGTAGGTGTAACAATTCGATCGAGCTGCTGTCTTTTGAACGGATTGTAATCATGAAAGTAACTGCTGAGGTAGACCATATAGCAGTGAGTTACAGTTATCTAATTTCGAAGTAATAAAGGCATGAGCAACAATGGGAGGACTTGCAAATTGATTTTATGTGTTCCTCAAGGTTAAAACAATCGTCAAATGACGCCAAGATTACGTGCAGAGGATGATGGTTCAACGGTCACGTTGCCAATTTGATAATTTTGCTTCAAACTAGTTTCAATAGACTAAATGCCCTGCAGGCAGAAATTTTCACACAATTTCCACTAAAAGGGTTTGCTCCAAACTTCCTAAGAATATCAGGTGTTTGCCTAGAAATGTCAAGCGATTCCAAAATTTTTATTTTTATTGGATAAATTCTCCGAGCTTGTGCATTGAATATAAGTCGCTTGGTTGTCGCCAGTAAGGAATTCTACGCTTCTTGTCAGACGGCTTGGCACAGTCTAAAAGTGGTGGTTTATTTAATGATCTAGCACTCACACTTTGATATGTGACACTGTTTTCCAATTTTTAAAGCTTAATTTTTGAAATAGCAAACTGTGCAACTTTGGCAGCCTAAGCTGGTTATTATTTCTATGGTGTTATACATTCATCATAGTTCAGCCCCAGGATACTCGTAATCCACCTGGTTTAGTATGCGAGTGTTCACTTTATTTTATATACACGCGTGCTTGAACAACCCTGGCCTATGAAAATGGCGGCGACAGTCATCAAATTTTCAGCACATTTGAAGACCAACTTTGGAGAGGTTGAATATTCTTTAAAATCTCAAAAGAAGAATTATATCACACTTCCTGGGGCATACTTCTTCTTAAAGGTGCAATCGTACATTGTTACATGAGGAAATTATTGGATATTTAGATATTTTATATATGCAGCATCTTGGATCGAGTTTAGTTTTTTACGGCTGAGTACATGTATGCGTGAATGTATGTGTGTATATATATATATATGTGTGTATATATATATGTGTGTGTATATATATATATGTGTGTATATATATATGTGTGTATATATATATATATATATATATATATATATATATGTATGTATGTATGTATGTATGTATGTATGTATGTATGTATGTATGTGCTTACGTACGTACTTGTGCACGTATGTATGTGTGTATACTGAACTGACCTCTCCACCAATGACGCTTTTCTGGGCTAAATTGGAAACAACCACATCATGAGATAAGATAAACATATTTAAAAATCCTAACTGACAGGAGGCAGATCAGTTGGATACATACAAAGTGCAGAACAGGAGTTGAACTGTGACTTTGAGGGAACCGAGAACAAATCCAGTAAGTAGAAAGGTCAGTGGAGGGCTGGAACCCGGGAACATCAGATTACAAGCTCTCACCACTCGGCCACACTGCCTCCACATTTGAATCGTCCTCATGAATCGTTTCCAGTCGAAAATCGCTATTTTGTTTGCGCGAGGCGGCAGACTAAAGAATGATCCCTAGAGAACGCAGGACCATTAGGCAACAAGTCCGAAACAGAATACCGACCTAGTAAATGTTGTTTTATGATCGACCTATTTCTAATACAAGGGATCAATTGACGAAGAATTAAGTGGACGGAACAGCCACCCAGTCTTTGGGGTTATAGCTGAACTGTGTAGGGTGCAGGGTCTTTTCTGTTTAAAAGATCAAATTTCATTCACCCATAGTTTTATTCTTTATTTCCCACACTTTGAATGTATTTTCTTTGCTATTCTCTATCATACATCAACACATCTGTCGTTTCTCATTCAATTGGACATTCTCACATATTCAGCGCCCTATTAGGATCTCCGAGATTTTTGGCGCATGCTGCCTGACACCACGAAGGCGGATTTTTCTCCCAATACAGGTGACCAAAGGATCTAACAGCCGTGTAGTAAGCATCCGCACCCAGTTTCTTGCATCTTTTCTTTTTGTTCAGCAGATCCCCGAGACTGAACCAGCGTTTTCCATTTTTTTCGCACAGTGTGTACATGTCGCTTTTAAAGGCCTTGTCACATTGCCTCTGATCCCATCCGTAGAGCTCTCCCTGGAAAGGTTGACCACACACATATACCATTACAACAATTCGAGCAGAATTCTCGAAATTTAGCAGAACGAAGGTTAATATCAGTTGTAGTTTTATTAGTAGTAAAATTCTTAGGTAATGCTCCAACATCTTAAAATGGGCAGGGGAAGACTGGGGGCAGGTACGTTCAGTTTGGAACCTTGTTTTTATGATTCGTAACCCACAAATATTGGTTGTAATATTATAAACTGACTATATAATTGTAAAAAAGAGAGAGCGTAGCGTGGCGTGAAGACTTACGCAGTAATAGCAAACATCGTGTTTGTTGCAAGCCGGAGTGAAGGTTTTTTTGTAGGGAGCCGGTAAGCCAAGCGGGACACTGCATCCATTGGAATTGATTTTACAATCTGACCTTGAGTTCACTTCCCAACTCATCGACAACAGCAGCAACCATATGAATGTGGGAACAGACAAGTTACCCATGATAATCCTGTGAAGAGATGATAGACTAATTCACATTTAAGGGCATAAGGTAATCCGGGATTCCACTGGTTTTTCCTTGATTAAGTTCTGTGATTAGTTTAAAAAACTCGCGTCATCTTAACCAATTGGATGCAGAACGCGACGTGATCACTCGTGATTTCCGCGCTTTAGAAAGATTTGCTTGATTTTTTTTGAGTGATCATCGGTTCTTTAGCAAATTTGCTGCTGTCATGATTGGCTATTGCCGCTATTTTGCCTCTGGTTTTACGTCACTCAGTTAAAATGCGCTCCGACAACTCATTCCTAATTTTCTTGATGGAAACTTTGAAAACCCACAGATGAGGATGGATGTCGTGCATAAGTTTTCGTTACGCAACTCAAAATAATTCTGCTTTAACTTGAACGTATTTGTTTTTAGAAGATTGTTGTTTACGGCCGGATGGAACTACGATCACTAAGGAAGCTAGTAAGCTCGTATATTGCACCCATTGTGTTTAATCGTCTTGTATCCTGAGAAAACGTGGTAATAGGGGAGGTTATCGACGCTCTGGATCTGGTTTCCAATCTATTCGGTCGTTAGGAAATCTTGACGGTCAACGAGAATCAATTGCTTATTCGCGTAGTCGCCATGTTAATCATGCTAATTTGATTCAAATTAACACCACATCACATGCAGTTTAACCATCCATATCGTTTTAAATATGCTAATTCTGCTAACCTGATCACTGTACCATAAAAACCATGTTTATCACCGCCTCTGTGTTCTACTTCAAAGAATCTACATTTTTGTTTACTTAACACTAGATCAATTAGAAAGAAAGCCATGGCAGTGAAAGACTTTGATACATAGAGTGATACATATACTGATACTATCACTCTTGAATTAATGGATTTTCACCTACGCATGGTGCGCTATGTAAAAATTCTGCTCGTCTATCGACCTCCTGGCTTGTCAACATCGTTGTTGTTAGAGGAATTTTCTAAGCTTTTGGAACATATTACTGCCGATCTACGACATAAGCGATTGTTAATTGTTGGTGACTTTAATATCCATGTCGACAATTCCAATGATGCTACCGCTAGACAATTTCTGGACTTGCTGGACTCCTTTGATCTCGTGCAGCATGTCAGAGAGAAAATACATGCTAACGGAGGTAAAGTTTCCGCATAGCCCCATACTATTGTAAAACAAATCTGTTTTCCCAATGGAAATGTATTGTTTTTGTCATTGTTTTCTCTATTCAAGAACTGAATGCATACTGTGGTATGGGGCTGTGCGGAAATTTTACCCTGTCATCTCTGATCACTTAGCTGTTCATTCAACTCTACACCTAGAAAAGCCCAGATTTGTAAAGAGGGTTGTCTCTTCTCGAAATCTACGCCTTATTGATATGAATTCTTTCCGAAGTGATATTGAAAGTTCTGTTCTTCTTCAACATCAAGATGATCTCCATGTAGTTGTGAATAATTATGATAAAGTCTTACGATCACTACTGGACAAGCATGCTCCTGTGAAAGAACGAGTTGTCACTGTCCGTCCATCTGAGCCCTGGTACACAGTTGAAGTCACTGCTGAGAAGCGGAAACGAAGACAACTTGAACGTAAATGGCGAGCATCAAGACTCCCTGCTGACCGCGTACGTTATGTACACCAATGTAACGTTGTGATCAATCTGATTAAGTCTCTTAAGTTGGAGTACTATTCGTCTATTATTAAAGAAAACTCTGGTAATCAAAAAGTTTTGTTCAAAACTGTTCAAAAGCTACTTCAAAAGCCAACGGTTAACTACTATCAATCCTCCAAAAACGACCGTGTGCTTGCTGATGAATTTGCTACCTTTTTCACTACTAAGATTGATACACTACATAATGATCTCCTTGTTAAAAAGGAAGCTCTTATTTACTCTGCTGATTGTGTCACTGATGAGGTACTCACAATGTCTTCGCTTAAATTTTCAACTTTTACTGAGATGAAGCTTGACATCAGGGAACTAACTGCAACACTGTTCTCGAAGTCCTGTGTCTTGGATCCATTACCATCTATTACCAAACAATGTATAGATCCATTGCTGCCTACTATTGTTAACATCATCAACCTCTCTCTTCGTGATGGCTGCAGGCCTACGTGTTTGAAATCTGCAGTATTGTTACCCCTGCTCAAGAAACCTAACGCAGACTTTTCACAATTCAAGAACTTTAGACCTATCTCCAATTTGAAAGCGCAATCAAAGATTATCGAGAAAAGTGTTGCTCTCCAGTTAACCAACTATCTGATGAACAATAACCTACTTGAAAACTTTTAGTCAGCCTATAAAGTTCATCATTCTACTGAAACTGTCATGGTGAAGGTGCAAGATGATATTCTGCATGCAACTGACAGAAACGAAGCCGTTGTACTACTCATGTTAGATTTATCTGCTGCATTTGACACTGTCTCATGAAATACTACTGGATAGGCTGTCTCAATGTTATGGTATAACAGGGTCTGTACTGAAATGGTTTGCATCCTGCCTATCATCTCGTACACAATTTGTTCAAATTGAATGCTCAAGATCTTCGTTACGTGAACTTAATTGTGGTGTACCGCAGGGGTTTGTCCTTGGGTCTCTGTTATATGTTCTGTACACTTCACCAGTGGCTGATATCATAAAGAGACACAATCTTATGTACCATCTCTATGCTGATGACACTCAGCTTTATGTGTCATTTAAATTAGGAAGTGATGATCTTCTCTTCTCAGTAAAATGTAGAATTGGAATATGTGTTCAGGAAATCAACAATTGGATGATTCTTAATGGTCTTAAGCTAAATGAGAAAAAAACCGAGCTGCTTCTACTCAATTCACGTTATCGACCCAGTCCCTCATTGGAATTCGTTCGTGTTGGGGGTGAAACTATTCAACCATCCTCTTCTGTTCGCAATCTTGGAGTGATACTCGATCCCAGTGCTGATATGGAAGACCACATTAAAAAGATCTGCAAAACATGTCATTTCCATCTAACTAATATTAGTAAGATCAGAACATATTTGGATCGTGAATCTGCTGAAGCAATTATTCATGCTTTTGTGACCACTAACTTGGACTATTGTAATGCGATTCTACATGGATTACCTAAAGCTCTCTTAAACCGCCTACAGCTAGTTCAGAATAGGGCAGCGCGCATTGTAACATTCACAAAGAAGTATGAACATATAACTCCCATCTTAATAGATTTACATTGGTTGCCTGTTGAATACCGTATTACTTATAAAATCTTATTGTTAGTATATAAGACTATCAATGGACTTTCACCAAGTTATATATCCAATTTGCTCAGCTTTTGTACCAGTTCCTACTCTTTGCGTTCTTGTTCGAATAAGTTACTTCAAGTCCCGAGATCTAAGCTTAAGTCTAATGATGATCGAAGATTTTCTATTGCAGGACCTAAATTATGGAACAGCATACCCGCTTCTTTAAGAAATGCCGATTCATTGAATTCTTTCAAAAAACACTTAAAGACATATTTAATTCGCCAAGCCTTTTTTGATTTGTAAATATATCTCTATTTAATTTCCATGCTTATATATGTAGTTGTTAGATTTTTTTTAGTGTTTTTTAATACATTTTGTGATATTGTTAAGCGCCTAGAGCTATTAGTGATATAGACGCTATATAAATAAAGTTATTATTTTTATTATTATTAAAATTATTACGTGAATGTGCTCTCTTTTTGAAGGAAGATTATGTGAATGAAAATAGGCAAAATTTCCAAAGCGTGACGATTATATTATCATGGCGAAAATTTTTTGCAAGTCCATGAAAAAAGGATAACACTAAATCGCACGAAACTTTACCTTTCTTTCTCCGAATTGTTTCTTCTTTTCTAACAAGACTAGTGCTGGAGACTGACACATGTGATCGGCAATTTGGACACAGAATACAAAAGATATGGAAAATTTTTGGTGGGAAAAAATTAAAAAAATCGTATATTTAGCTTAAACAAGAAGAATATTGCCGCATATAAAAAAAGATACTTGAGGATTAGCATTCATTTACCTACCAAGGTTTTTCTCCCACGTTTTCAGAATTTCTGATCCTGGTAAAGTTAAACCTCAGAAGAGTTGTAGATAAATGACGAAGAGGGTCTTTTTATTTCCTAAGTAGCCCCTTATCTTTCGCGAATGGCTAATGGATCTAAGTTTGGCGTGTGAATTTAGACGGGTGTACTGTAGTACCTTAAGATTATACTGTGTTAACCTCGGCTCTTAACTTTTTTATTTGTGTAAAATGTTTGTAAAAGTACAAATTTCGGATGTCAATTGTCTATTAAAATCGGTTTTCACTCAAAATTGTAAAAGGTTTAATTGTTTACTTACTATTTCACTTTTGCCACCTTTTTAGACTGCGAATCCAATTTTACTGGAACGAGTTCAGTGTTATTAAAAACTAAATAAGCCATAACTCGCAATTAAACGGAAAACGTTTATTCTAGTTTTCCTAGCTCGGTCATACTCGCTGAAACCACATTTCAATATGTTATTTATCTTTCCCCACTCTCCCATCCCTTCCCAACATTCTGATAACATTCTTGAAAAATCCTTCAGTCATTCTAACAAAAGATAAACTGAACAAGTGTTGAGCTAAAACTAAGGAACTTTAACTCTATTTTCTTCTAATCAACACTTTGAACCTCCATAAAATCTAAAAGTAAATCATCTTGATTTGTCTCTAGCAGTTTTCTCCAACTCCCTCCACAGTAAAGACGATGAAATGTTGACCCCTTCAAACGTCTCTAGCCCAAAACTGATAACTATTTCGTTTGACGCACAATGCGTTTTTCTCATCGTAGAAAAATCGCCTTTGATTGATCCACAGTTTTGTCCTTTAACCCCTCTACACCCAGGATCTCAACAGTAATTCTCCTTACTGTCTGTCATACAACTTTTATGATTTGGGTTTGGAGAATTTGGTATTGGATTGGCTAATGATTTCGTAATAGTCAGTTCTCTTAATTCTCGTCAGTTTCCTGCTTGGTGTAGTATTGATATTGTAAGGAGAGATTCTGTCTTGGTCACTCATGGGAGTTGAAGAGTTGACCATTAAGCCTCGAAGTATGCGATTTTTGCCAGATTCCGCTTTAATGTCGCACTTTTATGAAAAAGAGTGATAAAGTAGCCAGTGAATTAGTATGGTACATAGGACGTTGCGTTCTATCAAGATGCACATCCCTATTGAAAAGAAAGCTTTTAAATAAATGCTCACTTAGAACTGAGGACTGACGCATTTGTCATGAACTAATGAAAAAAAAAGTTTTAATGTAAAAGTTGATATTCCTTAAAAAATGATGAAACGCAAATTTTAAAATTGAAACGGTGAGAATAACCAATCCCAGTAGAATTTTATGTCAAGTCTACTAAATGAATTTAAAGAAAATGTGTATATTGAGTAAATTTCATTAAATTATCGTTATCACAAACCATGGGTAATTACGAAAGAGGAAGAGCTCTCTACTGCAAACAGTGCAAGCAATGAGATATGGTAAACTATCTTTTCACTGTTTGGAAGCTTTTAAGCAGGTCACTTTTTAATAGGAAAATTAAAATGAAAAATAACACTGGAAAACTCTTTTTTTACAGAAAGACTTGATTCTACGGCCAAACAGTGTCAAAACGAGTTGTCTGTCGGGCATCGAAGCGCGAAATCCGATATTCACGATTTTCTCTTTGATAAATGAATAACATCCTTTCATTTGGCGACCAAGCTCAAAATCTATCATCTGTCTTTGTCTCTTCCAAAAATTCCTGTTTATTAATCTGAAATTAAACACCACCTTAAAAATGTTATCAGAAATAAATACAAAAAGTCTTTTTAACAAGTGTCTCCTTATCAGTCCGCAAACACGGAAGCCAAGCTCTTAAAAAGCTAAAACAACCTGATATGAACAGACCCTCCAAAATCTCAACTTGTGGACGGCTATCAAAAAATGTTTACCAGTTTGCTAAAAAAACTTAATAACAGCGTACCATTTGCCTGGCTTTTAAACATCCTATCTCTATAAGATAATTTGATTTTTTTTATGGGCGATGTAGATAACAGAGCCTTTCCTCAATACAGTACTACTGTACCTTTTCGCTGTCTTGCGAGACCCTTGAGGTGTACTAAAATCTCACTTTGTAAAAAGGGAACAAAACTTTTCCCACTCAATGCGTGCGAAGCTGACAGACGGACTGAAATTCAACCTAAGTTTTACTTCTTGAAACTTTTGGAAAAGTACACAAATAGCAGATTATTTATCAAAACATGCGTCATTTCATTCTTGAGTAATTAGCTGTCACGCATGGGTAAACTAATATGTGCAATTTCGTCGTCAGGGCGGTAAGCAGTAAAAACGCCCCCGAGCTGAGTTTACTTATTCGCAGGCTTTTCTTCTTTCAAAAATAAACACCATTTGTCGCTATTTGAAAATGATTTTATATAAAAAGGCTTTTCTTTATTAACAGGAAATTTATCGGTAAATTTGGACAATATTATAACATATTGCACGACAGTAAATCGACTAACATGTTTTTTAGCGCCAGTTTAATTTCTTAGGAATCAGAACTCGTCGCTGTTCGTTTTTAGTGAAAGACCAATATAAAACTGAGATCAATCCAAGCCAAACTGTTTTTCTTAACCTCTTGTGCTGGCTGGTGTGGCAACTAAAGTGAAAAGATTGACCTGTTTTTTTTTTAGTTGGTTGTTTTTTTTTGTTGAAAACCATCCTTTACCCCCCCCCCCCCCCCCTCAAGGAAATATAGAACAATTGAAAGAAACGACATGTTTGAGGTTAAAAATACAACCGAGAGAATGCACATTTTACAATTTTTTATTGCTTTCTAAAAAAGTACAGTTTACTACCATATCATGCCATTCAAGCTAGTTAGCTTTATAGCTTGAGACATAATCTTTTCACAATGTTGGCCTTTCAGGTGATCGCCTCATTTGGATCACCAGGACTTTGTGTACACAGATTGTTGCACCAAGCGGGGGAGACTTGTTCGTAGTGCGCATGCCTGAAGTAATAAACAGAATTGTAGTAGATTTCTGCGCCAGCCTCGTAGCGTTTCACCTTATCCGAAATGACGCTTTTAAGCCAATTCCACGCTTGTGTCAAGAACCGTTTTCTTGTTGAGGTCGTCTGGCAGAGTTGGTACATATCAGTTTTGAAAGCTGTGTCGCATTGGACACGACTCCAGCCATACAACTGGCCCTAGGTGGGAGAGGAAAATGAAAGTAGATAAGTAGTGAGTTATCGTAATACCATGATTTATTTTCACTCCTCACTTCAACTCAAACAGTCCTCTTTCTTTTAGGGGGAACTTTGGAGAGCTTGCATCACAGGGAAGCGGTATCAATTACCCCTATGTGCCTTATACCGTACGTATTTTGCCACATGTTATGTGATGTTAGGAAAAACTTACACAGCTGTAGCAGACCTCATGCTTATTTCAAGCGGGAGTGAACATCGTTTTGTACACTAAAGGGAGGCCACAGGGAATACAGCAGCCATTGACGTGCACTGGACACGAACTTGTGACACAATATGTTTTGCCGATGGCCATCTTCACTGTAAAGGCCTTATAATCGTGATTTAAGTGCTTTTGAGAGGGACTGCTGAACCCATCAGCTTTTGCAAACTAAAAGAAAGAGTTGGAAAGTAAATTTTTGAAAATTATCTCAAAAAGATTTTCTGAGTGAAGGACCTTTTTCAGGGGTCATCTCTATCTATAATTACGCCTTTATTGGAATATCGAGTTGACTACCACTGTGTATAGGGCTGGATCAGTAAACAGTACTTCATAGCCCTTTACACCCTAATATTAGTATTCATATTCTCCACACTATTCTCTTTATATTTCCTCTGGTACCGACAAGAAGAATTTATCCTACAATTAGGAGCTTCCTAAATTGGTGAACCTCTCCTTTATTATCATAACCTTAAGGTGATTCCTCAGAAAAAAAAATTAAACAATAATTCTACACTTTCCTTAAAAGTTTCCTACCAATGCCTGTTTCGAAAAATACAATTTAAAAAATAGGTCACCGTGTCTATTTAAGAGATAGGATGGGCCAAACTTACCTTGTTTATGTCTGTACTGGCACAAATTACGCGCGTCATTTCATCGCTTCACGGTATATTTTGCTGCAGCTGGAGGCAATGGATTTTAAAGTAACACTTGAAACACACTCGATAGGTAGAAAGTCTCGAGAGTATGGGACAATTTGATATATGTTTTGTGGAAAAATTACGCAATCTTAAACGACATTGACTTCAAACGTACCTCGAGTAGTTGCTCTCAAGGTCATAATCTGCATGCTCGAGTAACGGGCTTTGTGCACGCTTTTAGCGATATCTTTTTTCCTTTAGACGATTCTTTATTTCAATTTCTCCAATCTAAATGGAATAGTTTGTTCAACAAGATTATGCAATGAAAAACATAGGTCGCCGTGCTCGTTCAAGAGCTAAAGATCATCTTACTTCTTCACCTGGATTGAAAAACAATGCCGTGTTCTCAAAATGCGCGCGCGCTCATTTCCCTGATTACGTAATTTTTATGCGCAATACAGGATGCTGAGGATATACCTTAACATTTGATTCAAGGCTGATATTGCAAGGTGAAATTATAAGCCAGTCAGTCACTCTTAGGGGTTAAAGGAATAAAGAATAAAGAGTTATTTTACTTCTTTCGTCTAGCTCTGAAAGCAGCTTTAGGATATGTGCCTTTTTTCATAAGAACTTCGGCAACACAATGAATAAATTAGCCTCGAGAATGCAAACTCATTTTAGGTCATCAGGGGAAAAAAAGTGGATAAACAAACTCGTTCACTTTTCTTATGTCCTAGGGACGTTACGTTTATCGACACCGCACAAGACTGCTCAGTTTATATTCTCGTACAATGAGTTTATTGGAGATCTCAGGTGCCGTTGCTCTTGCGACCGAATCAATAAACCTCATGTTCATTCCGAACAGAATTTTTTAAAAATGTACAATCCGTACAATGTACAATTATGTAAATATGTACAGTCCGATGACGAAATAAGACTGAAGAGTTTACTTTAAGCGTAAACTCATCAAAGTAGACATATTGTCAAGTCAAATAAACTTATGATTTCAGATGTGCTGCCTTCAAATGTGAAATTAACTGTATTATGGTCAACTGTTCCACGCTCCCCAAGTTAATGGAATTTTTTACATGGCTTGCTGTAAGAAGCACGAGTTTTAATCTACCTGATAACTTTACAATATCTGAAAGTGGCGATGATTTACTTAATAGCTGCTTATGTACGCGCGATACATGTCAGCTGAAAGTAAGAGTTCTCTGGTGCCTGTGGGTCACGCGGAAAATTTGAATTAAAAAAATCAACCAAAGCCTTCAAATAACTAAGACTTCGTTTCATCATTGGCGGGGAAGCAAAAATTATAATTACTATGTAGAATTTAATTCATCACCAGTTTCCTGTACGGGAAAGAATAACCCTCAAAAATGCGCCCTACTCCCGACGTAGGCCAACAGGTAATACCATCCAACTTGTGTCGAGGAGACATGGGTTCGATTCCGTTCGAAACCTTAAACAGAAGGTCTTTGAGCAGAGTATTTTAGGAAATGAAATAAAAACAGTTCGAAGATGCAATAAACCTCATGGTGCTACGACACGAGTGGCTGTGTGCCAGAGGTCTTTAAGGAGCCACTCCGTTTGCGAGCTCAAAACAAGCGAGCTTCCTTGCTTATTGTTCAGTGCTTGCGCTAATGGTAACTTAATTGCAAGCTGTGGATAACGCTCTAGCGATTTTTTGAGGGACAAAATTAACATACGAGTAGCTAGGGTGCTGGATTGGAGCAGATTGTGATTAGTATTTTTTTTGGCAAGGATGAAGTGTTGAAGTGATACTGTTATTTGATTTTAATGGATCTCAACCCAAAAAGAATTGTTTTTTCTGCCACCTTGCGCCTGGATAAGGGAGCAAGAAAATAATGATAAAGAACATTTATTCATGATGGCCTTTCAACACATCATTAGGTCTTAGTAGTGATGTCAAATGGATCCTGGAAAAAAATTTAAAAGAAGATACTGGTAGGATACAAAGAAAAAGAAACCTGGGACGGGCAGTGCGCGACTATAATGTTATTAAAGAGAACAAAAACTGACTAAAGCCACAGATAACGCTGGAAAAAATTGAGGCCTGACTAGACTATGTGTACAAAGTTTTCCGAAAGAGAGCTGAGAGGACTGGGTAGAGCCAGGCCTCTCGCAGAACTCTCACTGGCTCGCATCAAACTTCTCACGGATGAAGAAGCGCTCGTGCCGTAGTGTTAATAATGAGGGCGTGTTAGCAGGTCACGGTAAACTTCACCGTCTCCCTTAATTTGAATCCAGGCAGAGTCAGCCATGTTACCCGGCCTATCATTCTATAAAGAAGAAGAAAAAGAGGTAGAAGTAGAAGAAGAAATAGTACCTTACACACCTATACCAGTTTTATACAAATGAAGTTTACCTGGAGTTCAAACTATTATTAGAAGGAAGAAAAATCGAGAAGGTTTGAAATACTAACTATCGTTGTCCATTGGTTGATAACCGCGAAATGAGAGGGGCATGGGTTCGAGACAGGCCCATTAGATATACGGGAACTTTGAAAAATTATATCTCAAAATGGCGGACGTCGATGACCGAGGTTCGGCTGGCGGCGAAGAAGAAGGCAAAGATCTCTGGTATTGAAACATGAAAAACTTGTTTGTCTAGATTACGTTGGTACAGTCCATGATGGTGATGGTTGGCTGTTATTTATGTTCCGTAGGTCGTCGATTTTGAGTGACGTTTCAAGTTCAGCTAGTCGAAAATTACCCTCTAACAAGGCGATTGTGCTGTTAGGTACGCAGTGCTTTATAAATTGTGACCTTTCACTTCTTGGTTCGTGTTTCGATTCTCTTTTATTAAACGAGAACATTCTTTTCAGGTAACGATGGCTCGGGGAAAACGACGCTGATTTCAAAGCTTCGAGGTAAAGAAGATGAAATAAGTAAAGGTCACGGACTGGAATACACATATTTGGATGTTCATGATGAGGAGAGAGATGGTATGATCATAATTCAGTTCAGTGTGTAAATACGATGCTATTTGATTTTGGCATGTGTCTGACATTTTGTCTTTTCGTTCTCAATGTAGACAGTACAAGATTAGGGGTATGGATATTGGACGGCGATCCTCTTCACAAAGGTCTTCTGCAATTTGCCATCACACCTAAAAGTATTACTAACACTCTTATCGTTCAAGTTGTGGACATCTCTAGACCATGGACAATTATGGAATCTTTGCATTCGTGGACAGAAGTTCTTCGGGAACACATTCATTCACTGAAACTATCGCCTAAGGAGTTAAACGAAATGGAGGAACGAAGTAAGTTTTCATTTTAAATAGTAGTAGTGAATATTCTTACTTCGCTTCGAGTCGATACATACGTAGTGGAGTGACTATTTTTTACTTCTGTTTGCATAGCTGGTTAGACTCATGCATATGATAGTTTTTTTAAGTTGTCACTTCTTTTTATCGGTGTTTGTTCGTCGTGATTTAGATTTTCAACAGGACATCGTTCAAATTTTAGACGGCGATCGCTTGATCTCGATATTCACGTATTCACAGTACCCTATCATATACAGGAAGCAATATTGCTTGAAATAAGTGATTTGCAAAATCAATTTGTGTTTCTGTGAAAATAAAATAGAACTGTACAGTTCAATAATCAGGGTAAAGTTATGGCAAATTTTACGACTGACGTTAAAAAATACTAAGATAATGTTTTCATCGAAAGGAATGTTCTTAAATTATTTACGTTTACACCGCTTATTTACTTTTTGCTGCGATGGAAAACCTAATTTGAAGCGTCTCTTGAAATAATCTTGTTGTGATTTTCATTTCAATGCTTCTAAAATGAATCGAATGGATTAACAAGGAGGGGGCGAATATCATGTTTAATTTATGAATTTTGAATTTCTGCATAGCAGCATAAGATCACTTCAAAGTTTTCTTGACATGCAAATGTGCAAAAATTTTAGTTTACAATAAATCATTTGTTGCTATGAATGTGGCTGGGAGTGTATCTTCTTATAGTGGTATCCTGTCATTGTTAACAGACAGAAATTATCATTTTAGATAAAGGTTTTGCTATGTAAATAACATAGGATTTTTGGAGAGGAAGAGTGTTACCCTGGTAAAAGTCTTAAAGTTGAAGGTTTTCATGTGTGATCCAGTGTGAGAGATAATAAGCATTAAAACTTAGAAATGAGGAATTGGAGAATGGAACAAAATGTAGTTTGAAACCAAATAAATTTGAATGATTGTGAAGAAGATGCAGCAAAATACATGGAACTATGATTTTTATACATAATCTTTATAGATGCCAATTTGATACTTACCCTATAAGTCAACTTAGACTGATAATGATTTATTTACAAATCAATCTCTAACTATTTTCATAATTAAGGAATTTATTATCATTTAAAACTGCCCTTTGGCTATATTCCTGCCAGCCAAACAATTTTGAAGAATTTCCAGTTAAAAACTATTTAAAACTTCTTGAGAGAATCAGATGTTGTTTTAAGCACTTCCAAAAATGAAATTAAAAAATCTATATGCTAATAGAGTATGCCAGTGAATTTAGCTTTTTGCTCTTTTTCCTCAAAAAGATTGCTGGCATTAGGTGTATCTCAATCATGTTGATACTAATTTTTTATCAGTAGCAGTGATTTGAGTATTATTTTGTATTATTGTTTAATTTACCTCCAAATACATTGCAAGGGACTAACTTGCACACTTTCATACATTGGTATCCAGTTGTTTGGTATCCAGTTGTTTTGTGCCCATGGTTTTTTTGTGCCCAAATGCTGTCAGTTTGTATTCAAGTATGAGATGGTTCATACCCATATCACTGATCGGTTTATACAGTGTGTACAAGTATTTAAAAGACCAGCCTGTGCATGAGCAGATATCAATTGTTGCATATGACAAGTTAATTATTGCTTAGGGCAAGGTAAGTGTGAAATTTTTGATAGAGAAGTCTATTGTTTATACTCGTGATTTTTTTTTAACAATAAAAGCTTATGTAAGTGTGATATTTTCTTCTTCAATTGTTAACGTGGAAAACATACAGTATTAGTTTGGGCACAAAACTACCAAGCTGGGTACAAAATGACTCAACCGACTGGATGCAAAACGATCTAGCTCGGTACCAAACAACAGTGGGTATGAAATGACCAGTAACCTATAAATTACACTTGTAGTTGTGCGGCAATTTCAAGAGTATGCAGAACCAGATGAAACAACAGAGGACAGGAGAAGATCAGGAATAAAAGATGAAGACAAGGTTCTTCTTCCACTTGATGAAAATGTACTCTCAGACAATCTTGGTCTACCTATGGTAGTGGTCGTCACTAAGGTATTTATAGTACTACATTAAGGGTTGCTGTTACAAGAACACAGTATAAAAAGCTGTGTGGCTGTGGCTTTTAGTGAACTGTATTAATAAATACATAAACAGTAAATGTAAAATATGCTGCCATGCTAATTTTTAGGCTCTTATTGCCAAACCCTTTCACTCCTAAGATCCCATCCATTTAGTAATTCTCCATACAACTCTTTTGATATTAACATAGAGCATTTGGTTTGGTATCAAATCCACTAATGTTTCCCTTGTTGATATTTTTCTTGACTGATGACTGCTTAATTGTATTTTATATTTTTCTAATGGTTCTAGTTTGTTTTTTTTTTGTTTCAGACTGACTGCATGTCTGCGCTTGAAAAGGACAGAGATTATAGAGAGGAACATTTTGATTTTATTCAACAACACATCAGAAGGCACTGCTTGAAATGTATCCTCATCAACATTACACATTATTTATAAGTAAAATAATCACAATTTGTGTATTAGTTGTATTTGCTCTCAGATACACAGGGTTGTGCAACTCACAATAAGTACTTCTCACTTAATGAGTTTCAGGTCTGTACTGCAATTTACAGACCCGGTTTTTTCCTCTGGGATTTATGGTCCAAGCACATGGCATGCAAACCAGAAATCTGGGCAGAAACTACGAGCTACATGTGTATGTGTGGACCAAGAAAACAAGAGCAGTAAGATATTTATTACATCTCTAGGTTCAAGCAGGGGAAGAAGATTCCAATTCAAACAAACTTTTAAATTCAGCTGGCAGTACAGTAAAATACGGCCCACTTATAATTGACCAATCATAGCACACATGCTAGCTGAATACTCTCTAACGCAAACAAGGGGATTGAATGATCTTGAATTATTTCCCTTATTTTTTATTTTCCTTGACTGATAAAAGATGGTGCTACATTGTTTTACACCTCTGTCAAAGAAAATAAGAACTGCACATTATTACACAGATACTTAGTCCATCAAATATATGGCCTACCATTCAATAGTCCAGCTCTGGTTGTGGATAAGGATTCAGTATTTATGTGAGTATCAAGATTGGTGTCAAGTAGTAATAACTAAACCTTATTCCATGGTTTGACCTGTACATGTATATTCTGTGTAGATGTTTTGTGAGTTGCGTTGTATTTTTCCTAGTCCTGTAGGGGTGAGAAAAAATATGAGCAATGAGAAAAATGTCTGCTCAGAAGAATGGATTCAGTATTCCACTATTACAACACTTCCAGTATTGTGGCTTCTATTTTCCGAAATAATCCTGGTGGTCTTGAAGGAACATTAGGTCATTGGCATAAGGGGTGGGCAAAAGATGGAAAGAACGTCAAAAAGACAGGCCCAAGAAAAGAAAAAAACAATCAAACTATGGATCATTCGATGAGGCCATTTTGTTGCTCCACCTTCCATCTGTATTTTCACCTGGTCTACAGTGTAATACCATGGTGAAAGTTGCATGTTTTGATGCCTTAATATGGTAAAATGGCATAATAGTAGAATGATAAACCATGTGATGTTGCAAAAAATGTCCATTGTCTCTCTTATTTTCATGTGAGAAAAGTTTTATTGTAGCAACCTTGTTATGAGTTGGTCACTAAATAGTGTAGCCTTGATGTTGATGGATGGTTGCTTGTTATCTTGAATGATTAATGAGGAGAATATCATATTTTTCATGGTTGCTTCTTAACAATCCAGAGGTTGAAACCATGCAGATGTTGTGTTTACTTGCACTTTGATACTCAAAATGTATTTAAGGATAGGGACAAGAACGATTGCTTTGTATATATTTTATTTTTCAAATTGAAATTGAGAACATTTTGCTCTAGAGTTGCTTCTCACTTTGCATGCAGGAGTGTAGATATAGAGTTTATTTGTTGTGTTAAAAATTAACAATTCAATGTTAAAAGATTAATAAATTAATTAATCAAAAGCTTTTGTGGGCAATGCTAGGAATGGTTCAACTGTAAAAATTAACTTCACCTACGGATATCAGAACATTTCTGTGCAAACAAGGAATGAAACTTTATCACGAAAGTCACTACTAATACGGTACTTATATACATGATTGTCACCAAATTACAAAGGTCACAAACATGCAAATTCTCAAATATAGTACATTTAAATTAAGTAGTGCTGTGGGCATTAGCTGGAATGCCCCAGGGTGTGCACACATTATTTTTCGGGGATGAAATGAGGGAAATTAAACGCACATATTTTGCAAAACAATGTTGCGTAATTGATCTTTTTTTTTAAGTGAGTCAGAAAAAATAATATTTCTTTATTTTCACAGTCCAGCAGGTTGGGACTCTGTCAAGAAGATAAACATTCTTAGTGAACACTTGAAAAATATCCAGGCTGATGATGCGTTTGATGATCATATTGTTAAACCTCAACTGAGAAAGGTACTGCTTGAAAAATGATTTACACTGTGAAGGAGAACTGTTCTTCACCGGTCTTTTCTTGTCAGTAATGTGGTGAACTTAAGATATGGCCAAGAAGGTTATAAAATCGTTAGTTGACTGTAAAACTAGCTTCCAAATACGGTGTATCTTGGATTTTTCAGAAAAATTCCCCTACTTCAAAATAAATAGAAACGCTGAAACAATTCTTGAATTCATTCAAATCAATTAATTAATTCCTCTCTTAAGAAAAGAGATTATTTAAGTGAATTCGGTTGAGACAGAAACTTTCGAGGCTTCTTAAATGCACTGCTATAACACTTCAATACACGATTATTTGTAATTATCACATAGTTGGCAACACCCGTGGGCAAGATGAGGCGATTCCTGTGTTCTGATTGGCTACCGGAGCAGGTAACGGGCCCATCTTGCCCGTGTGGGATTACCGTTTTGATCCCGCGCTTGGAAAAGAATTGCTTGGAGCAGAGTTACAAATTTGTAACTTTTGAATTATTTCGGCAATAGAGTCGCAAAAAGTGACAGAAGACAATAAAAAAAAGAAAGAAATTAAAACATAAATGTGTTTTGTAAGTTTATTGTGGTATAAAAACCGAAAAATACAAGAATTAAAACACAAAGTGATATGAAGGCACGGAAACGGTTTTGCCTCTCGGAAAATGCTTTATTGACCAAAGCTTGATCGGTCAAGGTGGCCGGATATAAGTCTCGTTTGACCATGTACATGTGTGTGAAGTTTTAATTCAAAGTGCATTTGTCTTTTGTCAGCCAATACAAGACAAAGAAGTTACTGCAGAGGATGAACAAACATTCCTCGCAAAACAACAGGTTGGTTTGAAGTGATTATTTTGAAGATTAAATGTTATCGTTATACTATAGGTACAGCATTCCAGAGTCCATTGTCCAACTGTGGAATACCTACATATGTATTCAATTTTCCACCGCAGCTGGTCGCAATTTTGGATCGTAAAGGAATAAATGTGTTTCCGCTTTAGATCTTCTGTAAATCCTCGCTTACTAAATTATTCCCAAATCGTTGGCTAGAGATGTCGACATTTGCGCACGCTCAGTTAGTCCTTGTAATTTTCCTAAACCTTTTGTGGTTACAGAGTGAAAGAAAAGAATAATTAAAAAAAAAAAAAAAGTTATAGTTGTGAAAGTCTAATAAATCTAAAAAAGTCTAAGAAATCTAAAACACACGTAAATAGACCAGGGCAGGGATGGATAGATAGTTTAACTCTCAAATCATTTACACAGGGGAGAGGGGATGGGACACACAACCAAGAAATTTAAAATTTTTGCCGTCTAATTAGACGTCTTATTATACCAGCAATTTACAATATAATAACATGATAGTAAATTAAATAAGGCACTATAAAAATAATTAAAAAATAAATTTAAATTAATTAAAAGTATCTACATTATCATTAATTATTTTAATATAATTATTGCCGTAACAAAAATAAAGGATATCGTATCGATAAAAATCTCTTCTTGCCATAGCAAATATAAAACGAAGGCGTGGCATATTAAATTGGCGCTTATTTTTGAAGTTATAGCTGGGTTTATGTATGGGTGGAAGAAGAAGAAGCGGGATGGGACACACACTGAGTGTTTTTGCCGTCAGACGTGGCGCTTTTTCAAGACCACCCAAAATCGAAGAATTGGTCAGTACTATTATGTCTCTCATATATCGGATTGTGCCTCAATTGGGATAATATTACAATAACTTGAAAACTTCCTATTTCCTTTGATAGTCCTTGATTATATTTTGGCCATACAATTTACGATTTGACGACCCGAGAGGGATTGTTTGAAGAAATCCAAGTTTATGGATACAAACAAATCTTTTTTAAAAAAGTTAATCGCCAGGTGGGCAGAAAAGGGATTTTCTGCAGTGTTATTCAAGGAAATCTTTGAATCTCTCTCTCTTTTTTTATTTTTTTCTCTATTTTTAAAATCTATCCAACAACAAAGAAAACAAAACCTCGTGTAAACTGTAGAATATTGCTTCACCAACTAGATGTCTAAACCGTTAACCTACTGCTGGCGAAAACTTTGGTTCCTTTGTTTAGGACATATCTAAGCCCCGTGCTCCAGCGAGCCCTAGTGGCAGGATAACTTCAGACAGAAGGCCTTCAGGTGGAGCAATCTCCGCTTCGCCCAGAGGAGCAAAGGTAGATTAGCCTTAAGCGTAACCACTTCGTTTTTTTTCAAAGTCCAAGTTTATAATTTGTGATACTTAATCCTTCGCCGTAAAGAAACAGTTCATGTTGATCCCTGTAAGAAAGTCGTTGATGTAAACTTTGGCTTAAAGGCAGATTTTGAAATATAGATTGAGAGCGTAGGTTTTGTCAGATACTTTGATCCCGCAAAAAGAGAGAAAATTGCATGTTACCGAGTGTCAGACTTCGCATCGTAAAGGCGAGTTTTTTTTTGTTACTACAAAAATTTTTCCGGCAATTGTAACAACAAATCAACGTAACCTAAGTTTGCTGACAACACAACTGAGAATTGCTCAAAACCTGTTACGAAAACAACTGGATGGTGACCTCGTGCTTTGTTGTATTTTGATGGACCTCAGCTTCAGTCTGGTTACGAAGCTAAAGAAAAAGAAAAGAAAAAACACCAGGCCATCATCCAGCCGTGTTGACTGGATGATAGGTTATCAACGTATATATACAGGTATCGAAGGCATTGTTTGTGTGGCAGGTCGAAGGTGGAAAACCAGGCGCAGGTGCGGGCACCAGTGAAGGAGTACTGGCCAATTTCTTCAACTCGTTACTCAACAAGAAGAGCGGGACTGGTACTGCCATGGGACGAGGCGGAACAGCTGTCAGAAGTGATGCTGCTGCCGAGTTAGATCGTATGAACAGAGCCAAGAAAATGGTCTCCCCAGGAAACGCGGCTAACGACACGACAGAATCATCGTAGGTGTGGCAATTAGTTTAATAAGTGGTTGAGGATGTACAACAGACTTTTGTGACACGCGTTCGGATTAAGCGCTTTCATGAAATTTATTTTGTATAAAGCTAGGCTCTTATAATTTGGTGTAGGATATGATAGTTTGGAGAAAAGAAAACTAGAAAGATGTACGTTGTATTCGACACAAAGATATGGGGAGAACTTTTAAAACACAATGGAAGCCGTGAATTGTGCCCAAAGTTCGTTTTTTAATGGTAAAAGCAGAAGTTGGAAAGTAACTGTTAAGTTACCGAGTGAAAACAGCGTTTGTTGTCAATAGAAAAGTGATGAATGGCGAATGGAAATGTAGTGCATACTGATGAAAAAAAATTATAGTTTTGTCTTGGTGTAGACTTTAGACAAATATGTTGTTGATCCTCGAAGGTGTCAGACTCATCGAGCTTGGGGTCGTTTTTGGAAGGTCAATTCCTGAAAAGTTATCGGGGTTTTAAAGGTCTCAAAATGTGGAGAACACGAAATATAAATTTTATAAGCCGATGAAAGGTTATTTAAGGCTTTTTTTCATCAGTGACAAATTACCACTCGTAAACTCTCGTTAATTACGATTTTAGATACTTTTCCAAGATATGTGTCAACAGTAAGTGTGTACCAACAAAAAGAGTATCGATAAATTGCTTCTAATTCGGAGTACGTTCACTAGAAGGTGAGCATGTCCAGAAACGTAAATAACTGTCAGCTAAATTCGCCCAGGACCCGCTGCTAATGAATAACCTATTATCTTGTGGATGGTTGTGGGAGATAAGAACTCTTCTCTTGCAAGTCCGTTTCACTTGTAGTTTGTTGGGTAAATTAGGATTCTGACTTCGGCATTCCCTGTTTCACGCAGCAAAAGCGGGGCGAGCGAGGAAAAAACACGAGAAGGAGGGGGTGTGGGGCATAAGAGAGCGACCGAACGACTTCCCTTTAAGTATTTCTTTCGGTATGACAGATCCTGTCATACTCTCTTACTGGTAAATTTTGTCACATAACGTCATTACATCGCCAAGTGAGTCGTTCAATTCATCCACTAAGGAGAAACGTGCCCTCCTCATGCGCGTGGTCGAGTTGTTTCTTTTCCCCACCCGTTTTTTTTGCTTATCTCCGCTGATCAAGAACATGTGACATGAACATTGTAAATGTCAAGATCATGAGACATATTACAGAAAAATCCTCCCAAATCTTATTGTAAATTATTCTTTAATATTTTTTATTCCGCAACAAGGAAACAAATTAGGATGAAGATTTTGGAGTAAGTCGCAAAGAACTTACCAATTGGAAATATGTCTGGCATATTTGAGGAACTTAAATTGATCGCTCTCCAACTATGACAGATAGTTTTTTGTTCGTCCATTGTTGCAGTAATTCAGAGTCTATTTTGTAACTTAATTTCCTTGTGTTTGTGGTGACAAAGCTGTTTTTTATTCAATGTTTATTTTGTCAACAAGGAAACAAATTAGTTTAATCTGTTTCTATCCTCTGAAAGCTGTCCATAACCTTTTTTCAGTAATGATAAATATTGTCTTGTTCTTGTAATTCGTTTAACACTTGAAAACTTTCGTCTTGGGGCTTGTTATGATTTCGATTTGTGACGACCAATACCACCGGAAGAAAGCCTAGATTTTTTCCAGAATTCAATTTGTGCTGCGCGATTCTCTTTGAGATATTAGAAACATCACTTTCTTCATCTGTTCTTTGATTCTTTTACATTCACGTTGACATTTGCTTTGATCTAGTTTCGTTGATAGAATTAATGGTTAGATTAAGCAATAGCAAGTTCGTAATAGTCTGCCCTTGGCCTGAAGAGTTCTTCTGGCAAAAAATCTTGCCATGATGATTTTGTTTACTTGGTTTTACTATCCTGTTGGCGCAGCCTCAGTTGAGTGTCGAAGAACCAAAACCAAGGTAATTCCAGCGATCAATCAGAACAAAGGTTTACATTATCAATTGCCAATGAGAACTCAAAGTGAAAATAACCAATCGCGTGTTTCGCATATGATTGGCTAAGAGGATGGCACTAGATTTCTGGACCAATCACAAAGCAAATCATACTGGATTACTTTCGACACTCAGTTGGCAGTAGGCCATTTAACAGTTGTGTGCTTAGTTGCCAAGCCTTTGATTTGGAGTGAGGCTGAAGGTGACCTGGTTGTGATAGAGACCAATATCTAGTTATCATGGTAACAAAGTAATTTACATTTGAAAAGCAGCAACGTTTGCATCATCACGAGGTCACTCTTAGCCTCATTTCTGTTCAAAGGTTTGGCAACCAAGCACGCCACTGTAAAATGGACTAATACTGTAATTCCCCAGCGATTTGGAGACTATTTTGTCTTCAATTTTGGAGGTGAGACGAAAGGTAGTCGATGGTTTTACGACTCGTCAGCCCAATTTAAATCTGTGTAAAATGGTATTTTCCATTCAAGATGCAATTTGATATGTATATTTTCTGGGTATTTTTGATAGTGGTGTTGGTCGCCATACTACCTTTAGTGAAGAAATGGCAAAGAACGTAGTTTCCTAAGTGTATCCTTTAATTCAATCATTTCTTGGCTTAAATTAACTTTTGGGCAACTTTCCTTGAGCTTTTTTAATCCCAAAAAATGGAGCTCTTTGAAGTTGTTTTCCTGAGAAAAGTTGTCATCCCAGTGGTGAATGTTAGGTAAGCTATTTATTGTGCTGTCCGTGTACAGTGTCTGTTAAATCTATCCAAAAGTAAATACCAGATATAAGCTGTAAGATTATCCATAATAAACCTTGTTAAACGTTCTCAGGTTCTCCGCTGGTGTGATTCGTTGGCTGTAAATACTTCCATTTCACCTTGTTATTAATCTGGTTTTGATTTCACGACAATCGGTCGAAAAGCGCTCTTTGAACAGAATTGCTGCGACGACTTAGTTGAAATCAAGACGACTATCAATTTGTAGGTGTGCGCTGACGACTATCAGTTTGTAGGTGTGCACTTAGGGCCCATTTATATGGCCTCGGGTAGCCGAGACAAGTACGCCGACCAAGCTAACCTTTCACTTATTTCTTTGAAAAACTTTAACTACCGTTGACTATAAAAATGGTGAGTTCGTCTCGAGGGGGCGGGACACCTGGAAGGGTGAATTGTCTCGCCACAGCAGATAGGGTAACCCTGTCAAGTGGGACAGCTTTTTCTCCTCTAAACACTTCGCAGTTTCCTCACGCGAAAAACACATCGCAATACAGGTCCTCGTGAACTGGGTTAAGGAGGCCTCTGAGGTACGATGCCCTTCCAGTTTTGAATTTTCGAGGTGTTTGCAGTGGTGTGCCCTTGTATTGTTTGTTTTCGATGATTTTGGTTCTTAGCCGACAGGCAGGTCTCAAAACTGCCCTAAATTTACATTGAGAGTGTTGAAAAAAGTCCGTGGCTTTCATTTTCTACTGTTTGAGGCGACCATACACTGTTCTCGTTGTCACGATTGAATAGGGAAGAAAAAAGACGCATTATTTAAGTTTACCGTGATTGTAGATTGTATCACAAACAGTTTTCCAACCGGTCTTCGTGAGCATGTCGGTACAATGGCCAGCAGTTTTATCGTCTGTCTCGTGGTTTTTCACGATACTTCTGACGCGTACACAATATGAAGAAAACCTCTAATTTATTTCCATTTTGTTTAACCTTGACCATAGTTATGTTCCAAGCAAGCCCATTGCTGGAGGTCGTTCACAAATGACATACCAAAACAAATATGTTTGAATACACAAATGCGTGGCGACTTGTCAAACTGAGTCGCATGTTTAGTCCAAACTTCGTCTGGTACGTTGTTAATACTTTTTATTTTAGCTCAAACTTACCGATAACGAAACGAATGGCAAGCCTATTGTACAGGTCTCCTGCTTCTTTTAATTTAACATTCTTCCCGAAAATATTGTACAGAGTGTTCAGAAAACGAATCAACACAACTTAAGAAGGGAGGGGTGCGGCTATTCCGCGCGTCCCCACCCCTGAAACCAGTACATCTGGTTTTTCCCTCCTGAATCAAACTAATGCAGTCACCTAAATGACTTGGGTCTCAATTGGTACATTCTTTATCAAATAAAGTTAAACTTCAATATACATACATATTGACACAAAGTGCTCGGACGCCGCTCACTCATGTGGGTTTTGCTGCTGAATGCGAAAATTTGCTTAACAAGTAAGCATGCTTTTTTTTTGTTAACGAGAATGTTTTGCAAAGTGATGAACACCGAAGCTAAAGTGCCTCAGGAAAATCGAGTTGCTGTTGAAGTAACGTAGTAACGTAGAAGTTTTAAGTTAATTTTGTTATTCTACAGTCTGTGCTTATTCCTTTGAGGACCGTTTGTCTTTTGTTGCCCTCTTCTTCTTTCGTCGACGTCGTCGCTTGCCTCCATCTTTCAATACGTCCACGGCGTTTGCTTCATCCGGAATGCACTCGTACCAGATTTTTAAATACTTGTACACGTTACCGCAAGTGTCGTCGTCGAAGAAAATGTTTGAAGCCACCACTTCACAGGCTTGTTCGTTTTTACACTGTCCATTTACTTTTTTCAAAGTGTTTTCTGACGTTGTTTCGCACAGTCTGTCGGATGTGAGCCCTGCTGGAATCTTGGGACACGTCACGTGGTCGTCACGACCCCAGAATGCCTTGGTGATCTTGATGAGTTCGTATTGTTTGCATTGTACCCAGCCCTTCTCGCCTTCGCAGATTACAGTGAAGTTCTATGAGACAAGATGAACAGTTTAATTTAGAACCTTTGAGTTGGCTAAGAATTGGTGTTAAAGGGTAGTTGGACAGAGATGCTAAACATTCTAAGCACTTCAAAGGTGGATCAAATTCTTTTAAAGTATTGAACGTAGATTTGCCAAATGGCCACTGCCACGGTGATTGGTTGGAAACTGTAGGGAAAGCCGAATGCATTTCGTAGGTGATTTGTGATCATTTCAGCTTACCGGCATGATTGGTTCAGGACCAGCAGGACCCATAGGTCCTTGCGCTCCAGGTAGACCGGGGGCACCGGGAAGACCAGCAGCACCAGGGGCTCCCTGCTCTCCGGGGTCTCCCTTTTCTCCAGGTATTCCGGGAGGTCCAGGTGGTCCTGGTGGCCCGGATGTACCTGTTGCTCCAGGGGCACCATCTTCACCCACATGACCGGGTGTTCCGGCAGGACCGGCTAATCCCGGAGGTCCAGGATCTCCGGGAGGGCCTGGAGGCCCCGGGGGTCCTGGTGGACCGTTGAGGCCTTTCAAGAAGAAGCCGAGGGTAAGGTTTTGTTCGAGCAACTGACTGACCATGAGCTGGTCAAGGAACGGTTGCGTTATACGGTCGCCGATCTTCGGCCAATCGGGTAGGATTTGCTGTGAGTACTGTGAGAAGTAAACGTAGAAGTTAATTAGTGCTTGATACTTATAGAAATGGCAGCTATCTAGATCGCATAGTAGAATTAGTCAAGTGATCGTAGACTCCGAATTACACGTCAAACAGTTGAATATCCGATTGATCATTTAACCTAAGAAAAAACCTACGAAGTTCAATGAGGTGAATGTACGAGAAAACTTTACTGATTTTTCAAGCCACTGACTTATGGGAGAAAGCCGGACCTCGAGGTATTAACATAAAATAGATGCTTCGTTTGTGACCAACATTCGATTATGTTATTCATCTAAATGTTAGAGTTTTTCTCAGCAAAGAAGAAAGTCAACACTCTTCTCGCCGCAGTTCAGCGGCAGCTAACTTATTCTTCCTCCGATACACCTCAAGAGCGATCGCTTATATTCCGGTACTCACACGTGACTTGTTCTGGAACATTTTTTTTTTCGAAAAAAATTTTGACAAGTCTAGGAGACATTTTTGTTCGAGAGCTGAATTACTGGCTTACTTTCCCCCTCTGTTCAACGTTGTAACAAAAGAGAGGTTGAAAAGATAGCATTGCGTCAAATCATACTTAAAATTTTTTTTAGCTGACTTGTTTAATTTCACCGAATGTTTTGCTATAATTGATTTGTAATCCCTGAGTTAAAAAAAGATAGCAACAACCTGCTATAATCCCTAACAAGAAATCACATCACTGCTTTGAGACGTTTTGTTCACAATTTGAAAATAGTTAATTCCTGAGAATTTTAAGTATAGTGACGATGGTCACTCCACAGTAGTCTTTGATCTTCTTGCCTTAGCTGTATTTACAGTCCTCTGACATTTTCACGCATTACAAAAAAATCCATCTCACCTTCTCTTATAGTGAATATACGAAATGTAGTTTAATTTATGAATCGTTCCACATGGACTGAATTTAAAAGGTAAATGTTTCATCCAGAATTTTTTATACTTCAGAATAAGGCCGTCAGCACCAGGTTTTCATCACATTTTCGACACATTTCTAAGTGAAACGGCACTGGGATAAAAGACTTGTATTCTAGGAGCTATTTTCTTGATATGTGAAAGCAATAAGGAAAAACAAAAGGTTGAAGATTAAGATCTAGCACTTTTCACTCCGCGAATGGAAAATGCTACACTAAAATAAGCCGTGAGGAACATGGTGTTCCCCAACCCTGCGCTATTTCCGTAAAGGAATTATATTCTTACAGATGTTTCAATTTCTAACTTTCCCATTTTCGTATGTTACGTTTTGTAACTCTGCAAATGAAAGCTAACTCGGAAGTTGACTTAAGTATTAGTGTTATAATTTTTTGTGTTAACCGAGTCATACGCTAAATTATTTAGCATTTTAGTGTGGTAAAGGAAAGTTTTTAGGGAACATCTTTGCTTCATAAGTGTCAGATAGGTTTTGATGCTTTGTTGCTTGTCGTGAGGCACAGGGTAGTTATTCCTAAGAATAATTATTCCAAGACATTTATATGTCAAAAACTATCCTCCTTTCCACAAGAAAGGAATAAAAGATGTTTTGAAAACGTAAACACCCTCACCTTACAAAAAAAAAAAAAACAGTCCATAAAACACTGGCTTAATGTTTGTTCAAGAAGAGTAACACGATTTATTGCAGATCTCTAGTAGTTACGACTGTCAAACATTCTAAACGCGAGCATACTCTGCGCAGAATTATATTCCTAACGATGTAAAGTGCTTGTTTTGGTCTCTCTAAGAAAATAAAACGCAATGTGGATACAAAAAAAAAAGTTTTTGACGTTTACTGGGCAACCATTAGCTTTACTGGTGGTACCTGCCCATTGTTTACATCAGGCAAATGTTATGCATCGACAAGCAAGTGTCAAAAAGCTCCAAAATTATACGATCTAATAAAAAAATTGAAAAATGGAATGAAATCGAAAGTGTTTTTTCACATTTTGAATGTTTTAGAAACATGTACTTGTGCCATAACGTTGTAGGACAAAGTTTTTATCACGGTAACGAATGAGAGTTGGAAGACTTGGTTGAGACCGAAGCATGTTTAGCTCATGTGCGGAGTTTTATACGGCTTTTCAGTAGAGACAAGAAGATCGATCATGATGAAAGCTTTGCGAAACTAAATAATGAGGAGAGTAACGCAAGAACTTTTGTGTTTATAATGAGTGATTGTGATGCAAGGTCGGTCACCTAACTGGTATTCTGTCCGCTCTACTTCCTCTATTGCATTCGACATTTTTTGCACACAAGCTTTAGTCATAACATTCGCAAAAAAAGCACGAAATTTTATCAGTTTGTAAGTTAATCTACCGTAAGATTGTTGAATTCACAGTTGTATAACTAGGGGAACAAAACACCTCGAACCACCGAAAAACGACCTGTCCCTCGTCTAAGATAATCCAATGGCGCGTATCAATAATACGTATTGAGACTTCTCGGGAATAACGGAGAAAATAATCTTCACCTACCGTAGATTCTAGCCATAGTAGGCCCGCAAATAAGGCAAGAAGGCAGCCTATGCCTCCTCTGAGCCCCATAACCTGGAAGTGAAATGAACAAGAGAACAAGTGATCAGTGATTCTCGAACACCCTGATTTGTTATTAATTATTACTGAGTTGTGATTCATCTCATCGGCAAAGTATCTTGGGCGCCAAAATCTTTACCTCAAGTTTTTTAACTCAATGGGATTTAAAAACGTCTTTTTGAAACTCTCTCTTTTTTCTAGTGAAGTAAAGATTTACTGGTTGTATCACTAAAGTTGTAAATGATTGCGACTTAAACGCACAGTCGACCAAGCGTTCAGTTACTAAACTTACCGCTGTAGAACTGAAAAACTTTGAGACGAAATTTCAAGTCTAAAGGAGCATTAATATAAATAATATTGTCTAAAGTAAGTGTACATTTCCCGTCCATAGTTCGTTAGGTTGAGGAAGAAGGTAACACATCCTTGATCCTTCGATCAAGGTATGACTCGGGCAAGTAATGTCAAACGCCATCATAATAATATTTTTCTCGTTAGCTAAATCCCCCTGTTTAAAAGAGAAAGGCAATATGAAATAGAAGGTTGATCAACTCGAACCCCAGGGAAATTAGTTCAAGCTAAGTCAACCTGCGCTGCCCACATCCTTCTGCAAAGTCTATCGTTATAACAAAACCAAGAGTTCTCTTGCTCCGTCGATAATTTAGTCGGCGAAGATAATAAACCTCATCCAAACAGACGACTTAATTCATCCAGACTACGATTGACTCTCTTGCTCTGAAGTCCCATCTGTTTGGATGAGGTCCATTCCTCTATCGACGTCAGACTTGTTAAAAAACTGCAGCGTATCATGAACAGAAAACAAGACAAAATGTCCGCGGAGAAGAAATGGCGTTTCGTAAATAACGAAGCTGGTTTACCAGTGTTAAATCCCTGTCCCGTGTGGTTAGAGTAACACAGTGCTAACTCCTTCAGTGCTCCAGTTCAACCCCAAAAATGTTTACCAATCAGTCCAAGACTAACCTGTGACAAAGCTTTTTGTTTCCGATGGAAAAATAAGCCCTGTCAGTTGCCGTTACCGTGAGGTCTGAAAATGGCTCTGGTCTCAAATGTTTCAATACTGGCGCTCGGGGAGCTTTCGCGCATGTGTGTTGCCGGCGTCCAACCACCTTCCCGTGCTTGACGTGGCATTACAAAGGAGGAAATTTTATTTGGCATGACGTAATGCAAGCTTAACATGCTTATGCTTTGACGGGCCAATCAGCGCGCGCCTTGGAGCTGCCCGTGGAGTGAAACAATGGCTCAGTCATGAACCAAATCGACTCTTAGGTAATATTGATATAATTGGATTGCTATTTAATAATAAAACAAAACCTCTACTGAACTGTCAGGTGCGAGTAACAGGAGACCAGTGATTTAGGACATGTTTTGGCGCCTGGTGACCAATCACAGGCGAGGTTAAGTGTCAAGATTTGTAAAGAACACAAGAAGTTTTGACATCACTGCGCAGGTGGCGTGCAATCAGCAAAACTGTTTTCTCGATTTTTCAGCGATCTAATTTGGGAGGTTTGTCTGATTTTCTGCAGGAATTCTGATTGAGATGTCATATTCCTTTTAAATGACGGCTTGTCTGCGATATAGTTATTATAAGGGAGGTTGGGATGACAAAGTTAATGGCCTTTTCATCTACAAAAGCTCTCCGTTTGAAAAATGACTCATCTGTGTAGTTTGTTTTGACGGATCAATTGCTCCACTGAAGATTCAATGGGCAAATAATAAATTGTTTTCAATTCGTCTGTCTTGCTCTCCACGCTCGATATAAAATGAAGCCTTTGAACGTATAATCGCTTAGCTAGCAAAATTCGGAAACGATTATTCACCAACCATATCTGTTTAGAAAAGAAATGATGTTCATTTTGTAGTGAATGCTTGATATTACTAATCATTGTGTGCCACTGATAAACGACACACTCCTACCGTAAATATATAAATGTTCCTTTATGAAACTTTCTATATAGAGTTTGTGAAGGTCTCCCCGAAGAAAGACAACTATTCACTTGTGGTTAATTTTTTTTGTAACGTCTGGAGGTTATCATGCTGAAGAAACATTGCTGTTCGCTTCTGAAATCACTGAAGGGATTCGGTCATTTCATAATTACACATCTTCGCCCAAGGTATATAAAGCGTGCTGTGGCGTGTAGTAATACATCCTGTCTTGACCCTTTAGTGAGCCGTGTAGTTTTCGTGGTGGACTCGCGGCTGCGTATCGTAACGTGAAAGTCTGAACTCTGCAGTAATAAATAAGTTTTATTTCATTCTGTCTTTAATTTTTTATCATTTCATGCCAAAGAAATTTTTGCTAAATTCAACTCTCGACTAGAAATGATGATGTTCAACCATAACTTAGTTGCATTGCACATTTGTTGACAATACCCGTGGAGTAGCTAAGTGCCCTAGAAAATAAGTAAATCGTGTTGAGGTTATAATTCTAACACCTGTTAGAATGTCGAGTCAGTTGCTCCAGCTAGCCTGGGTCATTGTTGCATATCCGGGTGAACTGAACCTATGAAATGCACGATGGTTGCATATGGGCCTTCTCTTTTTAACTTAAAAAATCCAGAAAAGAAATCTACGCCTTTTTATGTAAAATATGTTTTCTTATCACCCGAATTTGGTTCCGTCCAAACCTTCCTCAACAATATTATAACATTCTCATTATCAACCTTTCTATCTTATCAGTACTTTTTTTTCACCGATTAACGAATGTATATCGCTCCGCTCCTCCAAAATAAACGTCTTCGAATATCTCATGTAACGTTCATTTTTCCCCGAATACTTTGCTCGTAGTAATCTTTATAAAAATCCTTTCGAAAAATTTCCTTTAACTTTTTCCTCTTGTATGATTTCAAAAGAGCTTAACAAATTACAGCTGGTGTTGTTTAAGAGCCCTGTTGTTGCCATGGTAATGTATACGTCATAGGAGTAGTATGCTTCAGAAATGGCGAGTTTTTGAGCCACGAGAGACTACAAACATGCCGAAAAAAGTTTGTTGTTTCTGGAGCATACACTCCCATGGAAACAACTGCAGCGGTCTTTGGGCGCCATTGGCTGTATGGTAAGGTTCTTCTCTATTATACCAAACTACTTTGTAAAACCTTTTTTGGACCCTCCAACTGTTGTTAGCTTTTCTTCTGTTTCTCCTGACAGAACTATTCATTCGCAATTTGTAACGGATTTGACCACACCAAAATCTACAGGAGGTGCTTTCTCTATCTTAGTGAGCCGCCTTTATCCTTTAAGAATTATAACTAGGATGGAGTCAAAGAATTATCTTAAAAATCATTGTCATGCCTTCTTTGACCTGTGGAATGATAATTAATACTCAGGTTTCAAAATATGAACCGGTGTCTCAGTTCTCCGTGCTTCGAGTATAACATTTTTATTAGTGGTGGTTTGTACAGAGTACATTCTTCAACTTAATGACTTAGTCAAATTAGCCTTCACCAATTGCAAGCTTACAATTACACGGTTTGCTGGAGAGAGAGGAATTTGCACGCCCTTGTCCAACCCTATGTTAAACTGTAAAATAAACAAGCATTCCATTATGTAAATAAGCCGCGCTCTCTCCAACGAAAAGAATTCAACCAGCAACCAGCAACCAGCAACCAGCTGACTCGAGATGAAATTTACTGAAGTACTTTGAGGAGCCTTTTCGCAGTTCGATCTCTGTAATTCTCCAAATATCTGGAACAATCAGCCAAATTTTTGGCGTTTGGAAATGTTTTCTCTCTGCCACTGTTTGTGACCGAAGTCTCAGAGGCGAAGTCAAGATGTGCATCAGTAGTATTGACGGATTGGAGGATTGTAATCCTGTCTCACGGGATGACGTAGAGCAGTCTGAATTTTATCAAGGGATTTTTCCCATTACCGCTATTCTTGTGGTCCAAAACGGTCCATTTCCTAAAAACAAATAAATCTTCAAATTGGATTGGGGAAGACGCATGCCTTGTACAAAAAATGAAGCAGGCTTCTCAAGCCGTGTTTCAACGGTTATATTTCCCTTTCTCGAATCGAAAAGAACGGGAATATGAAGAGTTTCAGCAAAATAACTCCATTGTCTCCACATCTGTCTAGAGACCATAGAGCGAGACCTCTCATCTTTCGAAATTCCATGTGATACCACACTACGTACAAAAGACTGTCAGATTCCATTCGCACCAGAGCAGCAGCACAATTCAAGCACTCTTGATCCAACAAAAATTTCCATAGGTCTCATCTCATACAACAAAAACACGAGATCTGCACTAGCGAGTCTAAGCTTTTCGCTCAACGCATTCCATATTATATGACGTATTTTCCGTCTCAAGCTGCTTTCAAAGTGGACGAATTAAAAAGACATGAAGTTGACATGAACACACACGAATCAGCCAATCGGAGTACGGAATCCTCATTTGAAAGGCAGGTTGTAGTCGAGCCGGTGGCTTATGGGTAAATCAGGACAGCCAAAGAGAGAACAATAGGTTTTACTTTGGGGCCTTGTTGTTCGCTCTCTAACTGAAGTTTAGCCCCAGTTATTCCCTTTTTGTTCAGGAAAAACATTTTATCAGGGATTTACTTGTGAGTATGAGCGATCTGTGGTCGGATCAGCCGTGTTCTGTGTAAGAAGACATTGACGAGACAACATAGCTACCAGACTTGTAAGTAAGCAAAGCTTTGTGTTAATTATGTTAGTTTTCAACCAGGAAATGGAGTGGGTGATGAATGGGTGCCGGATAATGTTACTTTCAAATTTGAGCTTTCGTTAGTTAAAAAAATCTGGATATGGTGAAAACTAAATATGGTGGTTGGTTACATTGCAGGAAGAATAATTAGAAATTTTATCAAGCCCTTGTGTTTTCACTTAAGTTAAATGAAATACTGTTTCACACATTTTATAATATATCTGTTCTTTTCGAATTGTTCTGGGATTTCAATTTCAAATACTTTCAAAGGGTTAACATTTTGGATATTTGACGCAGCTGTTGAGCTCTCTTACACCTTTCCAAATTGGTAATTTTTGTGTTACTTGACAGTTTTTCTCACTTATCCTAAGTGCTTCGCAGTTTTCCTGCTCTTGTACAAATTCAATTAGATATGTTGACCTTTCCGAGCAAGGCACCAGCTTACCACCTGCGCCATGATACGTTGAAGAAACTGGCGTCGCTATTGTCATGGTAACCGCTTTGATTTACCTTCGCAACGCCAAGTGCTTCGTACAATTGACAGCTTGACTCTACGTCGTGGGACAAACGCTCAAACGTACATTCATCTACAAAATCACCCTAAACAAGATTTTCTATAAAAATTAATGACTCTGTTTTTCAAGACTGCAAAGATAATGTTTGTGTTTGTGTTCGAGTAAAAATGTCTCTCTCAAAGAAATTTTCCAATGTTAGTTTATCAATTAACCTCAATTCACTTTTTTCTCAATTTTACCGTAAATTTTTTTCTCCGGGAAGTAAAAACATAAAGAGATATAATAAATCGCAATAATTTCTTATTACTCCAAAAAAAACATTACGGTTCTGTCGGTTCTGAACTAGCATATGTGTTTAATTTTGCATAATTGTTTAGCAAAATAGAGAAAAACTATGGAAATAATGGCTGCATATTTTGATGTTTGGGATTTCCTCTTCCTCCAAGCATACTTCTTCCAATTATCAAATTGAAATCACCTAAACTGTCAATAGCTTTGTCATAAAGTAGGAAAATAGCGACAAAAGCAAACTGTTTATTAGTATTGTCTTATGTTGGTAGGGTTCTACTGCGGTTGATCAGTAATAGTGTAGTGTATTAACTTGAGCTTCCTTTAAGACATCTTAAGTAGTGAATCACCAATTTGTTTTGGTTTGTTGCACCACTGAGTTGCCCATTCTGTTCTACAATTGGTTTTCTTTGGTATCTGCATTTATCATTAATTTTCAGCCTTGGTTAACTTATTTTAAGCGTAGGTTGCAATCGCATGAATGAATCAAACTTCAGTTGCAGGAATTTTCTTCATCTTAGGAAAGTTTGACGTTGGCCCTAGGTCCTAAACCCGCTGTTCAGGACATTCTCGCGAGCCCGTGAGCTTGTCTCTTTGGAAAACATAGCTCATTTTAAACTGACATGGAGTTCAATGGCTTAAATCTTAATTTTTAGATGACTCCAGTGACAGCCCTTTTTTTGTTCAAACTTTTTCATTTTCTCTAAACACAGGTGTCGGGAAACGTAGACAATCTCTTGTCGCTAATCTCCGTAAATACCACCACTTATGACAATAACATGCTCTTAACACAATCACTGCATCGGTTTAAAATTTCATCGTATTTCCCCATTGTTCGACTCTGTTCTGGTCAACAGAGTGGTTTCTCACTTATCCTAAGTGGTATTGTATGCTCTCTTTTTAAAACATGAACAATGTAGGCGCAAGAAATCGAGAAAACAGATCGCCTTTCTTTTGCTTATTTTCCATTTACAAATAACCTTTACATGATGACAAAAGGTGTACAAACAAAGTTTGACACCTGCTCTTTTATGCAATTCACAACAAGAAAACCTGTTTTGTTGTTATCTTTTATAAATTTTATACTTCCTTTTTTTCTTCGCCTCTACACATTTTTTTTAACGCAGCCTTTCTCTATAGGTCATGTCTTGAAATTTATCAGTCGAATGGCGAAGTTTTTCTTTGATAGCTGAGAAGAGGGTTGATTTTCTTAGAAATCCAAAATCCGACGCCTTTTTTTTTTCTCCCAACTTCTTGTATGGGAAGGGACTTTTGTTTGTCAAGTGATCTCTACCTATGACGCTTTGGAAACTAAAACTCCTAATTAAATTTTAGCTTGCCCCTTTTGAACTTGCTTAACACAAGGAACGCTTAAGAGAGTTATAAATTTTACTGTAATTGATTTGGCTCTGTTTCCTGGTAAAATAAACTGTAAATTGGAGAAAGAGCTATTCGAGTCCAAAGTCTCGCGCGCATTTAATTTTTAAGAATGTGTAGCATGATATGGAATGTAGGATTTTCATTCTTTTTGCATTGATTTTATTGAACTACGCTCCACAACAAAGGTAATCATGCTTTTGGGATGTTTTGTTATTTTAACCATTTGATCTCCACTTCGAAACTGGAATCAAAATTAACCCTTACTAAGTGATCCTGGTCATAAAAACTCATGGACCATCACAACATCGTGTCGCGCGAAGCCACGAGAAGTCAACACTATAAGTGTGAATACTGTTTATACAATAGTGTATTATTGACTTTATTCTAACAATGAAATGGTTTGTTACGCTCCCAACACGACGCCAGCGCTACAATACTACAGTATTGTACACTCCGTCGCTTACGCTCACCAGGAGTTCTAAGATAAAGGGAAAGGTTATAGACTCGGAGAAAACACTGTCAGTAGAATGACAATCAAACTTAATTACCTTGAAGTTATTCACTGAATTGCTGTTATGGTCGGGCAAAACTGTGAGAGTTTATAAGTGGTGTTTCTATAACATTTCTAACGTCTTTATTTGTAAATTACCGTTGTCTTCTAGAGTTACCTTGAATGAAAAACTCCTTGGGAAACAAAGATTTTTGAATATTCTTATCATTGCCTTCTTGACCTCGAAACACAGCTCGTCCAAGTGACACTTATGTGATTTCTGACACTTTTAGATTGAGTAACATTACGTCAGATTCCTTTCATTCTCCAAGACACAACATGAAAAAAGGGGAATTCTAGAAATTTTTCGGGTCTCTAATAATTTCAAATCAAATTCTCAGTGAAGCAAACAATTGCAGCATCCATGTTCCATCAAACTCGAAAACCGTGCAGACAAAATCAAGGCTTGATTTTCAAGAGAGCGTCAATGATAAACTCCAGTGTTTATTTGAGCGTGTAGTCACACACTAGCAACCTGCTCGCGCCAAAAATGACGAGCCCTGATTGGCCAGTCGGTGTTAAGGGTCAACACATTACGTCATCGCATCTTAATGTTGTGTATGAAGTGTCTCAACTCTCACGCGGGGCCGGTGATGCCACGTTGGGTGCGTTACCATATCGCCGCTAAATATCGTAGGCTCGTCTCAGGCGCCGCTCGACCAATCAATCAAACATCTCTTATTGTGGAGATAATTGTCGGAATCAGTAGAGCCAAAAGCGCGGACATCTTTTTCTGTTAGTGCCGTCAAGTATTTTGGGTTCAACGGGCTAACATCAGCAGGTTGGTTTGTGATAAGCGTCATTTTCCTCAACGAATGCGAATACTTTTTTCCTGGATCAAATGGTGGTTTGATATCGGTGGGAGCTGCCTTGGCCGTTTGAACTTCTATCAGTTCAGTCATCTTTGACAGGACAAGTGTTTCACAACGGTGAGATTCACTAACCGCTGGCATTTTCAAAGGAGAGCTCACAATTGAAAACAACAAAGAAATTCAAGGCGTATTGATATTCCCGGTGTCACGTATTCTAGTTTTTACGGAATTTTTCTGCAGACGTTACTGTGATATATTTCATCGTGCAAGACTCATCCCACCGATATCTACCACCTGCTTCACTGAGGGGCTGTATATCATATTGATAGGTGAAGTTATTTGTTGGGGGAAAATACGGTAAGTTAGTGCACATTTAGATCTTGAAGACCTATCGCGAAAATGTATGACATGTTTTGTGTGTGGCTCGCGTTCGAGTAAGACTCTGTAATGAAGACAGGCGCGCGAGGTTAATTGAAACACGAGTATAATTTTGTATACTTCGAGTTTCTACTGAAAGTTACTGTTACTGAAGGTTTGCATATTTAGAACAGACAGACTTGTAAGGGTTTTTAAGAAGTGTTATGGGATGGAAAAATAATACAGTGCAGATCTTGTTGTCCGGGATACAACAGGTAAAAGAGCAATTTTCATTTTGTAAGGGAAGAGAAGGGGTTTTCAGAAGTCTAAAATGAGATGTCATCTATAGAAGATTCCTATCATTCGTCCAGTTAAATGGTTTATTTGGTAAGTTTTTATCTGACTGGAAAGCCCGCGAAAAAATATTTTAACAGAAAATTTAACTTTTTCCTGGATGAAAGATCATCGTTAGCTAAAGATTGAAAAATTACAAACCAGAACAAGATATGTCAAAATACTAGCTTGTGATTGGCGGAGAGGTGACAGTTTCTGCACACCTGTCGAGCGGACCAGTCAGGGGAGTGTACCCTTTCCTAGATACAAAACTACGTTATCCCCAAATAGTTAAGTCATGAGAGAAAGATAATTAACAATTCATTCACCAGTTGTCTAATATATAAACAATTTACCGGTGGGATGAAGTCACGGTAGGCAGGCTAGAAACCCAACGCCCCATCGCCCGCCTATGTTGGCCTGACAGAAAGTGCCAGACATTTGAAAATAGTGTTTTGTGTTTATTCGCCAGGTCATGAGGCTCGCATCCTTGGCGGTACTAGTCGCCATAGGCCTAGTCCATTTCAAACTATCGGTGAGTACGAGTTTTAAAACGATTCATTAATTTTGGTTTACAAGGCATGTCGACTTGGTCGATCGAACCTTTGATCAATGGAACGATTGATCGATCGGTTGGTGGTTGATCAAGGGAGCGTATCAATTTGGATGACTTCCGTCGTGCTTACACAAACTTATTAAATGCAAACGCTGAGGATTTTGGAGTCAACTTACCATTAAGTTTTCCAAACGGCTGTTATTATAGACATTAACGTCCCTGCAGAATAATATCTGCTCTTAGATGGTTATTTACGGAGTTTATTTTTAGCTTTTAGTCAAGTGTGGTTTGGATTCCTGAAGTTCTTTTAAGTTCTTAGCTCTTAAATTCAATTACTGTTCTAGAAATTTCAATGTTCAATTCTGATATCAATAGGTTAATAGCAGAGACATTTTTAAAAAGTATATCATAGTTTTATTCGTCTGTCTTGGCACCATTTGTAATATTTTTATTCTTCCGCCATATTTGGTTTCGTCCCACCTGCTCTGATGCCAAATATGGAAAAAGTGAAGTAAACTGTAAAAAGAGTTGCTTGTTAATTTTTTACAATTACACGTCGTTCAGATGATAATTTGTCTTTCTCTGTTTCCTGGCTAAAAATTCTAACTAAAATTTTTTCAAAATATCAAAAAAGACCGTTGGTGGTCTTCATAAAGTACTCAAGTTAAAAAGGTAGTGCTTTTTCGTGGGAAAGAGAGATAGATAAAAGGATCAAGAAATCGGCAGAGTTAGGGGCAGCCAACCGCCTCCGAAATCTCATCTATGATCGATGTTTGCTACTGTGGCAATTACTTTGGCGTCATTATACGTGGTCACAGACAAATCGGTAACAACTTTCTCATGAACACGAGAGTAACTGTAGTTTAGTGATAATATCAGGTTGTCTTCATGGTGGCATGTGGTATCAAAGTCGGTGGTTTTGATTACAGTTATTCATTTTTCGTCGTACCTTTAATAGCCATGAACTTCAGATCTATGTGTCTGTAATTGTAACTTTAATTAATAGGTGTTTGGATTAGGACTTCGATCCAACGCTAACTTAATAGTCACCAAAGCGCTTCGTAAGACCTACTAGTAACTTAAATTGCGTTGTTTAAGAATTGTGCCATTTAAATAACTTCAATGACTAATATAAAATTAATGTAAAGGAAAATGAAACTATTTATATGAACTGAATTTACCCTGGTGCGATTTTAACTCTTTTTTAATGACGATATCGACGAAGGAGACGTCGTACGTGCGCCTTTCACATAAGAAAAGTTTTTCCTTCCAGCGGCCTATCTGTAAACCAATACTGCCTGAGTGTCGTTTTTAATGCCGCGCTGTATGACAATCTGAGGGTAAAAACATCTAAGCAGCCTACTTCAGTATTCTAATAAATCAACTATCGTTTCTTCTCCAGGCGTCTCTGCCCGTGTCTCCAGTCCCTCCTCTTCTTAACAAACTTCTCAAGGATCAGAATGTAACACTGGGTTTCATTCTCAAAGGATTGCAAGGTCCTCCCGGTGCGAATGGTATGGCTGGAATGTCCGGTCAGCCAGGTCAACCAGGTCCACCGGGATTCAAAGGAGATCCCGGTCCTCCTGGTTTCCCCGGTAGTCCCGGTCTTCCAGGAGCCCCTGGTTTTCAGGGACCTCCAGGTATGGATGGAGCTCCTGGTTCCCCTGGTTTCCCTGGTCCTCCAGGTTTTCCCGGTGGTAGTGGAATGCCCGGTGTCCCCGGTATGCAAGGACCTCCAGGACCTCCAGGTGCCCCAGGCCCTACACCAATTAGATACGTAAGTATATTTATTTTGATTAGCTCCTTTCTAAAGGTTTCTTAGTATAACTGCAATTTGTCTCTGTTTGACCATAAATACGAGTAAGAAAGCTTTCGATTGACTTACTTTCGAACAGCTCCATTCAGAAAATGTATACTATTACGACTCGTGATAGTATTTTTAAAAAAATTCATCAAGGTAATTGTTTTTTTTTTTGTCCATTTTCTGCCCTATATTCACGTGCATCATGTATACATATTTCGGACAAGTTAAAATATGATCCTTCTTTATGAATCTTATTCAGAACGGAACAGTGAAATGTGAAGAGGACACAGCTTGGCTGCGATGTAACGAGTACAAACACATAAGCATTATCTCCGCTTTCTGGGGAAGACGAAACTTCGGCCTGTGCACGGAACACACAGGAAACCTACAGTTTAACAAATACTGCCCGACAACGCCTCTCTTTCTGACAAAAGTTAAGGATGCCTGTGAAGGAACGACCATGTGCGAGATAAGATGCACAAAGTTCTTCTTCAACGATCAATCTTGCACAGACGTATACAAATACTTGGAAGTCTACTACAAATGCATTGAAGTTATTAACGGTCACGAGGTTGTGAACGAAGATAACCTACTCAACGCCAATTTCTTGGGTTGAACGAACGAACGAACAAACTTTCTATAGAACGTTACTTTGCTTCGCTCTCGGCTGTATCATTTCACTTTGCTGGAAAGAGTTGTATTTGTAAAAACGGGCTTGCCTGAGGATAAAAAAACGAATAAATCGCTTCAACTAAAAAGGGCGAAGGCCTCGAATTTCTAATTCTTCGGCGAAAGAAGACGACATACATGGTTCTTGTACTTGTGAACCATGTGTTATATCGATTTAAGGTAGTTTTCTTTCTGTACATGACATGATTAAATCATCTTTGTAGAATCGATCGATATTTACTCGGCTCGACTCTTTACGAAATTTGACGAATTAGTGTGACGCATTAGTGAGGTAGGGTCTCCAGTTTTTGTTGTCAACAGGTTTTTTTTGTTCTAATAAATTACCTTTTGTGCCGTAAGGGCACAGACTGACCAAGGTTTCCAGCACTGACAAACCTCCCGAATTGGCCAGACTGACCAAGAAGCAATGATCAGTAGCTGTTCAAATCGCTTGTGTATGATATAGTGCGATTTATGATGTAATCTTCACTCTTATATGTAAATAAACTGGTAATGGAATGGTTTACAGGTGTACACACGCCTTATGTAGTTCTAAAACAGTAACTCGATCATGATTGCTTTCATTTGGTGACTGATGGATGTCAATGAAGTTCTACTTCAGCATTATGAAGTTCAAGTTTGTCAATAAACGACGTTTCCGTTGTCCAATGCTTTCTTATTCAAACTCCCTTGTGTTTTCCGCAGTATTGCTCCCTTAAAAAATTTTTGTTCAAGAAATACAGAACCCAAACAGATCAATAAGGTGTATCACATCTCCTTAAGAAAAAAAGCTTGCAAAGCTGAACGCACACCAATAATAATAACACAATAATTAAGGGCAAAAGGTACTTTGTAAGGGTCTAAAGTATCACATCTACTCAAATTTGAGCGGAAAAACAAGAGTCACTTGAATAGCTGTGAATTCAATTTGACACGAATCAGTTGTAGGTCTGTAGAGGTCACCCATGCACTTTTTAATATATTTTGACATGCGCGGTGAAAACTGCATCTGATAAGTAGTTAGCCTCACCAGGCATCATTCCGTGGCATTGCAGTAGGTTTAGTTACAAAAGTACATTCCAAATTAACCAATTCTGCAATCTCGTTAGTCCATTTTAAAATCTGATGCACCACTCTCTGATTGGTGACCACCCGAATGACAGATTTGCTTTGGTGATGGTCACTAAAGGTGAATTAATTTGAAGTCTAACGACAACTTATGACTGACCTCTCTCAAATGGGTTTACCTAGGCTGCGATACTGAAATACATAGATAAGGTTGTTCATCTTGTGAAACCTCTGAAAATTAATTTATATTGCTTCTGCCATTGAGCAGTCTTCAACTTAGACATGTGCCCCTGCCTTCCTCTTCATTTTGTTATAATCCTTGATTATGGTCAAAGAACAGATTCATCTTTGTCTATTAGCTTTGAACATCTGCAGAGAACGTTATTTTTTATCTCCTCGCAAACCTCACACGTGGTGTTTCTGTAAGAATGGTTCGAGCTGGTTTTTCTAATTCTTTGATAATTCGATGTTACCATTTTTTTTTTCATTCGCTACTCTAAAGAATGGGGACCAAATGCCAAAATGTCTCAACAAGTTTTGTGACCATCAACAATAAAGCGTTACCACGGAGAAACCATAGTCTTTAACATAAAACCTTAATTAGTTGTGCTAGGTGTCTCTAACCTCTGAAAAGAGTCACGCGAACCCCTTTGATAATTTCTGAATTTAAACCAGCAATTCGTTGGAGAGATCCGCTCTAACAAATAGCTAACGGTCTAAACGTCAGCTTTATTACATCTTTACGATGTCCATTTCATTTTCCTAACTCAGTTGATAAAACCAATGATCTTGTAATAACTTCCCTCCCCCCCCCCCCCACACAGCACCACAGTTTGTTTGGAAACGCAGCTCTTTTGTTCGGATGTTACAAAAAGTAGAACGAGGAACTGAAGTCGGGGACAGGTAATACAGCGGTAATCCACATAGAAATTCAAAATGACAGATGAAAAGTCGGAAAAAGGTCTGAGCACCAGTTTTGAGCAAGTGTTCTTCGCAATTAGTTAGGAAGACAAATGAAACTTTAATTGAAGGGTTTTTAACCTTGATCTTTGAAAAAATGAGGTTTACGTTTATATTAGTCGCAGGTGCAATGGTAATCCCCCAGGGAAACATTGAGACTCTCAGGAAAACAAAACTAACTCTTTCTCTCGGGGGCTGACATTATGCACATATTTTTTATGGATTACAATGTCCTGTACACGCAGTTTGCATTTATGACCTCACATCAACAAAGTCCACTTACGTTAACCTTTTAACTCGCATTAATGACCAAAACAGAATTTCTCCTTACAATATCAATACAATGTCAACCAGATGAGTGATGAGAATAAAGAAAAATATCAATTTGGGGATAATTAGTTGATCCAATACTAAATTCTCTGAACTAACATTGTAAGAATGGTATGGTTGACAGTAAGGAGAATTATAGGTTTGATCTGGAAGATAAAGGGTTAACCTGAGGAATATGGGGTATTATCAAACTCTAAGACGCAACGAAATCTCAACTTGTACCATCAAAAAACAATATCGTTGTAAAGAAATTATTATCGAGCTGGTGTGATTAATTACCTAGGTACGTGAATCGAGGTTCATACGGAATTTGGTTAAGTTTCATCTAGTGTTTTAAAAACAGCCCTCATAGATGTATATAAAAATTTACAATATGCCATGAATTATAACTTACGAAATTCTGACAATTTTCTTTAGGAATTTGTGTTGTCTGTGAATCGATTTCGGCACATTTACAGTTCAGGGAACGATAGCACGAGAGGAGCCTTGTCCTTTTTTTCCGACCTTTTTGTAATGAACACCGAGTTTTCGCGCGCATCCAGAGCAAGATTCAACAAAAGATCTCCCGTAGAACTTTTGACAGTCATTGAGGACTTCCTGCTGTTCCTTAGAGGTTATCAGCCGGGCGTCAAACAAGGCCCCCCTTATTATGTTAGTTTGAATATGATACCTCGAGCGAGGATAACTCAAACTGACATGTTGAGTGCTTCAGAGTCAACATGGCTCAATGGGTTTGCAAAACCGTGACGTTTGTTTACACCAAGAAAGTGGGCCACGAGGTTGTTGAAATGGTTGAGAGGCTCTGTTCATCAATGAACAAAGATCAAACACAAGATTTGTTGTTTGAAATTATACTTCCAACTTACGAATGAAGGAAGGAAATCTTGCATGAGGTGAGATGTAACACCCTTGAACAAAGGTCTAGCACATCTTAAAGCTTTCATTTACGGGTCACTTCGGTAGAAAACTGAACGATTGCCACATTCATCTGAACTGATAACTTTTGAGACGTCTGGGCGACTGTTCAGGGAGAAATTCAGTTTTGTTTTTTAAAATCAAAACACTGTCTGATTTGTAGATCCGTAGATTTATAAAAACCACAAATAATGCTCATACTTCTGAAACACAAATGTGGGACGCTTATGAAAATAAAACTTTAGTTGCTTCGACAAATCAAATTTTCTCCTTCGTAGCTGGCCAAGTTACGACCTCTATTCCATGATTAAGTTTTATTTTAAATGTGGTAAGCTTCCTATTTTAGCATTTTACTTGTAATTGAAAAGAAATATGGATGGTTAGAAGAGAAATTTGTGGGTCAAATCGAGATTTCTAGAGGTTTCTCTCAAACATTTTCAACAAAAATATGATTTTTCTTTTCAACGTGGCGATAATTCTGAAATGAAACTTCGTCTTTACCTAAGTCATTGTGTTGTTGACTTTCTCGGCAAGCGAAGTGCTTTTTATACATTTAATCCAGAGAGTAGAATTTTTCAGTTTTTGAAAGCTGACGACCACTGATTGTTTGACTCAAGTAGGGTGACTGAATCACTCAAAAATCACCAGCCGTGTAGAAAAACTGGTGCCTGGCGCGCAAGTCGCTGAGCGCGTCATTGGCGGGTAAAGTGGACGAAGGCGCGTGGCGCGCTTTTGAGGCATGACGTAATCAAGTGACAAGTTCAGCAGCATTACCTAACAGCTTGGACTGCGACAGTGATCAAATCGGAACAGCACAACAGTGTCAATTTTATACTAGTTTTAAATTTTGCTCCCCGATTCTCTAGCCTTGGGATTCTTCAGTAAAGGTAAGAGTATTTCTAGGTTTATCATGAAGTCGTTGAGCTGCACAATTTGCCTCTCTAGTGTTCTGAAAGAAATGAAAAACCCGGGAACTCAACCAAGCGAAGCATTAACAATTTCACCGAGAAATAGTGTCAGCCTGATCCTCATGCACTTTTTGCGATTTCTCCAGTCCTAATTAACGCCGTTTTCTGGTCTATTTTGTCGTAAGTAAAATTACTTAAAGTTTTCCTTTTGTAGAGTTTATCCACGAAAACATCTGTGATTACTCATGCTTGGAAATTTGTTTGATCTGCTAAGTTAACAGCGAGTTTATTCAATTGCGATAAGCCTTCCAAAGAGTTAAGACATGACTTTTTTCAAGTAAGTTGCTTTGTGAAACATAAATCAAGGTGATTCTTTAATCTTGCAAACGCATTTTCTATATTTTTACGTTATCAATAACTGTTTATTTAAATACCTGTTGCTCTGATAAATATGATTAGGCAATAAGAAACCATATCCATGATTTTTCCTTAATATTTTGGCTAAATTAATTTTGTTTTCGTTGAACATGCTTAGAAGAACACAATCGCCACTGAATCAAAATGACAAATGTTTCGTAAACTTTGGCTTTTTCATACTCGAGAAAAACTTAGAATCTTTGACTTCAAAACGTTTCCACTGAACCGTATGGTTCGAGATCACAGCGTTAACTCGCTGATGGCCTAAATAAATAAACTGACTTACAAAATTAAACAGGAAAAAGGATCAGTAATTTTAAACTCAGGGATATCTCGGTTCATACCAGCGACTGATACGGATCGTGAGTCTGTCCTTAAAGAGAAATCGAACTGGAAACCCAGCGAGTGAAAATTACACCGTGAGAGAAAGGGCGCCACAGGGCAGAGATAGTTACCTTCATATCTTCATTGCTACCTTTGGTCCGCCATGTTTCACTTCTGTCTTCTGCGGTTTTAGTAATTTGTTGTCATTGATCTTGCAAAGTTAAGTGAATCAGTTTTTTTAAATCAGGGAAAAGAAAAAAATCTCAAGAAATTAAAACCCCGCGTCCTTTTCGCTTGAACGCTGATTTATATTTTGAGATTTTTTAACATCAGATCATAGTTATTTCTTTCAAACAAATTTCGCGTTTCTTGTAGAGACGTTGATATTCATCAAAGAAGAATAGGGATCGCGATCTTAAATTTTGTCCAAGTCTGTATATCATTCTCTGTCATTTTCATTATTCTTCGGTTACGTTTTGCCAGTCGATTTTTTGGTGGAAATATGGTTTTAAACGGTACAAATTCCCCCTTAAATTAACCTATAGGGCACGATTTAATATACTAAATCAGCTAAAACCAACCTAAGGATGTGATATTTTTTCTAGTTATATATTGTGCAATATTTGCCGGTCAATTCAGCGAAATGAGCTCAAATTTGGTCCAGTAAACAAAATCCTAAGATTGTGGTGATTACATTTGTATAGATGAAATTTAAGCCATCTTGGTCTTTAGTTTTGTTTTTTGACAAAATTTGACAAAATTTGGCACCTTAACCAAAACTTTGTCACCCACTCGATTCAAATACTCATACCGTATTAAGAGCGCTCTTATTTAAGAGTTAAAGGGATTTAAATTAGTGAATATTCAATTAAAATTTTGCGCTTATGGGCTTTGCGTTAAGTTTGGACTTCTTTAACGAGCCTCGTAGGATAACCGTGCACCCCAATGGAAGAAAATGTTTTTACACCCAAACTCTTTCATCCCAAGCGTCGTTCATTTAAATTTTTGTCAACCTAAATTTTCCTTCCAAAAGCTGGCTTAAACTCTAAACGATCTGAGCATTGCAATTTGCGTTATAGTTACGAATCAAGATGTCTTTCAAAGAACCAATTTTAATACCGAGAATAAAGAAATATATGATTCCTTAATGCATGCGGTTAAATTTCATAAGTTTTCTAACTGGTGCTTCTATACTTCTGGCCAGTGGGCCCTAGGAGTAGCACATTCTGAAGTATTTTATTAATTTCCAAATGCAAAAGAGACGTTATGTCTTCTATCATATGAAAAAGGAAAATTACATGTCACCCCATGTGGGTTATTGATGCGTAACTGAACTGTGTTGATTTGGAAAATTTAGCCTTTTCATTACTTTGTAGGAAATGAATAATGCAAAACTGTTGTTCTCAATTTCTCCATGCTATGTGGTCTGTTTGTGGATAGGGGAACATTCTATAAAGAAAAACAGGTGTCTACAGAGATGTTAAAGAGATTCTTGGTAAAAAATAAGCAGGGCTATGATGTCAGTTGTTCCCGGGGTCGGTGTGACAGGTACCCGTTATCCAGTCAAGTTACCTAACCAAGATTTATCCACCGCGTTAACATTTTAACGACCTATATTTGATTTTAGGCTATGAAGGCTGCTACAGGCCTGCTTAGGCTGGCTTTGGGCCTCGCTTTATTTTTATTAGCGGTAAGTTACTCAATTTTTCTATTACGATAACCGAAGCTAAGCTCCAAACAATCTTTTTCGGCTGTCAATCGGTACTTTGGTCGATATCCATCGATGGCAGGTGAAACCTTGACAAGAGAATTGTCATCGTTAATACAAATATAGAAGTCATTTGAAAAAGCAATATTCTATCTCAAGAAAAATTTATGGTACAAAGACACGGATTAAGTCCATCGGATGACATTGGGTTACATTGTAAAGTATCAAACATAGAGCTATTTATAATGCAGAATCTGATTGTAATTAAATCCAACATTTTACTTCGTACCTAGCAATGTTCTCCACTGCAACGCAAGCCACATGTTCTCAAGAAACGCGACGACATGCTGAGCTATTACTGGGACCAGAAATTGCCCTTAGGCTTCTTTGTTAATGGTCAAGGAGGTTTGATGGGACCTCCGGGGCCCCCAGGACCCCCAGGGGCCCCTGGTTATATGCTTGGTGGCAGTGGAAGTGGAAGTGGTGATGCTGTTACTCGAGGGGGAATTCCTGGACCTCCGGGGCCCCCGGGACCTCCTGGTCCACCCGGGCTTGGTGGTGCTTCTGCTGTGAGTAAACTACTTTTCATATCGCTAAATGAACTTGTTGTGTTTTAGGTAAGGATCAGATATTGCCGTGTAAAATTACCTGTTAAGAAATCTACTTAAATTAAGGCTCTACAGGATCATTTCAAGTTTTTTTTCTTTTCTTTTCAAATCAAATGTGAAACATGGCACTAGCTTTACTTGATTGATGACTATAAGAGTTTTCCAGCCGAGTGGGACTGGTCACAAACAAAACAAAATGAACTTTTGCTTTCTGCCTTCATACGTTTTTGCCATAAAGGAAAAAATATTTATGCTTGTTTTGAATGGAAGGTAATACCTCTTGCTCTGTTGGATGTAGCTACCATCCAGGAAAAGCTGACAAACTGAGAGGAAACTTTGCCTCTTGGATTTGCGCTATATTTAACCATTCATTTTATTTGTGCTGAAAAAAGCTGAGGCTGAGGATTTTTCTTTCAATGGTTTCTTCGACACGATTTCTTAATTCTCATATTTCAGGGTGGTTATCTCTCTTTTGTTTGTTGCTGAAGGAAAAGGAGCTATTTTTGTCTTTCGTCTCTCTTCTCAGGGTGCTCAAGAAACCATCACCTGCGAGGGCGAGAAGGAATGGATTGAGTGTCCACAGTACAAAGTTATCAAAATCAGCTCTGCATTCTGGGGTCGAGATGATGATGCTACATGCACTACAAACGGCGTTCAACACGGACTCAGCACCTCGGCCATGTGCCCTCAGGACGAATCCAACACCATGACCAAAGTTGAAGGACAATGTAAAGACGAGCAAGCCTGTGAACTAGCAGCAACCTCCACCTTCTTCGACAAGACCGATTGTGGACAAGTATATAAATATCTACGTGTGAAATACGAATGTCTGCCTAGCGAATCAAGAGTCAAAGCAGCAATTCAAAGATCAAGAATAAGCGGTTAATTTGATTCTGCATTTAACTGACATTTACTCTATCACATGATAGACCACTGACAAACGATTCCACCGCCTAATATGGTTGTGCTGTTTAACGGATGTGGGACTTCTACTTAGCTAACGTGCGTTTATGAGCTTGTTAATCGCTAGATCAGGAATTCAAACCTAATGAGCCTATTGGAGGTAATGAGAAAACAGTTTTTCTCAACACGATGCGCTTGACTAACTGTTAAACTTTAAAGGATTGGAGAACGTTCATAGCGATAAACAACCTCACGTTAGATGGTTTAAAGCGTTTCGTTTAAAGATGGAGGAAAGATAAAATAGAGCTTCCATGCTAACATGGTGTAAATCGATCGTCCAGCAGGGAAGGATACGATATTCTATTCCGTCATATTGCACATTCTTTTTCAATAATTTCAAATGTGTATATAGTTATATTTCTAAAACTCGTTTCACTATTTCGTGAAATAGAAATCCTTGTAAAAATTACCAGCCATTCCAGTAGGCCATCGTAAGCACTGTATTGTACTGACCACAAAACGCGGTGAGACGATTACATGATGTGCTGTAGAATCTGATAACATAGGTGACCATACATGTCACTAGCTCGCGACGTTGTTACGTCTTTTATGTAGCCCCCTATGAATTACAACATTAAAGCTTTATGGTCTTCTAAGATTTACCAGTGTCTCTAGATATTTATAGCTTCTCTGCTGCCCCGCTCCTATCACGTGCTCATATTGAAGGAAACAATTAACCCTTTAACCCCCAAAAGTGACTGGCATGTAATTTCTCCCTATCATATCACGCCTTAACCAAACATTAAGGTCGGGAGAATAAAAGAACTGATCACTATCTGAAGAAGCTCTTGATTGTTAGACAAATTCTCCTTGTCGGCGCCCTAGGAAATGTTTAGAGACCAGTATAGAGAATATGCACGCTGATGTTCGGGTGTAAAGGGTTAACAACTGTTTACCGAAGGGGAGATGGATAATTGTTTTAGTATCCAATAAAAAAGTGAGATATTAAAGCACAGGAAGATGATTTTAACTTGTTTATTCCGGCAACAATTACAATATTTTTCGGGTGCAAATCCCGGAGGTGAATGGAAAAGAATATACGGAGTTTTAGTAGCCAATTAGAGCGCGCCTTCGACGCTATGCTTTGTTTTAATAGATGTTAAGTGTCCGTTAAGTATACATAGATATTGCTTAAACTTTCTATAGGCAAGCAAGTTCCCTAGCTTGATTAAATCTTTCCAAGTTAAAGAGAAAATTTGACTCTAATCTATATCCATGGCAACTCACAACGCGATTTTTCTACATGCACATAGAGTGCTCTGTAAGCAACGTGCAAGTTGACAATTTATTGTTTATTCTTGAAAATTAAAGTTTTATTAGCTTTAAAATCTGACCTTCATATGCGAGGTTGTTTAAGCCATTAGACGTTACAAAACCCGCTCTTGAGAAAATTAAAAAGTGTTACTGCTCTTTTTTTTTGTTACATACATAACTCATGCATCTCGGAAATGCATCTTAAGCTGCGTTAAATAATGTGGGGACCTCTCTGGCGTTATTTAGTGCGGTCTATTGCTAAAATATATCTAAGAAATCCAGACTACTTCAACGCCTTGGGCCCACACTGAAACGTCAGAGGATTCCACCAGGATGAATACTGAACAAAAAAGTTTAAGCTTTTTCGGTGAAAACAAGTGATTCGCTACGTTACATAATATTTGGCACCACATTGCAGAGGTAATCGAAACAAGATTTGGCCAAATCAAATTTTTTCTGCGGTTCTTCCATCACACCATTGAATTACTGAAGAAAGTACGCGATCCCTTTATCCTGAAATATCTGCCTAGTCTGGGCAAACAAGTCTTCATTAAAAATCCATCTTCGGACGATATAAATGAGGTGTAAATTTCGTTCTCTTCCAATTTTTAGGGGCACTGTAATTATTTACATCAACCTCCACGAGCCAACTTAAGTTGTTTGGGTCAAAGGTGATGGGAGAAAAACTTCTTAGGCTATTTTGCGCCCATTCCGCTCATCATTCTACAGTCATATACAACCTTCAGAAATTTCGACACGCCAGGACACAATGGTTTCTCAAAGAACGCATCGGACACAGGGAAGCCACAAGTTGGCTGCCCTTCGCAAACATGACGCAGCTTCTTCACAGCATACAGAGGTTCCACTGGAGGACACATCTTCATTTGCTCCCTAGGCTTGTCAGGTATACAGGTTTTCAAATCGTTCCTTCCCCAGAACGCTGAGTTGATCTTTAGTCCTTCTTCCTGTCCAGCGCATGAGAGTGTCAACATGTGTCCCTCGCAACCGAGCGCCGTGGCGTTCGCTTGCCGGACCCATTCGGTAAGATTGCTTTCAAAAGGGAAACCGAAAGCTGTAAAAAGCCAGGATAAACACCAGCATATACAACGCAATTCCCAAGGAGCCCGCATTTCAGGAAAACAATTTTCGTACTAGATAAGACAGACAAAATGTACGTCTTCTATGTATATCCTTCTCATTTCGTGTTTCCTCAGCCGTTGGTCAATATGCTACACACAAGTATTACAATATTAATGACTTTTTGATTCGCCAATTGGCTTTCTGATTCCAGCACCAGTTCTAGTTGTTTTCCTTCTTTTTCATCAAATCGATTCGCTCAGTGTAACTCGAACACTTTGGTTGACCTGTCCTTAGTTTTCCTATCTATTTTGAGATTGCCCATTATACCGTTTCAAAGTTATTTTGGAATTAACCTGACTACTTGAAGCTCGAGAACAGGAAGGAAGCTATTAATTCGCATCAGAAGGAGACTAATACTTAAGACTAAGTTCATTAAGTTACGTTCACGCATGAAAGTTGCTGCAATTTAACCACCCAAAAGTGGTTAAATTGTGGATTCTCTAGTTTTTTAAAATTGCTCTTTATTGAATTGTTTTGTATGGTATCAGCAGCCCCTGAAGTGCCGCCCTCCCTTGCCGCCCGTTTGTAAATTCGAGAAAATTATTGAAGTACCGTTGTCACTAAATTTTTTTTTGCTGAAGCTGTTATATTTCACATCATTAATAACTTAATGTTCTCTCGGCTGCATCTGTTCCTATTTGATTGACGTGCGAAAATATTTTATAAACTGAAAAGCAGAGTTAAATGCCATGTATTATTGGAAACAGATTGTGACTTTTGGTAATTGATCTCCACTTTAATGTAATTTTATCTTAAGACGTTGAGAAAACAAAGAGCACTGGTTCCTTTCCTCCTCAGTAGATTAGACACCAAGTGACAGAGTGACATGTGCTTCAAAACTAACTGATGACCTGATCGAAAACAAAGCAGGTGTTTCCAGTATTGACCCGAAAACAGAGATAAGCGATCAATTTTAGGATAATTATCGGGGATAAAAGGCTAGAATATTTTTTTGTGTTGAAAGAGATTTTTTCTCGTAAAACGTTCGCTTCTTGATGCTCGAGAAACAGGTTTAGTCTCATGCGAAAAGGTGAAGCTAGCGCATGCGTTGTTAACAGATTACATACCTAGGAGATGACTTAATTACGTAACCTGAAGGATGACTTTATGAAAACAGTATTTGCATGCACCGCCGGCTAGTCATAATTTTGTAAAATTGAAAATTTCTCCTCGTCCGAGGGTAACTTTGAATTTTTTAAAAAATTATTTTGTTATATCACGCTTTCCGTTGTTTGTGTTTCGAAGAAGCTAACTTTGAAATATTTTTTTGTGCGTTTTCGCTTGTAGTTTACTGCTAATTTGTCTGCTGGATCACCAGAGCAGCCTACCTGTAATCTTATTTAACAAGGTAAGTGAAAAACTACGTTTCGTTTCTTGTTATTAATGTTCTACTTTAGCGTGCGGTTCACCTACGACGATTTTTGCTATCAAAACTCGGCAACGCTTAACTTAGGTTCAGTAAAAGAGTCCAACTGGCGGCTTAAATTCAACGTGAGGTAATTGTTTGTGTTACCAAATGGTTCATTTCGTTTAATGTTAGAGACTCAAATAGCATCAGGAACGGAATGACCTCTCCAATTCTCCAATTAATCATAATTTACTGATTTTTTTCGACTGTTTGTTAGGGAGATATTGTCCCTTACGCTGAGTCATACTGGTAAATTTTGATAACACTTTGATTAATTTTGGGTACTGCAAGAACGTTTTATACTGATATGAAAAAACTCGATATTGGACAATGTAAGTTATATGATATTTGCTGTTATCACTGATCTGTTTTTTCCTCTGTACTTACTGCAGTTCGCCAACAAAGCTGGAAAAAGCTGTGCATTAAAAAAAACGGCAGAGGGTGCCGGAGATCCCTTTTCCAAACATTGAACAGGTAGGGCACGAAAATTGTCTCGCGGAGATGTGCAAAAATTTGGTTCTTTGATTCTTAGACTAGGCGCACAGATAAATGTGAAGATTTATTCGAAATATTTTGCACGGGCATGGTTTTATGAAAGCGTAGAAATATTTTTTACTAGAAGCCGATGAGATCAAGGTAGTTAAATCTCTCAAGTGTCAGTCCACGACCGCCGTAGAGGGAATCATCATTGCCAAGCTCAATGATTCTGATCATTATAGTCGAATAAAGACAAGTGTCCAACGATATATAAACTACCGTGACATTTACTGGTCAATTCTGGATGGTTAAGAGGGGCATGCTTGAGACCACAAATTAATTAATAGATTCATAAAATTAGCTCATTCACTTCTTTATAACATAATTAATCATTTTGTGAACATGGCAATATTTCTTCTCTATCAAGGTAAAATATGACGCTGCTCAGAACGACTTTAACCACCATTTTAGTCATAACTCTCACTGAGTGTACTAAGGTAAGTCAGTGCAATGCATCATACGCATCTATTATGAAAGTTTGTTTCATGCATTTCCTGATACTTTCTTTTATTTCTAAAATCTTTCTTCCGATTGTAACTAAGCGCACTTTGCGTAACGAATGTAAAGCTGGATCATTGTCAGACGACAAACTTAGTTTTTGTTCTTTACATAGTTACTCGTGCAAGTTTTCATGGTTTATTGAACCTCTAGAAAGTTATCAGATATTTGGGTAACCTGTATGCATTATTTCCTTCAGTAACGCTAAATTTATGCGAGAGTCTGCCTGTACCGACGGAGATCTTTCCCACAAGTTGTGAACTGCATTAGCAAAATGGTTCTAAAGTGGCGTCTTGTAAATATTTCCAATTTGGCAGATGAATCATCGTTATGTAATGACTGGCGGACACTGGTTCCTATTATGACCGAACTTATTCTCAACGCTATCTCAGAAATAAAACAGATAGTTCGTTTGAGCAGTGTGAATTCATAAGTACATTTAAGACTTTGAGCTTCTGATTTGTTGTTTGAAGAGTTTTATTTCATCCTATTTATCAGCTTAGTGATGTTCCTGACAATGTACAGCTTCAAAAGGATTCAGATATCAACCTGATGGAGGTTTTAGAGAGCCTTGCACCAGTTCCTAGCGAGGAGGTAGTAGCTATCAGACCCAAAGGAGAGGGAATAGAGAGATTTAGGCGAAGAGTGGAGCCTGCCAGCGGAATCTCATCTCTTTCAGAGCTTCCAGATCTCCCAGCACCCCAAGAAAATAATTCCATCTTCAGTCATCGATCATTTTCTGACAGCGGAGCTACTCCTTCTTCTGGAGAAGGCGAGTGGGACAGCGGACACGCTGCGTCATCAAAAACAAAGAAAAGCGAAATAGCCGGAGAGGATGCTTCTGGTTCTGGAGAGGGGTCTGGGATATTAGAGCACGAGCCTACTGAACAAGAAAAACCAGTTGTGGTGACACCAGCTACACTCACGTCGGACGACGAAGGTAGCTCGGTGGCTCCATCTAGTTTGGCTGGCGCTGCAACAGCACAGCCCCCTCCGGTCGCCACATCACACAATGGCGAGAATAAGCCTTCCAACGCCGTTGCTGGTGCCGTATCCTTTAATGCAGTAGAGCCTGAAGAAACTGGATCAGCTCAGCTGCGGTCAGTCTCGAACATGAGTGCTCTAACCCAAACCAAAAATATAATCAAAGAGTCGCCTGCTGCTCAACTTCCTAAAGAGGAAGTTCAGCAAACGGCTACCACTAACAAAGATGCACCTGAATCCAGCGGAGTGGAAGAAGCAGCTCATTTTGTTCCATCTGCCGTTACCAAACAGGCTCATACAGCATCTGGATCAGGGGAGTCAAGTGGAAGTGGGTTAAGTGCTGATGAGCTTGCTTTCATTGCTGGTCTTAAGAAAGCAAAGGGGCAACAGAGCACTCCGCTTCAGACACCACAGAGAGCTAAGCTACCAGGTAGTGTGGGAAGCGATGAAGATGACGATGACAATGATAATGCCGATGAGAGTGGAGATGCAAGTGCAGAGCAATCAGATTCAAGTGCTAGCGGAGCACAGGAAGATGAAACGACATCTTCTCAATCTGATGATGATCAAAACGAAGAAGCTCAACAGAGATCAAAAACGAGCCAAAGACTCGGAGAGAACGCCTCAGAAGATGACGATGACGATGACGATGACGATGACGATGACGTCTCAGCCGATGGTTCTGGATCAGCCTCTGGCGACGATGAAGATTATGACGATGAAGACGACTCTGGGGAGTCAAGTGCTGACAAATCAGAGAGAAGAGATACCATTGTTGATGTTGCTAGTGGATCTGGAGTTGATTTTCTTTCAGGAGTGGGTGACTCTGATAGCGAAGATGATTCTTCAGAGAGCTCCGGAGAAGATGACGAGCCTGAAGATGACTTGCCAGGCAGTATAGGTGAAGTGAACGACATTGCAAAATTAGAGCAGAAGCCTGTCCAGGCCGAGACTGCGCCTGGGTTTGCATTTGCGTCTGCATCAGGTGTGCCTCCCAGTAGTCACGAGCTTGCCCCCGCCTCTGGCTCCGGTTTACCCGATGTACGTAAACAGTCTGTCAAAAAGCCTATGCTAGACCAAACATCACCAAAGGCTTCTATTCCATCATCAGGATCAGGGGAAGAAGAGCTACCAGGAAGTGTTGGTGGTATTTCTGACATTGGTCAAGTTGAATCAGCAACTCATACAGAGACAAGCTCTGCTGCCTCAGGCTCAGGTGACTTTAAGACAACATCTCAATATAAACAAGACGAATCACTTCTGCAACAAGTTTTGCAAAGCGAATCTTCAGGTTCTGGTGAGTCAGAAAAGCAAGATGAGAGTCTTCCAGGAAGCGTGGGTGGACAAATTAACTTGGAAGAAACAACAAGTGCTTCGGGATCTAAAGCCGAACCTCTCGCAATCGTCAGTCCTGACTTTGGAACAGGTTCAGGCGAAAGTCCAAAGCTTCGCTCTTGGGAACCTGTTGTCTCCCATCCCCAAGAGTCTCTCAATTCTGGATCAGGAAGCGATGAGAAGTTTAGTGGCTCTGGAATTGCCGACAACCTGGAATCTTTGGCGTCATCTTCAGAGGACGAGACTCTTCCAGGAAGTGTTGGAGCTGTCGGTCCCAATCTTATGACTATGGCATCTCCAGAAAATAAGCCGGGTTCTGGGATGGCAGACCAGTCTGGTTCTGGCTCTGGAGTTGGAGGATCAGGGTTGCAAGAGGAGGTTAACTTGATGAGAGCATTTAAGTTTGGCGATGGTTCTGGATCAGGACTGGAGCAAGTAGATAACAACGAGACCCACGTTGCGAATGAGATAGATTCAGTCAACATAACTAAACCATTACCGGCTTTCGGAGATGGAAGTAACGTAACGCAGTCGGAAAATTCGACTATCATTGCACAGACTAAGGAAAACAGCGCTGTGAAGAATAATGAAAGCAGTGGAGAATTTGGACTTTTACAATCCCTTCAACCCTTTGGGGGATCTGGAACTGCAGAAGAGCCATTACCGGGTGGATTTGGCAATGGGGACAGTACTGACATTCAGTCGCTGGCTGGTTCTGGAGGAGAAGATGCTTCTGGCGTTACCTTAAGCTCCGGCTCCTTTGGCTCCTTTATGGATGAAGGCATCTCTGGATCAGGATCAGGAGTAGCAAACTCGGACGTGATATCTGAAGTATCAGAAGGTAGTAGTAGTGGAAGTGGTAAATTTTGGTCTGACTCAGAGGAGTTGCAATCCCTTTCGAAAAAAGATTATGCCCCTACAGCCTCAGCCTTAGCATCAGCATCTGCTAGTGCTACGCAAGACAGTGGATCAAGCTCTGGCTCAGGCAACTCTCCGTTACCAGTCGCCAAGCACAACTACTCACCAACGATAAAGAGAGTTGGGACAGGTATCTCGTTCACCCCTATGGCCGCATCGGCGTCAGGCTCTTCTTCATCTGGCCAATCAGATTCTAGCGCAAGCGCACTTCCGGGTAGCGTTGGTGTCGAGGAGTCCTTTTCCTCTTCTGGATCTGCAGTCTTTGATACCTCCGGGTCAGGATTTATCCCGATCGGTGACATTCCTCAAGAGGATCTGCTAAACACCGAGGTTGAGACATCTGCTTCCGGTTCTGATGAAATCAACGTCGTTGAGTCCGGTGCAGGCGAAGGGTCTGGTGCGCACTCAAATAAGGATGAAGAGGTGGAAGAAACAGCCTTACGCTCGCACACTGATAACCTGAAACCCATATCTTTCAACCTAGACTCAGCTGGACTTCAAGCGGATGTTCAAGCAGCTCTAGGCAAGACGCCTATTAATTTAGGTGTCGGATCAGGCAGTACATATGGCTTAGGTTCTGGTGGAGGGATCGATTACGGATCCACCTCAGACTTCTTATCAGGCTCAGGTGGCAGCGGTACGTTAGAGCTAACCCCAGCAACCACCCCATCAGATGCGATTGTAAACCTGTTTGGTAATACGTTTGGCTCTGCTGGGAAAGAAAACTCAAGGAGTTCTAATAATAGTGTGGCTTCGAGCGACGAAGGATCATCATTTAAACATCAAAAGCAAGGAAAGAACAGGCATCAAATACCTGTAAGTGGAAATGATGAGACTGCCTTCTCCGACGATGAAGAACAGGTTAGATTTTGTTTCAGCAGAGATATATCATACTAATCCAGTTCGATGCCTGTAGTATATTCTGATGGGGCGCGTTAATGATAAGCGTAGTCACTGAGATGTTTCTCATTCAAATAAATATCACTCTATCTAGAGGGATATATTATCCAACTTAAAGTTCGTAATGTACGTAAACCAATATGCAGCTACTTTCTCTTAGAAACCCACAAAATGATAGCATGGTTGCTGTCATGGTGGTATAACGTAAAGCTTTTGGAGTAGTTTTGAGCACATTTCGCAACAGTGAACCGTCGAAGTTTGGCTTTGGAATAACACCTGTAATTTGACCTTGGTTTATAGTGCTTTTATTCCTCAAAGTTCAGTGAAGTCGAGATTCATTCACTTAATGTAAAATTTCAGCTTGCCGAATGCTCACTATTTTAGAGCCAACAGCTCCAACTTTATTCCGCTTTGATTTAAGTTCACATTCAAGGATTGGTTAAGCTCTTTATCAACCTATGCAACGAGTGCTTCTTCGACTGCGTTGTTTGCTCTCTGTCTCATCAATTTTTGCTCAAGTCCTCGAAAACATTTAGCTATTTCAGAAAAGCAGATATAAGGAGATACTTAACTATGTTTGCCTCTATTTTTTTTCAGGTGGAATTTGATCTTCCCAAGCCTGGAGACACAGTTGACCAACAACTGCTGGACCGATTTATGATCAGTCAAATCTTAGAGCAAAATCTCACATTGTTTTACGGAGGCCTTTCTGGTCGCCCTGGCAAACAAGGTCCTGTTGGCCCCCCTGGAGCAACCGGAATGAGGGGTATGACTGGAGCTATGGGCCCATCAGGTCCAATTGGTGACGTAGGATCCCCTGGTGCTGATGGTGAGTCCGGTCCGATAGGTCCTCCGGGACTCCCTGGGATGCCTGGCTTCAAGGGAGAGAAAGGACCACCAGGTCTCATGGGATTAGCTGGGGAGCCAGGTGCACCTGGAATTCCGGGACCTTTAGGAAACGTTGGCCCTGCTGGTCCAGAAGCTGTAATGCCGGTTAGTAATCGATCTGAGCTTATCTCACAATCCTTAGAGAGTAATTTACTAGCTTTGAAACATCAAAAAACACTAAGTAGGGACAAATCTTGATAAAAATGGAAATTTGTAGGCTTTGACCCGTCAGAGCCCCTAACATAAAGGTTCTAAGGCAGAAAATTCTAAAATCATTACGCCCCCACTTGCTCAATGCTGATTGAGACAAGTGCCAGAACATAATTTAAAAAATCCTACAGTTTTTTAGAACTATTAAACCATTTCCTTTTTCCCCATACCCGTGCGTTTAAGATATTTTACTCTTACGAGAAACGGCTCAGCTATTTGTCATTGTTAAGAACAGTTTAACGGGTAAACATTTTTTTTGTTTGTTTTTTTAATACACGAAACTGGCGCAGGCGGCATCATGAATAAAAACGTCAGACCTCTCAGTTTCTACTAATTATATAACACTCTAAAGAACACAAACTCATACATCCATGCCCAATTTTAAAGCATTTTATCTTATGATTGAATTCGAAACAATAAAACACTAATCTTATTTTCCTTTCATAAAAGTTGTGCGGACGTTTAAGCCCTCACCTTTACAAAACATCCCTCGAAAGAAAAGTTCTTAGCTTCAGATATTATCGTTATCGTATCATACACGTACGTCGTTTATGTTTACGTCATTTTCTTTATGCGTTCTCAGAACTGTTCTTACATTTGCGAGGGAGAGAAGACTTGGCTTCAGTGTAAGCAGTACGAGACCATCAAAATAAACCGTGCGTTCTGGGGACGAGAAGAAAACGAGTTCTGTCCTAAAGCCCCAGTTGGTCTTGTCACAGACAAGATTTGCGAGACAGATGCAGATAACACATTTAAGAAAGTCGAGAGCCAGTGTAGGAACAATCAAGCGTGTGAGATTGTAGCTTCAAACACGTTCTTCGATGATCCAACGTGTAAGAATACGTTCAAATATTTAAAGCTCTGTTACGAGTGTATTCCGGATGAGGTACACACCACAGACGTGTTGCTTGACTTGGGAAAAAGACGAAAGAGAGGAACTCGTCTGGAGGACGTTCTAAGAAAGCGGAGAGAAAAGTCTGAAAGGGAGAAACTGTTAAAAGACCTTTGGAAGCATCCATATCATGCCAGAGTCGTGTGATTGGCTTTCTTCCGATCTGTGCATGTATATCTAGATCTTAGGTATTTTGTAAATAGCTTATTGTCGTCTTCCTTCGAAAGATAAGGTAAAAGTGGGCCACTGAGATAAAGGGGCTGGCTGAATCGAACCTCCTCTGGAATACTGTTATGGATCTGTTAATTTTGGGGACTCGTTTAAAACAAGAAGATGATTAATCATTCATATGGTCTTAAAAAATCATCCGTGATAAGACCTCGAATAAGTATGAATCTCTTCAAAGAAATTAACTGAATTTTGCTTGTTTACAACATAATCAAGTTTTATGTAGGCAAGAATAGTGACGAAGAGTTGAAAACTACGTGAGTTGGTCAATATGGCGACTTTAGAATAGTACTTATGCTCTTGAGTTGCAAAAAAGACGACGTTTCTATGCAAGAAAAGAGAGAGGTTTGTATTTCGGATTCCTTTGGCGCTCTTTGAACCCAATCAATAGTTTCTTTTTCAGGAAAGAGCTGACTAGATATATTTTCATGCCTGCGTACAATTGTAACATGAAATGCCTCGAGTTCTGATTAAAAAAATTTCTTTGGCAGGAGATAAATGCAACATCTCGCTGGAAAAGCAATAGAAGATTAGGTTTGAATGATAATGAGTCTCGAAACCTTTCGATCCAATCAAAAGTTATTCACTGTACATGTGTTTACACCGTTTTCCTCTATGGGAAAATGCACGAAATGAATTCTGTCTGTAAAATAGGTTTGATTATTTTATATTGAACATAAAGCTAAAGATTGTATAATAATGAAGATATGGCACCCTTTCGGTAATCGTGAAACAGGAGTTATGCCCACAGCTGATGAATTTTACCCAAAGTCACACTGACTGATATGTTAAATCAAATGTATCTCGTCGTTTCATTAGAGGGGAATTCTAGGCGAATAGGGAGTTTCTGAGATATTTCCTTGAATAAAATGTTTTCAAGAAAGAATACTTGGTGTGAAATGCCTTTTTGGAGTTATCCTTTTTGCTAGTGAGTCCCACTGAAACTGGGGATCTAACACTAACCACATCGATGCATTGCAATGCAATGCAATGCAAAGCAACCAGACTCGTACCAGCGGTTTGAGTGAAATGACTGTTAACTGTTTGCCAAGTCACCGCTGACAGTCTCTAACTGTTTGCCAAGTCACTAAACGCGTTGGAGAACCGTGAGATAGCTTGAATATTGGTCAACAAAAGAGATACAATCAAGTGGGTTAATTAAACCGATTCTTACGGTTCGTGAGCGCGTGGTTCATTAAGAAAAAAAAATAGAAACCTAACATAACTCAATGGAACCAATAATTCAGAAAGTATGAATGCTGCAATTCTTTCTCGTTGACATAAAAGAGGAGAGGAAAGCGTAATGGCCTAAAATAGAAAAAAAGAATCGCAAGGGGCCTAAAAGTTGGTGTTTTATTAAAACTAAGAAGTCGATTTCCATGCAAATAAGCAACAATCTGTGTCAAGTTATGACAAGATATTTTCTTGTTATTGGTAACTGGTTAATCTCAAAGCTTCTTTGGATCGACGCGCGGGTTTGTATCCATGCCTCTTGGATAACGGAGTTCAGTGAAGACCTGTATTCTTGACTTGATGAAACATTTTGTTTGCGCGATCAAAAATCTATTTTTATACCATTGAACTAAGTTGATACTCTTGGTTACAAAAAACTTCTGGAGATATTCATGAATGAAATCATCAGTTCAGTACTCTTGATAAGTTCAGTCTTTGAACAGATAAACTCATTTCATTCTTATTCTTTTTTGTTTTCTTTCCGTAAGAAATATGTTCAACTCCGGAAGGGTTGATTACCATTTCATGCAAAATCAATTTTTACCAAGTCTATGAAAAGTCAGCCCTATTGCACGTTGTGATGATTTGCATTCTGTGCACTTTTGTACAAAAAAGCGTTGCTCACAAAGGATAAAGGTCCCTTTGAAAAGTTCACCTTGCAATGATTTTCGCTGAAGGTGGTGCGATTCGATCTTGCATGACTGCGAATTTGTTGAACAAAGCTAGAATTGTATTTTTTGCGTTCTCCATCTCTAGTAAAAAGCTATTTCACACGTTTAATCAGTTTTAGACTTTATCTCAAAACTGTTCTTATAAACAGCACGAAATATGGAAGCCCTTCTACAAAGTTAACCCTTTAAACCCTAAGAGCGACTAGTATCAAATTTCTCCCAACAGTATCACCCCTAAATCACATGTTAAGGTTATGAGAATAAAAGAATGACCCCAAGAGTGACTAGTATCAAATTTCTCCCTACAGTATCACCCCTGAATCACATGTTAAGGTTATGAGAATAAAAGAGTGACCCCAAGAGTGACTAGTATCAAATTTCTCCCTACAGTATCACCCCTGAATCACATGTTAAGGTCATGAGAATAAAGGAAATGATCACCAACGAAAGAAGCTTTTGATTGGTAAACAAATTCTCCTTGTCAGCACCTTAGGAATGTATAAAGTGCAGTATAGAGAATATGCATAGTGACTTTAGGGTGTAAAGGGTTAACAATTATTGAAGAAGGTAAGAAATCGAATAAAACCTTTGCGATGCCCACGCAAGCCTTTGTCGTTTTTAATTTTGAGAGCAACTCAGTCAAAGCCATTGTGGCACCGTCATATGGCACTCTAAAATACTATAATTTTTTTTGTGTAGCTTTAGCCGGTATTTCGGGAAAGTCTGTTCATCTGACTTTGAATAACGGTTGTTCTGAAACCTCATCTTTTGAATTTTGTTATTACTCACATGGTTTAGTTTTAGTGCTCCAGCTATTGCTTTTAAAGTAAGTAATAGTGTACGGGTAGATCACGCAATTTTGGAAGAAGATAGCAAAAGGTTGAGGTTCTCGCCTCTTAATTGACGAATTAAGACATACCATGAGGTATCTCTGGGGAGCCTTTGATTCTTGTCTTAGACTTTTTACATTTGTCAAATTTTACTTGACCGCGCCAATGTCCTTCAGATATGGAGATAAACAAAGTCAAGTATGAAATAACAAATTAAAAATAAGATCCCAGTTTTCTATTAAAGAGGAAATCTTTGATGTTCTTATGAATATGATGAAGTTTGATTAAACACTGTCCAGTTGCTCGGTGCTGCAGAAGAACGTTTGGGACAAAATTACAGTCTTCATAATTTTCAAACGGAATAAGGAACCCTCTATGACCGACTGCTTTCACACCCATGGCATGAGCAAGCATTCCTACATAAACATCGTCCATCCTATACGGCTTAATTACATCAAACAGGGGAACAATGCACTCGATAACGTCATAGGTCATAACATAGCCAGCCCCACTACAGAAATCTGGATAGTGAGTGTGGTTGTACTCTTCGTAGCTGACGTTCCATTTACCATCTCTAGCTACACCAGGACTACGCTGAGCTCGTCCCAGAAAAAGTTTCTTTTCTGGAGTTGATTCCTTTTGCAAAAAATAAATTAAATCAGCGGTATTAACCAGGACGTCGTCGTCTGCTTTCAACATGTAAGAAAAATTGCAATATCGCGATGCCCACTCAAAGGCCATCATAATCTTAAAACTCTGTCTCCAGTAATTCTCGTAATAGTCCGCGCGAATCAAGTCTCCATAAACTTCGTCTTCCTTATCGACAAAATCTGAATGTGTTTGATTCTCTGCTTTCGCAATAAGAAAGTATGTCTTCCACTCTGGAGACACGTTATTATCAGTGCCCCATGTTTGACGAATTAGATTTCTTCTACCTTGGTTTGCAGGTGCAGATGACACTAAGATAAGAAGAAAATAGTTCCTTGAACATGATTTCGTTGTTATCAAAGTCGTTTTATGTTGTGGAGATTGTTTCCAAATTTTACAATCGTAGCTTGGTTCAGTGGGGCTGGGAGTTGGAGCATCGGAAGGGAATCTTATTAAAGTACCACAGTAGATGGTTGTTACCAAGGTAGCCAATGCCACAGTGATAGTTCCAAACTTTCGTCTAGGAATTTTCGATAGGAAACAGACCACACAGTATCTCAGTCTACGAAACATATCTGGAGTCTGTTACGTGTTACGTAAAGCCACACCTCTATAAAAGCCAGCCAGCCAGCCACCCCCTTACCTACAAATAATTGCAATGTCATCATTGTGAGTTACTGGGCTGCAAAAGCAAAATAAAGGAGAGTAGTAGCAAAACAACACGAAAACCTTTACCTAAATGAAATTTCACTCCACCACGCTAATATTCTTTTGGGCAAAGGGTTGAAGGTTTGAAAAGAATATCCCGATAACAGATCATTTTTGGACACAAAAAATACAGGAACACCCTTGATTTTGCGCCCCTAACTTAAAACGAGTTTGAACTGACTAAGTGATGTTTTCAACTGACTGTATAGGACAGCGAAATAAGTGATTATGTAAAGGTTTCAATTGAAACCCTGAGCTTTTGTGCAAAGAATAAGTTTCCAAGCTTTCGCCGATCCACGAAATAATCAGGGATAGTAAATATTTTGTAACGCAGCTTTATATATCTGAGTGAAATTCACAAAAAACACACTTAAAAACACGACAAACTTAAAGTCAATATCCGCACACAAACCTCTCAAACTTGAATATTTCCCCAACCCCTCAACCACCCTCCAACCACAGGGTGTTCACCCACTAGCTGAGCCCTGGCAAAGCATGTATCTGACTGTCAATCGTGTAACATAGCGGGCATGTTTTATGCAAATCCAATCAGATACACCTTTTTAACATGAAAAAGAAAAATGCTAAGAAAAAAATTAAAAAATAAAACGCTAAGAACTACCTGATTCTTGAATAAACGAAGTCTATAACTACATGTGCCTGCTGTTGTATAGCTGCAGAGTATCGTAGTAAAAAAAATCAGTGTGGTGTAAATTGCAGAGCGGTTAATGAACAGTTCTTGTCGATGCCAGAATTGCAAAATTTCGACAAAAGGAGAACTTGGTTGGGAAAGAATTTGTACACTGGCCAATTGACAAGCCGGGGTTAGGGCAAGAAATTATTAGAATAGGTACATGTATTAAATGTGCATTAAATGTACTTTAACACAAAACGCCGCCAGTTCGTATGCTCTGCGTACCTAGCGCAACTAGAAGCTTAAACACTGATCCTAGGTCATAAGCTTTTGATAACAGCTACTCTTCTTGAGTCTGACGGTGTAAGGTTCAAGGTCTGGCTGTGTCAAATCTTTTCGTCTTTTTTTTTTCCTTTCAAGTTGCATTCCTCTTCAAAGGATATGTTTAATATGTTCGAGTAAAACGCAAATGTGAGAACGTTTGACGACGTAGCTTTCAAATCGATAATATTGTCGAAACGCAGAGGTGAGACCAAGAACAAACATCAAACTAAACTCGATCAGACTCATTAAACGATGGCCAGCGTCGAAGATGAACCAGGACGAGTCACGAGAGACGTTAGGGGTGTCTCACGATAGCCTGCCATTTTGAAAACCGCGAGGGGCTTGGAGAAGGGCTTACGGACTTCGATTAACACGACATCACGACATAGTGCCTACGTCCTTCCTTGAAAGAAGGCACAGTGGGCAAAAAATGAAACAATGCTCGATCACTTTTTGCTGATGGCCCCATACACCTAAGCCTCATACGCTTTGTTCGCCCATTATCTGCTGAATAATATTGTCCAATTTATTTGGAGGTCCGCGGCAACATAGAGCCAGCTGGTAATTTAGCAACGCAAACACCGTCTCTTTTGTGTTTTAAGGTTCGCACGCCTAACAAATGAAAGACTGTGATATATATACTTTATAAGCTTTGCAGTGATATATAGTTTTTTTATGGTTTCTTCAAAAGTAGTGCGCATAGGACGATTTTGCCGGCAGGTACCCTATTAGAGTGAATTCGTTTACAACCCCTTTGATATATGCTAATGAGAACAATAATTAGGAACAGAAATGACAAACCCGGTGCCAAGCGCAGTGGTAAACCCAACGCCAAGCGTGACAGGTCAGGGTCGAGCTCTAGCAAACTTCGAACACAGTTAAAAAACGTCCATGGCAAAAGTTCAGGCCACGTAAAGTAGACAAACGTTCCACATTCCAGAAATGGTTGTTTAAGATGGCCAACCGACCGCTAGTCGACTTGCTTCCACGAAACTTGGAAATCCACAATTTTACTTCTACTGAGCTAACTCACTAAGCGGCAGTCTGGGGTTCTGGGCTTAGGCCTGAAGTTCAGACCTTCCCTGCGACTTCCGACTGTTCCTCAGTTCAACCAGCAAATTCAAGACTTTTGCCGGAGAGTTTCTTCATACTTCGCAAAGAGTTACAAAAGAGCTTCGTGGCTGAAAAACCACATTGGAGAAACAATCTCTCAAAGCAAGAGTGAGAAGACCTTCACGAGCTGAAATCCGATCCTGACATTAAAATCCTGCCAACGGATAAAAATCTTGGTCCGAGTTTGACTAATGGTCGTGGGTAGTGGATCGTGGGTGTGGGTACAAGTCGTGGTTCGTGGGTACAAGTCATGTCAGTAATAGTTAATTATTAATGGTTTATAGATCACATTTAATAATATCAATAGTACTACAAATAATAATTAATTATTGTTATTATTGTTGAGGGGAACGGTTTTTTTTAAATATGAGCCATGATTTGGTTACATAGCCCTATACGGTCAATCGCCTTTTTTTCGAGGAAATTGCGAAATGACGGTTATTTTTTTCGCGAAACGTGACTTAATCCGTTATTGTTTCTCCTCCTTTCAAAAATCCAGTGAGTGTCTCATAACAAGACTGTGTAGAAACATGACTGTGACTAACTAATCGTCATTCTGGGCTCCAGGTCTCTCTATTCCAACAGGTAATTTAACACCTTTTATCTTCGTTTCGTGAAATGGCTATTTCATACTGCGTGAAACGTGCATGGCCAGCTTATTTTTCGTGAAAAGTGATTTAGGACCCCCATCCCCCCCTTTACCACCCTCAATTATGGTCAAAGTTGGCGTAATTGACATAACATAATGTATGTTAATTATACAACCCATCTTCAACTGAAAAATATTATTGTTTATTCCAATATTATTGCATCAGCTCGGTTTTGTGGGACTACTATTTCATTGATTAACTTACATATAAGTAATATAAAATTCATTCAACTAATTTATACCAAAAATTCTGTACTTCAAATCGTAGGAAGGCAGTCAAACTTTGTCCTCAATGTAAAATGGTCAAAAAACGTTTCTAAGGGGCGTGCGAAAGCTTAACTTGTTTCAATAACAACAACACAACGAAAGAATGCCACTAAATATTTCTGCCGAACGACAATGAGAGCAATAAGTCACAGTAACGGGAGAGTGTACTCCATGTAATGGGGAGTACATACTTCTTCGTATGAACCTATATTGAGTACCTTTTTGGAGCTCGGTACTTTGCAGTGAACGTTGACAACAATAAAAGAACGAAAGGATTGAGTTTTCTTTAAAAAGGTGAAACTCTTGCCGATTATGAGAAGGCGGCCGAAACTTCAAACAAACATCTAGTCCAATAAAAAATGTTGAATTACTGTGATATATAAATTGCAATTTTCAATAATGCTGCATTAAGAATTATCAAAGGAATTCAACTTGTCAAAAGCAATAAACACTTGCCCATTGAAAAAGGGATTTTCGCGTTGAATATGAGCGAAATTTAGCCGGTAATATGTATTGCTGTTATCTGCACTGAAAAGGAAAGTTCCCGTTCGCTTATCTCACCGAACAAGTCGCCTGTCGATATGCTTGACCACGATGTTGTGCGGAGGACTTCTGTACCTCTCAGTAAATTCAGCACCACGACCATAGCACGTTTTAACATTTCCTGGCAGCGTAACTAACTCATACCTGTGAGGAGAATATCTGGAATGCCAACTTTCAGCACCCGAAGCGTATGGTGGCTGCGGATAGTTTTGTCCTGTGCTCAAAGGGTCATGCTGTTGAACAAGACAGCCTCCAGCAATCACTGGAGAATGGTGATGAAGAATTTCTCGTGGGCTAACACCGTGATACGAACGCCCCATAATAATTGCCGCTGGCTGCTCCATATGGTGACTTGTGGTCGGCAAGCATCTTCGCTGATTTAATGTCATGGAGTTTGAATGCGGATGTACATCAGTGGACTGGATGCTTGCCAGTGTTGTTTGCTGGGCTGTGGCTCTATCTGGCAGCTGCGTTGGCTCAAAGAGAAGCCCGAGTTGTTAGAGTCCTGTTGCTGCAAACTAGAGGAACTCGTACCAGGCAGTGCTTGAACGCGTGTTGACTGAACCTCTGTGTGTTTGTGTTGTTTTCTTTTGCGAGTTGTCTTGTTCTCCGGTGGACGGTGCCTCGAATTAGGGTCAACTAAGAGACCATTTTCCAATGCTATTCGCACAATTTCTTCGGCAAGTCGGGCTGTCCTTCCCAGTTCACGGTGGTGCAATTTTGTTTTCCGTTCATCATAAGAGGGGCCAGTTCCACCTTTTGAAGTCTCCTGCTCAACTGCGTTCAACAGTTCAACTGCGAGAAGGACGCTGTCCCTAGCGTCCGTATGAACTGCGTCGAGAAGGGAAAGGTTTGACGGAGCTTTATGAGCCCTTCCAGCGTGGATCACCAAAAACTTACCGAAGTCCATTCATGTTAGCTCCAGCCATGTCGGTGCACCAACCTTGAGGACCAAGGTCCACAGTATCATTGCATCAGCTCGGTTCAGTGAGGCTAATATTTTATTGATGTAGTTAAAATTCATTCAACAGAATTCATTCATTTCACCCAAAAAGAAAAGTAAAACCAAAGACAAATCCATTATGTGCATGATGATGCAATTTCTTACAATGCAGATCGCTCCTAATAATTTGAGACGTTTTGCACCAACCTTGACTTTTTGTAGACCCTCGTTAAAAAGAGACCAGAACAGTGCTGTTTTCGGAGCTCTCTTGTTCAACTTCCATAACAGCAAGAGGTATTTGCCTTTTCAGTAGCAGATGGTATACACCAGCCGTAATAGTAACAAAATTACGGCATCTTTTAAATTTTCCGTCTAATTGTTTGTTTAATTTGGGCGACTGTTCTCTTTTAATAAGGATCTGGGTGCTTGCATAATAAAGTACGAGGTGACTCAGATTTCAGCGAAAATCGCCGTCTTTACAGTCACAGTTTCGCAGTGTTTCCGTCTTGCGCAGTAAGGAACAAAGCTTAGCAAATGTTTGATCTTTTTCAGGGCATCTTCTTCGCTTTTCTGCTGGTAAGCTTGCATCCAGCTTTGGCCGTCATCTGGAGTATTTTCAACTCCCGAAACAACTTCGGCTTAAGTTCTTATGGCTGACATAATTAACCAAATAAAGCGAAAAAAGCAAAATTTGACAGCGGCTGCTTGAGAATATCCGAACTTCGAACCACACAAACCTGGGCACGCAAAATACTATCGTGAAGTAATGCGATGCTCCTCGATGAAAAACGAAACGTATGTTTCTTGAGTAGGTGTGATTTCGCTACTCTGTCGATTCTGGTCTTTGTCAGATATCAAGTGAATCATTAAAAAATTGAAACTATTAAAACTTCTCCATTTATTTATTTCAATAATTTTTAATATATAATTACTTTTATGATCTAGAAAACCTGGCTATTTAAATAGACGAAGATAAATTTTAGTATTGTAATAGACGCGTTACAGATCCTGGTTTTACGTGGAAGCTTCTTTTGTCGTGACAATCTTATAAGCGTATCGCGTGATTCTTTATTTTCTAAGATAAGGGTTTGATGACAGTCGGGTTACTTAAGATAGAGGTGTATAATTGAGTGTAGCACGGTAATGGCAGACTTGTAGCAAGGATATTTAGAATGCGCACAGCAGAAGTCATATAGTAAATAAATAATGGTCTAAAATAATTAGTTACGAAATTGTCTAAGCAAATTGTGCGTGTGCGTCTGGGTTGGAACATCCTGTGACGTTGCGTGATGTGCCATTCGTGTCGCAAATATTACGTGCGTGCGAGTGTAAATTACAGACGCGTTGATCGGAGTATAATGGGAAAAAGCTGTTAAAATCAATTCATCAGGAAATAGCTTGGGATTTTAGTAAACCACAAATAATCTTGGTATTGCGTCGTTCAGGCGTGCATTTCCGTTGTAATAGCAGATAAATAGAATCACTATCTTGTAACAGAAGATCGAGGTCGTTTGAATGTAGAAAGTACGGATATTGTATGGATCATAAATAAACGCAAGAAATCGGAAAGGTGAAGAATTCTGCAACAACTTTCATGTTCTGAGGACGTTGCTCTTTTAAGTGTAACACCTCTCTCTTTTTGATGTAAAATAATCTTTTGTGTGTTGTTCAAGCGTTTGACCAAAACGTCTCAAATTATTAGGAGCGATCTGCATTGTAAGAAATTGCATCATCATGCACATAATGGATTTGTCTTTGGTTTTACTTTTCTTTTTGGGTGAAATGAAAGGTACTTCAAAAGACTTGGGCAATAGTGTAATTAAGCTACCTTGCGCGAACAGACTTGTGATCTTGTATCCTTTTGTTTACATTGTCTTGAGATGAATGAACTCGAGATCGATAAACTGCAATCATTTGAATGGATTTAGTTTCTATTCACGGTGTATTTTTAGCCTTAATATGTTTCTAGGATTAAAGAGCGTCGCAAAAGATTTAAAAATGGATCTTGGACGAGTTGTTGTAATCACTGCGAAGAGCAAAAGCGAAAATAGTTTATCATTTCGAGCGCCGATCGTTTTGTTTTGATCCGAATGAGTGCACTTGAATTAAACTACTTCTTTATTATATAAATATTGCGTGTCATAAATAGTGCTCGTTTTCGCGCGCTGGCGGTTCATTCTTTCACAACTTTCGTCTTGTTCGAATGAACTTGTTGTGATCTGACCGTGTTGTTTATTGTCGCGATGGAGTTTAGTGTTGGCGATTCTGTCGAAGCTGTCGATCAGTTAGGAATTTGGACAAAAGCGAAAGTTGTCAGCAAATCGGACAACGCAATTGTTGTAAATTTTTCTCCGTGGAGAGCCGAGTGGGATCGGGAGATCATTGCCCCGTCCGAGATCAGGAGAGTAACGCCAGAAGAAACGTTTTGCAAACAACAAGGTAAGAAGTTGTAAAGATTACTTTTTTAGAAACGATCAGCCGATCATCGATCTGTACACATGGCACGGTTTTCATCTTTAGTTTGTTTTAGTTTTATCGTGCGTGAAATAATCTTGATTGTTTATTTACTTGCTTTCAGTTTCCAAACCTAAAGAAGCTATTCCAAGGTGATGTTGTTTACGTTAACGGTAAAGAATTGAAGGTTTTGCGGTCAGATCCTATCAGGAAAGTGGTGAGTAACAAAGGCTATCTTAATTCTCCTTTTGAGAAAACAATATTTAACCTTTCACTCGTAAGATCTAAAGTACAATTCTCCTAACCTATGACCATACAAACCTTTGTTGGCTGTTCCTGAGAATTTGGTGTTACATAAAAGTACTATCCCTAGTTGATAATTTTCTAAATTCTCATCACATGTCTCCTTGACAGAGTATTGAAACTGTTAGGGGAATTTATTTGCTTGTCACTCCTCCAAAACTGGTCACTTTGCATATTGTCAGATAACATCATAATTGGGTTACATTGTTGTAAGTGCAGGCAAGGTAAATTTTTTTAATTGGAATTACAGTCGACCCCTGATAACTCTAACCTTAAAGGAAAATAGAAAAAAGGTTTGAGTTATTAGAAGTTTGGGTTATGGAGGGTAAAATTACACAGAAAATGGCCTGAAGGGAAATGAAATTACTTCGAGTTAGTGGGAGGTTTGAGTTAGCAAGGGTTCATGTAAGGATAGTAAACTGTATTAAGAAGTGAAAGTCGAGAAGCCATAAAGAGTTCTTAGAATAACCACAAAAAGAATGTTATTACTGTTTTGTGCAGACAATTTTGTGAACTTAATTTTTTTTAATAGAGCCACCCTAAATGTTCTGGTATAGGTATATGGTAACCTCAACATGATTGCTGTCTAGTCAGTAAGTTACACAATTTCTGAGAATAAGAAAGATTATGCACATTAACTGTTACCACTATAGTTAAACATAACCATTTTATCATTTTAGGTGACTGTAGACCTTGAAGGGGAGACGTGTTTCAACATCTGGGAGGTAGACGGGAACAAACCTTTGGAGGAGGCCCAACAGTTGCAGGAGAATAAGAGGAAGAGACAGAAGACCCAGAACCATGACACCACTACAGGAGAACGTCATTCAAGTGACAAGTCCTTGCCACAAGAACATGTGCAGCCTAGCAACCATGCAGTTCCTGCAACTGAAGATCTTCATTTCTACTTTTATGTAGATAAAAGTGGAATTGTTTTAACTGTTGGATCCCTGTATTCATTTAACTTTTGTAAAGATTCAGTTTTTATCTGTAACGGAATCTCCAAAAATAAGGAAACATTTAAGTTTAAGTTTTTTCTTTGTTTCCTGGGGGAAGGCAAAGTTGAAGGTATTGATAGAAGTGTTTGCTGCACATTGAACGACATGAAACATGTTTTGTCCCGTTCTGATGTGGTTGTTGGATCAAAGGCAAAGGGCCTAGTGGATAAAATTATTTGCGAGGGTTGGGATAGGGTTTTGTTTTGCCAGGTAAACAATTCTGAAAATGTTTCTTACTTGTTACACTTAAGAAAGAGTTGTTTGGCTAGTCAAATACGCTAGGGTGTTTATTCTGGTATTTCCCGCAACGCCACGCGCCCTGCACAGCCTATTCACCTTGGAGTATTTGATCCCATGCACGACTCTACGATCTTGGGTCTAGCAAATGAGAATAAGTTTCAAGTTTTGTACTCTGGAAAGGACCTTTCCAAGCTAGACTCACTGCTGGGATCTAAATGGGATATTAAAATCCTGGAACCAGGAAATCCCTGTTCTCACTTCAAGTATGTTTGTAAAGTTAGGTTTTTTGTTCACAGGCCTTCTATGAGTGTACGCCTCAATTTTGTTTATTCTGAGTCTAGTGTTCCATTTTCGGATAGTTATAGAAACATTTGTACATACTAAACTTATTTTCAAGACCAGTGACATACTTTAAAAGCCCACATTCATCATGGTTTTTCTGTGCAGTAATGCAGTTGTTATTATTGTGGAAGATAAAATGTATATGTATGTACATTGAAATCATATATTTTTTAAATTTAAAAAGTCTCTAATAAAATGTTTTAAGCTGCATATGAAGCAGTACTCCCAATTTCTCGTGCTCTATAAGCGTTTCATTGATGACATTTTTGCCATTTGGTGTGAGCTCAGGGACACCCTCCTAGAATTTCTAGGTGCTCTTAATAACAAAAGTGATCGCATTAAGCTTACTCACTGTATTAGCGACAGCAGCATTTCTTTCCTAGATCTTTGTCTGTATAGGGATAATTCCTGAAGCGTGCTGCAGTTTTCTACCTTTCAGAAGCCTCTTAAATATTTGTAAATATCCTTCGAGTCCTTTCACCCCTCTAGCAACCAGAAAGCTTTTATAAAAGGGGAGCTTATGTGATATGCTAAAAACAGCTCTTCCTTTAAGTCTTTCTCCGAGATTAGGGATAAGTTCTGGGAGCGACTGCGACGTAGAGGCTATTCTTTTAAGTTTTTTCTGCTGCTGTTTAGCGATGTATGTTACAACGACACGAAGAAATGGTTCTCCCGGCCATTTGATCATAGATCTCGGCCAGGCAGGATTATGGTCTTTAGAACTACGTTCAGCTGCAGTTATGCCCGTATGGAGAATGTTATCAATAATATTCTGCCACACATGGACTGTACTGTGTGGCAGAATGTTATCAATAACATTCTGCCACACATGGACTGTATTGTGTGTTACAGGAAAACTGTAACATTAGCTAATCTGTGTAGATAAGAATTTTTGGGGGGGCTACGGTTTTAGCCAAGTACGAGACATTCCTTTAACATTCATGTGGAAGTTGTAAATGAGACTGAGGTAAATATGTTATTTCATCGGTCGCTACCTTCCACGAGGTGTCTTTTAGACATCTCACCGGAAACGAATGGAATTTGATAACTAAACACTGCGAGCAGAATACATGTACGTGCAACACAAAGCGGGGCGCGAGAATAGAGATGACATGTTTGTTTAAAATTAGATTTGTACTACAGTAATTCCGAAATGAATAAGTCGATGGTGTCTCTTGAAATTTTGAGTTCTGTTCTGCCGTCTTTACGACATGGCCGCCCCGAGAAAGCTGGCAAGAAAAAGGATCCTCTAATCCTCTAATCCTCTCTCGGTCACATAAGTTTGTTTTGGTTTTGTCTAAACCAATCGTATCTAAGGAAATGGTTTAGACATTGTCCACGTGGACTGTTTGGTGAATATCCAATGCAACAAACATTTCTGTATGGGTTCACTGATTTAGTTTTACCACAATTCATGTTATCTTTATTGTAAAAAGACAAGAAAGCGAAAAGAAAAGAACCCAGAATTAAACTTAAGCTGCTATTGAGGTGATGAGAAGCAGATACACACGAGTTCCTCGGTTGGATACGAGCCAGGAGGAATTGAGTCTACTGTTGCTTTTATACACATGCATAGAGAAGAAAAATATATCAACTAAGCTAGACAAAAAGTAGTCTAGGAAAGCTGTTGAAATTCTCAAGCTCTCGTTGTTCGCATTAAAGGAAAGAGGCCTTCTCAGAACGCCATTAAAGTGAATACTGAAATTTGCTCACACTTTAAGAATCGGCATGAGACTACTGTGGCGATTCCCAATGGAATGGAAACCTTGCGAAGCTCATTCAAGCCCTTTTCGTTTTTAAAAACTTTGTTTGTCCTTGATATAAGAATGACGCCACCTTGGTTTCAACGGGTCTAACCTATACCTTTATGCAAGCACTGGACTTCAGCGATTAATCTAATGAATGACCTTGACACTGTTCGCCAAAATAAATATTCTTATGAAAGGCTCGTTGGCTTAGAACGCGGTTTTGTTGTACAACGTATAAACTTTGTGTAGAAAACCGGCCTAGAGTGTTCTCCCAACCACGACAAGCATGCCTTAAAAATATCGCTCTTGTTCGAGAGTAAATTTCTCTCATGTGGTATTCATTCCATCACATGTCATACGATTTCTCTCATCGCTAACTGCCGCAATGTAATGAAAAAAGCGAAACTTTCTAGCTTTTAAAACCGTGCTTATAATAAAAGGCCCGTTCATGATTAAAAAAATCTACCGAAATATTTCCAGGATAACGAAGTGATACAAATTTATGCAGATGATGGGGGACGCTCATCAAAGCTGAAGGCAAGTTGTAAAGCTATAGATACAACAAGCTCTTTGACTCAGTGGCAGTAAGACCAGCAACGAGCGAATTTAATTTTTTTGCAGAAATTATGATTAAAAATCGACTTACCGTGAGGCGCTGATAGTTTCCTGTCCTATAAGCCTTCTGAGATATTCACGCGATGCAAACCATCTTGATTCCCGGCGGGTCTAAAATACTGGTAGCTGGTCACTGACTGTCAACGCGGACCCACATGAACTGTCACGTTTTTCTTCATTTGTTTCGCAATGTTTTGTTTGTAAAGTGGTGACCTTTCATCTGATCGACTGACATTTAAAACTAATGAATGAGTTGCCAGTGATCGGATCCTTGTGTTTACGCACAGATTTCTGGGATGTATGGCGAACGGTTGTTCCGAAGTCCAAAAAAACGATTTTAGTGAGATTTTCGCTTTTTCGCCGCTCTTTTATCAGAAATGGATTTGGGTAATGCTTATACAAGGAAGGCGTAAGTCTTTGTTTGAAAAACTACGTAATATGTAGTAAAATCTACCGATGAACTTGTCTCCATGCGCCACAGGCGGCCCAAGCTCCAGCTCTGAGATAATCATCTTACGCAATTAGAGTTATGTCGGAATAGATTTTTACAGTTCCCAGCGCCATATTGGACATGTAACCGCGCACACGTGAGAACGAGGCTGAGGTTGACTCGTGTTGAATCTCTCAGAGCACTTTTGGTGAAATTCGTACGTACGCAGTAAAATTGTTCGATTTTTAAGGAAAATGGACGGTCTTAGCCGAAATCTCGATAAAGCTAATACTTCTCCCAAATAGAAAGGAAAGCAGTGTGCCGCTTTTGGTTGTTCAAATACATTTTATGGCCCCAATGGTTTGCTTACGAGCTTCCACTTCTTCAAGTTTATGCACGGAGGCATGTATTTTTGCTAAGTATTTATCGTTCTATACTTATCTTATTCTCTGTGAATATTATGGATGAGGGTAACTATTGTTGCAAAATTAGTACAAATTTTATATTAGGTACCTGAATTGTTTTAAGTTCAACAGAGTGTTTTTATTCCGGCGGTAAGTCAATAAGTTCAGTACTGCTAACCTGTTTACAACATGGCTTGCCTAAAACACTCCTAGCAGAGAAACTTTTGGAAAGTAATTGCTTTTAATAAAATAACCAAGACACTGTATCTTCAGAGTTTTGACTTATTATGGCAGACCCAGAAATTTGACACAAATTTGGAAGCAATTGTGACAAAAGAAGTTTTCAGTAGTTGTTGTTTTTGTTTTTTTATGATAGCATAGTAATCCACCATGGATGCCACATGAAACTCTCAAAAAATATTTTGTGTGCCTTATGTATCAATCAATTTGATGTTCAAATTGACAAATAGAAAAAGTGAGTTTCACCAATTAAAAGAGTTCTCAACACAAAGATGAACTATGACACTAAATTTCATTGTTCACAAAATCGTCCTCATAATAAAAAGTTTGATAGAAGTCTCAAAAATAATTTCTCATACAGTTTGATGGTCTAAAGATTCTCTTTCAAACAAATCTTATGGTAACTGTAACAGTGTAAAATAAATATCTTGATTTGGATATATTTCTCAATCTTGTAAGTATCTTCTTTACATCTCAAATTTATATCATCATAACATTGGTTAACACAATGCAACAAGAACTAGTATAGCAAACCTTTGTGTCAGAAGGCCACTGAGCACTTAGAATGGGAATTTCAATTCATTGAATGTTTATCACTGACAGAAACTTAAATGTGTGTAAAGGACTAACATTGTTGAGATCAGTAGCTGAGAGGAAGCATTTCTGTTGTCTCCCTTTAACCCTTAAAAACCCAAGATCTGATTGTTAATTTTCCCTTGTAGCTGCTACACATTACTTGTAAATAAGTTATGAGAATTTGATGTAAGATCAAGATAACTTCTGCCTGATAAGTTTTAGTATTATCAGTATCTGTTTGCTGGATAGTGTTCGGATATTATAGGGAGAAGTTGCATGAATCAGTCATTTTTGGGAGTTTTGAAATTGTTGATTCTTTCAATGCTGTCTTGCCACCTAATAAATTACCATGAGTTGCAAACTGAAATGGTTTTCAATGTATCACGAGCATGAGTTGTCCTGGGCCAGAAGGGGTATCTGTTACAGTTTCCCTCATGGGTTGATAGAAAGAAGGGTTATAATCAAGTGGCTGTACAGGCTCTATTGTATAGTTTCCCATAAGATACAATGTACAAATGGCAAACCAAAATACATCTTGGTAAACAAAATGAGAACAACTTTAAATGAAGAATATGGTACAACAACAAGTACCACAACAACAGCAGCAATAACAAATCTGCTCTACCTAGAGGGCTACAGCCTATGCCTCGCTTTCTAAGCCATATTAAACAGCTTCTGTGGTACTTCCTGTGGATCGATCTGTCTAATATCCGATTTAGATTTGATGTCGTGGAAGAGAAAGAAGGAACTTGAGGGCAAACAGTTTTGGAGGTTCGAAGATGGTCTCGTCACGGGTTCTCGTGTCCGGAGCCCTAGGATCAAACTTTATTATTTTTGGCTAGGTTCTCATGTTCTTACCGAATCGAATCTTTCTGATCAATACTTTGTCGATTGGCTTCGCTGCCACACATCGGTTGCGGGGTACCACTCACACTGAGAGCCGCGACGTGCTGGTTAATGGCTTTGGGTTATTTTGGAACGTTCTTCTCATAAAATCCTCAATGCAAACAGCACTCCTCCGATGTGGTTGCCTTTTCCTTTTCTTCGAAGATCGAGGCCAGTCTCAATGCAAACAGCACTCCTCCGATGTGGTTGCCTTTTCCTTTTCCTCGAAGATCGAGGCCAGTCGGGTACGTATACGCTGCGCTTAATACATCACAGGTGGGTGAAAACTCCAAAACAACTCTGTGAGGCGTTTTCTTCATCGAGTGAAGAACATTTGCCCTTACATAAGTTTTGTTTTCAAAACATTTACCCTCCAGTTTTTTCACATTTCCTTCGAAGAAGAACTGAGAGGATTTCAGCTTTTCGTTATGCGTTCCTCTCAACATGATGTGGAGGTATTTTCGTGTGGAAACAACGGGATAATCGTAAAGCTGAATGAAATTAATCTCGGGTAAATTACGGAGATCGCTCGACCATCCAAGGGCTGAAATCCTTACCATAGTTGCTTCGTATTTGAAGTCGCTCTGGTTTTGTTCTAGGTCCTGGAATTCTGTAAGAAGTTCTCGGTTTTCTCTACTACTTGATGGAAGGACGTGTCACATCAGCAGAGCATAGACTTTCGACACTAAGTCGGCTCTAATTCCGCCCGTCGATTTTGAATTAGATTTTAAAATCTCCCTGAGATCTTTTGTTTTGAGTTTCTGGATGTCATCTAATGACGAAATTTCCATATAGTTGTATTAAAGAACCATTTTGAAGGGAGAAATCGCATTAAAAAGTGTATTAGAACGTGAAATGTCAGCAGATCAGCTGTTTGAAAGAACCGCCGGTCAACCCCAGCCTCGTTATCGTGTGTTCGCGGTTACTAATCCAATATGGCGCCGGGAACTGCGAAAAGGTTGTATGGGAATATTTACGGCCGCTTTAACGAATTAAAAAATACGTCAAATTCTCAATAAAATACCTCACCTTTCTTCCACAACGTATCGCTTGCTATCTGACCGCTTACTTCGATGAAAAGAGCCCATTTTAGTGAGTTGTCCATTTCGAGGTTTTCAACGGCTTTTCTTATGTACGTTGAAATATTTAAAGCTCTGTTACGAGTGTATTCCGGATGAGGTACACACCACAGACGTGTTGCTTGACTTGGAAAAAAGACGAAAGAGAGGAACTCGTCTTGAGGACGTTCTAAGAAAGCGGAGAGAAAAGTCTGAAAGGGAGAAACTGTTAAAAGACCTTTGGAAGCATCCATATCATGCCAGAGTCGTGTGATTGGCTTTCTCCAAATCTATGCCTGTATATAGATCTTTGGTATTTTGTACATAGCTCGTTGTCGTTTTTCTTCGAACGATAAGGTAAAAGTGGGCCACTGAAATAAAGGAGCTGGCTGAATCGAACCTCCTCTGCAATACGGTTATGGAAATGTTAATTTTGGGGACTCATTTAAAATAAGGAGATAAAAATCATTTGTATGGTCTTAAAAAATCATCCTTGATGAGACCTCGTATAACTATGAATCTCTTCAAAGAAATCAGGGGAATAGTTGTCTGTGCACAACATAATCAAGTTTTATGTAGGCAGGAATAGTGACAAGCAGTTGAAAAACTAAGTAAGTGGGTGAATATGGCGACGTTAGAGTAATACTTATGCTTTTGTGTTGCAAAACAACTTTGGCGCTTTTCAAACCCAATCGATAGTTTCTTTTTCGGGAAAGAGCTGACTAGATATATTTTCATCCCTATGTACAGTTGGAGCATCAAATGCCTCGAATTCAGATTAAAACAATTTCTTTGGCAGGAAATAAATGCAATATCTTGCTGGAAAGAGCAGTAGTAGATTAGGTTTGAATGATATTGAGAGTCTCGAGAACTTTCGATCCCATCAAAAGTTATTCACTGTACATGTGTTTGCATCGTTTTCCTCTATAGGAAAATACACGAAATGAATTCTGTCTGTAAAATAAGTTTGATTTTTTTATACTGAACATAAAGCTAAGGATTGTATAATAATGAAGATATGGCACCCTTTCGGTAATCGTGAAACAGGAGTTATGCCCAAAGCTGATGAATTTTACTCAGAGTCACACTGACTAACATGTTAAATCAAATATATCTCGTTGTTTCGTGAAAGGGAGATCTACGCGACTAGGGAGTTTCTGAGACATTTCCTTGAATGAAACGTTTTCAAGAAAAAATACTTGGTGTGAAATGCCTTTTTGGAGTTATCCTTTTTATTTGTTTATTCATTTATTTTTTATTAAAGCATTTCTTACGTTTACATACAATATAGAAATTAAGAAAAAAAAAGAGAAAAAGACACACAGACACACACTTATATAGAACAAATAGATGAATACCAAGCTAAACACACACACAAAACTACTACAGCAATACAGTTACCTAGTATGTAAATTACAATGTCATCACTTTAAAACTAATGATGGAAATTAATCATGACACCACTTATTCGTAAAAACGTTCATTAACTTTTCCCACTTTCTAAAATGATTTTTTAATTTGTCTCTTTTCCCGGCAATATGGAGTTCGGTATTGTAAACTCGCTTTGTACAGGCTATAAAACCTTGAAGAGAAGGTATACCACTCTGGTATTTCCGAGAGTGAATATAAAACATACCCAGTAGCAAAATATGGTTAAACAAGAGAAAATCTTCCGCAATATCGAACTTACCAAAAATGACATCTTCCTCTTCAAGATTATCAACAAAGATGTTATGATCGCGCAACCAGGGCAAGACATGAAATTAAGAGATCCTAGCATCTAAGAACACTACTGAAACGAGTAGTTGAAAATAGGACCTGAAAAAAATTCAGGCCAGTACGGGATTTGAACCCATGACCTCTGCGAGAGCGCTGCACCGGTATCGCAGAGGTCAGGTTCAAATCCCGTACGGGCCTGAATTTTTTTCAGGTCCTATTTTCAGCTACTCGTTTCAGTAGTGTTCTTAGCTGCGAGGATCTCTTAATTTCATCAGGACAAGACATGTTTCCAAAAACTAGATGATACTCTACAGGAAAAGAGTAAATGCTCTACGGATTCAACCTCTGTTTGGCAGAAAGCACAGGTCGGCGAATCAGCCATGCCAAAACGAAACAGTTTTTCGTTTGTAAAGACAATACGGTTTAAAATTTTAAACTGAAATTCTCTAAGTTTAGATTCTAATGCTGTGCGAAAAGATAGCGAATAAACACTTTTCCAATCAATATCAATGTTTGAATACTTTGCAGCCAACTTTAGTTTAGCAGTAGGCGTTGTTTGTTTTTTCTCCAGGAAAAGCCGGTAGATTTGCTTTGAGGAAGCATCAAGAATTGGAACCAAATTGTTACTAATTAGAATAGCAGGTGAATCCGGAGGTGGATCAATCACCGGTGCAGTAGTTTCCCTTTTAATTGTCAAGCGCCAATTGGCAGGCATAGAGTTAATAAGACCCATAATGAAGGAACCTTGCTCAGGATTGAGATTTTCTTTAGTTGAAAATAAATCGAAAATTTTTAAAAACCCTAAATCTGCAATATCTCTACGATACACAGATTTCTTATTAATGCAGAGAAGCTTGTTATTCCAACTAACTTCATTTGCAATTTCGTGTAGCAAGCTGGGCGTTCTTGCATTTACTTCTGACCAAGCATCGAAACATTGTTCATAGAAACTTGGTAGATAAATACTTAATTTAGAAGTATCAAAATTACAATGCAATATGAGCCTCCCACCAACAGGGATAAGAATCTCATTTAAAAAAGCTTTCCACGGACTTCTGTAGTCTTCCTAATATTTTTTTATACATATCACTCGTCTGGAACGAACCATAGAATCAATATCGAGCATATTTAAGCCACCCTTCTCAACTTCCGATATCATCACATTTCGTTTTACTTCATCTTTCCCATTCCAGATAAAATAGTAAAAAAGCGAGTCGGCCTCTTTGATAAGGTCTTTAGAAACTGGCAACACCGACGCTCTATACTTACATAAGCTTGGGGATGGCAAAGGTTTTTATAATTTGTATTCTACCTAAGAGAGAAAGACCACGCCATTTCCACAAATTGATCCTCTTCTTAAGTGATTTCAAAATATTCCTAAAATTCAATTCATCTCTTTGTTTAGCGTCATAGCCAAAGTAAACGCCTAAGAGTGACCCCAAGAGTGACTAGTATCAAATTTCTCCCTACAGTACCACCCCTGAATCACATGTTAAGGTTATGAGAATAAAAGAGTGACCCCAAGAGTGACTAGTATCAAATTTCTCCCTACAGTACCACCCCTGAATCATATCATATGTTAAGGTTATGAGAATAGAGTAAACGATAACTAAAGAAAGAAGATTTAGATTGGTAAACAAATTCTCCTCGTCAGCACCTAGGAAACGTATAGAGTGCAGTATGGAGAATATGCATACTGGTTTTAGGGTGTAAAGGGTGTAATGGTTGAAAAAGGTAAGAAATCGAATAGAATCTTTGCGATGCCCACGCGAGCCTTTGCCGTTTTTAATTTTGAGAGCAACTCAGTCAAAGCCATTGTGGCACCGTCATATGGCACTCTAAAATACTATAATTTTTTCATGTGTAGCTTTAGCCGGTACTTCGCGAAAGTCTGTTCATCTGACTTTTGAATAACGGTCGTTCTGTAACCTCATCTTTTGAATTTTGTTATTACACATATGGTTTAGTTTTAGTGCTCCAGTTATTGCTTATAAAGTTAATAATCGTGTAAGGGTAGGTCACGCAATATTGGAAGTAGATAACAAAAGGTTGGAGTTCTCACCTCTTAATTGACGAATTAAGACATACCATGAGGTATCTCTGGGGAGCCTTTGATTCTTGTCTTAGACTTTTTACATTTGTCAAATTTTACTTGACCGCGCCAATGTCCTTCAGATATGGAGATAAACAAAGTCAAGTAAGAAATAACAAATTAAAAATAAGATCCCAGTTTTCTATTAAAAAGGAAATCTTTGACGTTCTTATGAATATGATGAAGTTTGATTAAACACTGTCCAGTCGCGCGGTGCTGCAGAAGAACGTTTGGGACAAAATTACAGTCGTCATAATCATCAATCGGCATAAAGAACCCTCTATGACCCACTGCTATCACACCAATGGCATGAGCAAGCATTCCTACATAAACATCGTCCATCCTATACGGCTTAATTACATCAAACAGGGGAACAATGCACTCGATAACGTCATAGGTCATAACAAAGCCAGCCCCACTACAGAAATCTGGATAGTGAGTGTGGTTGTACTCTTCGTAGCTGACTTTCCATTTACCGTCTCGACGTACACGAGGATTATGATGAATTCGTCCCAGGAAAAGTCTCTTTTCTGGAGTTGATTCCTTTTGCAAAAAATGAATTAAATCATCGGTATTAACCAGGATATCGTCGTCTGCTTTCAAAATGTAAGAAAAATTGCAATATCGCGATGCCCACTCAAAGGCCATCATAATCTTAAAACTCTGTCTCCAGTAATTCTCGTAATAGTCCGCGCGAATCAAGTCTCCATAAACATCGTCTTCCTTATCGACAAAACGTGAATGTGTTTGATCCTCTGTTTTCGCAATAAGAAAGTATGTCTTCCACATTGGAGACACGTTATTATCAGTGCCCCATGTTTGACGAATTAGATTTCTTCTACCTTGGTTTGCAGGTGCAGATGACACTAAGATGAGAAGAAAATAGTTTCTTGAACATGATTTCGTTGTTATCAAAGTCGTTTTATGCCGTGGAGATTGTTTCCAAATTTTACAATCGTGGCTTGGTCCAGACTGACGGGGAATTGGAGCATCGGAAGGGAATCTTATTAGAGTACCACAAACGATGGTTGTTACCAAGGCAGCCAATGCCACAATAATGGTTCTAAACTTTCCTCTATGAATTTTCGATATGAAACAGACAAAACAGTATCTCAGTTTACGAAACATATCTGGAGTCTTTCACTGGTTACACGAAGCCACACCTCTAAAACATCCGGGACCCCCTTACCTAAAAATAATTGGAATGTCATCAATGTGAGTTACTAGGCTGCAAAAGCAAAAACAAGGACAGCAGCAAAAAAAACAAGAAAACCTTTACCTAAATGAAATTTCACTCCACCACGCTAATATCCTTTATATAGGGTATAGGGTTGAATGTTTGAAAAGATGAACCCGATAACAGATCAATTTTGGACACAAAAAATACAGGAACACCCTTGATTCCCCGCCCCCCCCCCCTTACTTAAAACGAGTTTGAACTGACCAAGTGATGTCTCTAAGTGACTGTACAAGACGACAGCGAAATAAGTGATTATGTAAAGGTTTCAAATGAGGCCCTGAGCTCTGGTATAAAGAATAATTTTCCAAGCTTTCACCTATCCACGAAATCATCACGGGTAGTAGTTGTTTTAAAATACAGCTTTATATATCTGAGTGAATTCACAAAAACATACGAAAAACACAACAAACTTAAAGTCAATATCCGCACACAAACCTCTCAAACTTGAATACTTCCCCAACCGAAATGATCTAGTTCACTATAAGGGATGCCACAAAGCATGGGTCTAACTCTAAATCAATGGACAGAGGCCAAAAAAATCCAGCCTCATAATAACTCAACCAAGATGTCCACTTCTTTGCAAAAAGCAAATCCCCCAAGAGTAATAAGTCAAAAACCTACCCTTCCCACCACCCGAGCTTTCCACACAGAGCCATTTGCAACCCACCCCTGGAGAGGTTGGTGACTGGGCTGCATGCAGGCCCTACCCTTACCAAGTTGAATTCTTCTTCAAAGGATATGTTTGATGTGTTCGAGTAAACCGCAAATGAGAGAACGTTTGACGACGTAGCTTTCAAATCGATAACATTGTCGAAATGCAGAGGTGAGACCAAGAACAAAGATGAAACTAAACTCGATGAGATTCATCAAACGATGGTCAGTGTCGAAGATGAACTAGGAGGAGTCACGAGAGACGTTAGGAGTGTCTCACGATAGTCCACCATTTTGAAAACCGCGAGGGGCTTGGGGAGGGTTTACGGACTCCAACTAACACGACAGCATGACAGTGCCTACGGCCTTCCTTGAAGGAAGGCACAGTGGGCAAAAAATGAAACAATGCTCGCTCACTTTTGCCAATGTGATGGCCCCATACACTTAAGCCTCACACGCTTTGTTCTCCCATTATCTGCTGAATGATTTTGTCCAGTTTGTTTGAAGGTTCGCGGCAACATGGAAGTTCGCACGCCTAACAAAAGAAAGACTGTGATATCTATACTTTATAAGCTTTACAATGATATATTGTTGTTTTTTTTTCTATGGTTTCTTCAAAAGTAGTGCGCGTAGGACGATTTTTCCGGAAGGCACCCTATTAGAGTGAATTCATATACAACCCCTTTGTTATATGCTAACTATTGCGTTAAATATCAAATACCTATCTGGCAGGTATGTCCACCAATAGTATCGGCCTCAGAGGATTTTTTAGCATGGTGCAGCATTGATGATGCATATGTGCTCATAATTAGCCTTTTTTCATGTAATTTAGTAGTATATATTACATTAGTATTAAGAGAACTTTGAGTGAGCAAAATATGGTAAAATGGCAATGTTCGTTTAGTTACAAAAAGATCCCCCAGGTTTTTTTTAAAGGTAATATTAAGGACGTGTTGTTGCGTTCAAGTGGGTTTTTGTGCCTGCCGTGTCCTCTTTATAGGAAGGCCGTAGGCACTCGTAGCTACTACAATCGGACTGCTGCGCTCATATGAAATAATTTTTATAGTTTACAGATCTGCGTGACCCGGAAACTAATGTATTTTTGAAATATTACGAAACAATAAATAAATAAATAAATATTTTTAAATTCATCATTTTACGATCATTCGGGGAATTCCGGGTATTCCGGTTCCGAATTCTGGCATTCCATATTTTCCAACCTGCCAAAATACATGTAGGTGGGACAGCGAGGCGCGAAAATAGAGATGGCATGTTTGTCGAGAATTAGATTTACATTACATTAATTCCGAAATGAATAAGTCGATGGTGTCTCTTAAAATTTTAAATTCTGTTCTGCCGCCTTTACAACATGGCCGCCCCGAGAAAGCTAGGGGAGTTACTATATCGCGGGCGACGAGTGGGGGATGAAGAAAAGACCGAAGTACGAGTGGTCAGCGGGGAAACACTTATACATCATATACAGACATATCAGTTATAGTTGCGGAAAACAATAGTGTTGTAAAGCCGAAATATCAACAGTATACTTCGCTAAATAAAATGTTAAGCAATTTTTCAAAAGTGTTGATGGCACATATATCTTTTACTGCTATAATAAACAATAGAGGCATCGGAAAAGGCATCGGTGGCATCCGGAAAGGCACCTTAAACTTAGGCTACCATTGAGGTAGAACTGGAACCAGATTTGTTCTTAATAAGCAGGTACACACGATTTCCTCGGTTGGATACGAGGCGGGTGTGATGGAGTCTGCTGCTGCTTATAACCATGCATAGGAAAGAAAAAAATATTAACCAAGCCAGACAAAAAGTAAGAAAAGCTGTTTAAATTCTCAAGCGCTCGTTGTTCGCATTAAAGGAAAAAGGCCTTCTCCGTCAGAACGCCATAAAAGCGAATACTGAAATTTGCATACACTGTCGTTAATAGTTAATGGAACAAAGGAATGTACTCATTGACTTTCAAAGTCGGTATGAGACTACTGTGGCGATTCCTAGTGGAGTGGAACCTTTCGAAGCTCATCCAAGATCATCTTGTTTTTAAAAACTTTATTTGTCCCTAATTTAAAAATCACGGCGCCTTGGTTTCTACGGGTCTTACCCAAACCGCGGTTTTATGCAAACACTGGACCTCAGCGAGAAATCCAGTACTTAACCTTGACCATTCACAAAAAATTAAGGTTCATAAAAAAGGCTCGTTTGCTTAGAACGCGGTTTTAATTGATCAACGGCTAAACTTTGTGTAGGAAACCAGCCCAAAGTGTTCTCCCAGCAACAACAACCATGCCTCAATAAGGCTGTGACTAAATGCTCGGAGGACGAGCACGGTCTCAAATAGACTAAATGCCCGGCAGTCAAGAATTTTTATGCAACTTCCACCGAAAGGTTCTTTCAAACTTCTTAAGATTATCAGACGTTTGTTAAGAAATGTCAAGCGACTCCAAAAATGCCGGGCATTTAGTCTGTTTGAGACCGTTCCTGGCTAGCGGGCAGTTAGTCACTGCGTATTAAAAAAAATATCGCTCTTATTCAAATGTAAATTACTCATTTCATCACATGTCATGCGATTCTCCCATCGCTAACTGCCGTAATGTAATGAGAAAAGCGAAACTTTCTAGCTTTTAAACTGTGCTTATAATAGGAGGCCCGTTCATGATTAAAAAAAATCCACCAAAATACTTACAGGATAGCGAAGTGAGACAATTTCATGCAGATGATGGTGGACGCTCTTCAAAGCTGACGGTAAGTTGTGAAGCTGTAGATACAACAAGCTCTTTGACTCAGTGGCGGTAAGATCAGCCACAAGCGAATTTCATTTTTAGTAGAAATTATTATTAAAAATCGACTTACCGTGGGGCGCTGATAGTTTCCTGTCCTATCTCAGGCGGCCCAAGCTCACGTCTCTAGAAGAAGCAAACGATTGATTCATGAAAGCGTCACGCGCTGTGTGACTCGGTACGAAGTTACGAGAGGAACTGTTGCGAATTTAATCAAAAATTCATAAGGAAATAGTATACGGAACGAAATATGGTCGATTTACAACGACAAATATTTCTAAATATCAACATTCTACACAGAAAATCAATATAACTTACTCACATCTTGTGTGTCCGTTGTATTTTCTGGCCATTTCTGCCGTTTTAAGGTTTTTTTGTTATCACTGTTATTCAATATAAGACGCGTGCGAGCAGTCGTTTCTAAACCGGCGAATCAATATGTATTAAATTTATATCGTCTATCGATATTCGCGTTCTTCGATTTTGAACGTGTCGTTTTCGGCATTGTAGTCTCGACCTGCAGGTGGGCCTTTAATTGTTAATTTCTTGTCTTAAAGTTGAATTGCAAACATAATATTCCATACAGATGTCGTGCACATGCACACGTGGTCGCAAATGAATATATGTTATTTGCCGGCTGGGAGGTCCGCGTGGTGAAAAACTGTGACCAAGGTCTTGAAAGTGCAGCCCGAGGCCGTAGGCTGAGGGCAGCATTTTCAAGACCGAGGTCTCAGTTCTTCACCAGACGGACCGACGGACGGACCTACCGGACCCTTAGCCAGTAAATAACGTATTTTTTTCTTAGACTTCACGAAATTCTTTCCGAAAGAACCCGAATGATTTAGGGCTGTAAATACGGCAAGATCTTCCATAAACTGCACAATTTTTAAGCGAGTAAATGGTGGTTAAATAGAGGTGATGCAAATTAAAGAGAGATGCTTCACCAAAACATTTTCATTCGCGCACTGATGGAGGTGATTTATGGGATTTTTACAAGTATCTGTCACAATCTGACACTTGTCAATTAGAAAACGCGGAAGAGAAAATCAAAGAGTTATACATTTTTGGAACACATTTGGAAGCCATCGGAGTTTGTTATTCAACAGTTTTAAATTACCGCGATGTTAGTGCTCACATGCCGGCTTTTTCTGGTCTGTCAAAAATATGCAAATTGTTTGGAAGTCAGCCAAGCGAAACTAGCATTAACTTAAAAATGTTCTGACCCAAGTATCAGCATTACATCCGAAGCATCAGTAAGCACTCTTTTACTAAGTTATTACTAAGTTATTACTAGATATTTGGCGTTGGCGAAGTGACCAGTAGGACGTTGGCGAAGCGACTCATCGCGTTGGCGAACGTGACGTTGGCGAAATCACCGCAATTCATGGGCAGAGGCCATTTGGCAGACAGTGTCCTTTTTGTTGGTGTGTGTGCGTTTGTGGGGTGGAGGGTGGGCTGGGTGGGCATAATCAGGCATCAAATATTGCTTTAGCAGCAAAATATTAGTAACCCTCATCTTTCACGATCATTTGCTCTATTGTGAAATATTCCTTTCCGTTCTTGATATCTTTTGTTTTTAACAAAGAGGCCATTATATTTGTGTAGGTAATCACATGATTTCGAGTGCAATTTGGAATAAATAAGCAACGAGTAAATTTTTTTTAAAGACTCACAAAATTGCACGAGCCCGTAGGGCGAGTGCAATTCGTGGTCTTTGAAAAAATTAACAAGTGCTTGTTTATTCCAAATTGCATGAGAAAAATCATGTGATTACGTGTTAATAATATACATGGAAAAATACGAGATGGCTTATCATAATTAAGCTTAAGCAAAGCATGCGTATCGAGTTCAAAAATAATTTATTGAAACTGTGCGTTCGGTCAAAACAACCGCGTACGATCAAAACAATAATATGCAATGACATCTTCACATCTTAAGGCGCAAAAAAGTTCAAAGTCTGGCTAAACAGTTCAAGGAATTGTCCAGTCTGTGTCCGAGTCACTTTCAATGAAATGGAATCGTCGTTTCCGAGGTTTAACCATGTTTGTTTTTAATTTCGGCGTTGGATCGCTCGAGCAAAATGTTAAGCTGGGTCAGCTCGTAATGTTCGATTTCCTTGGCCATTCCCTTCTCTAAACACCACTTTTTCCAAACCGACAACCAAAAAGCAGTGCTTTTTAGAGTGTTTTCCTTGTTTGAGCTGTTTTTCAGCTGTGGTAGCGAAAGAAACCTACTTAAAACGCCGCCTATTGTTTTGCTCGCAAATGTTCAAATTTTGATGCGACATCCAAGGCTCGCATTTGATTGGCTATCTGTGAGTTTCTTTGATTATTGACCAATCAGAATGTCTGATTTGTTACTTTCTTTGCACTGAATTAGCTCTCTTCTGCACTGAATTACCTGAAAACTGCATTTATCTTAGCCAATCAGAACTGGGTAATTTTTCCATGTATATTATCAGTTTTTTAACAAAGCGGTCACAATCGTTCTTAAGGGAATTTCAAGCCTCTATGTGGTCTGATTTCCACATATTAATATTTGTGTAGTCACCAAACAGATGAGAGATGAAACCACCACAAAAGTAAACAAATGGTCAGTCACGAAAGCAACTCTTCGCAGGTTCCTCGCGTACTAAGCCAATAACAATATAAGGCACATCAGTGTGTGTACACCCCTGAACGTTGAAAACATACTAAGACGAAGGAACAGTTTTGGTTTCAGTCTGCATTTTTGTCAACAAAATGAACGCACATCGGTTAAAACGATGAAACGTAAGGACCAAGTGCAAAGTTGTCAATTGTTTCTCGAATCTTGCGCGTGTTAAAGGAGAACTGAAGTCCGAATTGATGTAATTTTTTTCACCGTGTATCGTACATTTATGTATTATGGAACAAATTTCCGTAATTTTTTTTCCCCGAACGACAGTTTTCATCTAGAAAACGAAGGGTTTTTGGTGATAATTGGCTCGATATTTGACTGTGGTACGTCGGCTCAGAACACGAATGTCAGCGGTTCTTTTTGTAGCGTGTGACGTAGGTTATGGGGATGAAGGTAAACAAGGCAAGAAACAGGCAAGTTTAATTCAGGACTGCGGCTTGCTTACGGGAAAGAATTTGTGGTTTTCCAGGGATAAAGATTGTTCAAGGTGAAGCATAAAAATGATTCAAGCGCCTCTCATATTAGAAAATTGGTCTTCTATCCAGGTATTGTGTAAGAGAAAAATGTTTTGGCTTTCGTAACTCTGCCTCTGAAACGTGGTTACATGTTCAGATCATTTGCGGCGCATCTCTTTTACTCGGCTTGACCTCGATGTTTTCGAAATAGGGTCTCCACTTTTATTTTTCTTACAGACTGGTAATTTAAGATATTCATCTTCAATTCTGTTCCCCAGGCTTTGTTTTTTACCTTTTATAACATTAGTTTGCAACGGCATGTACGATAACGCACGCTGTCAACAATTTCGCAAGAAGTCCAAAAAGAAATAAAGTGTTGAAATTCGTGTTGAACTTTGGTTTATAAGTTCTCTATAATGGGTTGAATTCTTTGCTTACACAAGAAGGGATATACAAATACAGAAGCCTGAGTTGTTTGAGTTTATTCGTCTATCTGTTCTTGGCGGTTGACTAACCCTTGCTGCTATATTTACTTCGATTACTTTCGAGCTAAAAAATGGTATACTGCGCGGCGTTCGATTGTAACAACGACTCGAGGTACACAACTGGTATATCCTACCATTGCTTTCCGAGGGACGAAGCTCTACGATCACAGTGGCTGGCAAAGATCTCACGAGCGGATCTGGTCGTTTCGAAAAACTCCAGGCTTTGCTCAGAACATTTTACACCTGAGTGCTACGTACGAGACTTGAAAGCAGAAATTCTTGGTTTGAAACCCAGATCTACGCTAAAACCAGGTGCGATACCCACATTTTTTTTCGCATCGAAGACCATCAAAAAGACTTCAACCATCATCAGAGAAGTGTTCAGAAGAGAAAGCCAGAAAAGAGGTGACTGAATCGTGAATTACTCTCTGGCAACTGGGTTGGGTTGATGCAAACTCTTAGAGCTGCTCATCACTTATGCATCACTTATGCATAAAAAAATTGAAAGGTGAATGCTGTTTGGGGGCAATAACAATTATATCTTAAGGGATATCACCCGAATAGGTTCCATAGAGAAAAATGAAATTTTCACAGAAAAGTATTTCTTCTCCTTAAGCAAAACAATATTCTAGTTTCATGTTTTTTTTTCTGAGTAATCTTTGTACTTTGTCTCTCCTGACAAAGTAGGTAAGCAAAATTAATTTTGCTTACCTACCAGTAGGTAAGCAAAATTAAATTGTTTCAGAATGAAGTGATTATTCTTTAATTCTAGGAACATTTTACCCGTCCCTTGTTAACCAGCAGGTGAACAAAATTAGTACAAATAGACTATATATAAATTGTGGATATTATTCTTTAAATAATGAATTTTTTTAACCTTCTTTACTTCTATGCGAATAAAAACTTAATACAACTGGAAATTTTAAGTTAAAACCACTGCAGGCTTTCAACCAATGGAGGGCAGGGTCAGGTGTTATATTTTCCAAGAAAATCCCATTGAATCATTTGCTGTAACCATATGGTAGCATAGTTTATCCCCTATACCTACATTTTTCATTCTCTCAAAGGGTCACTAACCCATACCATAACAGAGTTAATATTTTTTCTGTTATAGTATATAGCCTCTGTAACTGTACAACCTAGTTGAGGAATCGAAGAGCATGCAGCTTCAGCTTTAGAACAGCCTGCACCTTTTGATGTAGTGAATTATGGAGCAAGTACATCAACCTCAGACAGCCCATCATATCCATTCCAAGATGATTTAGAGCCTAAAAGCACGTTGGTTGAGTCACAAGCAGTGCAGGTGAATTTGCCAAACAAGGGTGTGGATTTTGGAATCCAAGTCAATCTGCGTGGTCTCCATTTAATGATGAAATGTACTGACACTGAAGTCGAGGTTGATGTTTCAGAAAGCAGCACCCAGACTGAAGAGGTATTTCTTCCTGAAATTGAAGATAACAAGGAAGAAGCAACTGAAGCTACTGCTCCCCCAGAAGTCTCTCCAAGAAAAGATGGCATCTACCTTCCCACAAAACAGGAAGATTCAGATGATTCGAACATGTCAGGCTCAGACAACGAACACCAAGGGGAAATAAAATGCGAAAAGCCACAGGATGATACCAAATACATTGTATTTAAACAAGAGCTATTTAAATTGTTTAAGTATTGTCCTGAGTGTGGTACATCTGTGATTAAGAGGAACCAATCCACACAAGGAAGCCAACTTTTTGTCACCCTAGAATGTATGAATAATCATAAGTACTCCTGGCAAAGCCAGCCAATGCTTGAGGGGATGACAGCTGGAAATTTGTTGCTGTCATCATCTATTTTGCTCAGTGGCTCTATACCTTTACAAAAGTAGCATATTTAGCAGATATCTTAAATTTGAAAATTTTCAGTGAGAAAACATTTTATAATATTCAAAACAAGTACTTATTACTTGTAATCAATGAGTTCTGGTTTAAAGAACAAAATTCCACTTCTTCTGAGCTAGGGGGCGAGATCTGTGGCTTTCAGGGGGTGAGTGCTGTGACAGTCCTGGCCACAAAAACCAAAATATGGGACATATACTATGATTGATCAGAAAACTGATAAGATTGTTGACTTCAAGGTTGTTCAGGTCAGTGAAGAAAATTATAGCAATGCCATGGTTTAATGCCATAATATCGACGCTTTTTTATTGAATTTAGTATTTATTTGGTTTTAGATATACTTATTAAGATTTTGTTGTTATAATTTTAAATTATAGAATATTCCATATCTAGTTTGTTTTTTGTTTTGTTTTGTTTTTTTTTTTAACTCTTAACTTTATTTTATTTGTGGAATACCTGTAAATTAGCTGGCGTGCTTTCACAGACCCCGATTTCGTTTCCGTCTGTGAAAGCACACCATTATTGTAGCTAAGTGTATTTTCACAATAAACTCTTATTGTATTGTATTGTATTGTATGGAAAGAGAGGGTTTTAAACGCTGTATGGAAAACATTAATGAAAAAGAGGGGAAAATTATGGTTGTTGCAACTGAACATCATGTGGGCATTTGGGCTGACATGAAAAGAAATTTCCCTGAAGTTGATCAATAGTGACATCTCATTTACATCTACATCTATATCTACTTTTATTAATTTAAAGTTGGCAAATTCTGCACCGACATCACAACAACCAACTCGCTTGCAAAGAAAGAAGACTTGAAATTATATTAAGGCTTGAAATTATATTAAGAACGATTGTGATCAAGAAACGGGCAAGGAATATTCCACAATAGTGCAAATAATCGTGAAAGATGATCGCGGAAAAGCGATTGCGTGACGCTCGGTAAGTTGCAAGATGACATGTTATCACGTATCAGAAGAAAAAACAGTATAAATTCTCAGTCTGCATTTTGTAACTAGTCTGCATTTTGTACCCGGTCAGTTGTCTGCAGTCTGCATTTTGTACTGACTGGATTGGTATTGCTGTTTTTGTTTGAGCAAGCCTCAAGTCTGGACCGAAGTATTGGAGCTCGAAAAAAAATTCTAGTGAGACAGTCTTTGCCGCTATGATTGATATGTGGACTGTATGTTAATGAGCTCACGAGGAAAAGTACAATGATAGAGCGATGATTACTTTATACCAACTGAAGACGAACACAAATGCGTGGCTTACCAATATGGCTACCTCTGACGCTATTTTGCATGGTCACAGCGTGTGTTGAAATGAACCAGCTGCAGATCCCCTAGGTGTGAACATTTCGGCTTCTCGATTCAAGTTGCATTTTCAGAAGTTTGGAAATGGGATTTGAGGTTATTATTTTTATTAAACCATAGAAACATTTTATTTCTTTCCATGTGAGTTTCTGAGCTTCATTGAAATTAACTTTGACTTTCACTAAGTGGGGAGGGGTAGCATGCGAGACTACTTCCGTTCACGGCCCACAGTACAACTTCTGTCCACGGAATACAACTTCCGTCCACGGTCGACAAATTCCATCCACATCTGCTCCACCATGATACCTCATTCATTGCTTTCAGCATGAATGAGCTAAAAAAGCGCATGTTCACTTTTCAAAAACAACGAAACTAGTTTGGCAAGGACTGTCACGACAATGTTTTCTTTAAAAAACAGTCAATAATCAAACGGAAAGTATTATTCAATTTCATCGACGATTAATTCATGTACGAAGATTTACCTCTGTTCATTAAGTAAACGGTGAGGAAAGTAATTGTTCTCAAGAGGGTATAGAAGAGATTAAAATAACCCTCAGGTATACACTACCCAGGAGGGTATAGAGGAGATTAAAAATAACCCTAAGGTATACACTACCCAAGAGGGTATAGAAGAGATTAAAAATAACCCTCAGGTATACATTACCTAAGAGGGTAAAGAAGAGATTAAATATCAACCCTCGGGTATACACTACTCAAGAGGGTATAGAAGAGATTAAAAATAACCCTCAGGTATACACTACCCAAGAGGGTATAGAAGATATTAAAAGTAACCCTTAGGTATACACTACCAAAGAGGGCAAAGAAGAGATTAAAAATCAACCCTCAGGTATACACTACCCAGGAGTTTATGAAAGAGAATAAAAATAACCCTCAGGTATTCACTACCCAGGAGGGTATAGAAGAGATTAAAAATAACCCCCGGGTATACACTACTCAAGAGGGTATAGAAGATATTAAAAATAACCCTCCGGTATACACTACCCAGGAGGGTATAGAAGAGATGAAAAGAAACCCTCAGGTATACACTATCTTAGAAGGTATAGAAGATATTAAAAATAACCCTCAGGTATACACTACCCAAGAGGATTTAGAAGGTATTAAAAATGACTCTCAGCTGTACACTACCCAAGAGGATATAGAAGAGATTAAAAATCAACCTTCAGGTATACACTACCCAGGAGGGTATAGAAGATATTAAAAATAACCCTCCGGTATACACTACCCAGGAGGGTATAGAAGAAATTAAAAATAACCGTCAGGTTTACACTACCCAGGAGGGTATAGAAGTGATTAAAAGTAACCCTCAGGTATACACTACCCAAGAATGATTAGGGAGATTACAGACTCTGGAAACTGGTTTGGATGTGTCCTTGTCATTCCTTTCAACGTCGCGAAGGCGTCAACATCGAAGCTCTGCAGAAGTGGTCCGTACCTTATCGCCTGCCCCTGGGTTTTCTTGACCCTTTAACCCTAAGAGTGAGAAGCTTCTAATTTCTCCTTACAATATCACCACTGAATCACACAGTAATGTCATGAGAATAATGGAAATCTTGAATCACCAACTAAAGAAAAATCTTGATTTTTTGACAAATTTTCTTTCTCAGCACCTTGGTAAATGTACAGAGAACAGTTTGAAGAATATGAATACTAATGTTAGGGTGTAAAGGGTTAGGAAAGGGTGCCGAATACCCGAAAAGTGGGATGGGTACCAACTCCAGTTTATTCTGGCACTAGACGAAAGTAGTTTCTCAAATGCACCTCGCATATTTTTTTAATTTCGGAGCGTTATCTTTTGGTGTCCTTCTCACATGCTCAGATGGACCATTCTCGTGACTAACTATGCCCTTTTCTCACCTCTACTCTCTTCTCGTCTCGGGATAGGACGTAACTGTAACCTTTTTTAGATAAACAAACAAACGTATGCGTCCACGAAACGTTATAGGCTTGTACAACTGATACGACGTCCCCTTTGCTGTGGTTTTCACTGATTAAGACTCCATTCTGACCATTCTGCTCTCATGAAACTGGGGAAAAGTTTGGCGATTTCTGTCGAGCTTCCAGCTACGGAACCTGCGGCACTACTTCAGGTGCTTCGAGAAGAAATAGTTCTTGGCACAAGTTGACGTTGAATTTTGCTTAGGAGGGTTGCTTCTCTATAAAATTTTTGAAGTATTGTCTCCCCGCAACATACCCACAGTCTGGTTGATGGGGTCGACGGCTTCATCATACCGATTTTCGTTCTGGTTTGGACCTGTTGTCTTGAGTAATTACCACATAAAAAGATGCAATAATGTCATTTTATTGACAAATGATAGAAAGCTTAAGTGCAATAATTACTTTTGCATACCCAATGTTATTTATGATAGGAAGACCGCTTGATATTCAGGCAACGGGTGTTACTAATAACCAAGTTATTTTGTGTTACGTATAGCCTGTCCAAGTTTTGCAATCGTAGCTTGGTCCAAACCGTTTACGAAAAGGGGTTGGAGCACCCAGACATATTTTTTTCTCTCCGGTGCATTCTGCGAGTGACTAACATCTAATTTCTCCTTACAAAATCTCGTCTGAATCACACATAAGGTCATAAGAATAAAGGAATGATCAACAACTAAAGAAGCTCTTGATTGTTAAACAAATTCTCCTTGTCAGCACCATGAAATTTATGATGAACAGTATGGAGAATATGCATACTGATATTAGGATGTGAAGGGTTAGGAGTCATGAGGGTTTTACGTAGGCTATCATTTCTTAATCAACTCTTTATCGCGCGGAAATCGTGTGAGTAATTTCTCGTTTCGGTGATGAAAGACAATTCATCCTGCATTTTCTTAACCCTCGCCTTTCACGAAAACAAATAACGCACTGTTTCGTAATTACTGCCGGTGTCAGGTTCCTGTTATTGTGTCGGTCATAATATGTGTTTTAAATACAACAGAGTATTTGGAACAATAGCATTAATCAATCATCGTAATTTCTGTGAAGAAGTTGAATTTAGCAACATGTTTCGGATCCACGTGAACAGTTAGGAAAGTTTATTTAACAACTCGACCAAATGCAGGAGTTACTGGACTCTATGCGAGATTCTCATGATGTTCATAACAGCCATTTCTACTCTACTAGTAATGTTGACGGTAAGCTTCTTCAACGGATACACACTTGATACCATCTCGCACGCAAGAGGAGAAGTTAATTCTTAACACAGTATTTACATTTTGGTCATCGTAACTCTGAGCCAAAACAACGGTTTTCAATTAATATTCTCTACTCTTTTCGATCGCTTTCAAAATACAACATGTTTTATGTAGTGTGGGCCAAGCATAGATGTAATATATGATCTCTCTTTTCATAAACCTTACGAGCTTCACTTTTAGACAAGCACTCACGGAGTCCTGAATGTAGAAATCAAACTACTTACGATTGGTGACCATGAACCAAGAGACTGTTGAAAAACTAGATAATAAGATGTACTTAGCTGTTAAAAAAAAATGAAAAATTTTACTCGATCTAGGCGCAGAATAGTTGCCGTCTATAGGCCAGTCGACCTTTGCCTCTAGGCCGAGGTCATCCCAAACTGACCGATATTCGCCACGTCTTTGTTCTCCACTTTCGGCTTTAAGTTTTGTACCCTACTGACCAATTTTGCACTCCCTTGAGTAATCCTTATGTGGATTTTTATCAATTTTTTCAAAATTTTATTGAAATACAATCACCAATAATTACGAAAAAGGCCTCACACAGCTTTCAACTTTGTTGGATTGCGTGAGCTCGATATAGCTGAATAACGCAAATTAAAACAGAGGATTACAAATATTTTTCTGCAGTTTCATAAAATAGGGTTTACGTTCGCGAACATACGTTTGTCAAATACCCAGAGCATAACTCGAGCCTGTAGGGCGAGCGCAATTTGTAGACTGAAATTTTATCAAATGTTCATCATGATTCTAAATTGCACGAAAATCATTGTACTTCTTGTTGATGGTGCATTAACAATTAATTTAAATTTTCAGCGCTCAATTTGAACTTTTTCTACTGTTTTCAATTGATTAACGAGTTCTTGACCGATGAGCATTCAGAAAAATGCGGATAAATCCTTACTCGCATAATTCAAGCTTCATTTTCGGTAGGCACTATTTGGATCACGAACTACGCGAATTAGCTGCTCTTAGAATCATTTTCCTTGTTATTTTCCTCTTTAATTGCGGCAGTCATTTTTTCGAGTGATTATTAATAATTATGTTTTATTGAACATAGCTGATGGTATTGAGCAATTTGCAAATGAGTGTCGGGAGTCATTCGAGACGGCGTCGATTCTGTTTCACTTTGCCTTGTAATTGTTTCGTTGCGCAAAACTCTCAACCAATCAGATGAAAAGTTAAGGCCATCGTGACTATGTCACTTGCGTTTTCCTGTGCTTGCTCTAGTTTGCTTGTTTTTACCTTGAATTCTTAGTTCTTTCTGATATTTTTTAGTGTTTCAGCTACCTACTTAATTACGTTTTCGCTCAGGAACTCCCGTGAAGATCTCAAGGAAACAAGACTCACTATTTCCCTTGAGGCCAGTCAATAATTGCTGACTATTATGACCGGCTTTTGTGATTACTTTCGCCTGGGTTGACTCTTATTCTGACGAGATTCTAATGAGTTGTCACTATAATTAATTTCAGGGCTATTGCTGTGGTTGGGGACTGTTATCAATCAAACTGGTTAATTACAAAAACCCTGGCAGCACGTTATTCAACGGAGAATGCTGTGACACTGTGGGTTGGTGCCTCGATCAGTGTGAAAATTATTTTAAATTCTGTGTCACTGCACTTGGTTCTCTGAAAACCTGTAATCTCGGTTCTACTGAGACAAAAGTACTCGGGAATGACGACTTTAGTTTCCCTGGCGTTGGAGGAAGTCTGGGAACAAATTTGCAAAATCCGCTGACATACAACTTCTCTTCTTGGCAGGTACAAACCCTTAACAGAAGGTAGAGCAGATTTTAATTGGGCCCAATGTTTTTTTAACCGGGTGTGACTTCTTTTACGTTGTTTCAATCAGTGATCTGTCTAGAGAACTCATGACAGCCTTGTTACAATTTATTACAACTACGAAACAGATGTCGAGTCCAAATATTATCTGTTTAATAAGCTGAATAATACACGCATTTTCAGTTGTTCTTACTTTTGATAATTTTGAGGACAGACGATTGATGACGTCACTTTGAGGAACGTTTTCTCTCTTTCTTATGTAAAACCAAGATGAAGATTCAATGTTGCCATATATTTGTTCGGCAGAAGATCACAGAAGATATGTAAGACGTCAAAAATTTGGCAAGAATTTCAGTCGCATACTTGGCTGCGCCGCTCTATTACTTAGCAAACTTTCGGCAACAGGGAATCATTTTGTTGAACAGATATCAGATACTATCTGATCGAAGAGAGCAGGAGTTGCTAAGTTCTCAAGGCTATAAAGACATTCGCGTCTCGTTTTTTCTTTTTTACCCTGAGCTGTCAAAGGCTCCTCGTGATATTCTTCTTTGCCCTAATTAGTCGTTTTGATTTTTTTGGTTTGGCTGTTCAACACCGAGCTGCAGGGGATTTGGGACGAGAGTTAAGTTGTAATCTTAATTAGTGATCATTTGCCTTATAGTCTGAGTTTTGCACATTCACGCTAGAAAAACAAACATGAGAAACCAACAGAATAGCAACAGTTGATATTCTCTTGGAGAAACACTTTACCAAGCCTGGAGATCTTAGAGACTTCCTCAGTTAGCATACGTGTTATTAACGGTGGGTAAACGATGGCTGGTTCTTTTATTTTCCAATCTAATGGTGTTTTCTCTAGTTTTATTCTGAGTATTTTCTTTTTTTTCCCAGGGAAGTACGGTTGTGGTGGAAGTCTGGGATGACGACGGTAGTCAGATCGTTGGAAAACTTCATGATTTTGTGGACAAGTACACTTTAACGATAACTCGTGACGCTGATCCGGATCCAAAATTTGTCACACAAGAAATAAAGACGTTATGCGGTAAACGGTCGTGTATGACCGTGACAGTCACGCTACATTGTGCCACCAGTTATCTGGTACCCGACTGTGGAATGTATTGTGTGTCACGTAACGATAGTCTTGGTCACTACCACTGTAACTATACTGCCGGGCGGAAGGAGTGTGACGAAGGATGGTATGATCCTTCAACGGATTGTGTAAAGAAGAAGAAGGTGTGTGCTTCTAGGAATGACTCCTCAGGACATTACTCTTGTGATCCTGTCAGTGGAGAGAAATTCTGCCTAGATGGGTGGACTGGGGATAACTGTACACAAGGTAACGGATCTCTTAAAGTGGCGATGCAGAGTTAACATTTTTTCCTGAGTGTAACTTAGACATGGGGGGAAAGTCCTACAACGGTGTCCTATGGAACCAAGGAGCATAATGGGACATTTCCTATAAAAGTCTTTTTTACTTTCCCGTAATAAAAGTGGAGAACTCGGCCCTTGAGCTGTGACAAAACCACTCTTAGTAAGGTAGAAAAGAATGTATTTGAATTATTTATAACTTTGTTTGTTTTCAGTTTGTCCTTTTCCGTCTTGTGAATCAAGCTGGTTCAAGTCTACAACAGAGCAAATCTCCCCTCAAAGCTCTCTAACATTAAAAGTGAGGACATCTATAACAACACCTGAGATGACGAAGTATACCACACTAACTACCACAAAACAATCTGCAGCGAATCTCACTCCTTTATCGAGAAGTTATTTAACTGCGATACAGACGCTTTTACTCCGTTCTTCAACCTCTCATCCTTTAACTGAAGGCCCAGTGAGCACCAGTCATGAGACATTTGAAACGTGTCTACAGTTCTCAACTTCATCGCTCACCCAAACTGACACTATAAAGAAGAGTATTTTGGCTGTTCATGTTTGGTCCAGTCATTCAACACCAACGCTTCAATCAAATCTGTCATCAACTCTGTCTTCGCTTTCATCATTATCAACAACCTCTTCATCAAAATCACCATTTTTACCCCCATCCTCCACGTTTCTCATTCAAATACTTGCGCATGCTTCCATATCTTTCTCTACTACATCGCCGACCACATGTGCATCGACTTTCCATTATGTTCCCAGTCTTACATCCTCGCTTGATCAAAATCCTACTTTCGTGCTGGTTCCCAGTCCCACTTTCTCGCTGTTTTTCAATCCCACATTCTCGATGAATCCCAGCCCAAGTGCAGGCCGTCCAAAAAATGGCGTAGAAATTGAAATGAGACCTGGGTACAATGTAAGTAACTATTTTTCTTTAATCACTTTTTTTCTAAGAGTATCGAGTAATTTGAAAGTGATGGTAATGCTTATCTTGTGAATAAAAATAGTAGCATGCCATTGACAGCTTCTAGAGCACTCCTTTTACTCGGCGTTTAGTTTGGGACAAAATTTGCGATCCGACCTCGACAGTGAACCAGCTATCCAGACTGACAAAAGAGTGACAGATACTTTAATTTCCACAAGAAGAAGTCTTACTGTAGTCATTAAACTCGAGGCTCAGTATTTATCTAAGAAGTGGAACGCACGAGAACACGAAAAAAGTGTAAATCACGAGCCAGGGGCAAGTAAATTTTAAATTTTTCGAGTATTCTTCTTATTGCACCGCTAAAGCGATAGAAAGTGCGGTGTACGTGCTATTATAAAACAAAACACAGTATTTTTCCATTTTCCTTGGGTTTACCGGTGCAATTAACGAATCATAGATTTTCGACCAATCAGGGCGCTCGTATTATCTCAGTTATCTTCCACCTCCTCCAACAGTCTCTTCGCCTTTTCTCATCTCCTCTCTCTCCCATTTCCTCATATCCTTACCTTTCCTCTTTTACTTACTGTCCTTACTAGATTCTACATCACTTCAACTGTTTTTAGGGTTTCCGCACATGCACGCACTGTATCAACCCTTTTACGATAATTGTATATTATTTCATATGTTTTCTTTTGCAGTGGACAAGAGAAAGTGAGGAACAAGTTAAACGAGAGTTGATTAGTACTATCAATAAATTCTGTATGAAGCATTTACGGCCGTGTCAAATTACTACGAACGCAACCTTAAACAGGTAACGAAATAAGCTGTGATGTCTTGGAATTCAAGACGGTATTAGTAACTTATAATTTAGGGTAGGCAACGATCTGTTGTTGCTTGGAGTGCTTGTCGTTTGGTTGTCGTAAAAACAACACCAAAGTGATCACAACGACAGATCAGAAGAAAGATGAAAAACCTTCGGAGCCCGCAATGACAACTCATATTAAAAACAACCAAATTACCGAGAGCGCGGGAAGACGCGGGTGACTAAGTGGCGATTGATTTTAGTTTTGCATCTGATTGGTTGAGAGAGAGTGGCGCGAGTTTTCTGAACCAATCACAGAGCGAAGTAAAGCAAAAGCAAAGCAATCCAAGATTACTTTTGACGCTCAATAAAAAGTTGCTCTATCTTGCCTGTGATACACACATGGCAAAATAAATTTTCTGATATTTTACTCTGATCCCAAATCACTTAGAAACCTTTCGAGATATATTCCCGTCACTATTGTTTTTTTTTTGTTTGTTTTTTTTCTCAAGAACGGTATTTAACATGTCACATGTCGTTTTGAAAGTTGTGCATGGCTTAGACGGGAAAGTCTACGTCCGATGTAAAGTGAAGATTCCCATGAACGTACCACATGTACCCAGCTCAGGTGAGGTCCAGTTATAATTGTGCCTTAAATTATAATACCTCGTTTTGTTTGCGTCGCAGGTGTGTAGAAATTGCTCATTGATGGGTTTTTACTATTCTATGCTGTCTGTAGTAATGACTTTTTTTTCGGTTGCATTGCATTCCCCCACGCAAAAATTCATGGTGTTCTTGCGTGTATCTGCTCCTTTGAGGTATATATTCTATGTGAAAAAACTATTTATTTCGCACATACTGAGATTTACACTGTGAAGTGTTAATGTTCGTGTCTTTGACTGGACGAACGATATAATTTCACAGTCGTTCCCTTCAAATCTTTGAAATGTGTTGGTCATTTCTCAGTAGGAATGAAACGAAAACATCATTGCAAAAAAATGCTTGCACAAGTTTTATTCACTCGTTGCGATGCATGAAAAAACTCGTTCGTTTGCTGCGCCCACTCGGTCGTTTTTTTTTTATGCATCGCAACGAATAAAAATCGTGCAAGCCCTTTCCATGGAATAATCTCTGTTATTTCGTCCTGAGACTAGGATTAGAAAAAGATATCTACGTTTTTTTTTCTTTCTTGTATTTCATTCTTTTCAAGGATACTTGCCATCTGTTGTGCTCAAACGAATAATTTTGGAGAGCAAAACGCCTTTGGAGAAGAATCTTGACGCAAAGATTGTGACTGTCAAGGAGATCGGTTGGGACCAACCAAATCCTTCCCCCGTAAAACCGTCGTCCGCTAGTTCCAGTATCATTAGGACGATCACAGTCCAACCAACCACCAGGCAGACTCACTATCCCAGCTTCCTTCCATATTTCTTGGTGGGCCTGTGTTTGCTTGCCGGACTGATAGTGATTGTTGCATTTTACAGGTAACTGATTCTGGAACCCTTTGCCAGTTTCTCAGTTCAATAAAGCGATGCACAAATAATCCACAAATGAAAATGCACCCTTGAATCACAAATGGAATGAGCGTTCATGCATTTCCACCACAAACCATTTTCATTTCTACTTGTCTTAGAAGGAGCAAGTTACGTCAAGCCAGAGTGCTGCCTGAACCAGAGTGCCCCACAGAGGAAGAACTGTTGGTCTTACCAAACAGGAAATCAATAGTGCGACCATTTTCAGCTCCGACTGGTACAACAAGAAGGGTACGGCAGGGTTTCCAGTGATCAAAATATTTTGCAAGGTTTTTCAGGGTTTAAATAGTATTGAATACGTCGAGTGTTAAAAAGAACAATTAGTAGGTCCAAGATTGCAGTAATTATTAAAAATTGCATGTTACGGAACCACATTAGTTTGCTTTCGCTGAAGTTGATCTTCCGATTTTTATTTCACCAGGATAACTTTCACAACGACTCCCAGTTGCTTCACGAAAGTTCAGAAGGCTCCAGTAGACGTCAGAAATACGTAACCTTTCGATCAGAATCGCGTCTTCACGAATTAAATAACCTTTATGTGAAGTCACTAAATAACAACAAAGACTCTGTCGATACTTGCCACGAAGAGAAAAACTTATTCCTGTCGTTTGAGAGACTGCAAGAACTCACTTTGCCAGGGGTTTTCATCAAAGATAAGGATGAACACCCCTGACCACTACAAGATCAAGCAAAACTGTGGCAGAACGTGGGTTAAACTGGTCAGCCGAAATTTTTCGCAGACACCGACTTCGATAAAAATCGATATATCATCTGTAATGCAAGAGTTTTATTTAGTAATCAAGGTTATGTCACATGTAATTAAGGCTCGCGTGAAAGGAATGAAAGCGTAAACGAGCCCTAACTTTACGCTGCAGCGCCTTAGTTTTACGACTAAGGGGTACCAGATGAACTGCTAGTAGTCGTGTATTAATCACGGGCTGCTTGTTCGAATGCTACTTCGCTCCAACCCTAACTATCTGCTGTACAGTTCTTGTGATGTGTGTTTGGAGAATTTGGTATTGGATCAACTTATAATCTCTTGACTGATATTTGCCTTTATTCTCATTACTTGTCTGCTTGATATTGTATTGATATTGTAAGGAGAAATTATGTCTTGGTCACTCATGGGAGTTGAAGGGTTAAGAAAACCACACAGAACATTTATAAAAACTATTACAGTTACCTAAAGATTATTCTGAACAGCTCCCCAATGGTGATTAATAGCAAGATGTTGATATTGCTGATTTGAGCAAACTAGAGCATTTGAAATTAGACTCTATGTTTCCCTGTACAATAATCTTTAATCCTAGATTAGATTGTTCAAAGTTAAGATGCTTTACAGGGAGGTTTTATTAAGGCCACAGCAGATTACATGTAGACTTGGAATCACTGAAATACACTTTTATCACTACAGACTCAGATATACATGGCACTTGTTTCAACACATTCTTTATAACCAAGCCCTCTGGTTAAGACTTTGTTGAGAACACTTCACATGTACTGGTAGGTCCACTCTAAGCCTGTGATGTGGTGTGCCACTTAAAGTTTTAACATTATGTCCATGTAAAGATTTTATTTATTGAATCTCCTTTGGCAAATTCAGTGCATTTCAGTGATACTAGCTTTTTAAGGTTAGAGATGAAGATTGTATAAGCAGAAGAAAATGATGTTTGTCTGTCTTGATGTTGGTCAAATTTAAGAAATAATTTTTCTCAGTTGTGGGGAATGTTTGACCACTTTTTCATGTCCATCTCATGCTGATCAACAAAAGGTTCTCTTACTCCCATCTCACTGTTCCCTCTGACTTTTAAGACAAAAGCTTGTCCCATGTCACTTGTCTTTTTAATCATCAGACTTTTTAGGTGGTTTCTCATATTCCTGTGCTTTGGAGAAAAGGTATTCCATGGCATTGTGAAGATCTGGCAGCTGTAGGAATGAGACAATGTTGTGGTGAAATGACAAAATACAATATGTTAACTTGTGTTCATGTACCAGTAGAAGGGTTTGTATTTTTTCTCATTTAGAACAAATCATGGTCTCGTGACTTTCCATGGATTTTAGTGATAATAATAATTAAAATAAAGTCACTGTGAAAAAGGTCATTCACCCAAGGTATTGCCTGTATTTTTTCTCTCAGTAGAACTCTTCTCCCCTATTTTCCATTCAGCAATATTGTTCAAAAATCAACTCTTCTAAACCACATCAAATATTAACAACATATTTCTTGGGGCAGATCATGCTTTGTGAACCTCTGATAGCTCTAAAGTATTGAACTGATCCAAAGGATAACTGTGATAGTTCTCCTAAGTAGTATTACGCTATGCTAAACAGTGAACTCACTGATATGTGCTCAACAACTTGAGGAATTTCTGTGAGGATTTTTACCTAAACGTACCTCATATGTTTGAGCTAAATAAACACCAAAGATATTTCCAACCAAAAGACCAGTCTGTAAACAAAATATTGCAACAAGCTACAATTAAATTTAAGCTAGAACCAAAAGGCAGGTGCTACACAGTGTGTGGCTTTAAAAACATCCAGATTATCTCCTCAGAATTTAGTGGACCACAGTAAGGTAATGTTACTTGGAATATACATAATTCTGGGGCCCACATAGTTCAACAGTTTTTACTGTGCAAAGGTTATCAGCTATTTTAAGTGGTTAGTACAGAAGGGGAAAAAGGGGATTCTCTGTACCACTGTTTAAGGAAACCCAAAAATTTACCAGGATTTAGTTGTATTCCGTGGTAAAAACTTAAAATCATTACTTTTAAGTGTCTGGCAAATAACCTCACATATGCATGTTGATCAGAGTCAGTAGAAGGTTTCCTCAACGCACTCTGTGCTGATCAAAGGTTGATGGTTTAATGGTAAATTTGCCCTTTATCATTTCGTTTTTACATGGAATTCAATGGGAAATATCCTTCTGGCCTTTGTTTTGAATATAGTACTACTAGTGATGATAAAATATTGGGGATTCTGTGGTCTGCTTCTTTTTGAAGACAATCAATTCCGGAATGAAAGGACTACTAACTTATAAGCAATTAGCGGAACCCCATTCTTGAGGATAGTTGGAGCACTGCCTCGCCCTTCTCCTGGTCCTGGTATTTCCAGTAATGATAATCATTCTAACTTATGTTCGATTGCTTATTTGAAGACAACCTTATGCCCTGGGAAGGTTCATGATGCGACCATAAAATTGCCAAACTTCAAGAGTAAATAGATGTTGATATACTTACAACAAGAGAAAACAGCTGAGTTGAGGCAGGCATAGTGAGTGATACCTCTGTTCATAAGATGAACATTTACCCTATATTTACTTTTTTGCCGTAAGGATTACCGTGAGGGAACTCAGCCCAACTTTTGTGAAACTTTTGCGCCCGCGATATACCTATCCAGCAGTACCTTTTCATCATGGCGGCCAATATGGCGAGAAGAACTAGTCAGTGTATTTTCCGCTCCTCGAGAAAGATGTTCTCATTTCCTATGCGTCCTAGAAATACAGATCAATTACGGATGAGTAGTATCAATACTGAAGGTAGGTCTTCTAGTCATTCGCGTAAACTTTTTATTTTTACGATCCCTCACGCTAGGTAAGGCAGCTGGGACCGTGCAGCAACGCCTGCATTCAGATCTAGAAACATGGGCTGGGCTACGAACTGATTTAGTTTTAGTTACACTTAAGAAGCAATTCCTCCATTGTACACTTGTTTACATAATGGAGGGGGGGGGGAAGGGGGGGAGTCATACATGTAGAATTCACATTATCTTTTCACTCCTAAGATCTCAGTGGTAATTCTTCTTTCTGTCTGCTATACTAGTCTTAAAATGTTAGTGTGGAGAATTTGGTAGTAGGTCAACAGATAATCCTCTTATTGGCATTTTTCTTAATTTCTCATCACCTGTCTGCTTGATTCTTAATTTCTTATCACCTGTCTGCTTGATATTGTAAAGAGAAATTTGGTCTTGGTCGCTTATGTAAAGTATGAAATGTTAAAATTAAAAACATGTTTAAAGACATATCTGTATTTCCTTTGATTTCATCTCAGCTTTTGGAGCCCAGGATATTGTTGATCAGCCTAAAAAAAGGAAACAAGTCAGGAGGATGCAATCTGTTATATGCAAGAAAAATAGGCATGATCCTGCAATGGAAAGAGCAGCCAGAGAAGGATCTTGTAAGTCATGTCACAAAGTTTTTGTATAATTATGTAAGGCTGGAAATAAGTGTTTATGATACTTGAATATTAGTATATGTGAAGAGTTGTGGACAAAGCAGTTGCCGCAATTTATTCAATTATTTATTTAATTCTTATGCCGATAATTTCCTTAATTTTCACATTGAAGCCTCCTCTTGGATATTTCACCTACATGTAATTGCTTGGTTTATATGATGAAGCTTATTTTTAATCCACGACTTTACTTTTAACAGTACTTGTTCCACTGGAAGCTGTTCAAAAGGAGTGGAAATCAAAGAATGAATTTTCTACAACAACAAAGCTAGCCAGGCATTATGGCATTTTTAAGCATATTTTCAATGGAGAAGAGTTCACAGCAACAACTAGGATGTCAGTAACATTTGGAGAAACAGATCATGTGATTCATGGAAATTTTTTGACACCATCTCAGGTACATCAAATTAAATGTCTTAGCTAATGTATTGCTACTGTAAGTGAAGTGTATTAGAGTTCCCAGATATGATTATGTCAACTGATGGATTCTGGAACCAGTGAAATAATCTCAAAGATCATGGTGCTGTGGGTCAAGAAAGCTGATGATGAAGTTGCTTTCAAGTTAATTTTTTTTCTTCTGTTATGTGTTGAGCAGTGCAGAGTTGTATGCCTCACAGGAATAGTAAATCAATTTTAAAACAAGTTATTCAATTATGTGATAACTTCTGTTCAAATATTTGCCTGTATGCCTTTACAACGCACATTGTAAGAGGATCAGTCCAATGGACCAATTGATGCAACAGTGAGTTTGTGTCTGATACTTGAAAATAAAGGGTGTTTATACGGTCATTGTATTTGTATCGTTCTTGTAAACAGTACTTTATATTGATCTATTCTTCATGGATTGATTTTGAATTACTGGTAATCTCTGTAGGCTACTATTCAACCAACTGTCAGTTACACCTGTGAAGACGACAGCCTCTGGACAGTGATATTCACCAATCCTGGTAAAAGACATATTAAGTGTTGGAGTATAAGCCCCTGTGCTTAGAGTTACCACACCTGAGAAAAAGGGTTTTGAAAACCATATTGAATTTCCTAAACACCTAAGGCCTTTCAGAAATATGAACTCCTATTTGTACTGAGTTGTAAAATAAATTCTTTTCTCCATGTTACATAGAACTAAAGTCAGACATTCTTTTAAAATGTAACTGGAAAAATGCTCTTTATTTTTAATTTTTTTCTTTTTCATTTCTGATCTGCTCTAACCCTTTGAGCCCTAAGAGTGACCAGCATCCTATTTCTCTTTACAGTATCACCCCTGAATCAAACATTTAGGTCATGAGAATAATGGAAATGATTAACAGCTACAGGTGCTCTTGATTGTTAAACAAATTCTCCTTGTTAGAACCTTGTACACTGTATAGGGAACAGTATGGAGAATATCCATACTGATATTAGGATGTTAAGGGTTCATTTGTAACTTTCAAATTTGTGCGAATTGGCAGTAGACATGATAAAATGCAAATTCTGTTAAAAATTTTGTATAGGTAACAACATGATTTTGAGTGCAATTTGGTAAATTTTTCTAAGACAACAAAATTGCATGAGCCTGTAGAGCGAGTGCTATTTGCAGTCTGAAAAATTTACAAGTGCTAATTTACATGGCATTGTAAGTGAAATCATGTTGTTACTTGTTAATAATTTACATGAAAAATGCATCACAAATAGTCAAGAGGGACAAAATTTGGTAATGCATACTATTTATAATTTGCACTCATGTTGCAGCTTTTCACTCATGTTACATGCAATTTCAGCCAATTAGATGTGCATGATTTTTTCATGTATAATATTAATTTAGTTATTGCATATTAAAGTTTTTGCCATAATTAATTTTATAGATGGTAACTTGATAGAGAGAGAGACAGAATTTTTACATTGGATGGTGTAAGTATTTTATCTATTCATTTGTCTTTTTATTGATTAATCAATAATTTATTATTTATTATCATTTTGTTGACCATTTTCTTTGAATTCCTTTTCTAGTTCAGATTGATCATTTATGTCTGAAAGGAAATTCTCCCCTACCCTTAGCTAGTGTTTTCATAAGGCATACAGCAAAGATTGTTTTGAAATGCAAGTAAAATTAATACACAGATGTCTTACTGCAGTTACCTAACCTTACTTCCACTACCTCCTTTATTTAGTGATTTTCCTTACTCTCTGATTTTAGTTTAAAGAATTTGGTATTGGATTAACTGATAATCTCCTAATTGATATTTTTCTTCGTTCTCATCTCATCACTTGTCTGCTTGATTTTTTATTAAGCCTTTACCTCTCATGAGTGACCAAGACAGAATTTCTCCTTAATGTATCAATACAATATCTACCAAATAAGTGATGAGAATAAAGGAAAATAACAATTTGGGGATAATTAGTTGATCCAATACTAAATTCTCTGAACTAACATTATGAGAATTGTAAGTTTAACAGTAAGGAGAATGGCAAATTTGATCTGAGAGTTAAAGGGTTAATATTCATTGTAAGAACAAATTCTGTGTTAGTTGCTCATGGGAGTCAAAGTGTTAGTAGGGAAAGCATTTTTTTTAAAGACCAAAATGTATTTGCTTCATCAGTGATGCAAAATGTTGAAGACTGTAGTAGAAAACTAAATATGGCATAACATGTATGGAGATTTTCATCTTTCTTTTATTGCAGTGTCACCTGATGCATTTTGTTTTGTTTTCAGAGGAAATATTCCTGGCTCAAGAATAAACGATGGTGATGTTCTTTGTGATTATCTTCCACCAGTGCCAGCCCATGGGACAGGCTTTCATAGATTTGTTTTCTCTCTGCTCAAACAAACTGGCAAATTGGATTTAAGAAGTCATGTCTGTATAGATGGAAGGTATGACTAACCCAGTTTAGTCAGGTTGTTGAAAAAACATAACAGGAAATGGTGACATGAAGCTTCTCCTTGGGAGTCATGTTTCAGAAGCCCCATTGTAACTTTTGACCTTTGATAGTTAGAATGCATCATTGAATTTTTTTTTTGGTTGGTCGGTAAAATTTACTCATACATGTGCATCTAGACCAATTGTAAAGATAGATTTGAATAGGCAGTGATCGTTTCTTTAAAGTTGTGGATGCCTTCTGAAAAGGTTAGCAGAGGTACCACTCTTAATCCTTGACTATAAGGCTTAAGAGTGGTACAAGGTTTAACCCTCTGACCCCTAAGAGTGACTAACATCAATATCTGTAATTTCTCATTGCACTATCACCCCTGAATCACACATCAAAGTGGTGAGAAAAAAGGAAATGATCACTAAGCAAAGAAGCTCTTGATTGGTAAACAAATTCCCCTTGTCAGCACCTTAAGAAATGTACAGAGAACAGTATGGAGAATACCTATACTGATGTTGGGGTGTAAAGAATTAACAGTGTATGGTTCACTCTACAAAGATTGACATGGGTGGAAAACCAGCCCTTTACGTAAAACCCCTTTTCCAGGGCCCTTGCTCTTGAGACTGATTACTCTGTAATTAATTTGTTAAATACTTTGTAGTCTTTTCTGTCAACACTTTCTGTCATCCAGCTTTTCAGTATGGATTTAAAAATTTGGAAAAGTTTCCAACACAAGATCAGAATGCAAAATCTGCAGCTTTTTCTCTAATTCATTTGTATATCAGAGTTAATGAACAAGTGTGATACACTATTTTCAAATGTCATTAAGTATTGTATATTCTAAAAGTATGATTTTCAATTTTCAACAGAGATATATCCAGTCGCACATTTTCTACAGCAAAGTTTATATCTGATCATAAGAACAACTTGACTCCAGCTGGACTGTGTTTCTTCCAAGCTACCTGGGATGAGAGTGTTACTCAAACATATATGGAAAAGTTAGGTATGGTGTCTTTGTAGTATTTATTGAATGTAGAATTTACTCAGTATACAAGGTGTGCATGTTGACAGACTTGAGTCAAGTTGACCTAAAAGGATATCAACTCTTATCAGCCATCAAATATTTTAGCTTGTGCACGATTTGTCTAAAGGCATGATTTGACAGAACATTCTCCTCTAAAACTGGGTGATATTTGGGGATATCACCCAAGTGATATTCCCCAATTTTCAAACCTTACATCCACTATGACAAATCTTCATTTACGATTTAATTTAACCCTTTAACTCCCAAGATCTCAATAGTAACTTTCCTTACTGTCTGCCATAAAGTTCTTGTGATGTTAGTTTAGAGATTTGGTATTGGATCAACTTATAATCTCCTAATTGATATTTTTCTTTATTCTCATCACTGTAACCAGTCTTTTAAATAAAAACTTTGAATGTCTTAGCAGTCAGCAGACCTTTTACATTTGAGAGTGATAATTATTATTATGCTAGTGTGCCCATGTAGTCTCCATCTGTAAGGGTGTTTAACATGTCTATGCATTATAGAGTGTCAAGATAGCAGAGCTAAGTGGAAGCCTAGTTTATGCAGACCTTGACTTTGTGTAGTTCTATAAAAACCCCAAAACAAGGTTGCTTTCAAACCATCATCACTCAAAAATCAATCAAGGATCCAATTAAATAAGTGGTAACAAACCCTACTGTTTGTTTGTTTGTTTTTGTGCTTTTTTGTTTTGAGCAAAGATACCTGTCACCCAAATGAACAAAGATAGCAATCCCAATATGTATAATGTATGACTTGAGTGGCTTCTCTTGCCTGCTTAAGAAGCCAGTCATCTTCATGTATGCCACTTGTAGAGCCATGAGTGGGTAGCCTGTAAGCAGGTTCTCATTCTTATCACTGGAAGTTGTGAATTTGGGGAGAGGTTTGCAGGGGTGTGGCACCATGTAAGACCCTTTAAAGACCTCTCATTGGCTCACATTGCCCAAGGCCAATGATAATGTGTTAAAAATGAGGGCCAGCTTGAAAGTCTTAAATAGGGTGTAAATTGGTGTCTGTGTCTCAGACTGACTGTTATTTGGGTGTCGTATATGAATCTCCTAAGATTCCAGCTGAACTCAGAGGTGTACATGAATAAACACAAATCCTGAGTATAAGAGAAAATCTTATATCTGGTGTATAATTTTGTTTTTGATGTACTGTTTTTGTGCTCTCATTCTTATCATAATTATTGTCATAATTATTTTGATGATTATTGCTATTGATCCAGGGATCAAATCCATTTTTCAGGTATAACAGAACCTGTGTTTAAGCCTAAAGAATTCTTAACACCTGAACAAATCAGGAAAATTGTTATCAGAGAAGTGTCTGAGAAGAAATACAGGAATATGTGAAATCATTTACAAGGCTGGTGAATGATGACCACAACTTGTAAATATCATCTGTAATAAAAATGCTCTTCCTTCACACTGTTTCAATGTAAATAAAACAATTCCTTAAACATTGTTACATGAAATTTGTATTTTGTTTGATCTTCATGCAGTTAAACTTATTTTTTCCTATACATCATATTTCTTGTAAATCCATCTAGAAAATTTGGAGATATATAGAGGATATTACACCATGGTCAGAAGATATTAATTTTATGTTGGAGTGACTAGAACAATGTCTTGCTAGTGAGAGCAGCAAACGAGTGAGATATTGTTCTTGCCTCAAGAACGTAAACTTTATATCTTCAAGCTAACATTTAATATACTCTATTTATTAATAAATATACATTATGATTATAAAGATTGCTTGTATTTTCATGAGTGTATCATCCTCTATTTCTCTTGTCTCTTTTCTTGTTGCATTTTTTGAGAGAATCTCAGATTGTTGTTACGGTATATTTAAACTGAGAGAAAGAATACTATACTGCTACAAACTCAACTACTTAATTAAACCACAAAACATAAGATAATTCTTATTTAGAAGTGACTCCTGGAGGCCCTACAATAATCATCCTTTTAAGACTTACTTAAACTCACTAAAGACTCTTAAGTCAGCTAAAAACATTCTCATCCATATCATAAAGCATGTCAATTTTGTTTCATTTGATATGTACCAATTCTTGTAAATTTTTCTGGTCAGTTTGTTGATGCACAAGGTGTACTAAATAATCAGACTATGTATTTATGTTTGATTACTTTGTGTCAAAAATATTTATACAGATGAGCTAGATATACCCCACAACATCTAAACCAATGGAAAGTTATCCATGTAGAGTTCACTTTAGTTTGATCCTCATGTCTGTGTTTTCTATCTCAGCATTCCACTTTGACTGATAACTCGTACCTTGGCATTGATAATTCATGTTGTTATATACCAACTCAGTAAACTTTCACTCAACAAAACAAGCACTGTGATTGGTTAATTCTTGATCATGTGCCCCGTGATCAAATTCAAATGTATCCCAACAGTGATACAATTGCACAGTGGTTGCATGTGAGCTGAATACAACAGCATGTTGATAATGATTTAATTCATTAGGTTTTTGCCAACAATACAGTTACATGTCAGTGCATGTGTTGTGTCAATCAATTCAAAGCTTCAGCATACCCCAAACAACCCATGACCATTTGACCATTGTCCATACCTGGATGGGGAATTTGAACCAGAAGGGTCAAGTGTTTCCAGTGGAATGGAAATGGAGTGGAATGGAGTCTGAGGTGTTTAAAGGTAACTGGTAGGTGATAGTTCACTTTCACATTGAAACGGTTTAGAAAAAAAGATCTTGGTTTTAAAGCTCAGTCAATGTGTTACAGAATATAATTTTTACACAATCCATGTCCTCAAAAGTTCAAATGCCCAAAGGGTTGCCTGATGGGGGGAGGGAGGGAAGTTGAAGCTTCAATTGGTTGACGCATAATATGCAAGTTACCTGTTAAATCCATGCACATGGAGTTTTCTGTAGATTGCATCTAAGGTGACTGTTCGTCTTTCTTCAAATCAACTAAAATGATTCTATTTGAATATCACATTGTAGCCTGAATTCTCTGGTCGTAACACTAATTATAGAGTAATTTCAGTCCTTAACCTGTTTAGTTGACTATCATTCATTCGTAATTGTTTAAGAGGTAATTTTTGATACCATTGGGTACTGGAAGTGAATTGATTTTATTTCCTGGCACACTGTGCAAGATCACCACTCTGCACAAATGTTGCAAGTCAAATCTCATGGGCATGGCCCAAACTCGAACCATACTATCACTATAACCAGCTGCTACATACTGTTGGGATTTAGAAAAAGCAATGGAGTAAACAATGGTATTTTGAATCCTAAGACCAAAAGGGCTAGGTTCCTTTATGCATTCTAAATAAAACAGTGAATCCAGAGTTTCAGCCCCAAGCATAATAATATTGGCATCTGACGTTCCAACAGCAATCATCTTCCCGTCAGGAGAATACTGACAGCAGTGCAACAGTCGGGAAAATGATACTTTACGTTCTTTCTCCCGCGCATAGCGCAGTTCTCCAGCATGGGCACTTGAATGAACTTCAACCTTGTTCCAGATTTCCACGCGACCGTCCTGCATACAACACGCAAGCACCTCGAATCTCCACGCAGGATTAAAAATACTCCAGCACATATTTCCTCGGCATCTTCTCCTTAAAACGGTCACGACATCCAGATTTTTGCTGCGTAAGATACACAGTTGTTCTTTGGAAGTCGAGACAGCGAGGTACTGACCATCCGGAGAAAATTCACAACGGGTAACGAAGCCACAGAAGTCTGTTATATCGCGTAAAACAACTCTCGCCTCGATCTGCATGGATTTCACGTTCCACAATCGCAACTCGTTGGTCTCCCTCATACTGTGAAAATCAAGAGAAGCAGCGCTAACAATGTGACGAGCATCTGGTGAAAACTTACAGCAAAGTGTTTGACCAGTCATTCCATTGCAACAAGGTTGAAATTTATCCACTCGCTCTGCGATTTCAGCATACGAACTTCGGTTTCGTTTGACAAGCGCGACTTCTCCTTGTCCAGAATTAGTAATGAAAGATACAAGATTGCCGTCGGATGAGATGTCACACTCTTGTGAGTGGTAAGTGAGGAGTTCCCTTTTGCAGGACCCTGAGTTGATGTCAAATTCTCTTAAATGGCCACATCCGATATCAGGGGTAAACGGTCCACAAGGAATCGGTGTAGTTGACGTCAAAAGCAGAGCTTCGTCGTCTGGCGAAAAAACACAACAGTGAACCTCTTCGTGAAACCTTCTGGGTTGTTCATCTTCTTCATCTTCGTCTTCTAGGTTTCTTACAGAACCCCGATAATGATGCAACTCAGCAACGATTCGGGGAAAATTAGAGTATACAACGCTTGTATTTCCCTCGACTGATCTCCTCAACGGCCGCACCGGTTGATTAGGATATACGGCAGGTGTCGGTCTATCGATCTTCTTTCGTGACTTCGTCAGCTTGTTACCCATTTTGATATCAGCCAGGAAACTTGAACGAAAACCTCTTATTTTCAGAGTGCGTAGCAGTGTCTTCCTTACTTTGAGAAGGCAAAGAAACAACTTCCGTAGGCGAAGTTTGGCGAATCAGGTTGTGGCAACAGCTGCTGCACGACAGGGAAGAAGTTGGTGCTGTCAACAAAAACAGCCGATCGCTTCCATCGTAAACATGACAGTTTTCAAGGGTAATTCCGCTGTACATTAAAATCGATGTAAAGCGAGGGCACTCTTAGACAGGGAGGTTGGGGCATAGTACATTATAGGTGTCTCATTTTTATGAATTATCTGTTAAAGATATGGCCGGTCAAAAGTAAAAATTTGTTTTATCCATTTTGAAATCACTAGTGATAGCATCCTTGCAAACTGATTGTCTCTCATCTGTGCAATTTAATCACGAATCGCACCATTTAATGCTCTGTTCTCCCAGCCAACCTGAAAGATTTACTGAGACTTAACAACCTATCAGATTGCAAGCCCTATTAATTTGATTAAAGTAACTAATCAAATTTCAGGAAAATAAAAGACAACTTTGGTTTAGTCTAGTTATGAGCAACACTATCAGTCTACTTATGTCAACTCTTATTTATATCACTCTCTGAGGCCCAATTGTTCGAAGGCCAATTACACCTGTAGTGCCAACACAGTTAAATTTTAATCCAGATTTCTTTATTTTTTTGTTCAAAGCCTTTGTCCGTTATTTTACCTCCCTTCTTTTGAGAGCATCCATGCTGAATTTTTACACCAACAGTGGGTTAACTTAACCCACCTTTGAACAACTTGGCCCACTTTAACTGGGTAGCAAAATGAACAGAATTAGTTTTTAAAAAATTGTGGTGAGCTTGAGGCCCACAGTACTCCTACCCAACTGCCCTTCAGCAGGGTCTCTCCATTTTAGGTAGAAAACTTAATGGAGCAACAAATAATATTCTTTAGAGTCCAAGTTGATTGATTGCCAGTGTGCCACAGCCTGGCAGCTGGACAGCTGTTTCCACCTGGTTATTTCTTATCAGCATTTTGGTGTAACCACAAGAAATACAACAACCAATAGCAGTGCTGCTGTCCAAAGCTTGAATAAGCTACATGAAACACGTAGGAAGCATAATTTTCAATCCAATTTACATGAAACATGTGGGAAGCATAATTTTCTACCCAATTTACATGAAACATGTGGGAGGATAATTTTCTTCCCCATATTTGACTTGTTTCATCATCACTCAAATTTCTATTCTGAGTTTTTTAAAACTATTTTTGTCCAAAGAATGGAAAATTCAAAATATAAACATTATCTATCTTAGTTAACCTAGACAATAATTTGAGAAGATATTGATTGTGAGTATCAGTGAACTGAGTTGTTTAATTTTTGGTGAATATCACTATATTCAGGTTGGTAGAATTTGCTTTTTAAAACCCTATCAAAGTAAGGGTGAGTAGAATACCTTTTTGCTTAAATTTACAATTTACTGTTACTACTCTATCTCAAATTGCATATATACTTAAGCTGTAGGTTCTAAAGTTCACCCAGAACAAAGTTGAGAATTTTTCTTGCATGTTTTGAGATAGAATAAGAAAAATGGTAAGTTTGAGCTTGATGACGACATGGAGAAAGATGCTTTTTTTTGTCTTGTCACAAGCATGGGACAAAGAAAAATTCTGATTACATACATGAACTTCATTATGGGCCTTGCTCACCAGAGTCTCTATGGCTCAGTGATAGAGCATCCAAACTGCAGAGCTCAAAGGTCTGAAGTTCAAATCCTCATGGGGACATAGAATTTTTCTTTTCCCTTTGTCCCAAACACTTGTGACAAGACCAAAAACGTTTTCCTCTACTTCTTTACCAAGCTCAAAACTTATCAACATTCCTATTGTTAACAAACATGGCACAATCGACATCACTGATCCTAGCAGCATGGAAGATGCATGTCATACATGAAGTTGGTAATGGGCCTCGCTCACCATAGAGTCTCTGTGACTCAGTGGTAAAGCATCTGGGTGAGGAATCCCAAGGTGCAAGGTTTGATTCTTCATAGGAACTCTGATGTTTCTTTGTCCCACACTTGTGATAAATGAAAAACATCTTTCTCTTTCTTACATGTATCCAACATGAAAAATAATTTGAAAAGGTATTTGGGGTGGGGGTGGGTTAGGGTAATTTTAAGAAGACATCTTGCAGATACATTTCTGTATCAGAGAAATAAAAAACATTAAGATAACTGTGACTTGTACTGAAGGACTCTACCCCTAAGATATAAAATGGTGTATCCTGAAGACTCATTCATTTGTAACAATGAGATTTTCTCATCAGCAAATTTTGAATTTTCTTCTTAGTCTTGTTGAGAGAAAATAATGTGACTTGCAGGTGCACATTAATAACTCCATATAGTTCAGGGTTGTATAAAAGGGCTGGAAGCTGGGTACGTTCCCTGGCTGCTTAGCAAGGTTTCACCAGCTTCTCTCATAGAAAGTCACGTCTACTTTTCAAAAAACTCCCTCTAATTAAAACCAAGAAGACCCTGTAGTTGCCTCAAAATAAGGAGCTGAATTGTTGAAAGCACCATTGGCACTAATCCAGAATTAACTGCTGTGGCACAGTCAAGAAACTTTCTTAGAGGACGTCAATCAGGGATTTCAATAAATCAGATTTAAAAATTCACCACATTATCATGCCACTCTACCTGCCCCATGAATGACTTAACAACAAATCTTTTTCAAATAAAGGTTAAAGTTTTTCTTAATCTCATTGAAACATGTGTGGTAGTCTTACACAGTAAATGACTCTATAAACAATGTTGACTAGGTTCAGTTGCAGACGGCACCAAAGTCTGAATCATATGGTCAAACTTTTTTTTCTGGACAGGACCACCCAGGCCTCAAATTGTTTTTTTTTTTTTCCAGAAAAGAGGTATCCTTGTCTCATAATATTGAAATATAAAACAATTATTTTACAACAATGATTGGCAATGCACAGCTACTTCAACTTCAACCAGCCACTATTTCTGAACAATCACAATACAGCCTATCCTGAAGAGCACATTTATGGTTATGACATTCTTCATTGACTGAAATGGTGAATTGTTGTGTAGCAAGCTGAGATGAACTCCAATTCTTCATCAATTAGTCTGTACTGTGACTAATCTTGGGTGCCCAATTAAATTATTACTTAAACAACAAAACCCTTTTTCCAAAATACTCATCATACAAAATGTATTAACTCTTTAACCCTAACATCAGTAAGCATATTCTCTATACTGTTCTCTAGTTATTTCCTAAGATGCTCACAGAGAGAATTTGTTTAGTAATCAACAGCTTCTCTGGTTGATGTTCATATCCTTTACTCTTGTGACCTTACTATTTGATCCAGGGTAATATTGTGTCAGACAAATTACATGCTAGTCACTTTTAGGGACCACAGGGTAAAACTTATGGAGAAGTCTAATAATTAAGTAAAATACCAGTTAAATTATAATCTAATTGCTTTTTCCACTGTCTGGCTCTGAAAAAGTTCTATTTTTTATACTTGAAACTAAAGATGCTTTCCATTTTTCTTCTGGTACAACCTTGGCCCACTCCGGTACAGCTGATGAGGGGAGACTAATTCCTGACATCACCTGTCTGATGAGATCTACTTGTTCTGAAACATCAAAGATCATAATAGATCAAAAAATTTTTGTTTTCAATAGATTGGTCCAAAAATGTCATATGACTTTAAATACCCTACCTGAAAATTGGGAATATCAAGCAATATTCTAAAAAATTTTTGAACAGTGCATGCAAAAAAATATTTGTATAAAAGGCAATTCAAGATATGAGAGTTTTTCTCTGGTAACTGAAGAAGAAATGAACTTGTTTATCAATTAAGCTTTATCATAGAGCCAAAAAAAATTAAAATTCTCTGAGTTACACATGATTAAGGACATGGGGTTTCTTTCATAAATTTTTTTGCCCTATATGCTGCAAAAAATTGATTTTTAAAAATAATGAACACCTTGGCCTTAAAGTGTTAATCAATACAAATATTCAACATCTGACTCCCTCTTGCATTTGAACTTTTGAAGAGTGGTTTGTTCTGATTCCCGTCCTTCAGGTCAAAAATTGTGTTCACATGCCCCAACCAATTTTTTAATAAAAGGCAAAATCAGCAGCTGTGACTCTCTACTTTCTACTCCCTTGCAAAAGTAAGCTATTTACCATAAAAACCCTACATTTAAAGATATAATGCTTGTATGCTGCTGGAAAGACTTAACACTAGTTGTTCACATTGACACTAGTTCCTCACATTCCTCACCCATCAAATTCATCATAATCCCTAATCTACAATTACAATTGGTCTTCCTGCTTGCCTTGTTTCATTTCTGGCTCAGCACTTCTGTCAGCAGATGATGATGATGATGACGACAACGATGATGATGACGATGATGAGGTACTGCTTTCACTTGAATTAATAATTACTGCATTGTTTACATCTATAGCCTCCTCCTCCTCCCCTGTCTGAGGTTGAAAGTTAATATTTTTATTTCTTTTATGTTTGTTTGAAGTAGGTTATTGAGCTGTAACAAAATAGCTTCCCTTTCACCAACTAGTCTCTTATTTGTGTCTTACAATAGAGTTGCTGGAACATTAGGCTACTACATTAGGCTAACAAAATAGCTTCCCAGGGGACAACTAAAGGAAAGACACATACACAATCTACACCTGCACTTTACACAATCCCTTTCACCAACTAGTCTCTCAATTGTGTTTTACAATAGAGTTGCTGGAACATTAGGCTACTCTGGCTAAAATCAAAATGCCTGGTATAGGTCCTTGAAAGCATACACCAAATACAATAATGTGTACCTAAAGTTTACTGTACTGGAGACTCGACATGCACCATTTATGAACAAAAATAAAAGCTTTAATGATCAAAACATGTTAAAACTGAATTGCAGTATCTTGAATTCCCTTTCCTTGGTTGATTCTCAGTTCGAGAAATTTCCAAGTGACGTGACATACAAGAGTCTGCCTATTAAGCTTTTCCGAATTGCAAGCTGTTTGCTCCAGGAAAAATCAAGACAAGGAAAGTTTCATTAGCAAATTCAATGTGTACATACGTTAGCTAGCCATTGCTCTGCAGGTTGTAGCCCGTCGTTTTCATCCTGAGCCAGTTGAATATAGCCTTGATTAAGATCATCCTCACCGTCTAAGTTGTCTTCGTCGTCACTACTAGAGGTTTCCATGATTGCTGGTACCACTGGTTCGTCCTCTTCTGAATCTGAATTCTCTCCTCCTCGAGGAGCATCCACAGGAGAAATATGCAGGGGCATTGCAGACTTTTCTTCGAGAAAATCGGACATTGATAAGTGTTTAGCTTCCTCCAGCCGACATTTTGAATTTTTTCTTCGGCGTTTGAAGTTTCGGGAACTGGGTACAAGAAAGTAGGAGGCCCGCAATGCATGCGTAATAATTACAGTCGATTATGAGTCACCATGAAATGAAATTTGACAATTACATGTAAGGTTATGTAGCACTTTACGCTCCTTCAAAGACTAGCATGCCGACGAGAATCTTGCCATAGGGCATACGAGATCATTTTTTCGTTTTTAGATGAAATTGTTCTCCAAAAGTTTCCGTAACCGCTGAAAATACCGTTTAATGGAAAAGAAAGAGAGAAAAAAAATCTCTACTTGGACCTAAGATATTCCCTGATAATTGTCATCGCACATTACCTGTGCCAATATTGAAGTTCTAGAGAATTTTTGTGCTTCGAAGAACAGATTATGTTGTTATGTTATGAAAGTATTTCAAGTTGCCCTACGTGAGATTGAGCAATGAATGGTCGGTGCCATTCTCTATTGTGTATTCATCTCATAATCTTACGTCAGAGCAACTTGAAATACTTACATTCGGTTTGATAAATTATTTATGTCCCTAACCATCAGCAGAATTGTTGTGCATTGTTATGTTGAGTTAGTCTTCAAGATAATTTTGAAGCGTGCGGGAAAAACGCTTACAGATACCATTAAAACAAATTTACTGAGAGGAATGTTGACTTTTCAATGCTCTTCGCGAACCTTTATAAACAAAAAAGTTTATCTCTTATTTTGAATAGAAAACAAACAATTTTTAAAAAAGTTCCATCATTTTGAACAAGAGTCTTGAAAATTAGGGCATATCACATATGGTTCTCACCGGATATTCCTCAAATTTAGCTGTGGTATTTGACTCTAGAACTGCTTTTAGGCTAATCGCGGTCGAATGTAAACTTTTGATGGATGATAGACCCCTGCAGTCCTTTGTTTTTCGCTGAATTTAAAAAGACTGACTCTGAGCTTTTGAACGGGACATAATTTCTCTTTTAATAATTAATCTAACACATATGCATAAATGGCATAAAGTTCTACTTGAGTAAATATATCTTGTTTCGATGTAAATCAAACTTCAGAGCTTTTTCTATTGTGTTCTTGAGATTAGAAAAAAAGGAAACCTTGTGAATAAGTTCTAGACTGGGGATCAAGGTACGGTGTTTCTGAACAAAAAAAGAAAACGAAAAACAAAGAATGTTTACCGAAAGGAGGATCTTATAACGGAGAGGGAAGGATTCACACGAATGGAAACATTTCTGACATTTCTGCTGATTTCACTGATTTTTTTGCCTTTCCACTATTGCCAAGGTAAGTATATTCAGCTTGAAGTTTTTCTTTTTTTTAAATAAACTTTTGTCTTGGGTTTTCAGTGGTATTCAGGTTAACAAGCATTTAGAGTGAAACTATTATGAGGAAATTTCCAAGTTCGATCAGATTTCGTTTCATCATGGGTAGCGACCTTTCTCAGATAACTTTTAGGGTGAGAATGTATAAAAACCAAAATTTTGCATAAGTGCGTGTTGTGTTTTTCTTGTTTTTTTTTTTCTCAGCATAGATTAGAATTCATTCAATGAAAACATCTCCGAAAATTCCCTAAAAGTTATTTTTGAGATTTTTTTGACAGAGTCACTATAAAAAAGAACTTTCTTCGGAAACGCGTTCAATTAATTTCTTGTAGAAATTTTGAACTTATGCTAGTCATTTCCAGTTAAATGTCTTATACCGTTGACGTCTTTCCTGCACAAAATTTAGAGTGTCAAAGATCACTATTATTCGGGTAAAAAAGGGTTGTCTAAAAACCTCGATAATCTTTCGAGTACAGGGGTGGACTACGTTCTTTAAAGAAAGATACGGATATTATTTCTCGCGCTGAGATCACAAAAGGGAAGATACTGACGTTCTTCTTCACCCCAATTTTCATTATATTCTTTGTTGTGTTATGTCGATGAAATCATCAAATATTTATCACGCCCATGTTTGAGAAAAAATTAAAATTTTAGCAAATCAAACCTTCCTGAAAATTGTTCTATTTTTTCTGATTATCAGACGCCAAAATAGGTTTTAACTTTTGTTTGTGGTACTTCCAGTCGAGTAACGAAGTTTCATTTATGGGTTTTTTCTTTTGAAAAGTTAAATTTCCTCACGACTATCGCCTATAAAAAGTTTACAGTTCTGCTTGACGAATCACTTCTCTTCTTGAAATTCAAATAGCCGAGATGTTACGATATTGCTGCAAAGGCTGAACGGCGTCGTTAAAATGTTTTGGGATACCTTGCAAGTTCGCAAATGCAAATTTTGCGTCAAATCGGCCTTCACTCGAATCCAACCGATGAATCAATCCAATGTATAAATCCGCTCTTCTTCTCCTATATGAAAGAACTTGAGAAAAGAACCTCGTATAGTTTATTCGTTTTTATATTCAATAAAGGGGGTAAGTTTCTAAAGAAACTGTAGTGCTGCGTCGGTGGGAGAGTATACAACTTAGTACTGAGTTGAAAACGTAAATTGGCCACCGTAAAGGGTAAAATAGCTGACGTTTCGAACGTTAGCCCTTCGTCAGAGCGATTGAGCGATTTTATATTCAATAAAGTTAACTAAGAAAATTTTGCGAATTTATTGAAAAATAACATTTCACCAATTTTTAGAAGTACGCTATCGTGATAAGAAATGGTTTGAGCGTGACAGACTGACGAGTTTTAACCGTTCACATAATGACTAGAGTACGAAGGAGATAAAACTGATACTCCATTGTGGTACATCAATCCTTTTATCCCCAAGATCTGATTTTTAATTCTCCCATCTAGTTACTATATATTTCCTTGTAAATTAGTTACGAGAATTAGATGTTAGATCAAGGCAATGACTTTTACGCGATAAGTCCGGGTATTCTCATTACCTGTTTACTGAATAACGTATGGATATTATAGAGAGTAGTCACGTGTTCATCACCAGTGGAAGGCTTAATGCGTCAAGGAAGCTGTAATACAAAAACGTGGTGAAGTAGAAATAAGGGTAATAGGACCGAGAGAAGTCCAATTTGGTCTCAAAAAATTCGAGTGATTAACACAATCGGACGATTGCGAGGCGGAAGTCCTATTTGTCAATAACGAGTATGATTACAGACAGAATTGAATGGCACGAAATTCTGTTACCAATTAACCATCACCGTTACAATTCTGAAAAAAACAAATACATTTAGGGACAAACATCTCCGGTAGCGACAATGTGTAAAGTAAAAAATTCCTCCACTTTGAAAATTCCCCTCTTTATTGTGATCAATTCTGTGATTGGTGGATTAAGCAGAGTGGACTAGCTATGATTGGCTACTTAAACTGTCCGATTTCTGCCAACTGTCAGAATTTCCTGTACGCTTACAACTGTACAGAATGATCAGCGAAAAATGAAGCAGCTAATGCACCAATTACATTTGAGGAAATTGTAATGGTCATGATCAATGCTGAAATAGCTGACTAGTCTCCAGTCCTCTCATCCATGTATGGATCGACTCTTGTATTAGTTTTTCTCATTTTGACGGACGGCGATGGTCTTCAGGCAGCTGTGTCGCGAAAAGACACCACTGCTTCGGCTCTCAAGATATCTTTCAGGGATGAAGGCCAAGGTGCAAAAAACAATCTGTTATAAGTTCGGATAAGTTCATTCAGTTGCTGCAAGAGAATTATTAATGACGATATTTAAAACAGGAAGCTCTCTCACCCGTAGGTGATCTACAGAGAGGTCCAATCCAAAATAACATTAAATTGTTAAGAGTAAATAAAAATTGCAGATATTAAAAAAGTAGAAAAGTAAGCTATAGATTAAAAGATTTTAAAAAATTATTCCTAAACTGACATATAGTGCCAGAGTTCTTCGAGTCACTGTCCAAGGCATTCCAGTCTTTAAAGGCATGATAACAGGTTCTTTGTTTACCCCAGTTCCGTTTGACTGATGGAAGTCTAAGATGATCTTTGCAACGAGTGTTGTATCTATGTACATTGCTGTTTCTAGATAATTCCAATTTGTGAGATGTAATTCCATTCACGCATTTATAAACATACAAGCAGCGATGGAAGTGCCTGCGTTGTTTTAAATTTAACCAGCCGAGCTGATTGAGAGCATCGGTTGCAGAAGAGTATAATGGTTTATCTAGAACATTTATCTAGAAATAAAGAATATCTCTTGGTTGCTGGTAGCGACAATTTCTTGTACTGCTCACGATTAACTCCGAACACTCACCACGACTGGCAACCGTAACTGGCTGTCCTTGAGGTTTTCGGCTGGTTTACCTTGCGATCTTCGTCTTTGCTTTACCTCTCAGAATAACACTCTGTGTGTCTTCATTTTGCTTTCGAAACTGTTGTCTTAGTCAAATAAACCACTACTATAATTTGAATTTCTTTAGAGATATCAGATAACACTAAAGCCACACCCAGGAAGTTTTTGAGAGGATAATTATAATTTTCTTTTTCACTTGCAGCGCTAGAGTTTCCAACAAATCTCATCTTCGTAACCATTGACGAAGAGAAACAGCCAGGTTAGAATTCCAGTTTCCAAACAGTCATTTCCCATGTTTTCCCTTCTCGCCAAAGTTCCTTCTTTCCCAAGACATTTATTTCTTCCAATATTTCCAATTAATATGATTTACAGTCATTTTCATCAAGTTTCTAATTAGCTCTTTTAAAACAACGACCAAAGGAATAATGCGGGTATGTAGTGATGTGATCTGTTTGTTGGTTATAAATGAAGGCCAAGTACCCTGAGTAAAATCTCGTCATAAGATGTTTGCATCGACCGGCAAATTTTTCAATGGTTACCTCCAAGCAACCCTTGTTACATCTTTCAATTATCAAATTCAAATGCGATCGATATGTCGTAGTTCAACTTTGGTTTTAGCATGAATCTTAGTAAGGTTTAATAAAACCATTTCAACAATAAGTAATTTCAATGAACAAGTTAAAACAAGTAAAGTGCCTGAAGTGGAGAAAAATACGAATCCAGACACTTGTGCTGGACCTTGTTCTGAGAGGAAACACCTCTTGCGAACTGATGTATCAGATGAAAATGGCCATCACTGACATGGAAATCGTGAGAAGCTTTATGGTAGAAGCGCACGTTCGTTCGGTTACATTTAAATCCAAATAGTTGATCTTACCAAATTCCCTCCCTCCCCCTCTTGCTCATCAGGACACTCAGTGCCGTATGTCAATAACGTACCTTGTTGTTCTTTAAGGTTCATTTGTGGCTCGTGCAAGTGCTACTCCAGATCCAGTAAGATATGAGCTCAGTAAAGATGCCGCGGACCTTTTTGCTATAGACAACACGACAGGCATAATAACAATCGAAAGACGCTTTGATAGAGAGGTTTGTGGACAACAACGTTTGCTTGGAAGAATTTGATGATATTAAAGACGAACTGATTCTGACATGCCCTTTTTGGGACGGCGGTAGTACGCAGAGAAAAAAGGGAGTAAACAATTTGTATAGTTAACAGAGCATTTTCATATTTATTTTTTAGGCTGAAAGTTACGCAGAGGGGTCATTCATGGTGTACGCCTTTGATGATGCTGGCAATAAGGTAATTATAAAAATTCTTATTATTATTTTAACTTGAAGGAAACTTAGTTTAACATATGGCCTTCAAGTTAAGAGGAAACATTGTAGTGAATTTTCTTTCAATGTCTCGTTGTCTGCTTCACTTTCGAGAAACTATAGATTCTAGGTGAACATCAGGTTTCTTTGTGACTTCCTTTTAATTTGAACCTAGAGTTATACTAAATATCTATAGTTAGTAATATCGTTTTCTCGCTCCGTTATGGAACCTTGTTTTTTTCCCCATCGGATCAATGGCACGCGTGCTTTGCTCTTTGGCCAGAAATCCGAGTAGAAAAACTTCGATCCGTAACTTATAGTACGGGCCTCGAACTCGATTAGTAAGAGGCATCAGTTATAACGTTTGTATTTCTTTGTTTATCTTTTTACCCCAAACAGGCCTCAATCACAGTTTTCTTTTGGATTCAAGATATCAATGATAATTCGCCACGCTTTCTAAGCCAACACTACAATGTTACTGTTAAAGAGGTAAATATTGCATCGGGGTCCCAAGTTCTTCACAATAGTACCGTCACTTTGTTATGAAATATGTTATCTGTCAGATTGGAGGGTCGCAAGGTGATTAATTATGAATAAGGTCTCGTAACTGCTACAGGCTGAGGCAGCATTACCAAGTCAATACCATCTCCATCGATCCTAAGTCGATAATAAACTTATTCATTCTTTTTCCACTCCCTCGCTAATCACTTTAATAATTGTTCACCCTTTCCACAACGCACCCAAACTCATACACACTTATCGCGTGTAGGTAATACAGTAAACTGTGACAAACCAAATGTCCTAAAGCTGCCCTTGAAGGCTGTATGATCTCACGAAATAGCGTTAAATAGCGTATTGAATAAATTTGAGCAAAGTAGTCTTTTTCAATTTTGGTAAACAAATTGAAAAACCATTGATTTAGGCCATTCACTAGACCATTACTGTAATTATAAGCAGAGATAAGACCGCATTAAGACCTAATCAGTTTGCAGGGTTCTTTACCTTACCATCTTGCGATAAAAAAATTAACGAAACAAGAGATCGTACTACACAGAACTCTGTTACTTGACTGTGTAGCTCTTAAAGTCAATCTCGATGTTTGTAGCCTAAGTCGACTTCAAGGAATATTTCTAATCACCTTGGATGGGATGTCAATTCATTACTTTAAGGCCCTTCCACGGCGTGACTGTTAAATTTGTGACGATTGCAGTTTTTAAAGGTTCAAATGACTTTTCAAACTCTATCAGATTGGACCGTGGATTCGTTCTGTACTCTCAAAACCTTCACAGCTCAATTCAAACAATCCGGAACAGGCCGTTAACATTTTGAGGTTTTCTTAACGTACTGACGTGACCTCGTCTCTAGCATCCTAGTTTCACTAGATAGGGCCATTAATTTGAACTTATAATTTCTGTAAATTGTTTTCTTAGACATGTGACGTTGATCGACAGATATTCTCTACAACAGCTTTGGATGAGGATTTTGAACAGAATGCAGAAATTTTCTACGAAATAGTAGATGGAAATGAGGTTGTAACTGCTACCTAACATTTCAGTCACTTAGCTCATTCAATCAAGTTATTGCAGGTAATTTAGTGTTAACCACTGAGTTGAAAACGTAAATTGGCCACCGTTAAGGGTAAAAAAGCTGACGTTTCGGGCGTTAGTCCTTCGTCAGAGCGATTGGAGGAATTGTGGGTTGTGTATGGGTTTATGTGCAGAAAGTGGAGCTACGCTTAAGGAAAGGCTGCAAACTGCCATATGTTGTTTAGAATGACTAGGGAATCATATGGTAGTTTGCGGCCTTTCCTTACATCTAGGCAGTTCGGAAGCCGCAAAACACTAGAACAAAAATTTATCTTCCAAATCGGCACCTTTTATCCCCACGGAATCAACGAGCGCTTTTCATTCAACTAATTTATACCTATTTTCTCGTCAACATATTCCCACCAATAGCGTAGCTCCACTTTCTGCATATAAACCCACATACAAACCACAATTCCTCCAATCGCTCTGACGAAGGGCTAACGTTCGAAACGTCAGATTTTTTACCCTTTACGGTGGCCAATTTGCGTTTTCAACTCAGTTGTTAACACTAAATTTGCTGATGTACTCTCCCACCGACGCAGCGCCACAGTTTCTTTTGAAAATTCCCCCCTTTATTCATCAATCAAGTTATTAATAAGTTTAGGAGCTGTATTCAACTAGATATGCTTAAGAAGAAAGTACTAATTACGAGTTTCTTACATTTGATGTTTTTCAACAGGATGGAATATTTAAGCTAAAGGATGCTTATCACTGCAATGTAATGTTGGTAAAAGCTCTGGACTTTGAGTTGAGATCCTCATACGAGCTCAATATCACAGCCTCAAATGTTAGTTCACCTTGTTAATAATCTTAGGTACTCAACATTCTCAGCCTTGGTGGATCTGCCTGTCTTTATTTCATTTTGTCTGTCTGTCCGTCCGTCTGTCCGTCTGTCTGTCTGTCTATCCGTGTCTATGGATATTTTTGAGTCTCATTCCTCAACTAAAAAAAAGATCTTCCTCTCTCAAAAATAGTGCTGGTAACACTTATTTACAGTTTCACTGTAAGTCCTGTGAAAACTCTACAAAATGTTGTACTTAGAACAAAACTTTTTACATTTTGTATGTAGCTAATAAGCAATGGAGTCAGAACTTTGAAATGTATTTGCAATAATCATAATGAGACGATTTGTTAATCTTTCACGTACTTACGTCGTTTTAAATTACAGTATCAGAGCTTCTCAAATTGGACAATTCTGTCAATAACAGTGGGAGATGAGGACGATCTACCTGCTAAATTCTCCTCCTTTGAATACAGCGCTTTCGTAAGAGAGGACGCCAGTTTGGTAAGGAGGAAAGATAAGAAGAGGTTATGGTTGCCCATTTTGGTGAAACAAAATGGGTTATGAAGCGCTATGAATTGCCTTGTGATGAAGTCATTTCCGATATGGATCACATGACTTTGACTGCATACTGCGACTCTTCACCAATCTCCTGGCGATGAGGTTTATCTTTTCAAGCCTAAACTCAAGAAGCATTTTGTTCCATTGGTATTCTCATGCTTCTGTATAGCTGTGATTATCACTACTCGATGTTGTGTTCCCTTAGTACTAGTGCTTTGCTGCCGTGTAGCTCTATTTTTTAATGTTTTTAAATCGCGGGCGTCCATGTCTCTGGGATCAGTATATTTGAAACGCGCCAATCCAAGTAGCTGAAGCATTAAGATTTACCGCCTCAAGGAGATTCGCAGTATGCGGTCGAAACGAGGTCATAAAAATCTTGAAACTTTAATCTTGGTTTCCTGAGTCTTCACTGATATTAGCCGCAGGGTAGGTCAAAGAAATCACGAATTGAATTGTGGACAAAGCTGCCTGTGCGATACTGTGGTTATTTCCATTAAACTGTAATGATTGTGTTTCGAGATACTTGCAGATATTGGCCGTGACAAAACTACTGTCAAATCAGAGGATTGATAAATTATTCATACCAGATCATATGTTTATTCGTTTGTGCAACTTGAGTCCAATTGTGGATGTTGTTCGTTTACAAATAAGTTTTTTTTCACTAGGGAACGTCCATCATTCAAGTTACTGCAGCTGATCAGGACAAACTAAATGACCCAGTGACATATAAGATAGTTGAGTGTAAGTACCACACTAGGAAAACAAGAAGAGGAAAGAAAAAACATAACGAAATAACTACAAACGGTTTTCTTGGGGAAAGCCCTTGTAAAACAACAACGATGTGTATGGAATAGTTAAAATGGTGCGGAACTTTTAACTTTTAGACGCATTAAGGGCGAGAATATATATATTGGGTCATTTAAAGATTTTAACTGAAAGATTGTAAGATACGAGTTAGTCGATAAAAAGGCAGATGATCCCATGTTGTGACGATTCCTGCATAGAGCCTCTCCTCAGTCCACAGCCTAAAGCATAAGTTGAAGGCAATAACTCTCAAGGTAACTTAGCCGCATTCAAATGTTCTTTATGCAAGATGTAAGACGTAAATTCTATGATACGGATAAAAGATGACTTCGTTTCACAACGTCTTTAGTGACCGGAGATCACGGCATCCTTCCTGTGTATTAGATATTAGTGATGGTGACCATAAACATTTATTTTCATTTGCTTTTTTACCTCAATCGTTTTTTCAGCTACCAATAATGACAGTCTATTTGACATCAATGTCTCCACTGGTGTTATCGCCTTGAATGGAACACTGGACAGGGAAGATGTTTCTGAATACAAGCTGAGAGTGTTGGTAAGGCAAATACAGTTGGTCGTTGCAACCAAACGTTGGTTGCCTATCACTAATTATTCAAATTAACCGGCGAAATAGAAACCCGCGTAGAATTAATCTTGCATACGCCTCAAAGTTGCACATTTGCCTTTCTTACATTCATCTTTCCTTTTTTCAAATTCTCTGTTTAGTTATCGATATTCATTGTGGTCTGGTTACAATAAGCAACATTTCGATTCATGCACTCGTTACTACCCAGATATCACGTAAAGACTACTGGTGAATGTTTTTTTGTCGTAAATAAAGATATTTTTGTCCAAAAAGGACGAACAGTGACTTGTGTTGGAAAGTATATCAATGCACGTGAAGCAGTCACTCTTAGAGACGATTGACAGTACATAAAAAAGAACAAAAGTTTCAACAATGTTGTTGGTGTTTTTCATGTCACTGCCTTCCGCTTTCATTTCGTCCATTCAATGTTTACAAGCAATCCTTTGGAAAATCATGAAAACGTCTCTCCGATTTTTAAAGACCTAAACTGAGCACAAGTTACTCATTGATTTGATAGCAGAAACGATCGATTGAAACTTTGAATTTTCTTTTGCAATCTTCAGGCTTATTCTACACATCATCTCCCCGATCATGCCACAATTAATATCCAGATTAGTGACGCAAATGACAACCCACCGACCTTTTCAGCCAAGTATTATTCATTTTCAATTAAAGAGAATGCAGGAATTGGCGCCATTGTTGGAGAAGTGAAAGCAAGTGATGTAGACCAAGTTAGTAGTAGTAGTTTTGTTATGTTCTGTGTTTCGGAAAAAACATCTTTGTAAAAGAACTGTTGCCATAAATTTCATGAAAAAAGTCAAACTTGCCCACCCTCTATTTACCAAACCGTTTTAAAAATGTTCTGATGCAGTTTTAAGAAGTCATTAACTAAAAATTTCTGTATCACAGGCAAAAAAAATTCATCTCAGCCCTTACCATATATTTTTTTTGGGTTGATATCATTCTTCCTTTGAAAAAGGGGAGCACATTTATGTTATCATAACTGTAAGAACAAAAGCAGAAGATGGGGTATTTTATGTGGTGCAAGCTTTGGCACACCCTTACTCCCATAGTGTTTCCCTCTATATTCACGAAAATAAGCGGATAAAAGCGACTTATGCGAGGAAAAAGCAAAAAATTAGGATTGCCGCAACAGAAGCTTTGTAAGCAAGTCAGACGATGCGGAGGATTGTCGGAGGTAGATGCTATGGATGAAGAATTAGCTGCCCTCTTCGAATATTGATAATATCGAGTATTCTCCTTTTTTTTCGGTAGGGAATCAACAACGTGTTTAACTACGTTTTACCGGATGGTGGAGAACCTTTTGCCTTCTTTGAAAATACTGGTGTCCTTGTTGTGAATGGGTCGTTAAACCGTGAAAAGCAAGACCGCTACAGCTTCTTGGTAAAAAGAGAGGCATTTGCCAAGATTTCACATTGTTTTAGCTGATAGCTCTTGTTAGATCGAAAGCGTTTAAACGATTTTCATCAGCTGTGTGCAGTCGACGTGAGAGTAACCAAGAAAAATCAGCAAAGTTCTTAGTTGTAATTTCGTTTTTGTGTGTCAAAATTGAGATGTGATGCACAGGTGTACCAGCCTAGGCTGAGTGTGAAGATTAATTAAAGAAAAAGAGAACACTGTCAAATCATGTCTAAAAGGTTTTAAATACAAGCAACGAGTAATGGCGGAAAAATGTGGTAACATAATGATGTCCTACATTACTTGTTTATGACTATGTTTGATATTATACTGAGATCTAACTGCAATTTTCTGAGGGCGAAAGCATCTTAGAGTTTTGGCCTCTCTTTGGGCGCTAATTGTAATTGTTAACACAAAGTAATTTATCTTTGCATAGATCATAGATCTAAATCATGCAGAGTGCAACACAATTACTCTCCATTTTCCTACGTTTGAGCTCACTCTCTGTCATTTTTACCACCAGGTATTCGTCAAAGAATTTCAAACTGTGGAAAAATATACCAACAACGCCACGGTGATTGTTACAGTGGAAGATAGAAATGACAACAGTCCCCGCTTCGTGAGACCGTTCTACGAAATTACAGTCCAAGAGGAGCTCCCCAGTGGAACAAATGTCCTACAGGTATTAACAAATTAGTTCATTTAGTAAATCTGGCAGAAAAGGAGACCTTATCAGGGCGCACAACTAGTCACTGCTAGATTTAATTAATATTCATGACAAAATTTCACCTTTAGAGGAGCAAACCGCGTTGCAACATTTCGAAAAAATTTTTGCTTTGTGTATTAATGACCAAAATTATTGATTCGGCCAACATAGAAAAACACTAAAAAAGAACCACAAAGGAGAGTGGCAAAGGATGTAAAATTCAAAATTAGAGCGGATCATAAATAAAGAACTTGAAAAGTTTCATCTATAAATTTTTCAACTCTTATTCTTTTAACTAAAGTTGAAATTTCAAGTAACAAAGAAACAGCAAAAATAGTTATGAATGGGTAAGGCGAAATAAATTTAAACAGGTTGTATTTGGATTTACATCTAGCCAATCTCGAGTAACGTGGAAAGTTTTTTCCCAGATTGTTGTATTATTGTTATTGATAAGTAATTATGACGACGACATGCATATTTCTATTTTCACGTTTCATCCTCCAGGTTCTGGCTAATGACACTGACGTGTCGCTCAATGCTATTATCATCTACAGTCTCGTTCAAGATCCCAGAGATCATTTTCTAGATTTTTTCATTGATCCTATCAATGGATCAATACGAACCGCAAAGACACTTGATCGAGAGAACATCAGTATTTACTACCTGACAGTAATGGCGGAAAACAGCGCCCTGAACACACAGACAAGGTTTGTGAGATATGTGAAAACCCAGGGAGTAGGGTTAGGGTCAACTCCACAAAAACTCTATTGATATTGAATGCACTGAAGGATATGGTCTTTGAGCCGTTTTAACTAATTTTTTCAACTTTGATAAGTGATGGAGAAAGGATTGTAATTCTATTATATTAACCTTGAGAATTTGAGGATGAATAGTGTTAATTCTTAACTTCGGCACCGACACTAATCTTGGTTGGGCTACAAAAAACTTAGCGACGCAATCCAACATTAATGATGAATAATACTGTTATTGTTTGTTAGCAAGAGATTTCCGCAATACATTCGTTTAGCGTTTTAACTTTGATTTCCTTACTAAGGGAGGTGCGTCCTTTACATTACGATTACAGGTCGAGCACGGTATCAGTAAAAATCATTGTTGAAGACATCAATGATAACTTTCCATTATTTGGCCAGCCCTTCTACACCGTCACTATCACAGAGGCTGCTGTAGTGAACACAACCCTCTTGAAAGTTCAGGTCAGAAGATAATTTGTTGTTTATCAAGCAGGAACATTTTCCGACTATCTATTCAAACTACCCAACGTTATTGGACTTGAAACATGACGGAAAACTACAAAATATCAATTTGAGACCTATAAAGATAAAAAAGCACCGAAATAGGAAGAAAAAGTTAATAAACACTAGATTATTTAGTTTTATCAACTGAGTTCATAAGGTAAATTAGCCACTATGAAGAGATTCTAAATCTGACATTTCGAGCTTTACAAGCTCTTTACGGTGGCCAATGTACTTTATCAAGTCAGATGATGAAACCAAATTATCTTGTTATACTGCCCCACCGACGCAGCACCATGTGGCAGCACCATGCCACGATTCCTTTAGAAACTTACCTTCTTTATAAATAACGCTATTTTGACAAATCACTGGAAACAAAGAGGTCAGAGATACATACACTGCACTGTGCATGTCACTGGCCGGGTAGGAGGTCCGTTTAATGCAAAACTACATTTGACCCAGATACTGTGCATATAAAGGTCACAGTTTTTCAATAAACGCACCAACCTGCGCCGGTAATTTTCTTGCGTTAAAACAACAAAAAATTAACATAGAAACAGAAACTGAAAGAGAAAAATCAAAACCTTGCAAAGGTGTTACCGTGACTGTAGGAAAAGGAAGGAAAATCCAGATTGAGATAAGAAACTATAGCGATTCGTTACCACAATGATCGAGATTTGTTTTTCGGTACCGATTGTAGGATACATGCCCTTTTCGAAATGAAGAAAAAAAAAAGTAATAGTTAAACGATTTCTGTGATAGAGTTCGTTTTTCAAAACATCCATCCACTATAGGCCACGGACAAAGATTTTGGTGAAAATGCAGTGATAGAGTATCTCCTGATGGAAGGGAATTTAGGAAGTGTCTTCAGTATTGAGCAAGAAAGGTATGAAGTTTAGCTTAGCTAACCTCAAATATAGTTCAAAATTGAAAGGAAAGCACTAAATCTTCTGAATTAGTTAACTTTCTCTCTCACGGAGTTGCAATCGTAATGTTTCTCGAAGAGATCAATCTATTCCCCTAAAACAAAACCCTGGTGGTCGAATGGTCAACACGTGGAAACAGGTCAAACCTTAGGGTCATCACACCAGGGCCCTTGTGTTATTTTATTGGGTACTCTACTTGTCTCTTTCCATTTTTGGTGACAAGTCGTTTTCTCCAGTACCAATTTCTCCACCCAATCCTAAATATTGACAAGCAAGGTATAACTGAAACTTGCCGTTCAGATTTAGTATTATCAACTAAGTTGGTAACGTAAATTGGCCACCGTAAAGAGTTTCAAAGCAGACGTTGCGAGCTTTAGCCCTTGGTTAGAGCTAAAGACGAAGTTAGCCCGCCTTCGCTCTGACGAAGGGCTAACGCTCGAAATGTCAGCTTTGAAACTCTCTACGGTGGCCAATTTACGTTATCAACTCAGTTGATAAAACTAAATTACCCTGTTATACTCTCCCACCGACGCAGCACCACAGTTTCTTTAGCGGCTTACCCCCTTTGTTCATTTGCCTTTAAGATTGTTTCAATTTCAAGTTTTCATCAATTCTGTCTCATCTTAGCGGTTCTATAAGTGTTGCTAGAGAACTTGATAGAGAAGAAGTCGAAGTCTACCATCTGATTGTACAAGCAAATGATGGAGGGAATAAGGTAGGCGCTGTTATCTTCCCGTTAACTCTTAGCTTTATTCAGACTGTAATTATCAACACTAACTCAAAACTAATTGCATCTTAGAGCACCACTGTTAATGTCACGGTTTTGGTGGGTGACGTAAATGATAACTCGCCCCAATTCACATCAGTGGAGGGCTATCACTTTTCTGTAATGGAGGAGACCTCTGGATTGATTGTGGGTACTGTTAAGGTAAAGTAACTGCCCTTGATTGACAAATCAATGCACCGATATTTATTACTATTACACGAGACTTAAAACTAGAAATACAATGGCACCAGTAACATACTGGCGATTTTAGTCACCTTCCTGCGAATAATGTTTAACGGGAAAAGATTCTTCCGTCAGTTTCAAACATCTTTAATCCCAACTGTTATTATTTTCTGTAGGCAAACGACAGCGACATCGGAAAAAATGCTCAAACAATCTATTCATTGATGAATACACCATCGTCCAAAAGGTATGCTTGATTGCTGTCACGCAAAAATGATTATTATCGAACGTTTATGCCATTTTATCTTTCTAAAGTAAATACAGCACTTTTGAAATCGATGTATACAAGATGTATATGAGAAGAAGTGAGCAACCATGATCCCTATTCAAAATCCAGTCTGAATTATTAGTTTCAGGATAAACTCTTCAACAGGAGAAATTTTCACAACTAAAGCACTGGATTATGAAGCCTCTCGTTTTTACATATTGGTTGTGCAAGCTGAGGATCAAGGGCTTCCGCAGTCGCGAAGGACAGCTGTGGATGTGTCAATCAATGTCATTGATGTCAACGACAATGCGCCAAAATTCTTCAATATGCAACCTGATGTGAAAGAACTTGAAAATCTTCTGGCTTGCGTCGCGTACAATGCAACGGTATGTGTTCTTTTCTCCCTCTTTTCTTTCTTTTACGCGTTATTTCCTTCGAAGGTTGGCTCTCAAAGCGCAAGATTTCCTTAGTTTGAATGTCTTGAAAGAATTCTATCAAAACATCTGGATAAGAAGCTGTTGCGTTAATTACCTCTACAGCTACTTATATATTAGACACGGAAAGAGTGTTCGTTAAGATTTTCTGCTCTTGGGTACCATCTATTCAACAAACAGTGAGTTTTACTGAAGATATTTCGGGAGCTTCCACAACAGTTAGATTCGGCAGAAAGCCGATGATGCACTTCGGCTTGAATTAATTGACAAATGGTATCTCACCTTAAGTCATTCCCTCGACTTGAATGCCAGGCAAGGTTCTCTTTGAAGCCTTCAAGTCTCCACTATTCTTTTTTAGAATCCCATCCATATTGGTCCACCAAATTAATTTTTAATTATGTTTGAAAATTATAGTATATTCCATTTTAAACTTAAAAGTCTTACCTAAAATTTCACTCAGGCTAGCTACTTTGACACTTCAACGGAGTGATTTACTTTATTTACCTCTTTGATTGTATCAAATGAATCGGATGTTTGTTTGTGTGCCGTATATGACTTGCTTGGTGGAAAAACTCTGTGGAGAGTTCTATTTTTGTTTGTTTGTTTGTTTGTTGGTTTTTTAAAGTCGACTTTGTTTTAAGTTGAATGTTGTCGCCTTTTTGCTCTTAATAGGAACTCACTGTTTTCCGAGTACAAGATTTGACTCCTGCCAACACTGAGATTGGTAGAGTGGCAGCCTTTGACAAGGACGAAAGTGTCAACTCTGTGATATTTTATCATATCGAAGGTAAAAATTCTTGATAATTGAGATGCCTTTCAATGAGATTTGACGCAAAATGACTTTTTTAAAAACTCTGCTCGCCTGTCATTTTTCATTCTTAGCAGATACACTAAATTATTTTAACACTGATTTTTTTGTTTCAGGCAATGGATCAAAATTCTTTTCTATTGAAAATCGCACTGGGATCATAACTACAAATCAACAGCTGGTAAGTGTTGGTGTAGCTTCATACGCAGTTGTTAGGCACGTCACGTCGCGCAATTATTCCCTCACAACCAAAAAAAAACTGTTGTGTGGCGTGACGAGCCTGCGTTGGAGGCTGACAGCCCAGGGGAATAAAATGCTGGTGGCTTTATTCGTAAAAGAATGTATTAATCACTCAGACAAGAATCTTGGTTACTACAATCTCTCAGAATCAGCGTTGCATGAAATTAACCAAAATAATTAATATTGATGGACGCTTCCCTCCCGTCTCCTCCTCAACATAAATTCACCATCCTCGATTCCAAGATTCAAATTTCGTGGAATTTAGCTCAATCTGACGTCCTAAGGATTAGTAATTGATAATCCTCGGAGGGGGGGGGAGGGGTGTCGTAATACATTTCTTGGGAGGGGGGGCTACATGGTTTTCAGGGGCAACCTAGATGGTAACAGACGTCGCTAGCGGAGTACAGAGGGCTATGAGAAAGGCTCCTGGGGGGAATCATTAGAATAGCACATCAACACATAATAATACATTAGAGTAACACATCAGAAAAACAGACGTCGCTAACGGAGTACAGAGGGAGGCTATAAGAAAGGCTCCTGGTGGGGATCATTAGAATAGCACATCAACACATAATAATACATTATAGTAAGACATCAGAATAATAGACGTCGCTAACGGACTACCGAGGGGACTATAAGAAAGGCTCCTGGTGGGGTTCATTAGAATAACAAAGAGCCTTGAGGGAGAGGGAGGCGGGGGCTTATGTAAATTTATTGTGACACAACCGAAATCTTCCTACAGGGGATAATTCAGGATCTACAGAAAGGGCTCTCAAACCAGTTCTTTGATGTTCTATCGATCGCAAGAGTCGCACATGTACACAGATAATGAGTACCAATCCACCGTGACCCTACTAAATTTCTTTAGTGGTCAGCAGTTAATGTAATGAGAAAAGACGATAGGCAAATAATAGGGTTTACTTGACTCTAAACCTCTTTACTTCTCACAGAAACGAGTTGAAAAGGAAATCTACAGCTTGACTGTAATCGCTGAGAACTCCTTAGCGTCTCCCAAGTTGTGGTCAACTCTGGAAGTTCAAGTGATTATATATGGCTTGAGTAGTAGATCACCACAGTTCACCGCTAGTGAATATCATGCGGAGATATCAGAGGCTGCCACTGTCGGAACACCTGTGATTAAAATTAATATTACAAATAACATACAGGTATTTATACGAATGAGTGCATAATGTTAAAAGGGAAACTGGCTGAAAGTTTGTGGAGCCGAGCCATTCATAGGCAGAACGGGCTCTGGAGCGGGAAAGTATACGAGAAAATAAAAGAACCAAAAGCCAATCAGAGAACGAAATTAGAATGTTCGAACGAGGGATTGAGTGGAAGAACTGATTAGGGAATTAACGATAAAGCTGCGAGAAAATAAAGAGCGAAAGAGTTGTAGACTAACTGAGAAACAAGCGAATGGGTGAGCGAATGCCTAAACGGATGATCAGCGACCGGAAGTTCAAATGAAGCAAAGAAACGACAAGCAAAAGAATGCAGCTGATCTAAAGAAGGAACGGGAAAACAAAAGAATAAGATGTGAATCAGCCTAAATAAATGAAAGAAGGATATAACGGGACTAAGAAGTGTGACTTTTTTTAACAAAAGGATTATTGTATTCACTCGTATAGTATTCATTATATGTGCTTGCTTTACCAGGCTACCTATATTGTGTTCAGAGTGTTGCATGACCAAAGCAGCGCGGGCTCAAGAAAATTTACGATAGAGCCTGAGACAGGACTCATCACCACTCAGGGAGAACTGGATCGAGAAATAACCGCTAACTACTCTGTGAGTGCTCAAAAGGCCAAAAGCTAAAACCTTTTTTATTGTCGTTATTTAATTCTCTTCTTTTGAGGCGGTTTGTGTGATTAAAACTGGAAAACTCCTTCTCATGGATAAAATCGGATTCATTTACCCTCGGCAGTGTCTATAGAACAATAGCTAAAGGAGACCGACGTAATTAATTAAAAAAAGCACTTCAAATGAAAAGTTAAGACCCTACTTCATGGGTGGAGATGACTATATAAAATCTTGGTCGAGGACTCAAGCCCGCGACCTCAGGCATGCGAGTCCAGCGCTCTTACCCCTCATTTGGCCACACTGACTTCTAATACAACATCTTACCCTTTCTAAAAAAAAAAAAAATTTTATAACAGACATTTGTAACATACGTTGCAGCTGATCATTGAGGCAAAACTGTTAAACTCAGATCCTGCACTTCAAGAGGTGTCAAGTGTGGTGCTTGTATTCATAAACATCAGTGACGAGGATGATAATAACCCGCGCTTCCTCCAGCGGTCCTACCGGTAAGCTTTTATTTTTACTGTAGTTTTGATAAACTCATGCATATGAGAAATTTCTCTTTAATTTACTTTCTATAAATATTAAAACGATTTACCGGTCAAACGTGTAGGTTCTTGTCCAGTGAGCTTTCTAGAGTCGGTGACTTTATAGGACAAGTAAAAGCCGTGGACATTGACAGAGATCATCAATCAGATGTGTTTTATGAAATTACCAGCGGCAACGAGAAAGGTGCGCCGAAAACCTCGTGTTTTCTTTTTATATTTTGTAAGCTTAAGCTATCGTTTTACAACCGCTTTCGTTGTACTTCTCATTAATAGCAGGTTTTGTTCCTTTTTGCTTATTTGTACCAGGTCTTTTCAACATCAGTGAATATCACGGGACAATATATGTAAAGCAGAGGTTGGGAAATGAAGCGGCCTCATCCGTCCAATTGCTAATACGAGCACTTAATTCACCCGCAGGACTGGGTAACAGGAAAAGAAGAGGTGACAAAATCAATTAAACACACCTCCTGACTTTAACGTTGTCTTTTCTTGGGCTAGCCTGCCGTGCTGGCGGTCTGCGGTTTTGAGGGCGGAGAGAAAAATGAAAGACCTTTCATTTTTCTCTCCGCCCCCAGACAGCAACGCAGACCGCCAGCAACGCAGGTTATATTTGGGCTGGTTTTTCGTGGTCACTTTCGTGCGGTATGTTTCTCTGCCCTTTCCATCTGATTTAGGCAACTATGTTTAGATAACCTTTGTCTTATACCATAGAGGACACATACTACAGCAAGTAAAATTTGAAAACAAATACTAGATACCTGAAATGTGTTCGTTTGTTTGTCCCTTTCTTTCTTTTTGTTGTTGTTATTCTTGTTGATAAATGCCATGAAATGTCAAAGAAGACAAGAGAGACGTCAAACGTTCTTATGAAGGCGGAGGCAAAATAGGGCTTGGGTTGCTATTCCAGTTATTCTCAGTTTCTAGGGGATGGTTGTCGGTTCTAGCATACAAAAGAATATACGTTTGATCCTAGAGATATATAACTGCTCAGATGCCAACGAGTTTCAGTGAGAGTCTTGATTTAAGTAAATTATTTGATTTCAAACTAGATTACCTCAGTCTTTGGCTCATCGTGATCAAGTACTGCGCGAGAAGATGGCGAGAAGCTCGCAAGAAGTTACGCTAGACACAATGACGCGCGACTTATACACCACGGACAACTTTCAGCACCCTAACCGAAGCAAAAATAGAGCACATATCTCGCTGTTTTTGCCAATTGATTTAAAATGAGTTTTTTCATGCAACTCGCTTAGGTTGCTAGTCATTTTAACGTCTTTCGTAAAGCCTCGTGTATCATGATCAATTTTTATCTCACAACTTTCATTTCCATTTCAGATGGGAAGGTAGCTTTCGATGAGGTGTCAGCCACAATTGAGATTCAAGATGAGAACAACAACCCTCCTGTGTTCATTCAATCGCAATTTATTGGAGGCACGCAAAATTATTTGTAGAGTTAAATATAGAATAATTATTCATACTGGCAGACCCTGACAGTATAGATATTGCTATAGTGAGTGTTCGTATCTCCCTCTTCTAAAGAAGTGTTCGATTAAAGATCTCGTTTTTGAATTCATCAATTAGGTAAAGGGACTTACCATATTGAGTGCGTAGTCACTGAGTCGAACCGATCATCAAAAGAATTAAAAAATCCAGCCCAATGATTAGATCTGTAACTTGGTTATTTTAGTTAAGTATCAACGTTATGCTTAAAAGTCCGTACTCAAGCCAAGTGACCTCCACTCCCTCCCCCCCAAGCTTCTCCCGGTTTCCCTAACATGAAGAGACTAAGCTTATGATTGTTCCCCCCGAGATGGGATGCTAGTTCATCGCAAGGTTATCATTCAGCATTTTATCAGGCTTTCCCAACAGTTAGCCGGTATCTATTTATCTTCCTGGGTGGAAAGGCATGTGAGAGTAATGTGCTGTTACCAGGGACTCATCACATGGACCCGATGTCCAGTGCACTGACCCCAAGACTACAATGTTATGCTTATGATGCTCCCTGCCTTATGGTACATTGTTTCAGGTTTTTATGAAGGTGAGGCCGCAAGGAACACAGTGGTGGCAGCCATCCAGGTAAACTATGTAATCGATTCGTTTTTCGCTGGTTTGCTTGACTTCAAAATGTGGGACTTACGTTTTGAAATTTCGAGAATTAGAATTACGTGAGGTCCATGATTGTTTTCCTTTGATGCAAACCTGTGCGTTCTTTCACAGGCATCAGACAAAGATTCCGGCGCTTATGGCTCTGTTTGGTACTCCATCGTACATGAGGGGACACCTGGATTGTTCTCTTTGGACAATACTACTGGTGACGTAACACTTTCCAATCTCTCAGACCACGTCACTGGGAAATCAGTGTTTGCTCTGACAGTTTCTGCCGTGGACAACCAAGGAAAAGTACCGAGTAACAGGGCGAATCAAAGTGCATCTGTTCTGGTAAGTTTGTGAGTGTTGGACGGATGTTGCGTTCTCTGCATTTCAAATAGATAACAATACGTCACCTTATGTCACCTTATAGTCACTACGTATGGGTAACATCATGATTTGGAGTGCAATTTGAAGTTAATAAGCACGAGCAAATTTTTCAAAGACAACAAAATTGCAATTTGTTGTCTTTGAAGAATTTGCAAGTGCTTATTACATCAAATTGCAAGAGAAATTATGTCATTACTTGTTAACAATGTACATGAAAAAACATCACGGAAAGTCAAGATAGACGAAATGAAAGAATGCGTGCACTATATGTAATTTGCACTCGTGTTGCAACTTTGCACTTGTGTAAAACTTTGCTCTCGTGTTACATGAGAATGCACTCGTTTTCGGCCAATAAGAAGCGCGTAATTTTTTCATGTACAATATTAAACTTGTTAACCATTTTTTCATTCAGATTTTCGTCCTCTCTGATCCTAAGAAGCTGTCACTTGAGCTTGGAGTTCCTCCTGTTTTTGTCCGAGAAAAGAGAAGCGAGATTGAAAGGTTCGTTGTTTTGTTCTCTAGCTCCCTAATCAACGCTGATTTATTGGGAGACTTATTCCTCTAAGCTTTGCAATTTTCCATCATACAGATCTGGAATTAATCACACAGTTGTTTCGCTGCTAAATAAAGGCCAACTTCACGGATTAAGCCATTTCTATTGCTTGTGCAAATATGCTCTATTCTGAGGCAATAGTTTGAAAGTCGCTTTTCTCCTTTGTTTATCTCTAGTATGCTGCGCAATCTCACTGGAGGAACCGTGATGATAAAAGACATACGAGAGACCGAGGATGAAAGGTGAGTGGTCATGAAGACAGGCCAAGAGCCACAAGGCATCAGAAATGTAATAGTTATAACAGGAGCCAAGGTAATGGGTTCCTGGTTATAACTGATAACATTTCTGGCAATAAATAGTAACACTAAGGTCCTGAAATGAAAGTCCAGGTTGATCATGATCCAAATGATTATGAACAAAGATATGTGAAAAGTTAAGAAACTTATATCTCATCAAGTTAACAATTTCTTGCACGGATCTGTATATATCTAATTTTGAAATGCGTTTAAAAATTGGATTTTAAAATGTTACTCCTCCAGATTACGCTTCGCTGCTAATGTTATAGATCTATAATTTTTTCGTTACTGTTAGTAAATGTCTCAAGAACAATAGGCATTCTGCGCGATGAAACAGCTATCATGGCTAGAAACTCTGGATTTTGATGTTAGGAATTCCAGACAGGGTATGCAAACTTAAAATGTTCGTACATCGTGCATGAAGTTAAAAAGTTTATTTTAATAGATGTTGATGAGGTAAGGTAAATTTTAATAAAAACTCTATTGTTAACAGTTTCTCTTGTTTTCATTATTTCCAGCACACTAATCTATTTCCATGCTGTTGACAACAATACCTTATCTTTGTTGACTCGGGATGAGTTTATGAGGTAAAGCAACTGGAGAAAACGATCATAACGGATATAAAGAGGTCTCCTACCTATTCGTCACCTATCTTTCTTTCATTCTGTCGAAGAACTAATGCTCGAAAAGTCAGCTTCTGAAACTCTCTTACGGTAGCAAATTTCCATCATCAACTCGGTTGATGAAACGAAATTATATTGTAATACCCTCCACCGACGCAGCACTACAGTTCCTTGAGAAAATTATCCGCTTTATTTTTCTTTTTGTCAAAAACAGAGAGGATCGTTTTGGATGCATTAAGCCAGCCGTTGATGTAGCGAATCAATTCATATTCATTTATCCTTTTTGGTCATCATTTTCAACGTTATTTTTGAACTGCTACTATCATGAAACGTTTCAATTTTTTTCTGAGAGAAGGCAATTTCCTTCTAAAATTAGAAGATATGGAGATAAAGAACTTTTTTTATCAAATGAATGAAACAGCATTTGTCTTGTGTTCTACATCAGTACCTAACTTTTTCCATCCACTGTTTTCTGATTGTTGCGGTTAATTCAGTTCCTGTACTTACATTTTCAGTCGCCTGCAAAACAACTCCGACCTTTTGAACGATGTTTTTAAAAAGTGGATTATACGTATTCCTTCTGGTGGGACAGCACATGCGTCTAAAGACTCAAGGGAGGAGTTCAGTATCCTGATTGCTGTTATGCTGGTGCTCTCTGGCGGCATCGGGCTGGGAGCATTCGTTGGCATTATAATAGCCAAGAAAAAGAGAAAACGGTGAGCTTTTTAAAGTTGTATGTGCATGTTAGAAAGATCTACTCGTGTGATGTGATCGCCCTGGTAAGGTTAGACCTGAAGAGATTTGGTTGAACTTATGCATAGACGTTTTTTGAGCCACCTACCACAACTAGAAGTCGGGAGTTCTTTCCCTACCACTAAAACATTATTTTTCTTCGTGCACGCTACTTGCTTGGAAATACTCGAACGAGGACATACAAGTTGGTTAATTTTTAAGCTTGCCTGTATTTATTCACCATCTGAGGTTTTAACAAATTGAGCGAAAGTTATCATCAACATCAAGTTTTTCATGCTTGTAAGTAGAACGAAACATTAGGAGCACGGAGATTCCAGTCTTTCCCTGTCCACATAGACATGAATGTTCGAGTAATCCTTGCTTTCACTAGACGATTACTGAGAAGTTACGTCAACAGCGCCTTAGTAACCTAAGAGCCTTGGTTTTGGATCAGAAAAAATGGAAATGAGATTAATTCATTTTCATTCTTGTTTACATATAATTACATGTGCGGGCAGCATGACTTTTCTGAATTGATATTGTAGTGCTACACTCGATTTAGAAGCTTCTTGCTTCTCTTCATTCCTCCTCTTATCTCATGTTGCAGGCAAAAGAGAGCCTACAAGACTACTGATGAATTACCATATCCTCTGACGATGCCTTGGTAGTAAGTATGACCAATAGAGAAAGGAGTTAGGGAACTGGTAACTAGTCTTTTGGTAAAATCCTTCCAGATATACCAATTTTATTGAGGTTATACATAGATAGTCGCACGAACAAAAGCCTGTTTTCTGAAACTTTCTGTGAAAAGATAAATTTCGATAATAATAGCGTAGTGACTAGTTTTTTCCATGAAAGAGGTTTCCTTGAATCAAAAGGAAAAGGTCATTTCTTGAGCGGATATTTACTGAGCGGACATCTAAGGAAAAGACATCTCTAAACTAAAAATAGCTTTTGTGGAATCTCCATGCGACCCCATCATCATCCCCCGCTGTTCTCTCACTTTCTCTTAACATAGCTAAAAGTATTGTGCCTTTTTCTAAAAATTAATTTTAATTCCATTTCGGTTGTTAATGTTTGTTTCGTAAAACTTAAGTCGACTTTTTGTAGTCGCTTAAATTTATTGTCAACTGGCTGTGAAAAATCAAGGTTTCCACTCACATCCAAAGAGGGGGGAGAGGACCCTTGTGGGCTTTCTCTGAGGTCATCATCTTTCGTAATCCCTATTGGTTGATGCTGTATTCTGTGACTCTCCTTTGCTGTGTTTCTTTTTAATTCAGTTGCATGGATATGCCCGGCATAGAAGCATTTACTGAGTCCGAAGCAGATGGAACTCGACGATCTTTGTAAATATACTTGCATCATTTTAGAAGAAATAACTTTTTTTAAGCTTATCGTTGATTCCTCTGCACAAAACTTTATTCTCCCTTCCGATGTTAATGTTTGAGTCAATGTAACCTCTGATCCCGAAAATCAACGTATCTAAAAAGCACTGTACCTGTATGTTTACCCAGACTATAGACATGCCTTCAGTTTCCTCTATTTATAATTTAATCTTGAAAATCAAATCTTGAGGAATTTCCTTTCGTGGAGTATATTCCCTCCAGATTGTAACTGTAATGTTTTCTTCATAAACTAATCGAACTACACGTATGCGATCGAAGCTCAATCATTTCTAAGCCGCTCTTCTTCCGTTAAAAACACCTCAGCCATACTTCAAGTTTTCTCTTGTTTCAGTAGAGACAACACGAAGTATACAGTTCAGAAAGTTCCAACAAACCAGGTATGTTGTACATATTTATTTTGATTGATCGATATAAATACAATGCAGAGTATTTAACCTCGATTCTATCAGCGACATGAACGCAATAACAATGACTTGATGAGCAGAATTACATACACCCGTATGGGTTTACTGTAGCATACAGTGCACTTTTCCTCTAAGTGTCGATTTTTCTAAATGCATTTTACGAAAAAGTAAGCCTTCTTTAAACCTCAGATCTCAACAACTCTCTCTTAGAGTCCAAAAAAGCTTTGCTCGGTGCCACTATGGAGTTCTTCGTGCTTCTGTGGCTCGCTCTCTGATGTAACTTAAAGTTAGTCTTAATGCCAAATCTTTTTTTTTTCGATTCTTAGGGCGATTGCAATCTTCTTCGTACACCATTGTAAGTATGTCTGCTGGAGTAAAAGCCACAAGTTTTCTATGTTTTTATCATGTTTTCATCTTCGGGCCAATCCCAAAATAAGCCTCATGTTTGTTACTGTATCTTTGATTTTGTAGTGTTATGCTGCGTGTTTGTGATTAGTTTGTGATGAAATTGACATTCATTAAGTTTAACATAGAAAGCAAGATTCATTTTGGTAGAACGAAAGGTTTCAACAAATCCCGCCTTGTAGCTTTTGTTTAGGAATGTTGACTGAACTTCATCATCATATCCTTTTCCTCCATTCGGTTTTTTTCTTCCGCCTTTTATGCGGTGAAGCGAAATTGTTGTAACGAGGTTACTTGTGTCTGATTCACCTCAAGAGTTTTTAAAGTAACCTTGGTCATTTACTTGTTTACCATAGGTTCGACATAGGTGGGTACGTTTAAATGGAGTACAACCTGTGTTTGCGTTTTTCAGACAACTTCCTCTTTCATATTTAAAAATGAAGATCAGAATCCTTGCGCGTAGAACGAAAATAAGGTTTTGCTGTTATATCAAGGAGAGTCAAATTTTATCATAAAGCCATAACAATTCTCTTTACATTGTCCACAGATACGAGACTCTACACAAAAATTGAATAAAAAAAATTAAACCAGACACAATTTTTACACTTTGGAGGGAGACAGCCTTTTCTTATTGATCCTGTTGTTCTTTTTTTGAGTCTATTGAGACTGTTGTGCCTGTGTTTATGTCATTAAAAAACCATACTTCAATTTGAGCCAGGTATAAATGTTTGCTAAATAAGTAATTTTTCTCTACCTTAAAACATGAGAATGACTGAAATTCATTTAGTCACTGATAGGAAATTTTGTCCCCAACAGAAGATCAAGTGGCTCGTACAAAGTAAGAAACCAACAGAGGAAAAGACCTGAAGAGGTAACTCGACTATAAAAATTCAGTGTGCTTGTGGTCATTTAGTTACTCCTTACAATAATCACAACATTATAAATTTCCTGAGTAAGGAGAAATAGGAGTCTTGATTGTATCTGTAAGACTGGTAGTACGGAACTTTGGCAGAAAACAATTGAAACTATGGCAAACGGCAAGAAGTACGCACTAATTATGCTCTTAAACTTCTACGAAGCAAACAACAAGAGGGTTTCTTCATGCCTCAGTTACCCACTTTGATAGCTATTTACTAGTCACAATTCGTTTTCCTCACGTCCAATTTGGTTTTTTCTCGCATCCATCATTAAATTTTGGTTTTTTTTTCGTGGAGTTGCCGTAGTTTCAGAATCTTTTAACAGTCACGATTGCTTTTAGACGGACAGTGTTTTCATACACCGCATTTAAGTATATGCCTTCGTATTTCACTGACGAAAAAGCAGTCAGTGGATTTATCCATCACACCTCAAAGGTTCAATATCAGAATTTTGTCAACGGCTGGAGCGTTAAAAAATAATACTATGCTGACTGTCACAAAACATCGAGACCGATAAGCAGAGAGTTATAAGACCCGGTTTTGCCAATTGGCATAAGTCCGAGTTCTGTTCAATTTTTAATCACTGCGCACCAACACACTATTTCTGTCCTCAGCTTTCCATCGTTTTTTCTTAAGTTCCCTTCTTTCTAATTTGATTTTAGATGACAAAGGTCTAAGATTTATCAACAGATTCCTATGATTTTGTAATAATTATCATTATATCATTTTAGCAAAAAAGAGAAGCTGTTTCTTTAAATTTTTATGAATCGACCCCTTATCACCGCCCGGGCAGCAGCAGTGAAATCGATGGAAACCATAATGTAGAAGACAATCTTGCAACAGACACCTCAACGATTGCAGGAAATACTGCAAGCCATGATAATGAAGGATTTGACCGCAGTCGGAGCCATGAAAGGAGCGAAGAGAAGCCTATGGAACGTCAGGGGGTTTGCAAATTGGGCGAGAATACGCCTTGTAACACAAGAGCACCGAACACAGTTCGCAGAGTGAGGTTTGATTTGCGCGGGACAAAAGACAGGCAAGGAGAAAAACGAACAGTCAGGGAAAATTTTCCGGATATTGTTGTGATCAGTGAAAAAGCAGAAGGGAACTGTCAGCTTGATGAACATGAGAGGAAAAGAGTATGTGACAACGAGGAAGCTAGCGCGGAAGAAGACGGCAAAGGAAAAGAGCCGGCTGGTGTTAGTTCTATATTCAAAGACACAAGGAGATCAGCCTCAGTGGCCGCCATAAGCGATGAGGAAGGAACAGTAGTGGAAATTTAATAAAAATTTTTCACTCCTCTGTAAGATTAGGCTGAAGATACTGTCTGCAAAAAGACTTCTATGTCATCTTTCATTTGGTCCTTTGATTTCCTTTAAATTGATGTGCTAGAATGTTTTTCGCGTTTTTGGGGAATTAATTTTTTTCTTCACATTGTACATAGCTTCAATGTAAGTCAGCATTCAGGCAACTATGTACAGACCTTATGGCCGATATCTTGAAGGGCTTAAGCTCAAAGTTCCACTTGGTTTGATTTCTCTATAGACCTTGTACAATAAGGGTAGCTTTTGGGTCATTTTCGTCTCGAAGCCTAGGTTTCATTCAAACAAGTTCCCAGGATTTGAACTCGCCCGGGCTAAATATCAACGCGAATCTTAGTTACGATAATCATTTGTGATGAAACTAACGTAGTATGTGATAAATTTATCTCTCAATTGTCAGCTAAAGTAAACAAAACTTTTGCATTAACTAAACTCATTTGAGCTAGTGAGAAAAATTCAATATTGCAAGTAAGAGTAGCTAAGCTCGAATTATGTAAGTGAGTTAGTCTTGTTCGGCCACTTCGAACTTAGTTCGATGCGCAGAATCTTCTGAGAGTTTGCTATTGGAAATAAATGATGGTTACTTTGGTTAGTTAGTTAGGTATTTGCTAGATTCGATCTCTAACTACATAACGTGCTCAGTGAAACACCGGCTAAATTTAGCAAGCGACCTACATTTTAAATTTTCTTTAATTCTACAGACGCTATGAGAATGCTCATCGTGAGAAGAGTGCCCTCATTAAAGGCGTTCAAATGATCTATCGTACGCGTGGCGTTGCAAACACTTCCTTAGCGAAATGATGAACAGGTACTCTAATTATAAAAGCAAATGAATGTGAAAAACAGAAAAAAACCCTCCAAAACACGTGAACTGTTTCACATTTTCGTCTCTTAATTCGATGTGTAATCAGCTGTTATTGTCACTGGACTTCGCCGCTTGTTCCAAGTTGGTGGTGTGCCAACTACAATATGGAAAACTTCCGCAATGATTTGGACGCCAGACGACGCTTAAAGCTGCAAATTATAACAATCACAGACAAAGAGGATTCACCACATAGGATATTAGTTATAACCATAAACAGCAATGTACCAGGATGGCAAACCAGACGAGGACTTCAGAATTAATACAAGGAGAAGAATTGAAAAATCAAAAGTTGTCGAAACCTAAATCATTCCGAACTCCGACCACCTATTCAAGAGCTAAAATTTGCAAGCGATAACATTTGGAAGATCTCAGTGTAAATGCATTCTAAAAGCGCTATTACTGCAACGGAATAAGTGCGTCTTTTAGAATGAGGGTGCTTAATATTAACAAAATCAATTTCGAGGGGCACTTATAAGAGAGAGAGCGCTTATTAGAATGGGAGCGCTAATTCGCCTTACCACAGTTTGCTAAAAATTCCCAAAAAGCCTAGTTTTGGAAAGTAAAAGTCTACAACTTCCTCTCGTTCAATTTTCCCAAAGTTTGACAATGAACTTAGTTTGACCCTTCAACAAGGAAAATCTGTTTCGCTATTTTAGCAAAGCCTACTCCAAGTACTGCGAAATGATTGGTTTAGTCAGTCCACTTGCCGAATTCAGCCCTTTCTCTCTAATCGGGATGGTATCATTAAGCTTTCATGCTTGCGTTACACGCCAGAACATCTTATTAATAGAGTGGTTTAGCAAGAGGACGGGAATGTCATTTCAGAACGGGAAAGCGCGCGGATAATCTGGACACGACTCTATTTCGACTTCCGGTGTTAGCGTTGCCGTTCTCCCCATCAAGTTCAGGAGGTCATTTCGCTGGTTTTCCCGTCGTGATCAAAACGCCTAGGATTTGCGTTAATTGTGCACTTATGAACGAGATAATGCTGTTTGTAGTGATTTCAGAACTCATTTCCAGGATAACCAGGTTCCTTTCTTTGTTTCGTTAGGTGAATTTGTGAAAATTTACCGCTACATTTATTCTGGATTCCCGAAAGGAAACACGATCGTCAGCAAGCGATCTAAGATTTTAGGGCTCAGTACCTTTTGTAATTGAGCGTGGCTTTCAGCAACGTAAGGGCTTTTCTTTGATACATTTCCTAAACCATGTATGAAAACTCTAAGAACGGGTGCTGTTAATTTTATCGTGAATTAATTCATCAATAAATTAAACTTGCTTCATGTTGAAGTTTATCAAAAAGAAACAACACGAAGGTTACCTGCTATATTATTCAGCGTTATTTGTTGGCATTGTCGTTTTAACCTTGATTAAAAAGTGTTCTGCGAATTGAAGTCAGAGATTAAAAAAATTTGAGAATAGCTCGGGTTTGCACTTTTTATGTCTTTAGTTTTTAATCAGCGCCGGTGAAAACTAAGACAAGAAAGTCATCTACGAAAGAAAATAACAATCAACTTGATTCCGGCACGGCTTTCTAAATCTATTAATTTGATTCTTGAATGGCGTCCAAATAATATAGGAAACTGTATGGAAATTGGAAAATTTCTAAAATATAACAATCAGGAGCTCGTGGTCCCGTCTGCTCTCGATCGAGACATATTCAGTATTGATTCTGCTATTCATCAAACCTCACAGTGACTCGATAAATAAAAACAACTTACTTCCCGAGCCAGTTCTTTTGTCATTGTTCATTGACGTAAGTCACCATACAGTTCTTCAAAATCCGTCGCTCTTCATCCCAAACACTCGCCTATTACAGGAAAGTGCAGCAATGAAGTCAACTGCTCTCGATCGAAATGACTGCTACTGAGTTCGAAGCGTCAAAATATCCTGTAAAATTGTCATTTCCTCCCAATCAAAAAACTTCCCAACGCGCCAGAATGTCCCTTATTTTCCATGTTAAGTAAGTGACGAGACGCCATGTTAAAAACTATGACTGAAATGGTTAAACACTTGCAACGCTGATCTTCGAATCATCGGCCATATTTGTTTGTGTTCTTGCCAGGAAATAAATTAGTTCTCAGGTCCTTTTCGGAATAAAAATATGCCAGGCGTTAAATGCAAATTTAGTAGTCTTAGCGCGAAAATTTAATAAAAGCAAATCAAAATTCTGACATCATGTCATCGCTCTGCCTCGACTTGTAGGTCTTCTTTTCTTTTTCTTTTCATCAAATAGAAGATCTGTGGTGCTCAAATTGTGTAAGTCATGGTACGAAACACGCTTCTTTGCAGATCGAGCCGTGATCGCCGCCATATTGAATTCTCTGGATATTCTATTGTTCCGGAGTGTAATACGATGTAGTGGGCTCGAAGTGTCCTTGATTTCTGGCGATGGGTTCCACGAATCGTCGTCTTCTTCGGCTTCAAACCTATTTTCCTGAACGGTTATCCTGAGGCCGTGAACTTCCTCGACTTTCTTTTTCAACATGTCAGACGATAAATTATTATTGATCGCGTGATGATTTCCATTTATTGCGCGAAATTTTTATTTCATCGCACGATAAATCTTTTTGATCGCGCAATAAAACTGAATTTAAAAAGTGGATAGCGTGTTCTCTATGGGCCCCTATCACCACTGGCTTGATGTATACTAGTTCATTCTCGCACTCACTTGTAACTCCGATCTCACAATCAATCAAGGCAAATCACCAGGCACATTTCTGTACTTCCGTCACGAACTTATCAACAAATTCAATGTAACGCTTTGGTCACGACACCGTCAATTTAGCATTTTAAATTACCTTGTGCTAACTCTAGAAAGGTATAGTGAGCATTAGGAAGAATCCAATAAATGAACACGGTTCTTATAGACACTTAGTTCGCGTTTGATCACATCCTTTATCATTATAGATAAAGAAAATACGGAGTCCTTGTTTTCGGGTATTCGTTTTCGGGTCTTCGTTTTATCGGTCTTCGATCTTTGTTTTCGGAGGTCTTTGTTTTCGCCATAAGTGGAATCCAGGTCCTGTTTCGACACGTGCTCATACGTGCTATGTGGTAGCGATCTCGGATTTTGTCTCTGATGCGTGGTCCTATAGCTTTATTACAGATCCCACATACCATAGTTAATCGATTAACTATGCACATACCAAGTCACGACGCTGATGTAATTTGCATTTGTTGTATTTGTGCGTCATCTCTCGTCATATTCTTTCGATAATCGTTCCCTGAAGACGTGACTTTCAGCGGATCGTGAAGAGACCTGAGGACTGGCACAATACTTGAATGGTTCGTGTTGTCCCTCGTACTCCAACGTAACCGATGATTGAGGGGTAGACAAATGAATTTGTGCTCGGAAACCTTCACTTTAATGACTGGCCTTTTCCTTATTAGCCAAGCCTTGGATTTGAGATTCTTTGGAGTCAGAATGGTTTGCATTGCATAAATATATCAGAAGGCTTCTATAACAGGAAACGATCAGCGCCCTATGGTGAGTCGATTTTTAATAGTCATTTATATAAAAATATGAAATTCGCTTGTTGCCGATCTTACATCCACCGAGTTAAGGAGCTTGTTGTATCTACAGCTTTACAACTTGCCTTCGATTATGAAGAGCGTCTCCCGTCATCTGCATGAAATTTTCTCACTTCGCTATCCGGTAATATTTCGGTAGATTTTTTTTGTAATCATGAACGGGCCTCTTAATATTAACACGGTTTCTACACTTTGGGCCGGTATTCGACACAATCATGCACGGGCCTCTTATTATGAACACGGTTTCTGCACATTGAGCCGGTTTTTACCCTAAGTTTAGCCGTTGTTCAACAAAACCGCGTTCTTAGCCAACGAACCTTTTATCTGAATATTTAATTTGTGAACAGTGTCAGGAAAGCTGAAAGCTAATCGTGGAGAGACATTCCTACGATTAATCTCAGAGGTCCACTGCTTGCATAAATCCATGATTTGGGTTCGGACCCGGTGAAACCATGGAGGCATGATTCTCATACAAGGTACAAAGTTTTTAAAAACGAAAAGGGCTCGGATGAGCTTCGCAAGGTTTCCATTCCACTGGGAAAAGTGGTCTCATGCCGATATTGAAAGTCGATATTAGATGCGTAAATTCGCTTTGTCATATTGACTGAATGCAAATTTTAAGTCACGTAATGATTCACCTTGAAACAGCCGAATGGCAGCCGGCATATTTCATAGAATACTCCAAGATCATGCCATTTTGGTAAAATTTCCGCACAGCCCCATACTACATTATGCATTCAGTTCTTGGACAGCCCAATACAAAAACAACATTATTGGGCATTTTGTTTTCTTGGATAGAGAAAAAACAATGACAAAAACAAAATGTTTGATTGCCAAATTGGGAAAACAGATTTTGATCTGAAATGGGTAAACAACAGTTGTGGCCATTATAAATTGACTGCAAAGCGTAGAAATTATTCGACTATCGCTACGCCTCTTAAACGCCATGATATTTCCATAAATTCGAATTTGAATGTTCTAACCCCAAACCCTTAAGCTTCAGAAGTTAAACATCCATGTTATGTTTCTTCAACTGCTAATCGCATGAATATGTCCTATTCTCCAGGAGTAAGTGGTCAGTGAAATAATTTTGTCTCGTCTCGTCTCGATTTCTTGATGCGATTGTGGTCTTTCAGTTTCTTTTAAAACAGATATGGAATTTCAGAATAAACAAAGATCAATAAAATCTTGAGAGTAACATCTAGTACCAAAGTGTATTCTGAACATTTCAAAGACGAAGATGTTAAGTTTACAGACAGCCAAACTAGGAGATTGAAAGATGACTCATGTCTTTTGTTTTATGGTCATCAGTAGGCTATTTCCAAAAGAAATAGTATTTCGTTTCCAGCATGATAATGTTAGGCATGGATGTCATATGGTTGGAAAGTTAAGGGAAAAATGATTTACTTCAATGCCTTGGAAAACTCAGGGAATTTTACTTTGAGCTAGGGAAAATTGACATCATTAAAAGAATCCAGGGAAAGTGAAATTTCCCCCTGGCTCATTCTAAAACTTCATAACTGCTATAGACTAAGATATAAATAAAACACTTTCAAAGTGATTATTGATTGTTGCAAAACATTTATGCCAGCAGTTTTGACAGTGGTAATGTCATAACTTCTAGAGGTCTTTCGTCTCCCTCTTGCCCTTCAACCTTCTGGTGTCTGCCTCAATGCCATAAAACATTTGTTCACACCCTCTCTCCTGAGTGTGTGTCTTAACCAGTTCCACCTTCCTCTTCACACTTCACAGCTAATTTCATTGATCTCTGCCATTTCAGTTACTCTCTTGTTTGTCTTTCTTTGCCGCCATCTAATCCTTAGTATCTGTCTTGGGCATTGGCCTTGGCCTTGGAAACTGTTCAGCTTTCTTTCATCAGTCTTTGTGATTTTCAATGTTTCACAACCATGTAGCAGGACTGGTCAGACTAAAGTCTTGAATAGGCATATCTTGGTTCTCCTTCCAGTTCCTCTGGTTACCCACACCTCCTATAGCCTCTGGAATGCACCTCATGCCTTCTGCAGCCTGTTCCTAATATCTTTCCTGCCTCCACCTTCCCAGTCTACAGTAGCTCCAAGATATGCAGACTCCTTAACATCTTCCTCTTCTTCACTATTCATCAAAATGCTCTCCCTGTTCCTAGCAAACTTAGTCCTAAGTGTCTTGCACTTTCTTGTATTAAGTTTAAGGCCTATGCTGGCTGCTTCCTCCATCAATCTCTCAGTCTTCTCACACAAGTCATTAAACTTAGATGAAAGTAGTGTGATGTCGTCTGCAAAATCAAGATCCTCAAACGCTGTTGTTAAATTCCACTGTATCCCTCTTCTCTTGTCTGCTGTTGTCTTCCTCATGATCCAATTCATGGCCAGTAATAATAAGAATCCTGAAATTACACATCCCTGCTTTACTCCCGACTTAATCTTGAACCAGTCTGATATATGTATATGTCGACTATCACTCTCACCATCTCATGCAGAATTCCACAGCTCCCCAGGATGTTCCACAAGCTATCTCTTGACTATTGAAAGAGCAAGTTGTCAACCACTTAGTTTGTTCCCAATAAGAAAACTGACTTTTGGTGACTGATTTAAAATGTTTAAGTTAACTTAGTTGGCTATAGATTGCTCTGCTTGCCTCAAAAATCACATGCCATATTTCCTCAAATAAGCATCCACACTCTAATAAGCACCCTCCCCTTAATAAGCACCCATTGTCTAGGTCAGAATATTGAATTGAGGGCCACTCTCAAGTAAGTGCTGCCTGCCCCCCCTCTCTCTTTCCTCAATATGAGGTACACAAGGAAACCTGTTTCTATCACCACTTAATTGAAACATTTCAAGCTTCATTTACAACAGAATAAGTTCAATTTAATAATTGCTCAATAAGCACCCTCTCCATTTAGCAGCCTCCCTCCAGTAAGCACCTCCCTCCAGTAAGCACCCCCCTTCAGTAAGCACCCCCCTTCAATAAGCACCCTCCCTCCAATAAGGAGCTTCCCATCAATAGGCACCCTCCCTCCAATATGCTCTCCTCCTCTTATCCAAAATTTTAGATAAGTGCTTGGGCACTCTTACAAGAAAATAGAGTTATCTTAAAACTCCAAACAAATATGCTTCCTGTCATCTTTTTACTTGGTTTATCTATAACAGTGACACTAATCTATTAAATGGAATACAACTTATAATTTACACACTATTTAATTGAGATATAATATCAGAATTTCATTATGGATACATATTTTTGCATTTACTTACCTTTCCATAACGCTGTTATGTATTTATCAAAGAATAGTAAATGATTCTTAGTTTTAAGGTATTGTAATTGTAGTTGTACCTGTTGCTGAAAAGTCCATCTAGGGGACTGTCGGTAAAGTTCTCTCTTTTCTACTGCTGTAACATCAGACTATTGAGCTACTTCAACCTGTTGATGAAAGATTGGTTAAGGAAAAACCAAAGAATTTATTTCAATTGGTGCTAGTCTTTTTTCCAAGATGGAATGTCATCTTTATCATTTTATAAAGAGGGAATTTTATTGTGGCAGACAGCCCCCAGTCCTTAAAAAAAGGCATTTCTTCCCAACAAATATGGAAATCAGAAACCTCATGTGTAAAGCACCTGTGTCTTGCAGACACTTACAAATTGATCAGGAAAACTCTTACCTAAAAACCAAGGAGAGGAAAGAAGAAAATCCCCAGAGGTTTTAAAGGTCTTGCTGCCCAGCTAATGATTATGAGTCATTCAAGCTGATTCAGAGACACATGCAAGATCCTCCTTAAGGGAAAATTTCTTGTTGTGGATGAACTGAGTGACCTGCTCTCATGGATTCATCCCTGACTCGAGACACCAGTGAGTTTATATGTATCATAACCACTAACTCAAAGTGGGTTTGGCTGAGCAAAGATTGTGTCCGGGAGTCCTGGAACTGTCATGGTCAATAGCAGCTTATATAAAAATGTCAGTGCAATGGCCATCAATCATGCATGTCACATGATACTTAACAATTGCACTACGGTTAATTTTTCAAGGTGAAAGAGTGCAGAAGCAAACCAACTCCTGTGACTGTGGCTTGTTTGCACCAGCATCTGTGAAAGATTTTTGTTATGGCATTGACCCAACAACCTTGTGATATGAATTGGAATTAAGGGATAGCAATATAATAATATTAAAAACTTTATTTTAGTGTCAGAAAAAATAGAATTTTTCCAGATTTAATTTTCTAATAGTCCTCCTAGAGCCAGCTAATGAGTCTGAATCAATTCCTTCCCATGCCCATACATGTGAAGATGCAGCAGTATGCCTTTTTGTGGAAATCTAATACATTACAATTCTTTAAAATCAATCTTCACAGTTTTTTTAGCCATGCATATAAGTTTTTCTCAGCGTTGTGAATTGCGATTATATAAACTTAACTACCACGGTTGGGTCGGGTCATTTGTATGGATTTCCAGAGAGAATAATTTTTTAGAGGTACCGTTCATGAACAAGATCAACCGAAACCCGGACGACAGAAAGCCAACAGAACAAACATTTGCTGACATGTCATATTCGAAATATCGCTAAATCTAAAAGACAACAAATTAATCAGTTTAAAATTGCCAGAAGCTGGCCGACATGCTTTTCTTCGTTTACGTTCAACCCGCATTACCAACAATCCAAGAAAAGATGACGGATATCCCTCATTATGCAAGCTTTTCGGGCCCTTTAAAAATGGCTCCCGCTTAGTAAGGCTTGTGTGAGATCATAACTTTTAAGCTGGGTAACAGCGTTCATGATAACTTGGTGAAAAAAATGGTGTTCAAGCAATGATAATCGAACCTCAATACAAGCTAATACACTAACCGTTACCAACATGTAAGGTATCTTTCGAGGCTTCATACGGGAAAATACAACTCCTGATAACTACAATAATCTCCCATATGTTCCCTGTAAATTTTCATCAAGTGCCACCACAAATCCTTCGATCTCTGCTTGAGTAACCAACGAGTCTAAAAAGTGGTCTTCGCATTCTCCCTTCGAAGGTTTTCCTCTCGTAATAGCCTGTTTTTGGATCAATTTCCATAGTTTGGAGCAAGGAATTTTTCTCCTAAAACTGCCTACTTTTCCTCTATTAAGTATGAGCAGGGGAGCCAAATATTAAGCTTTAAGTACGACGAAATTCTCGCACAAATCCAAGCAAAAGAACACCCAAAAGAAGGAAATCTGTTCGCCATTTTGAAAAATGTAACCAGGCCTGTAATCAGAGAAGGGAAAAAAATAATTTAAAATAATAAATTAAAAAATAAAATGAATAAATAGACTCAAGATGGGTAGGGAAGAAGCGGTAAAAGAATTCAACTTTTATGTAATTTGTTGGGAAGTAAAAACGTATTTGTAACGACATTTCGTTCCAAATATGACAAGTAAGTAAGCTGAATGCTCCATATGGAAAATAAGAAAACAAAGAAACATCTTCATTCACTATCGGCTGAAGAAAATCCATTTAATTGGGCATTATCGTTATGAACCGTGAACGCTCGACACTACGGCCCACCATTTTGGATGCATCTGAGCATACGTCAGCGAGAAAAAAGTGCGTTTCAGTAATCGAGGTGCGAAGATACAAAGGTGTGGATCACTGTCTTTGTCGATTGCTCGGTAAGGAATTTTCTGATCTGTCTTATGTTGTATAGTTCGCGAAAAGCCCTGCTACAAATCTTGTCTGTATGAAAATTCATTCGCATATGTGCATCGAACCAGGACCCAAGTCTCCGGACGCTTTTTAAAGGTCTAATGACGGTGTCACCAATGGCAATATACTCAATAGATGTTTTTTACAAATTGTTGACAGGTGCCAATGATTAAGAATTCAGTTTTCGCGTCATTTAATAATTAAACGATTCGCAATGAAGCAAGAGCGAACGTCAACAATGCACTTCTCAATTACAGGACAGTTTAATATCCGAATGGATAGAGGAAGGAAGGTCGGAAAGAGTTGAATCTGAGTGTTGTCAGCATACCCATGGATGGTAGGGAGGTGTTGAGAAATAATGTTTAAGAGGCGCGAGACGTAGCGTTTAAATAAAATAGGCCCCATACAACTGCCCTGGGGGACTCCACAGTTCAGATTTAAGTCGCCCGAAGTCATATCACCGATAAGTAGTGCGAGTTTTGGTCTTGTAAACTTCGCACTCCTTCACGGAGACTTATGTCAACATTAGGGTCGTACGGTAAGCCGCCAGCAAATAATTTGATAAAACCTCTGACGTTCATTAAAAGAGACGCTTCGCGTGAAAGTAGTGGTTTTACAGTCACGTTTTGCTCAGTTAGCTTCTACAAGTCCTTTTTCGGCAGTCAGATATGGGTTCAATTAAGGGGGAAACATGTTCTTCGCAATTATTGAAATGTTGGGCGAACCACGCATCCTGTACTCTCTCTGCAAGCTATTTTCCGAGCTTTGCTTTGTTTTTTTCCTCACTTTGTATAGGTAATCACATGATTTCGACTGCAATTTGGATTAAATAAGCACGAGTAATTTTTTTTAAAGACTACCAAAATGTGTGGTCTTTGAAAAAATTAACAAGTGCTTATGTATTCTAAATTGCACGAGAAAAATCATGTGATTACGTGTTAATAATAAACATGAAAAAATACGAGATAGCTTATTATAATTAAGCATAAGCAAAGCGCGCGCATCAAGTGCAAAAAATAATTTATTCAAACCGTGCGTTCCGTCAAAACAACCGCGTACGATCAAAACAATAATATGCAATAATATATTCTCATCTTTAAGGCGCAAAAAAGTTCAAAGTCCGGCTAAACAGTTCAAGGAATTATTCAGTCTATGTCCGAATCACTTTCGATGAAATGGAATCGTCGTTTCCGAAGTTTAACCTTGTTTGTTTTTAATTTCGGCGTTGGATCGCTCGAGCAAAGTGTTAAGCTGGGTCGGCTCGTAATTTTCGATTTCCTTGGCAATTCCTTTCTCTAAACACCACGTTTTCCAAACCGACAACCAAAAAGCCGTGCTTTTTACAGTGTTTTCGTTGTTTTAGCTGTTTTTCAGCCGCGGTGGCGAAAGAATACCTAAAACGCCGGCCATTGTTTCGCTTGCAAAATTTTCAAATTTTCAAATTTTGTTGCGACATCTAAGGCTCGCATTTGATTGGCTGTCTGTGAGTTTCTTTGATTATTGACCAATCAGAACGTCTGATTTATTACTTTCTTTGCAATGAATTAACCCTCTTCTGCACTGAATTACCTGAAAACTGCATTTATCTTAACCAATCAGAACTGAGTAATTTTTTCATGTATATTGTTATAAAAGTAACACGATAACAGATTGACTTATCTATTTCTGAAAACCAAAGCGTGCACTTTAACGCAAGAAGATCGTTAGGAAAATTATAGAACCTTTTACTCCACAGCTCGCATGCCCTCTAGGAATTTAAGTTAATTTCTTTGAAAACGCACGTTTAGGCCCCGCAACGGTTTGGAGTAAACTCCCCTTCCCCTCTTCCCCAACCCCTCGTTCTGAGAGACGTTGGACCTCTAGCCAACATTATATCGGGAGATGGAGAGGGAGAGGAGACCGACACAAAGAAACCAGCAACCGGACAGGGACAACTTAAGCGTTCCAAGACTCACGCCCTGGTCTTAGTAATTCCGTTTCCAATAATTTGTTTTACAATCCCCATTTGGAGCGAGACACAGTTTGCTTGTTTTCTTGGGAGACGTTATTAGTAATGAAAATGATGGTTTTCTTGATGTTTTATTGTCGGACATTAGTTCTAGCTGATGCCATTCTAATCGCTTCTAGGTGGAACCTTGACAGAGAGAATCTTTAACTTAGCAAGTGGGACGTCTAGCTTCACGCAATCAGTACTCGACGCTAGGTATGTTTCGTAAGCTGAGGTATTTTACCATAGTTCTTCTTTCAAAAATTATCACGTCCCGTTGGAGGCTTTTAACTGTTGGAGTTATTTTGGCCACGTCAGTCTTAGGTATTTTTCTCAGCTTCCGTCAAACTCCGCTTCTCAGACAGTCTGGACCTAGTCGCGAATGTAAAACTTGGAAAGAATCTCTACAGCACAAAACTACCCTGATAACAAAGACTCCATGTGCAAGGAACTACTTTCTTCTCATCCTAGTTTCATCTGCACCTGCAAACCAAGGTAGAAGAAATCATATTCGTCAAACCTGGGGCACTGATAACAACGTGTCTCCAATGTGGAAGACACACTTTCTGATTGCGCAAACAGAGAATCAAACACATTCAGATTTTGTCCATAACGAAGACAAAGTCTATGGCGACATAATTCGCGCCGACTATTACGAGAATTACTGGAAACAGAGTTTTAAGGTTATGATGGCCTTTGAGTGGGCATCGCGATATTGCAACTTCTCGTACCTCCTAAAGACAGATGATGACATATTGGTCAATATCGAAGACTTTATTCAATTTTTGCAGAAGAAATCAACTCCAAAAAAAGAACTTTTCCTAGGGAAACTTCATCACAACCCTATCGTACGTCGAGAGGGAAAATGGAACGTGAGTTACGAAGAGTACAACCACACTCACTATCCAGATTTCTGTAGTGGGGCCGGCTTTGTTATGACCTATGACGTTATCGAGTGCATTGTTCCCTTGTTCGACGTGATTAAGCCGTATAGGATGGATGATGTGTATGTAGGAATGCTTGCCCATGCATCTGGCGTGATAGCAGAGGATCATGTTGGGTTCTTTATGCCAATTGATGATTATGACGACTGCATTTTTAAACCAAATGTTCTTCTGCAGCACAGAGCGACTGGACAGTGTTTAAATAAATTACTTCGTATTCACAGTAAGGACTTTCTGTATGGCATAAAATTGGGTTCATTTTTTTGATAATTTGTCGATTTAGTTAATCATCATTTTGCTAGAAAAGAACATATGGGTACAAAGTATTTGGTAACAGCTGTATTGGCAGACGATCGTGTGTCTTGTAGAACGAGCGATTGGAGCAATTTTAGGGTCTATATCCACCAGACCATGGGTAATCTTAGAGAACAGTAACATATCTAAGTACTCATGCCAGTAGCTGATGGGTAGTAAGGAAAGGCTTTCAGCCGTTGTTCATAACTCTGGCATATCAGTCAGTAATTGGCCATCTCGACACAAACCCTAATTATCTTATGTATTCAAGCACAAGTGGCACTAAATTGATCGGAATTCATTGTAAGGTAGACTTTCAAATGAGAACTTAAATTTATTACGAGTAATGTTTGTTTTTGTGCACGAAAATGCACACAATACAAATTATCAGAACGTTCAGTCAGTAACGCTGGAGAATTGAAGACTTTCGAAAAATTAGGTTTTCATGAAGTATCACCCAAAGCTGCGTATTAAAAAGTATTTATATAATAAGCTCATTTATGCACGCATTCTGATTGGTTCTCACTTATGATCTATTGGAGGACAGACGTATAGATGACGTCATCATTAAAACGTTTTTAAATTCTTTATTATATAAAACAAATAGATTCCAAGTTACCGTGCGTCTGTTCAGTAATAGATCACAGAGGACGTCAAAATGTGGTAAGAACATCAGTGACACACTCGGCTGCGCCTCGTGTGCCACTTTTTTGTTCTTACCCCATTTTTACGTCATCTGTGATCTATTACTGAACAGACGCACGGTAACTTGAAATCTATTTGTTAATTAGTAAGTTGCAGTATTCTATGATTATACCACAAAGGCTGATTGAATTGCTCTCGAAATTTGTGGATACTAGCAAAGGTTCATGATAATTGACCTTCCCACTATTGAAAATATTGCTTGTGGAGAGAAATAGAGAATAAGAATGAAGTACGTTCATTTGCTTAGAGAAAGACGAAACCATAAATGAATGAATCACAGACTGGTTGATGTGTTGATTCTATTTATGAATATTTCTGGCAGTTTTTTTTCCTGATCAAGAGTATAAACTTGTGTCGATGTTATACAAACACATTGTTGATCATGCAAACAAAACTCACGATCAAATCAAGATGACAGGCATTCCCTCAACTTTAGTATCAAAGAGACATGTTCGTAGTTTCAGCTTTTTGAAATATTGAACAGGATAACTAATTGCAAAAATTTGGTCGGTCGTCTGCAGACGCGCCAAGGAGGCAGCTCCGAATCAATCCAAAGCAGCTCTCTGATTAACTTTTTAGCTTTAACAGTCGAACATCTTTCCAAACCGTAAGGTACTGTTACTGTCCTAAAAAAGAGAATAGATTGTCTTAGATAATGCACATTTGCAGGGAAGTTAAACCTTAATTTCAACGTTCACACGAACTTTTAGCCTTCTTGTGTTTGTCTATCCCATTCTTAGCCCACTCTGCTTTCCCCTCCTTTTCTTTAAAACAAGAAATAATATTTGTAGCATGCGTAGTCACTGACTTTTCTAAAGTTTTGCTTGTGTACGAAATGGCTTCTTTGTTGCCACAGTAAGAAAAAGCTTCTGTGGTTGCCAAGTTCACAAAAAGAATCACGTTCATGTACTACAAACTGTGAAGAGATTCCTTTTGAGCAAAAAGCAGTTCTTGTATCGTTGCAAAGTTAAGGTTTAAGTTTGGCATGTTCATGCACGACACCTCCCTACTCCCAGGCACAGTGACCAACTTCCTTTCCTCCCCCACCCCTCCCCCTCCATTCCTCCGATTTTGGACTGTTGCCTTACCAGAAAAGCGATATTATAAGGAAGTGAAAACAATTTTCGTATGTGATTTCACTTGGTTTGTTATTCCTATCTTCGTTCTCTGCTCACTGCAAATGAAAGCTTGTTTTGGATTGGTTTAGGAAAGCGGGAATCAGGATTTTTTTAAAAACCATCTATTTTTAACAGTGGTGACTCCTTGTGCCTCGGCCAGTTTCCGTTTTCAATCCTCCAATTCAGGGAAAACCCAATGATAAGAACTACGTAGGAAGGTATATGGTAAGTGCTCTTTGTGTTTTGATTATGACAGAAAAAATTTAAGAAAAAACCCGAAAAAATTTGACAAAATCATGCACCGTGACGAAAACATGACCAGAATATCTCTTCCGCCGGAAATTTCCGTCTTTGTTACTTCCAGAAGAAATTAAAGGCTTGAAGGAGACTTAAGTTGATGTGATCTTCTGGTTTGAATACTTCTTTCCGAAACCAAAATGATTGCAGGCAGGTTGTGTAGAACTGAAGATGTAGAACACATCATCTGTAAGGTTTAAATGATAGCCATAGCAAAGAGAACCAATCCATCTTTGACAGTTTCCTCTGCAGCAAAGTAGAATTCTTTCAGTCCAAGGTCGTTTGGCTACATGATAAACTCGTGTTTCACTTTTATTTTTCCTGTTAAAACTGATTTCATCTGTGATTTATCGATAAAAATACTTTGTACACAAAGCGAAACTAATCTTGGTAAAAAATTCGTTCAATTTCTTATTAATTGCATGCTGCTCCCAGAGTTCCACGCGGCGTAATGAATGGTTTCGCCAATTTCTTAATTAATAATATACATAGAAACATTACTCAGTTCTGATTGGTTAAGATGAATGCAGTTTTCAGGTAATTCAGTGCAGAAGAGGGTTAACTCGGTGCAAAGAAAGTAACAATTCTGATCGGTCAATAATCAAAGAAAGTCACAGATAGCCAATCAAATGCGAGCCTTGGATGTCGCAACAAAATTTGAAAATTTGAAAATTTGCGAGCGAAACAATGGCCGGCGTTTTAAGTTGGTTTTCTTTCGCCACTACAGCTGAAAAACAGCTCAAATGACGAAAACACTGTAAAAAACACTGCTTTTTGGTTGTCGGTTTGGAAAAAGTGGTGTTTAGAGAAGGGAATTGCCAAGGAAATCGAAAATTACGAGCCGACCCAGCTTAACACTTTGCTCGAGTGATCCAACGCCGAAATTAAAAACAAACATGGTTAAACCTCGAAAACGACGATTCCATTTCATCGAAAGTGCTTCGGACATAGACTGAACAATTCCTTGTTCATATTTCATCACGCTATTTTGTATAGGTAATCACATGAATTTTCTCGTGCAATTTGAAATAAACAAGCAATTGTTAATGTTTTCAAAGATCACAAATTGTTTTCAAACATTTTGTTAGTCTTTAAAAAAGTTTATATTACTCGAGCTTATTTATTCCAAATTGCACTCGAAATCATGTGATTACCTATACAAAATAGCGTGATGAAATATGCAAAGGTCTCAGAGGGACTGATGTTTGCCTGAATGAAATAAAAAATTAACCCCATAATTTCTTTATTGTGCCAGCAGATTTACATCTTGATCGCCCATAATGACTTTTTTTCTGAACAAAACCTTTAAGCTGTCACAAAAGTAGCGGCGACCGTCAAGAAAGGACAACGAAAAGATAAAACTGCCCTTTTGCGAAGGCTCGTTGAAAGACAGCCTCATACTTAAACAAGGAGAACATTGAGTTAAGCTGAAACTCTTTCTTGGCCGGAAATTTAAGTATATCTATGTCATAATGATGAGAAGTAAGAGAACTTTGATCGTCCTTGAAAGTGTATCATATATTGCTACTTGTCAAGGTCTAATGGGGTCGCAGCCAGTAAACGCGAACCCAGTCACCTGCTTTAGACCGCTGTCCATCTGTACAGCTGAGAACATTTTATATATCACTTGGGAAAGAGAGCGAGCAAATATTTGGTGAGTAGCAATAAAGTTTTGATTTCAAAGCTGACAAGCGTAATGTACATTTTCTCTAATATATTTTTACAGGGGAATACTTTTTTCTTGCTGAAGCATAGCTCCTATCTAAATACTAATTTATCTCATAAAAGATGCAAACTTGCATATATTACACTCTACATTTAAAAAAAATTATAATAAACGTTTTTTAGTTAAGGTTGACTAAAAAAAGACAGTAACACCAGCCATTTATTTCATGTCACCTTAGCCTCATAAAATACTAAAATACTCGTGAAATTCTTAAGGAAACTGATTAATGCTGAATCCAAGCAAGTACAAATTTCAAAATGCCACGAGTTTCTGCTTATTTTCATTTTTTTTGATTGAAACACCTGTTTTTTCACCTGTACAAATTGGATACAGTGTTCAAAACAACTCAGAATTCTTCTTATTAAAGGCAGAAGCTTCTTTTTCAAAGAAATCAGAGCGAACTGGCATAGAGCTAGGAAGTTCTGGTAAAGTTCGAGTGAGGTAAAATTCTCACTTTCGTGATGTCTGCACGGCCACCAGGAGCTGTGTTACTTGGGGTACTTTTCGTGCTGGGTAAGCTTCTTGAAATGTGAATTCTCAACATTGTATGAAGTCAAGATATGATTCAGGGCACGTAAGAAGAAACGGCAGCACTGCTCCCAATTCTTTTCACGAACAAAAGCTACGAGTTTTCATCAGTGAAGAATGCACGTATAGATATGTTTGGGAAAGGCGAAGAAAAGCGTTGTAAAACAGAAAAGCTGCCAACTAATTTTTTTTCATGAAAGCTACTAGATTTTTGGATGCCCCTGTTTGCTCCTAAAAGTCATGCAGTATTTGCTTGAATATTACGAAAGGAATCTTATCTAATGGAACCCCGAGTAAGATTTGAGAAAAAGATCTTGGCAGCCTTACACATCATAGCTCTTTTTGTTTGTCTGTTACTCAAGTCCGCTCATCATATACCTTGCGCATCAATGTTTAATGCTATCATTCTTTTTCAGGAGTACTGCCCAAAGTTGAAGGTAATCTAATGGCGTTTTAAGTATCTGGCTGATCCATGAAAATATTTACTGTCGTACGACACACGTTGAGCACCACCTTCTTACTTGAAACACAATAAATGAAGTGAACACTCAACTCTGCCAGATGTCCTTAAAGAGATGCTGCGTTCAGTGCCTTACTTACATACCAAACAGCCAAAAAAATAAAAAAATAAAAGATCTGAGATATAAATTGATAAATTCAGCTTCTTACTTGAGGGGAACGACGGCCTGCGATCTCACGAGACACGTTTGTGTTATGCCAGGCCACACAGTGGCAACCATAACATTTGGCTTTAGTATAAGATAGCAGGCAGTGAAAAGTCACATCTTTAGTTCGATACTGAGTACCTTCTGAGGATTATAAAAGCAAATCAGGTAGGTCTAAATTTGAATCAGCTTCAAACAAACCGATTTTGTTTGAAGCTGATTGACAATAGGTATTACTCTTTGTTTTCCTTCTATAAAGGCTCTTACGAACAGGAAGCCTTAGAAGCACATAACAATTATCGCAGGATCCATGACGCCCCACCAATGAGGCTGGACTCTAATATGAACCAGCAGGCAGCAGCCTATGCCCAGCGGTTAGCACGCATGGGTACACTGCAGCACTCGAGTTCTAGTGAGAGACCAGGCCAGGGTGAGAATCTCGCCATGGCTTGTGGGTCTGGAGGCCTGTCCGCGAAAAGAGCTGTTGATATGTGGTGAGTACTAAAAAAGTACTGAAGAACATTTCACTCACAACTTGTTTCAAGGGAAAACAATGCCTTTGTTGCTCTTGCTGTTTTTAATAACTGAGCAATCCCATGTCAGGTATCAATTTTATCAGTGTAAAAAAAAGTGCTGTCACGGTTAACATAACACTTGATTTGACGTGTGAGTCATATACTAGCGATTCCTCGAGCAAGTTCTACAATTTCACTGCTAAAGTTCAGTTCATTCCGAACGTCCCTCTTTCTTAAGCTTCTAACCTTTCCTACTCGTTTCTTTCTTTCCTCTTTCTACCAAAGGTATAAAGAAGTTTGCCAATACAACTTTAACAATCCTGGATTTGGATATGGCACAGGGCACTTCACGCAGGTAGTTTGGCGAAAAAGCGTAAAATTAGGAATGGGCTCCGCCACGTCCGGAAGATGCACCTATGTTGTAGGCCGATACAGCCCTGCGGGGAATATGATGAGGGACTTCAGGGACAATGTTGCAAAGGGAAGTTTTGAAAAGAGTAGTTATTGTAACGGGGGTGGTGGAGGCGGCGGAGTTGGCGGCGGCGGCGGCGGCGGTGGTGGTGGTGGTGGCGGTGGCGGCGGCGGCGGTGGTGGTGGTGGGTGGCGTCCAGGGGGAGGTGGAGGTGGAGGAGGGTGGAGACCTGTTGGAGGCGGGGGTGGCGGTGGAGGTGGCTGGAGACCTGTCGGTGGAGGTGGAGGAGGAGGAGGAGGAGGAGGAGGAGGCTGGAAACCTGTGGGCGGAGGAGGAGGAGGAGGAGGCTGGAAACCAGTTGGGAACGGATGGGGCCGGAGGCGCCGCTGACCATCCGAGTAATTTGTCTTTTGTTCCCGTTGAGCGAGCAAATAAACCAGATATTACATGATTTGTATTTTGAAGTGTACTGTTTCATAGCGGTATTTTTCTTGATCTTGCACCTTTCAACTTTGTCCCAAAGCACTCTACGGTTACTGATTTAAGTACCTTCCGCCAGCTTTTACCTTCAATTTATGATTTTTACATCATATATTGTTTTCAAAGAACACTATTAGGAGCTATAAATGATCTCATAAGTTTCCAATCCCTTTTCATCACCATAAGGAGCTTACTAGGAGCTCAGCGTTAGATTATACACGTGCACGCGCTGACCTCAGCAGAATCTCTACGACAAGTTACTCCTGAGTTATCGTCAAAAGCAAAATGTATGTAGCATGGAAAATAATCAGTGTGACATGCCAAACGAACAATTATTATCACCTAGAAGGGTAGTAGGTATGGTTTATATGAGAAGTCATTGGAAGGTCAGAATGCTCTCTCTCTCAAGGAAAAGTAAATGAAAAGCTTTACGGGTCAAGTGTTTTATAGCTATAAGACTTCAGGGGATTTTTTAGGGAGTACTAACGTAAGTAACACGTGCAAGCTGTATTTTCTAGAAGGACATTGCCTAAAATGGTGCAACAGTTCACTCAGATAAAGTGTAATTCAATTATAATACTTTCAATTTGAATTTAAATTTATTTATTATTTCGATTTTGATTCATTCTAAATCAACATTTCCACTTTAGGTTTTTTTTTAATAACTCGAAGATTTATAATTATTTCATGGGTGGCAAATTATGAAAATATTTCGTCTCGTCCCACTTGACTTATTTTGATCTAAATTATACCATTTTTGACTGACTTTCCTATCTAAACACCCGTTGTTGCACCTGTACAAACGTCAATTATAAGCTAACACGACCCCGCCTTATTCATAAAGGCACGAGAAATATTGAGAAGAAAACAGTGGGTACTCTGAACTCGGTGTTCTGAAGAAAGTTTGAGAGGGGATTTTTCATTCCTCTCGCGCAATGTCTCAAAAAACATCTTTAGTTGTGTTGCTGAGGACACTGTGCATGTTAGGTAAGGCCCTAGGGTAATGTAAAATACCTTCATAGGAAAGCTAAGTATCCTGGATAATTTGTAGCGTGAGAGCATTTTATGTTCATCTCGGCCGAGAAACAAATGAGTTTTCGTTTGCACAGACAGAAAAAGGGAAAAAAAGCGTAGAAAAAGAGAAAGCCGGAAAGTTACTTGATGATAACGCTAAGGAACTTACGATAACACGTCCTTCTGCCTTTATATATTGCCAGTGGTTGAATTTTTTTTCACGTAATCGCTCTATTCCGAGGGCAATCATTGATTGATATCAAACGAATTCTGCAAACCTATCCGAAGTCTCGAAGTGCAGAGGAGAGTTGAGAAACTTCAAAAATATATCTGAATTAATCCTTAATTGCTTAGGAAATTATTGCGAGTAAATGTTTTTATATGATGGGAAAAATATTGTGTAAAGAAAAAATTCCCAAGTCTTACCTTTCAGAATAGCGTTTCGAAAACTTCTTCAATTAAATAATAGTGCTAAAAACCAAAAGTATGATAAAAAAAAAAGTAATTGGAATTTTGAATCAAAGGTACAATGCTTTTTGAGAAACACAAGTATATTTATCTAACAAATTTTCTTCAACTTTTAAAATAGAACTCGGCGGAGTAGGACACTTTCTCAGACTTTGAAAATATCCTTGAAAAGAGACTTTATTAAGTCATCTCGTCCTAGATGAGTTTTTATTTGACAAGTCTTTGCTGGCTTCAGGGTCAGGTTCTTGAACCAGTCGAGGGAAACTTGTGACATGTTGCAATTCACGTTTTTGGTACCAGTTGCATTAGCATACATGTAGCTACTTTTCCGATCCTTCTTCTAAAAATGCTTGATGTACCTTTAAGGTCCTTGTCTTTTAATACCCGGCCGATTGAAAGACTTTTTCTCTACCGCTTATTCAGGAGGGTATTTGCATCATTTGTTCTCAATAAAGTTTTTTAGGCAAAATTGACACCGATTTTTTTCTCTTAAAGCCTGGAGGCATTTCCAAACAGTTTTTTATTTGTCTGAAGCTCTCGTCATTTTGAGAGAAGTTTATTAAAACACTAGTATAAAGCTGCTTTTACAAATAAAAAAAGGCAGTTTTTATCAGCCAATCGACATTCAGTTGAATGGCAGTTGATTTTGATTCAAAAGTTGCACTCGAAGTGGAACACGTAAACGCTTTTGGAGATGCTCAAGGACATATAGTTTCACAAAGTTTTCATTATCAAGGCAAGGGGAAGAAAATTTGGGTGACACAACGTGAGTTCACTGATCATCCAATTCTCATAATTGCCAATTTCCTTCTCGTCTCTGTAGATCTCTTTATATCTTTTATCATTCTTTATAGGGAGGCTGCTTCATGTTGAAGGTAAGTAGCAAAAAGTTCCTTAGATGCTTCATTGATTAGTTTAATTATTTAGAATTGTGTATTTTTTCCTGTATGAAGTCTGTGCGGAATGTGAAGGAAACGCTCGACGGAAAAAAAGTATTTTCAGGTTCGTTTTCAGAGTTCTGAAAAAGAGATCCCTTGCTGACTATTATTAACGTTCATACTCTCACAACTATGGAAGCTCACCAGATGTCATCAATGACTTAAAATATAGAAATGCGTGATGATTCTTTATGAATTCTGTCTAAAGGAACATATCTCTTAAGTAAAACTATGCACTTTACGAAATGGACATTTTATCTGACCAAATGATTAAAAAAGCGAAAGAATAGATTCATTCATGAACACTCACTACTATTTTTTAAACTCTTTGATAAAGGATAATCCATTTGTCTCAGTTCCATAATGTTGCACTCACTTCATGATTTAATTGCTTGTTCCCTTGATAGGACTACGTCATTTGGTCCTCACTACAAGTTGCTGTAACTTTGGTGGATAAGTAGGTAAGAATTCTAACAAAATACCTTTTTTTAAAATCAATCTAGGATCGTTTGAGCAGGAAGCTTTACAAGCACATAACAATTATCGTTCGATCCATGACGCTCCACCAATGACGCTGGACTCAAGTATGAGCCAGAGTGCAGCAGCCTATGCCCAGCGGTTAGCGCGCATGGGCACTCTGCAACACTCGAGTTCAAGTGAGAGGCCGGGCCAGGGGGAGAATCTCGCCATGGCATGTGGGTCTGGAGGCTTGTCCGCAAAAAAGGCTGTTGATATGTGGTGAGTGCTGAAAAGGCATAAAAGAGCATTTTACCAACAGCTTGTTTTCAGTGCCTCTGTAAAAAACGTGCTGTTGTGAATCGCGTAACACGCGTTTCCTACGCGCGAGTAATAAACTAATGATTCTACATTAAGCTCTATAGTTTGCATTCTATATTAAAAAACCTTGAGAAAGTTTACGAATGAAAAGATGCAAAGACGTTCAGTATTCGGTCAGTCAAGTTGGCTCGAAATCGCCTCAATTATTTCCGTGAACGAAAAGAAATTGTGCACAGTCTCTAAGATGCGTTGCTCATAGTGACGTTTTTTTCTGATTTTCCAGGCTGTTTTGTTTCATGATTTCTTAAGCTACCTTTGCTGTGCTCAGAATTTATTTTCTCCAATTTATAGCTCCTTATCATGTCACTTATTTCTTAGTTTAATAAATACATTGCTAAAACGAACTTTACCTTCAATTATTAACATGGCCGAGAAAAGGTTTTGTGTCTAAATATTTTCCAATAGAAGATGATATTCAAAGGTCCTTCTTTCTTTCAATTAGTTCCTCGCTCCTTCTTTTCAACCATAGGTACGACGAAGTTTGCATGTACAACTTTAACAATCCCGGATATGCATCTGGCACAGGGCACTTCACACAGTTAGTTTGGAAAGGAAGTGACAAACTGGGAATGGGACACGCCACGTCCGGGCAATGCACCTACGTTGTAGGACGGTATAAACCAGCTGGGAATATGAAGGGTGACTACGAGAATAATGTTATGAAGGGAAGTTTTAGTAAAGAGGAATATTGTAACGAGGGAGGTGGCGGTGGTGGAAATGGAGAGGGAGGTGGTGGCTTGGGACCTGGAGGTGGAGGTGGTGGGTGGGGAGGTGGCGGTGGCGGTGTGGGCGGAGGCGGTTGGGGAGGTGGAGGCGGGTGTGAAGGTGGAGGTTGGAAACCCGGAGGTGGGTGTGGAGGTGGAGGCTGGAGACCTGGTGGTGGAGGCGGGGGTGGAGGCTGGAGACCTGGTGGCGGAGGCGGAGGTGGAGGTTGGGGACCCGCTGGAGGTGGCTGGAGACCCAGTGGTGGAGGCGGAGGCGGAGGATGGAGACCCAGTGGTGGAGGCGGAGGCTGGAGACCCGGTGGTGGAGGCGGAGGCGGAGGCTGGAGACCCAGTGGTGGAGGTGGTGGTGGAGGTGGGAGACCTGGTGGTGGAGGTGGTGGTGGAGGTTGGAGACCTGGTGGTGGAGGTGGTGGTGGTGGTGGAGGCTGGAGACCTGTAGGTGGAGGTGGTGGTGGTGGTGGAGGCTGGAGACCTGTAGGTGGAGGTGGTGGTGGTGGTGGAGGCTGGGGACCTATAGGTGGAGGTGGCGGTGGGGACTGGAGACGTTGAGGTGGTGGATGAGGTCGGTGCTGCTGTCAACCACTGATTAAAGTATTTTTGAATAGAAATAAAAATCCACTTAAAAGTTGTATGAGATTGAATTCAAAATTTTGAATTAAAGGATATTTGTTTCCCCTGAGCAAGACCAACGAAATGCGCAATTTGTGTTTGTTAAAGTTATTCGATCGCGGTAAGGAGAACATTCTTATTTAGGTCAGTGAGGAAGCTGTGGGAGGTAATAGAAGAGATGGAATGTGAAGAGAATCTCTTGCTTACTGAGAATTTGATTTTCCTATCGATTTTTCTCCACTCCAAGTGCTCAACCGAGGAAACGTTTCTCCTCCATCAGTCTCTAGCTTTGTTATGATGCGCTAGTCTTCTACAGTGGTTTAAGTGGTTTCGTATTTTCTTAAATTGGTCAAGTCGATGACCACGCTTTGTCGGTCAAAAATGCAAAGGTTGTGCTCCTCTTTTTCTTCCACAAGATGATTTGGTTTTATCAACTGAGCTGATGATGTAAATTGGTCACCGTAAAGAATCCAAAGCTGACGTTTCGACCGTTCACCTTTCGTCACAATCTCCCTCTAAATTACTGAGCGAGACAGAAACGATTCCTATTTCAACCTGTATCATTCCAGTTGAAAGTCTCTTTCGTAGTTGATGCTTTAATGAGATGCCCCATAAAGCCTCACAAAAGCAAGGTGTAGGTCCGTTCGAAGAGAAGAGAGAATAGCAAATGCTAGGATTGTGGCATTTTATAAACTTTTGGGACAGCCACATTGGAGCTTGCCAAGACCATGACAGCAATCACAACAAAATCACGCTCATAGGGGGTTATTGAAGCGGCCCTCATAAATCATCACTCAAAAAACAAAGACGTGTCAACCAAGAGGCTGATTTGAAGGATAATTATGAAACAAGGATTTTCAACCGGCAGATTTTCAGCCAGATATTTTTAGGCGTGTTACAGTCCACTATCACTCAACATGTACAGAAATCTTTTTTTTTTATCGTGGGATCATCCCACGTCCCCTTAAACCCCTGATCCAAGGCGCGCAGATTCTTCATACCCATTACCAGATTCCTGCGTAGTGCTCTCTTTCCTCGGCCAAATGCTAAATTTGTGTTTGAATAAGGAACAAAACTGAAAACGGCCGAAAGGAAAAGGTGAAAGGATCATTTAGAGACTAATAACTTAATTGAGCCTTTCAAACAACAACTGGTTGAATGTACCAATCATTTTTACCCACAGAAATTCCAGTTTTCAACACTGTCTTTGACGCAAGATTTTTCACCTTTTTTCAATGTCAGGGGGTTAAAAGACACAGCTGGAAAACCCATAATGTACGTGCGTGGTAGGATATTGGGGTCGCTATGGTTTGGATATAAAAATATTTGATCTGGAAGAGTTGCATACATGTCGGGTCTAAATTATTTTGAAAAGCAACACCGTAGGGTTCATAGGTAATTTATTTCGTAAAAGGAGGTACGTGGGTGAGCGGAAATGTCTCTGTTCTAAATGTTACACTTAATTTTGTTGTAATGGACTTAAATCCAATGATACCTCAGCTCACAGTCAGCTGAAGAGAGAAAGCGAGAGTACCTATGTGTTTCTAAGTTTCCATTGCTCTAGAGTTTGTTTTGTTAAAGTTTCATTGTTGTCATTAGATGTGTTAAGCCCTGTGTGTTACGTTAATACAGGTAGAGATGTTTTTTTTTATGGCGTTTACCGTAGTTTTAATTTTACCTTCGTCTCTCAAAAGTAAATAAGTTATCTGATACCGCTCTTGAAGTGACCGCTAAGTAAAGTATCATATGATTGCGCGTTGATAGTGTAACGTTCCTATCTACTTTGCGCCTTCTCCTTTGCAAAATGCCTGAAATGGGGTCCAATTTATCTCTAGACTGAAATACTGTGGTACTACTAGTTAGGTTGTTCGTTAGGTTGGCCTTGAGAAGAAATACCGAGTGTCAGAAATTGCCAATTCAGGTTACTATGCACATATGAATGGAGTTGTTAGGGTTTTGTAATGTAATCTATAGTAATGTGGCCAATAATTATAAAATTAACATCAGCGCTAGCGTTTCAATAGGATTGTGGAGAGCTGATCGTTTGCAGAATTATCAAGCAAAAACTGGAATTAAGGCAAAAAAAAACCTTACATATTATGCTGATTTGTTTACGAAGTCTTCACCGTATGCTTTTATAATCCATTTGAAAACATTGTATGCTGAATATTTTGTGACCTCCTTCAACTCGCTAGAACATCTAGAGAAAAACTGCTCCATAGCTTAGTAACTGTTGCGAATCTCGTCTTGCCCCCTTGAACCAAGGTGTCACAGGAATTTTCGATACATGCATATGCATTGTAGTTCCAACCATAAATTGTTCGGAGCAAACGAAAAATGAAAGGCGGAAATGTTGCAAATATTGAAGTGTGATTTCTTTGCATTAAACCTTTGCGGAAGGCAGGTTCAGACAGAGTACTGATGGATTTGGCTGGTGTCAACCAAATAAAGGATAAGATACACTTCAAAGTTATTAGTTCTTCTGACGTCGCCAGTCTTCATAAATAGTCTTTAATGAGCGTCATACACCCATGAAATAAAGTTGCAAAAGTGCTTTTTAAACACGAATTTTTCCGCCGGTAATATGTAGAATTAAGGTTGCAAGTCGCGCTAAGGCTACGGTAAGAGAGGAAGCTTGACTAAATTTCGTCCATGACAAAGTTAGAGACCTCAAATCACACCCACTTAAAATTTGAGGTGCTCCACATGTGCATGCCACTGCGAGGATGTATTGCCAAAACTGTCACGAAAGTTTCATTTCGACACCAATACTAACAAAAGTAGGAGAATAGCCTATTTAATGAAAAGTTCGAGATAAGAAGAGCGTTGGAACAAAATCAGAAGACTAATCGAGTAAAACATTACTGAAATGTTCTCATTGTGACAATAGGTCTTTTAGAGTCTTGTAATCGGGTTGTGAAACATGTGCGCTCTTGCTGGGGAAAAAAACCTGACGTAATATAATTTAAGGACATTTCCTGACCTGGGCACGTGCGGAGTCGACGATGGTAAATTTTCTTTGTACTCAATATTGTTTCAAGTCAAACTCACAAACACGATCTCTCGTAAACAAACTTTCTCTCACTTCTTAAAAGATCTGATAATATTGGTATGCTCCATTTCAAAACAACTATTCACAGATATGGTCACCGTGGAGCTGGCTTGAGAATACCGGAAATGAGAGGAGACATGAATTGCGTAAGTAAGCGCTTGAGACATGGATCATGTGCGCATTGAAAGAACCTGAGACGGTGTAAACATATTGTTTGTTATTGCTAGTCTACCGTGCTTGCACCTAGAAGGTAAGCTTTATCTTTATTCTCCGAAAGTGCAGTTGGGAACTGAAAAAGTCAAAGGCCTGGATAAGCAAAGTTACTCGACATGGAAATCTACCTCGCAAGGTCAAACACCCTCAGGTTTCTCCTGGTTGCAGTACTACTCGTTGCTTTTCAGGTAGGGTTACTTCTTTCGCGCAAAGGCCTGACGATTTATGTCATTACAGTTCTCGGACTTGTACCTCAAAATTTTTTTTCAGGATATTTACGAATCAAAAAGTTAGTTCAACACTTCTTTGCAATATACTGCTCTGTTTTGAAAACTGTCAGCCACTTGCTATCTGTGCAACACGCTAAATTGCTAAATATTTGAGTTCCGTTGAGAAACGTTCTGAACAGGAAGTGTAAAACATAAATTACGCTTGAGCACAGTGGATTGATTCTTCAATTTTACTTTTCTGTTCCAACGCATGCTTCGCGAAAATTTTCGATGTCAGAAATTATTCAGAAATTTAGACTTGTTTTCTTATTTCATGGTCTTGCAAAACCGCTTGCGTGTGGTAGGGATAATTAAGCTGGTATTCTGTGACTTTCCGGTGACTTTTCTATTAGTTGCAAGTGATCAGGGCATGTGTTAATTATCGCGCGGCGATTCAATTTTATGAAGATTATCTCGCATTTACTGAAAACGTTTTCACAGAGTCGGCTCAAGGTAATGCTAGTTGAAATGAGTGCAAGGATGAGACAAAAAATCGATACCCTCGACTGAAGAATGATTTGGATACATAATCTTAACTGGGAACATAGCCTTTCGCAATATTCATTTCAAGTTTGGTTTCCGGCTACATTAGTTACAAGATCACTTGAGGAAAAGTTTGATACTTATAAAAGTTTACGGCAGCTGAGGCGCATCGATTTTCGACTAATGAAAGGCATCTTATGCCTTTCTGTACGCCTTAGTAACTTTTTGTCTCGCAAGAGTTCTCAGGCGAAACGTTTCGTTATATCTATGTATGAACTGAGCTTTGTTGAAAAACAGTGACATGTCTTGCATCGAAATGGGAGGTGTTTGAAAAAGGATTATGAGCAAACAAGTTGTTCGCTCTGGCTGAAGGTTAACTGTCGTCAAAAAGCGAGATGTATGAAGCACCTCAAAGAAAAAAAAATGAAAATGAAAATTAATTCGCAATGCCAATATACATAAAGGGATTCATGGAACTCTGTTATGTAACTTTTTTTCAGAATAAAATATCTGAAAATCTGATGCGAATCGATTTTTCCTAGAAAAACCATAATGTGAAACTCAGCAGTTATCTTTTTCTCGACCCCATTTCATGCAGTTTCGTTTACTTTCAAAACAAGAAAACATAAGTTTTCCATTTCTTGCCGTCAGTTAGAACATAAACCTACTTTGCATACTTTCCTTCTTGCAGTAATTAATTTTCAGTGTTTACGTTTAAGAGAGTGTAATTTCTAGAAACGGATTTCTTCTCAGTTGTCAACGCATTGGAGTCTCACACTTAAATAGGGTTGCCTTCATTTTTAATGGCAATGGGACCGAGTTGAGTCCATTTCTCTATGTAGTGATGCGCGTGATAAGTGAAATCAGACTACCGCGAAGCGGAGTCACGAGTATGATGATGGAAGAAATTCCTAAGACCAACAAGTCAAAACTATAACAACATTTGAGAGACATCGGTTATACGGTTTCACAAAATCTATCGTTTCTTACAGAAGGTAGTAGCCACAAAAATGTTTATTTACAGACATTTTCTCTGCAATAGACACATTACTCATTTGAGCACTGCTAATAAGTTAACTCAAAAATATGACAATAGTGTGTAGTTCAAAGCCGCTTTGTATGAAATATTACATATATGCAAAGTTAGAATACAGTAGTTACTGCAGTTAAAAAAATTACGACTGCGTTGATCACGAAGATTGATCGTTTAGGTTTTGTTGAAACAATATGCATCTGCTTCATGAGAGGGGGGGGGGAGGGGGGAGGGGTAAAGTATGAACCAAAGACCAAAGCGCGATTAATTGACGAACTGACTCTAGTGGTAGACTAGAACCAGAACTAGAACTACGATGATAAGTAAATATGAGTAAACATCTAATCAGGAGAGCTGTTTTACTTCCCAAGGTTCCGACTTCAGCTGGTCCTGGTGGAAAGGTTTCACTACTTCTCAAAAGTTTCTCAAATCCATCAAATAAAGACTTGAACGGAAATTGTTGTGAACCATCTTGTAGGAGTTGTGACTATTACTTGGAAATTTGTCTGAAACAATCTGTTGGCGGATCTTGTTTGGTCTCTGCGACGACAAATACATATCATGACACCAAGCATGTTGTCTTTGGTGCAAACGAAGGCTTCTATCGTGGAGGAAGAAACCCACTCATATGGAGTTTCTCTTCGTGGAAGGTATGCCGGAGTAAGCCAGAGTAAGGCGATCAAACATAAGTATATAGGTCTATCTTACAAATCGTGAGTGTCTACATCATTGCTTCTCTGCATGAATTATATTGCTTTTAACGCTTTTAGGAAACAATTCTTCTTTCCTTTCTTATGAATGTTCTTTTTTGGACTGGAAATTGTTGATAAATATCGAGCCCCTTCACGCCCAGCAAAAAACATTGAGGGTCTGGAAAACTTGACTGATAGCAGTTGATGATTAACTATCCTCGTAGATAATTTTCCTTCTCAATATCAATGTACTTTTTTCTGAGGAAACTATCACTATTATCATTCATGAAGCAGTAAAAGTAAGATAAAGTAACGTTCGACTATAACTTTTTTAGGGTTCGTTCGTGGTAAGTGTCAAAGCCATGGATTATGATCCACTATCATCGGATGACATGATAGACAGATACGAAAAGAAAGTCACCGTCATTCCCAGTTCATGGACTTCCTCCAAGAATTGGCGGGAAATCACTTTGGGTGGTAACCCGTCTACGACTGTTTTGCAATACACAGTCCAGTGCAGCCAAGATTATTATGGTCCTAGTTGTACCACGCTTTGTATAGAGCGCGATGACAACATAGCAGGTCATTACACGTGCGACAAAACTACTGGTCATAAGGTTTGCCGCGTTGGATGGTATGGTGCCAGCTGTAAGGTATACTGTATACCTCACGATGACAACACAAACGGACACTACACATGCGAGCCAGGGACAGGAAGAAAGATTTGTCTTCATGGATGGTATGGACTCAGCTGTAAGGTACACTGTATCCCAAGGAATGACTCGCTGGCGGGTTATAATTGCGATTCCCAGGGACAAAAAAATTGTTTGCATAACTGGTATGGCAAAAATAAATGTACTGTTTATTGCAAACAGACCAACGATTCTAAGGCTGGCTACATGTGTGACTCAAATGGAAACAGGATGTGTTTACAAGGCTGGTATGGACCTTCATGCGATTGCAAAGCAAGGAACGACTCTTCCATGGGTTACACCTGTAATATTACAACCGGAAGAAGAATCTGCCTTGAGGGATGGTTCGGCGACTATTGTGACATTTTCTGTTCCCCAAGAAATGATTCAGCAGGTCATTACATTTGCAACAGTGGCACTGGAGCTAAAGAGTGTCTGCTCAACTGGTATGGAGAAAACTGTACTGTTTACTGCCAATCCAGGAATAATTCTATTGGTCAGCACGAGTGCACTGTAAATGGGAGTAAGCTGTGTGCACGTAACTGGTATGGACCCAACTGCACAATTTATTGCGCCTTAAGAGATGATCAGACGGGTCACTTCACTTGTCACCCAAAGACAGGACGGATGATTTGTAATCCGGGCTGGTATGGTGGCAATTGTACTACTTTCTGCGTTCCTCAAGATAGTGATTGGTATGGGCATTACAATTGTAACATGATCGATGGAAGTAAGATGTGTCATAGTAACTGGTATGGAGCTCAGTGCTCTACCTTCTGTTCTCCTCAAAATAACTCGGACGGGCATTACAAGTGCGATAAGAGAAATGGCAGCAAGATTTGCCTAGATAACTGGTATGGAACCGAGTGCAAATCTTTTTGCAAAGCAACGAACAATTCAGAAGGACACTACCGTTGTGCGATAGAGGACGGGACCAAGATTTGTGACCGGAGCTGGTTTGGACAAAACTGCACCATTTATTGCACAGCAAGAAATGACTCTCAAGGGCATTACGTATGCGATCCTCGCGACGGTAGTAAGATGTGTCACCAGGGCTGGTTTGGTCGAAATTGCTCAACGCATTGTGTACCCAGCAACAACTCTGAGGGACATTACGACTGTGGGTCTGAGGAAGGTACAAAAATATGTCACCAAACTTGGTATGGCCCTAACTGCTCCACTAATTGTATCCCTAGGGATGACCCCGTCGGCCACTATAGTTGTGATGCCACCAATGGAAGCAAGGTATGTAACTTGCATTGGTATGGACCTAACTGCACTGCATTTTGCAAGGCACAAAACAACAACGAAGGGCACTACACGTGTGAGGAGGACACCGGCCAAAAACTGTGTTTGAAAGGTTGGCAAGGAGAAGCGTGTCTTCAAAGTAAGTGTACTGAGTCGTGAATGTTTTCCTTTCCTTATTATTGATCATCCGGTCAACCCAGAAAATGCAGGTAGAAAGTGTTTGGATGAAATGACTTGAAAAAATGTCGCAAAATAAATAAGTTAAAGTAAGAGTAGTTGCTGTTATTGCTGAACTTTATTTTCTTTTTATTTTTAAGAAGTTATATCTACTTCTCACCCATCTATAAGGACTCCTTCGTCATTGTCGTCTTTCCCGACCGAAAAGAAAACCACAGACCACATTATTACGACTGCGTTCTTCCCTCAGACCAAGATGTCAACTACGGAGTCGACTGAAGAAAATAGCGCTGTGGAAAAGGAAAGTAGAAAGGCAGATGAGGAAGGATGGTTGACTAAAACGCGGATCGGTTTGATCTCTGGAGGCTTTGCATTACTACTGTGTATATGTGCCATAATTATGATAGCTATGCTAAGGTCAGTATCTCTTTGCAGAATTCACGTGCATGTTTCATTTTGTACAAATTACCTGTTAGATTCGGATCTAATGAAAAGGGAGAGATTCCTTAGGTGTTTAGCCTAAGCTAACCAAACTAATCCGGAAATTTGGGATTTAAATATCATGAAATGCGCGTATTTTTTGTGATTTACATTAAAAAGCACGACTGTTTAGATACCTTTTCGGATGATTTTAAAGTTGTTCTGAAAGAAGAGCCTTCCCAATTTGTCGTATTCATTGGACATATGGAACGAACCGGGAACAAACCAAAGGTTTGACCAGCGAGTTCAGTAAGAAGAAGGTCCAAGTGTCCATGTACATATTTCCTATTTCACTGTGTATTAAGGAATTCGAGTTCATTCAGGCTTCTTTTGTTCAACCTCAGTTGCAGGCCTAAAGCCAAGCGAGTTCCCTATTTTAGACAAAAAAATGAAACACGGATGCATTCATCAGAAAGACGAGCAAGTGGTAGAGTAAACCCATTAGCAGACGATATCCTGACGCAATATGAAATGAACGAAATGTTCTTCAAGGTTCAACAAGTCTCTTGGTGAGTTTCTTTCTCTGCTAAAAAGGACTGGATTGATTTTTGGTGACTGGAATCTCCCTTATGTTGGATGAGTAATGCAATTTATACATGTTGAAGAGTACGATCGTGTTTGACTTAAAATCCTTTTTTTTTTTCATTCAGAGCACATACATATGATAAAAACAACTTAAGGTCACCCTGTAACTTAAATAAACTATTCTCGTTCTGATGAAGTAAAATAAAGATAACTTTAACTTTTCTTCAAGAAACGCAAAAATTCGCAATAAACGGAAAGTTCAAGGCCTACTTCGGTGAGAAAAAGGTATAAGCTTTATATCAAACAATTTGATACCATCTGTTTTTTATGATAACCGGAGGTAAACCAATTAGTTTTTGTTTTTTTGTTTATTGCACCGTCTCTTTAAATTCAAAGACATCTTTGCACCTTGCAGAAATAAACTCAGGTTGTCATAATTTGGGTGTTTTCAAAGAACTCTTAAGCCACTTTAACCTTTTTAGAATATTTGGTGAAGACTGATTTGACTATTCATTTTTTTTCCTTGTGTAGGATTGAAGACGGCTCAAGACAAGTAGACGACCACCTGGTGATGTACAATAATCCACTTTTTGCTCCACGAAAACAAAAACCCAAGTGCGGTACCAGTGACAAACAACTAAAACTTGACAACGATTGGAATGTTGTGTTTGATTTGTGAACAAAAGGGTAAAATTGACAAGTTGACAGAAGTCGTAAATTTAATTCCATATGAAATCGAGCTTCAGGTATAAAAATAGCCGTAAAGGCGGACAAGTGACACCAGGAAACAGATTGCTCTTATGTATAATAAAATCACTGGTGAGATTTCATACAAATGAAAGGTCAGAAAATTGCGTCTGAAAATTGCTCATCTACGAGTCGAAATTTTATTATGAGGGGCTAAACGTGCCTTTGATCTGAGATTCTAGATTACAACCTTGTAGACGAATCTCCTTTTTTTGTCAAAAATGTCTGAAATTTCTTCGCAGTGAGAACTCAGGCCGCAGGAGCCACGCTAACCTGTCAACACATTTATTTATAAATCAATTTACATTTCCGTTTGTTTGGTCATTAGGAAGTTTCGAGACCACTGTTGCAGATCTTGAAGTAACCAGACTCTTCATGTTATAAAGTCTGGAATTGGCTATTGGTCCCATAAAATCGGGTCCACGCGTGATTTTAGGATGAGTACTCTCTGCTACTTGAGTGCTTGAATCCTGCAGGGATCTAAAACTAATTATACATCTATTGTGGAAGAAATTAAAGAATACTTTTTTCTTTTAGGAAGGATTCGTTTTCAATCAGTCAAGTTTAAAGAGTGTTAAGCCGGAATTCTTTGAGAATTCTCTAGAAGTTGTATTTGTTTACCAAAGCATATCAACTACTCTTTCAGCACTCAACTTTTGGAGCGATCTTTCCAATATCCATTTACTATAAACGGATGAACACCTTGTAACAAGAGGAGAGGCATTAAACATAGGCCAGGAGCTCATTAATGGGCTCTTGCATTGGCTTAGTTCCATTTAATCTTCCAGAAATGGGGTATTACTAAATAGTGGATCAGCGGACGGTAGAACCTCCGGAACCCATGTTTCTCTGTGAAAGAAAAGTAATCAGATAAACAAGAAACTAAAAAGACTCTAACACTGTCTGAAAGTTCGTTTTCGGGTATAAAGAAGAATACTTTAAAAGAGAAATATGTTTTAACCGTCCTTGACGTCCAACTCCAATTGTAGCGACATTCACAGTACTAGTACAAGGGTATATAAGATCATTAGGAACAATCAGCAGTCACCTACCCTGAGTGATGATAATTGAAAAATAATTTAAAAGCTCGAACAGTTTGGGTACCGCGGTATCTGAACAATCCCTCATCCGAAGGATATCAGCAAACTTTTAGGCTGGAATCTAGAACAGTATTCGGGTGCTTTTAGTTTTTATTATAATTTTTTTGATGAAAATTAATAGTTCTGCAGGTTCCTTAAGTTCTGCCGGTTCCACTGATTCCAGTGGTTCCGCGGTGTACTGATCTTCAAATTAGTAACACTCCCAGAAATGCCGAACAAGATCTCCACACCTATATAATCCAAGCGTGAACTACTGGAGTTCATTTCAGCGGGTGTGCCGACACAGCCCTGTTCAAGTTGTTGTTCGGTTTCCAGATACAGATCCTTACTAAGTGCCAACGCCGAGCGAAAGAAAACGGAAAATGAAGTTACTTCCACTGCTATCAGCTGCGGCGATGATGCTTTTCTTTGTGGTAAGTCCTTTCAGTTACGCTGCATCGACAACTATGCCTTAAAGGAGGTGTAGTTGATGGAAACTGCTGGAAAGTGAATTAAAAAAGGTTCCAATCCTTGTTTCGTGGCCAATGAAATATAAGGCATAAGGGAAAAGATAAAACCAAGCCTCGCGCCAGGTTAATGATTTAATCATGATTTTGCTATGGGATCTCTGATCAACTGAACAACAACGAACTCGATGGCAGTGGTTACTTGAGCATGGAATAGCTTAAATCCACCTAAAAGCAGCTACAACCACCTAAAACCACCTAAAACCACTTGAAACTACCTACAATCACCTTCAGAATACTATTTTAAACATTTTGAAGCATTTTTGTGACAATTTTGTTGACAAATGTAAATACCCACGGGAAATGTTGTCTTGTTTCGCGGGTCCCCGTCAACAACGAAAACTAATACCCCTGAAAATGAAGTCACTGTGTGCGACCTTTGCCTATCCAATGGCTCGCATGACCGGGGAAAAACACAAGTCAAATTGTTTACACAGGAGCAGCACTAAGAGCATTGACCCTTTTCGAGTAATACATAGACTACGTTTTCGAGGTCTGCTTTTTTCAATGTCTGACAGGGGTGAACGGGACACCAAACAGGTAGTCGAAAATTTGATGAGGTTACGTAATATAACATCAGGGGTGATGTGTGTAAAGGAAACCCGAGCAACCCTAACCATCTGAAATTGCTTCAAATCGGGCTGTGGAGCGAGCGTACAGAAAGAGCGTAAGAAAAAAACAAAACAGTTTTATAGTGAGTTGGTATTACTCAGAGAAAAAAATTAAATTGACTGAGAATAGGAAACCACGTAAAGAACAGTGACATTTGAAACGATGTGTGAGAAACAGAACTTTCAAATCTCGCGATATTCATGTAGCTTACAAATTCCCTAAAATTACCGCACTTAAAAGCAGCATCCTTACGAGTCCCAAACGCGAAATAGATCGAGCTCTCGTAACCTACGACATGCTGGCATTAATTTGTTCCGATTCTAGCTCTCGGTTTACCCGGCAGAGGCTTTTCATGCGGGTTTCGGGCTTCGGCTAGTCTTTATTTGGACCCATGCGAAAGCCTCTGGAACGGAGCGCTGTTCCTTTGATGGAAGGCGGTCGCTGACCAGTTCTATCGACCTGATGGCTTTCGTACTTGTGCCACGTAGGTTCTACGTATTTCTGGTCGTTAGTTTACGGAAGGCGCTTGCTAAAGAGTGAGCGGATTCTCTGAAATTATTCAAATTCAATTGTTTGCTTTGTGCAGTGCTCCGTGGCACTTCCAAAAAGGGCCGTTTGTCTAGGATCAGGTTACCAAATTCTCTTCTTATTGCTAAATTGTCGCAAGCTTGGAACCCAATCTCATCCGTAAACAGTTTCTTTGTTATGTGTTCAAATTATTGGGCCTGTTTGGATGTTCTATATATCACAAATAGATTAAGGAAATTTGAGAGTGTTAGAGCCCTGGTGCAGAATTTGAAATTAAATAAATAGAATCGCTGGAATCTTCTTTCAGACTCAAACGGACCTTTGGACCTCTTTTTGTTTCAAAGGTGTGATATGAATACAGATGTATCCGCTTTAGGTTACTTCCCACCTTCATGGACCGAAAAAAGGGGTTTTTCTCTTACTAGACAAAACTGACTTCAAACATTTTACCTAACGTTTACAAGAAAAAAATTTTCAAAATCTCCTAAAGCTCTAAAAGTTATTTTAAAAAACGTAATTTCAGATGAAAGCTAGTAAATCAAGAAGGTGTCATAATCTCGAACCTGGGCGAATTCCGTGGAGGAAATTTTCACGGCAAGCTCGTTTTTCATGTTATTTGCATCGCGCACCTGACAAAATTCACATGTGGAAGCTCTCTGCTTGGGGAAAAATCTCTTCTCATGGAAAAATCAAAGGAAGAAGAATTTCCATGGTAAAAAAAAACAAGAAAAAAAAGAAAGAAAGAGTACCATTCTATCAAGAAAAGAAAAAAACCCTCGGTGAAAGCGACTGGCACTGGCGGAGTCCAGATTTCGAACAAAGAAGTCGCGTCATAAACAAAATTTGTCATACTTAAAGTCAAAAACGGGTTTTCCTTTTATTTATGCAAGAAACTAGCACTTGTCTTACTTTTCAAGCTAGCGGCTGCAGCGAAACTGAAAAATCACATTAGAGGATAATTTTGTTTTCACGAGCAGAAGACTCGCCAAGTAATTAATGAATCTATCAGGTTTCAAGTGGTAATTTGCATGAATATCGGCAAACAGCAAACTCCTGAACTTCCAAGGGTTTCCCCGCAAACAGGAGTAATCTCGTCCTCATAGTGAACGTGAACGAACGAGCATATTTCCGCGCCTAATGGAGGCTATTTTGTTTATTATCCTTCCAATATTTTTGCAAATTTTGGGTTAAGAAATGTTTATGAACAGCTAATCGTTCACTGCGTGGGATGTTCACTTTTCAGCGTTCCCTGCTACGATTTTATAAACAAACAAAACATGTCCCCTCTTATAACAACCACAAAACGCTCTCTCACCTCATATTAACTTTAAAAGAAGACTTATCGTAATGGACGAAGAGCTCGAAAATCATCGGGAATATCGATCACTTATAGACGCATCACGTTGACAGGTATTCCTCAGCTAAACTGGGGGAATATCCGAGGATATCACTCAAGTGATATTCCCCAATTTTCAAACCTTACGTCCACTAAGATAAGTCGTCGTTTAAAATTTAATTAATGATGAGAGAGCGTTTCATGGTTGTTACGGAAGAATTGTTCATTAAGTCGCACTAGAGAACACTCAAAGAACACACCCCACGCAGAAAACAGTAAGCTGTTCGTACACATTCTTTTCACACGCTTTGCAAAATATGTGATAGATAAGAAGCACAATAGCCTCTATTTTTCGCGAAAATATGCTGGTATATTTGTTCTTGGTCATAATCTGTTTCTTGAAGCTCACTTCTTTCCATGCCATCAGATTTTTTTGTTCCTTGAATTTTGCCTCTGAGCGTTTTTGAACGTGGATATCGATAAAAAATATGTTCTTCATGACAAAAAGTAAATCTAAAACAAGGAAAAACATTTTTAAAATTACCATTTTCAATAAAATGGTCATAGACTTACCGCAAGTCACTTGAAAAGATCGGTACATAGCAGAAATTGTTTTGGAAAAGCGTCTGAAAAATGGAGATGTTAAAAGGAAGGTGAGTTGTACTGGCTGACTCACGCCGTGACTGGTCAGCAGTCATCTCACGCATACTTCAACACCCTTTTACCCATTTTGTCTAAGAGTTTTGTACTATTAATTTAAATGTTTAATCTGTTGATTCACACTGATCCTGACATCAGCTCAAACTCTGCACTCTTCCTTTTCTAAAGAATGTTAACATAACAATGAATTTTTCTCCATCTCACTTCTTTACACTTTCCATCTCCATCTTCATCTTAGAAAGCCATCGAGTAGAGCTCGAAAGGGTCGTTTAAATCAATTTTTTTCCATTTGTTACAGATATCGTGTGAAGGGAGTGGACGTGTGGTCGTGACCCTAAAATATTACAAAAATCCTTCTCACAGGACCTACGAATTCAAATGCTGTGACGCTGGGTTATTTGGTTGCTCTGGTGGATGTGAAGCATATTTCAAAATTTGTATGACAAAGTCAGCCTCCGCCAATACGCATTCCTGTAACATGGGAACTACACAGACTGCAGTCATTGGCAACAGAGATGATCATAGACTAAATTTAAGAAAAGAGTTCGCATTCACATCCTTACAAGTAAGCCATAAAAGTTTGCGATTTTGTTTGCCTGGTGCACTGGCAAAATTTGTTTTGCTCCACGTCCAAAAATCTCGGCAAAATTTGTCAATCGTGGGCGCTCTGAAAAGTAGAAAAAAAATTGTTGACGAGCAAGTGTCAACCACATCGATGTAAAAATTGAGCAGAACTTAGACTTGGAGATTCAGCCTGAACGTAAAATTGGACGCCATGATAGTTTTTTTCCGAGTATCCTGAGTACTGATCATCATGCAGAATCTTCCATCTTCACCGATTGATTGCCGCGTAAAAATCAAATCTTTTCTCCTTCAAATCGTGGTTTTTAAATGAAAAAAGTTGTCAGATTTCACGCCTGACAAAAATTTGTACTGCTCTGAGGTAGGGCGCCAGCGCCTTTGAAGATTGGTAGGTCTTGACAAAATTTGATAGGATAAAAAAATCACCGGGCGCACTTGTCTCACGGGACTGATGACAGATTTTTTTGCAAAATAAACAAAAATTTGCCAAGTGCGTCATTCTACAGCCAAAGCATACGCGCGTTTGCCCTTAAAACACTCACATAGGTTTGAGTACTTATAATGGACTGTGTGTATTTGTGAATGTAAGAGATTGTTTACTAATACAGAAATTACTTTCTCCAAAGGAATTCGTTAATTTGAAGGTGCAAGTCTGGGACCATGACAAAATTCTTAAAGATGACCTAGTGGAGACGTTTTTTAGCTCGAATAAACCTTGGTTGCCTAACCATGGCCATCAGAAAAAGACCATACGACATAAGAGCAGGGTTGTTCAGTTGACACTTGACCTCGAGGTATACTGCAACAAGAACTACTACGGCCCTCACTGCACAAAGCAGTGTGTCCCAGGAAAAACCTACACGTGTGGATTGCTGGGAGAAAAGGTTTGCCGAGCTAACTGGTATGGTAAGAGCTGCACTGTGGAGTGTATCCCGCGGGATGACTGGAGGGGACACTACACCTGCGATAAAATGGGGAAAAAGGTCTGTAGATCAAGTTATTATGGAGAGAGCTGCACTCGATGGTGTGCCCCTCGAGATGACCCGCGAGATGGACATTTCAACTGTGATAGGCAGGGAAACAAAATCTGTCTTCCTCGTTGGGAAGGGCCATCCTGTAAACGATGCGTGAAAAACTGGTTTGGTCCTGGGTGTTCTACATACTGTGTACCTCAAGACAGTTACGAGCTTGGACATTACAAGTAAGTTGTTCAATATGCAGTTTGCACAAATGTGCAAGGTATTTCAAGGCGTGTTTTATTGTCCTTGTTAATGCTCATGAGAAAGAGATCCAAAGTAATAAATAGCCGAGACGAAAAAAACTAACTACCTAAAAAGTAGTTTAGCCACTGTTAGTAATGGGTTCGTTCGGTTGTTTGGGAAAACAGGTCAGTAGTATTGTTCCCAGTTTTATACATTACGCTTTCTTAGACACCAAAAAGTGCATTTACCTCTACAGATGCAGCCAATCAGATGGAACGAAACAATGCCTACCGTGGTGGTTTGGCAGCGACTGCAAGGCGCACTGCACTCCTCATGACGATGATGACAACGGCCACTATAGCTGTGCACGTGACGGAAATAAGTCATGCCATGATGGATGGCACGGAGAGAACTGCACAGTGTTTTGCATTCCTCAAGATGATGACATACGAGGCCACTATACTTGTGACGAGGAAGGCAGCAAAGTCTGTTTAAACGGGTATCGCTCTCCAGACTGCATGGACTGCCTACTGGGTCGGTATGGCGCAAATTGTTCTTTATCCTGCTTGGTGAATGACACGTACGGCTTCCAGCAAGGCTACATCTATTGTTCTGACGATGGAGTTAAGCAATGCAAGAAGTGGTGGCATGGCCCAGAGTGTCTCCAGTACTGTGTCCCTCATGATGACAACGAGCACGGGCATTACACGTGCGCGCCAGGAGATGGAAGTAAAGTATGCAGACCTGGCTGGGAAGGGCTAAGCTGTCTTAATCGAAAAAAGAACTGAGCATGCGGTTTTGACAGAGAAGTCAGTAGATTAACATATAGCATGAACTTTTTGCGGGAAGTATTCTGCGGAATAACAATTTTTTTTTTATATCAATTTTTTTTTTATTTTTGTTGTTTTTCAGTTGTTTTTTTTCTGATATAAAACACATTTGTACTGTAGTATCGCACTTTTTAAAATGTTACCTCTCATAATTAGAGATTATTACACCGTATGTTTAAACAAGTAAGGGTATTGTTACGTGATTCTAGATGTGTTATTACGATTTCGTAACACCAGTATGTTGTTAAGACAGGAGGCTAACTTGTCGTGATAGCCAATGACCTATCGTGCGTAAATATAGTTTTAACTGTTAATTGCTGTCTATTGTAAACAGTGGCCGGCAAGTGACAAAATGTGTCAAAAAACATATTTTGACTAGAAACTAAAAGCAGCAAATACGTCCAAAAATAACCATTTACTTCTGCACTTCGTTATCTTTTCATTGTATTGTTTTTTTTTATCTCACCATGATGCAAATAAAGCACATATTTTCACTCTTACTTCCCTTTCATCTGTTCCTTTTTTTATCACGTGTTGACAGGAGCTCATTGGTGTTGATAACCTTTGCGGTCTAAATGGCTTATGGGCAGACACGAAAAAATATCACGGGTGGTATATTATGAAATTCATCGCAGTCATGAGTTGTGAGCCATCAAATTATCTCTGTTCTGCGAGTTTTCCTTTATTTCTCTGCATTATACCTTTTGTTAAAACTCTCTATCTCTACAGCCCACGATGGAGGGATATGAGCTAAATGTCAGGAAACTGGGCTCCAGCTGCGTGTTCCAGGGGGGAGGGGGAGGGAGAAATTCTTCTATGAAATCAGACTATTGATTGGCAGTTACGTTATTAATCAGTTATTTCCAAAAAGGTGAAGCCTCTAACACTATCCCCGAGAATGAGTCTAAAATGTCAAATATCTAGAGGTACCTCAAAGTAGTGCAAGATGCACCCCCCACCCCTAAAATGTTTTTTTTTTTGATGCTCCGCTCTCCCCTTCCTCCCCACTTCAGGGCGTATGTCATGTTTGTTTAAACGTAGCAGTATCCAAAATAATCTAGGCTTTTGGCCATGAGTCAATAATTCGATATCTGATCGTCTAAAAAAAAAGGCAATTTCATGCTTAAGGCTCTATGCAGCATTGGGGTCCACTATCAACGAATGTTAAAAAAATCGGCTGAAACAACAATACACAAGTAACAGAACGACGATACACAAGTAACAGAACGACGATACACAAGTAGCAGTCTCACTATATTGCCACTGGTACCATATAATTGAAGTTATATCTTGAACAATTTACGAAATGCTCCTCTGGTTTGTTGGCGCTGTGGCTGGGATTTTGACCTTCATGGTAAGTGCTTTTGAACATTTCGCTTCTGCTTCATTTGTGTTAAACATGAGCTCAGCGCGCGGGCAGCCAATCCACAACGAATACTTTTAACGAGACTCGCCAAAACAAAAAGAACGAAGAAAACCTCCGTGGAAAGCCAAGTGACATTTGCGACTAACGAGCAAGAAAATTATAACGTAATGTAGAAGGAAGTCTTGGCATACTAATGTTCCAGGGTAAACAAAGATCATACAAATGAGAGTAGTAAAAGAGAAATACAAAGTTGACTAAACACGGCGAAGAGAATTCTAAAATTACTGATTTGCCTGGTTGACTGGTATGGAACCGAGTGCAAATCATTTTGAAAGGCAACAAACAATTCAGAAGGACACTACCGGTCGAGCTGAAAAGGAAGATTTCTTCGTGAGCGCGGAAGGTTTTCCTATCATCACCGGAAATCCTATTATTTCTCGGCGGCGTGAGCTGTGGGAGGAGATGAAAATGAGACTGTGTTGACCTACTCTCCGTTCGCCAAAGGAAATATCGAGTCAGGCTGTGGAAGTCTGTGGCAATTCCACTATAAATTCAATTTCTTGTCTCAGATCGTGCAATTCGTTATCAAGTTCATATATTATGCAGTCGTTGATTATATCCAGGGCTCTCATTAGTCCAGTGCTGATCTATCAATCTATTCGGGTAGTCTCGCAGAACACTAAAATTTCATCGAGCCATGATTTGGCTTTTAGAACACATTCGCTTGCAGAGGTTAAATGAGTCTTAAGAAAATTAATTACACACTTCAGATCTGTAGATATCTGATTGGGTGACTTGTATCGAGCGATGAGTGTGTCTATGAGCACAATACACAATAATAATGATTGAGGCAACGGTATTAGTCAATTTAGATATAGCCTTCGCGCTGAGCGCTCGACGAAAACGCGCGTAACGCGAGTGCTACAAAAGGAAAAGACAGGAAAACGCGTTTATGATCACTAGATCGCGTGTGCAGGCCTTAATTATTTGCGCTCAATAAAGTCGAATGTCTCTTGCTCATACGTTAGGTAAGATTCATCTCTTTTGTTGACAGGCGCCACCCTCGGAAGGAACTGGTCGCGCCATTGTAACATTACGAAAGTACACTAACCCCTCTCACCGCTTGAGTAATGGTAAATGCTGTGATCACCGATTTCTCAACGTTGGCCGATGCCGCCCATGTGATGCTTACTTCAAACTATGTGTGAGTCAGGCAGTTAGTGGGTCTTCTTCAAACAGCTGTAATATTGGTAGAAGCCAGACCGGTGTGGTTGGTGACGATGACAACCACGTACTCAACATCAGAAGGACGTTTTCTTTTGAATCTTTTAAGGTGAGTACGCATATAAAGCAAAATTATTTTATTCTTGTCATCTTTTCCGCCTCATTTAGTGCATAAGAAGTGCATTTCTTAACTTTACTTTAGTACAGTTAAAAGCGACAAAGGGACAATTTTTTTGGGCGTATTTGTACCTTTGGAAATGCGTTTAACGACTAAGAGAAAAGTTATGATGCATCAGGCTTCATTCTCCAGACACTTCCAAAAACAAATAACTTTTTTAAAGTAGAAGGCACTTTTCTAAATTAATATTCCTGCAACATGTATTGTGTATGAAATTACTTGGAAGTGACACTTGAGCTGATGCCAAATAAGCAACTTTACTGCTACAATAAAATCGCCAAGTCTTATGGGACCGTTCATTACTCATTGAATAGGGCTGGGTGGTAAGATTTGGGGGAATGCTATTCGGGGGTTGTATGACCCTTCAGCTTACTAACTATCCTCACATGACCCCCCTCGCATTAGGGAACTTTTTGAATGAACCCCCCCCTTCTCAAATCATAGTCATGCCTGATATTTCAAAGGTTAGCACACTTTAAAAAAACTGTTTTTATAAACTGGCATATTTCACCTAACAAGATCACAATTCTAGACAGGTGCTTCCAATGAAAAAGAGTCTCCGAGACAAAGCCGAGGGGATTATTCAATTAAATATTCATTCGGCCTAAGGCAAATAATTGTTTCAGCATAATTGCTTGGGTGCTTTCGAATTCTATTGTAAATACTTGTTTTGACGTCGAAATCATTCTGTTTCAATTGCTCTGATTACACGTATCGAAGTAAAGAGCCAGTTTGCACTGGTATTTAATAGCTTCATTTAATTCAATCAGCAAATATTTCACGTCTTTCTTTTGAAAAGTATTACTCAGAACTAAGTAGCATCTTTAATGCTCTTTAAATCCTTTTTTCTTTTTTTTTTGTCGCGTTTATCACTTCCTGGGTAACACTAACAAAACGCGTGGTAGCAATTTTAAAATTTAGCTGAATGTCTGGAAAATAGGAACATTCGGGTCCAGCTGCGTGTTCTGGGAAAGAGGGGGAGGGAGAAATTTCCCTATAAAATGGAGGAAAGAAATTAGATTCTTGTCTGGCAGTTATGTTGTTAATCAGTTATTTCCAAAAAGGTGAAACCTCTAAAACTATCCCCGAGAATAAGTTTAAGATGTTAGTACCTAAAGGTACCTCAAAGTGGTGTAAGATGCACCCCTCGCCCCTAACATTTTTTCTGTATGATGGTCCGCTCTCCCTTCCTCCCCAACCCTGTTCCACCCACGCCAGGGCGTATGTCATGTTTGTTCAGCGAGATATGACGCAATCCTCGACCAATCAGAGCACATAAATCTCTATAATCACTGGAGCAATTATACTGAATACGAATAGTCACAAAGCTGAGCTGAGTGCTTGTATTATTTCTCAGGGAGCCATTACCGTTGGGGTGGAAGTCTGGGATAAGGACAAATTTACCAGCAATGATTACGTTGGCTTCCCGTCCATAACACTGTGGTCTGTCACTCCGGGGTTGTATTTGGATCCCTTAAGAAGAAGCTTGACGCTGAAAAGCAGATACGTCACCATGAAGCTTGACTTGGAGTTGTACTGCGACAAAGACTACTATGGTCCCAGTTGTAGCGTGAATTGTGTCCCGCGGGATGACTCGAGTGGACATTACACCTGCGATAATCTGGGAAACAAGATTTGTCTTCAACATTGGGAAGGGCCGTCTTGTAACAGATGCGAGAGCAATTGGTTTGGTCCCCGCTGTTCTGCAATTTGTGTTCCTCAGGATAATGATGTTCAAGGACATTACAAGTAAGTCAAGAGACAGATGTGCCTATTAAAGTGTTTGGGAATTAAGGGAATACAGTTTCAAAGAAACTGTGGTGCTACTTCGGTGGGGTAGCTAACGCTTTCCATTCAAATAATTTATTCTTTCCTTTCTCATTTCTATATTCCCACCAATAGCTTAGCTCCACTTTTTACATATAAACACACACACAACCCACAATTCCTCCATTCGCTCTGACGAAGGGCTAACGCTCGAAAAGCCATCTTAGAAAACTCCTTACGGTAACCAATTTACATTATTAACTCAGTTAATAAACCCAAATTCTCTAGTTGGGAATGAGACAGCTTGTGGCAAAATTTCGAAAAATAGAGCGAGGGAGAAATTTAGGGGTTACACAAGGAGAGCAAAAACTTTTGCCGTTTTACCCTCCCCTCCCCTCCCTCCCCGCCTTTTCGCTCTCCACACTCGATGGTGTGCCACTCGGGATGACCCGCGAGATGGACATTTCAACTGTGATAGGCAGGGAGACAAAATCTGTCTTTCTTGTTGGGAAGGGCTATCTTGTAAACGATGCGTGAAAAACTGGTTTGGTACTGGCTGTTATACATACTGTGTACCTCGAGACAGTGACGAGTTTGGACATTACAAGTAAGTTGTTCTATGTGCAGTTTGCACAAATGTGCAAGGTATTTCAAGGTGTTTTTTATTTGCCTTCTTAATGCTCATGTGGAAGAGATCCAAAGTCAAAAATAGCCAAGACGAAAAAAATTCAGCTACCTAAAAAGTAGTTTAGCCACTGTTAGTAATGGGTTCGTTCGGTTGTTTGGGAAAACAGGTCAGTAGTATTGTTCCCAGTTTTATACATTAGGCTTTTAGATACCAAAAAGTGCATTTACCTTTACAGATGCAGCCAATCAGATGGAACGAAACAATGCCTACCGTGGTGGTTTGGTAGCGACTGCAAGGCGCACTGCATTCCTCATGACGATGATGACAATGGCCACTATAGCTGTGCACGTGACGGAAAAAAGACATGCCATGACGGATGGCACGGAGAGAACTGCACAGTGTTTTGCATTCCTCAAGATGATGACATACGAGGCCACTATACTTGTGACGAGGAAGGCAGCAAAGTCTGTTTAAACGGGTATCGCTCTCCAGACTGCATGGACTGCCTCCTGGGTTGGTATGGCGTGGATTGTTCTTTATCCTGCTTGGTGAATGACACTTACGGCTTCCAGCAAGGCTACATCTATTGTTCTGACGATGGAGTTAAGCAATGCAAGAAGTGGTGGCATGGCCCAGAGTGTCTCCAGTACTGTGTCCCTCATGATGACAACGAGCACGGGCATTACACGTGCGAGCCAAGAGATGGAAGTAAAGTGTGCAGACCTGGCTGGGAAGGGCTAAGCTGTCTTAATCGAAAAAAGAACTGAGCATGCAGTTCTGACAGATAATTCAGTAGATTAACATGCGGCATGAACTTTTTTCGGGAGGCATTCTGCGGAATGACATTTTTTTTTTTTCATTTTCTATTTTTTTTTCTATTTTTTTTCTTTTAAAGTTGTTGCTTTTTTTTCTTCTCTGATATATAACGCATTTGTATTGCAATATCGCACTTTGCTCGTACGAGTTTTTGAAACAAAGATTGAATGCAAAGAAATGCTGGTACTAAACTTAGGAATTCCTCTGCTTAATTTGTACGGTTGTTAAAATGTTACCTTTCATAATTAGAGATTATTAACCGTATGTTTAAATGAGTAAGGGTATTGTTACGTGATTCTAGATGTGTTATTACGATTTCGTAACACCAGTATGTTGTTCTAGTTATTAAATTCAATGGCTAATTGAAACAAAAAACTTGAATGAAAACAACTGATAAAGAAGACAGGAAGCTAGTTTGTTGTGATAGCCAATAACTTATCGTTCGTAAATATAGTTTTATCTGTCAATTGTTGGCTTTTGTAAACAGTAGCCGGCAAGTGACAAAATGGAAAAAAAGGAAACACGTCCAAAGATAACCATTTACTTCCGCAGTTCGTTATCTTTCGTTATCGTTATTCATTGTAGTGTTATTGTAATCTAACCATGGTGTAATAAAAACACATTTTTTTCAGACAGCTTCCCTTTTATCTATTCCTCTTTTTATTACGTGTTGATAACCTTTGCGGTCTTAATTGGCTTAAGGGTAAAGAAGAAAAGATATCACGAGTGATACATTATGTAACTCATCCCAGTCACGAATTGCCAGCCATCAAATTATCTCTGTACTGAGAGTTTTCCTTTATTTCTCCGCTTTCCACATTTGGTTAAAACTCTCTATCTCTACAGCCCGCGACGGAGGGACATAAGCTGAATGTCTGGAAACTAGGAACATTCGGCTCCAGCTGCGTGTTCCGGGAAAGAGGGGGAGGGAGAAATTTTCCTATGAAATGGAGGAAAGAAATTAGATTCTTGTCCGGCAGTTATGTTCCAAAAAGGTAAAACCTCTAAAACTATCCCCGAGAGTAAGTTTAAGATGTTATTACCAAGAGGTACCTCAAAGTGGTGTAAGATGCACCCCTTGCTCCTAACATTTTTTCTGTCCGATGGTCCGCTCTCCCTTCCTCCCCAACCCTGTTCCACCCACGCCAGGGCGTATGTCATGTTTGTTCAAGGGTAGTATTATCCAGAAGAATTTAGGCTTTTGGCCATAAGTCAAAAATTCGATATCTGATCACCTATAAAAAAGGCAGTTTCATGCTTTACGCTCTATGCAGCATTGGGGTCCACTGTGAACGGATGTTAAAAAAATTCGGTTGAAACAGCAAAACACAAGTGAGAGTCTCACTACGCTTATATTTCCACTGGTACCATATATAATTGTCGCCAATTTTGCGCGAAATTTCTATTTACGAAATGCTCCTCTGGTTTGTTGGCGCTGTGGCTGTGATGCTGACTTTCATGGTAAGTGCTTTTAACTATTTTGCTTCTGCTTAATTTGTGTCAAACATGAGCTCAGAGCGCTGGTGGCTAATCTATAAAGAACACCGCTAATGGGACTCGTCAAAATAAAAAAAAGGAAGAATTCCTTCGTGGAAAGACGAGTGACGACTAACGAGCAGGAAAATTATAACGTAATGTAGAAGGAAGTCTTGGAATACTAATGTTCCAGGGTAAACAAAGATCATACAAATGAGAGTAGTAAAAGAGAAAAACAAAGTCGACTAAAAAAAATGGCAACGAGAATTCTAAAATTATTGCGAACTACAAACTTGAAAAGCTTTGACGCAGTCAGTTTAGAATTGAAAGCGTAACAGACACTTCCGGTCGAGTTGAAAAGTAATATTTTCTTCGTGAGCGCGGGAGGTTTTTCTATCATCACCGGAAATCCTATCATTTCTGCGCGGCCTGAGCTGTGGAAGGAGATGAAATCGAGACTGTGTTGATCTAATCTTCGCTCGCCAAAGGAAATGTCGAGAAGCTAGTCCGATTATGGTAGTCTGCAGCAATTCCACTATAAATTCAATTTCTTTTCTCAGATCGCGTTCTTAAATTATGCAGTTGTTGATTACATCCAGAGCTCTCATTATTTCAGTGCTGATCCATCAATCTATTCGGAGAGTCTCGCAGAACACTTACATTTAAACGAACCATGAAAGAGGAATTTTCCTTCGTCAAAATTCAACCAGGTTGAATGTGGATCGCAGATAAGATATCACAGTATTTTTAGCTAGGCGTGTTCAAACTGTACTGGACAAGTCTTCCATACGTGTCATGTTTCGCATGAATCATTTCACTAACTACAAAAGGGCCTTTTTTCGATTTTGGCTGAGTTCAGTGAGTTGAAAACAGAATTAAGAATGTGCATATCATGTCGCACATACACAAAATGATTAGTGGCAAGAAGGAGGGGCAAGTTGGAGAGAGACATTGCCGAGTCAAGGATGGTATGATGGTTCACGCCAGATCGCAAAATCTCGAAAATATGAATTCAGTATATTTATTTCCTCCTGATAAACTATTCATTATCTCTTGCAGTTAGAAGTTTTCAGGCTTAACTGGACTAACCAACAAAATATTATTTTTTTGACCTTACACTTAACGGGCGCGTTGGTACTCCAGAGTTAATTCACGGAGTATTATTACAAGCCGCTCATAAGACATATTTTAGATTTTAAAAACCAATGCAAATCACTGTAAACTAACTCTCTTGATACTCGAAACAAGCTAGCAGCAGTACACATTTTGTATTATGGCGGCTTAATGTTTTTCTTCTGAATGTTTTCTAAGAAGATTACCCACATTGTTTATTTGTTGATAAACAATTATCAAAGCAGTGTTATGATTTCGAAATAATCATAAGTCGAGGCAAGTTCTACCATCCTCGGATGATAACACTTATCTTGAGCCGAATCTAACCATTGATTTCTTGGAGTTTTTCAGAAAATAACAAAAAGCTTCCGTCGGTTAGGACACAAATTATTATTATTGACAAAAAAAAAATCTCAATATACAAAACTGTGATTTGGCTTTTGGCACACTGTCACTTGCATAGGCTAAATGAGTCTTTAAGAAAAATGAATTACACACTTCAGATCTCTAGATATCTGCCGGATTGGGTGGTTTACATCGAGCTACGAGCGTTTCCATGAGCACAATTCACAATAATAATAATTGAGGGCAACGGTATTAGTCAATTTAGATATAGCCTTCGCGCTGGGTGCTTGACCAAAACGCGCGTAACGCGCGTGCTAGAAAGGGAAAAGACAGGAAAACGCGTGTATGACCACTAGATCGCGTGTACAGGCCTTAATTATTTGCGCTCAATAAAATCGAGTGTCTCCTGCTCATACTTTAAGCAAGATTAATCTCTTTTGTTGACAGGCTCCACCCTCGGAAGGAACTGGTCGCGCCATTGTAACATTACGAAGGTACACTAACCCCTCTCACCGCTTGAGCAATGGCAAATGCTGTGATCACCGATTTCTCAACTTTGGCCGATGCCGCCCATGTGATGCTTACTTCAAACTATGTGTGAGTCAGGCAGTTAGTGGGTCTTCTTCAAAAAGCTGTAATATTGGTAGAAGCCAGACCGGTGTGGTTGGTGACGATGACAACCATGTACTCAACATCAGAAGAGCGTTTTCTTTCGAATCTTTTAAGGTAAGTACACGTATAAAGCAAAACCATTTTATTCTTGTCATCTCTTCCGCGTCATCTAGTGCATAAGACCAACATTTCTTAACTTCACTAAAGTACAGATAAAAGCAACAAAGGGACAGTTTATTGGGCGTATTTGTACTTTTGGAAACACGTTAAACGACCAAGAGAAAAGTTATGATGCACCAGGCTTCATTCTCCAGACTGTTTCAAAAATAGATAACTTTTTCAAAGTAGAAGGCACTTTTCTAAATCAATATTCCTACGCCTGATATTTCAAAGGTTAGTACGCTTAAAAAAAAACTATTTTCATAAACTGGCATATTTCACCTAACAAGATGATGCAATTCTCGACAGGTGCTTGCACTGAACGGAATATTTTCCAGTGAAAAAGAACTTTTCATTACAAATCTGAACACATCTCAATATAATTAAAAGTCAATTTCATGAGGGCATACTTTTTTATTTCGCCCAACCAACTCCGTTCTCCTACACTTTTTTTCCGGACACAGGTAACCTGTTAATAAAAAGTTACCGAATCAGAGGAACAGCGACAGAACTGTATGGATATTAACAGTTATTTACTTTAGGCGAAGTGACTAATTTTGACCAGTCCCCGAGACAAAGCCGAGGGGATTATTCAACTACATATTCTTTGAGCCCGAGGCAAATAATTTTTTTAGTATTATTGCTTGGGTGCTTTCGAATTCTATTCTAAATATTCGTTTTGACGTTGAAACCATTCTGTTTTAATTGCTTTGATTACATGTATCGAGGTAACGAGCCATTATCACCTCCACGGTAACACTAACAAACCGCGAGGCACCTCGTGCGAGGTGATCATAGCGAGATATGACGCAATCCTCGACCAATCAGAGCGCGTGAATCTCTATAATCACTGGAGCAATTATACTGAATACGAATAGTCACAAAGCTGAGCTGAGTGATTGTATTATTTCTCAGGGAGCCATTACCGTTGGGGTGGAAGTCTGGGATAAGGACAGATTTACCAGAAATGATTACGTAGGCTGCCCGTCCATAACACTGTGGTCTGTCACTCCGGGGTTGTATTTGGATCCCTTAAGAAGAAGCTTGACGCTAAAGAGCAGATACGTCACCATGAAGCTCGACTTGGAGTTGTACTGCGACAAAGACTACTATGGTCCCAGTTGTAGCGTGAATTGTGTCCCGCGGGATGACTCGAGTGGACATTACACCTGCGATAACCTAGGAAACAAGATTTGTCTTCAACATTGGGAAGGGCCGTCTTGTAAAAGATGCGAGAGAAATTGGTTTGGTCCTCGCTGTTCTGCAAACTGTGTTCCTCAGGATAATGATTTTCAAGGACATTACAAGTAAGTCAGGAGACAGATGTGCTTATTAAAGTGGTCGGGAATTTAGGGGGTACGGTTTTAAAGGAACGGTGGTGCTACGTCGGTGGGAGAGCCAACGCTTTCCATTCAAATAATTTACTCTTACCTTTCTCGTTACTATGTTCCCACAAATAGCGTAGCTCCATTTTTTACAGATAAACTCACACACAACCCACAATTCCTCCATTCGCACTGACGAAGGGCTAACGCTCGGAACGTCAACTTAGAAACTCTTTACGGTGACTATTTTACGTAATCAACTCAGTTAATAAAACCAAATCATATAGTCGGAAATGAGACAGCTTGTGGCAAAATTTCGAAAAATAGAGCGAGGGAAAAATAAAGGAGAACAAAAACCTTTGCCGTTATACCCTCCCGGCCTCCCGCCCTCCCCGCCTTTTTGTTCTCCTCTTTTCGCTGAGAATCTATTTGTAATCGAGGCTGAGAAAGAAAGGAACATAGATGATGTAAATTTACAAAAGCAGCCTTCAGAAAGAATCCAATAGGAATTTGGGGAAGGATTTCTGCATCACAAGGAATTTTTCATATATTGGGGGCCCTATTGCTATCCTTTAATAATCACGTAAATTAGCTTTTATGTCTTTGACAACATGTATAAAAAAGAAAATAGTTTTTTCTCAAGAGGCAGGGGCACTAAAGAATATCATGAAAAAGATCTATGCAGTCAGGAGATGATCCCATGTAAATATTTTAGAGAAGTTGAAATTATAGATAAAACTTTTCCTTTCTTGAATCACAGATGCAGGCCGTTGGATGGTAAGAAAGAGTGCCTACCATCGTGGTTTGGTTCTGACTGTCGCACACAATGCATCTCTCGTGATGACGACGGCGGACATTACAGTTGTGCACAAGACGGAAGTAAAACGTGTCTGCCTGGGTGGTATGGCGAGAACTGCACAGTGTTCTGTGTTCCTCAAAATGATGAGAAACTCGGAAATTACACTTGTGACGATGAAGGCAATATGGTGTGCTTGGACGGCGTCAGTCGCCTCGACTCTAACTGCTCTTGGACTTGTTTGGTCAATGAAGCCCCAGTAACCTACAACTGTACAGAAGAAGGCTACAAAATCTGCCATCCTTCGTGGTTTGGGTCCGACTGTGCCACTTACTGCGAGCCCCACAACGATGAAAAGCACGGGTATTACACTTGCAACGTACGTGACGGAAGTAAAATGTGCTTGGACGGCTGGGAAGGACGTGACTGCCGTGAAAGAAGCGTGGAATCATTATTTACAATTGAGTAACGATGGGCTTTAGTGTCGACACTTTATAAACAGGACCTAGATGGACGAATGTTTACGGTTCCTTCGACAGAAAATAGTCAGTAATCACTGAATGATTATAGAAAATAGGACTAAATGGACACATCGAGCTCCGCTTTTCATTTTTTATGACTTGAACAATTTTTTTATAAGTTATAGCTCCTGCCAAGTACTGCAAACCAAGTAAAATTAAAATTCGCTTTTTATGATGAAAGTATTTGAAGCTGTCTTGTACATTACCATCAACGTCTAATTTAATATGCATCACCGCAACAGACTTGGGGTGACCAAAAGGGGAAATGTTTTGGTTTCGAAATTCAATGTTATGGTTTCTTGCCTTTTGAACCATGTTATTTGACCATCCCATAATTTTCTTTTAAGTCATTCATTTCTAGGTACTGTCTATACAACACACTGAAACTCCTTCAAATCAAATCGACAGTTATGAATTATCATTAATAGCAGATACATGCGCTTTTATTTTCATTTCAAGAAAGATTTAATGGCATGGTACAAATGCTTCGTTATCTTTTAAATACAGCTGCTTTTAACTTTCTTGTTTTGAACGTACCCTGCTCGAAAAATATGAAAAAAGGGTATTTAATGCTACAACATGATCTACCAGTGTTAGTTCGTTAGTTAGAACTATCAAGTCGAGTAAGACGTTCTCGCAAAAACATTGAATTTCGTAGTTCATCGTTTGACTTTTAGCGAAGCTAAAATTGAACCCCGAAAAAAAAAGTTTTACGGTCGCAATCGTCATGGGAACAATTGTCCATTCAGGAAAAGAACTGAGAGATTACGTGTTAACAGTAGGTTTGGTTTTGACCAGTATGCATTACGCGCGGCGTTGGTCTTTGGCGGTCATTAACTCGATGCCAATTATTCCTCAAGCTTCGGGAAAACAATACAAGCCTCGCTCTCTCAAGAGCCTCCAGTTTACAGAAATTCGAATATTTCTTTCCTTTAAAAACTTCTGTACCTCTGGAACTTTCATATTTGTGAAGAAGGCATCATGCGCCAACTCCTTGTCCCCTGAGCCTCGACTTAATGCAATTAGTTAATTAGTTACCAGACTTTTTAAATGAATCTTATTTGCCAGAGCAACGGGGGCTTCTTTCCGTTTCACTTCCTTGTTAAAAAATGGAGAGCGACCAGGTAAAGGTCCTGAAGGAAAAAGCCAAGGAAGCGATCGATATCTATTCTCCTGAATTATATGAACTGAACAAAAGTGTATGGGAAAACCCAGAGCTTGGTCTTCAGGAGAGATTTGCTCACGATCAGCTGACAGAATTCTTGGCGGATCAAGGCTTCGATGTAATTCCTCATTACACTTTGGATACGGCTTTTCGGGCGGAATGCGGAGAGGATGGAGGTCTTACAATTGGACTGATTAGTGAATATGATGCTTTACCGGAAGTAGGACACGCTTGTGGACATAACCTGATTGCTGAATCGGGAGTAGCGACGGCTTTAGGCATGTTTATGTTGTTCATTTGCTTGACAAACTTCTACCTGCCTAATAAAGCGATCCATATTTATCGGGCACGTATCAACCTGTTTTCTCGTCTATTATCTATACTAGCCTACACTATGTAATGCATTACGTATACATTTTAAAACAGTCTCACATTGCTATATAAAAACATCACTTAAAAGAGTAAATTATGTTTCCAAATGCGTCATGGGGATTCGGATGTCTTTTACGCTGAGATCAACACGGGGGGTCTAGAAACTGAAATATAATCTCTAAAAGCTGATGGAACTGCCTAGAGTTCAATTTGAAATTAAAGAAATATTGTGTATGCAATAGCTGCTATGCTGTGCAGACTAGATAATTCCTAAATATAGATAAAGTGAGACATCTGGCATGAGCAAACATTCCCTCAATGATGTTTTATATTGGTCCTAAATTGTTCATCCAGTTTGAAACTCCTTGAACTGGTTTTATTTCTTAGGTCTCAAGATTGCTTTGAATGCCATTAATCAGAGACCCAAAGTCAAAATAGTTCTCCTTGGAACTCCTGCTGAGGAAACAACAGGTGGCAAGATTTCAATGATCAAGAATGGTTGCTTCAAAGATCTTGACTTTTGTATGATGGTTCACCCAAGTTCAGTAGATGTTCTCAAACCAGTCATTTTAGCTAGTGAAAGTGCTACAATCACCTACAAAGGTCATGCTGCTCATGCTGCCGCATTCCCCTGGGAAGGAATTAATGCCCTTGATGCCGCAGTCATGGCTTACACAAGCATAAGTGCACTAAGACAGCAGATGAAGCCCACATGGCATGTTAACCTTATCATTTCCAAGGGTGGTGTTAAGCCAAACATCATTCCTGACCGTGCTCAGCTACAGTGTTACATTCGAGCTATGACTGACAGCAACCTTGAAGTGTTAAAAGAAAAGGTGAAGAATTGTTTTGAAGCAGCTGCATCAGCCACAGGTAAGTAACCTAAAAAAACAAATTATGGCAGACTTGTTCTCAGTCCTCTGTTTCATTTTCTATATACTATGTGTCTTTTTCAAGAAGTAAAAGGGCACACCTGGGTAGGAGCCTAACTTTCTAAAGGCTAAGTGACTGAGACCAGTTTGGAGAAATTTGGAGAAACAAATTTACTTCCTCAAGGATCTTGCCCACTCCCTCCAAATTTGTTTTGGCACATCTTGTTTTTGTCTTTCCCCCAAATGTAAACAGGGGTTTCAATATTTTTTTTCATTAACATGTACAAATTGTGTATTTGGTGGCCATGCCTGAGAAGAGGTTATGAGGCAAAACTCATGTACAAGAGACTGCTCGCTGGCTAAACAGATGGTGATAAGAGGTGTTTTAGGTGTCGTTAGACTGCCAGTAATGGACTCTTATTGAAACACCTGGCTTAAAACTAGAATACAATCACACTGAAACAAACAACACAATTGTTTCATTGATAGAGAACATAAATCAATTTTTCTCTTTGACGACAAATTTCCAAAAAGAGAAGGAAGTTTGGTCTGTGCCAGGGAGAATCTTGTATTAAGAAGGTGAGCTAGCATAGGATGCACCCTAATGTTTAAAATTTGCTCTTTTCCAACAGGCTGCAAAGTCTCCATGGAGTGGGAAACAGCCACTAGATATTCACATCTGGAAACCAACAACACCCTTGCTGAACTGTACCAAGCCAATGCTGAGTCCTTAGGAGTATCATTTCCACCTGAGGCAAAGTTCTCAGCATCCACTGATATGGGAAATGTTTCACATTTAGTTCCTTCTATCCATCCCATGTATTCTATTGGCACAACTGCACCCAATCATTCTCATGCATTCACAACAGCAGCAGCAACAGAGGAAGCTCATGAGAAAACTTTGATTGCCAGCAAGGCAATGGCCATGACAGCTATCGATGTATTGTGTAAACAAGATTTCATGGGTAAAGTGAGGATTGACTTTAAACAACCAAATGAGGGTGAAAATTAACTGTCATGGATGGAAAAGTGAGGACAAGTTGCCAAAAGTCATTAGGGACAGTTTCTGCAAAATTACTCCTAAAGATATATCTGTGAGTTCAGTGTGTAATTGACAAATCTTAGATTGATACAACATGTATATGAAACAATGGTTTGATGAAACTTTCAAATGCACACTGAAGTTCAATTTGACAGATGTGCTTGATGTGTTTGGTAAGGAAAGAATAAATCATAACAGATATGAGCAAAAAGTGACAATGGAAAGAATTAAAGCAAAGAGACAAATTTTCAAATGTTTTTTGCAGTGATGATAGAAGTTGAGCTTCACGGTATTTAAATGAGTGATTGATATGCAAGAATTTAATGCAAAGTAAACTTGTTTCATGCAGGAAAGTAAAAATATTTTTCAATCAGGATCATAGTAACACATGAAAAAGCACACACAGCTTTAAGTGTACCTCATCACTGGTGCAAATATTTAAGGCGCTTTTAAATACTAAGATCACCAAAGAGTTGACACTTTTAATCCCCTTTCTATCTCCCTTTTCTCCTTTATCTTTGAACTCCTTAAGGGTAATAAGCTTTTAATCTCTCCCAAAAGTATCACCCCTGAATCAAACATTAAGTCATGAGATTAAAATTCCTCTGACACAAATTTTTTTCTGTATTTTCTGGCTAGTAGCTGTATTTGAAATTAGAAATAACTGACTTTAACTCCTAGTGAGTTCTCCTTAACCATTTTTTTGTGCAATGAAAGTACAATTTGGCAGCCAAAAAGTGTCCCCATTGCACAATTCCATACCATGCAGGGACCTGGCACTACCAGATTCTCACAGACCTTTTAAAAATTCCAGCTTCAAGATGATGGACAGTCAGGGAAACCACGAATCAAAGCATGTCCCTTACGAAGAAAATTTGCTGATATTAACTCAGATAATCTGCCAAAGCTAAGCAAAGAAAAGCTGCAATCTTTCTATATTGCCCTTGAACTAAAAGTATCCAGCAAGAAGAAAGAGCTTGTTCAACAAACAAGCAAGTGGTAACCTAAATGATTACCACATACAATGAAGTTAACATTTTAATATGCACTTTTTCTTTATTTCAGATGAAGGGGTTCACCTAGTCCAGTGCCACTTGCAAATGGAATGCACAGAAGCATCATTAAATTGCTTGATGCCCTATGTTCCAGAAAGGAAAGCTGCATCTTACTTTCCTGTTGATAAAGATCATGTTTTGAATGAAATCATGCTTGGGTTGTTAGTACATATGTATGAAAAGAAGCCCATGTCAGAGCCTTGGGCATATTTTGAACATCAAAGCCTTGTGCAACTGGGAAAAACACTTGAAGACAGAGTGCTTAATTATGAAAATACACAACAATTTTTAACTTGGGTTAACTCTCAAGCAAAGTTAATTAGGCCTGTAAGTTTTTAAAAACATAACTAGTGTGCCTCTCCTATGATGACTGATCCCTCGCAGACTTTGGTCAGGAAAAATCTAAATTTCACATCCAAGGTAGAATAGTGCATAGCTGAACCCACTGTTACAGTAATATCTGTTAAATGTTTACATTGAAATCAGCAATGTCAGGAAATATCTGGACCCCTGCATTGTTTGGATTGACAACAAAATTCTGAAGAGATGGGTTTTTCTGCAAGGATTTTCTAATTTTTGGGAATATTAAATAAAACACATTTTCCATATCAAGGGTAAGGATATTTCTTGGAATTGCTCAATTAGAAACAAATACACAAAGTAAATTTTTAGCTTTCTAGCTATAGTAAATAAGAAGCTGGACAGGTTGTATCAAGTTCATCACTGTTTACAGCCCCTAAAAAAAGTTATTTAATGGACCTATATGAAAAATGAAAGTGGTACAGTTGAATCACAAGACACTACCCTTGACTTAGATTTCATTGTGTCTTTTGCACAGATGGGATCAAACAGCATGTTTACAATATTAGCCTGCACTTTGTATACACATTAAAGAAGGTCAACCCTATTCTTGGGCCAGCAAGCATTCAAAATTGACCAATCCCTATGCATCCAATGTAATTTTTAGTGTATATTTGTAGAGTGGCCATATCAAAGTTCTTTGCTATATCAGTCTCTTCATACTGTGCTTCAAATTTCATTGGAGGGCAATTGTGACACAAGCCTTTACCATGACACAAGTCTTCGACACCAAGCCCTTTATCTGTAAGCACTGTAGCACCTATGTCTTGTATCATATCCAGCACTCCACAGTCTGCAGTTAAGTCATTATCAGTGACTGACCCTGCAGTGCACAAGACTGCCAAAAGGTGTCATCCAAATTCCTGTTTTGCCAATGTCATGGTCCTTGTATGTGCTAAATGTTGCATTGTTGACGTCAAAGTTTTCTGGTTATGTAATCCAGTTCTCTGTGCAGTCTCCCAAAATAACTCTGCCCTGGTAACCAGCTGCATAAACATCTAGAGGTAAAAGGGAAAGCAACTCTCCAGGACAAGGACTCAGGTCTAACCGATCAAACGGAGTTGAAAGAAAAACAGCCAGTGCGGTAAAGATTCTAGCTTGAGTTGAAACACTGGTGCCTGTCATGTATCCAACAGTACCAAAGTGAAGTATATGTCTGCATACTGTCATAAAGCGCACCACCCAAGTTCTTTTTTTCAACTTTGCACACTTTTCAACTTTGCAACTTTGCAAGTTGCACACTCTATTTTGCTGACTGTGGTGATTTTGTTTGGTACATTTCGCTCAGCAAACTCAGGAGCACAAGGCAAATCTGAAAGATCATTTTAGTTCTCGCGTTCCCCTTTGCTCCGGTGAGGAGAGAGAAATGAAATCCCGTTCGAAGTCAATTCCTTTGTTTTTCAGAATTTTGTAATACTCACGCCGTTTCTCGGAGCAGTCTGCAATTTCTTTAGTCTGTAATACTTCAAGTCCTTGTTTTAAGTGCGTCAGGAATTAGTGCAGAGCGTAGCAGCACAATGCAAGTGCTCTTGCTTGACTTTTTGAAACTCTTGGCTTCCTGACTGGGTAAACTTGATGCTTGGTGAGTCCTCACAGTTCAGTCTTTTGGCACACGACCAGTGCTTTGAGCAGATCATGCATCTTCAAATTTACACCCTTTCTGCTTTCCCAGCATTTCTAAATAAGCATTCTTTACCGTCTTCGGTGCAGAATCCAGTTTGGTTAGAATGAAGTACACTGAATTTGGAGTTTACCAAGACTTTTTGCCGAATTTACAAGCACAAGACCAGTGCCAACCTGCACGGGTAGGCTTTCCATTTTTCCCGCCATCTTGATATTTGGATTGAGGGAAAACTGTGCAAAAATGCGTTAGTGCCAGGTCCCCGGGCGGTGTGAAGTTTTGTAATGGCAGCTTCCTAGCCAGAGCGTGAACGTGCTTTTCCATTCCACTCTCTTGTCAAAAAATGGCGAGCGACCAGGTAAAGGTCCTGAAGGAAAAAGCCAAAGAAGCGATCGATATCTATTCTCCTGAATTATATGAATTGAACAAAATTGTTTGGGAAAACCCAGAGCTTGGTTTTCAGGAGAGATCAGCTCACGATCAGCTGACAGAGTTCTTGGCGAATCAAGGCTTCGATGTAACTCCTCACTACACTTTGGATACGGCTTTTCGGGCGGAATGCGGAGAGGATGGAGGTCTTACAATTGGACTGATTAGCGAATATGATGCTTTACCGGAAGTAGGACACGCTTGTGGACATAATCTGATCGCTGAATCGGGAGTAGCGGCGGCTTTAGGTATACATACATACATACATACTTTATTTATTCCAGAAGCAGATGATAACTATTATATACAAATAAAACTAAAAAGAAAATACTTCTAGAAAAGGAAGTTAAGAGGTTATCCCTGTGTAAAAACTCCCTTAAAAGAAAAGACAAAATATAAATCAAAATCATTACAATCAAATATTTAAGTACGATTTAAGTTTAGATTTAAAATGCTGAAAGCTGTCAGCTTCCACTATATCACCCGGTAACTCGTTCCATAATTTGACAATCCTAATAAAAAAGAATTTTTGTAACAATTAAGTCTAGCTGGTTTAATATAGAGTTTGTATTGATGATTTGCTCTCGTAGACCGAATCGTGGCAATATCAAAGAAGTCTTCAAAATTTAAATGATAAAAACCAAAAACTATCTTATAACATTCGACTAAAGATAAGTAAGTTCTACGGTCAGAGAGTGGGCCATTTTAACAGTTTGCATCGGTCTTCATAGGACATTTCTCCTTTGCGTTGATTTAAAGCGAGTCTTGAGGCTCTTCGCTGTACATTTTCAAGGGCATGGATGTCCTTAACAAGGTAAGGACACCAAACAGGTACCGCATATTCCAAGATTGGCCGTACCAGAGACATGTACAGCATAGAAAAACATTTTGTTAGCGGTGCCTACTGAGCGTTTAATGGAACCTAAAACTTTGTTCGCTTTATTGACAGTGATACTTATGTGATGGCCCCATGAAAGATCTCTAGTTAGTGTGACACCGAGATCTTTAAAATTAGTCACGTCTTTCAGGGGCTTTTCTAAGAAATAATTAGTTACCGACTTATCGCGTAAATGCGTGATTCGCATAGATTCGCATTTGTCTGCGTTGAAACGTAGCTGCCACTTACGAGCCCATGCGCTAAGATTATTAAGATCATCCTGAAGAAGCTGACTATCTTTTATAGGGTCAATTATCTCTCTGTAGATCTTCGTGTCGTCTGCATATAATTTTACTGTAGATGATAAGAATTCAGATATGTCATTAATATACAATAAAAACAATAGGGGCCTGAGAATGGTTCCCTGTGGAGTTCCGGAGGTAACGCACGACCAATCAGAATAAGATCCCCTAACGACTACACGTTGTTTGCGCCCCACCAAAAATGTCTCAGCCAGTTGAGTAAACATTCGTCGATGCCGCTACATTTCAATTTTAAAAGCAGTCGCTCATGAGGAACGCTGTCGAAGGCTTTGGCAAGATCCAGAAAAACAACATCGGTAGGAGTGGATGAATTACGGGATTTCGCCCAGTCATTAAACGTTGATAACATTTGAGTTGTAGTAGATCTTCCTCGTAAAAGCCAAATTGGTTGCTATTGATAAAGTCGATTTCGCGCCAGAACTTAATCATCCTATCAAAAACAATTTTTTCACAGATCTTACAAGCAATTGAAGTAAGGGAAATTGGGCGGTAATTTTCTCTCGAAGATTTGGAACCCTTCTTATGTAGAGGAGTAATGTCGGCATGTTTCCATTCCTCAGGCAAAAGGCCAAGAGACAACGATTTGTTTATCATATACGTTAACGAAGGTGCTAATTCGAAGCACACGACTTAAAAATGCACGGCGCGATATGGTCAGGCCCAGGAGACTTGTTGGGCTTGAGTTTCAGAAGATGGCGTTTGACCTCATTGACAGAACAATCAATTTTCGCAAGTTTCTTGTCAACAGTGCAGTCTTGAGTGGGAAAATTTGCATAATCTTCGGTAGTAAACACCGAAGAGAAATATGAGTTCATACTCTGAGCAATACTGAAGTCGTCAGTCAGAGCACATCCATCGACGCTTATAGAGATGAGATTATTAGTGCCTCTTCTCTTGGACTTAACAAAATTCCAGAAAGGTTTCGGGTTTTCATTTTCCTGTAGATCAAGTGCAAGTTTCTTTATATACGACCATCTAGCTGTGTTACAAAGTCTCTTAACAGAATTGTTGAGTTGCCGATATTTTTCCCAAATAGTTGAATTGTTTTTTCTGCGAGCTCTATTATACAATAATTTCTTCTTTTTGCACAAAACAATAAGTTCCTGTGTAATCCAGGGGGCACTGGATCTCTTTTTATTCTTGCGTTTGGGAATGCACTCATCCACTGCTGTAAATAACAAGTCTTTCCAGCAAGCCCAATTATGATTAATATCGCTGTCGAAGAAGGCGCAATGCCATGGAATATAAGATAACAGCGATCTTAAGTGATCCCAGTCGGCTTTACCATAGCAATACAACAACTTCTGTGATTTACGCTGGACGTAAGGTATACCAGATAACGAGAAGGAGATAGAATTGTGATCTGAAAAGGGTTCTCCAACAACCAAATGGTTTACGAGGTCGGGCGAAGTAGTGAGAACTAAGTCTAGGATGTTCGAGTCTCTGGTAGGTTCATTTATCAACTGTGTCAAAAAATTGTCTTGGACGATGTCCATCATGAGTGTGTAAATATCAGATTGACGCAAGAATCTGTTATTCAACCAATCAATCTCCGGAAGATTGAAATCGCCAACAAGAATCAACTCGTTCGTCGAAAACTCTTGCAAAACAGCTTGTAAGTCCTCTAAAGGCTTAGGATCGTTATTGGGAGGACGATAGAAAACTCCCAAAGTGACTTTGCGATTGTATGAGAAAAGAAGATCGACGAAGATGAACTCTGAATCGTTCTGTGTAGTATCACGGGGAACCGCTTTGATGTGTTCTCGCGTAGCAATCAATACCCCGCCTCCATGACGTCCATTGAGCTTTCGGTCCCGCCTAAATACCGAGTAGTTACTAGGAAAGATTTCACCGTCAGGGATGGAGCTGTCCAGATGAGTTTCAGTTAAAACAATTATATCATAGCCCAGAGCGGCAATGGCTAAATCCAATTTGCTTGATTTGTTGACGATGCTTCGTGCATTAGCATAAAAGGTTAGAAGACGAGAGGACTTTTGCTGTTCCGTAAAATTGTGCCGCTCGGCTCCATTTGGACCAGGATTTGGGTTTACGTCGCCGCTCAACTGGAGAAGAATAGTTTGGTAACTTGCAACAGAGTTAGGATAATAACTGATTCTTGACGAAGAAAAACCTCTTCGAAGGATTGGCAAAACAATATGTCGCCTAGTCCAGGACGCTGTGAAGATATTTAAGTTCATTGAAACTACAAAATCATCTTGTAGAACCAAGAAGAAATCGTCAGCTAAACGCGGGAACATTTGAGATTGGCCCTGATCAGTCGTTTTTCCGCGATATAGAAGAATTAAACTGAGAATAAAACAAAGAAAACCGGAGAATCGAAATGAGTGACCGTCAGCCATGACGCCTCGCCTCTCTCTCTCCTCTCTCATACCATAAAGGTATGTTTATGTTGTCATTTGCTTGACGAACTTCTACCTGCCCAATAAAGCGATCCATATTTATGGGGCGCGTATTAACCTATTTTCTCGTTTATTTTCTCAATTAGTTCAATTCGAAACTGAACCGAGCAAGGGAACATAATGAGGCTCAAAGAAATTTGTCGGGTTTAGTGCGCAGGAGTCAGCTTAGAGATACCAAAACTGGGATGAATGTGGCACAATAGAACTAGATCGGAGTTCTTCCTTGAGTAATTCCCTAGTCTGCAAAGTATGGTAGGACTTGACTATGCTGTAGTTATATTAGTGTGCAATCCAGCGATTCTAGCGTCCAAAGTGGATGTTTAAAAGAATTTGTGTATACACCTTGCTGCCATACTCTGCAGACTGGATAATTCCTAAATATAGATAAAGTGAGATATCTGGCGTGTGCAAACATTCCCTCAATGATATTTTCTATTGATCCTAAATTGTTCATCCAGTTTGAAACTCCTTGAATTGTTTTTAATTCTTAGGTCTCAAGATTGCTTTGAATGCCATTAATCAGAGACCCAAAGTCAAAATAGTTCTCCTTGGAACTCCTGCTGAGGAAGCAAAAGGTGGCAAGATTTTAATGATCAAGAATGGTTGCTTCAAAGATCTTGACTTTTGTATGATGGTTCACCCTAGCCCGGTGGATGTTCTCAAACCAGTGATTTTAGCTCGTGAAAGTGCTACAATTACCTACAAAGGTCATGCTGCTCATGCTGCCGCATTCCCTTGGGAAGGAATTAATGCCCTTGATGCAGCAGTCATGGCTTACACAAGCATAAGTGCACTAAGACAGCAGATGAAACCCACATGGCGTGTCCACCTTATTATTTCTGAGGGGGGTGTTAAGCCAAACATCATTCCTGACCGAGCTCAGCTCCGATGTTCTGTTCGAACTATGAATGACAGTGACCTTGAAGTGTTAAAAGAAAAGGTGAAGAATTGTTTTGAAGCAGCCGCATCAGCCACAGGTAAGTAACTTAAGCAAACAAATCATGGTAGAGTTGTTCCTAGTACTCTGTTTGTTTTTCTATATACTATGTTTTTTTAAGAAGTATGAGGGCACACCTGGGTAGGAACCCATTTTTCTAAAGGCTAAGTGACTGAGACCTGTATGGAGAAATCTGGAGAAACAAATTTACTTCCTCAAGGATCTTAGCCTCTCCCTCCAAATTTCTTTTGGAAAATCCTGTTTGGTCTTTCCCCCAAACTTAAACAGGGGTTTCAATAACTTTTTTCATAAGCATGCCCAGATTGTGTATTAGGTGGCCACACCTGAAAAGGATCATGAGGCTAAACCCATGTACAAGAGCCTGCTCGCTGGCTAAACAGATGGTGATAAGAGGTCTTTTAGGTGTCATTAGACTGCCAGTGATGGACCTCTATTGAAACTCCTGGCTTAAACAAGAATACAATCACAATGGATCAAACAACCCAATTTTTTTTTCCAAAAAGAGAAGGAAGTTTGGTCTGTGCCAGGAAGAATCTTGTATTAAGAAGGTGAGTTAGCATAGGATGCACCCTAATGTTTAAAATTTGTTCTTTTCCAACAGGCTGCAAAGTTTCCATGGAATGGGAAACAGCCACTAAATATTCACATCTGGAAACCAACAACACCCTTGCTGAACTGTACCAAGCCAATGCTGAGTCCTTAGGAGTATCATTTCCACCTGAGGCAAAGTTCTCAGCATCCACTGATATGGGAAATGTTTCACATGTAGTTCCTTCTATCCATCCCATGTATTCTATTGGCACAACTGCACCCAATCATTCTCATGCATTCACAACAGCAGCAGCAACAGAGGAAGCTCATGAGAAAACTTTGATTGCCAGCAAGGCAATGGCCATGACAGCTATTGATGTATTGTGTAAACAAGATTTCATGGGTAAAGTGAGGATTGACTTTAAACAACCAAATGAGGGTGAAAATTAACTGTCATCGATGGAAAAGTGGATATAAGTCAGTAAAGGTCATTAGAGACAGTCTGTGCAAAATTACTTTTCAGTATATATATTCTAGGGTAAATAATTGACTGTGAGTTCAGTGTGGAATTGACAAATTGTTGATTGATGCAACATGTATATAAAACTATGGTTTGATGAAATTTTCAAATACACACTGAATTTTGATGTGACTGATGTGCTTGATGTGGTTTGATAAGGAAAGAATAAATAATGACAGATATGGGCAAAAAGTGACAATAGAAATAATTAAAGCAAAGAGAAAGTTTTCAAATATTTCTATGTGGTGATGATAGAAAATTTTGGACTTGAGTGGAGTTGACCTTTGCTGTATTTAAAAGAGTGATTTATGTGCTATAATTTGATGCAGAGTAAATTTGTTAGATGTGGGTGAGTAGGAATATTTTTCAATCGAGTTCACTGTAACACATGAATGTGCTCTCACACCTTTGACATCCACAAAGTGTACACAGTATTTCAGTACTGAAACAGAGGGTGCACATACAACAGGCAACACATATAAGGTCAAGGTTGGCAGGAATTAACTGTTTGAGGGAAAGCCGTGGTGAGGGAAAAGTTTCAAGTTGCCAAGATCACATCAGCCATTTCATCATTTTTCATGTCAGAATCCAAAAACTGGCTTTGTGTTTTCTGCTGCTTACAAAGAATAGAATTAAGATTCACAGGATATAATTTTTGAAGTATTTTTCTTAAAACATGCTGTGAAATCTCATCCTCTCAGTGAGACTTGTATTTAAAAGCCTTATGAAAGCAGCTTTAAACGTACCTCATCACTAGTGCTAATATTTAAGGTGCTTTAAAATACAAAGATAACTGTAGAGTTGTCATTTAAGACTCAGACACAGAGAAGTACTCTCATTCATTTTATGTGTAATCCTCCTTTATTCTGCATAATCCCTTTTTTTATTCCGTACAATTTTACCTATACTCAGGAATAGTAGTTTTGCACCATGCAGCAGTTTTGCAATGCTATTACAGTAGCTATAGTTCAGCATGTGACATGATGCTGTTGTTATGGAAATCAGTACACTACAATCATCTCTCTCTGTTCTCCTTTATCCTCCAACTCCTAAGAGTAATAAGAATCTAATTTCTCACAACAGTATCACCCCTGAATCAAACATTAAGCCACTAGGTTAAAGGAAATAATTGCAAACTCAAAAAGCTCTCAATTTTCAGACAAATTCTTTGTGTGAGTACTGTTGGGAATGTATAGGAAACAGTGTGGAGAATTTGCTTACTGATCTTGAGGTTACTCGAAAAAAGGCTTACTCAAAATTTAATTCAAAACTCCAGATAGATCAATCATTCCATCAAAAGAAAAAAAAAAGTTTGAGAAGAAATTGCTGTTGATAGAGCCTTCATGTGATTAAAGAGGATCTGTAAAACGCCAAGTTGTATAATGTATGATTTGGTAAATCAAAGTTTGATTACCTGAAAGTTATGGTAGTTCATTTGGAACAAGGATGGCTATGTATTAAAACCAAAAAGAATCTAAATTAATGCTCAAATGCCAGCTACCTTCATTGAGTAGGAGTTGAATCGTTAGAATTTAATCCTCCACTGCAAAATTCAATCAATCAAATACAAGATTTTTTATTCTGTACAAATAACTTGTTTATCCAGTTCTAAGCTGGTTTGTTAAAGTTGCAAAAATTGTTTTTGATTTTCCAGCAATTTTAATTATTTACTGGTAATGATTCTTGAAATCGGATTGGCTGTTGTGTTTTAGTGATAAAAGCTCCTGACCAATAATGACTGCAAAAAAGATGCAATTTATTGAAAAAAAATGGTGTAATTTGTAAACAAAATTGCACTAATCAGATTGCATGGATCATAATTTATTTATCATAAACCTACATGGCGTCTTCATGGCATTATCAGTGAGGGAGGTGTCAAACCCAACATCATTCCTGATCGTGCCCAGCTTCGTTATGCAATTAGAGCTGAGACTAATGAAGAACTTGAAGTATTGAAGGAAAAAGTGGTAAGCTGTTTCCAAGCAGCAGCTAAAGCAACTGGTTAGTAACTTTAATAGGAAAATAATTCATGTTTATAGACTCATTTTGTTTACTTCTGCTGCCCCTGTGGTTTTGCCTAAGTGGTGATTTTGTTATTTTTCTATTTTCAAGGGTGCGAGGTATCTGTGGAATGGGAACCAAGACCTTATTCCAGTTTAGACACAAACAACACACTTGTAGACCTCTATCAAGCTAATGTTGAGACCTTAGGAGTAACTTTCAATCCTTTTGAGGAATATGGCAAGGGCTCAACAGATATGGGCAATGTCTCCCAAGTAGTTCCATCATTTCATGTGATTTACAGTATTGCTACCAACACTGTGAACCATTCCCATGAATTTACAGCGGCAGCAATTACAGAGATTGCCCATAATAAAACATTGATTGCAAGTAAGGGGATGGCCATGACTGCTATTGATGTTCTTTGCAATCCTGAGTTTTTGCAGAAAATAAAGAAGGACTTTAAAAAAACACACCCATCAATGTAACTAATGAATGTTAATTCTTAAGGAGAAATACAATTAAAGCTGCAGAGAGGAAAACAATAATTTTTGTACCTTACCCAGAGATGAAATTGCCTGAAAAAATTGAGCTTTTGGAATTCTGTGGAGATGACCATGTTCATTTCCATCTGTTGTTTTAAGTGGATATCATGGCCGTTTGTCTGCCTGGGCCATTTTCTCATCATTTTGATCCCTTAGAAGGGAAAACCAGCATCTGATTTCTTCTTACAATGTTACCCTCAAATTACACAGCACTGTCATGAGAATAAAGGAAATGATCACCAACTAAAGAAGCTCTTGATTTGAAAACAAATTCTCCTCATTGACACCTTGGGAAATGTATAGAGAACAATAGGTAGAATATGCATACTGATGTTGAGGTGCAAAGGGTTAATACCCTGGTTAACTTCTAAACTTATCTAATATCTTCTGTATTCATGAATTCCGTAATAACACTTTAACTCCCAAGATCTGATTGTTAATTCTCCCCTGTAGCTGCTACACATCTCCTTGTAAACTAGTTATGTGAATTTGATGTTACAGGTAGATCAACATAGCAATTTCTACTTGACAAGTTTGAGTGTTTTCATCATCTGTTTGCTAGATAATGTATAGGTGTTACAGGGAGTAGTTATATGTTAATCACTCTGGGAGTCAAAGGGTTTATTTAACAAAACAACCAAGATGTTGCCATGGACCTCCTGCCAATGATGATGCATTAAGGATAAAGTTACCTTACTAGACATTGAAGTTTCTCAATATTTTTGGTGTTCATAAACACCAAGTGTGATGCTTCTTCTCATGCAGAAACACCCTCCCACTCCTGTTTTATCCCTTTTCGAGCTTTTCATGCTTTTCATTTTCATTTTTTTTCCCACTAAGCAAGAGGAGAACTTTCTCTCCATGCTCACGGATACTCCTTTTCTCTTCGGGTCGAGGGTGTCACAGCGACTACTGAGAAAATTATAGTTTGGATTATGTCATTAAGTTTAGGATATTTACTGGAAAATTTTAATGGGGCAAACCCTAATCATAAGTTAGAGCTTTGCACAATTTTTTTCCAGATTTAACAAAAGTAGCCCTTCCAAAATGAACACTCCATTGTAATTAGCCATTTAGGTTTGTGGGGTATGTGAAGAGGTGGCACACAAAACACGTTTTAACTTCTTTTAAATCGTAGAAAAATTCTTTGGCGATCTTTTTAACTCTGACAGATCATAGCAATACATACATACGTACACATACTTTATTTATGCTCGAAATTCACAGTGTAGCTGTAGAGCTAATATCTTTGAATGAGGTCCTCACAGTCTAACCTTTACAATGGGAAGATGTGTATAAGATCACAGTTCTAGTGTGAATCAATGTTTTGATTCCATTGCAAACTCTTGCTGCACTCTAATTCCATGACATGATTGGCAAGAAAGATAATTGATTAACTCTCTGGTAGGTGCAAACAAACCTTGATGCTATAATCTGATTGGCGTAAGCAAAATGCCACTCAATAAGCTAACACAGAGTTACTTTTATTTATATTTAAAAACAACAACAACAACAGCAAAACTTAAGAACCTCTTATTTTCCATGCTGTTTACATTTGTTGCCTTATTTGTTTAACCCTTGATAGTCTAACATCACTGCATTATCTACACATATTATACACTGTTTGACAATCAAGAGCTTTTAAATTTCTAGAGCATTTCCCCCCCTTATTCTCCTGACATTAATGTTATATTTAGGTGTGGTACAGCGAGAAATTCTCTAGATGCCAGTAATTCTTATGGTTTAAGGGGTTAAATCTTTGTAAACTTGAAAGGTGATTTCGCTCATATCTCGGTTACTGCGTACCACTTACATGTCCTCATACTTTAATTTTATTTTCCTGACTAAAGAAAAGTAGGACCTTCTGGGTCAGTGGACGTTGAAATGGCTCTACAGAGTCGAAATTGTAACAAAGAAGATAGAGTATGCAAGTCGAAGGTATTCATGTAGTTATTGATGAATGAAACTGTGGGATCGCGAAAGTTCGCCGTCACAGACTAGGATGTAGGCATAGAAGTAAAACGTCGTAAATAAGAAGTCCAAAACCAGACGACAGAAAATTATAGGTCAATGGTTGGAAATAAACTCCGAACTCCGAAATCGAATGTCCGAAAGTCGAAAACGGAAATCTGAAGTCCGAAGCCAAAAGTCGAAAACTTAAAATTCGATAGTAGGAGAAACAAACTGCGAACTCCGAAATCGAATTTCCGAAGTCGGGAATTAAAAAGTCCGAGACGGAAGTCGGAAACTTAAAAGTTGATAGTCGGAAATGAAACGTTGGAAGTGAAATCGAATTTCTATGATCCAGAGTTTGAAATCAGGGGTCAGAATTACAGATGCAGCATTAATCTGTTGGCCGGTTACAAAACCAATAACAATTTAGTTCATTACACCGTTAAACATCTCATGATTAAAGGATCATTAAGTCATGAAACCAGAAGTCAATAAGAGTCCATTCAAGAAGTTCTCAAATGATTGCTCGAGGTTGAGTATTGTATGTTCTTAGTTTATGTTTGATTTGTTTTAATTATCCCTTTTTTATTTTTTTACTAACTGTCCTTATTTACTTCTTTACTTAAAAGTTTTAGAGTGATTTATCTATCCTCTATTTTTCTGGGCAAACTTAAACATTTCAATACTTATAATTTTTACTTTTAGACGATCACATAATACAAATATAATAAGACACTAAAGGTTTAAAAACGTCTTCCCTGCTGATGATCAAATCATACATGAATAATGCAACGATTGCTCTGCTTCCTTGTTGATAACCGTGACATCATGAGGAATAGACAGCACAACTTTTAAACTGCTTCCTTTTTGACAAACACATGATGCATTAACACCACAACTTTTAAACTGCTTCCTTGTTAACAAACGCATGATGCAGAAACTGTAACTTTCAAACTGCTTCCTCGTTGACAAATACATGACGCATTGACACCACAACGATTAAACTGCTTCCTTGTTAACAAACGCATGATGCAGAAACTGCAACTTTCAAAATGCTTCTTTGTTGACAAAACTGCAACTTTCAAACTGCTTCCTTGTTAAAAAACACATGATGCATTGACACCACAACTTTTAAACTGCGTCCTTGTTAACAAACACATGATAACTGCAACTTTTAAACTGCTTCCCTGTTAACAAACACAGGATGCATTGATACTGCAACATTTAAACTGCTTCCTTGTTAACAAACACATGATGCATTGACACCATATGCACAACTTATAAACTGCCTGCTTGTCGACAAACACGATGCATCGACACCACAACTTTTAAACTGCTTCCTTGTGAACAAACACATGATGCATAGACACCACAACTTTTAAACTGCTTCCTTGT